TTTATTCTTTGCGTAGCTGCGCGGGCGTGTTCGGCAGTCCATACCGAACTTTACTGCTAGAGTCGCATTCGTCTGCCTCATGTTTGCTCACGTGGCCCGAATTGCTCATGTATAAAGCGCGTCCCTCTTTGTCCTTTGTTTCTGTTCCCTCAACTTCTCGAATGGCTTCCTTCGTTAGAAACTCGATTTGGTGAGTTTCTTCCTCTTCTCCCATGCCCCGGGCTGTTCTAAACGTAACTAGGGCCAGAGTGTGCCCTGGCGATCTTGTATACGACATAGAATTTGAGTCTTTGTTGCTCACTCATATCGCATTTTCGGGGAAACTGCTTTCCGCAAGCTCGTCCGTCACCATTCATTTCGTAGCAGATTCTGGCGAGAAACGTATTTGGGATGTTGGCACCCTCTTAGCTCACGAGGTATTTCGTCATGCTCCTCGGCCTAATCTACGTGCTGACGATCCACAGAGAGAGCACATCGAAGTGTACTTCCCTTTCTTTAGCAATAAGGTATATTCCGTTCATGTTCAAGGACCTTCGTAAGTGTTCCCTCACTGCCATACACGACGTGTCTTTGATCTTTCAAAACAGTGACATTTGTCTCGCTGGTGTAAACCTCAGTAAGTGTGCGGTCCTACATACGTTCAAGCTGCGTTTTCTGACACCCATCCACTTCCTAGATGTCACGTCGAGTGACATTATCAGACACTGTGAACGATGCGGGGGTTCGTGTGACCCCCATCCAGTACCCACTTCGAGCATCGTCGTGCCTGCCTCTCGTCGTGTCGTCAGATGTCTGTGGTTCTCTGTGGCCTGTCGAGAACCGCGTATAGTCGACGTTGAGACACAGCGACCGACATCCGAAACGCACAACGTTGATTGTCTGGCAACGGAGGATTGGGTTCGGCCTCAGGTATGACCATATTGCGTAAAATGAACATCGGCTAAGAGGCAATGTCAGAAATGGTACGGCGTTGTCCACGATGCAACAGAGAATCGTATAGTTGTCGCGGTCGATGCAGTGGCTTCGAAGGCGTGTGCTCACAAGACCATGTATACATGTATCTTTCGCCGACCACATGAGCGCAACGGGGCTCTCAACACGGCCGTGATGCAGTATCTTCCTCCTTCCGAAGCATGGTACGACAATATGCTTGTGGTGGCTCAAAAAGAGGAAGGCGGATTACTGGACATGAACCATGACATGCAGGTCGAATTTTTGCTGGCTTTCACGAGGTAAGTGACTGGCACAGCTATGAAGAACGAATTTTTGGTTTGACGATGTTGCAGGGCGATGTCAAAGATAACAATAAACAGCTCATTTCCTGTCGAAGCACCAGTGACTCCTTGCGTCCACGTACGCATTCCTTCTGTGACAAGCGCAACTGACCACAAGGGCGATTCTCGCTTGCCCATTGAGCTCTGGGAAAAGGTGTTGGCCGAGGCGCCGATGGCAACTTGGATGGCTGCTATCAAAGGGAAGGGTTTATTGCGGCGTGCTGTCCATCAACTGCTGCACCGTCAGGTGGTTTCCGGGCTTTCGAAGTTCTGGCCTACGGAGGCCCTGCCACGTCTCTTCCAAGCCTTGTCGGACGCCAAAGGGTTGATATTCGGAGACGTGCCCTTCAACATTCTTTTCGGGCAAGCGCTAACAGTCGATCGTCTGGATATCGCCGTACCCTTGGCTTCCTTCCGCGAGGTACACGCGCTCATCTTGCTATTCGGTTACGATCTCGAGACGCGAATTGAGGGGGGAGACGGTTGCGAGAAAGGATGGGTCTTCAAACATCAAAACGTACGGATAGTGTCTTTTGCCTGCTCGCAACGCTAAACCTTCGGCTAGGACGCGGTTTATATACAACTGTACGAGAGCTGGGGTCGCAGCTCTCTGAATGTGCCGCTTCACTCGCGACGTACTTCGTCTATGACTTTCTTAACCAACTCTTCCATTTATAGCTTCTACACGCCCTGGTCGGAAGCAGGCATCATAGGAGCAGGCAGACAATCATTCTCGATTCCACGGACCACCTCCTTGCGCAGAAGTCTCGATGGCGACATCTTAGGAGAATGCTGCGGCGTTTATTGTTCCAGGAAACCTCGATCGACGGCATCCGGTATCGGCGTCGATGTGGTGACTTGGGGAGGGTTAGATTTGAAACAGGATCCATGTCGTTGTGAAAAAAATATGTTCGCCCGGCCGATGGCGTGGATTCTGTCCTTACTGGGTGAATGTCGCAACGTCGACTGCGGTTTCTACAACTCCATTGTCGATCCTTCTCCACCAATGAGCCTCCCCACCGGTACTCTGGAGCAGCTCCTCGTGAAGGCCGAACATCTTTTGTCGCATATCCCCTTGATGCGACTGGTGGCTTATGCAGAGCCGGGCCTTCACTTTGACAGAAAGGACCCAAATTTGAGGGCCAGTTGCATATACGTGAATCCGATTGGAACATCGTGGCGCGCTAACTACGTTGGGCGGATCCTACCCGCAGCAATGGGTTCTAAACATAGCGCCCGGGGGGATGATATGACCGTAAGTGGTCATGAACAAAAGTCACGCTCAGGCTGATCGTCGTCTACGAATAGCGGCTCCCCGTGCGAAAGGGGAAAAAAATCAAGGACATGCTCGTCCTGGGACCTCCAGGCGACGAAGCTCCATTCTTGAATACCATGTATTCACACCAGATTCAAACTCTCGAGGGCCTGGTACAATCGCTTTGCCGGAGCTCAGGTCTCATCCCCGTGCGTGGCCCTGTCCGAGATAAACTCCGTCCTGATACGTTGCAGAGTCAGACTGGCCGATATCCCTTCCCTGGGACCAATACAGACCTATTGCACGTCAGGATGCCTAGCAAATATGAGGTACGACGCAGGTGTATTCCAAAACGCCGTCCTCACAGTCTACGGGATTCAGGAACTACCTTTCTTTGCACCGCCTGCTTCACCTTCAAACTGTGAGTATCATGCCTCTGTACCTTGACTTGAGTTACGAAGCGAGCGAATGCAGCGGCGACAGTATACACCGGATACGAACGGTCGTTGTTGCCCGACTTCAAAAGCGAAGACTTTGATGATGGCGAGAGAATGCTGGTTCAACTGCCAATATACGACGCGAAGAGACGGCTCGTACGACCCTGGGAGCAGTACGATGCGTTGAGGCCTGGGACTATCGTGCTGGTGACCGCAGAGTTGCAAGCACATGTAAACGGCCCGTGCGTGGTAAGTCTTGGATGGCGTACATCACTTGGTCTCCACTAAACGGTGTCGCAGACTTGGCTATTCGCTATGAACTACCTGCAAATTTTGGTGCCAGCAGATATGCTAAGAGAGCAATACGTTCAAGACTTTCCTTCGCGGGAGAAGCCAAGCGGCGGAGTGTGATAAGAGGTCTTGCTTACAGGCTTTTGTACCTACATGTCGGATCTGTAATTCACCAGGGTGTTCTGACTGCCATCTAGGCAGTGCCCCTATCTCTACTGTTGCCACATCTCTTGCATGGATAGACAGACCGCCCCTACCTCTTCTCTTGCTGCAACTCTTTCTACTTGAACGCCTCCCAGCACTTCCTTCGACGTTCGGGGTTTACCAGCGCACTCATCTGACCATGGATATATGTAGGAGGGAAGGATTACGCGCCATGCAAGTTTAAGTGGGTGATCAGCGAGTGAGCCCTTGCACGAACCATTGCATGAACCATTGCACGAACCGCTGGATGTCTGTAGGCACGCCGCGAGGACGACCTATTCTACGTATTGGTGTATGAACCATTGTACACTCGATCGCGTTCAAGGCGCGTTGAACCAAGGAGCACAAGGAGGCACGAGACCGAGAAAGACACGTGGTTCATCACACGGTTGATGAGGAAATGGGCGCTTGAAGCCGCCACTCATCCCGACTTCACCTCAACCATTGCCTCGGTCGCAGCGACATCGGGATGGGTTCTGGCAACCCTCGCAGCTAGCTGGACCCTGGAGGTCCTCTGGCGACGCAATAGTTGCGCTGGGTTCAGGTAACCCTCGCAGCCGGCTGGACTCGGGGGTGTCGTTGTCCCTTCTCGCCTTGCCTCGACGCTATTCATCCGACATTGCCTTGATTCCCCAGTAGCGGCGACACCGTTCATGTTCAAGGACCTTCGTCAGTGTTCCCTCACTGCCATACACGACATGTCTTTGATCTTTCAAAACAGTGACATTTGTCTTGCTGGTGTAAACCTCAGTAAGTGTGCGGTCCTATTGACGTTCTGACTGCATTTCCTGACAACTGTCGATTCCCCAGATGTTGGGACCAGCGAGTCGACCAGATACTGTGTAAGGTGTGGGGGCGACCCCCCTCCAGTACCCTCTTCGAGCATTGTGACCAAGGAGGTTTCCTCAACGCTCCCACAAGAGGCGACTGCGGCGCGGCAGAGAGCTGGGAAGAAGACAGCTATCACCGGCGCGGCACGCGTTCCATCCTTGAGAAACCTCAAATCCGCGAAGGCCGGATCGGGGTCCACGCCTTGAGATGGCCAATCGACTTCCCTTTGTTTTACTAGTGTAGCGGCCTAAACGTTTTGTTCCGTACTCTCCCTCCCTTGTAACACGACATGTCCATTTATATTGCTTGACGACGCGCCGCGACGTGCGACAATTTATCGCCCGGATGTGTTTACCTCTCGAATCGGCGGGACTTCTATGTTCTCATTACTACGGTGCTCATCTCCCCAGTGGCTCGCCTGCCCCAGTTTGCAATGCTTTGACACCCATTTTCTCAGCCACGTGCACGAGGTGCCCTTTGTGCCAATCTCCGTGGCTCGAACTTGCTCTCCCTTCTGCAATCCTTTCTGTGTCATTCCCCATGGTTTCGTGCCGCCGATCCCGCCCCAAGCCAGCGCATTCACGTTGCAGCTCAACCTCAAAAGTGAGGCCCAACTTACGAAGATCCATCCGCTCTTTGCCTGCGAAATCGTCTGGTAAATCGTCCGGTAAAGGAGAGGTCGATGTCGATGGAGGTCATGATGTCTCTATGTCAAGTGGCGATGAAGACCAGGAGGTTGGAAGTGACATGGCAGTCGACGACTGGGACTCCGGTATTATGTGTCTTTCTCAGCCATACTTTCGTGTGCCTAACCTAGAATTTGAACCTCTTCAAAGGATCCCTTGTTCCGCCATCGCGATTTGCTCCTCTTCTTCCCCATCCTGCTTTGGCCCCGTTCAATTCTCACGCTCTTCATGGCGACCTCATTCGCAATCCCGCCATGAATGACAGACACACCTTTGTATCCGCCAATGAAGCCGGCTCAGACGTTACTGCGATAGGCACTCCGCTGGCTCTTCGGGATAACCAGCACGTTCATCATACCTTCCCTGAGATGTCACCCACCTGCCTTTTAGCGGCAGTATCAACGACACCAGTAGCTGAAGGCATGACCCCAAGAGACGACTTGGTATTGAGCCCAAATCTGTTATCGCGAGGTAATTTTTGTCAATACCTTCTTTTGGAGAAAACTTCATCATGATCACGTTTACAGATGAAGGGGTACCACCGTCGTCGTATCTCAAAAGCAGCACGCCGGATGCCTCTGACAAGTTTGTGCTGGAATCTCAACACATCGGACACGCGCGGAATACTTCCAACGGTAGAGTTACTAAAGATCCAACGCCAACGAGGGTGACAGTAGTTGTTGGTTCAGCCTCCCGGAAGCCGTACAGCATTGAGGGAAACGATACGGCCATGGTAAGGGATGAGTGGAAGGAGGAAACTAGCGGCAGGAGCTCAGAGGAGGACGACCCAACGCCCGGCGACTGTCTAGTAACTTACCAGACGGGGTGGGACGGCGAGAGTAATGAGGGCGATCACGACTCTGCCTCAGTCAACGATCCCATCAATCAGGAGTGGCGCAGTGACAGTGGCAGCGACGGTGCTGTTGACGACAGCAGGAAATCGTGGGGCAGCGAGAGTGTGGAGGGTGATCACAACCCTTCCTCGGTCAACGATCCCATCAATCAGGAGTGGCGCAGTGACAGTGGCAGTGAGGGCGAGGAAGAGGTGAAGGTGGAACAGGAGATGGATCAGGACGACCCATTGTCTACCATCGCTGCCGTAGTCGCCGAGGATGGGTGGAACGAGGAGAGCGACGAAGGGAGCTCCGAGGAGGAGGATCGCATGCTTGGCGACGGTGCTGCTGACGACAGCAGGAAATCGTGGGGCAGCGAGAGTGTGGAGGGCGATGACAAGCCACCTTCCAACCATGACCCCGTCCACAGGGAGTGGCGTGATGACAGTGGCAGTGAGGGCGAGGAAGAGGTGAAGGTGGAACAGGAGATGGATCAGGACGACCCAATGTCCAGCACTGCCAGTGTTGCGGCGGGGGATCAGTGGAACGAGGAGAGCGACGAAGGGAGCTCCGAGGAGGAGGATCGCATGCTTGGCGACGATGCTGCTGACGACAGCAAGAAATCGTGGGGCAGCGAGAGTGTGGAGGGCGATCACAACCCTTCCTCGGCCAACGATCCCATCAATCAGGAGTGGCGTGGTGACAGTGGCAGTGAGGGCGAGGAAGAGGTGAAGGTGGAACAAGTGATGGATCAGGACGACCCAATGTCTACCATCGCTGCTGTAGTTGTAGTCGCCGAGGATGGGTGGAACGAGGAGGATCGCGAGAGGATCGCGCGGCAGGGCGATCCCGTGCTCGGAGACGGTGGTGTTGCGGAGGTGGAGGAGGGAGAGCAAGTGGGACAGGACGATCCAATGTCCACCATTGCTGCTATCATCGCCGAGGAGGATCACGACGCCGTTACGACGGTGGAAGAAGCGGAGCAGGGAACCCATGAGGAGCAAGACCCCCCAATGTCCAGCATCGCCAGTGGCAGTGAGGGCGAGGAAGCGGTGAAGGTGGAGAAGGAGATGGATCAGGACGACCCAATGTCCAGCACTGCCAGTGTTGCGGCGGGGGATCGGTGGAACGAGGAGAAGAACGACGAAGGGAGCTCCGAGGAGGAGGATCGCATGCTCAGCGACGGTGCTGCTGACGACAGCAAGAAATCGTGGGGCAGCGAGAGTGTGGAGGGCGATGACAAGCCACCTTCCAACCATGACCCCGTCCACGGGGAGTGGCGTGATGATAGTCATGGGGAGGATGACAAGGGCGACGTAGGCGAGCTAGTGTCCCCATATTATGATCACCCCGCGCGGGTCAACAACAGCGAAATAGAATGGCAAGCCCAGTCGCAGGCTATGCCTACCATCGACATGCTTATGGGGTACGGACAGGACAATGGGCTGGAATCATTTGCTGACGACGAACGGGACACTGTCAGTGAAGTTGGCTCCCTCGGATTCGGTGTGACTAAACCGCTCGCGATCCAGGCTCACTCCTCCATCAGTTCCTCCGTCCGCCGCCGTTCTCAGCTATACACTAACCCCCAGGAGCAAAATGACGACATGAATAACCCTCCTGCTCCTAACTTCGACAGGTCACCTAGTCGTCCAATCCTCGTTGAACAAAGTCACGCAAGGGTTCTTCTTTGGAGAAATGATGTACCCCCACGCATTGAAACATCTTCTGTCCTCGGGAGAGACAGGAGTGTCGGTACCATCGGGAATGATGGAGGTGGAGCAATTGGACACCGTTACAACAACCCTGAGCCTACGCCGTCTGCACTAAATCGAGCTTCTACGCCCCTCTTCCTCAACAGTCCTTCCGAATGTCACAGCTATCAAATATCTACAATATCTACAACCCGTCGCAACACTTCCCGAATTCCATCACCTTGGGACCATCGTAGCCCAGAGCCTTCTGCACATGGACCAGCCGGCTTTCAGAACGCCCGTAGTCCGTCACCTTGGGACCATCGTAGCCCAAAGCCTTCTGCACATGGACCAGCCGGCTTTCAGAACGCCCGTAGTCCGTCACCTTGGGACCATCGTAGCCCAGAGCCTTCTGCACATGGACCAGCCGGCTTTCAGAACGCCCGTAGTCCGTCACCTTGGGACCATCGTAGCCCAAAGCCTTCTGCACATGGACCAGCCGGCTTTCAGAACGCCCGAAGTCCGTCACCTTGGGACCATCGTAGCCCAGAGCCTTCTGCACATGGACCAGCTGGCTTTCAGAACGCCCGTAGTCCGTCACCTTGGGACCATCGTAGCCCAAAGCCTTCTGCACATGGACCAGCCGGCTTTCAGAACGCCCGTAGTCCGTCACCTTGGGACCATCGTAGCCCAGAGCCTTCTGCACATGGACCAGCCGGCTTTCAGAACGCCCGAAGTCCGTCACCTTGGGATCATCGTAGTCACCCCGAACCGTCCCTAGCACCTTGGGGGACGTCCAGAGCTCAGAGTCGTGAACACACTTCTCACAGCGATCAGTCGCCTTTCGACAATGGATTTGATCGGGGCTTCTGGGGACACCATCCTACCCCAGGCTCCTTCTCTGAGGATAATGCCCACGCGACTTCCATGCATGGCGACACTGAGAGTGACGGTGGCAATGAAAAGGTATTAATAAGTCTCCAGATTAATATTGGACCAACTTCTCATTTTGTTGACAGCCTTATCCTAACAACGGGAAACATCCCAAGCGTGACAAGAGTCAACGTCCCTATCCCGGCGAAGAGGAACGTCAGAAGCATGGCAAGCATCACCGTCGACGTCGGAAACACTGTGTCCACTGTGCTCCTCCCAATACCGACGACGGAATGTCTGACTCAGACGAAGCTTCCGGACCTCCTCAGCGCACTTACAATGTCCGACATCTTGACCCAAAAGGTCTTGTATTGAAGGTTGTTGTCTTAATCTCACTACATTGCTGTCGTAGCTCATACAATCGTTAGTCCGAAATCAGAATCCACTGCGATCGTACCTTAATGGAGCGTAGTCTGAAAATAGCCACTGAGGACATGATTCGCAGCTTCACGCTCAAGCCGTATGGCCCGATTCGTCCCACAGTCGCCAATTTCGCAATGGACGCTCGCCCTCAGAAGGGCATAACTACTGCTTGGAACAAACGCCTCATCGAGGTGTTCGTGCAAGACTTCATGGAACAACCCCAGTACACTTGTAAGGACCCTGCAAAGATCGAACACCATTTCAAGCAGCATCTGTACCAACTCAAGCAACGCGCGGCAAAGCTTCCGACGCCCGAAGCTGCCAAAGCCAAGAGTCGCGAAAACAGGCGGCGCGCAGTTAGTGCTCTGATATTCCTTCGCTGTGAAAGACTGACCCTTTGCTTTCAGCTACGAGAGCGTCGCGTCAAGGCGTGTAGGAACTACTCTCGACAAGATCCCACCCTGCATCGTTTTCTCGATTTGTTGGGTAGGCTACCCTATTATGCCATGAGTGGAGATGAGACGGACGCCGATGCTAGCACATCAATCGGGATTGGGAAGACTATCGATGGGTATTCAATAACCAATCTACCTTGGCGCTCTTCAGACCCAGAAGTAACCCATTGGTTCCGGACATTCGATCTACTTCACCTCTCTACACGATACATGATGACCGGCAACCCGACACCCGGCGAATGGCCACGAGTAAGACTGCCGTCATCACGTATCGAAAAACACAAGGCAGAGCCACCTCTTGGGCTTCCAGAGAACTTCTACGGCTCAGCTTTTCTTCAAAGCCTCCATCCAATGGAAAGACAGCGCCTGAAGGTCCAAACATCCATGGACCTCTCTTTTTCTAGAGAAATTGAAACGTGAGTATTTGTACTTGAGTGCACAAACAGATGCTCACCCGCCCGCTCCTTAGTCTCGCGGCTCGATATGCACATATTCGTACGAGACATGATCGACCCCTTGATGTTTGATCACACCAGTATACTAAGACCCGCACTAATCTACGTATCATATATACGACACCGGCTGGAACCGTGATTGCCTCTGCACAAGTGTCCCTCGTCTCGCATCCGACCCAGACTCTATCTGTAACATTCGTACCCTAAGCCCTTTTGTAATAGCACATTTTCATACCAACATCATGACCTCTCTTTGTCTATTCGCTCAATCACTAGATGGCCTTGAGTCTGGAAACTCAACAGGTCACGCGATCACGAGGGTCTGGAGATTCTCAGAGGATTCAGTAGGCGCCGCTCTTTTGTTCTGCTCGCTTTCATGCGCTTGGTCCATCCTATCATTTCACTCATGCAGGTACGTGCACCACGACTACGACATTTAAACGTTCAAATTCACCTTCAGTCAGCGCCACTTTACCCGCAATGTCACACCACGATTTTCCCTACTCTTCCCATAGATTTCGTTTCGCGTCTAACGCAGAGTACGCAATTTCTCCGCCTGCTCTCAGACGAGGTGCCTGGCTCAAGCGTCCTGTGGTTGCATTCACGTTGGGCATCTTGACAGCCTTACTCGGGAAGCAGTCCGTTGTCCATGCCTCAACTATCATCGATGCATACCTTACACCACATATTTCCTCTGGCCAAATGCCCATAGACGCCACATTCGCTGTCCTTACTTCTATCACTGACCGCCTACTCGCGAATGCTACACCCGCCTCCGTCCCTCCTCGCAACCTTGCTCTATTTGGTGGCGGCGCTCGAGTTAACTCTCTTCTCACTTCTGCTACCTACAATCCTCACGCACATGGTTCAGTAGGCCCACTACGGAGAGGCCTTCGCTGGGTTCGAGACACGATGCTCGGTGTCGAATTTTCTCGACTGCACATGAGTCGTCCCAGGGATGCTCTCAGCGAGAATATGGAACTTGGAAGGTGTTGGGAATTCGAGGGTCCCACGGGTCACATAGCCATTGAATTGCCAGAGGTCGTCACCATAACCGACGCCAGTGTGGCTTACATCCCTGCTCCCCTCCTCTCGCAGGTTGCTGTAGGCCGTGCGCCGCGCAGAGTAACCATGTGGGGCCTGGCCGACAACACGACTGCTCAGCATTTTACCGAGTCCCACGCGCCGTCCCTTTTTACAGCGAATCACCGGAACCCTCCTGGTATGCACTACACCGATAGGTTCGTCAAGCTTGGAGGGTTCGTTTTCGACATCGATTCGTCGCATCACCAGTTCTTTGCCATGGATCCTGATTCTGCCACGATACAAACATCTCTGGTCATTTTTGAAGTGAATAATAATCACGGTTCAAGCACAACATGTCTATATTATTTAGGGGTGTACGGTATAGAAGTCTCCTAAACTCCTGTATAATGATCATGTGAATCTATGCCTCCCCCCAGCATGACCAGGCTGTCGTGTTCAATTCCCAGCGATATATGTATCCCATAACTTTGTACAACGACATTCTATCCAAATTCTACCTTAGTATGGAGATGAAGTGCATCAACCGCCCAATTTGGAGCGAATTGTGTGTTAATGTTTGTTACTTGTTGATCCATGATATCCGCTGACTCACAATTCATGCTGGTTTCCCACCCTCTCTTTTCATCCCTCTCCTTTGTTCCACTGTTCCTCAAGCTCCAGCTCATTGCCACTCTCTTGCCTGTATTCGAATATCGCGCTGGTATCTGGTATCCCTCGCTACTTGTTGGACTCTGGTAGTCCTTCGAGACCATCGTATCGTGCTGGATTCTGGTAATCCTTGCGTGTCGTTGGGTCTTACCATCGATCCTTGTTCGGAAACTATCGAAGGTATTTTTTTTCCTTCTTTTTTTGCTGTCCCTACTTTTTTGAATAGATAGTGACGTCCATTTTCTAGGCTACAGTTCGACAATCATGCTAAGCTTCGTAGTGACAAGGACCGAAGAGACTGGCCAAAGAGCATGGTAAGGTTACCTTACGTCTTTCGATGAGGTTCTCCCAACCCAACCTCCCTATTATGAAGCGCATTGGCCAAACTGGTGCTGGGCAGGATCCGACCTCTTGCCCGCAATCTGGACACGTTTGCAAGAAGACCTTGTCTGCCTCTTCCCAATACATGCTCTTCTTCAACTCCGTATAGGCGGTAAATGTTTTGGCGTCGCCGCCAATCCGGTCAAGAATGTAGAGCATATCCATCCCGGAGAGTACGTTGATGATTTTCTCGCGAAACTTTGCCACTAGACATTCTTCGCAGAAAATGTGCCCGCACGGCAACCTAAAACATCGTGGTCAGTGTTATGTAAATGCGACAATCAAGGCTACACACATGCAGGGTCCTTCCATGATTTCATCGCATATTCCGCATGTCAATGCTTTCTTCATCTCGCTGAGAAGCTGCTAAAGGTTAGTTGCATTGCACATGATGAATGTTATCGGCGTACTGCTTCATCTTCGTTCTTACAACTCTTCTTTAGACAAGCTGCCATCGATGGATGAGTTGATGTGGGCGTAGAAAGTATTGCTGGGGGGATGTGTCGAACGCTCTCTTTTTAAAGTTGGACGCGTGCACACCAGTGGCTCTGATTGTGACCGTTCGCTCGGACGTCGATCTCGTCTCTTTCAGCCTGCGCTTTCATGTACGTCTTTCCCTTGATCAATCCATTGTTGGATTAAATCTCTCCTTGCCCGTTCGCCCAAAGGGAGGACCCTCCACTCCTTTCCTTGGCACGGGCGGCGTCCGTAAATGGGCCCTTTCATTTCGAGCCGGCTTGCCCGCGGAGGTACCTGCGCTCTCTGCACGCGGGTCATGTACATCCTTTTGATCTCCCGTTTCCACGCCATGACTGCCAGCGCCAGCGCTCACCGCCGTTCAAACCACGCCCGAGATGCGTACGCCACGCCACATCGACGCGTTCCACACGTCCTGCCAACGTGAACCGACTCGACATTGGACCGGGCAAGCTGGTTCCGCCGTAGTCTGGTTGCTTTTCCCCCGATCTCGTTTGCCAGTGGACGTGGCGTGCCGTGATGGATGTGTCGGTGTCTTGGTGAGCTCTGAGCATTCCCATCCTCTGGTTCTCACCTTCGTGTCCTTTATCACAGTCATAGCGATCGTGGATTGATGCGCACACCGAGTCTCTCGTCATGGTCCCAGCTGACCTCAGTCAGTCGCCTTTGCGTCTGACCATAACCACTTGTTCGAGCGTTGGGAAGGACGTCGGTTTTTCGTGGGCCGGTCCATCCTGCTGTGTTCCAATTCCTCGAGTCAAAGCGGATACGGCAAGCGGATACGGCTGATGTACCTTGTGCGCACTCCCTCCTCCGCTCTCCATAACCTCACATTCTCTTCTTCAGTTAGGTGGGTCCATCCTCGTCTCCCGTTTGTTGCTCGTGCTCACATACAACTAGAAGATGCGCAGGCTGTTGACGCGTAGCTTGGTGCTTGAGTCGGTAGGCAGTCTTTGGGCACATCGGTACAACCCTTACAAGGTCATGTTGATAGAGCTTTGAAGCCGTGGTCAGCACGTTCCGTCTCTCCCTGGTTGGCCGCTTGCCTGAAAATCCTGGATCGTTCGTAGTCGCCGAACATCATGGCCCAGTGCACTGTCGTTAGCAAGTTCTGCTTGAATATCGAGCGGATGGGGTGCGTTCGCCGACGTGTCCAGTGAGCGGCGCTGCTCGCAACATGAGGTGCATAAAGTTACCCCTCAAGCGGGTCGCCATGTTTCTGATAGACATGTGAAGTAGGTTACAGGAATGTAGACTTACTATCAAGGGAACGGAGGCGAACCAATGTAGGGGAATGAGCGCTGCGTTGCTTACTTTAAGACTTGTTGGGGTCAAAGTAATAGAAATTGATGCCGCCGCTGGCGGCTCAGTTGCCGAGCCTGGTCGCCAGCTTCCTTGAGCAAGAACCAAACCGATGTTGACTGATCTCAAAGGCTTAGTACTGGTCGACATCGGTAACGCCTTGTCGAAGCAATAATTTGGGAGCGACCATAGGAGGCTGAACCACGACGCTTTGACGCGCGTCTTCAGGGTTATGCGAGGGGAACTGGGGCACTAGGGGATGCGACCACGGTGACGATTGATCAGATAGGGTGCCTCGGTACTCATCCAGATGATGCGACCAACTCCTCCATCTTACAGTATCATCCATAACCAGAACGCGGACGCCCCCAACGTTCCCGATTCTATACTTCGTCAACGTCTACGCAAAGGAGGAGGCGTGTTTGTGTCGTTAGTGGCGGCGAGGTGGTAGAAGGAGGAGGAGCAACAGTATAGCGACTCACCAACATCAACTTCAACATCAGTTCGGTGTCCACCCCAGCGTCAACCTCTACGATTTCCGGTGGCTTTGTTGGGGGGAGGGGCCGATCGAATAGGGAATCGCGGCCGAAGACGAAAGGCCCACGAGACATCGTTGGTTCGCCGTTCGTTTTGATCATCGTGAGCGTGCATTGGCGCTAGTGATGGATGAGGAACGACTGCACAGCCACCGATCGTTAACGGAACGTCCTCCACTACGATATGACAGAACTTCGCATTATACGTGAACTGCTTTCGACAAAACACGCCACTCGACGGCGGATGATCAAGGTGGTGAAGAGATGGTTGATTTCCAAGGTTATAATGCAGTTAATGTCGGATATTCTTTGATACCCAGTTAAACGCCTGGATAGTTGGATCATAGTGTGAGCAGTTTTTCGCTATCTCAACGCTTACAGTGCTTAAACAGTACACAGAAACGCGCGCCACCAGAGCGAGCACGACGCAGAGTCCCAACACATCACCATCCGAGGCTACCGTCGCGGAATGGGCGTTTTGACGGCGCACGTTTATGTAGACGATCAGTACACTTTCCAGCGTCATACGATCTTTGGCACTGGGGCGTGTATTCGAGCAGAGACGGCTGTTGTGTGTTTGTAAGTCCCTTGCAGAAATCCAAGTCTTTCCAGCTAATTCGTCTCCAGTGACATATATCACTAGTTGCATGTCCAAACGTCATTGTTGTATCTACCCGATACGGTCTTGTGTACTTGTAAGTCCCCTTCCTGGCTGCCAAACACTCCAGCTGACTTGTCTCCAGTGTTCTCTATCATGTTTGTCGTCGCATCTACATCGAATTTCACCAAAGCGCTATCTTGGGAATACGCCCATATGAATGCCTCACCCTCGCGCTTCGCGGAATTTGTCGCTAACCCACGAACAGAAAGTTGAATTGGCTGTCAGGGAGGGCAGACGAACGCGATTCAGGAACTCGCCTCCGTTCATGGTAACAGCCGTTCGTCTGGGTTGCGCCGCGGCGTCTTGAGTGTGCCCTTGTTGCGTGTGGCAGCGTTGCGTGTCAGCGGGTCTGGTGCACGCATTCGCAACTGACGGGAGACGACGCCTCAGACGACGCCTCAGACGTGTCACGTCTACGATCCACTGCCACGCGCCTCTCTCATCTCGCTCCCGGCCTGGTAAGTTCCCGTGTCTACGGCTACGCCTGCGTTTGCTAATCTCCTGCGCATATCAGACACGACCCTCCATGTGCTATCCCACTGCGAGTTCACGTATAGACGGGATGGTCGGAGGCGCGTCACTCAGTATGCCTGATTCATACTTTATGTGTACTTTCTGACCAAGTATCCATGATTGATACTTTATGTGTACTTTCTGACAAAGTATCCATGATTAATACTTTCCTCGTACTTTTTATAACTTATACTTCATCGTTACTTTATCGTTACTTAGCATTTTGGAGTATTGAAAGGTTCTTTGTTTATATATTACTGATTCATTACTACTTTACTAGTTCTACTTGAAGTATTGAGCCTCGCCTCGTTCATTACTTCACCCGAAAATATTCTAAAAGTTAGCAACAAGTAAGTATAAGAAAAAAAACTATTGATTACAGATATTAGTTTGTTAAGTCTTTGGGACTTTAAGCTTACTTTCGGGCATATTATTGAATGTGGCAGTGTAAAATATTGTAAGTGAAAGTAATTAAATAATAATCCGTTTACTTGAATATTATTTTCATCGATCCCAGGGTGAAAGTATCAATCCGTGCACGGCGTGAAGGCCGGCGAACAAGATCAAGTCCTCCAAGCTGTCAGCTATGGACCTGACGTGAGTACAATGATTATGACCTTCGGGGCTGATGGTCAAAGAGTTGCGGCATGTTATCCTAGGTCGTCGTAGATGATTGGGACCAATCCAGGTCTAACCGCAGGCAGATCTGTATGACCTTCACCGTAGGTAAGAGTGAATCAGGACTGTTCAGGGTAGTTCATGTGCTCAAGGTGGGTTCGCACTGAATTTTGTCTGATAACGACCGTCATAGATCTGGCTTTCCAAAACTGTCAACTGATTCTAAACAGAACACCATTAACAAGATATTTCTACATGAATGATGTGTTCTTGCCTCTAGTCCCCCATTCCAGTAAAATTGATGGAAAGCGTGCGTCACGAGGGGTAAATATCAGCGGTGATCATTATGAATGCGATATGTCCTTCTATTCCACACAAAGTCAATGGCCTCTTGTCAGTTTGTCCTACCGTTCTGCCTTGTCCTCGCTCATTGATTGCGATAGATAGCGATAACTACTTTTGCTCACTCGTCAATGCTCTGATCATGAGATCATTATCTAGAGATCATTATCACGATCTGTCAAACGACGGCGTAGCTGATTCGGTCGGTTAAGACTCCACACACAGCTTAGTGGTCGCCGAGGCTACACGAGCTGCCACCTGCTCTGTTGCGAGCGCTTCTGAGTCGTAGTATTTGCTCGGCGACCGGTACAGCTTGCTTTTCCATACGTCCAAGTTTGTGGAAGACTCAACGCTTACTCGCATCCGCGACGCCGAACTCAAGATGTCTAGCAACTACTTGAACCCGACGAACAATGATGCGTGGGCCCGGCCAGGTCAATCCGTGGCCCCAGTCGAGGAATTCCAGTGGAGACTTGCTCGGAGGCTTGCAACATCACTAACGTGGCACGACAAAATAAACGGATGTCTAGGGACACAAAAAACTGCGATACAGGTGGCACAAACCTTAACTGAAGAGTGGGTGGTACATTTCTGCAATTTTAGAGCCGCTTATTCGGTATGTCATAGATGGATCGTTGGCCAGGTCGTAGAAGCTTGGGAGTGGAAAGATGAAGTATGTTATACCCTGTATATCCAGCATGTCCGCTGATTGTGTCGGATGGACTCATCAATCCCGCAGTGAACTCCAACGCTTCGAATCCCATCCAATCCACTAATGTTGCTTTAGGTATCACAGCGGAATACGCATCTACGTTGATCAGTGTCCTATTCACCTCTTCGATCGAGAATTGAGGCGAATGATTTCCCGAGATACCCTCGCTTTGCACATTGAAGCCCTGCTCAAGAAGCCCAAGCAGTTGTGGAAGCATGTACTCGCCTCGCCTACGCGTCAGTTGCTCGATGCACTTTATCACAACGACTCTATCTTCGATCCCCGTGCGTCGAAAATTGACGAGTTTCTCGAGATAGACGACGAAAACACCAGCTGCATTCCTCAGTTGCAATGGGCGCCGTATATCAATATGTCGGGCAGGTTTGCAGAGTGGCTCCGAGGTTTGGTAGACAAGCTCTTCAACCTCTCCGAGCATGCTTTTCAAGTAGTGGTTCAAACTTTGGGGCGATACGCTATTCTTTCGCATCGGTGGGACTCGGACGATCAGGAGCTCACTTTTGAATGTATGGAGGACTTCGGTCACGAAGCATTGAGCATCCCGGAGCGCCGGGGATATGCAAAGTTCCGAGGCTTTTGCGATGCGGCTGCGTTCCACGGATGTCGATACGTTTGGATCGACAGCGGATGCATCAATCGAGGGGATAAAGCCGAACTTGATGTGTCTATATCCTCGATGTATCAGTGGTACAGCAAGGCATATGTCACCATCATATACTTGTCGGAGACCGTAGAGGCCGACCACGACATATTCTATTATCCGTTCCAAGATCCATGGTGGAGAAGGGGATGGACACTGCAGGAATTTGTAGCTTCGACGAGGAAGAGGTATTATTATAGGAACTGGAAGGCGATTGACGATCAGGATTGGGATTATGATGCACGGCTTTTCGAAGACCAGTAGGTTAGCTGCCAGAGACGATTGTGGCAAGACTGATGGTGATGATAAATAGAGACGGTGAACATGGGGGTTTCCTGACCCGCGTCTTCCAGTCGATGCAGAGCCGACAGACGCTGCCAGAAGATATGGCATATTGTCTCCACTCCCTACTCAACATCCGTCCGCCCATATGCTACGGAGAGGGATTCGAACGTGCCTTCTATCGACTTCAAACCGAATATGTCACGGGAGGATACCCGATGTCCGGATATCCCAGAGGTGTAGCTCCTGGCCAGTTCTCGAGAAGCCGTCTATTTCGATGGAGCGGCAAGCGATCCAGCTGGAACTCGATGTTCGCCTCTGACTTCAAAGCGTTTAATGTCAAACAAGCACAGCTGAAGTATCATAACTTGAGGGGTAGATTCAACGCCGTGCCGACCATCTCCGTGTCCACACACAACGACCGCGATATCTTGTTGGTTGAGATGTACGTATATCCCATGCGTTATGACGCCATAGACAAAGCGTTTCGTGTCAACGGCGATACAAAGATAGACGTTCTCTCGGACGACGGGATCGAGAAAGATGTAGGGTCAACTGGATGTGTGCTGGGGTTGATGAGGGAGGACCGTCGGTATGTCTTCGGGGTTATACTCCGAAGGATATCGGATGATGGATGCCCTCTTTATGAGCGTGTTGGGATCATGGGATCTGGGACAGGGACGAGCAAGGAATGGGGCGAGCGCGATGTATTGTCGGTGCTTTGGCGAGACTCCTCGGAACTCCAGTTGGTTCATGTCGCGTAAGCCGGAGGGTACTAGCTCGCCCTTGATAATCGATAATCGCTTGTTTCATGTTTATGTTGAAAGCCTCATTGTGATTCAGCGTATAATACATACAGCGGGAAATAAACAACCCCATTCTTCCGTAGTCGCGGCATAAAATACAGCCCCTCCCCTTCCCCGGCTTCCCGTCACGTTGAGGACCGAACGCGCGGCGGCACCGTCTGCCCGTAAAAGTGAGACATGATAGCCTCGCTATGCGTTATCGTAAGGTTGAACACCGGGTGGGTGGCATTCTAAAATCCAGCGGTTCAGTCGAGATTATTGCTTATTGCCCTTATTCTAGAGCAGGGGTGGAGACAAGGAATTCGGCGTACCACTCTGTTTGCTTCGCCTCCAAGGATCTTAGAGGCGCTCTCGTCCTCTGTCCACGAGAGCGAGTTGAGGAATGTCTCCTTGCGAATCTTCCCTGGGAGCGTATCTGCGAAACAAACACCGCCGACATGACAGTCAAATAGTTAGATTCCCAACTTTCGGTTGATGGGGCGTAGTACGTACCGTCGGGCGAAGGCGCTTTCCACGCCTCTTGTAACTGTTCACGGCGCTCGACGGACGGGAACATGCGGTGTTGAGCAGAGGATAGACCGGAGAGGCAGTACATCGTGTGGTAGGCGTCCGCGTTCCTACATCCACATCAGACAAAAGATGTCACAAAGCGAGAGGGAAGCTTGCTTGGGAGGCTTGTCGCGTAGACCGCCCGTCGGATGTTGACCGGCGTAGAGGATGTATTCTTGAAGCGCTTCGCGGTTGAAGAAAGAGTCTGCAACGAATAAGCGTCAATACTGTAGCAAAGTATGTATAGAGTGAAAAAGACGGACCATCCACATCGTCCCATTCGTGTTCATTTTCACCATCCTTCCCCTCTTCCCCAGGCTCCGTATCACGTCCAGAGGCCCTGGAGTCTTCCCCGTCCCCTGGTACAGGTCCGATAACACTGGCGCCGACACCCAGCGCCTCGAGAAGGCTAAAAGCGCCGCCAACCCACCACGAATAGCAGCCATCTACGAGCTTGTTCGTCCGCCCTCTGAACCCTCCGATCTCTGCGGCGGACCCTTGCATCTGAACGAGCCAGCGTAGGAGGGACTTCACGTTGATTTGCGGGCGATCGCGAGAGATACCGCGGGGCGAGAGATCCAAAAACGGCTGCAACATCACCCACGAGGCCAAAGCGCAGAACGTGTATCCACCGTGTGCTTCGCCGAGCGGGGGTCTGGGGGAGGAGAGGAGAGACTTGGGTGTGTATGGCTCGGAGGAATAGTATGGTTGAGAGGCGGAAGAGAAGCCGCCTTCGTAAGTTTGGCAAGAGGCGATGAAGGATGCGGTCCCTTCAACTAGCTCGGGTGTGATGATATCGAGGAGCGTCGCGGTTACGAGGAGGCAATAAATGCCACTGTTTGCGTGTGCAGATCAATATGATGGACATGGAAATGAGATCGCATATGAACGCACCGGACGTCGACCTCTGCGTGATGTGCCACAAGGAACGATCCGTCTGGTTGCTTGAGCGACATGAAGAATTGGTACATCTTCTTCCTAGTTCGGGAGCCACGTTGATTCTACTTGTCGAGGCGCTTGACATAACGGACGTACCGATCTATCTGATCCCACCCGCCTTTCTCTCCTTGCCCTCCAGCTATCGACAAGGCGCAGACCGATGCGTATGATGCGAGAAGATGGGCAGCTTGTCCTGGACCACCTCCGAACCCGCCATCGGGGTGCTGCCAGGTCAAAATAGTGTCGATCGCCCTTGAATGAACGATGGTATAGGGGTACTATGTACGATCGAGAACAGCGCGCACCTTTGCTTATTCCCCGGATCTAGTCCAACCTGCAGCACACTGAAGCTCTGCAACGTCCAGAACATCAGCCATGGCTGGCTCGCGTCCTGGCTTGTGTATTTGGCAGGAAAGCCTTGGATGAAGTTGCGGGCGAGGAATTGGACATGGGCGCTTTTGTTGAGTTTGGCAGGTAGTTGGGCGGTCTCGGCTTGAACTTGAGTTGGGATGTGGTCGAGAAGGACTGCTTCTGTCTCTGCTTGCAGACGTGATGTAGAAGTTGGGAATGCGTCGTCTGGCGCCGGACGTGGGGGGCGAGAGTTGGCCATCGATGATGGTGGTCAGGAGCAAGAGATGCCGAGAACAATAGAAGGGTGTTCAGTCCAAAAATGAAGGTGAGACCTAATGTCACTTTGGTGCTTGGCATCTATTCCATCGTGAACGCTGGACCCGCTGCACTCAAGAATCCCGGCTGGTACAGTCCCCTGTCTGGTACACCCGTCGCGCGAAGCCCAGGGAATGCTCCGCCAAAGGCCAGCACACTAGGCACAGAACCGCGTCTTGCACACTTGGTATACTAGAGAGGCATTCTCTCCTCTTCGTGTTCGCGATATGGACATTCTTTCATCACGGTGTGTTCTCAGACAGTGCAATAAGCAATGCCTTCAGTGTCGCCCGGCGGCCTTCAAGGATTGTGTCGGGGAAAATGGCAAGGACGGAGGGGTCCATTGATTGCAGCCAATTTGCACATTTGCGAAGAGGGAGGCGAGGAAGGCGCAATTTCTGAGGAAAACACAAGAGGAGGAGTGCGGTGGAAGACGCGACGCGTCGTGTCAGTTTGTTTATGTTTGGGCTAAGTTCATCAAACAGACTACCCAGTTCACTTCTTTACCCGGATCGCGCGTCCCCATCTTCTTGCGGGTACGATAACAGAATCCCTTGATAATCGAATCAGGCGTCTCGTGCAGAGGATTACACTGTCACCCTCCAGCTTCATGGGGGACAGATATCGGGACGTCACATCTGGATGTCGGAGGGAGGACATAAAACATCACCCTACAAATTCGAAGAAGACTTCATGTTCGTTGAGAATATCACCACGGACTATGCGAGCGTCACTCAATTCATCGAGTGTCAACCCTTAGTCGAGCACTCGACTCTTAGTCTTTGGTTCGCGGAGCCTCTGCACGTCCGCCGTGAAAGTCTTCGGAACTTGCGCATCCTCGATGTTTCTCTCCACTCTGCGTCAATCATCGCACTAGGACGGCATATCACACATCTGAAGATTAATTCCAACGCCCACAACATGAATAATGCGACCCACTGGGCAAACCTACTAGATCTTGACTCGGCAGCACTTCGAGCCGTGGTGGGGCTTTCGCTACAGACTTCATCGAGTTTACCAGCTGGCAAAGTTGGTTGCCCGCATGTCGAACCTAGAACTATTGCAACTGGCTGCCTCTGTGAGTCCTACGCGATGCTCGTAAAACTCGGTGCTGCGAAGGGGTTTGACTAACGATGATGAAGCTTGGAGAAAAGGCTATCAACAGACTCAGGGGACTTCATCTTCAGCATGATCCCTTCCGTTTGTGTTACCAGTCAAAGGACCGCGCAGGAATGCCGACGCCGCAGTCACCCCGGGGGCGCTGGATCTGCAACCGTCTCTTTCCTCATTACCTCCTTACCTGACACGAGCAGGGCCCTCGATTCCGCTGCTTGCAACTCAACGCCATGTATCTGATGGGTGGCCCACAAGCGAAGGACACCAGCCTTAGATTCAAGAAATTTGATATATGTCGTCGTTCAATGTGACGGAGGCGTACACTGTAAACGCTGGTGCTCCCGCGAGATAGCTCTAGGTCCCTCAAGAGAAGTTTGAACGCAGTGCGGAAACACCGGAATGCGAGGGCGATGGTGACGGAAGTTCACTACCTTTCCCGACAGCCGACTCACGCAGTGGTCGTCTGTGCGACTATCTATAAGGCATGTGAGTGGTACATCAATACACCAGAGAACTGACATTCAAATTGCTACAGAACTTGCCATCAATACAAGAATCAGTATAGCTCATACGATTGCCTTCGTTCTCTTTTCAGCCCGCATCGTGAGGAATCGTATGCGATACGATGTCGGAGTGTGTGCGTCTCTCTCTTTCTCTCTCTCTCTCTCTGTGTATGTGTGTGTGTGCTGCACCGACATGCTTGCTAACTACTGGTAGAGTGTTTTCCGCAGAGACGACGCTGCACGCGTACTACCTGTTTCATCGGAATCGACACGAATGGTAAACACCACATAAAGGGCTCCTTCGTGCGCGGTCGTGCCCCCGCTCTGTAGGTAGAATATTCCACATTGCGCTCAACCCAAGCACAATGGACAAGGTGGCAAAAAGACGGTCACGTGGAAGTATTTGTTGGACCTTCATTCGTAAATCCTTTCAATGCCACTCCCTCCACGACCACAATCATCCACAACTCCTCCTCGCATTCAATAATGGGCAATCTCTTGAAGGCACCTCCGGAGGTCTTGTCCCGTATCGCAAGATACTTGCCCACCCAAGCGGACTGCCTGGCACTTTCTCTGACCTCTCGTGAACTTCAAGTCGCGGGTGAAACTCAATTTTACCGCAATGTCACGTTCAATTTGAAAGATATTTCCTCAGACGAGCGCCGTCTGGAGGCATTTGTCCGGTGTCTAATGACGCGCCAGGACAGGTGCAGCTGGGTGCAATCCCTATCTGTCACCCTCTCCAATCGCTCCCTCACGCGCATGGAACACAAAATTCTCGCCATTGTCATAAACATCCTTCCATCCCTCCGCAGCTTCAAATATATCGACTACTCAGCCAACAATTCTGTCTACCATACCGCGATTGACTTTCATCCACCCCGCCGCCCTTTGCAGGCGGAGACATCGCTCCGACAGTTTACCTGCCTCAACGCAAATATTCTTGACCAAGAGCCCTTTCTCGCTTTCCTCCATTTCCACCATGGATTGCAACACCTCGAGTTCAGCGAGGACGCGTTAAATGTGCCACATTTAGGCAAAGGAATATTACCAAATTTGGAAACTCTTCGAGCACCCGTCGATGTTATCCTCCGTTTGCTTCCTGGGAGGCATATCAAACGAATCAAGACGACTATCAGCCAAGATATGGCACCCATCTGGGTGCATACTCCCCGCGCAGCCTTTGATACCACCAGAGTATTCTCATCTAGTGTTTGTGGCGATGCTGAAGAGTTGCTGGAATCCCTCGTTCTGCGGATGAGCAATCTGGAGTTCTTAGAGATAGAGGTATTTTCTTTTTTCTGTGACATCTAAACCCCCACGCTTATGCGCAAAATATAGGATGAAACCTGCATCTCACTCTCGATTCTACGGTGTACCAAAATCAAGTTTCTCCGACTTCGCAACCTGTGGGGAGAGTTTTCCGCGCGGGTAGTCTTCAACCGCGTGCCAGCTCTGGAGTGCATCGAACTACAACATACTGTCGAGCTATCTGCTGGTGTCATCTCTCTGCGGTGGTGCAGGGATGTAGAAAAACCCTACATCGTCTCGTGGGATTGTAAGGTGAAGGAAGAATGGCTACGCGACTGGAGGAAGGATTTGTTCGTCAGGCATGATATGTGCCATGATGATGATGTCCCCGTATTCGACGACGACGAAGTTTTGTGATACATTTACTGATGCCCGACGTCTCGGACTTGCTGTCCAATCTCCATTGTGTTCTTCATTGTGTACTTATGCCTCTCTTCAATAACAACCATGTAAATAGTCTATGTGCGTCGGAGGTTATCAGTAGGCTTACTACGTTCAAGAACGAAACACTGTTGGGATGACCCAGCTCTGAAGCCTAGCTGTCCAGAGAAGGCTTTGCGGGTGGTATGCTCTCTGATTCGGGGTTGAGGGAATGATGTGTGTTGCCCGAATACCTTACGTCGCGTGTCTTACCCCCTATCCCTAACGACGCGTGAAATGGACGAGCTGTGTGAGAAAACCACGGACCGTAATGATCGTATGTATACGTTGCCAAACTGTTGTCCTCACGGCCAGCCGGTGCGCTAAGCAAGAAGATATTCAACTTCTGATCGCGTCGAACGACTGAATTGAACTCCCACCATGAGGTAAGTGCCTTGACTACGCCGTAGCAACCCTCCGGGGGACGATTCGCCAGACTTCATTAAAAATTCAAGCGGGGCGACATCGGAATCCATGCGCACTGCCTGGTAGCTAACGAAACACCATAAAGCATGCCTTTTTTTGCACACAAGAGAGCACCTTCCACAGCTAGAAGATTGAAATGCCCAACGCGTTGACAATGAGTATTTTCGCGAGATTCTCCAACGCTGTATCTCCGGTACTGCTAGGTATGTGATGTCCAAATTCATGATTACGGAGAATAATGATCTTTCCTCTGCTTCACAGGAGCCTTCGGGTCTTTTCCGTCAGTTCCGAGTGTCCTTGAAGGCATCACGCTAAACTGATCCTCCCACTCGAACTATTGTTTAGGCTGTTTGGAGTGACGATTGCACAAACAATTTGGTATTTTCGCCGATATCCTGAAGACTCGACGACGTTGAAATACTTTGTGAGTGCCGTAATAAAAAGGCATTATCACTCAGAGTTCCGAGCTTACGATGAACGTTAGATCGCCTCCCTTTTGTTCGCGTGTGGTCATTCGAGTCGATAGAACGATGCTCACGATGCTTTGTATCTTAGGTTCATCGACGCGATCCAGACGTTCGGGACGGCTGAAGCGTCTATGACCCTATTCCTTCGCCACAAGATTAGCCTGGAATATCCCTTGTGAGTCTTATTAGCCGAGAGTATCTTGAGTAAGTTAATCACTTTGCGCACTAGAGGTATTTTGGTACGTTTCTCTCGTGTACGAAACCACCGATGATGTACCGGTGCCCCCGTTCCAGCTTCACCTCTATTTCACGGTACGTACTCCATGCCTTGACTCAACCTCTTGTCTGATATACTCCATAGACTGCGTCCGTGGCGATCGTACAAGGGTATGCTGCCTATTGCAGAATCCCTTTGCCAATGAACGACTAGCTTGGTTTTTTAGGATATACACATATCGAGTGTGGATTAGTGAGTAGTTCGTTCCTTGTTTTCAAGGCCATAGAGCTCTTCTACTCCTTTCAGTGAGCGAAAAGAATCGACTACTGCTATGCACGTTGGTGAGTTCGTCATTGCTTTCGCACTTATTTAACATAATTGTTACCCTCACGGTCTAGATACTTCTGATGACTTGTCAACTGGGTGCGTATTTATGTTCGTCTCATACAGAATCACTAGTGACTCGGCTTCCAGTGGCTGGAATAGGTATTAACACAACTTGCCTCGTCTTTCTTGACCACTAACCCACTACTTGTTTACAGCTTTTGATATCCTTCAGTATGATCCCATATTTCGTTGGTTGATCCGCTGATCTCTCATCATTTTTCCCGAAATAGAGAAGTCCATGGGGATGCTGGTCATCTCCACATACGTGTAAATGATGTGAGCTGTCATTCCGCTCTCCGCCTTCTGTTTTGGTCGCTTAACACGATCCAGATATTTGGTGCATTATCTATGGGGAGCAGGATGGCGTGCGACATTCTGATCTCCATATCCCTTGTGTATTACTTAAACCAATGGCGTTCTGAGGTCAGAAGGTACGCCTCAGTATGGTGTCCATTTGATCGCCGAAGTCAACAGTTTCATCCTAAGGACCGAGAATGTAATTGACAGAATCATTGTCTACGTCGTCGGCGTCGGCGTAGTTACCAGGTACGCAACCAAGGCTTCACCTGTTGTCTCCCGAATTCTGACCCCTTGGCAGTGCTTTCTCTGCATTGGTATTCATCACGGTCCGCTCGCCCCCGCCCCACCCCTCTTTCGCTCTAACTTTCATCTTAGTGGCTAGCCCTACCCCACCAATTTCTTTTCATGCTGTTCTACAGCATTCTCAGCAAACGCCAGTAACCCCCCTCTGCTCCTAACTCATGACTCAATCCGCTGACATACATTACAGTATACGTCAACTCACTCCTTGTCACGTATGTATATCAATCTTTACTCCATCGCCGAGTGTTGATCTCAACGCTACTAGATTAAATGCGAGAGCTAGTCTCCGAAATAAGAACAACGAGTCGGAATACGAAGAATTCGAATAAATTCATGATCAAGTTGACCTTGATTCCAGAAGCGCATTCGACAAGCAGCGCATTAGTGTTGATGTGTGTACCTTATCCACAGCTTCTGTACCGTTCTGCCACAGGCTATTTGTGCTCGACCGGGAAAGCTATATTGATTATTTGGTATCATGGCACCAACAACACTCGTCTCGCTGAAAGCTTGCTTCGAACCGGTGGAACGTCACGACGCTGTTTCTGCCCCTTCAGCGTAAAGGTTGCTAAAACGCTAGGATTGCGGAGATATTCGAGTCATAGGCCCTGGTGAAGGAGTACCCGCCGCTATCCAACGTACCAAAACTGACGATTTATAGAAAGGCTGCACAGGAACACTCCTACTTGGCCGAATCACGTCAAGACGTCTGATAGGTCAAGACTTCAGTTGAACAATGAGAGGAAAGGCGGCGGTGCGTCGCTTCGCATCGCGACAAGGAACCACTGATTGCCTTCCGATCTGGGGGGTATACCGATAGTCACCAGTGACATTGCCTTCAACTGCGCAAACAAGCGGCAGACGCTTGAATTATACATGGTTGTCCGAATAACGCGGGGAAGAAGGGAGCAAGAACTGAGGCTATTAAAGATACCATGGGACAAGTTCAATCATAAGCACTCGCCATGTCCCTAAGGCCTAAAAGTCCGCCCGTCATGGTGATCGCATCACATTGAAGGCAGACTGTTGCCCTCGAGGCCAGTTGCGGAGCAAGGCGCACATATTTCTGATTCCGTTGAGCCTTTGAGGTACCGCTTAATAAACCTCTATGATTGCGCACTGTGTTGCCTTGTACGCATCGTAGCAACAGAACCGAGAATGTAATTGACCAAATCATTGTCTACGTTGTTGGCGTCGGCGTAGTCACTAGGTACGCGGCTCGGGCTTAGCACTGCAAACCGAGTAGTATTGACCTCTTGGCAGTGTCTTCTCTTCGTCAATATTCATCACAGTCTGCTCACCTCCATTCCCATTTCTCCTTCGCTCTAACCTCTATCTTAGTGGCTAGCCCTGCCCCATCAATTTCTTTTCATGGTGTTCTTCAGCATCCACAGCAAATGTTAGTGCTACTCCCTCCATTCTTAACTCACGACTCAAATATGTGCATCTACAGTGCATGTCAAGTCATTCCTAGTCACGTACGTATTGCCATTCATCACCATTACGTGGTTCTAATACCAGAGCCAGTTCAAACGCTCGAAGTGGGCCAAGAAACAAGGACAACTCCAGGTCGGAATATGAAGATCTTGAATTAATCCATACAACAAAGTTGAGTTGATCTTGACTTTGGACAGCGACATCTTACGATGGAATCCGGAACATTGTCACGAGGAAACATCGTAATGAAAAACAGAGTAGAAGTAATAGCACGAGTACACAATTAAGAGACCTGGAAAAACTACTAACACGAATGAAGGACACATACCAAAGGATGCCGGAAATAAACGGAACAAGAGTACAGACGTCGACGAGCTAATCACTCAGTTGCCTCCCATCTCAGATTTTGGGGTTCAAGTACAGCGGCCACTTCGGGTGTTTGATCCAGAAGGGAGAACAGACTCCTCGAGGTGAAAACAGCCGTGGCCAATTGCCCAAGGTCTTGCATACGGTCGATGGCGCTGATACATGCTTTATGGAACTGTTCCCTTTCCGCCTGGAGCCATACCTGATGGTGCAGTTCTACGTGGCAAACACTCGCTCCAACCCTCAACGATTCGATGGAAGGAAGAACCTGATAAAAGGGACATATTTAGTAGGCGCCTGGGTGGACGGGGTTACAACCATACCTGATTGCCGTCAAGGATCTGAGGATGCGGGCCATCAGTGACCGTGATGACGAGCGTGTTGAGGTGCTTGAATGTCGAACGTATGTCCTGATAGAGTTCTTCCGTCGGACGGTGAACGCGTAGTTCGAGGTGCTCCAAGTTACGCCATTCCTCCGCAGATAATTGTATTGCTTCTCGGATCTCTGCAACGTCGCAACCGCCGTCAGCTTCGTTGCCATATAGATTGAGGCGCTTCAAGTGCTTTGCGGCAGCGTAGTGCTTAACAGCGCTGATGGGCCCGTGAAACGATTGAAGCGCAGGTAGGAAAGAAGAAGGGATGATAGGGAGATCGTTGGCCGCGTTGGGCAGTATACGGAGGTCTTGGACGCGTGTGAGGCAGGACATCAACCCGCACCATTCGATATACATCCCTGGAGGAAAGGAGATGCTGAGCTGCCGCACGAATGTCAACCGCTTCCCAAACGATAGGTTCGACAGGAAAACACGACAGACGTGCAAGGGTTCCAGGCGAAGAGTCCGAACATCTTCCCAATTTACCGCGCCCAACCAAGGCTTTGGGTTGTCAGTTTCTGCCCATTTATGAGTGAACGCCAAGGCCTTCGCAGTGATGCGCCCGTTAATCAACTGCGCGTCGAAATGGGTGGTACACCCCTCCAGCGAGATCAACTCCCAATGGCGCCTCTGAAAAGTCCTGATAACGGACTCGTCGACTAGCGTGGCGTGGCAGAATACACTCTCGAGTTTCGGGAAGACCCGGAATGATTCTTCGATGGCAGTTTTGTTTTTTGGGGAGCCGAAGATGTACAGGTCCTCAACAGCTGTTGGATGATGCGTGCGCGCGAACGAAACACGGTCTTCCATCTCTCTTTCGTTCTGCCAAGCAAGGAGTGTTGTCTGCGTCTCTTCGGCGCAGGGAAATGGCGGGGCACCATTGCTTGGAGGTGTGGGGGTAGCCCGATAATCGAGCAACATCTGCGACGGCTTTGATTGTAAACGGGGCTCCTTGGGCGTGGACTCTATCCCAGTCGAGGGGGGAGCTCTTGAATGAGGCGAGCGGGAACGCGAGCGGGATGAGGGTTTGGAGGGACGATTTGGCACACTCTCGTTCCACGTGAACTGGGCGATGGAAGGCTCGAGAGTTGGGATGTCCTCTGTGAGGGGCAACTCGCGAGCATCCAGATAGGGAGTCGAATCTTGTATGGTCGTTAACGCCGTCTGATATGAGGAAGCAGAACTTGCTGGCGAGGGGGGACGAAGCGGGGGATCTGTGCAGGAATGACCAACGGGACATATTTGCGGGATACCAACCAAAGTCTGCCACTGATCGCTACCTTTTCTCCTGCCCGTGTTTGCCTTGCTATTGCTGGTGACGAAGCTTGCTCCAATACTATGGGCAGATACGGCGCGCGGTCTGATGTCAGGCTGTGATACTGGATGAAAGGTGTAAGAATTTGATCCAGAGTTGACGGACGTGCTCACCAGATAGTAGAGTCGGAGGAGGCTTTCTTCGCGGAGAGAGGTGGGGGCACGCTTGGCTCAGCCCCGGTGAACCTGCTTCGCGCAGTCCGTTATAATCTATGCGTTAAAGTTCAAGATCGTAATATGTGACGCACGGGTGGACGACATACGGGATACAGAGGCCTTAATCTGCTCTGCGGGGCTGGACTTGGACAATGGGGTCTTGTATGATTGTACCATCTTGGATTATACAGAGAAATGGAATCAGCTAGCCACGGCGAACACGGTTAATGCGACGTCGTTGCCCAATGATAGCACATACCAACGCAAGTCCAAGAATGCTATATAACCGGTATACGCAGGGGTTGAAGTCGGGTCTGAAGCCGGCGGTGCGGTTGAAAGTAGAATTGGATGCGGTATGAAGTGCTACGAAGAAAGAGAGCTCGATTAAGCAATCATAAAGGTCATTATGCGATGCAGCGCTTACCGAGGTAATTCAAAGATCAAGCTCGCTGAACGCGTTTGGGAGGCTAAACCGTCGAGGATAGCTGGTGATGGTGTTCGTGTTGTGATGGTAGTGAATGAAGGAGAGCATCGCAGCATCCATTCTTTTATACGACTTGAGCGAGCAAAGCGCTGTGGCATCTCCAGTGGCCTTTGAACGCGTCGCGTACTTGCCTTGATGGATGTCTGCCTTTGAATTTTTGCGAATTCCGATTGGTTCGTTCGCGTTCACAGCGCGTTGTTGTCTAGTGTTTGGAAGGCGTGGCTTCATCTTTTCAACCCTTGGGTCTTGCTGTGTCGAACATTGCAAGGTCGAGTCCAAACAAAGGAAGGGCTAAACGATATATCGTGTTGTCGAAGGTTGGACGAAGTGGAAGAGAGGAATAAAGCATAGCAAGAGCGTAGTCTATGGTAATAAAGCATGAGCGGCCCTGGATATCCTTTGGACAAAGGAAGCACTTACTAGTTTTGGCATAAGGCCACGGTGAGTCGACTGTCGGGGTACGCATATGAAAAGCAACAGACAAGACTTGAATGAGCCTCGACTCTGCGGGAGAGCAAAGAGTTACAGGACGGCATGCATAATTACGACTTCAGGGTGGTGATTTCGACTACATTCAATGCTGCATGTTCCCTGTGGCCCGGCCGCCTAGAAATGGAGAACTCCTGGGCATTTGGTGGGCTCCTGGCGAAAATCGAAGCAGTCATATACATCTAAATACCCCGAGTCAGCGACTTGTAGCGAAATCGCGAACGAGTGCAAACCTTGTCTAGGGAATGATATAATTTGGTGACGACAGCACTCCCGGTAGCAAATCAAGGGCTTGGTCAATAGCACGACATACGCGTCGCAACCAGTCCCTCAGATTTTATTTTGAATCGTTCGTAGAGATTTGATATGTCCTTGAAACACAGGTCAATGATAGATGAGCAATCTCCATCACATTTCCAGGGCGCGCCATTATTGCAGTAACTTGGGACATTGTGCAGAAAACGGAAGTGGTGACTGCGTTCAACTTGCGACCGTCAGTCCGTTATGGGTCCGCGGTCACGTGGCGGACCTGATCTGTGGCTCAGATTCCTTTCCAACTCGAATGTTTTACTACGGCTGTGCATCACGCTGCGCAAGCAGCATCAACGCCAATGGCCCTCTCAGTTGAGACCTCTAGTATATCTTGGCGATTGGTGACGAAAGGAAAGTAAGGTATGAGACTGCTCGGACGCTAGGCGCACCTTGATTGTTGCAGTGTGCCGACTCTCTTTGGTTCGCTGAGGTCGGGGGCAGGTCTGGCTACAGTGACGGTGGATGGGTCTCGACAAGCGCTACATCAGGCAGTAATGGGGCCCCAGGAAGGCCTATAGTACAAGCGTAAGTACTAATCTATTCGGAAACGCGAAGGGCGTAAACGCTGACGATTCCTTTCTCCGCTTCACGAAATTGACCGCCGCGTAATTGTATGCTTCAGAATTCAAAGCCTAGAACAAGTACTTTATGTTTATGGGCCGACAGAATCAAGAGTGCCGGTCTGATCTAGGCCAGCAAAAGCACAAATGTCTCCGTTGCGCAGTGGCGTTCGAGTTCTGGTGAAATCTATCAAACATCTCAGCGGAAGAAAGTAGAACGTGCGAAGCCATTTGCAGACTGGCCTTGTTTGAGAACCAATTGTAGACAAATATTTTCCTTGAATACCGACCGGGTGCCACCAGCAGTTTTCTTCAGCTGGGATTGATGAGTACGCCGTACAAACTGGCAAACACTGAAAGTTATGCGCACCCCTTGATGCAACAACCTTCTCCTTCGCTTCATTGCGCTGTATCATCAATGCATCGCCATTGAACTCTGTGATTCAAGCGGACACCCGAGTTTACGCACATCCCTAGCCGTAGGACCAAGACAGGTTGCGCTCCGTCGTCGTCGGCAGCGGTGTGGAGCTGCTACAACCTTGAGCATATCCATGAGAAATGATCCAATGCATCTATCGCTGGTGTATCAGGCGATGGTGCATGTCTCCGGTATTTTTAGCTCGAGTTTCTGGGACCGGACTCTCGAGGGAATTTCCAAAGATAGATCATAGACACTGTGCGATTCCGGAGATATAGGCACCGCATCAGAGAACAAGAACGCAAAGTGACGCCACTTGGTCAGATGGTGCCCGTTCATTTTTTGCGGAGAATGAGAGTCCGCGAGCCCGGAGGCAGTTCTATCAACGCAGGGAGTCAGCGCAAGTCGGAAGAACATCGTCAGGCGAACCGTAAGCTGCCTCAACCCCATGTAGTTTTCAACTCCATCGAGTTCCATCAGGAGGTCATGGGAGCGCCTGATCCCGAGAATCTGCGGATCTTCACTCCGCTGGCTGCTGTTGGCAACGCTGGAAGCATACTGTAGGATCTTGACAACAGAGCTGTTTGTCGCAACAAATCAACACTGATGCAGATGCTTGACGAACAGCACTGCCGCTGTACCATCATCCGTATCGCGCCCAATTACAATCAGAATGCCAATACTCCGGAGTTTTTCTTCCCATTCTGAGCTATGCCCTGTGAAAACCCAGGCCGAAGCGAGCGAGAAGGCAAATTCAGCGGGGGCGATGAGAGGACAATCGAAGACGAATGCCGCAAATAAAGGCCTTTATGTCGGCTTCCAGGTGAAAATGGCAGAATTCCAAGGCAGCCATCTGACCATGGACGTTTGAGAAAGACGTCGATCATCGCTAAGGCGAGGCCACAGCATGATTAGTCAGCAGCATGTGAGAGGTACCTTACCTTTCGTTTGGGCGTTTGAGTTCAAATCTCCACTCGATCCACAACCACCATGTCCACCTCATCCTCGCCAAATTGTGAGTACTCATCGTTGTAGACGGCGTGCTTGCCTCAAATTCTGATGAAAATGTTGCTTTTAACAGCGAACTCACCCTCAACGACTCTAGTGTCGCCAATGGAACTCAGACACATGACTTCGAATCCCAATGTTCACGGTCAAAGCAGCCATAAAGCTTCGAACCGCCATTCTCAGCTTCTCCAAGCGTCTACAGGAAGATTGGGCTCGAAGTCGCCCGTCTCGATACCGTCGTCGCCAACCTCAGTGTACGTACGCCTTTTCTCCCACTTTCTGCCGTGTTCTCATCAAAGGATGCCACCAGACATTCGTCCTCATCGGCAATATTCGAGCGTGATATTGAACCCATTCCTTGTCCTTCACCGCCTCATGCCCACCATCCCCCAAACCCTCATCGGATCCCGCGTTCAAAAACTACGGAGACAATAGAACAGTCCGTGCCTTCCGTGCTCGATGCTGCGGCCTCGATCCTAGCATCGTCATCACCTGACGATGAAGACCAGATATCGGTCGTGGCGCCAGCAACGAACAGAGATACCATGCGAAGCAGCGGGTTTGCCAGCCCAATTGGAAGCTTCAGATCAAGAAGTCCGAGCCCGATAGGCAGTCCCGGGAATCGCGCGAGTCTCCTCCTCAGTCTTCCTCAAGTCAACCCGCATTCCCCGTCCGTTGTTGTACCGTTGTCAGCGGCCGCGCAGACCGCCAGCCCGGCCTTATCGACTGCCACATCTCCACAACAAAGCAGCCCAATCGCTGTGCCAAGGCCACTCATTCAAACTCAATTACCATCCAACCAAAGCACCACCCCTGCAATTGTCACACCGACGTCAGCGTACTTTTCAACATCATCATCAGTGGACACTACCGAGTCTTCTCCGACAACTACCACCCGTGAGCACCCAGGCCAAGCGTTGCCGACGCAATCGCCATCCGGATCTCCCCCTACTCACCCCATCACGCACTCGCCACAGCGACGTTCGCCGTCGACCAGTTCTATCCTGCAATCGAATGGGGCTGCTAACTCTCCCACCTCATTCGCATCTTCTCACCCTCCGTCGCCGACGCACAAGGCAAACAAGCGCTTGTCCTTTATGTCATACTCGGACCTACTCTCGTCCACTCCAGCACTTGCCTTCCCTCTTTCAGCCTTGACCACTTCCGCTTCGTCGGTGGAGCCTCCCCCTCATATCCCCTCTGTGTCTGGATTCACTCAGACAGCGAGCGCAGCAGCAAGCTTGAGGGACTTTGCTCTCGGCCCGGGCGGCGGTAACGTTAGAGACAGAGATAGCATCGCGCTGCTGGATGATGTTGGTGGGGAGTGGGAACGCGAAGGCATGGGTCAAGGGTTGGAGGAACGGCTGGAGGCACTTATGTCTCTCCAGCAAAGCCCGATCGGTGCAACGTAAACATTTTCCCTAAATTTATCAACTTCAATGCTTCTTTTACCATCTCCCCTCCCCTTTGACTCCTTTCGTCCCCGTTGTTACCGCCAGCAACACTATATCTACAGATTCCTCCAAGGATACAATCGAACTATTTACTCGTATGCTCTTTTACTTTTGGTGATCTTGGACCTACCTTATCTATTCCGTTAATTTCCTGGGCTTCTTTACTTGAATCTTGCGACATGCTTGCTCTGTCCACACCGGCTTGCTCCTTCCCCTCCCTCCCTCCGTCTCCCGTTTTTCTCACTTTATCTTGGTATTTCATGCTTTCCCAGAGGACCGGAAGTTGCTTCTGCTGTTATAACCATCAGACATCCAAACATACAGACCCTCCCGGATCCCCATAACAAACATCCAGTATTCCATTCAATATTCAGTAACGAGGATCTTATCACGATGGCGAGGCTGCAGATTCTTTTGTCAATTATGTATGATTCCGATTCCCGCTTTTCGTGTATACCACATGTCTGCATACCTGCTTTACTTATGATCTTCATTATTGCAATAACGTGTTGCGTAGGAATCAGAGCCGCTGTGTTGAAGCGCAAGGATATGATCGTGAAGAGTATTTAGGCTATTATTAAGTTGGGTGAAGTGATACCGTCGCCTCGAACCTGACCTGGGTTAGTTTGCTTCTCCTCGATTTGTGGGGCGTAGGTATTCTTCATGAGAAGCCCGCGATCAAGCCTCTGCACAAAGTAGATTAGCTGTGATATCCGAGTAAAAGCTAGGGTTTTGAACTAACTTTCAAGGACGAGGACGAACGCCTCCTCCAATGGGCGGTGGGTTAACAATAACCCCGCCTCCGATAGGAGGGGGATTGACGACAGCTCCACCTCCAATTGGAGTGGGTGGTTGGATGGTAGCGCCTCCCCCGATGGGCGGTGGATTGACGCTTGCTCCGCCTCCAATGGGAGTAGGGGGTTGAATGGTAGCGCCTCCTCCAATGGGCGGGTTAACGCTAGCTCCGCCTCCGATAGGTGGAGGGTTGACGATGACCCCGCCCCCAATAGGCGGTGGGTTGACTCTAATTGGCGGCTGAGCGACGACAGCACCTCCTCCGATAGGTGGGTGAATCTAGAAAATCGATAGCGACATATCAGCCATGAAAATACCTCGTCAGTTCAGTATGGTCGAGGGACATACCTTCGCAGGGAGAGCTGCGACCTGGGAGATAGCCACGAGCGAAATGAGCAGCGAAACGAAGAACTTCATCTTGACTCAGTCCACAGCGGTCGGTTCGACTACGCGTCAAAGACAAGAGACGCAGGTGAGTATTTAAGCCCTGGTTTTATGAATGCCGCAATGGGGCTACACCATGGTGCTGATTGCCTACGAGCACATATGTTTTTCAAGTTTGGTTATTCGAAAGGCTCGGAGGTCATTCCTCGAGCAAACACGGTGCTCGGTCGCCCTCGCGTCTTCCAGGCTTTGGATGATGTCGAAGCTGGCACCCCGGAGAAACTCGTGCTCTGCAATGTAGAACCCGAGTACGACGATTAGCATTGCAATCCAGGCGCGAACCAGATGCGCGAACTGGGGAGGTTCCCTAAGGCCTCTGATTCCCCGCTTACAGTTGAAGCACGCTGACGCTGACGCATCTGCTTCCCGTCTCAGTGTACGACGAGAAGAACATCATTTTGAGATCGGTCAACAAAACACACGTCGGTTTTTTGCGTGCCTGTTTTCGCCGCAAATCAATAGTGGGAGATCCACCCGTGTGCGAGGCACTCGGGTCGAACGTGGCCTAAAAAAGAGCTCGACAGCGAAATCATCGACGGCGGTTTCGCCTGTCACGGTGTTGCCAGGCTGCTCTAGTGGGAGGGAAGTGTTTGCGTTGGCTTGGCACGAATACGGCGGCAAACAACCAACATGGTTCTCACTTACACCATGCTGCAGAGGGTCGGCCCATGACCGGTGATATGGCCCATTAACCAGCACTCGAGTCTCGCCCGAGCGTGCATATGGCCCGAAAATCACGTTTGAATAAAGAAATTCGTGGAAGGTCTACCCCCAAAGTGCTAGTCGGAGAAAACATTCAGATCGACGACTCGACATTCAAGCAAGCTTGCGGGTATGCATCTAGGATTGTTTGTTATGAATAGTTTCATTAAATCGTTACATTTTCATTAGCTACGTGTCGTCTATGGACTTAGCGTTGGTCTGTCGGTCTGTCGAATAGCTGGGCGGATGGCCTCCACCACACCGAATCGAGTAGTACTGCACATGCAGAAAGCAGGATTGCAGATCCACCTTATGGTGTTACTCTAATCCGGTGAGTCAAGGAGTTGTGCTTATGGAGGGCTGTCCTGACTTTGATATAAGATCGCTAGCCCAAAATAACCCGAGTGCGACTCGGAGATTTGTCTCATTGCTAAAGCGGCCATGAAGATCTCTGTCGGATTGTTCGCCTCTGCGTTGTTTGTTGTGCAAGTAGCTTGCGCACCTGCAGAAGGCAATAATGCTACGAATGTAGATAATTCGGTTTGTCTACCGAGTCCTCCTTGCTCTTCCTTGCTGACGTTCCGTCAAACTCTTTTAGGACAAAATCCCCGTCCCATGCCCCGATGAACGTCGATCGGTCCACTTGCTGCGCGGGTACAGTCCTTCTGCTAGCGATAACTTCTACACCACCGACGCCAGCGAGATGGCCAACGCCATCAACAATTTCGGCTACATAGACCAAGGCTATGCTGCACGAATCTACCCTAACCAAGAGCGATATACATCCCCCATCTACCGTCTCTGGAACTCTCATATCGGAGACCACTTCTACACCACCAACAGGGACGAAGTGGACGATTATATTCGGCGCCACTATACCTATGAGAATACGCCGGGTTTCATTTTCTCAACTCAAATCTGCAAAAGCGTCCCTATGTATCGCCTGCACAATGTTCAGCAAACCGATCACTTCTATACGACTTCGGCGAAGGACCGCTTTTATTACGTTCAGAATTTGGGATATCAGTACGAGGGAATAATTGGATATGTCTTGCCTGTATAAGAGTTTGAGAGTACGTGCTCTCTTCGTCCACTGTTTTCTTTCTAATGACTGCTCCTAGCCGGTAATCTTAAGCCAAGATATGAAACTCGTATGTATACCGACAATATTGGACCGATCGTTATGATCACCGAGATACGCATCCCGAAAATCCATTGAACCTTGGTACAACACTTTGTTCTATATTTTTGTCGCTTCCGTGAAGCTGAGCCTACTGTACAAGTTGTGGTTGCCGCTGATCTTCGTGGTTTACAGATATTGCCCATGAAGTGCTTTTGACTTGGTTTTGGCACACGTTGTGAAGGCGTTTTCCCTCCGCCTCGCGTTGATGGGGTGGTCTCCTAGCCACAACCACTAGCCTGCTCTCCCTTCACCCCTTCACAGACTCCGCCCGGACGCCGAGTTCCTCCAGGAATGCCTGAATTTAGTCTCCCTTGTATTAATACTTTGGGCGGCTAACAGCTAGCACCCAGTAGTCGGCCGCTGCTCTTTGATGGCTTTCTCTCTACTCTTTGCCCGTCTATGCCACACTCGCCGCTATTCATGTCCCAAATTCACCCTCGCTGAGGCCACCGCGCGATGGATAAGAAGAGGGAAGCGCAAGTGAGTCCCCCAACCCTCTCAGCCTTCACCGTACACCTCGACAGTGTCGAAGTAATTACCTATTCACCCAACTATCCCCAGCTCAACGTGAAGGATGTCCTACCCTTCTTACCCCCCGTTTGCCAGCACGTCTACCCCCTTTGGAGTCTACATCACGTATACTCGTCGACCCTCCCCCAAGAATAGGATCCTTGCCGCTCAGCACGTCTGGGAAGCGACATCGAGTGAGTTGCTCAACGACCTGGGGCTTCATAGTAACACTAGATTGCCCCCGTTTTGCTAGACAATGTTGTTATCGCTACCTTGATCGTGGACGACAGTGTGGTTCGCGCCAGCAACAAGGGGACGGGAGCGGTCGTGGACTGCAAGTTTGTCCTCTACTATCTGCAGCAGTCCACGGAGCAGCGAATCACCATACGCTTCTCGAAGCAAGTTTGCAAATTGACCGGCCTCAATATCGAGCGGATTGTGGAGCGTAACGCGGGTACTGGGGAAGTGCTTCGTGTTGTGACCAAGAGATACGTTCGCAAGCTCCTTCGCTTCGCGCTCTGACTGAACGCGTCGAATGTCATCGCCATCCCTGTTGCATGTACTACTACCAGATCCCCTTAAACAGTCTTTTCCCCTGATGTTTGTCGCGAAAGAAATCGAGAATATATGACCAGTGTTGATAAAATGGATCCGCTTCCACCCGGGCGCAAGACTCTGACCGATTTATCTCAAGCTCAAGCCTAGGGCCTTGGTGGATATCGTCTTCAGCCAGTCAGAAACGCCCCTGACCATCCCCTGGCGCTCGACAGAGCCCTCCCTCATAAGCCTCATTAATCATTGCTCAAACTAAAACACCATTATGTATTACTCTCAACTCCTCCACAATCCTTGCATGTCAGGTCCCTTTCTAGTGCGACGTAGTCAGCCTTAAACCACGCCCCACGTACGAATCAACGGGCCAAGTGTTTGCGCCCGCCCGATGCGGTTCATGCCAGTGATCGTTTTCTCTAATTCGAGCGACTAGCTAGGGGCCGTACCACGTCACTTTATTGGCCATGCCTGCTACCACAACCATTCTGTCGAACGTTCTGTCTGCGGATATTTGCTCGAGCGCACATATAACTGGAAAGCCGGTACCAATTCCCGTGGCGTTTGGGGGATTGTTCTAATTTCTTCCAATCGACGCCATCCAAGCAAGTTCGCCGGTATGTGATCACATCGTGGTAAACTCAATATTGAAGCCAGTCTAGTTAACTGCTTGTCCTTGCTTGTCACGCAACGATCAATCCTCCGGTCCCTTATCTCTCAAAGATTCCAAATTACATGCATACATTTGAGCACCTGCCATGTGGGTAATCTACTCCATCTCCCCGTCCAGATCCAAGGGAGTGGCTGCCTACATCTACATTAGTGAGCTGCGACGGTGTTCAAGCCGTTCCTTTTGGGACTTACTCGGCATGGAGGGTTGCACCTTTCCCAATGGGAATGTGGGGCTCTACGGTCGCGCCTTGCCCCAATGGGGGGCGGTGGGGTGCTCTATCGTTGCACCTTCTCCAATGGGAGGACTGTAGGCTGCACCTTCACCATCAGGCGTGTTCCAGAAGGTTGATAGCATTCATGGCTCGAAACACGACCTAGGCACTCTAGAGAGTGCACCTTAGACGGGGTCAAAATGCTCATGTAGACGGAAGTTGGGGGGGAGTTGTATTCTTGACGGTCGGTTGGTACATCTTTCATACTTGTAATGGAAGCAAGTCATCACACAACCATGCTGTCTGGACTCGATCCTATTGATAAGCACTCGCTCGGGCGTATATATGGCTACAGATTCACGTTGAGTAGAATAGCTCCTCCGAAGTTTATCTTGTGGTATCTCATGGCACCAGAACTCACGCGGTAGGTGTCTATCCCTTACGTTCTTGAGTTTCGTCCCCATAAAAAATTGGGTATCTTGGCGAACGATTAAAATGGATGTCTCCTGTCCCGCCCTGACCCCTAAGCGTAGTCCTTTTTACCACGGATCACGTTTCTTCGAACCCGACGTTCGCGGTGTTTTCCCGCGCGGGACATACGACGGCCTCTAACGGAGTATGACATTCTTCTCTGCTTCGGTGATTCCACATCAACGGCTTCCCTCCAACCAACTAACAACTGTCCCCATACACACGCCCTGATCAAGGCCTTTCCCACTAATGTCGTCCATTCGCATCACTTGGGAGGCACGCAGAGAGCTCACGCTATTGTCCTTTGGGCCGAATCTTGTAAGATATGGTGATGCAGAGACGAAGACACGGACTTACCGAACACGCGGCCAACGATTGCTACATTTTACTTCATCGAAGTGGACCACTGATATACATCAGACTATAACTACGGGGACTCGATCCGCTTGTATCAAGCACAAAGATTACCGGCGCTGAGAATCTTTGCCAAGTTATATATCCCTTTGCCTTGTTGGAGCTCGGTCTGCTCAAACGGTTGCCAACTGGATACGAAACCCGAACAGTATTTGTATGTATCAGCTAACATGAGTTGCGCTATATGGAATACAGCTTCTTGTCATGCCCGAATAACGAGTACGAGAATTGGTCATGAAGCTCTGGAGATGCATCCAGAACCCCTCAATCACCGACGTAACCTGGTATCGTGCTTAAAGTTCCTGAACATCACAGATCCCATCAGCGCCATATGACCGCTCTTCTCGACACAGTCGTTTATATAACTTCACGCGAAACTAGCCGAACACGTTGCCACTCTTCGTCCATGTCTACTCCACCACCCCCGTTGGTATTCGCCCAGACGCTCTTCCCGCTGTTGTTAGGTGCATTCTCGCAGTTTCGTTTGCTGATAGAGCCTCATATCTTTATTCACTAGGCTCTGCTTTGGCATGCCCGTGCGCTAACAACTTGCCGTGTCGACTGACGGAGGTTGAATTCTATTCTTAGACTGTACGGTGTCGCACTTGCGCAAGCCATATCATACTTTCGCAATTATCTTCGCGACCCGACGTTCGTGAAGTATTCTGTAAGCACCGACCCTGAAGGCTCTACACTGAGCTTATCCGCCTTTTAGGTTGCTTTGTTGCTGTCAGTTCAACAACTCTCATTTGATGCATCATCTAAAATGGCAGCAGCTTGATCGACGGCGCCCACACATTCAGCCTAGCGGACGCGATCGTAGTCTGGTATCTTCGAGCTGCGCCTAGCACCCAGTACCCTCCGTGAGTTCCATGTGGCCGTCCACTGTCCACTCTGTTGATGCAGCCCCTTGAAGCGGCCTCCCTGTAAGCTCCCAAAGACTCGAGCAGAATCCAGGCTCACTTCTTTCTCGCTACAGATAAGCCTGTTCTTCTCAGTAAGATCTTTCTTTCTTTGCGCTCGCAGTTGATCTAAACATCACAGTATGTGACCACTGGTTTTGTCCAGAGGTGAGACTTCGACGTGGCCATTCTATTGCTGCGTTTCTCACGCCGAACTATCCAGCGCATTCACCTTGCGGGTATGGATATGTGAGCCGTGCCTCCAATAACATGGGTGGCAGATCCTTCAATATTGACTTGAAAACTAGTGAGCGGCAAGAATTGGTTGGTCACCTCTATTCTGGTGAGCACTCTAATGTTCTGAAATTGCCAGCGGCTTACTCCGACTATAGGCATTCTTTGTCGTAGCTCAGCTTGGTACGTGATGAATCCCCGTCATATGGCATGCGGATGACGAGCCTGACCTAGTCGGCGGATTGGGGATGGCGGCGAGCCAGTACGTATGGCGCTTGAACCTCGCCGGCGTTGGTTGACCCTTCATATCTAGACAAATCAATGGAGAAGTCTCCAGCGTCCTTGACGTCAACAGCAAGGTGAATATCAATTACGCTCGCCGAGACTTGTGCTTCATCTACGCCATAGGCATTTGGATCCTTGGAGTTAATCAGTGCGATGATATGCGACATCATGATCTCCTCCTCGCTCGTGTACTTCCTCCACAAAAATCGGTCCGGAATCAAAACGTACGCTTGAAATCCTTGTGCTTAGATGAAGCTAAACTTGTTGTTTCATCCTAGAACCGAGAGTCTGATCGACAAGTTGATCATTTACTTCATCGGCATCGGCACCCTCTCTAGGTAAGGCATTGGTTTGTGGTCTACGAATGGTCAATTTGTGATGGTTCTACAGCGTTTTCGCACTGCTCAACATGGTTACGGTGAGTAAAATTTTCCTCGATCGGGGCATGAACTCACGCATACATTCTGTTTTAAGTGGTGGGCAATGCCTGACAAACTTGTTTTCACAACATTCCACAGCATTATCAGCAAACGTTAGTCGTTCCTCCGACAGCCTTCCCTTCTCAAACTCACCTTCCGACACATCTATCTCAGTCTACGTCAACTCGTTGCTCGTCACGTATGTACTCAATCTTGCCAGCGGTGATACACCGCTGATGGATCTTTAGCCTTAACTCTAGGAACCAGCTTCGTCACAACCTCGGCAAGGTTCGGGGAGTTGGTATGTGCTCGTTGCTGTCTCGTGTCCCCGTATCTCATCACTAGCTGTAGATTATACTCACACAGACGATTCTATTGCTCTATCGACATTCGCAGCGGGTGTAAATTAAGAGGGGCATGTACTAAGTATAGGTGTAACAACAGTCCTTGGGTTAGGCGCGTGATTATCCGGGAGAGCCTCGCATCTATTCTCATCGACTTAGAAGTTGCAAGGTCGTACTATCGGTTTGCCCTCAGACTCGCACAGTTTATGCCACGGAGCCTTTTTGGCACCTAGGCTGATTGTGGCTTGATCCGCTCCTTCAGAATGTCAGGATTAGGGGGAGATCAAGAACATCATCATTCGGCACCGCCGCCCTTTGTGCTGTCACTGATATCATTCAGGCCGATCAGGTCGATGCCCAAACCGCCTGAATATGGACACATGCTTTGCCGCACTGGTACAACAATAACCTACAAGAATTAGTCTATGAAGAAATGGAACGCGGGTGTTCCAGCCTAATGGCGCGCTGTTGTACGTGGTTGTCCTCGGCTAATGAACCAACTCAACGGGACGCTGATGTTATGCACTAATCAGAAACTCACAGACCTTGCTTCGGAGCACCTGGATTCCGTTGCTCCAAATACTTCGAGACGTCGAAATAGGCGCTCGGACTGCGCCGCCTCACTGCTTTCCCAAACATAGGTGAGAAAATCGTCCGGAATTTGGACAAATCTTCTGTGATATCAGCCGCATCCCTCATCTTTAAGTGGAAGAAGCCTCAGTCCTTGGGAGCGTAGCATTTTTGTGATCTTCACGACTCACTTCCTCTCATCCTCTCCCCAGTGTCGCGGGTCTGACGTTTCGGTATGCAGGATAGTATTCATGCAAGTCAGCCCATTTTCCAGCTCCACATGTGTTACTGCCCGTCATTGCAGTGCTGAGTCGTCTGTGTGAACTAGGCGCAGGGAAAATGGAAGCTCGCCAGAAGCCATCAACGGCAACAAAATGCAGATATGCAGCCACCACCTGAGCATGAATAGAAGAGCTGTCATGGAGTTTGATAGCAGGATTGCCGGCCATATAATAGCTCGTCCACCTGAGGAAAGTATATACACCTCTGCTTCATCCACTGTCGATCCTGCCTTGTTACGACCACTACACGATGGCGGCGCCCGTACAATTGCCCATATATTCGGTGTTCGCTGAATTAGTCGCACCCTTGGTGATTGGTATGAGAGGTTATTCGTGGTGTTAATATTCACGACCTTGCTGATCCCGGTTCTAGGTACTATGATAGCCTGTCCGTGAGTACCCCTACCCCTCTCATCTTGCTCTGCCGCTCCTTGAGCGCGAATTTGCCCATCATCTGACGTTCTACCCTTAGGTTATTTGGCGTGACCGTGGCCCAAGCCATATGGTATTTTCGCAACTATCCGAATGACCCTAAGCTTCTCAAATACTGGGTGAGTTTGCCACCTCGGAAGGCCGAGATTTACCTGACTCTCGTGGATCGATGAGATCGCAGCCGTGGTGTATGTCAATTACATTTCCAATGACATATCGCTGAGGGAGATGTTGCAGGGTTATCGACGGCGTGCAGACGTTCAGTGTTGTGGAAGCTACGAGGGTCGTATACTTGCGAGGGCGACTGAGCTTGGATTATTCCAAGTAAGTCTTCGATCTCCATCCAGCGAGACCCAGTGATCGAGGCTGGATCGCGCAGCGGAATCATAGTGAGTACGATTGACTTCCCTTCGAAGTCCAAAACTAACATGGAGTTCAAGCTAGACCTCTACGTCTCCGTAAGGTCTCGTCTCCTTTCTATGACCCACTGTTCATTCCTCTCCTAGTGCATAACTGTTACCATGGTTCAACTGTGCGCTGTGCTCCTCGTTGCGGTGGCGTAATGATCGCTAATATTACACTTTCCTTAGTGCGTATGCTTATAGGGTGTGGATAAGTGATGCGAACCATTTATCCTCTAGACTGCACGCTGAGATTCCATCCCCAGTTAGCGGCAAGAACCGACTTGTCACGTCAACCCTGGTGCGCCTCTTTCGATTATACGATTGCACGATCGCGTCTCGTTCTAAATATCGTGCCTAGGCATTTTTAACTTTCTCTCAATTCAGTAAGCTTGCCATTTCAGTCAACTACGGTTACTGTGGACTTTCATAACCTACGAATCATCAGCATCATGCATAGGTATGATCTTAGCCTCCCGCTGCGCTCGTTTTGCTTACTGTTGTATCTGAAGGCATGTCCATTCTACAGTAAGCCCAGAAGCATCGCTTATAGATCCGCCACGTTGAATCTCGTGCTGCTCAGGCAGATCAATGGCGACGTATCCCTCCTGCACAGCGTTATGAGCAACGTATGTTCGAAGCTGTGATGTGTCGCTCGCCTAACCCTGGAGTAATAGGCATTTGGAACGGCCGAATTCGGTAGCACTGTCGCCTGCGACCTTCTGATATCTGCCTCCATGGCTTACTACCTCAACAAAAGACGCTCGGGAATCCGAAGGTCAGAGTAGTCTGGCGCTTGGCGCACAACTCAGATGTTGACAACCGCGTATAGGACAGAGAATTTGGTGGATAGATTGATCGTCTACGTGATTGGCATTCATCAGCAAATCAGTGAACCACCGGCAAGGGTTTATCGACCCTTATAAACGCCATAAACCGTCGAAAGACTTACCGAAGCCAACATGCCGCCCATTTTTGCAACACAAGTTATAAGGGATGTCGCCGGCTTGCAAGAGGCGGTTCCGCGTGACGGACTCCGTCCTTACGGCCAGTTTCGAGCACGCTGGTGGTTTGTGCCACCATCTTGCTTGTGTTCAGCGCGACGTACTAGATCCTTATGGCAGGTTTCGGACACGCTGGTGGTTTGTGCCACCGTCTCGCTGGCAGTACAAGTGCAACATCATACTGATGATTGCTTATATATATGGTCAAATACCCGCATCACGTCGAGGTGTAAACGGCGCGAGAGTATCATAATAAGGACTTACAACAGATGTGTCCACTAGAACAGGAAGTTGCGGCACTTCATGTTGATGTTGAATGTGCACCGTGAGGTGTACTCAACAGTTGTGCACTCAGCCTTGTGAGGGTATAACAAGGCATATCAAATTGGTCAAGAATACGGTACAAAATCAGCGGGATATAGGCTAGTTATAAGATGGACTTTATAATAGACAGTAGGAGATGATAAGTATGTTGGGACTTGGGAAAGGCAATATGTCTAGGTAGCTGGTTGAGCAGTGAGACGAGCGCGTTTGGCTGCACGTTGCGCCTTCAGACGATCAAGCGCAGATTCTTCACCGGGGTTATCGTCGTCGGAGCTGTTGCCGCTGCCGCTGTGAGTAGGGCCCGAGTCGGCACCTGCGCGAGAACCCCAAAGCTCACTGCATTAAACTTCAGTCAATGGCATGTCAAAAAAAGGCGCACTCACTAATTCCAATACCCGATGATTTCCGCCATCCCTTCCTCGTCGTCCTCGAGCGCAGACAGCACTGAACGATAGAAAGCATGATAATCGAATGCAGCACTCCTCTTGTTGGAGCTCTTGTTGCTGCTATCCTTCCGGCCCCACTCGGGCTCCGAAGTGAGCGCGAATCGCACCTAAATACTGAGTACTTAGTGTCTAGCTTGTGGGCATCAGTTATACGTACCTGGACAACGATGTAAGCAATGATGCGGGGGTTGACGGTGGTAATGCCGGCCAAGGCAGCGTTGCCTCGACGACGAGTGGAGAAGCCAGGTCGAGAGACGGCGCAGCTGCGTCCAATGAGAATACATTTGGCTGCCTGGTGTTGTCCTTAGCCTGGATGATGAAAGGGAGAAATATGAAACTCACACGTATGAGGAGATGTCCACGAAACACGCCTTCGAAGAGGTCCTCAGGGTTGTAGGCCTGGTCGTGGGGGTACAGGAACCTCGGAAGGTCTTTGGGTGAGACAATAAGAGCACCATCCTCGTAGGCCTTGAAAGTCCTAATAACTGGCGAGTGAGTGTATATCAACAATGGAAGGAGGTTCGTACTCGTTGGTTGCGGGCTTGTCAATAGGGCACAAGAGAGTAGCGGTGATAGGGTGGCGCCAGCCTCGGTCGTTCTTGTTACCGGTGGATGAAATGGGGGGATCCAGTGTCTGCTTCGTGTCGAAAAGAATGAAACTTGGAAGTCGGTCCTTGAGTGCTGCACAATCGTCGGAGCGTACAGCTTCAATGCCCCTCCCGATCTAAGAAACCATGAGAGCGGATTGAAGAAGGGAGGTGAATGCACCAACATGGCGACAAAGTTCGTGCCGATAGGCAAGGCTTTGAGCAAGGCTGAGCATTGTCTTGCGGAAGTCGGGCATGACACGGCAGCAGGTGCTCCAGTCTTCGAGCATGTAATCCTTGTTTGTCTTTCTAAAGCAGTTCGTGTGCCATCAGACGACACCTTCGTGGGATCAAGCGAGGGACATACTCAGCATCCTCCTCCATGGCATCGTCCATATCAGAATCCACCTCGGAGCGAATACCGACATCAACAACTCGGTCTAGGACTTGGAAGAAATCAATTAGTCGTGCCACATATCGACCATACGACTGATAGGAGGTTTGATGGTTGTCGACGTCTGGTGCGTCCACATTATCATTCTCCTTGTTAGCATTCTTGCCTCGCCTGGATGATATGTGAGTGAATATGATCAGATGGACCAACACGAGCGTACCGTCGCTTGCGCGACTCAAGGGCAAGTTGATCTGCCACAAGTTTCTCGGTGTTGGCAGTGGAAGTAGGGGCCCGAGGTGAAGCACCGTTGCCAGTCCGACTGGTAGCCGCATGAGGAGTGGGCTGAGGGAGGTTCCGGGGAGGGATCATTGATGTCAAAGCGAAAGAGATAGTGGGGGGAGTACTGGACTCAATCAAAGTAACATGAACATGATATAGTCTGGGGTCACATGTTCGTTATCTAACAATCAACAAACCGTTGCAAGCCGTTGCGTGCCTTCAAACTTGAACATTTCAACTTGTCACCGTCCTATTCCCTAGGAATCCCTGTAGGTGAACCCTACCCCTCGGCCGGCACATCCTCACCAAAGACAACGGTGTGCACGGCTCCGACCTTGGAGCTATGCATATGTGTTGGGTACTTGTCTTCGGTGGTCTTGGTTCCCTCACGCACAATACAAACTTGTTTCTTTTACCGACTCACTCAACACTTCATCGATTCATGAAACCCTGAGGTCATGCTGGCAAAATACCGGCCTCCGGAGCCCCTTGATGGTGAGTTGAACCGTCTTTCCTCACACTCCCACAAAGGTGATATTGGTCAATGTCCCCCACAGCAGAAGAACGTGGCTGTCAGCTCAACTGCGACGATGATGAAGGCTACACGGCCGACATTGGTACACCCCCAAATCATGGCAACTTGGCCCTGGACCCCAGTAGTCCTGATGGTCCCATCTCCACTCCCGAAGCAGCAAAATTGCTCATGGATTTCCTTTTCCCCGAACCTCTCGAATTCCCGCTACTTCTTCCTGACGCCCCACGCTTTCCCACACGGACAGCTGCTCACGCCCTAGCAGCACAATACAAAGGCAAACCACTCAACATTTGGGAGGCTGTCCACATAGCGAATCAACAGATGGATGATGAAGTGGTGGAGGGATCAGTGTCTGGGGAGAGTGTGTTGGTTGAGGGCTCGCAGCTCCAGCGTGCTAGGTTGGATAGGCAACCGTGTAATTTGCTGGTACGCATTACTGTCTTCATTCTCTGTATGCCGCTCAATGGACATCAACAGTCTGATCCCGCTCCTCTTGCGAGCCCAAGAATCCCTCGTGCAGCACATGAACTCCTCCGCCGTCACCGTATTCATCATGCTACCAAGATAGGGGTGCATATTCAGCACCTCAAGCATCTTGTCGCAAGTCTCCTCCGAAGACAACACCAGCTTCCAACACCTCATAAGGGTTCTCTCCTGGGGAACGAGATCCGTATAATCAGTAAACGTTGCCGCCGACTCCTCAGGCAGCAACATCGGCTACTTGATTTATCACGTACAAACAGTTGAATGTCGATACATTGTGTGTATATTATGTACAATGCCAGCGCTCAGCCATGGGTTGCGTGGAAAACTCCCTTTTTCTTCCCCCACTACATTGTCAGTACCCTGGCCACGGCTCAGCCTCCACAGCGGGAGCTACTGAGTCGCAGCCAGGTGAAAGCATCAGTCATTTTCAGAAGTTAACACCTATGTTGACTGCGAGTAATCTGGACGCTCGGCCTCTGCAGTGGGAGCACCCGTCGTAACCAGGTGAAAGCATGCAGCCTGGGCTATCTTCGCTTCATACACTCTTCTCTCAGCTTTCAGGTGTGTCGCTTAAGCTGTCTAATAAAGTTTTGCTGACATGCTACCCCAGGCCGACCAATTGCCAATTTTCTGACTCCTGAGAGCCAGGTCCAGCACCGTTATCTTCCGTCATTGCTATCACTATCTTGCTCGTGCCACTTGAGCCTGAAGCTAATGCGCTGGCCTTGGGTCTTTGTCATTTTTTTGGCAATGGTCTATGTGTGCCAACATTGTCAATTCCGAGCTGAAACAAAGCGCAACCTCAACATCCATACCACCAAAGGATGTACGGCACATGCAACTGAGGACGGGAGCTTTGCCAATGCACTCGAACGAGCCAAAGCCAAGAGACACCGTAAACGTGAGCGGGAGAGAGAAGCCAAACGCCAACGACTTGATGGCCCAGCAACTGCTGTTGAAGGTGACGAAGTGTGGGAGGACATTGACGGTAGTGACCCTATTGTGGTAAGTGACCTCTTGCTCTATACTATGATTCATCTACAAAATCTGAGAACTTCTATGTAGGACGAAGTAGCTTCACACACACCAGTCGAGCTACAACCATTGGGCCGCACCCACCGGGCGAAGCGCCCGACCTGGAAGGTTTTACAAGACCAACGGCCCACCATGGTGCCACCCATTCCATCCCAGCTGGGACTTGACAATGCACCAGATGCTGGTGCACCTACAGCATCACCGCCACCTGAGCGAATGCCTCACCGTATCTGGAATCCATTCCGCTCAGCTACCAATATGTTTGGCCTCTTTCGTGAATACATGGACCAGCCAACGCACGACCCAATCTCCCTTTCCCCGACTGACCAACCTGCCGGCCCACAAGACAAAGTACTCCATGAAATAGACACCGCCAACCTTCCTCCGTCTCTTCTGAACAATCTTCCCCTATACTATCCGTTTAGCAATTCAACAGCCTTTGGCTTTTTGCATTGGAAGTGGACTGGCGCAAACTCAAAGTCAGACATAGAAACAGCAAAACTCACCTCTTTTCTCCGCTCGGACGATTTCAATCAGTCAGACATGAAAGCTTTCAAGATAGCTACTGAGACTCGGCGCATCGACCGTTACATTAATGGAGATTTGGACGATGGCTTGCTTGGCCCTCGTTCAATCCTTCCCCACCGTGGGGAATGGAAAGAATCCCCAGTGACCATTACCATTCCGGATGGCAAAGAGCACGAGAAAATGGAGCATCTCCCAAAGTTTGAAGTGCTTGGCCTTCACCATCGCTCGCTCACAGACATCATTCGCAATACGTTATCAGATACCGATAAAAGCCGGTACTTTCACTACGTTCCTTTCAAGCACCATTTCCAGCCTCCCGCTGTTAACGGTATTGAGCCACCGCCTACACGGGTTTACGATGAGATTTATACTTCAGACGCCATGATTGACGCACACAAAGCCCTTCAACTGCAACCACCTGAGCCAAACTGCACGTTGGAACGAGTCATTGCAGCTGTTATGTTATATTCTGACTCCACTCACCTCGCTTCCTTTGGCACTGCGTCTGCCTGGCCAATCTACATGTCATTTGGAAATGAATCCAAGTATGTTCGCTGTAAGCCCCGAACGGGGTCTTGTCATCATCTGGCCTATATACCAAAGGTAAGCTGCAATCCGTCCCGCCATTATTCACTAGATCAATAATCCCTTCATAGCTCCCAGATACCTTCTACGAATTTGTTACGAACACAACAGGGGAGGGGCCTACAACTGATTTACTCACCCATGCTCGGCGAGAGCTCATGCATGCAGTTTGGCATCATATACTCGATGAAGACTTCAAGCAAGCATATGAGCACGGCATTGTCGTGCTATGCCCTGATGGAGTCCATCGGCGGTTCTACCCCCGTATATTCACTTACTCGGCCGATTATCCTGAGAAGGTCCTCCTCACCACCATTCGCAATCTTGGTGCATGCCCCTGCCCTCGTTGCCTTGTGCCCAAAGCCAAAATTCCCGAGCTTGGGACACAACGAGACGATGCTCGCAGATCCAAGTTAGCCCGAGTCGACGATGTCCATCGGCGTGGAAGGATCATGCAAGTCCGTGACTGGATTTATTTAACAGGCCGCGCAATCAAGAGCAAGGCAGTTGAACTAGTTATAGGTGTACGGTCAGAGGTTCCCACCACTGTACGTTGAGCCTATCTGCAGTATGACAATACCATGACTGACATACCCAATAGAATGCCTTCTCTGAACGCCTATCGGAGCTTGGCTTTGCATTCCACGACATGTTTGTCCCTGATCTCTTGCATGAGGTCGAACTGGGCACATGGAAAGCTCTATTTACACATCTCGTACGCATACTTGTCGCTCACGGTGGCACTGCCGTTCAGCAGCTCAATGACAGGCAAGTATGTTCCTAATGCTTTCTTGCACGTTCTAACTGATCCTTTAGTTACCGGAGTGTTCCCACATTTGGTCGCTCAACAATACGGCGGTTTCATAACAATGCCTCCTCCATGAAAAAGCTTGCAGCACGGGACTTCGAAGACCTACTTCAGGTAAGTCAGCTAATGTCCATTGGCCAATTGGCACATACTGATGTATTACCTCAGTGTGCCATGCCTGTTTTCGAAGGCATATTGGACGAGCCCCATGACAATTATATCCAGAAACTGCTTTTTACTGTGGCCGAATGGCACGCCCTGGCGAAATTACGGATGCACACTGAAGACACTCTTGCATCACTAACACGAGCAACAAAGGATCTTGGACGGCAATTACGATCTTTTGCAACGACAACTTGCATGGCTTTCGATACCAAAGAGCTACCCAAGGAGGAGGCTGCACGTGGCCGCCGCCAAAGCCAAAAGAAGAACACTAGTGCCTCTACAACGGCCCAGCCAGCTGCTCAAGGTCCAAAGGTTAAGCGGTTCAATATGGCAACATACAAACATCACTCTCTCGGCGACTATGTGCCATCGATCCGTCGATTTGGAACCACTGACTCATATTCCACCCAGCCGGTGAGTTTATAATCTGGTGCATGGTCTGCCTGACTGAGCTTGCCACGCCATAGGGCGAGCTACAACATCGACGATTGAAGGTCTTTTATGTTCGAACCAGTAAAAACAAGGCACTGCGGCAGATGACGAAGCACGAAGCACATGAACGAGTGGTCCGCACTGTCTTTACAAGGGTCCGCACCGTTCAACGCCTGCAACAAGTAATTACTAGACAGGGCAAACCTCAGCCCAGCCAGAGCGAGTTGCTGGGAGTAGAAGCGAAGCCCTACCACCTGGCCAAACAACACCATCACATCTCAACCTCAATCAACTCAACCAGGAACATATACGATCTCATTGGCGAGCATCCTGAAGACCCTGCATTTCATGTATGTCCTCACTTTAGGCTATTTCACTCCGTACTGACCATTTAACATAGCTCTTCATTCCCAAACTCAAAAAGCACCTTCTTTCGCGCCTTTTGCATCCAAACGAGTGGATCGAAAATGAAGACTTCAGCCGAGAGGAGTGGAATGAAGTTCAGATCCTTGGCGACCGTCTTTATGTCCACAAAACCTTACGTGTCAACTATACAACCTATGATGTTCACGGCGCTCAGGATTCCATCAACTCAAGATCACATCCCGACGTGATGACTCTCAAGCAACAAGACCACGCACAGCATCCATTCGATTATGCGAGGGTTATTGGCATTTTTCATGTTCGAGTGCAACATGAAACTCTTTCCCCAGATATGCAGGAACTCGATGTTCTTTGGGTACGAAACTTCCATGTTGATACTACCTATTGCAGCGGGTTGAAGCAGAAGCGCCTCACAAGGCTGGCATTTGTTTCTGGTGCTGAGGCGTTTGGCTTTCTGAGTCCAGACGAAGTCATACGAGGGAGCCATGTTATTCCCGCATTCGCATATGGGCCAACAAGAGATCTACTTGGACCGACACTAGCGCGCCAATGCTTCAGCAGCGATATTCTTGACAAGGCGTTCGTTTGGCCAGAAGAACGGGAAGAGGACGACTACTGTTACTACTATGTGAACTTGTCAGTTTGCCTCTCCTTTCTAGAATCATTTCATTGATGACGCATTGTTTCACAGTTTTGTTGACCGAGACATGTACATGCGTTACCACGGTGGTGGGATTGGGCACTACAAGGTTGAGGTAACAGACATTGCCGACGTAGAAGGACCGCAAGATGCAGACCATGAAGAGGAGATCGTGGCAGATATCCCAGCGGATTCTGGATCTGATAGCGATGGAGATGATGAAGAGTGTGGATCTGAGACCTCTGCACCAGCGTCGGATACTGAGGGCGATGATACAGACAGTGATGTAGATGGTGATCGAGCGCAGCTTGAAGAGAACATACTGGGCTACGATCAACTATAGGCCGGCCGGCTGAGATGATTATGATATATGGGACCCTACGACTATTGTATATATCAAATTTTATTGGGATATAAAATCTACGCTACGAACATACCACTCTGCTCAGAACCTATAACCTACCTATCCCCCCTTCACATCGCCACATCCTACTGCCAATCACCATGCCACGTAGCAATGAACTCAAGGCTATTAACGCCATTTTGAATGCGCTTGATGCTCGCCTAGAGGTGGTTGAAGTTAAGCAGCGGGAGATGCTCCTTCGTTAGTGTCTCCAAGCAGGAGATCATAGCAGCCACTAATCTTTCCACAGGTATTGACACAATGCTCATTGAAACGTCGCTTCATGACATGGGTGTGTGTGAGTGTTGACTTGGATTCAATTGGCATGGTTTTGACATGGTTTTGACGCATCCTCAACGCATCTCATAGCCCCAGAACAAATTGAGGCTGTCACCGATTTCTCTGAATGGCTCAAGAGGAAGGTGGAGCGACAGGATACACGAAAGGTGCGGGATGCGATGAAGGATGCCCACAAGCATTTGTGCACCCTAGACTACGAACTGGTGGCCCTCATTGCAGACGACATACTCAAAATTGTTCACTATGGGGTGTGGAAGAGTGAAGGACGAACAAAGTACTTTGAGCTGTTCCATGAGGGCGAGGACGACGATGAGATTCCATTCTAATGCATACACTGTTAGACTATTACTATGTTTGTGCAGCCTTTTTGTTATTAGTCACGATGATCAGCGGTTGATAGCATCAAAAACATTATGACTGAGTTAGACTAGTGCTGATCTTCCACTTATCAATGCTGGCACAGGACATTGAAAAGGCGGCATCCATTTCACATCACCCGCAAGCACGTAGCACATATGATGAGGGTGATTGGGTGCTCACAAGGCCTCAGACATCCGGTTAAAGGTTCAGCAAGGATGCCCTGACAATGGTATTTCATTGATATGAGTCTTAGGTACACAGTAAGGATGCTGCACGGATAAGATAGAGAGCGATCAATGTCCTGCCAGGGCTTTGATCTGTCAACATTGATCACTGATCACAAACCCTGCACATACGGATAAGCGCCACCAGCTACAATAACGGTTTCACGGATTTGCTGATGTTGGACTACTTACAAGGTAAATCTGCTCGTATGTATTCTGCAGACTCCACAAACTCATCATATCATTTTACTGCAGTATCTTCGCTATCATTGTCTTCGTAACGGTGAGATCGATCCATAAATCGTTTTTACATGCTCTTAGCCTCCTTGCTGCAGTGGGTCGCCCTGCCGAAACAGCTCATATTCCTCACCTTCTACAGTATAATCAGTAAACGTACGTCATCTCGTCGATGTGGCATGCCCTGCACTCATTTACCACCTCTCAAACAAGTCTACGTTAATTCCCTTTTGGTAACGTAAGTGCTGCATCCCACGATGATCAGGAGGAGGAGTAACCCTTGGACTCCAGGTTGAATGCTAGAAGCGGTTTCAGACCCAAGAACAACTCTGGTAATCGTGATTTGAGCCTCACTGTTTCCCTTCGACTGACGGTTGATTTAGTGTCTGAGTCGATAGGCATGTCAGTTTTGAATACCGGAGCTTCGTCGTCGACAGCCTAGAAGACGCCTTTGAGACATCTCACGGCGCAAGTATGTATATTGCATGTATTACGCCAGAAGCCACGGACTGTAAAAGCGCTGTACATTTATAATACTTCGGGGACTTGTTGCCGATAGCCGGACCATGTACTTATAACACTCGGCGTTCACAATCTAATGTCGCCTTTCCTTCACGCAATCGTGCAACCTTATAATGTCGCCAACGTCATCGGCTGTGCGCCGCGGTAGTTGTCTTTGCAAGAAAGTCCGATTCGAAATGCGTGGCCAGCCGAAGACGTATCTGGTCTGCCACTGTCTTAACTGTCAGAAGAGCAGTGGTTCGGCGTTTATGGCGAATGCATTCTTCTTGCCCAAGGTGAGCTTCCACTAGAGACACTTAACAGATATGGGACTCAAAGCGCTCTAGGATGTTGTGATCACGCAAGGCAAGGACCATATCAAGACTTACGCGGACAGCAATACGAAGAGCGGACAACCGCTTATTCGGTCTTTCTGCGGCGAATGTGGATCGTCACTGTTCCTAAGGAACGTCACCATAGATCTCACCATCGTCAACACTGGAAGCATTGACGATAAACTTGAAACTGGTTAGTCGATCCACCATACTTGCGTCGGTGCCATGATATTGACCGTGAACATTTATAAGACGCCAGTATCAAAGTACCCAAACGCGAGCTCTTTGTCGAAGACAAACGGCCGTGGCTATCAGTCGAGACGAATGGTGGTACAAAAGCGCGTTTATAATTCGTGATAGCGAATCTATTGATTAACTAAGCTCACAAGAAAACGCACAAAGTTTGGGAGAATTGACGACGTTGAGTCATTGAGTTAGGTTACAGGAGGAACAACCTCATCTTCTATCTCGCTCGATCCTCTTTTTGACCTGTGACAGACCTACGACAGTAAGTCGCCCTGATATCCCATTCGAGGATCGCTGGGCTCGAAGGGGACAACTGCATAATCTTCTATCCAGTCGGTCCACCACTCGTACAAGTCATCCTTTGACACCTGTGGTCGAAGGGCGCGGAGCTTCACAGGTCGCGCCGACCCCTTGATAAAGCAGCAATACTCGCAGTAATCTGTCGGAGCAGGGCTAAGTAGGAAACTGACGTGGGTAAGTGATGGAAGGGTATTGAAGATATTGGCCACATCGCCGTAATCCCAAGGATGACTCTGGAATGCTTCCGACTCGAGAAGGACTTGATTCGGGAAGAAACGCAGGTGACGGAGCTTCGTGGCACCTTTTAGCGCACCGGCTCGAGAGAGCGTTCTGGGTATTGGAGACTAAGACAAAACAACTGTGAATACAGGGAAGGGAATCCTATACAACACGACGGGCTTACACGGGAGGTATCTATTTCCAAGCACTCTAATCTTGGCATCCGCGCAACTGCTGCCGACACCTCACGTAAAGGAGAGCTTCGGATTACACAAACGACCACATTAAGGAAGCTAGCAGCGTCGAATTCCATGAGACCCCCTCTTAGCATCAAGTGCGTGACCTGGTTTGCTTCGCGAAACCGCTTTGCCACGTCGATCGTTGAGGTGCGAAGGACGCGGAGTCTAGGAAAAATTGGGAGGGATGGACATGATTCAACGGCCAGGGTCGGAAGGAGTAGGCGTTCTAGGGATTTCTGGGTAGAAAGGAACCATTCCAGCCCAAGGCTGCTTGGCTGCACGTCTGGCGTATACCACGCAAAGGTTTTGAGCGCAAACGGAGGAGATGAGCACCGTGACCGAGGACCTGTAAAGAAGGTTCGAAGGTCCAATAGTCCTACAGTTGAGGACAGTCAAAGTCCGCAAATTGCGTAGCGCTCGAACGGGATTTTTTGGGGACAAACTAACGCCAGATTCAGACTCAGGATAGCTGAAAACGTCTGAAAAAGCACCTCCGAAGTTTTTCCCACGAGAATCTGTCTGCGCCAATATTTTGGAGCAAAAAATTCAAATTGTGTGTACCTCTGTGGGCCTTTTCGGGATGACAGGCGCCCAAGACTGGGCATGCAACCCAATTCTTACGATCCCCAATTGGAAGTTGCGTCGAAATATCGCTAGCCTTTGTTTTGGAACTATCCCAAAAGCGCCTCAAGCCATAAATTCTCACACCGATGGCGTTTTCTCTCACGCTCCTGATTTTCCCATCACGAAGCGCCCAGAAATATGAATATTTTTTCTCAGGAACGGCTCGATAGAAGTCCAAGATTTTGACGGGATCAACATGAGCTAATCAAAAGGAGTCGATTGGCATATTTTTCATAATTTTATCTAATATATTCGGCTTACGCCAAAATTTTGAGGGTATTTTCCAGTAATTCGCCTTTTCTGGGCAATCGGCTCGTCAGAATTGGACAAGCACGGTATCATTCGAAAGGGTTTTCAAGCCGGAATGTATTCCGCGCAAGTCCGGAGCACAATAAAAAAACTTTTTATTTTAGCGGACTTTGACTGTCCTCAACTGTATAGCTTCCATCCACCATGCAAAGTGAACCTGCAGGTCTTCGAGACTTGGAGTGGACTGTAAGATCGATTGGAATAGCGCGTACTGCGTTCCTCGAAAGGCAACACCGGGAAGATAGATACGTTTGACATAACGGGCGCAAACTCCACTTCCGGCGGTGATACCGCACAAAAAGCTGTTGGCCATAGCCGAGATATCAGCGTCGGAACGTCCTTCGGCTTGACCCCAACCGCCATACTCTTGCCGGAATGGAACAAGGAAAGAGACGTCGGAGTAAAGGAACGGTTCAGCCAGAAGACGAAAGGCGTGCGATACAAGAAGAAGGTTCGCAAGGGAACCCTTGTCCACAACGTATGTCGTAACGATACGTGCGATTTCAACAGGAATCGCGATAACCATGATGTGCGGTAGGTGTTTGTGATGAAATCTGTTGCCAAGATAGAAATTGGCACAGGCGCTTAGGGATGTCGGGATGCAAATCGTGCCGCCAGTAATATATTCTTACTCTCGTTCTAACTACATCAGTTATTGCCCGACGGCACATATGAAGTTGGAGTGCGAGGGGGGGGGACTACGCTCAACTTGCATTAAGAGCGCCAGCACGCCGCATGACTATCACTGAGATCAAATGGGACGATCGTACAATCTTTGACCCAGTCAAGCCACCATTCCGCGTGCGGCGTCACCGCAGGGCGCAGTGAGCGTAGCTTTACCGGCAGCGGTTCTCCCCTTGTGAAGCAACAATACTCCGTAAAGTTTACCAGGGAGGTGAGTGGGAAACTGATGTAGAAGAGTGATGGGAGTTTATCGAACGCCCTAACGACTCTACCCCAAGGCCCATCATTGGGCGGGCCCGGTCTTCTAACCCAGCCAGCCTCTTCTTGCGTGCTGGAGAGGCGCAGATGCCGGAGTTTGGTTCCCTTGAATATATCGATTTGAGAAAGCGTCTCGAAGATCGGTGACTGAATCAGTACATACTCATTGATAAGTAAGGTACAATGGCATGTTAAACGGAGAACTTACATTACCGGGGTCTATCTCTAGACACTCCAGGTTCGGCATTCGTGCGGCCACAGCAGCGAGCTTGCGAAACTCGGAAATCCGGGTGATGCAGACCACAATCGAGCTGAGGGCCACATCGTTGAGGCACTCGAGGTCGTCCAGTTTTGCACGTATGTGTGTGATTTGGTTCGTTTCGAATACGGTGCTGGCGACGTCTAACGTGAAAGTATCAATTACGCAAAGTCTAGGAAGAGCAGGGATTTTGAGGAAGGCCGGAACCACTAGGCGTTCAAGCGATATTTGGGATGCAAGGAACCATTCTAAGCCCTGTTTGTTGAGTTTAACTCCGCCATAACATACTAGGCTTTTGAGCATGAACGGAGGTGGTGAGCTCAGCCCCTGCGGGTCCGTAAAGAAGGCACGAAGATTCAAGGGGTGCAGCACATTCACGAGCTGGGACGATCGGTGAAATTGAAGGTCTTCAAGATTCGGAAGCGACTTCAAGATGCGTTGGAATAATGGGTATTGTTCTCTTCCGAAGGCGGTCCCAGGAAGGAGGATTCGCTTGACATGAAGGGCACGACCGCCACTGCCCGCAGTGATGCAGCATAGAAAACTGCGTGCTGTCGCAGATAGACCACCCTTTGCGCCGCTCAATCGCAAACCTGGGGGCACCGAGAAAGACGGGAGGAATGAGACACTGGCATAGAGGCGCGGTTCAGCGATGCGTTGGAAAGCGTGTGATGTGAGCAGGAGATTGAGCAGGGTGATTTTGTCGTCTTCGACGTGACTTGTAATGATATCTGCGATTTCCACAGGAACTGTGGAGGCCATGATGGGAGTTCCGTCGAAAATGATGGAAGCGCGGGAGCGCGTAGACTGATCAAGCAGCCGGTCTGATCGCGCGCGCCTAGCAAAGGGATACGGCGCGAAGCGTCGCTGGCAAGCCACCACGGCGAGGTGCATCCCTTGCAGCCTAGAAGACGCGATGATCCTAGAATGGCGTTGCTACTGCATGCATTTGATGCTCCGTGTGCGTAAGTCTAGCAAGACACGGCCAACCTGGTTGGAAATAGGGCTTCTCCAAGAGAATGGGACAAAGATCTGAGGCGAGAAGTGGGTCCTCAGGTGCGGGTAGAACCTTGAAGAGTTGCGTCTTTCGGGCGTCGTAAATGCGACAAGCCAATGTCCTAGATATGGACTTTAAGGGAAAGACTTACCAGAAAATATACTGTCGGGTCATTGCCAGAAATCAAGCATTTGGCAAGGATGGTCAAGGACATGGTGGTTGAGTGTTGAGAACATCGTAATTCCCGTTCTGTGAAGGAGTCCGAACCCGGTGAACCGACGATCAACTCCACGTGGCACACCCAACTCTATCAACGAGCGGCGGGTACAGCAACAAACTACGTTTGACCAGGCGAATAAACTAGCCATCTGGTGGGTGCGATGTGCTTTTTCCTGGAATTTTTATGTACTGATGGAGGAGGAAACGGCCTCATGTTTTTTCATTTTTTTCCCCATAGAGTATCCATGATCAAAGAGAAATTGGCCCTGGGATTGCTGGTAAGTACAAGCTTGATCAATCGCGATTGTACTGCCAAATGTACTTGACATCTCACTCGAACCTGGGGGCGACGTGCTGGACAGCTTCATGTAGACAACTTGTAACACTGAAGCAACCTCCGGTGTCCGTACCATTGCTCTAAATTGCGAAGTTATATCTCATCTCATGTATCCTAGGTTTGAGCAGCCTATCGTCCTTTCCCTGCGCGAATGTCTCAAGTTCAATTTGCCTCAACGAGGGACTCGGTACAAACCGTGATTATGCATGATTATGGAACATCGAGGACCATCGTGTCGTAGCAATGACGCCTAAAAATGGATCCGCAGTCTCGGGGAATGATCAGGTTCAACCCCCCCTCGATCCCTCCAACTATGGAGGCTTTGAGGTTTCAGCTAGCCAGACGGTGAAGATCGCCGCGATACATCCCATGGGTGCTGCTACCTACCGTTTGGAATGACGTCTCGACAAATAACGCAACCGAGCGACCTGTCTTAGCTCGCATTAACGGTGAAAATTGGCGTCTCGCCTTGCACGGCGTGCATCTCACAAGGCCTACACGCACCTCCCTCATACGCACTGCGCAGCTCGTTGGCGCTTTCTTCCAACCACCATCCCCATTAATGATGCTGGCTGGAGAGGCCTAGCTCGCAGTGTGTACGCTTTCCCGCGTCGAGGGCTTTTTTCTACCCGCCTGGCGTTCGTAAGCGACAGCGAGTCGCGGGTCGCGATGTGGTCGCGATTCGAAAACACTGAGTCGACGACGGGAAACGCACCTGGATACGAGGATACGAACCAAACGCACTCCTTATCTCTCTGCACAAGCGGCAGGCTCCGTGTCTCGCATCCCTGGTTCGGAGTATCTCCTCATAACTGTTTGATATTGATATTGACCAACATTCAAAGGCACCGGCCGCCTGTACGATGAACCCGTCTTTGAGCCTTTCATTGTTTCTTGTCCAGGATTCAGTAGGTGTTCTTATATTTCGCCTAGGGTCCTCCTTGTCAGTAAACTAGTAATGGAAAAATACAACTGCCTTCCTACCGACTGTGGTGTATGCGGGCAGCCGAGTGCAGGCCGAGTGCTCAGTCATATAAAGAAAGAGACCCTTAGTGGCTGTGCTCCAATCATTTCCGTTCTTGCGAGCCCACTTGCTGGCTGCCTGAACAACCGTGTAGCCGTGGAACATATTACGGTATCCATGTGATCTCGACAGTTTCTCGCTGAGTAAGTGACTGAGCTGCTTTACGCTGTTGGTGCGTGCATCCGGGAGACCTCGAGATATAAGGCAATCCTCGCCGACGTCTCATTAAAAGAAAACCATCCATCTAATTCCCTTCCCGCTCTGCTGCATCTGCTTCGATGTCAACAACAACTCCTAGATTAGGAAAGACCGGGTCTATGGTCTCGGAGGCAACAGCAGACATGTCGGAACAGCCAACACCTGCATCCAACAAACCGTTTTCGGCACAGTTCACAGACAAAGATACCAGGACTTCAGCAGCTCGAAGCATATACCTTAAAGTGATGATCGGCTCTTCATTTGCCATCTCACTCGCTATTTTTGGGGTGTTCTCGATATACTGGGGTTCTTTGTGGAAGACACCGGTGAGGCAGTTGCATGGCTGGGTCGTGGTAAGTGCTACTTATACCCAAAGTATATATAGAATATGTTTTTATGTTGATGTGCTTTGATCGTCGTTCTAGGATTTCGACGGCGGGGAGATTGGTCAAGCCGTGTTGCAGGGGATCCAAAACATACCAGCTGCTGCGACCAAGGTCCATTGGGAGGTACACCCTGCCGGCGAGTTTCCGAATGGGGCGGCGGATGTATCTGCTGCTGTGCTCGAAGAACATTGTTGGGTGGCTATTTCTAGTGAGTGTCCGTACTTGATCAGATCTCCCCATGGATCGTAGGTATATATATATATAGACAGAGCTAACACTCTTTGTCGTCAGTCAACTCAGGGAGCTCCGATGCCCTCACCTCGGCTTTGGCGAACGCGAACGCATCGTATGCCGGGTCGAGTGCGATCACTGTATTCGCAGAGGAAGCGCGGAATGAAAATGCATTCCGAGGGTTCATCCGTCCGAGCGTGCGTCTCATTCTTCTTGAGATAAGTATGCCTACTGAGATTACCTCGATTGATTTTAGGTCGATGCTGCGCTCCAAACGATCAGCAAACAATACGCTATTAGATTTGCTCAACAACTTGCCTCCGCTTCTTCTTCATCCGTAAATCTGACCTCTGTACTCGCCAACGCCCCGCAAGTTATAACGGAACCGCTATCGTACACCATCGCCAATCTGCGGCCTTTTGATGTTCCTGTGTACGATTTCACTATATCCCAAATATGCGGATGTTCGGCTGATCTGAGTGTCATAGAGCGACTGCAGCTGTTTTCGTCGGACTTATCTACATGACTATCCTTGCAGTGAGTCTCTTCCTCGACCCCATAATCATTCTCCAATTACTGACCACATTCCTGCAGTTCTTCATAGTGGTGCGTACCGCGGGGTGCTGGGCCCTCTTTCTATTGCGGTATGAATGGCTCACTAATCTTCGTCTTTGTTGTTTTGCAGATGACCGCCAGTGCTGCTCGACAGATGTCCGGCCTGGAAAACATGCTTACCTACGGCTCCCTGGTCCGAGTCCGTATCGCCACGACATTTATGATATACTTCATCCTATCCGTAAGTCCCTTTCCCTGTCTCCAGAGGCTCGATAACTCACCTCATGCATCTAACAGCTGTTCTACTCTCTCCTCAGCATGGCGTTCGACCTTCCTTTCGACAGAAAGTATGTATCCCACTCGTTCTCTCCACCACGATACTAACCCCCCTCTCTCCAAGATTCGGCAACTCCGGTTTCCTTGTCTTCTGGATGCTCAACCTCTTTGGCATGCTCGCACTTGGCCTGGCTCTCGAATCCCTCATAACCCTCCTCACTCCCCGCTTCATCCCCTTCTTCCTCCTCATCTGGATCATCACTAACGTCTCGGTTGCCCTGTTCCCTCTGGACGTTCTCCCAGGCATCTTCCGGTATGGGTATGCGTGGCCCTTTTATAATATCTCGAGGGCACAGAGGGCGATTGTATTCGGGACGAAGAATGATGGTGAGCCCCCTGTCTCTTCTTTTGGGTGAACGCGGTTGCTGATCATCTCATCGGTTCTTCTCTGTTATAGTGGGGCTGAATTTCGGCGTTCTCATCGTATGGGTTACGATCTCGTGCATCACGCTGCCGTTCTTCCAGTGGCTCGTCAGGCGCTCCGATATCAAAGCCCAAAAGACGAAGGAGCGGCTCGAGGAGAAGGTGGAAGAGATGCCGTAGATGTTGGAGTGGGGACACCAATATCATATAAGCAACCGATAACACAACCGACATCACCGATATCGTTCGAATCTGCCCACATGGACACGTCCAACTTACCCCTCTCCCGGGCACTCCCCGAGCACTCAGACGTCTGACAGCTAATGATCAGCAGCTAATAAACCTACACACATGCACGAATGCAACCTATTGGTATCTAGCGATGCCCTCACTATGTATACGACTCTTCCGATACGATGACGACGACGTCTGGACGACTTTCTTTACCTAACTACTTACTTACATAGACATTTCGCATCCTTCGCATTCCGGTACATCATATGATAAATCTACTTGCATACCTGACCTGCATTTGGTACTAGCTACATAGTTTCTTCCCTTCGCATTTGCATTTGCATCCACCCTCGCTTGTACATACTTTAGATTACTTTTGACGTTAAACAACGCACACCAATGGACTCCGTGTATATCTACGCCTTAACCCCAAAATTGACTGTTCCTTGCAATGAATAAATTTAATTGAATATGATGTGTTGTATGTCTATCTGTTTGCCGTGCGTGTGTCCGTCCTGACGGGTATCGTATAAAGTTATAAGAACCACCTAATGACCGCCTCACACTCTCATACCATGTACCGTCTACCAGAGATTCTCATCTCCAGGTAGGAGCGACATAACGACCGGCTCCGTACACGTCCTATTATTCGGCGAAGACAGTCCAATCCTCCTCGCTTTAAACGTGTTGGCCGGGTGCGTCTCCGGGCCCTTATCAGTCTGCGATCTGACCATCTTCCTGCGCCTATCGAACGTTGATCCGAATCCCATCCCACCGGTGAACGCCAAGTCCGAAGGCGATCGCTGTGATGGCGATTGCGATTGGGTGGGTTTACCTCCCCCCGATGGGTCCGATGCGGAGGTGGGATCGGCCAATGGCAGCAAAGGCAAGAATCTATCGGGGAACAGACGCGAAGCGAGCGCGTTGGGCTGATAGGACAGCGAATTCGGGTTTATGTTGATGCTGGTAACGCCGTTAACGCCATGAGCAGGACTATTGGGTGTGAGCAGCTCGATCTGAACGGAGGGGCGTGCGGATTTGAGGTTTTGGATGGAGGATGAGGGGATGGGAGGGTATGGGTATGGGGAGGAGAGTTTCAGGGTTTTGAGGTTCGGGCAGATGAAGTGTCGTGGCGTCGGTGTGGAGGTGGTGTTGAGGGGGTGAGTGGGTGAATTGGCGTTGCCAGAGGCGTTGCTGATACTTCTGTCAGGTGTCTCGCCTTCCGCCGCGCCCGTACGAGCCGCGATGTCTTCCTCGAGTGAAGGCATATGGCTGCTGGCATCCGCAAGGAGATGCAACAATCCCACATGTTCATCACCATCCGTGTTCCCCGCCGAAAGGACTTCCAGACTCTCCATCCTCGAAAAGCACCACTGCCACACCGGGATCTCGTCGCCATCGGCGTCCCAGCCTCGATCTCCATGGTCTCCATGAGCATGATGATCAACGACATGCGTGAACATGCATGCGTTGGTGAGGCTGAGGGATGTTATGTTGATCCTGCCGTGCGAGGTAGCGAGTGCGCTGCGGATAAGGAGGCCACGGAGCGTTGCGCCGAGGTGGTGGGCAGGGTTTTTGCCATCTAGGTCATCCAGAGTGAGGGCTGTGAGCGATGGTAGCACGAGGGCATTGAGAAGGAGAGGGAGGTGATTGCCACGGAGCGAGAGGTGGGTGACAAGAGGGAGGGAGAAGATACGAGGAAGGGCCGTGACGGCGCGGTCCTCGTTGGCATCGTCATCTGATGATGTGGTAGCTGTTTTGTGAATAGGACTTGTAGTGATGTCGTCTGGCTCTGATATTCGACAATCGATGTGTATGTCTACGAGAGAGGGATTGGCGTGGAGACAGCGCAGGATGTCTGATGCGTTGATAGGGGTTGCTCTCAGCGGGCGCACAATTGTCAAGCTTTCAAGCGTGCTGAAGGAAACGGGGGAAGGAAAGGAGTGGTTTGTTAGCTTGAGAGAGCGCAGGCTGGAGAGGGCCGGGAGCGGGAGGATATGTGGAGGGGGCGCTGCGACATGCGGCCGCGACAACGACGGGGTCAACGGGGCATCTGGGAACACGTTGATGTTCAGCCGCCGCAGAGAAGAACAGTGCAGCGACGGCGGGTACAGAAAGTGGAGAAACTTGTGGGCAACGTCCTCCGAGGACGTCCGGATTGATAAGGCTTGGATTTGCGGAGTATTCGCTTGAATGACATTGATGCACGGAATTCGTGAGAAATAGGCGTTGTGATCGTCAGCCGTCGCTAGCTGTGGTTCCGCCTCGACACCGTTCAGCACGACGTACAGGCTCAATGGACAGTTGCGGGCCATGGCAAACCACAACGCTGCTTTGCTGGCTCCCTTCTCCCTGGCGGCGTTTCGGCCCCGCTCGTTCGGGGACTGCCGAACAGATATACGCAGACGAGTCCACACCGGCGGGGTTCGCTGGACGACGTCGCGGAAGGATGTGCAGACTGCTGAGAGAACAACAGGAGCGTCGGGACAGAATGCCGTACAATGCCCAAATATCTCGCCAAGCAGCTCAGGGGGGATCCGGGTTATAGGCGCATTCGCGTTTACGTCCATTGGCTCGCTGGCTTGAAGTGGCCCACACCGTAATAGCGAAGGGTATTAGTTGGTTGTACGTTGGAGAAGGCGGCAACGCATAATAATTTCGAAAAACTTTATGAGTGGTCTTGGGGGTTGTTGAGCCATGTTGACTTTAGGGAATCCTTGCGGAAAACGATCGCTCGAGTCCAGTACGGCCTGGACACTGCTCCGGCAATGATCTCGCATGGATTTCGCATAAAATCATCTCTGCCCGGTAACCGACGACGTGCTTCGCAGCCAATAATCATGGGATACGTACCAGGCGTGCTCTTGAAACCCTCACTTGAGCTGCACCACAAATGTTCTGTCAAGATGCTGAGCTGCAGAATTCAATTAAAGACAAGGGGACAAGCTGCTTGGGAGGAGCCTGTCTGTTCTCGGCAGGCTACCACGACTCCTATGCATGTCCTGAACAAGGCAATTCGTCGCCCAAGGTCTCTTGGTTATTGGCTGCGCTCCTTCACGTGCAATAAGCTCTGCAAGCGGCAGGCGCAAGCTCAAGAGCCTATTATCAGCGCAGAATCTACGGAGCTCCGTACATCCAATCAGCCATTGACGTGGAGATTGAACGCAATCACGAACTCACTGATCTTCCAGAATGAACCGGCGATGGAATCGGACTCGCAGGGCGCTTGAAGTCGAACTTATTATAGGAGCTACACTAGGAGATCGACACTGCTATTGTCAACTGCCTGTTGGCTAGGATTCAAGAAATATATTCTATAACTCGCTCGAAAACAAGGTCAGACTACATCGAGAGCATTGAATATTGAAATATTGATGGCTTATTCAACTCCAGTAGGCTCCTATCTCTTAAGTTTGGGAACTTCTCACCATGTTCCGTCCATGATGCGACCTAATACATACGATGCCCGGCGTGATGAGGCCCAGGAAGGATTCAGACGGCAGAGTTCAGATGAAAAAATTGGCATTGAGGTTGCCCGGTTGATACACTCGATGTGCTAACGGACCCGCTCTCGAAGCGTAATCTATATTCACTTCTAGACAACTATTTATACGAAATTTGTGATTCACGTAAGACTGATCTTCTCGTGGAAGCATTGTCCGCGCGTGGGGGCCAGTCATTCAGTTCATTCAGTGAAGAATCCTCGAGCGCCGAGTATAGTCCATAGAATAAGCGTAAGGCCGATATATATATAATACTACAGATATGGAAAGAAGCCAGATACAAAATATAGATACTAACTAACTACTAGCGGGTCCTACGTAGGGAGAAGCGTCGGAAACGCTGATTTATTTATACAGGAAACGGAAATGAAATAGAGTGCGGATGGTGAGATTGAGAGTTGTTAGCAGTAAGTAATAGAAAGATTAATTGAACAGCAGTGGGAATAAGTCATTCGTCGACAACATTGATCGGAATAGAAATAGAGATAACAGGAGATTGAAGGTCGAGCGGGAGGAGAGAGGAGGAAATAAAGATGAGGTAGGAGCAGGAGGGATGAGGAGAAGGAGAAGGATTCCCGTTCGTTTGAACGGGCGTTTAGACGTATTGCGTTGAGGTAACCAACCGTTGACTGGAGGAACCAGGAAACGGGTGAGAAGCCATTGCTCATGGGATATGAGAGGTCATCAGAAAGGCTTTCCTTCCAGCCATTTCGTAACGTCTCCATGTCTTCTGCGGATTTGCGGATTGTATATTTGCATCAGTGGGCGCCGGAAGTGAAGGTGGGAGAAGGTGATGTGGGAGGCGAGACGGGGTTTCTCAATTTCTCGCGCGCACACAGTCGCCTGCGACCCGTACGAATGGGATCCCAGGAGTCAGGCTGGAGTATCGATTATCCCAGCCCTAAATTCTTCTTCTTTCTCTTCTCTTCTATCATCTCACATACCATCTCCCATCGTCGCGTCGCCCACCTCCCAATTCATGCTGTTCTCCCACCGCAGTAGCATTGACGGGCTACGAGTAGCAGAACCTGTCGAATGCGCCTCACGCAATCACACTTCACGATTCATGTCTTTTATCTTCCGAGCGCATACTCGACCCCGACCTCATACGATGCAGAAACGTCCCCGCCCTGCTTTTCGTAGGACTTTGCACGGGATGGGGAGGGGGTGAAGACGGCTGGGCCGGAGGACTACCACTACTACCACCTCCACTACCGCCACTCATCCCAGCAGCAGCGAATTGTTGCGCGGCACTCGAGTTCGGATTCGAAGACAGGTTAGCGTTCGCAGTCGTCGTGACGGACAACCTGGGTCGATGGCCCTTCCCTCCCGATGTCGGTGGACTGAGCATGCTACCAGTACCCCTTAAGCTCCCTTTATTGGGCGGGCTTTCGGGCGGGGACCCCGGTTCTCCGTTGCTAGGACAGGCACGCTGGGAGGGCGTCATGAGGCCGGCGGTGCTGGCTCTGCGCTGCGACTTGCTGTGACTATCAGGAGAGGGTGGGTGAGATGAACTCGACCCGCTTTGCGGTGGGGTCTTCACGCGAAACGGAACAGAGGTCATGTGAGCAATGAACCGCTCGCTGATCCTGTGGGGAACGTCGTCGTCTTGGGTGTGGGCGTGAAAGATGGGCCAGCATTGGGTGAGCCGAGTACGAAGGGTGTCGCTGTGGTCTGACCAGTGCCTATCATGCTAATTTTATCAGGTTCGAGTGGGTAGGCAGAAATAGGTGTCGCAGAGGAGGGCTGATCGACCGGGGAGAAGCTCATAGAACGGTGTCGCTGGGAGTTGTTGGGGAGAGATTCTGATGAGGATGGCGAGGAGAGTGATGGATGCGGTGGCGGTTGCGGGTTTGATTGATGTTGCGCTTGAGGTGTGATGGGGTTCAAATTAGGTGTTGCAGGGACTAGGGGTGGCGCGAGGGACACAACGACGGCAGTGGGCTCCAGCGCCCGACGGCCTTCTTGATACAACCGAAGAGCTTGAGCCTGCGTCTGCGGTATCTCGTTCGAATTAACGCTGTTGCGATAAGGAGACTGATGCCACCCTCCAGACACCAAGGGCAGATTCAACGTCGTGTCGCTCCTATTGTGCATTGCTAGATAGCGCTGATTCTCCCTGTGCAGCCGCCGTACTTGGGCTTGTCGATGAAGATCCGCCATCCATCCTTGCCACTCAGCTTCGCTATTGTATCCATCGCTTTCATCACTCTCGTGGAGCCCAAAATCGCTTTCGTCTGATGAGACACCACCGCTCACATCGGACGCGTACGGATCTGCAGGCTCTCTGACCGAGGGCGTAGGCGTCAACGTCGAGTGCGTGGACTTGACGCTCTTCCTGCTCGACGCCTTGCCCTTCCGCTGCTTCGACCCCGAGCCCTTTGACTTTCCCGAGGACCGCGTGCTGTGCATCTCTGCCTTCATCGAGTCGTTTTCATCCGTCAGTGTGCGCCCCCAGAGCATCCACCCCATCGCGCGCCCGACGTCCCCCATCCCAGCCTTCTGTGCCTTAACGGCGATGTCGACGCGCCACTCTGGGTACGGCAGCGCGCCGAAGGTGTTAGTGGCGATAGAGTACTGCGAGTCGCGCCGGAAGCTCTTGCCACGCGAGGATGCGGCTGTGTGGGAGAAGGTCGTGGAGCCGATCAGGGAGATTTGGGACGAAGCAGGCGAGTCTGGATGGTGAGCGTAGACGCGACTTGCTACCGTTGGACTTGGGAGAGGTGAACTAGAAGCCGACGTCAACGAGGACAGCCCAGGCACGAACGTAGACTCGATAGGATCGGGCGCGAGTCGGTGGAAGATGCGGAGAAGACTGTTGAACGCTAGGTAACGATCCGTATTGGCTGAACTACAGATGTTTAGATTCGAGAGGGCCACTCACCATCATCATTCACAGCGTCCATCACGATCCATTCGCCGCGCCCTCCTCCCGTTCCCACTCGCCGACTCGACGTCGGTACGGTGGCAGACTGGGATCTCGCTGACGAGACAACACTAGGGCTGGGTTTGAACGAGATGCTCGAGTCCATCGTCCGGAGGTCCGTCGTTCTCGTTTCAATCGAACGCAGATCCGCGCTCCGTGCGTCCGTTAGGGATTCCGTAGTAGTAGTCTCGTTCCATGCCTCTTTGTCCTCTTCGCCAGTCCCGCTTTCAGCGCCAGTCCCAGGCCCCGTCCCATCCCCGGATGCGTTTCCCGCCGCCTCTCCATCATTTCCCCGGCCGTGCCCCTCCGACACGTATCTATACCCCACCTTGTACCCGTACCCGCCTTTGCTTCTCCATGGCCCCCGCCGCCCGTACTCCGACTCGTCACTCTCTTCTTCGCTGCCGCTCGTCCGAGCGAACACTGGGGACGATAACACTGTTTCGTGATCGCCGTCTTCCTGCCTTGCGTCGCCGCGCGAGGGTGGGGGATTATGTAGATTGTGGCTAACGACGGTGCTTTCGGCAGAGCCAGAAGACGGACCGGCTTTGCTTTTGTCTTTGTCTCCATCCTCTGGCTCGGGGTCAGCCCGCCCTTTCCCTTTCACGTCCTTCTTTTGCTTCTTCTTGTCCAGCTTCCAGGAAGACATCGTAAACATGTTGTTGAGGTTACTTTTAGACGAGCTTTCCGTGAGGCCTTTCGAGGACGACGGCTTGCTGCTCTAGATCCATCACGTCAGCGCAATAGGTATACAAGCTGTCGGGTTACTTACCCCTTTCAGATTCGACGACGAAGGGAAGCTGCTCCGCAGGTGAAGCTTCTTGCGTCCAGTGGCCTTCGATTGCGAACCTGCAGTGATTGTGGTTACGGTGGTGGACGTCGTAGGCGTTGTCGCGGACTCTGGGCGTTTGGATGGCTCCGCGGGAGGCGGCACCTTGGGAGGCATGCGGAATTTGACGCAAATCACCCGGTTTTCATGTGAGGTCGGAACGAGATTCTTCAGATGGTCGGCGTTGTTGATCGACATGAGGCTCACAAGCTCGAGCTCCTGAGCGGGTTCGATGGCCTACACACATTCGTCTGAACGGCGCAAACAGAAGCGAGGCTGCCACACTCACCTTCGGATCCTTGAATACCAGCAGCACTCCCGCCTTGATCACAATCCAGCGGTCACGCCACTCCAGCGCCGTCTTCGTTTTCCGCTCGCGCTGCCCCCGCACCCTCGGCAGATCGTCTCGGTAATGCCGGTCTTCATGCTTCGTTGGCCCAGGATCGTCTCTCCACACGACGCGCAGCACTTTGATGGGGCCCTCCCAGTACGGGCGTATGTAGTCTCTGAGGATATGGCGGGGGAGGTTGACGATCACGTTTGCGCGGTGGATCTCTAGTAGTTCATACGGCCGTATGTCGTACATCGAGATAGTAAAATCGTCTTCGAGGATCTGTCCTGTAGAGAACCGAATTAACGTGTATTGTGAGGCTGAATTGCTGGAATCGCGCGGATCGGCGTGCGCTGAGGAATAAGATGGAGATGGTCTGTGAAACGCCGGGTGGGGCGAGGAACGGGCCCCGTCAGAGCGTAGCGACCCGGTCTGCGGTGCAGGCAGCGTCTTCCCGCCAATCCTCCCGCCTGAGGGGATATCCCCTTCGCTCAACCATTCCCTGTCCATGCCCTCGGTCCCCTCCGCCGCCTTCGGATCGTCTTCATCGTCGCTGAGCTCACCCTTGGGGTGGGGATCCAGCGGCTGCGCAAATGTGATGGGGGACATGGGTCGGTGGTTCGGGTCGGGCGCAAAGACGATGGGCGATGAGGGTCGTGGCCGGGGATGTCTTGAGGACATCATGGGTGTCGATGGGCGCGAAGTGGACCCAGCAAGCGAGGGAATGCATTTCCCGAGCAACCAGCCTTTCACATCCTTGATTGTCCATCCCTGGTCGACGTGAGTGACCAGCCATTGGTCAAAAGGAACTAAAGGAACATTCAAAGCGTCGAGCAAGGGCACGAATGCGAGACGACGTACTGAAGCGACATGCGACCGGGCTGAGGGGATTTGAACTGGCGTTGTCCGCCATTATCGCCAGACTTCAGCACGCAGCCAGAAGACGTTTATTGTCGCCTCCACCACATCCAGGACCCTGGGGGTGCAATTCAGGACTCCGGCCAAAAAATATCTGATTTCTGCTGGAATTTCGTGGGACTTTGATTTAGGCTACCCCTATCGCCCCTATCAAGCACAGTACCCACTCCGGGGTTTTGCGCCTGGACACCACTCTACGCAGCCCACCAGCGGTGCAACCGCCGCTACCGTTCATGAACTTCGCTTTTTCACTCCAACATCACCACATGCTCATCACCACATGGTTAGCTAGACAATTCTTGATAATCAAAGCCAGAACGTTCGTTATTTCCTTGATTCTATGTCGTACTCCACAGCTTCTATACTGTATTTATAGCAACTTCTCCCCGTGGCCGTTGATAGAAGGCCATAAATTGGGCGCCAGGACATAGAGAAGCATCTGATCTTTTCTAACCTTTCTGCTCGTGTTTCAGTCATATATAACTCATCCAATCAAGGCAACAAGATGGCACCTATGTTCGTACATGTCAACTGTCGAGTGGGGTGAAAAAAGAGACGCTGTCGTTGCAAAGCTATAAGAGGCGGATACTTATCAGGCGAGTCGCTATCAAGCCCCGGAACTCAAGCTTCGCATCAGGCACGATGGCCAGCAAAGCCGCAACCCAGTACACAGTTTTTCTCATCCATCATAACGAAGCGCTCACCCTTGGTGCAGTTATCTCCAATTTGACATACAGTGGTCTAGTCTTGGTGCGTATTGTTTATGCAATTAATATTCAGACGCTCATTTCGTATCCAACTTAGCGCTCCTCTTCTACGACTATGCCCTTACCTTCCCTTTGGAAGTGAAGTATATCTGGGGGTCGAAAGGTCGCGCGTCGACCGTTCTGTATATCTTCTGTCGATATGCGTTAGTTGCGAATGTCCTCTACTTACTGGCTATAGCCAATCGACTCAAACAAGGGGTACGTTTCTTACAATGACCATCTTTAACGATGTTTCAATATCCGTTGCAGTCTGTTCTTTTCTTCGGTTCTCCCGATGGTTTGACTGAACCTCCACATCCTCGTTAGTTGCGATACGTGGTACAAGATCATCGGCGCGCTGAGCGTCCTCGGGAGAGCAGCCGTTATCCGTAGGAATCTTTCCCCGCCTTAGGATGTCACGCACTGATCCCAAAACACGGACTCCAGTCACTTTTACGGGTCGAATTTACGCCATATACGCAAGAAATAAATATGTCCTTGTTTATCTCAGTTTTCTCGGGCTAGTTTGCATTGCATTAGACATCGTAAGCACCAGATCATGGAGCGCCTGCGATCCAAAATTGATTGATTCCGTGCGCAGACCCACGTTCCTGGTCTTCGCTGCGTTGGCTCATCTAGTATTCCACTGTACGTCTCGTGGACCTCTTTCTTACGTTGTCACTCACTATATACTCCCCGTACAGCGGTAAGTTCGCGCTTCTCAAGGTGTGGACTACCTAACCTGACTGCGCAAATTGAAGCTCCTCTCCTTCTTTCAATCCTGATGATTGTTTTTGAGTTCTCCGCCGCGGTTTTGACCGTCATCCGTTGCTTGGTGGCGTTCAAAGCGGCTGGGGGGAGGAAGAATCAGTCCAAGGGACTCATGAACCTAATCTTCGAACAAGGCGTCCTATACTTTAGGTGCGTGGGTTCGATTGACACCATCACACTGGCGGCTGATCACAGTTTAACCTTGATAAGTATCGTTACTATCATCACCATGGCGGCGTTAATACTCAATGTGGTCAGTTGATCCAGCCCAGCAATCTTCGTTTTAGCTGATTTGCCGCCGTATATTCAGAAAGCACCTGTACGTTGTTCCAAGTACTACATCTGACGTCCCTGATTTATTTCGGCGGCAGGCTGGGTTCCTGCAGCGATTACTAAATGCATACCTACTGCCGTGAGATATCTTCTTTACTGCCCTTACCCAAGTCAAAGTTTGCCTAACCAGTGTATATAGACTCTCGGGCTTACTCACTGCACGGTTCTTACTGCACATCCGAGTTTACGAGGATAAACAAGAAGCCAGAGCCTTGGGTGCTGCAGCGAGGAGTCAAGTCCACGCTTCGAGCACGTTGGCAAGCTTCCGTGCTGCTGCTGGCGACATGGTTTCGGGTCTCGTCAGCCAGTTTGGTGATGACCCCGTTGAGACGGTTCAGCGCGGAACGGTGGCGGGCGAATCCAGGTCATCGGCGATGTCTGGAGGCGCAGGGTTGAGTGGTGATGTTCCCTTAGTTGAGCCACAGTCTGGACATGCCTGTGGTTCCTCGAACGCGGCATGAACTGACCGAATATTGCAACCGCGTCCGGGATACGACTTACATGCTCCCCTCAGGTCCATCGTGTCATATATCTGCAGATGTACATGGGCTGTTTCTAATCTAATCAGATAGGTCAGATGGTCAGATCGAAGCTCAATGATCGAAGCCCCTGTACGTACTACCTGGGTCTCGCCTCCATGTTCTTCGTCAGCAGAAGTGGGCCCGCTGGGCTTCGACGGCGTCAAAATTGCCTCGCAGAACCGCACACTACTAAAGGATCTTTGGGAAAACCAGCGGTGAGGTCTCCTGTGGAAAATGCCAGCTTTAGCGGCGATGCACCGGACGTGCGATCATGCATCCCTCTGGCGTAAACCCTTTTCCAGAATCACTTGCGAGTTATCGTGTCCGTGCCACGGACGAAAGTCTAAATGTGGGGCGAGGAAGCCGTGCACTTAAATATCCACTCAGCTGAAGCAGGAACCACCTTTCTGCACTCCTCCATCGTCGCTTCCCCCATGTCCACGGAATATGATTCTGGCGATGAAAAGCAGGTCCAGGTCGCGAGTGCGCCCCTCAGCTCCCCGACGCCGAGCACCATACGATCTATAGTCATCATCGCGACCAGTACAATGGCTATGATAGTAAACGTGAGTCTCCGATCCAATTTTCCGTGGCTTTCCGTATAATGTACGGATACAGACGTCGAACGCTACATCTGCGTCCATTGCGCTACCGACGATAGGCCGGGAGCTGGGGATACCTGAGAATCAGTTACAGTGGATAGTGTCTGCCTATTCTCTAACGTCTGTAAGCCATCGCTTCACGATAGAAATTCGTCAGCCAATCAGTGTTTGACATCGGTGTTTTACCGTTTTACTCAGGGTTGCCTTTTACTCTTCTTCGGACGATTAGCCGATCTTCATGGTCGAAAGAAGGCTTTCATCGTTGGTATGATATGGCTGGCTGCCTTCACGCTCGGGTGTGCCTTCACAAACGGTAAGCACGCGATCGTATACGTCCGGCACTACCGCCCTCCTTACCCTTCTGGATTCTCTATGCAGATGCCCTAACTCTAGACATACTGAGAGCGTTCCAAGGTGTAGGAGCGGCAGCGATAATCCCTGCATCTGTACGTACGTTTCGCCGAGGTTTCGTCTCGTATATTTTTGTTCCTGAGAAAACCCTGCCAGATCGGCATCCTCGCTCATTCATTTCCCCCTTCACGAACCCGATCCATCGCATTCGCCACGTTCGCTGCTGGTGCCCCCGTCGGCGCTGCCTTTGGGATGGCAATCGGCGGTGCCCTCACACAACTAACAGCGTAAGAATGGTACATTAACTCAATGTAACCATGCAAACAACCAACTTTCTAGCAAAACCTGGCGGTCGACATTCTATCTCTCAACGGGTTTGACGGTGCTTTGCTTAATTCTAGGACTTGTTGCTATAGATAGAGACCAGCCTTCAACCGAGCAAGATAAACGCGTGGATTGGCTTGGTGCGCTGCTGGTCACAGCCGGTCTCGTTCTTATCGTCTTTGTTCTCGGACAAGGCGAGATCGCTCCGCACGCGTGGAGTACACCATGTACGTTCTCGCTTATCTCGAGGTCCTCAACCTATTCATCAGTCGCATTCCAGATATAATCGTCCTACTCATACTGGGAGTGTGTATGGTAGTGTTGTTCGTCTTCTGGCAACACTACCTCGAAAAAGTGCAAGCATCGGACACCAAATCCACAGGACCGTATGCCTTCCTCACGCCGCCGCCACTCATGAAAGTCTCTTTATGGTATCGCGCCAATGGACGCTTTGCCGCCATTATGGCAATCGCCTTCCTTACCTGGTGCTGCTTCTTAGGATCTAATTTCTGGATTCAGGTGAGAGATCTACGTTCGGCAAATCGCTTGCCGCTTTGGGACTCGAACTACTTAGAAACTAAATACTACGCCATGCAGCTCTACTACCAGGAATACCTTCATCTCACGCCAGTCTTGACTATGGTCAGGATGCTTCCAATGTTTATCACAGGTGTCCTGTGTAACATAGCCGTTGCCCTCGTCGTCAATCGCCTCTCAGTCATCTACCTTCTTGGTAAGCATACCCCATTCGCGTACTCGATTAGCTAACTCGCATTGCAACCATTTGCTCTACAGGCGGCGGGACGATATTGACGGCCGCTGGAGCTGTTCTCTTCGCAGTTATCATCCCCTCATCTCCGTACTGGGCGTTTGGTTTCCCGGCGGCCATTATCTCCGTCTTTGGCGCCGATTTCACCTTCTCAGCCGGTTCGCTCTTCGTAGCACGCGTCGCCCTACCCCACGAGCAAAGTGTCGCTGGTGCCTTGTTCACTACGATGACACAGGTTAGTCAACTCTGATAATCTATATTCAGAACGTCGCTGAAGGGTTTATAGTTGGGCACGGCGGTTGGCGTTACCGTCACAACCGTAGTGTTTGATAAGATCGCTCAGAGGGAGACTCGCCAGGTCTCATTCCTCCCTCCTCGTCCCAGTGCGCCAGCCCAAAATCAAGTTGCCGATCTACTGCCTGCCTACCAAGCAGCTCAATGGACAGCCTTTGCTTTCGGAATTCTAGGTCAGTAGCCCTTTGTCTACGGTTCGGCCCGCAGAAGTTCAATCTCTAATGAAATCTCTTCGCAGCTGCTGTGACGGCACTCGCATTCTTTCGTGGATTCGGGATTGTGGGACACCGGAAGGAAGACGAAGATGATAAAACCGTCACTAGTAGTGGTAAACATCCAGAAGTATGAGACCTACTTATCGATGATAATGTCAATAATCCTAATTTACTACGAAACCAAACATGTTATACCAGGCATCTATACATAGAAATCGTTTGGACGTGATCCACGGAAATCGCTTAGGGAATGCGCATTCGAGCTTCTACCTAGACGATTACAAGGCTGCACCCTTCGAACGCAATAACCCTCGACTGGGGTATCAGAGTGAATTGTCCTCATAGCCCCGTCTGTCCTTAGTAGAAAGGGCGAAAGTGGTTTGATTGTCATCGAATAGATGGAAGCCGGGCGCCCCAGAATCTGTCGCGTAACCCTTCCCATAGATATCAACGTTGTTCATTTCCCTACCCCATGTACAAGGTCTGTACTCTAGTACGCCGTACCTCAAGGTTAAGAATTCACTCTCACGATTCGTCTCTGAAACCAAGCGGCCCGGGTTCCCACACATTTGGTGCTTGGATGCCTGCTTTCTTCTTTGCACACTATCCTCATCATGGTCACCGCAATCCCTGTTGAAATTGCACGGATGATTGTTGGATATGTAGAAGACAAGAAGTCTTTACTCAATCTCTCTCTCATATCTCATGCTTTTCGTCGTCTCACCGAACCGTACCTCTACTCGGATGTTTCTTTCCTTGCCCCTCACAAAGGACGCTCGGACGCGGATTTGTTGGCTGTGTCCAACAGTTTTCTGCTGAGAATAACCTCAGGTGAAGGCCACTGCGCGCATCACGTCAAACGAATTCGTCTACCCGCGGTCGCCTTTCAAGGGGAACAATGCTCGTCGTTCCAGACGATCCTGAAGTCCATCCCAAATCTTGAAGATCTGCAGGTTTACTCGTCGTGGTGTGTGGAAAGCGAGAATACCTTGAATTTCCGAACCTTCTTCAACGATTAGACGGTCCACGACCTATCCCATTCACGCTTAAAGCTTTCGCATGGTACCCACATATGATGCCACTAGACAGCGCCGGGTTGGAATGGTTCCTCGCCTGCCAGCAATCACTCGAACTCCTACTCATCGCATCCTTTACCCTCGAGTCATCATTCCGGATCCCGGCTCTTCCCAGACTACGAGTACTCGATGCTCCAATAAGCTGCGCAAAAAGGTTACTCGAAACACACCGAGTCACACACGTGAAACTGCTAGGGGAAGAGTTCTTGCACCTCGATAGCGCAGCCCTCCGTGATGTGGTAGTTTGTGTAACCCGAATCACGGCGTTACATGAACTCTCAGCGGCGATTATACGCATGCGAAAATTAGAGTGCTTGGAAATGGACACCTCCTGTGTATGCCCCCCATTTAGCATGGCATTCCTCTTTACTTATCAGCAGGTATACCGTATTTCAGTCATCAATACCCAACACACACTCTCAAATCAATGCGTTCAAATGCGCCGTCAAGCTGCGCCATCTGCGTTTCTTCCCAAATCAAGCCATTCCTCAGTCAGGTTTCAAAGAATGGTTCGAGGAGGATCCTTGGAATTATGACGATGTTTGCGATGCCTTCGATAGCCTCCCGCAACTTGTCCACATCAGTTTCCGCATGCGTTCTACGACTTTCCTCGAGTATTGTTGCTTTACCAGGGGGGAGCAGCACCCGGTTAAGCTTCGCTCTCTTCGACCAGGGGTCTCAAGGGAATACACCGAATGGTGGACCAACTGGATAAAAGATTATGTGGTCGTCCCCTTTGAACCTGATGATATACGTATGGGGTATCAAGGTGATTGGCTTGGAGTCGGAGGGCGGGTTCTCAACAACCAGTCTCAGGAGGATCAAATCGAGGCGGTAGAAGGATCCTCATCCGAAGGATCCTCCCCGTAGTCCTACCTCAAGACCTTACCTCTACTGTCTGATTGCATAGAAGACTATGCCCTCCAAAAACGGCGGCCCTCGGACGGACGGTGCACCTGAGGCCTTTTATACATACAAAAATATTAGTGAATCATCTCTAGTTGTTCGACGCGCTCTCACTCTCTTCACTAACACGGCGATGTGCAAGTGGCGGCACAAAGAGGAGAGAGTCGAGAGCTCGAAATCCATATGAACTGCAAGTGCAACTCGTCATCCCACTGCCACGAATGTCGACAGTACGATGGCACCGTCGTCCTTTGTCGCGTCTATATGATCATGCTCGTAAGGTAGGAAGCGTGATGCGGCAAGGTGCTTACCGACTTCCGTTTCGTTGGCAAGATTGTGGCGAAATTGTTGCCGAGAGTTAAGTCTAGGGATAGATGAGTAACATCGTAGCCACCTTACGTCGGCTACATACGTGACGAGTAGTGAATTGACGTAGACTGAGGGTAAAGGAATGAGGATGAGGAGGGGAAGTCGGACAGCGAGGACGTACGTTTACTGATGACGCTGTGGAATATCACGAAAATGACATTCTTGGGCATTGCCACCCACTTCAAGCGACATACGGGACATTGGCTAATGTCTGAACCCAGAATGAATTTACGCACTGTGACCAGGTTAATCAGAGCGAAGACACTGTAAATCTATCAGAGACCGAAGACGAGTGTGATACTGTCATATTTGTTACCTAGAAAGCGTGCTAATACCGATGAAGTAGACGATCAACTTGTCGATCATAGCATCGGACCTATAGCATCATGATTCATGAGCCGAATTTGTTCGCACCGATCTAGAACAAGCATACGTCTTTATCCCAGATCGATTCTTATGGAGGGAATAAACGAGAGTGACAGATATCATGATGTCACATATCATCGCACTCGCTAACTCCAAGTTTCCGAAGATCTACTCCTTGATCAGGACATGGAATATTAGAGGAGATGGAACTCTTGGTTACGGTGCTGTTAGAGTCGTGGAGTCCGTTGATTGAACCACTGGTTCTCCTGGATATGAGGTATGAGAAAGAGTTGCATCAGGTCGGCCGTTGCACGTACATATTCACTGCCATGCCTACACTGAATTAGGAGATTGAGGATATGAAGGAGAAGGGTGTCCGAACCTAGCCCGCCGACTGAACAGAGGAAGTATCATCAACCGGTCTATGGTGGAACTTCATCACATACCAAGTTGACAGAGAACAAGGACCGCCTTGGGGCCCGAAACCAGGTAAGGACTCTGCTAGAAGTAAATACATCCGCGAAGCACGCACAAGAATTGAGGGGATCAGCCACTGTTTCCTGTACACTGCGAAATGTTGGGATTCGAGTCATCTGCAAGACTACTGGTAGGCATGGCTCACTGATCCACACCCTCAAGGTGAATGCACTAAGTCGACTAGGTGAATCGTGTTTATGAATCGGTCAATCAGAAAGCCCTCACCTCTGGACGAAGGAAGTCGTCACATACTACGGGAGACTCAAAATAACGGGCTGCGAAGGTAGGGAAGAAGCTTACAGAGAAAAAGGTAGAAATCTAGGACGGTGTGAGACGGTGCACATTTCATGGTGAGCTGGGACATACAATCATTCCTCTTGAACGAGCAGCGTTAGTATGGAATACAGTAGTTGAAGTTGCATGACGCTCACGCTGGATATTGAGGGTTTGGGACGGCTCGAAGATACCAAACTAAGGCTGCATTCGCCAAGCTGAAGGTGTGAGCGCTGTCGATCAAGCTGCGGTAAATTAAAACCTCGTTAGGGAGTGGAGTGCGTATCGTGGATCCCTTCGACTAACAGCAACAATGCAATCTAGGGACTTATAAGCATATTATAGGCTCCATGAGGGGGAGTACTTACGGAGTACTTCACGAACTTGCGGTCGCAAGGATAATTACGGTAGTATGAGATACCTTGTGCGACTGCAATACCGTAGAGGCTATAAATTTGACCACAGGTCTGATGGTTGTGGCCGGGGCAAAGGCATGGTAGCGTACGGGCATGCTAAAATAGAACCTAGTAAAAGCGTTAGTCTGCCTGCAGTATGAATGGGGCGGCTTACCTATCAGCAGTGGGGCGATTGCCTGAGCGAATGCTGACGGAGATGGTGGGGAAGACATGGTGAGGATATTTTGCCGCAGGCTAAGCATGCGCCCATATATATCTGGGAAAGGTGGTCCAACTGATGGAACCTGAAGGCCTGATGTCTGAATTCGGCATCCCATACGGCACTCCTGATACCGTTCCAATTCCTGAGTACTTCTTACTGCTTAGAAGATCTTCGTTGATGGTGCTGCCCTAAGGTAGTCGACCCAAGTCGAAGTATCCGGCGTGTCTGTCAGCGACATGTATCAAATAACTCTGAATTTACGGCAAGCCTAGGAATGATTGAAAATGAAAAAAAGGGCAAACGGCACCTACGCTGCGGGAGCTGTGGAGCTTTTGATTGGACCGGCGCTGATGGGGCTTGCTTGAGAGAATCAAGTCAAAATCGGTAGACGGCGAAGATCAACTACGCTCATGGAGAAAGCCTCCGACTCAGACGTGAGTACGTGGACATGATTGATGATTGATGAAGGGGGGGGCGCTGACGACCCACAAACCGCTGAAGGTGAGAAGTTCGGGGGCATGCCTTTACAGGTTGCTCCAGCCCCGGGGACACAAGGTCTCTAGTCGAGCACGTTTCTTAACAGTCAACAGGCCATGTCCGACGTCTTTCGAATAATCATGTCTAAAGGGATAATCATCCCATACTTGAAATGGATAAATGGATGCATCAGTACAGCAACTATATAGTATTAAGACCGAGCCTTACAGTCACCACGAGCACCTCTTGCAACGCAACCCGGCGCAACAGAACACGAAATACTCACCGGTGTGCATCAGATATTCAGACTGTATTGCGCACCCGGAGTCTAAGAAAGTTATCGGGCTCTAGCTTTGGAAGAAATACAGTCACTTTACGAACACATGCGGCCACAGTGGCAGACTGCAGTGGTTGGGCAGGGGAACGAACACTGCGAGCGGAAATTAAGCGCTGGAAGGTCGTGGGAATGTACATAGGTGACCACGTAGGTTCAGCTTGGAAACAAGTGTTTTCTCAACTCCCTCGCTCTCCACCACCACCACCACTTGATCCTCCTTCTCCTTTCCCGTCGCTACCATGAACTCCGGCGTACAGAATCTGGTGATCTCCCTCGGAGCCATGCAAGGTACGTCACTTTCTGCAGATTCCGACTGAATGCCGGCGTATTGAAAATAAGCACTCAGTGGCGCGCAAAATTCCATTCGACGACCCAGAGGTCCTGACTTACGTTCGAATTGGCTATGTTGTCTCCCAGATCATCATACTGGGTGTCTACTACTACATTACCCTCGTCGTGAGTGGAACTTTAGCGGTTTTGCTGAGATATGGAGTTGAACCCTTGGGTCACGTCACCAGATCAAGAAAAAGAACGACCAGACAGTATTGAAATATGGTCAGTGGGGATTCGCGAAAAATGAATGATTATGAACTCATCGTATTTTGCTTTTAGTTGATGCGCCCAACGCGATGGTTGGTTTTCACTGATTAACAGCACCTCGACTTGACTGAACCGTGATGCAGACACAGGAACCTGGTGCTTTGGTGACGACGACAGTGAAGGACTATGACCTGGCGGAGACATCAAAACTGGTAAGCTAGCTATCTGTCAGAACCGCAAAGGTCTCAGCCTTCACCGTTTCCGACAGATCCGTAGCGCGTACATGGGAATCGCGATGATGGGCTTCCTCCACGGCTACCTAAAGTTCACCCAGCCATTGTTCATTCAAGCCCTAATGGGACTGAAGAACCTCTACGACGCGAAGCCCGTGGCTCTGCACCTTCTCGGAAAGCCCGCTGAGGGCGACCTCAAGCGACCATTCAAGAGCCCCCCTGGCATGTTCGGCAGTGAGTATTCATTCTTTTTCATCGTCCTACGTTCCACTAATCGCACGTGTATTTCCATCGTCTTTCCTCATATCGTGTGCTGCGTGATTCTGTCATGGTCGAATCAGTGGCAACCCCTGCTCCTGCAACTGACGCCGCAGCTATTGCTGAGGCCGAGAAGCGTGTCGGTTCGAAGAAGGAGGAGTAATCACCCTTTACACGTTGTTAGATTTACATCTTTTGGGAGTAATTTATGTCCCCGTGGCGCGAGGGATTTCGATAATACGCTGCTGGCCCTGTCTGTTGGAAGCATGTCTGCAGTGCGCAGTCCACATGGCATGAGGAAGCGAGTCTTCTCGTCGTCATGGACACCCTACATTGATTTACTTCTTGGTACTTACATCTTGAATGAGGTAGGCTGTGGGTTTCGTGACCCATGTGACGAATGAAGTCGAGCCCACCATAGCTATGATGAATAAGAACTTGCAGGAAGACACATCAAGATCAACATAACAAGGCAGTCTGTCTCATTGGTGGACTACAGGTTACAAGTGATACAAGTGAGGATTTCGTGGGGGCGAGCCTAGGACGAGGGGGTTAGGCCATGTAGCTTGTTCCTGCGTCGGTTCTGGGCGGCGCGGGGTTGACCATTATCCACATAGAGGCTTTATCATTCCCCTTCACCCCCAAGAACTCCTTCTGACCTCTGTCGATGAATCCGAGATGCTCAAATAGTTGCTTCTGACTGTTGTATCAATACAAGGGGGGTCATGCAGGCTACTACAGGTCACTCACATTTATAACGTTTGTTGCTTCGGCGAGGGAATCGTAGCCATGTTTCTGCGCCTGTTCAACGTATGGGTTCAGTTGGCCTTTTCTCCAGAGACTGGGGAGAAGGACACCCGGGAGGTAGAGATAGTGTCGGACAAACCTTCTCAAGCACGGCCCGGATCATTCTTGTCGCTAACTGCTGAGACGGATGGTTAGGAGCGATGCCGATGAGCTGTAGGTGATAGGATCTTAGTCGTTTACTGGGACCCAGCTCTTGGTCGATAGCGCCGTGGTACTCGGGTAGAAACTAGTCGGCGATCGTCAGTCAATACTGAGGCTAGGCGGAGAAGGGGCAGAGGGGCGGGTGGGATGAAGCTGCGATTTACCTTGTCGTTCCACCATGTCTGCAGCTCGTCGTCAAACTGGGCGAGAAGCGGAACGAGGACCCTCTCCGCTGTGCCTCGCTAGAAAGGATGAGCCGATGAGCCGATGAGTTTGTCGACAAGACGCAAGCAACTCTGCGACCCAAACGACGACCAACCTGTGACAGAATTCTGAGCCGGGGCCAAACCACACAGCGCCTCCAACGATTGTGCCGTTCGCATCTTCAGCGACGTGAATTTCGCCTTCTATCATCCCTGCCACCAATACAGCGTTGACGAAGGGGACGACGAGCTCAGGATCGCGGCCGATAGTCATCTTGATGAAGCCGTCTAAGCATCGCGTTAGCCATGAGGGAGGAGACATGGAGAGGAGCTCGGAAAGGCGGTGGGAAGCTTCCTACCATCTTTGAGAGCCGTTGAGATAGCTTTGGATGTCGCTACCAGCTCAAGCTCTGTTCAGGCCATTAGATATAGGATAAAAACATAAAAGAGAGGATAGAATACCGGTAGGGTCGCTGAGGTGGCGGATAGAGTAGCTCATGAGTGAGTAAGGGTGGATGTAGAAGATAAACGGGCAAACCCAGCGTAGGAGCCTGTACTGAATATATCATATCTAGACATGACGGGGATTAAATACCCTCCTGGGCGAGCTCCAGCCGCCTAAAACGAACAGCCATCTGAAAGAGGAATATACGCCTGATAAAAGCACCGTTGAAGACGGTATTGCGGACAGCGGGGGGTCGTGTGGAATCCTGGATATCATGGTGAAAGAAAATCCATTCAATATTCTAAAAGAAAATGAAGAAACATCTCCCGCAGCTTGGAAATAGTGGAATGTCCATGCGCATCACGAACGTCAGAGGAAGCATCGCTAATGAGAATGTTTGGTGAGCATGTGCCACAGTTGCCGCGAAAATATATGAGATAATTGGGATGATGAAGAGCATGCCAGCGATCGGTCATCATACAGCATATCATCCGTTCAAGGCGTAAGAGGAGAGATGCACACAAAAGGATGACAGAGAAGCCCGAAATAATGCAGAAGAAGATAAAGACACATGCATAGATTGATGGGGGAAAGTGAATGACCCCACACCTTGCTTTGATACTGGGGCTGGTGAGAAACCGAACCGCGTAGATTAATGCCGAGCGTCGCTTGGTAGAACGGAACCGACCATTAAGCCCTAACACAGAGGGTTCCATCGTGAATACAGCTTAGAAGTTTCTGATCACAAGTCAAACAGACGAGACGACAGAACATTCTGACCGTTTAGCGATGAGACAGCAGGACGACAGAAGCTCGACCAGAAGGACTTGCACCGAGTGAATAGCAACCTGAAATAATCACGCTGCGCATTGATCTAAAGGGTTTATAATAGCATCTAATCCAAGTTGTACCCGACAAGACTTCGTCGGCCAATAATCTCCCCAACCTAGAACGCAAGTCATATGAAAAGAACGTTCCAATACGAGGATGACTAAATGACCCACTTTGAAGATCGTATAGGCCTCTGCTGCATAGATTCCCACCCGCGCAATCTCCCCATTGCTTGCAATAGTCCGCCAGTAAGCCGGGCTCGATGCACGCGACCAAAGTGTTGAGTAAGCGCTTTTGAGGGTGGCGGTGGATGTGGGAGGTCGCAAGCCTTCGGCATGGTAAACTTGCTTCACAAGTTCCCGTGCGACAGAGAAGTTGTAAACGAGCGGCTGTTTATACGCTGAAGAAACCGGCAATCAGTATCGTGAATGAAAAATGACGGAATTGCCGGGCTGCACACGTTGACCATAACGGCGAAAGGAGGAATGGCTAGCGGTGTGCGTAGCGTCAAGTGCCGATATCGCGTTTCCTCCGCTGCTTGACAGAAACCATATCCTTATTTCTAGCCGCACAGAGGTAACAGTACGCCCGCCACACTAATGCAATCCTCTTAAATCCTTCCATATTTCTGACGCGGCCTTCCAAGGTGGTCTACAGTGGAAATGAAACTACTCACAACCAAGCATCTGACCGGCTTTCGCAGTGACTGGCTCCAAGAACGTCTTGGTCGACTCCCAGAGCTTTTCCGCATTCTTTTGAGCGCTGCTCAGCGCGTCTTGAGCCTTCTTTTGAGCAGCATCGGCTCCAGCATTGGAGGATGAAAATCGGGCGCCGTGAATGTTCGCAGCTCGCGAACGAGTGACTGGGCGCGAGACAAGCTGCCTCAATGTGCCTGCGGAGAATGTTGACCGCATGTTGTCGTTGGAGAAAGAGTGAAACGAATGCACTCTGCAGATGAGCTCTGGCGAAAGTTGGCGGGACCGTGGGAATACTGACCAATTCCGCATGTCCCCGCCCCAAGTAATCTTATCTTATCAGGCACCATCTTATTGTCTGAACCACCATGAGGATACCTGTAGAAATCGCGCAAATGATCATAGGTCATGTCGACGGGCAAAGCTCTCTGAAAAATCTCCTCCTTGTTTCACAATCATCTCGCTCTCTCATCGAACCCCATCTCTACGCTGATGTCTCTTTTCTTCGACACCTACCCTTGCGCGACGATGAATGGGATCGACTTGATCTTGGTCACTCAGCTCAGGACGAAGATCCATCTCTGCAGTGCCCTAAATCTGTACTGTCGGTGGGGAAAAGTTTTCTTCTCAGCCTCACGACTGACGGCGGGCGTCGTGCCCGGTATGTCAAACGAATATCCCTACCATCCAATGTCTTTCAAGGCGAACAATATTCGATTTTTCAAGCTATATTGCCATCGCTTCCATCCCTTCAAGATATCGTCGTCCATACGTCTTGGACCTCAAATTGGATCAATCATCTGGACCTTCGTCACTTCTTCGACGGTTCACGGCCCTCGTTTTCACTCAGAAGCTTCGCTTGGCTCACGGGGAATGTGCAGTTGTATGTCGATGGTTTAGGATGGCTCCTCTCGGGCCAGACTTCACTCGAATATTTATCTTTATATCCATCATCCACAAGATCTACCTCATCGCCCGTAGCGGGTCTTGATCTCGCGTCTTTTCCAAGGCTTCGTGTGATTCGCGCCCCGTCCTTTCCCAGACTCTTCAAAATCACAACCAAGCAAGATCTACCCACACATCTACACACAAATTGCGAACACCTACAATACATAAGCGACGCTCTCCGAAATGTAATAGTCCTTGTCACCCGTAAATCCCTGGTGTTTCGAATGGCTGAGGTCGCCGCGCCGAACTTGGAGTATTTGGAGGTCGACACCTTTTGTGTATGTCGACAAGCTTCCGTGATTCCTCTACTAATAGTCCCTCAGTCGTCCTTATACGGCGTACTTCATGAGGTGCCCGAGCTCCAAAGGTACAGCAAGCTCCGCCTCCTGCGCATTTTCCTTGACTTTTCCACCGAATATTGGCGTAGGGTGGGGCTTGGAGCCGAGACTTGGGGCGACGATGATGTGGCCTTCGCGTTCAATTCTCTCCCCTCTCTTGAGTACATCGACATCCGCATACCGTCTACGCCAATGCCTTCAGAGTATTACCGCTTCAAGAGAGGAGCAGCGCCAGAGAAGATTCGCTCGGCCTTACCCGTAGCGAGGTACCATGACGAATGGTGGCATGATTGGGAGAAAGACTGCAGTATCGTCTCTTTTGACCCCACCGATCATCGAGCGGGATACCGGGGTGACTCCTTCTAAGTTTTAGGTAAGTTAAGTTTAATGGTTTAGTTTTGCAGCTCAATCGCTGATTTCCCAGGATGGGTTAGGGAATCATGCTTCCCTACGAGCGTGGATCTGTCTACAGAATGGTCGAGTCAATGTCACTGTACGATGCGGCTGGGAACAATCAGCGCAGTGGGTGGAGACGGGAGACATCTATGTCATCGATTGCGTGCTTTAGATCCTACCAGGAAGTAATTGCAAGGTCAAACAGAGGGCTACAGAAGGTTGAGTTACTCGTGACAGTCGTGTGAATTTGGTTGGAAACAGCATTGAGTCGACGACTCTGACTGCCACTGGTTAACACCTCATGTAAGGTTTCGATGCGTGTGTACAAGTTGAACCTTGAGCATTCGTTTCCGATGCCTTCTGGGCCTGATGCTCGTAAAATGCGTATGAAGTAAAGTGAGATTATGTCATTGTGCAATTTCAAAGTTGACAAGCCTGGCCGTGTAGCCACCATTCGTCAAAAGCGGAGGCACCAACATCAACTTTAACAGGGAAAGACTTTCCAGCAGTATAACGACTGTATTCGGACGGATATGACCTCTTCAAATCGATGGATCGAAGAAATCGGTTCTCCTCGTACAGCTGATCCACAAAATTACTGTGGTTACCACCTGGCTTAAATCCGGACAGGCGTAGGTACTGGATAGGCATAGTGGCGAGCGCTTCGGTGATGGGTAGAAAGTCTTCCAGAATGCCAACCTACGCGGCCGGGTTTCGAGTCAATATATGAGACAATCAATAGGGGGAAGACTCACACTGCGTAGCATCAACCAAACACACCGAACGTTAGAGACAAGGGGCGCCAGCTTAAGCAGATCATCTGCCACACAGTGCAGTGATCGAAGGTTATCGAAGGCTTCGTGAGTTTCTGCATCATCCGTCTTGATCGTAACGTCGAAGACAGGCGTGTTCAAGAGTAGATGGGAGACCTTTCTACCCGACATGACGGAGACCGCAAATACCAGCGGTGCCTGTAAGACACGTAGACGCGGCAATGCCGATGGGGCAAGAGAGATGGCCGAGTCAACGGACGATAGCGAAAGGTACTCTAGCGATGGTTGAGCTTCTAGGAAGTGGGCGAAAGCCTCGACGTCTTGTACATTATTAGAACATGCGAAGTGGGTGAGAGAAAAGGGATAAGTCGTAGGGGCGAGCGACGGGAAGGCAACAAATGGTTCCCAATGATAGAGTAAGTTCAGCCGTTTCAGATTGCGCAGGCGGGCCAATATAGTGTCGAGAGCGGCGGTCTTTCGATTGCCAAGCGACACCGAATTCACCGTAATGGAAGTGGTGAGCGATTGAACGTACGACGATAACCTATCGCTCTCCCCAGTGATCCTCAGATAAAACCCCTGCAAACGACGCAGGTCGTGTGTCGTCGCCACGAGGTCCCTATAGAGAAGGGGTTCGGCAAGTGCCTTGAATGCCCGGGATACGAGCAGAAGAGGGAATAGCGCCTCTTTGCCATCGACCAGCTCGAGTATCATCTGGAAAAGCTCAGGAGGGAGAGGAGGCGATTCCATGGTGGTGGTGCACTGATAAGCCGCTTTCCGTCGCTAGACCTCCGTTATCCCGTTATAAGCGTGCGGACTTTTCCATTCGCCATGTCGCCATCAATTGATACGTAAGGCTGTGCTAACCATCTGGCCGATCCACTTCATCTGCCTGCGCGAAATACAAGGACAAGTACCCGGGGCAGGAGAGGAAGGACTATAGAGGACACAAAGAAGGTTGACGTTCTATACTTAAACTTAAGCGCTGAGAGAAGTGTTATAGTCAGGGGGCATTCCTACCATGGCCACCTACCTGTCATGTATGGCCAGAATCCGAAGCTTCACTTCCATGGTACCGACCGCTGAGCTTTCGAGACAGCCGTAAACGCTGAGTCGGCGAGGAATAGACCCAAATCACTGTATTCTTTCTTATTCTTATTTTGTACTCGATTGTGGTGTAACATCGACAAGAAACTACCGACGGACAGATGTTGTCAAGCAGTGGGCTCGGAGGTGCAGGTACTGAATGCCTCCTGGGAAAGCGTGTGCATAACAATCGCGTCCTTGGGGCGTATCTCATCATACTGTGTCACGACATCAACACCAACAACTGATGAAGCAGTTCCATGCCTATTAGCGAAGGCGACAATCAGTACTTACTCTTCTTAACAATCCGTATATCAGCGTTGATAGATTACTTACTTCGTTTGGAGATGCTCTATAACCAACTCTTTCTGCACGAATTGAGGGAAGAAGTGCGTGCATCGATTGCATGTATACAAAAACGTCTTCGCTAACGCTACCGAGTCCTCGCGTTGTTTGACGGCAGTAGAATCCGAGGGAGAAAGAATATAGAAGTTGGGATGGCCGTGAGTGGTAGCTTCGATGAAGTGATGGACCTAGATAATGGAGTAGAAACGAAGGGAGCGAACGTCAAGCGCCGCAATAAAAAAACAGCGCACTTACGCATTCACGCCAAGTCATAGCCGCTCCCGCTGTGTGCTCACGGCAATCCATACACTGAATCCTCGCATCGACCCGATCCAAATCCTTTGGTTGCGCCGTCTCCACTCTAAGAGCCGGCTCCCCACCCAAGCCTGTATTGATCAATGCGATAAGTGCCCTAACGGCCCCAGAGCCCCTCGAGCTCCATTGAAGCCCGCTACGAAGGAGACCGTCGCCATCACGGCGCAATACAGGCACAACATCCGCCCAAGATATACACACCCTCCTTGACTTTGACGACCTCGGGGTCGGGATCAACGTTGCGACTGACCTTGAAGACGAGGGAGGGCGGGAAATGGGAAATGGGAGTGTGGGGGAGGATGGCGAGGACGGCGAGGACGAAAGAGACGTGGAGGGTGGAGGAAGCTCTAAGACCGTGGTAGCAAGATCGAGGTCTTCGAGCTGTATCTCAGCTCGAGGCGGTGTATCCTTTTTGAGCTCGTCTACAGAGCGTGGGGTCTTCCCCGTCTCCCTGTCGTCGTCCTTTGTCGATACTTGGTTCTCATTCTCCCCATGCTCTTCTTTCGCATGGTTTTGATTCTTTGCCTCCTCGTTAACACCGGCACGTAAGACCTTTAACAACCTCTGCCGCCTCCTCAATCCCCAGCCCTCGATCTCGCTCCTCATCCTCTCTCTCAGCTTCAAATGGGCAAACTTGGGATGGTCGATATCAAACTCCTCCTTCCCCATCTCTCCACTGCCGCCGTCAATGAATTTATCATTGATCAACTCCTTAAAAACGCCCACCCCCATAACGTACTCTGCACCAGGTAACGCCGCCCACTGTTCAGCAGGCAGCTCTTTCGCGATGGAAAGGTACAACCTGGCGATAGCGCTACGCCGAGAAATGATTATCTCGGCGCGCTCGCGCTCGAGACGCCGGGATTTCGCGAATGCGAGGGTCTGAGTGATCCGGGGGAGGAGTGCAGACCAATCTGAAACGAGGTTAGATGCAGGGGGCAAAGAGGGGGAAGAGGCTGACCTGCGTCGGTGAACTGCTTCTTGGGTGTGGCCAATGCTACAAGCTTCAGGGCGACGCTCTGCACATCGCGTGGGTCGTACCCAGCATCAAGACATCGCGACCTTATACTGGCAACGAACCCTTCCCATCAGCACCGTGCAGATGCACGCATTGTCACGAGAAAGGAGAGGAGGGCCGTGACTCACAGTTTCGCAAACATCAGTTTCTGTTCAACTTTATCGGCGGCATTCTTGCGCGACAATTCGTTTATCCAGGGCTGCATATCCGCTGCTTTCTGAACACCAATGAATAAGTACTAGACCACGTGCACGGGTTGTCTCCTCGAACCGACCTTCGAAACGAGGAGTACGAGTGCTTTCCTCTCCTCAATAAACTTCCCAAGTGTGTCCTTTGTCTCTACGTCATCCCCGGCGATATTCGCCTTGAATTGTTCAAAGCTGCGTTTAATTTCCTCCCAGTCTGCCTTCCAGTATATACGGACGGTTGGGCCTGAGCCACTACCATAATCTGCGTAGAAATGGCGCGGTTATCAAGGAGCTCGCGAGGCAAGAGAGGCAAGGGAATACGTTTGCTGGTATAGTTGAACACCATATCCCGTAGTGGACTTTGAGGTCCTTTGTCCTTGGCTATCGGCTCCCTAGATATCACGATGCTGGGTACAACAACATTTCCACGTGAGCATCCGGGGGAAGAAACAGGATAGAACATACTTGTGCGGTTTATCCAAGCAGTCTTGACATATCCTCCGCATTAAGCAGAAATTCGGTAATGTGTCTCCCTTTCCACAGCTCTATACATAGCCCCTCCCTTCAATCAAATTCACGCAAACAGCAATTGAATAGTAGTGCTCACTTCGCAGATGAGCGCTCCGAAGAGCAAGTCCGCCCATTTGAGGTAGGGAAATCCATTCGGGTGTTGAGGAGCGTTCTCCGCGCGAAGAAGCTTGATCCACACGGTGTTGGCTTCAGGACTCGACAGGAAAACATGGAATTCAGGGAGTGCGGCGGAAAGCTCGACGGCGTCTCGTGGTGAGAGCCATTGGAGCGTCTATTAAAGTCAATATTCAGCGCAGGCGTGTAAGTGGCGATGGCGGTTGTACCTGATACAAAATGTCGATAGGAAGCTCAAGGAGGCGGCGAAGGGGCATCGTCGCCGTGGTTGGTAGAGGGTACGCGACGTGCGCGTGACTGTGACATAGAAGTCACCTCGTGGCCGAGAGTGCTGAGCGAGCGCGCCACTGTTCTGAAATTTTGGAAGATTTCGCTCGTTCTCATGCTTTCGACCTCAACTGCCACAACCGAAGACAAGGCTAACGGCATTCTCGCAGTGTGCGGGCTGTAAGTCTGATCACTCATTCACCAAAAGAGCCACAAATAACGCAAGCAGCTCATCCATATTTATTCCAGATGCAGGAGACAATTCGCGAAATATACGTGTCCTTCGTGCAATGTGCCGTACTGTTCGTTGACCTGTTTTCGATCTGACGTGCGTCGTGTCTTCGTGGGCTGTCTGCGCCGCATTGATCCCACTTATCTGCGTGTTTGCAGTCCCATGGCCAATGCTCCGAAGGTTTTTACCGGAAGGAGGTGGAGACAGACATCCAATCGGAGCCTTCGAAGACGGCTGAAGAGAGGCGCAGGATGATGGATTTGTTGAAGAAGTTCGAGGAGGATAGTTTGAAGCAGGACGATGGGGATGGGGACGATAGTGATGGAGATGGGAGCGACGACGAGACGAACGAATTATCAAAACGTCTGCGTGGTGTTGATCTCGGCGAGTCGCTCTACTTCTTGCTTTCGTTTGTGTTCTCAAAGGGGGGATTCTTTCTTAGATTCGACATTGCCGGACGATCTATGGACGCTCCTCACACCCTCGCAACAACAGAAATTCCTGAAGGCACTCCAAGACCCCTCGAGCGAACTCGCACAACAACTCCTCGCGAGTGAGCAGATCGAGAAGGATACGGTCTTACCTTGGTGGAACGACCACAATCATGGCTTTCTTGAACCCGACGGAGAACACGAGACTGAACTCAAGGATTCGCCTCGGTACGGAAAGGACCCACGCCCGATGCCAATTCCTACGCGTCTGGTTACACCAGTCGAGGGCGGGCCTTCGTTGGTATACAACATCGTAGCTGTCCTGTAAGCTTGTTTCCACTCATATCAAAGCCTACATTAACATCCCGATCATAGCATCACTTATGCCTACACAACCCGCTGCTTCGCCGTATCTCCACTCTCCTCCATCTCGCCCCACTCTCCCGATGTCCTCGAGGCGCAACGGACAATCGCACGGGTAACACCGTTCCTTGTTGAAAGGCGGGCAACTGCGGTGTTCGGGAGCGTGGGGGAGGTGGTGACGGACATTTGGGCAAGGCTTGGGCAGGTATGCTACTCATATCCTTCCCTCGTGAACGGAAACCAAACTAGACCTCTCCTATCAGGGTAATAATGATAATAACGAAGCCATGAGTGTGTTCCTGGGGGACGCGGCGGAGCTTCTGCGGCCTCTGCCCGTCGTGCCATTGCCACCCTTGCCATTGTTATCTTCTCCTCAAGACCCGGACCCGGACCCCTCATACGATTACAACGCGCACCCACACCGCCGGTCTGTTCTCGCGCTGTCAGACCTGTACCATCTATATTCCTTTCCATCTTCCACTCTACGCGGACCCACGAAAGTGAACCCAACAACGCAGAAGCTCGTCTTCTACGGCGCCCGAATGCTCGTGCTGCCCTCCCATGTGCTGTCCATAGTTGCGCAGGAGTTACTGGCATATATCGAGCTGATGAAGAGGGAGCGCTCCGTGCAAGCGTCTGAGTCCGCTTCGGGGGGTACCTCGACGGTAGTTAGGGTGGGGGCGGGAAGTAGCAAACCTTTGGTTGAGGAACTTTAGCATTTCGCGCCGCCCAAAGTACTACGTAAGAACCTAGTCCATTCGCGAGTCTACACCTATCTAAGGTCGTCTCCTACCAGTAAACAATCATCGCATACCTCCCTCTCCGCCCCAGGATGAGATATCAGAGACCCAGCACGTCCTTCACGCGGTCATCCCTCGGAACCATCCTGATCCTGAACGGCACAGGGGAGCGCCCGGACAAGCCGTCGTACTCTTTGAGGTCGATGGGCTCGCCGGGGATCTCGTGCATGCGGAAGGCCCAGAGGATGCGGGAGATGCAGAGGAAAATCTCGCGCTCTGCGACCCACATTCCGGGGCATATGCGGCGGCTGGACGGAGATGTGAGTTGCGTAGATCAATGCAGGAGAAGGAGAAACGTACCCGGCGCCGAACATCCAGTGGTCGCGTTCGTAGGGGTTTGCGAGGTTTGCCGACTCGGATGAGAGGGTCGAGTCTTTGATGTAGCGCTCCGGCTGCAAACGAACGTTGACATCGTCAATCGATGGCGGCGTATTATTTGGGTCTTTGATTGGGACTTACGTTGAAGATGTGGTGATCTGTGTGCCGGCTGGGGTCGTGATGCATCGTGTACTGCACAGCCAGGCGTAAGCCCCTCGGTACGAGTGAACGAAGCGCAAGTACTTACTGAGTTGATGATGACGACGGAGTCTTTGGGAATAAACTGCCCCCGGTACGTGAAGTCTTGCATACTGAAGTGGGGAGCCCCCAGCCAGAATGGGTTATGCACCCGCTCGATTTCCTGCGCACAGCGCAAAGACGAAAGTAGGATCGCGTTAGCTCAACTCTACGAGGTGAAGAAGTAGGGGTGGAAGGTGAGTGTACCTTTATGATAGCGTGGATGTAGGGCAAATTCTTCTCGTCTTCGAGAGTGGGCAATCGATCCCTGCCTACGACGCGGTCCAACTCTTCGTGAGCCTTCGCCTGTATTTCGGGGTATGTAGGTATCAGGGCGGAGAACCACTGTATGATCGATCCGGTCTATCCAGTCATCGTCAGAACCTCCACCCTTATCCCCACAGGATATTTAACGTACCGTCTCAACGCCCCCAACCATGAACGCCGAACACAGGATCGATATATCCTTGTGATCCAGCTTCTCTTCCTCCCTCGCCTCCAGAATCGCTTTGGCGAAGCACTCGGGGACTCGCTCGCCCGATTTCATGCGTTCTTCGAACTCGAGGGCCATGCCACCGTAGGTCTCGACGAGGGCGCGGTGGAGCTTCTTTCCTCGCGAGGTCATGCGGTTGGGCAGCTTTTGGAGAAGGGGGATGAAGTCGACGAGGTTCGAGACAGGGCCCGTGCAGTTCCTATATCCCCACTGTTTAGTAAGGTTACAAAGTAATATCACAGAAAAACGAACATAAATTCGCGCGAGAGCTTGAGGGCATGTGCCACTAAGGGGTGGTTTATCGAGTCCGTACGATCCCCGTATACGATGGACATCATATTGTTGAGCGAGCATCGACCAGCATGGGGTTGAGGGTTGATCGGCGCTGCCCCGGCCTGACCGTGGCGATACAGCTCCTTCAGTAACTCGGTCGCCTCGAAATCCAAGGTATGATTGTAGCCGTCTACCGCTCTCTGTACCAGGAAAGCTGAGGCAATCCTACGGTGTTTTCTCCTTCACATCGACGTAGGTCAGTCATAATTGCTTGTCCCTTTAGACCGCCTAGACATATCACTCACCAACATTCATTGTATGGGGTATCGGTGATGCCCCTCCCCTCAAAGATAGTCTGCGACTTGATGAACATATTCTTTCTGGATGAGAAGATAGCCCCATTTGTCACGATGAGATCTTTGACGATCTGTGGGTCAGAGATGATGACGAAGAGCTGATTTCCCAGCCAGAAGGAGTAGAGCGGTCCGAACTTCTTCGCCCAGTAGTCGAGCGTTAACTCGGGGTAGTGCGTGAGGAATGGGAAGGATCCTGTACGTGTGAGGATGCGAGGATGAGAATGATGAAGCGATATAGAGGCGGCCAAGGATATGTGTATTTAATTAGCGTTGTGCTTACCTAGGATGGGCAACCCGATTGGGCCTGGAGGTATGGAGTAGCCGTGTTTGTCGACGAGGCGGGAAGGGAATACCCACTCCCTAAAGTGGTAGAGAAGGAATGCTATGGCTGAGAGCGATGCAGATAGGACGGCTAGTTGGGTATTGGATGCATTTTGGTGAACAATTCCGAGGGCGAGACGTTGAGCCGAGAATGAAGAGTTCGAGGTGGACATGAAATCCATACTCGAAAAGGGTTCTGGAGAAAAAGGTGCTTCAATTCGAAGCACGAAAGCGCACTTGCGTGACTCTCTTATAGACGCAGCATTAGTATAGAAGAAATGGGGATCCTGTCGACACTAATTCATCGGCCACGTCCCATCTTCTACTGATGGGAAAATCAAGATGAACGTTAGCTGTGAGTGGAAGAATAAGATCCAAAAGGCGAGAGAAACTTGACCCGCTAGTCGCGCGGGAGCCAAGAATCCAGTGATGAGTATATCGTCCGTGTGGGTTTCTCTACGAGGTGCTAAGGCATTCAGCGGCTTAAAATTAGATCATAGAACTTCGCACCTAAACTATGTCACGCGTGCTTTGGTCCGAGCTTGTCTTTGTCCTTACAGTCCGAGTACCATGCATCAACGGCGCGCGCATAGGGGAGAGAGATCCGGGGAAAGGACGGCATTCGGGAAAATGCGTGTACGCGCGCGCGTAACAAACATATCTCGGTGGCTCTCTCTCGAAGTACATATGATCATGAGGAGCGGCCAGAGATGACACCGCAGGTTCTACGCAGAACACGTCCAACAATGCTATGTTTACGCTTGAGACCTTTGTCGTCTACCGATATCCAACGCTTAGCATGAACAGCTTCTATAAACCAATGATCAATGATGGATTTTGAATTGCCTTATGCGGCGCAAATCTCAAGACCTAGCGGGAGTTACCGGTCAGATATGTACCGCTTGCAAGATAATTAGAGTCGCTTCTGGAAACGGTAGACCGACGGTAAAAGGAGTCACAAATCGACGCTGGAGGCGGAGGTCTTTATGAAAACCCAGGCGCCCACTAAAGGGCTTCCTGTGTACGTTAGAATGGATAGAAAGTTAAAACGGATGATGTGATTGCATAACTATGCCCTCTCACACCATTGCTTCTGACTCTCCCTCGAGGTTTCATTGAGGCCGGCCTCGAGCGCTGACTTAGGTTCTTAGGCTGCCTATTTACGTGCCGGAGCCAGCTGATCAAACGCACAAATGATGTATGATGCATGACATACTGATTGGAACATCTGTTAATCTCTTGCGAGTATCCACACCGATTCGGAGGCCTCCAAAAGGATGCGAGGTCTACTTATTGTTTCAAGATTGTCTTGTGGTCGTTCGTCCTACTTATGGGGTATTATTGCGAACAGAACGAAACTTTACGGCCATCCCGGCTTCTCAGTGGTCCAGGTGGTACATACATAGCTCGCCTGCGAAACACTTAATTCCAGCCTTCGAGGCGGAACGCCATGGTCCTTCTTTGGGCATATTTAGAGAGAACATATGAGCAGCTATTCTTACAACTCACTCCGTGTGTGCGAATGCGAGCAGGCCTTGTGAATGTGATTTGTGCCGTGGGAGGATGATTTGAGTGTTCTGGGAGTTAAGGTGTTCAACGTTGATGTCCGGGAAGCCGACGACTAAAAGAACACCATCGCGTGCCTCTCCGTGCATAGAATGATTGAAAAGCGGTACTTTATTTCCTTCTTGATTAATTTGATGAAGGCATCGAATCATCAAGGATTTAGAAAAGCAAGGTCCTGGGAATGACGGAAACACTGCCAGCCGATTTTCGTAAGTTCGCTAGAAATAGAAACCTCAGTAAACGTAGACATGGCATCACCATGACAAGCGGTTGCGTGCACCGAGTGCCATTCATCTGCAATTTATTACTCTTCCGTAACGATGGTTCCAGACAAACACGCGAACGGGAGAAGTTCGTCCAGAATGGAATCGTAGAGCGTGTGTATCGTAGGAGTAGAGCTTTTCCGGAGCTCTCGGTCTTGCGTCGTACTTAAGGAGGCATTCGAGTTCACAAAGGGAGTGGGGTTCCAAACGAAAGCGACGAGTGGAGAGATCAATGTTTGAGGTCCTCTCGACGAGGATATCAACGGTGATAGTGATCTAGAGGAAGGTTGATGGAGAGGTTGATTTCGGACCTTCGGCGCTTCGTCGGAGATACCTCGACTCGTATGTAGATTATCTGTTCAACGAAGGTGTATGTAGCCTCAGTTGAGATCTTCTTCAGGCATTGTGAAGCATCCCCGTATTGATTGCAGAAAGCGGCACTAAGGTAAGATTCAGTGAGAAGACGAAACGAACGGGCCGCACGAAGATTGCCCAGAGCAACGGCGACAGCCTCAATGTGTCCAGGAAGATTCGAGCAGTCCCTGAAGGTAATTTGAGTGCCATGACAAGGGAGGTGATGAAGAGGCTCCAGTGATGAGGGTGGGTGAGTATCGGCGCCCGAAACTAAAGAACGTCGCGAGAACCTGATGGTATCAACCAGCCGGTCAGATCGCGAGAGCTTTCGTATAAGAGCAACCTAGCGGCGTTAACTGAAAGCTGTATCAAGAGGTACTGCACCCCAAACTTCTACGATAAAGTCTCCCAGCGCGAAGAGGAACAATCCTGCCCCTTGAGTTCGGGCGTCCGGTGGTTCAACGTTCAGGCGTCAGCGGATTGTTCGATGAGAAGTGAAAAAGTCGACCGCAGTAAACAGAGAACCTTGGCGGCGGAATCCCATCCCTCGGTTGCCGACCGGGGATGACCCGAATTACAACAAAAACAACAAAAACGGAGGGTCGTCGAGCACGCCCTGATAAAAATAAAATCCAGGAGCGTCGCCTAGAAGTGTTATACAAGTTGACAACGAACAATCGACCACTCGTGTAAGCGAAACCACGCTACCTCCAGCAGAGTAAGAACTCACGTTCGTGTCATCATTGGCAGCGCTAGCCCCGCGACGCTATGCGGAAGGGTCTAGGTTGCCTCACCCTGTGGGCGCGTATTTTCAGTCAGTGTGACGGGCTATCGTTGAGGGCATCTAGCTCTTGCCAATTATGATGCTGGAGCAAACGTTCGCCATAGATCCTGAAAAATAACAAAAGAGTACGGTGATCCGAGTCTGTACTTGCGTCGCTTGAGTCAAACAAGAATGAAGATGGTTTGATTATGTAAGACGGCGGGGGCGGGACAACCACCTTTGGCAAATGCGACATTAGGGCAGGCTCCTGGAAGCCCGAGCGACCGGCGCTTAACGTTTAACGCTAACGCGTGCTCCAACCTCCGCCGATGCTCCGCGATCCTTGCTCTTGCGCACGGGCTCCACATTGTCAACCACATCCAAACTGAGTACCGCGTATTTCAGTGATAAAGGAGTTTACAAATCTACAAACGCGTCCGTCAAATGCTGTCGCGCGTCGAAACTACTGTCCAAACTGCTCTTTCCATACGGGTTCAATGGATCTATGTCCCGACGTGTGTCTTTGTCGACGCCCTGCTTGGCATCTGCCAACCCCGACTTGAGACTGGTGCCGTTCAAAGATTGATCAATTAATCCACCGAAGGGCTGGCTTTCTGTGATAACTGGGTTACTATTGGTGTTGCTGTCGGGGTTAGCTCTTGGGACTCTGTCTGACCAGACGTTTGCGCTGCCATAACCGCCGGATGATGTGGCTATACGTGACGCGTAAAGTTAGAAATTGCGGCATGTTCTAGGTACGTGGCTCACTGTCGTTTCCTGGAGGATAATTTCCGACTGCTGGCGCAGGTTTGCTAGTTCCATCGTGTTCGTTTCCGCTTTTTGAACCTGATTGTCTGCTCGCGACTACGGCGAAATCGAATAAGGACTTGTCGACCAGATATAATTGAGTCCTTACCGTTACCGACTGCCAGTGCGCCAGCGTCCTTGTTTCCATATTCGCTGCTCATGATGGTTCTGCTTTCTTCCAGGACAATGGTGGTTATTATATGCGACCGCCTACTACATTGACGTCAGGCCCCCCTTCTGCCATAGGGGTGGCGGAACTTCGGCCCCTTAGCGAGGTGAAGGCGGGTGAAGGCTCGATTGAGGGGCACACCGGTGGCGCCGCGTGCTCACCTCGCACAGATTGGACAAACAACGATGAGTTGGGCTCGAGTGTATGGCGATCACCATCGATCACAACCCCCCGCTGCGAGGGCCGCCTCAGCAACCAAGTAGATTACTGACCAGTGAACTGACGGCCGAAGTCCTACTAAGTCTGGGTTCGAAAAGGGGATTTAGTGTTGCTTCCGAATACAATCATAAGCGGGTTCAGAGTTTGTCGAGGTTGCTCATCGTACTCCCGTCTGGGGAGTTTACCCATGTTTTCCTTCACTGTTCGTCTTTATCGTTCCACTCTTTCCCCTCCCATATGAGGCCATTTTTCTTTGTGTATGCTGCGCTTTCGGTGCTGCCCAGCGACTATGGCGTAAGGATCGACTGCGCCGTCACCCTCAAGCATGGACATTGAGCCCTTTGCTTCGCGAATTGTCTTGGCCTCAGCGGGCGTCAGCTGAAAAGCTGGAAAGAAGCGGTCAAGCAACTCCGCTGACAATAATTATACCACGTAGTGCGTAGATTTCGGGTTTTCTTACTCATTCTCCGATTCACGTAGCTGAGCGCCTAATGTAGACAGGTGGAGCCGCAGCACACCTTCGAGACATATTCATAGTAACGAAGCTATATGTTGTCTTCTGCGCCGGCCACTGCGGAGCCCGTTTGGATGACTTGGAGACTCCTTATTTAATCCGCTGAATTTGCGTATACCTTGTTCACCCACGAAAACTTCACCGACACTCTACACTCACTCGATCAAACCTAAAACATGTCTGTCGAGGACGATATCGCTGCCTTGGTGAGTACTAGGCTACACATGTTGCGGCGGAAATTCTGACCGTCACCTATTTCTCAGGTTATTGATAATGGATCTGGAATGTGCAAGGCTGGCTGTGAGTGAACTTCACATCGTACTTCACCTGACTTCTCATCTCTCTTGCAGTCGCCGGTAAGTCTCTTAGCATGCAGCAAAGCAATGAAGCTGAACCGCTGTAGGCGACGATGCTCCTCGCGCTGTTTTCCCGTAAGCTGTCGCCGATCCTTCCACAACAAACTTGTAGACTGACGGTTCCCTCAGCTCGATTGTGGGTCGCCCGCGCCAGCAGGGTGTGATGGTTGGAATGGGCCAGAAGGACTCCTACGTCGGGTATGTCTATCATGTCCCTCCGTTACATTATTCAATTCCAACTCGAGTACGCAGCGACGAAGCCCAATCCAAGCGTGGTATCCTCACTTTGAAGTACCCCATCGAGCACGGCATCGTCACCAACTGGGACGACATGGAGAAAATCTGGCACCACACGTTCTACAACGAGCTTCGCGTCGCGCCTGAGGAACATCCGGTTCTGCTCACCGAGGCGCCTCTGAACCCCAAGGCAAACCGAGAGAAGATGACCCAGACCATGTTCGAGACTTTCAATGTTCCCGCTTTCTACGTGTCCATCCAAGCTGTTCTCTCCCTCTATGCCTCTGGTCGCACGACTGGTATCGTTTTGGACTCTGGCGACGGTGTTACCCACACTGTCCCCATCTATGAAGGCTTCAATCTTCCCCATGCTATTCTCCGTCTTGACCTTGCTGGCCGTGATCTTACCGACTACTTGATCAAGAATCTCATGGAGAGAGGGTATCCGTTCACCACCACGGCAGAGCGGGAAATTGTGAGGGATATCAAAGAGAAGCTTTGCTATGTTGCTTTGGACTTTGAGCAGGAGCTTCAGACCGCCGCTCAGTCGTCGGCCCTGGAGAAGAGCTACGAACTTCCGGACGGACAGACCATCACCGTCGGCAGCGAACGGTAAGCACTTGCACCATTTGTGTTGTGTTGTGCCTCTCGTCGTCTTGCTAGATTCCGGGCACCCGAAGCTCTCTTCCAACCCGCCATGCTTGGTATTGAAGGAGCTGGCGCTCACGAAACAGCGTAGGGTTATTGCACTCTCCTTTGCCGCCTTCGTCTAATCTCTCATGTGCAGCTACAACTCCATCATGAAATGCGACCTCGATGTCCGTCGCGATCTCTTCGGCAACATCGTTCTCTCCGCGGCACCACCATGTTCCCAGGTATCGCTGATCGCATGCAGAAGGAATTGAACGCGCTTGCACCGTCAAGCATGAAGGTGAAGATTGTGGCCCCGCCTGAGAGGAAGTACTCCGTCTGGATCGGTGGCTCGATCCTGGCCTCTCTCAGCACGTTCCAGAATCTCTGGTGCTCAAAGCAGGAATACGACGAATCTGGCCCTGCAATCGTTCACCGCAGTGCGTAGATTCCGTCAGTTGCTGATATGTTAATCTCCTGACACGCGGATTGGTTGTCGTTGCAGAGTGCTTCTGAGTTGATCTGGATGGATAGGACGTTTAGGCGTGCTCAACAGGTAGATGAATAGTATCTTTGCTTAGGATCAGTCATACATGACTCTAATATTTCTGAATTCTTGCTGCGATGGGGAACAATATTATATGTGTGACCTCATTCTTGTTCTCCAGATATGTACAACGGAGACTTCACCGTACGCTACGTTGCATGGATAGTCAGCTACAGATACCGTGGCAGACCTGAGTCAGACGATCCTTCGGCTGTTCGAGGACACCACAGTTAGAGTCGCATTTTCTCCCCACAATATCTTGACCGTATCTACTGAGGAGGTAGAACGTAACCAGCAACCTCCACAAACGCGTCCGTCAACTGCTGTCAAGCATTGGAACTACTGTCCAAACTGCTCTTTCCGTACGGGTTCAACGAATCTATATCCCGACGTGTGTCTTCGTCGACGCCCTGCTTGGCGTCTGCCAACCCCGACTTAAGGCTGGTGCCGTTCAAAGATTGATCAATCAATCCACCGGAAGGCTGGCTTTCTGTGATGGTTGACTTGCTATCGACGGCGCTGTCAGGGTCGCCTTTTTGAACTCGGTCCGACCAAACGTTGGCGCTGCCATAACCGCCGCTCGATGTGGCTATTCGTGGGGCGTAGGTAAGAAACTGCGGCCTGGCTAGACGATTTCCTCACTGTCGTTTTCAGGAGGATAATTTCCTTTACTATTTCTACCAAGGTCGTCCCCTGAACCTGGTTCTCTGCTTGCGACTACGGTGGTATCTAATAAGGACTTGCTATTGTGCCGAGATAATCAAGTACTCACCGTTACCGACGGCGGGCGCGGCGGCTTCCTTATTTATGTATTCGTTGCTCATGATGGTTCTACCTTCTAGGATAATGGGATGAGTGGTTATTATATACGACCACCCACTCCATTGACGTCAGGTCCTCCTATCTACGATAGGGGTAGCGGAACTCGTACTCTCACCTGGGAAGATAGCAACGACTCTGCGCTTCCGACGCTACCCAGCGACTATGGTGTAAGGATCGACTGCGCTGTCACCCTCGCCTTGAGGCCTTTACTTCCCAGATTGTTTTGGCGTCAGCGGGCCTCAGCCACAAAGAAATGGACCATCAGAATCAGAACTTGAATTTGGCAAGGAAGTCGGAGTAAATACGTGAAAGTTCTCATGAACTGGGAGAATTATTAAAAGGCTTCTAAAGAGATAACAAAGGAGGGCCTCCTCGGGCGCAGTGATTCATTGGGCACACTGTCGTTGTCAGTGAGCGAAGGCTTCTCCGGTTGTTATGGACCGTGTCAAGGGGCCTCCCGACTCGTCCGCACAGGGGCGTGGGAGCGCGGGCGGAGCGCGGGAGCGCGGACGCGCGGACGAGCGGAGCACACGGGACTTGGCTTCAGCTTTAATGCTGCGCCCTCCTAGCCCTGCGGTGTCCCGATTTCGGAGAGAGCAAGGTGAGAGGCGGGCTCCGCGGAGGAGCCCGCAGCGAAGACTTAGAAGGACAAGTGACGAAGAAGGAACTAAGATTCAGAGTGAGGAATACATGTCTACTAGTGCTACTATAAGTACTAACTAACACATGTATGTAGTGAGGCTTAGTATGTAAGTACACATGTAGGTGAAACATGTAACAAGTGAATCCAAGTGCTGCGCACCATGCATAGGCCGCGAGGGCGGAGCCTGAGGGGCTCCGAGGGTCCGAGGGTCCGAAAGGGGCGTAGGGGGGAACCCCTAAGGGGGCGTGAGGACTGGTATATGACACCGGTAAGGTGTATGAACCGTACCTTAGTGAGGGGGAAGGACGTAGCCAGCAACTCCCTCATTCATATACCCAAGTTTAGACGCAGCGTTGTTCGCCTCGCTCTTCGAAATCGTGTAGAAGTGGTCCGTTGCTGAAGGGCTGTAGAGCCTGTACAAGGGTACACTCCCGCAGATCTGCTTCTTATAGATGTAGGCGGCGATGCCTTCGCTCTTGTATCCTAGCGCCTTCGCTGCGTTGTCCCTCTCCCCAGCCGAAGTCGTGTAGAAATGATCGCCTGCAGAGGGACTGAACAAGCGGTAGAGAGGGATCGTACCCGCCTCCTTGGTGTTGTACACCTTTGCCGCATGACCTTCCTTCGTGTACCCCAGGTGGGAGACGGCATTGGTCATCTCGTTGCCGTTGGTGGTGTAGAAGTGGTCGGTCGCGCCGCCGCTGTAGGCGCGTTGGAGGAAGGTGGCCTTGTGGACAGCAGAGCAATCGTCTTTCGGCGGAGGGGGTGTGTGCGTCGTTGCAGGCGGGGTGTGTGTCGTCTGGGTGCTCGCGGGAGGGACATAGGTGGTAGGAGGGCTAGGTGGAGTGTACGTGTTGACCGGTGGGACATAAGTCTCGACTGGTGGAACATATGTGATGGAAGGAGAGGCAGGAGGGACGTATGTTTGGACCGGTGGAACGTAGGTGTTGGCAGGGGGTACGTAAGTGTTGGCTGGAGGGACATATGTGCTCGACGGAGGGCTCGGTGGGATATACGTCTCAGGCTGCGTCGGAGCAGAGTAATGGCGCTAGAAACGATTTCTAGCATCAGCGCATTGCCTAGAAGAGTAGAAAGCGACGTCAATTACCTCGATGAGCTGGCCGTCGGCATTGATCCCGGTGGGAAGAGCGAGCGATTGGGTCGCGTATACGATTGCGAAGACGAAAGAGGCGGAGAACTTCATGGTCAATAGGATATTAAAGGCTGGTTAGGCTGGTACTGGTATTCGTAGTGGTCGTGATGGGAGAAACGTTGGACTCGTAAGATGCTGATCTATGTCGTAGAATACGAACTGCTTTTATACTTGAGCTAGGGGATTATTGCATATTTTTAGCCGCGACCTCAAGCTGCGTAGTATTGACCGTGATTCGAAGTTTAGAATACCATCGCCCGGCAATGCGATCAATAGCATGACTGACATGGCGCTGTCGCTATCGCCGTCACGGTCGGTCAGAGTCTTCATTCCATATAAAAACATGTTACCTACCACTCAGTACGTACTTGTAGTCGCAGGTTGACAGTTTCGTCATGTCGCTCGACATCCCATCACCATAGGCGCCATAACAGTCTTCTATTGATGAATGAATCAGCCTCTATGTGATTCGCGGATCACAGAGCGCTGCGTCGGTTCCAATACATCTGCATCGAGAGTGACATGTGACAGCAATTTTTATTTTTTTATTTTTTATGTCTGCATTTATATACCGCAACAAGTATGCTAAAGCTACTAAGATGCGGTGTGGGTTGAGTACAACGAATTAACGCTGCAGGGGGTTGTTTCGAGTAGGGTTGGTCAAAATGGGGCTGGGCCGTGTTTGGGGTAGTTCCCGGTGTTATGCAGGGACTTTGAGCAGGATGATGGTTGGTCGGGTGGTGTTTAACATAAGGCATAGCCATAGAGAGAGAAGTTTTAAGTCATTCCAGGACTGGAGGGCGTGGCTACATCCACTTTAAGCTCCTTTACCAAGGGAGCACCGACAGTGGCTGGCACTGGGAAGTTTCCAGTCTTTCCAGGACTCAGAGGGCGTGAACACTCATTTAAGCTCCTTAAAGAAGGAGCACCCTCTGGCAGGAACCGTGCTGCCTTCCCTCGTCGTCGTAGTGCAAGAATGGCTGTAGAAGCCTGTACGTGGCTGACGACGGGCCTCGAGAACTGGAAATCAACTGTGGGAAACCCAGAGATGGTGATGGTTCGAGTTCAAGAGCGGTTTTTTGACATGTGACAGCAATGTCCCAGCCCGTCTGATTCCGCAAGCGCGACTACGCCCGTCACATCACGTCCCAACAACCTGAGTATTACGATTGAAGAGACCATCTCGAGAGGCAGGAATAAGGGAAAGTGAGGGTTGACCAATACCTCCTTGTTTCAAAATATGCGCTGGCGAGTCCCTGGCATTGAAATGAAATGATACAACACGCTTCCGGCAATGCAAACTGCACATCATGTAAATGTAACCCGTGGTAGAATAAAGACAACGAAGAGCGAAATAGAAAAGCTGATATCATATAAGCGTCTAGCTCACTTGCACAAAAACTTTACTTCCAAATCGTCCTACTGCGCGCACTCGCTTCACATACATCTCCAGGACCATACTGCAAGCTTCGATGTTTGAAAGGCCCGGATGTGCGTCCTTGGTAGCAGGTCAGCAAGCACGACATGATAAAATAAGAGGACATACTCGGATTGCAAAGAATACCGTTGTCACGATATTGCACAGGAAGTCGTACATTGACATCGTCTTCCCGTGGCACATCAATGCCACAGCCTTGAAGATGATGGGAGAACCCATGCTCAACTACACAATGCAGCGAGTGTTAAGAAGGCATCGTACGTGACAGAGAAAGCTAACGTACCCTGAAACAATAGACACCAACGTCGCAATTGGGGAATATGGTTTTGGATTCAGGATCGCCGAGGAGACAACGTCCCAACATGATTTGCTCGAAAGGGATTGGTAAACGGGGAATTTGGGGGTCTGCGGCTGCTACGAGTCCCCCGTATGTCGCAGGGATAAGGGGAGCCATGCTAAACGTGCGCTGAGCTGGGCCTGCGGCGAAGGCCTGCCAGGAAGGACAATGTCAGATATTAAAGTCTCCATTTTTCATCGACTCTCAGATTCACTCCAAGTACGGATGCAGGAGTACTTGTGTGCGTCAAGAAGCTGTGGGCATTGCTGCGCGTTGAGGAGAGTTTTAGATAAGGTGACGGAAAGGCAAAGAAGGATGCAAGGGTACGCAAACTTCCTACCACTGGCCACGAAGGGGTGACTAATTTGTCCCCGCACAGTAAGTATTGTCTTTGATGTATCACCCACTTAAGTTAGCACTTTCTTCTAAATATTTAGATTATAAAGATTGGAAATATATATTAGAACTACAAAATTTAAATCCAATAACTACTTCTTACTTAGATATAGCTAATAACATAAACCAGCTGTCCTCAAACGACGACAAGCGAACAGAAAGAAATCATCAAAACTATGATCTGCTGCCGTTATGTCCAGTCGACAAATAGCCTGTCATGTTACTTTGTGATTCGACGGTACAACAAAATATAAAATATGAACTTGTACTTACACCGGGAGAGCTTCGCGAAAGTGGGCTTTGGTCCAGTGGCGCGTGTCAATGGTAACCTGCCCTAATGTCGCCCGAAATGGTCGCGCGCCCCGTTGAACCACTCACCACCACTGAGAGCGTTGACCGCATAGAATCGGCTCTGCACGCAGTGTAAGAATACTGACTTCGATTTTAGCTAGTGGTTTTCATCAAGGTGAGTTACATGCTTCGATCACACACGTCGGTGACTATGACGTTCAAAGTGTCCAAATATTAGTGCCGAACAATTGAATCTCCGGACTTTGTTCTTTATCCGAACATTTTCATTAAGTTGTTCCAACATTCTATTAAGCACTTTGAATACTCTGTATTTTCATCTTGAACATTTGTTTAGTTACCTGAACATTTCTTTCAATTGCCCGAACATTTTGTTTCAGTTGCCGAACACTTCGCAAATGAGGCTTGGCAAGAATATTGACCGTGGGAAGGTACTGTACTGACCGTGGAAAAACAGGAGCTTACTGTGTGACTTAGACCCTGACATGCCCAATAATTCAACGAAGTCCAATGTAAGTCCTGAGGTGTCTGCTTGATGGCTCATTCTTCGCTACTTGTGCAAGATTCATACAATCTACAGTGAAGCAAAGTGTATTAATGGGTTATAAACAGACAACTAATATATGTAAGTATCTACAGTCGAATATTAACCATTGTTGTATGCCTGTATTGAACAAAGAGTCGAGGGAAAGAAAAGTAGGGGTATAAACGAGTGACTTGTAATAGGTAATGAGTGTGGGTATGTGATTTATATAACTGAAGAACGATAGAGAAAAAGACAATGATAATTCAATCAGAAGTCAATGAATGTAGATGACGACCAAGGGTTGACCTTCAAGATAGGATCATCACTGAATGAGGACCGAACTCCGAGGACCTTGGATGCAGTCGGAGCATCCTCGTCAAGCTCTTGGTCAGTGTCAGTAAGATCAATCGTTGCTGGCTTTGCTGCAAGTGGCCTTAGGTATCGTGTTTCGGCTGGTTCTATGAATCAAACAAATGAAGTTAGCTTTCGAAACAATTAAGATGGTTGATCTCACCTTCCCCTTACGAGCTCTCTTTACCGAAGGACCAGAATACTCTCCATCAGAGACTCCTTAGACTTCGTCAATATAACTTCGTATCCTTGGTTGAAATATGACTTACGATCATGAACAGCTTCATCGTCACCATGCCTGAGGTTGATCCCAAGTTCACTGGCATTGGCTTCTTCCCACTCTTTGATAATAGCACTGGGGATAGGATCAACAGTAGCTGTAGTACCGAGTCAATCTAGCATGTATCTTATCAACAAATGTTGATACTCACTGATATATAAAATATTTTCAGGTAGGGATTTCTTCTTCGACCCAATATAAGCATAAAGATCTTCACCCTTAGGCAGAATCGTTCGCAGTGGCCGAAGCTCCTTGTAGTACTGAATGCACATGAGAACTGCAGGCCTAGATGATTCAGGAAGCGATGCTAAGTAGCTGTAGAACTCAGGGAGTATGCTGGCAAGATTCTCCTGGATTTCGTCTTCTGAAGCAGATATGCTGAACTGAAAACCAGTTTGGAGGTTACGAGCTAAGAGTTGCTTAGGGTGGAGTTCAAGATCATATCGGGTAGGAGGCACAGCGTGCAAGATGGGATAATGTAGCACTTACTATGTAATTACTACGTGGAAACTATCCCTGATAATAAATCCATATTGCTATTTACATTAGACAAAGAATAGATAATGTAACACATATATATTCTCACAATCAGTATGCGAGCATAATGCTAAACAAAGGCAATCCTTATCTTGAGAATATCTAATCCCAGGTCAGCATAATTACTCCGTAATGATTGAATATTAATTGGGTATTGGGCGTGTAAGTAAGCAAACAATATAAGTCATTGTTTACCCAATATTGAGCGTCTATTGCCGCTTTCATTACGCAGTCAATACTCTTTGTAGTGTTTGGGAATTGATTGAATAATGTATACACTATTCATTTTGTAGTTATTGCATATCCCCTTTGTTAATTTGCATTCATTATATTATCTCGGAGATCAAGTATTTATTAGAGATTCAATCAGCTATGTATTTTATAATTTAGACAACATTACCCCGCCACTATCTGGCATAATAGTTGATTATTATGCCTTATCAGAGAATCCCATAATGTACGGGGTATTGATCTTATACTTTCCGGTGCAGATATGTCACAATTATACGATCATTATTCAAACATAATATGCAAGAAATACGCTATAAAAATATGCAAGTAATATGTGATAGCAATATGTGAGTAGTATGCTATAATAATACACGAGATATACTTGAATAGTTGGGCAGAAGATATGACAATAATAGTTGAGAAATAATTCTCCGGGGAGCCACTGAGTGGCGACCGGGTGGGGCGCAACGTGGCTTATACCCATATAAGGACATAAATTAAGATACCTTCCAAATTAAGGCATAGGTCGGTGAGATCGCGTTCACCCTCCAAAATGCTTCATACTTTGAAGACTTCTTATGCACATTTTTTACTGAGTCATGAATTCCTCAGGGCCCTATATACTGATATAGTACTATGTATGTATCCCTCCCCAGTGTCCCAGCGATCCCAATGGCGCCCATGCTGGTAGAGCAAAGTCCCCTTAGCAGTGTTCCTGGTGTTCCTAGTGCAGCACTTGCCATGTCAGTGCCGCTCGTGACCCTCGTGATGCCGCTGCCCCTCCTGATACCAGCGTTTCTCCTGATGCCAGTGACCTTTGTGATGCCACTGCCGCTCGTGACGCTCTTGATACCGCTCGTGGATCGTGACGCTCTTGATACTAGTGCCGCCAGTGATGTCGGTGACTTCTGTGACGCCAGTGACGCTCCTGACGTTCCTGATATCAGTGCCGCTCGTGACCCTCGTGATGCCAGTGCCGCCAGTGATGCCAGTGCCGCCAGTGACTTCAGTGACTTCAGTGACTTCAGTGATGCCAGTGCCGCCAGTGCCGCCAGTGACGCCAGTGATCCCAGTGATGCCAGTGATCTTTGTGCCGCCAGTGATCCCAGTGCCGCCAATGACGCCCCCGATTCCAGTGACCCCAGCGTTTCAGTGCTATCAATCGTTATTTGCCTACGTCCTAATTTGGGTATAGGTCGCAATTGATTGATGGATCCTCGCTCCAACTTAGTTTGGGGAAGTGATGGCTTTCACAAATCCAACTGTATCTATTCCTCTAAACGTACACTCTCTACCCAGACATTGGTTTGGCTTGCTCATATAATATCTGTATAATATCTGTATGACTTCGTTTGTCCCTGCGATAACCATTTCCTCCTCACTATCACCATCACCATCGCCACCACTAACAACTTCAACCACTTTAACACATCATCCAGTCAAGATGCGCGCTTGGTACTCCCCTGGTATCCCACTCCCTGATGCTCGTCTCGCGTTTGAGACGGCGCTGGTCCGCCATTTCGAGATTCTGTATGCTATGGACAACGTCGTCGTCGTGTACGTGTCCCAAGCATATAGATCAATGTCCTAATTAATCCTCTACCCAGTGACGCATCTACCTCGCCGTTTGGAACACTTTCGGCGACAATATACGGATTCGAAGGTCCCAATGGCGGTGCTTTGGAGGTAGCTATCACGTTAGACGACAAGGGCGGGGAGGACGACGAGGGAGACGACGAGGGAGACGACGAGGTCTGTCGACGGGGCTTCACACACCGGGTGCAACAATTCGATCCATTGCCCTACGAAGAGCTGGATCCACTCCGCGTTTTCTGCGCCTACCTACTCTGCTTTTGGGCGCTGCTGTAGAGGAGATAGATGTCTTCGTCTACTCAGCATGTCACACCGTGGACTCAGTATTGGGGAGGAGTCAGTGACCAATCTATCCTACAAATAAGCACCGCATCTGGACACCTGTAATCATTCGTGGCTGCACCCTTCAGCATTCAACTTTGATTATTCGCGCGCCGTGAATGAGAGCGTACCAAGGCCGCGACTCTCTCGCCTTCGCTGTGCACCTGGAACCCGCTGACAGTCCACCCATGCTTCCCCTCAACGTCTCCCAACTCGGGAACGCCCATCTGAATCTTCACCAACCTCTCTCCAGAATACATCTCCTCATACAGCACCGCAACCTCCCGGGCTGTCAACTTCTGACTGAGGGGCATCGACAGCGTCGAGATAATCCCGCTGAACCAGGGCGCGACCATAGGCACGAACACCAACTTCATTCTATCGAGAGCGTCGACGCCTCGGTCGGGAAGCAAGGAGCGTTGAGAGATGATGCCCGGCTTCGCGCTCGTGTATGTGGTCGGTAAGTGCGTCGCCCGGAAGACAACACGTCCGGCCCTGCTCGAACCTACGATCCACGCTCAGATCCACAACAACGCTGCCCTCTCCGGCCTTGCGCTCCTTCGCACCACGATCTCAACGAACGGCTTGTACGCGCCGTTCGGCAGCGCCACCGCCCACGCATCTAGCTCCTCCCCTTTCTCCATCTCCGCGACATCATAGCTAGGCATAGCCTTTCTCGCCAGAGTCGAACACTTCTTCACGCCGCCGAGCCCAACATCCTTCCTTGGAGGTGCAGCAGGGCCGACAGGGAGGTACGACCTATCAATCCGCCCCTTCGTCTCGAACCCCTTGATGATCCGCTCGACCTCCGGTATATCCTGCACCCTGTACCAGAATAGACGACTCTTGCCGACGCGTGTGAGGCTCCCGTCCGCGCGCTCAAAGTGCCAGGCGCGGTTTTCGTCGTCAGCTTTTACGCACTCCAGAAGAGGTGGCGGCGGTTCAGCACGCCTGTGCGGCTCGCGAGCAGTCGTGTCATCACGGGGACCTCGCCTTCGGGCCGCGACACCATGGCGACGACGTCCAATGGGATCGTCACCGTATACAGTGTACGGGGTGTTCTTCAGGTCGTGGAGCACACCTGTAACGCTCTGCACTCCGGCGAGCACGTCGGGATCGCGGTCATGTACACTTGATAGCGCGTGCAACTTGGAGGATGGCGACGAGAGGATGCCTGTATGATTGGGACGGAGGGAAGGGTATGCAAGACAATGAGAGATTCGTCAGTCTGGGCAGCGCTGATTCATGATCCATCGTATTCGTCGTGTCGTGCATCTTTCATTTCGACCAGGTACCATGGTGGTGGGACATGGCGTTCTCTTCATCCAATATGGCAGCAATCACGAAGGTATCGAGGGTTCTCGGCAATCGATCTGAAGCAAGGGCGATTCGCGCGCGAGGGCCGAAGTTCAAACATCGTACCTCCCCTCTGTCTGTACCACAGAACTCCCAGCCGGAATCGATCCGCGCCTTCTGGAGCGACGATGCTGAGATGACGGACCGGCCTTACCATTCCACTCCGTTTGCTCATGGGCTCGGATTCGGGGTCCCTGCACTCGCATCATTAAAGTTCGCGTCATTGAGGATGAACGGAACGACGACAGAAGGAATCATACGTACGCGATCTCCAAATTTCCCCATCCCTCTGAGGGTGCCTCGTCATTTTCGATTTCGCGCCCCTTTCTTTTCATTTTGATCCCTCTTCTTTCCTCTTCTCCGCATCGAGGTTGGAGGATGTAGCCGATTTTGGGTGCTGAGGGACAGCGCGGCGCCGTATCCTCGTGGACGTGAAAGAAGGCGCAGGGGCGATAGCTGGAACGTAAACGACCCGCTTTGTGCCTCGCTGGGCCTGGGGAGTCCTCTCTTCTTAGTTCCCATCCTCCACCCTTGTCCCCCATCCTTGCGACCTAGCCATCCTCTCAGCCATATCTTTGTTCGGGTTTGCGATGGCGGTTCGTTCGTTTCGTCTCGCCATGGCTGTGGACTTGATGCGCACCGGCGGTACTTCCACAGCGAGACGAACACACCGGCTGCGGAACTTCCTGGTCGTAAGTCTTTCGCGGATGATGTAGACAGGCTGAACAAGCTCGCACGGGCGATCGAGGGCGATCGGCGTTGCCCAATCCGCGCGCTACTCTTGGTTTCATTTCGTTTATTTTCATTATCCTTCGTTTGATTTCTGTCTTCTCGTGAGCTTTTAGAGACTCGCGGCATTGAAGTCCCTTCGTGTACGACGAGTACGGCTGGAACGGTTCGCGTAGCCAATGTGGCGAGGTTATCGCCCCTCGCTTTCCGTTTTCCGTTTCCTGCTTCCCTTCGTACCTGCTTCACGAGGGAATGCGCGCCGTTATCTCGCGCAACACCGCGGCCGCTCGCATCCTAAGCATCTCGCCTGCACGTGTCATCTGCACGCAGAGAGTCGAGACCTCTAGGTTTTTGCCCAAATTTAGGTATAGGCTATTACATGTCGCAAGCATAATTAAGTAGGATCATACATTCATTCAAGTAGTATCGACTAAGTACATGTTTCAGAAACAACAATGGCGGGAAACGGGAAAGAGACAAATCGAAGAATACTAGGCTGAATAGATATCAGAGCCTCCCAACTTGGGACGATCCTTGCACAAATACACCTCTTTCCTTCTGAACCTTGCGGTAAACCCAATCCGGCTCGTTTGATGGGTTGATTGACAATGTCCTCTCTCCATCAAAGACACGAGTATCACCCTCCAAGATGGCTTCCCAACCATTAGCAGCGGTGTAGATCCACATGTTGAACTGCTTATCTGCCACACGATTGATACAAAGGTCGTTGACCTGTAGGCGCGTGTCCTTGGATATGCTTTGGGGTGGCTGGCGAAGAGGTTCCTCGGAGTCGATGGGCCACCAGCGGGTCCAATACTCGACACCCTTGAACTTGCGCCTCAGAAGCGTGTAACGAGAGGGATAGGGCTGAGGTAGGAATCAGCACTCATCGATCACATGAGATGAATGTACTTACTCTAGCGCTTTCGCGTGCCTTCTTGCCTTGGGAGGCTTTACCAGACCCTGCTACCGACTTCTCGATCCCTTGAAATTCCACTGCAGGAGGACCGCTAGGAGTGGTCTTCTGGGCATTCTTCGCCTTTCTCCCACTGGGAGTCGAATTTCGTACACTCTTTGCCTTTCCCCCGCTGCGGGCAGTCGAAGGATGCAGGGTTGTCAATGAATCGCTTCGCTGAACAGAGATGCGAGAACTTCGTCGAGTCGGAGGTCGAACGATCTTGGGAGGCGTTGTGGGAGGTGTTTCAGGTACTGGAGTCAAACTCTCTGAGAGGCGGAATAGGTCTGGTCCTCTGAAGTATCATTGGTTGTCAGCGGCCCCGCATCTCGTTGGGTATAACAGACTTACGCCAACCCACTCCAATCCACTTCTACCCTAGCTTCATCCTTAACTATAGGAGCCATAGACTCGGTGCGGTCAGCGGGGATCCATGGAACCGTAAGGACAGTCGGAGACCCGTCCGTCGAGAAGGGAACTGCGATGAAATAAGCCATGGCTACCAAATTTGATTGCTGGAAAGTGGGGACGTTGAACGCGGGGATGCTGAATGCTGATTGAAACAGGTGAGTTGATCTTTAAGTAGCGAACTAAATCGACAAAGGCCAAGGCTCAGCATATCGGCATAAAGGTAGGGAAGTACAAAGCAGGTTTGTTGGACGACGGTCTTGCCATGGGCGGTCATGTGGTAATAAGGTCCAACAAACGCGTTTAACGTCCTGACCTGACCTTGGTCGTTGCCCAATAGGTGCGAGCCGTAGCCGGAGAGCGGGGACGCATTGGAAGGCCTCCAGCGATGTCAATGACGCTTGTGATGCTCGTGATGTCAGTGACGCTTGTGATGCCAGTGACACTCCTGATGCTCCTGATATTAGTGATGCCAGTGCCAGTGTAGTCCGGGCGCATTCGTCCCATATCTATACGTAGTAAATGGACTCCGGACAATCGGGCCACAGGTTCAGCAGTGATACATTGTATTAATACGACAACATTTCAAGCATTGAGAAACTATGCTCTAGCCCCTTTGGCTTCGAAGTTTCATATGAAAGGTGTCATCTTCCCCATCAATCGAATCGTCTTCCCCCTCAGACGAAGTCTGCAAACGAGAGCGAGCCTTTCCTTTGCCTTTCTTCATCGTCTTCTCTTCCTCAGACTGACTGACTTGTGCCTTCCTCTGACCTCTGCGTTTGCGCTTGTGATTCTGAGTATCATGCTTCGGGGAAGCATTAGAGTCGACGGATGCAACGCCGTGGGATGGTTTAGAACTTGATGGGGTGCAAAGAGGTACTCTGTGAGGCTGCTGCCGTCGCCCACGCCCACTTGTTGACTTCGGCTTTATTGCGATGAATGGGGCGCTAGGCCCATGAGGATCATCGTCAGAGGGTATAAAGTCAGAATCGCTCATGGCGTTAGACAAGCGTGATTCACCACAGCGATCAATCCAGATCCTATCGCTGGCAACGAACAGGTGCCTTGCGCGGGAGTGCCTAGAATGAAGATGTGGTGGGTTGCAGACAATTACTGGGACTTTCCCTGCTTTCATGCCTACCACGCGGAACACTGAGCGAACGGTTCGACGCCGATAGGACTCTGGAGTAGTGCTTACCATGGCTGTCCGTTTCCTTCATTCTACGAAAAACTATACCTTGGTTGGTATTGTCCGGGAGATGTTTCAGGTACAAAGTCAAGAACCTGGTTGGCAGCCCAGAGATACCTCGAGCAGTGAAGCCCGGTAAAGGGCAACAGTCCGGAATACCGGTGATTTGGATGGCTTTCGTCGCACAGAGGGCGGGTATATCATTCCAGGGTAAAGAGCCATTCGATGCAAGGGGGACCATTGGACGCAAACGTCGAAGGAAACGCTGTCGAATCTCTGTCAATTTCTGCTCTCTCGAGAGGGCGAGAAGAGAAGCGAGTTTGGTCTGATCCCACCATGCCCTTGGAGAGGATGCTTGTTTGGGAGGAGAAAATGGGATGGATGACACCTCCTCAACTGGATCGTGACCAGAAGCCCTTTGAAAGGGCACCGGCGAAGTAGAACTGTAAATCGGGGTTGGGGGTGTGGGCGAATGATTGAATAAACCGATGGGGAGAGCACGCCGAGCACCGCAGTCGGATGCCTTGGAACTTGGCGTCGAGCGAGTATTTGGAATAATAGAATTGGTCGAGGTGAAGGCATGAGCGTTGCTCGTAAAACCAAAAGGGCTCGATGCGTCATCAACATTGGAGGTCGCGGACAAAACAGCATTTGAAGCGGCGTGATTAGGCGCGGAGGTAGAATCATTGACAAAAGGTAAGGCAACAGAATTGAAGGACATAGCGGTACGAGTGTTGGATGCAGTTGGATAAGTTGTGGAGACGCTGTTGAGGGGAGAGAAATATCGTACAGGCGAGTCGTAAGGAGTTGCAGCAGCTTGTGGAGACATGGATTTCTTGACAAGACGTGCCGAACACGGATCGGGCGAGGCATCAGGATTGAAAAGGGAAGCCATGGGAGTATCGAAGGCATCTTGATTGAAAGGGGCTGCGGGCTTGCAGCGAGAACTTTTCAATGCACTGTTTTGTCGATCCCGGCTCTCCGAGCGGCGGGTTGAGCGAGCCCTCCTCCGATGCTCACCTTTTGGGCTTGACCGAGATGTTGTTAAGTCATTTGATCTTGAACGCGTTCTGCTCGAGCGGGCCCTACTCCTTTGGTGCCTACTTGTCGAGCGACTCAAGTCCGAACGCCGTCTTCTCGAGCGATCCCGCCTCCTTCGGCGTCTACTTGTTGGGCGACTTGATTTCGAGCGAACCCTCCTCCGATACCTGCTTCTCCTTGTTGAACAGCCTGACTCCGCGCAACTGCTCCTTGAGGGATCCCTACTCCTGCTAGCTGAGTAGCTTGAACTCCCCGAGCGAGCCCTGCCACCCTTTCTCCAATGCTTGCTCGTTCGGCAGCTTGAGATCGACCTCGATCTATTGCAGCTTGAGATCGACCTCGATCTATTGCAGCTTGAGCTCCTCCTCCTATCCCTGCCTCTTGAGTCATAATGGCCACGAGAATGCTGAGAACGATGATGCGGAATATGAGAACGATGATGCGGAATATGAGAACGATGACGCGAGCGATGAGAATGACGACGCGAGCGATGAGAATGACGATGTGAGCGATGAGCACGATGATGCAAGCAATGCAAGTAACAAGAAGAAGAAAAATCCGATTGCGGAACATAAGAATGCGGAGAATGTGTACGGTGAGATCCAGAAGGTCGCGGGTAAGTAAAGGAAGGAGTGGTATTAGATTCCGGCTGACGATGTCGAAGATGATGGGCGGTGCCGCCCTCAACCAGGTATTCTTGTGGAGGGTAAGTACAATGTTACACGATGATGGAAAGCAGGCGACTTACCTTGAGGATCGCGCGGCCTGAAACCTGTCATTTGGGGGGGTCTCTCGTCCGTAGCACAGAGAGGAACGAGTGCATCTTATAAAGAAGGGCCATTCGATGATATGCCTTGTGAGGGTTCCGGTATAACAAGTGTCTGACTTCTTGGGGTGATCACCATATTCAGTGCTTAGTACTCAGTGACAACCATGAGGCACTTTCGAAGCGCCCCACTTGAGTCGGTCTTTCGGCGAGAAGAGTCCAGAAGAGTCCGGCAAACGTTGGGTTCCATTCCAACAAACATGAGTCCGCGCCCTTAACTCTTCGAAGGGGTATTCACGACAATGCGGCACTTTCGAAGTACTGAGAATGTTTCGGCTGAAGTCATCAATGCGTCATTGCTCACTTCCATAAACGTCAACGCCCCCAAAATGCGGGAGCCTCAAATTTATGTAAAGCCTTCAGGCCTCAGGCCGAAGATGGCGTCGGAAGCCAGGTCAACGGCAGCGCAAAGATAGTAGCAAGATGCGCGCTTTACAAAACTAGGTGACATCAACGTAGTAACTGGTAACAAACTTAGACATGAAGGATAAATTTGGGCGTCGAAAATTTGGGTTTGGGAAACTGGTAGTTTCTACTCAAACGATGGCTAGACGTACGTTCCGAAAGTGGTAGTTACCCAGCCGATAGCACGCTTCGTGAGTTCCGGAATCACGTACTCGACGTCTGGTCCCATCATCAATCTTCCCATGATGACTGTCCCCGCGCAAACCAAGGTCGAGACGCAAATCGAGGTGCTGAATATGAAGGCAAACCGGAGAACAATTTCGTCGTCGTCGTCACTTTTAGTATCCCTGTCCCTGTCCGTCGCAGCGTCCCTGTCCGTCGCAGCGTCACTGTCATTGTGTTGGTCGTACTCCACTGAGTGAGCATGCACCGTATCTTCATCATCAGATTGATCGCGAGCAGCTCGCAATTGCGACCAGTAATCTAGACAGATATTGATGAGCACCAACACCGGGGACGGGGAACTTCTGAAGACATACCGTCATTGTCTTCCTGGTTGCTGTTATACCCTTGGTCCCCGACCCAAGCTGCAGGAGCGAGCCAGTCAGTGCCAGACATCAGGACGAACAGAGAGCGGGTAGACGATAGAGAGTCGGTTGCGGTACTGTGGAATGGAGTAGTGTGTTGTGGGCGAGGGCGATTGTATATGCAACTAGCTCTGTGATGGAATGAATGCCAACGGGTGAGTCTCTTTTATAGCAGGCTCATGCCAACAAAGCACCTCCTCGACAAAGGGCCCTCTTTGACTTGTTAACAAAGGGCTGCTAGATGCTTCTCAATGGAATGCACACGCAGCAAGGGTGATCAGACGCACGAAAGGCGCTAGACTATACCCAAATTTAGTTATAAGCCTGAACGACATTCGAAATGCGGGTCATACACTCAGTTATATTGGTAGTCGGTATTGTGTCCTATTTACGACGCAGGGGTAAAACGAATACACATTCGCCGTCGATTCCCTCTACACTCCTGACAATAGATGCAAAATGGCAGACGATATTCTCCGCAGGGATAAGACATCGTTGGGTCCCGGTATGATATAGTTTCGCCCCAAAGTCTTTGAAATGACGAGCATGATCGTGAACCTTTTCGTGGGGGGATAACTTCAAGAATTCATCAACGAGGAGGAAAATTGATATCTGGACGTTGTCTGGAGAATAGGTGAATATCTCCCTTATTCGCCCGGCGCATATCACTTTACAGCCGAGCTGAGCCGAAGTAAAGATGATCTGGCTATTACCTGGTGCGCGTCTGGATGGCTGAAATGCTTGACCGAACCGCTGTATCTTGTTCTGTCGTATTATCTTCCCTACGATCCGCTCCTTGAACAGATCCCTCAGATACGCGAAGACCTCGACTGGGGGCTGGATTGCTTTCTCGCTAGACCAAGGTACGTTTACCACGAAAGCGTCTACGGAGGTTCAACGATCCTGAAGGAGAGTTCCCCGAATATCGACGTTGAACTTCTTCTCATAGATCCCAAGGATGGGAAGAAGGCCAGGCGGGAGTATGGAAGGGGCGTTTAAGAGAAGTACCCGGAGTTTCTGTGCCATGCAAAATTTGCTTGACAAAGTCTTCTCTAGTTTACCTGGTAATTATTGGTAAGAAGATGAGATCCCTCTGGAAGATCAAACACCTGCTCTTACCGAAGATCTGATTACTGAGTAGGTTCTGTATTAATCCGTTGTATCTCTCGAAAGCAAAACAGCGCCAAGCATGAGATGGTCCCCAGCGTCGCAAGTGGTCCCCATAATGCAGAGCGCGATGTTGGTTTGGGATAATGGTTGTGCCGGGGTAGAGGCTTAGCAGCGTGACGAGGTAGTTCTTCATATGCTCTTCATAACAACTGATATGTTTATCTTTCAGCTCTCTCCTGGATGCAAGCTCGACGGCAGTGACAAGATGCATGAAATTTGTGAGGACTTCGTACTGCCGGTCGGATTTGCTGACACCGCCCCATAGTCGGATCACAGTGATAGGGAGGTGCACCAAGCAAAAGACACGCCATTCATCGGCCTTCATTTTGCCCCATTTTGCTTCACCAGGGTGCGACGGGCCAGCGTTCATCCAAGACGGTAGAATTGTCCGTCGCATGTCACTGCGAACCTCGCGCAGAACATTTTGGCCCAGCACGCGCGTACCTTTCTCGGGTTTGGGGTCCTCTGGCCTGGCCGATGCCTTTACTGTAGGTGGTTGGGCGGCTCTGTCCGAGGTTACGGTGGAGCTAACCAACCGGTTCGCGGGCTTAGGCTTGACCACCTTTTGCGAATCGTCGATTACTCCGTCTTTGGAGCGCTGCGGTAGAACTTCATGAGAAATCGCAGCAATTAAAAACCACGACCACGCACAATATCTTGCAGTTCCTCCCTCAGGGATTGCAGAGCCCGTTTCTCAATTCGAAACTTCTCAGTAAGAGCAGCCAATGGCGTATCTCTGTAGAGCCGGAAGCGAAGCAACGCTATGATCATTTTCTTGTTGTAAGAATGCATGATGGAAGTCTTGTTGGCAGTATGGTAGATTTGCTGGAGTTCATCAACCGAGTCCGCGTCCGTATGCGCCTCGCCCTGGCCGATAGGAGTATGGGCCGATGTGATAGAATTAGACAGCACCGCCGAAGTCACTTCTGGATGTTCCAAGTGCTGACCCACGGAGGTTGACGAGGTAGACAATGGAACACTCGAAACGTCTTTGTGGCTGTTTTGGGAGCGCTACGAGTTGTTCGGTTCGTTAGTACATGTGCGTCAATATAGATGAAGGAGGTCAGACCCAGGTAAGCAAAGATTCATATAAACGCTTGTGAGTGAGTCTGAGGGCGAAGCGGAGGCCGAGTTCCTTGCAGAGTTCACTTATCACGTTGACGCGGAGAGCTTGCAAATCCTTGTCACTGCCAGTATTTAGAACTTGCCTAGCTACGACCATCTCCTCTTCAGAAGGAGCCTTCTTGTGCTTATCAAACGTGATGCCTTCTCCATCCGCAAATTTGACATCCATGCCCCAGACTTTCCGGCAGTGTCGATGTAGGAGACCAAGATAAAAACAGTGCATTGAATCAATGACGACGAACTTCGTGGGATCCCAGTAAGGGAGGCGAAGGAGTTCAGACCACCGAATATGGGATTTAGAATATAGGTGTTCCTGAGTGATTTCGTCCATGGCGTCACGCCAAGACTCGGCAAGATACATGTGGTGTCGTCTATCTCTGCTGACAAACGACTGAGGGTCCACATTCTCCATATCTTCCAGAGTATGAAGGCAGTCATGACAGTCATGGCTAGACTGGTAGGCTCCAAAGCCAGAAACCTGGCATGCTGCGGGAAGGTCGCAAACCACAGGCACCAGAGCTATCCGAACCAAAACGCCTTGGGGGTGGTTACAAGCTCGGGTATAAAAGACGCCTGACTTCCAAAACTCCAGCAAGTTGTCGACAAGCGGTCGAAGGACATGGTTTATTTGGTGCATTGAAGGTTCGCCTGGCCCAGGAACTATTCCAGCGAGGAATATATTCTCCGTTTCATGTCGAAGCGAGGGAGGAAGGTTGAGGAGCGCCATATACATACCCCCAACTTGGACGACTTTCTTGGCAGCCTTGTTGCCGTAAGGATTAAAGGCGTCCTGGTTGAAACTAAAGACAAACCGAAGTTCGCCGTCAATTGGCCTAACAAACGGCTTTCCGTCGTCGTAGTACAGATTACGGAGGATGTTGCCATCCCATATGTCTTGCATTATCGTTGGATCTGCACCATGACCTGCATCCAGAGGGTCTTGTGATAGATATTCTGCGATATCTGGCCGCGATAACATCCATCCAATCCAATGCCGCAAGTCGTTGTATATGAATTCGCGGGTGGACGTCGAAGACTCTGTATGCTCTCGAAGTCGAGCACCACACTGCGCGCTCCCTGGTGTACCTTGATAGGTGCATCGCTCTGGATATGAAGGTTTCTTCGGATCAAGCTTCGGATCAACAAAGTAGGTGCAATAACATCGTGGACAGCATATGTATGCGTGGGTTGGTTGTTGCAGGTGGATGGTATTGAGGACGGTTCGCACATCTGAGGGGATGTCAGAATCTTCTTCATTGGCCGGGGGGGCTCGAAGAGAAAGGATGTGTTTCATTGAACCCAAGAGGAAGTTTGAGATCCTCATTGAAACCCCCGCAAAGAGATAGACGATCAGAACGATCATATACGTAGCCAGCGTGACTGGCTCTACTGAAAGGTAGGGACGTCTGAAATGCTCAGCTACAAACCAACAAGGTCAGTGCAAATGTAGCGCACAAAAAGTTGGAACTAACATGCATCAACAACGTCGCAGTCCGCACAAATCGACCTCTGCTGCGCAAGTTCTTTTTGAGTTTCCACAAGTCGATCGTATGCATGGAGTTGTGCATCTATGAGGTGCATGATCGTCTCCGCGAGCAAGCGAAGATGGGTGCTATCTTTTTGGTGGAGTAGCCCATTGCCCATCACATGTGTGCGGACTTGTGTCAGCCAGGTGTGCTGTATGTAAAATTCTTCGTTGGCAGCCGCAGAGTCATCCAGCTCGCAGCCAGTGCTAGTGCTAACGAAAAGAGGGGGGTTGTTTTCCGCATGTGCCTCCAATCCCTTGATAGGGTCCCAATCCAAGCGAATCTTGTAGCCACGGAGAAGTCTGATATAGTCTTCAGTGGGCGTCGCAGCTGGAATCTGGGCAGATGAGTCGAGCGGCGAGCCATCGTGAGGCGAGTCGGGCTCTGCTGGGAGTTCGAAGCTTCCCGCCGGTGTTGACAATCCTGAAGTTGTTGATTCCTTCGGAGAGGCGATCTCAGCTTCCACGGCCCGCAATTGATGAATGGCGAATTGGGACTGTTTTAGATAGATACCCTTGATGCGAAGTCCGGTTTTTGGGTCCGTACTAGTCGTGTCATAGCACTCTCGGCATTGGCAAAGCTTACGAAGGGCGGGAAGTGCAGGCATGGCGTTGATTTGAACTGAAGAAATGAATTCATCATGATAATGTGTGACAATTGTCACATGGATTATACCCATAATAAGGTCTAAGATTAATTCGTGACCGTCACGACGCCACTTGTTGCTGCCGATGAACCTCGATGTTAATATTCATCAGTCGATATTAGACGGATGCTCAATCATTACAATTGATGCGTATCCTGGCATAAGTACTTCGTGAATACAGAGAACGCCAGTATCTTCTTTCAACCCCTTCCTCCCTTCGTTGCCTTTGGATCCTGGGCGCATCGATTGGGACGCTTTCGATCAGGCCCATAGCAGTCTACCTGCTGACAGACTCTACAAGGGACAGGGCATTTTCGTCGAGAGCTAACTCCTGGACAATCTGATTTCTGGCATTTAACGCATGAACGAACTTTACGTTCAACGACTTGACCGGAATGAGATCTCATAACGAAGGCCATTGGCGCTATGCTTGGGCCTGCGTGTGCGAGAGGCTGGCTTGTGGATGAACCGGCTTCAACCAGTGTCTGGTTTGTGGTTTCAACGCGTCTCCAAGTTGCCGGTACCAGTACGGGCCTTCGTTTCGGTGGCTTGGATACGGGGGTGGGCAGGGGGGGCATCGGCGCCAAAGGGTTCGCATTGATCGCATTAAAGTCAATATCCATCGCATCGGGGGGGTTGGCGGGGGGATCGGCCCTGGATGGAAGGTTCAAAAGATTCATCCCGAGTGAGGCTTCAGTGTCAGCAGCCAGCTCGTTAGGAAGCGGAGCAGGCATGGAGGGCAGCGCAGGTGTTGGAGGATTCGCGTTGGTTCCATGTGTGGAGTCAATGTCCATCGCATCGGGAGGGTTGGCGAAGGGATTGGAACTGGGTGGATGCGTCAAAAATGGCGTCAGCGGGACGTTGGGTGATTCACTACGCTCCACCATCGCAATGTGGGGGATTTTTGGTGATCCAAGAGGAGTCAAAGGGCTGGGCGTAGAGGGGGGGGATTCGGGAGAAGGGGTCAAAGGGCTGGAGCCTCCGTCAATGTGTACGGGGTCAAGAATACAATGTAATCTTGAAAGGCCGATCCACGCATGAAGAAGGAGGTTCTTGAACTCCAGCACGTCCGGCCTCCTTTCTTCTGGCGGGAAATCTTGGTCCATCATCCTTAGTTGCTCGGAAATATCCCCGCATCGGGCAATGCTATGGTGAGATAGGAAATCAACAGCAATCTTAGCGCAAGGGCTAAGATTTAACACCTATAAGCTTCACGTTGGCCAATCTTCATGGTTGCATATATACACACGGCTTACCTGGTGGGCACAGCCAGTTGGAATGAGGACAGCTTGGTTTCCTCTCTGAGTAAACACGTAGGGGTGGACGTCATATTTTTGCGCAAGATCTTTAAGGTCGTCCGGGGCCAGATACGTATGTTGAGCATGTATGTGGTTGATCTGTTCGTCTGGATACTTCTTTGCTAGAAACTTGCGAAGCTTGTCCGCGTCAGATGCTGCGAATATATGCCACACTGCCGCCGAGTCAGCTCGTAGAGGAAGCATAATGTTTATGGCATCGCAGAGATCCATATGTAACCGAGTTGTTCCATGATTAGTAGAAGGATCAGTATTGTTTGCTGTAGCGATATATGCCTTCGGACCTAACAATGTCGTTGAGACCATTGCAATAGCCATAATTGTATAAGAAACATATACAGACCAAGATCGGGTGTTATCAAGTAGTTTGAAGGGAAGTAATTCGTAATATTGGCGGGCCCTTCAAAGCTCGTCACGGCGGGACAGGGGAGTGCGAATTGGAAGCTACGACACAAGGTAGGGAATGCTGATGCAAATGTTGCTTGCGGGGGATAATCCTGGTGGAAGTCAGCCTCAAACAGACCTATATTGGGATGTCATCGATACCTTGAGCTTCAATGGAGGTTTGCCAGCTTCTTCGGGGAGGAGGAGACTCGAGATAAAGTGTTGAATAGTAGACGCATGCTTCTGACCTGTCTCGCAGTCCTCCAGAGTACAAGCACTGTCACCAAACAATGCTGATAGACGCTGCAATGTCCATCCTTCCAGTGTGCCGGATGCAGGACAGTCGATCAGCAATGGAGTACCCGCAGAGCACGCTGTATAAAACTCTTTATATTCCGGGGTTTGTTCAACAGTTTGAGGTAAAGGATCTTGAGCCAGCGCGTCGCCCAGGTCTGAGATAAGAGATCGAAGGTCGTCTGTGTGAAGCATCGAGAAAACACGTAAGGGGGACGTCGAGCAGCATGTCGGGCTATTAGGTGCACACGAGATGCAAATCTCAGCTCCGCAATCAATGCACATATACCCTACCACGCAGAGGGCCCATTGGCATGTGTCTGTGTGTATCGTTAGAATGTTATCCGTAAAAATAGGATTAGTCCATTGACCACATAACAATTTCCAGTCGTGAGGTTTTCTCCGTAGCAGTAATTGATCTCCAGCACGCGCGGCGTGCTCTAATTCAAGAGAAATAATGGGCAAAAGGCTTCGCGCGACATCGACCTGGAGCCTATGTAATTCGGCCGACGAGAGTTGAGGTCGAAACGCGCAATGATAATGAAAGTTTGAGAAGTTCGCAGAGGTCTTCATCCCATCGAGTTCCGTTAGGATAGGACCTGTCGTTGTGATTCGACGAAAATCTAACGAGAAACTGAGAAAGCGAGATGAGGGCATCGCAGAGACTAACGGATGAATCTACAATCTTGAAGTTGTCCCGCTTTGCAATCCCTACATATTTTGAAACAACTAGAGATGCGACCTAGCCGCCTCCATTGTGCTGCGAACTTTGTACACGGGAGGTCTTGGGTCGTCCATCGTGAAGCGATCGTAGGAGCCATCCTGGGTGAAACGTTTCAATAGGCGCTCAGCAAACTCTCGGTTTACTACCTTATTTGGTATTAAGCCAACTGATCAAATCACGACGAAAGTGCTGTGGACATGATAAACATGCTTAATAGAATGTTTAACCGAGATAATCGCATTACAGCATAAGCCACACTTGGATTGGGAACATACAATACATTGTAAATAAATATTTCAAACGGTCAGACAGTAGTAAGATCAATGACTTCAGGTGCGTATTGGGCAGGCGGGAAAAGTCCTGCAAATATAGAGGTACTGCTAGCAGACGTGGGTTCTCCATCGACGGGAGAGACAAGATGTGGTTGAATGTTCGCTCGGAAGCAACCCACAACAGCCTTGACAATATCTACTTCTTGGGGCTTGGAGACAATGACAGCCCGACAAGCGGGGCATGAATAAGTAAAAACGTCTTTTGCGACATCCAAGGGAAGGCCACGACGCAGTGCGCTCGCTTCTGCATCCGTTGCAGGAGCAGGTCGCTGGCGATCCGGGGGAAGACCTTCATATGTGCCTAGCTTCTGGCAAAACTCGGAGCGGTACCAGTGGGAGAGGCACGACGCGCAGAACGAATGACCGCAATGGTTGCTGTGGAAGATAGTTAGGAAGAAAAGTCTAGATTGCGTTGCATGTAACATACGTGAATGGCTTAGGCATATGATCTTTGCATATGGAACAACGCAGATGTTCAAGAAGAACGCCAGTTACCTAGTGATATGAGTGAGGGGACCATGCTGATCAATGCAGGGAGGTGCTCACAGTGTCAAGACGCGAGGACAAATCTTGAGCATGCGCTTCGGAAAGGGCAATCCGCTGAATGTCAAGTCAAAGCCGCAAAAGAAAGAGAGGAAGAAAGGAAGGGACGTATGTTCTCATACGAAGACACGACAGCTACCAGCTCTGTTAACGCCGCCTGTGCTGGTTTCGACGCGATAGTGGCATAAGCAGGCAATGCATTCTGGGAAGGAGGCATCCCAGGACCTTGGGCTTCAGCTTCAGCCGCCAAAGTAGGGACAACATCTACGGCTGAGGTGGCGCCCGAAGAGGGTGCTACGTCATCTTGTCTAGTACGGAGCGACGGGCGCGCGAACGCTTCCATGATGGGTGGGAGATCAGAGCAGGTGCTCGAAATGCTAGCGAGGCTTAGTCGACGGGAGAGTGACCTTGAACGCGCTCTCTGCAACTCGGGCTGAGCTGAGTGTCGTCCTGAACGTCGTGTAGCATAGGAATTGTAGTAGGGATGGACTCGCGATCGGAAGGACATTGTTCAAGTGGCGTATTGGGGGTACTGAGGTTTGGACTTGGAAGGCATCGAACCTCATCGTCACTGTACTTGAGCATTTCGGATGAAAGAAGCTATTGAAGCGCACAAAGTTGTTTGTTCAGTTCGGTTTCGGTTTCAGTCCGCGTATTTGTTGTTCAGCCTAGCGCCAAACACTTCGTTCTTACCAAACCAACCGATCACCATACATAGGGCCTTTGTGCTAGTCATTCCTTCTGCTGGGGATCTTTCCTATCTATCAACTACCCTTTACTGTGGAAATCATCGCCATGTATATCGGCCTCTGGTAATGTTCCCTTTCCCTTTCTGCGAAATTGGACTTCCTCAAGATGTCTCTAGGGTTCTTAACCTGAAGCCGGGGGCACCATCGACGATTCAACCTCGCCATTTCGTCCACGTATCCAACGCTGCGGTTGACTACTCTGGTGATTGTGCCGATAATTCTGCCGAAAGTCCAAAGGGGAGAACTACCGTCAAACTCGTGGCGGAGATCATGGAATGGGATGATGCTTCGAAGGCGAAAGCGCCGCCTGGTGACATGGTGATCACGTTGGGCTCGTTCAGTCCAGGCCAGGTATGCAGTGAGGTTTATTGTACACACTCACCGCTCGCACTCACAGACATGATCAGGTGGAACATCTCGCGCTCGATATCTTTCTTGAACGTGGCAAATCCTATCAATTCGAGGCTGTTGGTTGCAACGAAATCTCCCTCTCGGGTAACATTATTGGTGACGCCCAATTTAGTATGTCTTTTCTCCAGAGCTCGACACGTCCACCCAAACTGACATCCCCGTGCAGACCCCCCGTCGGTGACGAGGCAAGGTATCAAGCGTCGAATGAGTCCGGAGCAAGACAACGACACCCAAGCATCTACACTGAGAAAGGCGCCGAAGGTGGATACAGCACGAAATGTCCCTACCCCTCGAGATATTGGGAATGTCAAAGTCGTGGACTGGAAACCGGGGTATGCAGGGCCCATCGTAGAAAAAGGTCAAAGTATATTACATCCTCAAAAACAAAAATGGCGCTGTAGTTGAGAGCTGCACTAGTAGTCCACCTGTGAGTCCTCCAAAATCTCCGCATTGTTTGACTGACTTGGACTTGCTTGAAGTTTGAATTCCGAGCGGGAGTTCAATGTAGGATACGTGGTTGGTTTCGCCTTTGGTGTCAATTCTGGTCTTTTAATCGATGTCTAGGATTATCTGATGGTGTTATTGGTATGCGAGAGGCTGGTGAACGGGAAATTATGGTCCCGGAAGATGAGATCTGTGGACCAACGTCTATTGGTGTGTACCTCTGTCAGCTGTTAATCCACATTCATCTCACCGTTGTATGAAATAGAGGTCCGACTGCTCAGTGCGACTTAATCTGCAGTCTACTATTTCCCTCTATATCTTGTACAGTATTTCGCCATGAGTGATATATGTATTATATGTATCACCTTGGGTATGGAATCTGGGACAATGTAACGAAGTAAAAACTGGGAGAAATCAAGATAGACCGTAGTCCACCAACTATTTCCTTCTATCTTGTACAGTATTTCGCCATGAGCGATATATGTAGTATATGTATCATCTTGGGTATGGAATCCAAAGCAGCGTAACAGAGCAAAAACTTGGAGAGAATCAAGATGACAAGGGAACAAGGAAGCGAGACACAGCAACTGAGATGAAGGGGTCAATGTGGACAGGAAAGCGACACAGCAATTGAGATGAAGGTTGATGTATACAGATGATTCCGTTTGTTATGCAAAAAAAAGAGCCTGACAATAATCTCAGTCGTTCAATTACTATCAGAAGCGGTAATTCATACACACACCTTACTCATCAACGTCGCAGATTGCCAAACAATCGACTGAGACGCTGATACAGGGTCTTGGTGAGGCTGGGCTCCTCGCGATGATGAGGTTTCTCCTTGGATGGACAGCGCAAGGGTGAGCCTTGCGCAATTGAATCTCGTCGTGTTGGAGATGTCAAGACACTGGAATCATAAGGGATAGGCGCATTATTGGAACGTCATGAGTTGCTTCCGGGAAATCTTACCCCAGGCGTGAAATGGCTGAGTCTCCAACAACAGTATCATAAGCCTCCTTAAGGACTTGATATTTCTGTGCAACTTCCTGGAGCTCCTTCATTAATGCTGGATATGCCGCCAATTGACTGTATTGGGCGCTAGATCGAAGTGTGGTAATGAGACCAATGAGGGCCTGTGCAAAAAGGGTATCGATGCGACGAGCTTCAATACTCTGAGCTATGATGGTTATAATTGGGCTGAACGGATCATTCGGGTCGTCCTCAACAAAATGAGGGACTCCAACCAATAAGGGACGTCCGTGGGGAAGGGGAAGAGAGGTGAAAAGAGGTGATTCCGAATCAAAGTCGAATTGATTTTCACTTCTAAGTTGAGCTATGTTTGAGGCGTCCCCATAGTCAGCGGGAAGGCCATTTGCAAAAATGCTGGATGTGATGCTACTTGTGAATAGCGTAGGGGGCCTCGGAGCTGGGGACGTGGTGTCGGTAAAAACAGACATGGAGAATTGCATGCAATGTGGAATTCCGAACAAAACGACATTTCAGCACATCATGTGACCTCAAGGACTATAGATAAATTTGGGCATAAGCGCAGCGATCCAAGTTTGGGCATAGGCGCAGCGATCCAAGTTTGGGCATAGGCGCAGCGATCCAAGTTTGGACATAGGTGCAGTGACGGCCTTAGACCTCAACGTCAATGTTTAATGTTGCGACGCTCAAATTATGGCACCTGCAACAAAGGAGCAGGTGATAACAAATGAAGTAACGCTGAGCACATATACTCCTGGCCAGGGATTCGTCACAGCATATTACTTCGTTACATCCCTCATTCTTTCGATGTCGATGCCCTATCCAATCGAGTTTCAGCAATGTCGATCTACATCCCCACCACCGAACTTTGAGAGCTACTCAATTATGGCGGCGACAAATTACAATCCGATCCTCGATTCTGCCTTGATGCGACGGAAACAAAGAAGTAAGGCGAGATGGCCTTCCTTTGTTGGGGTAAGCGCTCGACATCCTTTATATAACTCCAGTTCTGTAATTCCAGGCTGTCTACCTTGCCACACATTCTACCCGACAATCTAACAAATATGCACAGATTCCCCCAGTTTGCAGAATTCTTTGGGTGCGTTGTCTGGGGTGGTTTGAAAGATGAACTCATTGTACTTTGTTCCTCAGCCATCCCAGTCGACCTTTGCCACCTACCGTATGCTTTGCGACTTCGTTGGCAACCATCTCTGTGGAAGCAAGCATCGAATTGCTAGAGCTTCACTCCCAGGTGGACGCCAAGATCATGATCGCGGAATGGAGCCCTGGCCAATGTGAGGGAGCCTCTTCCCCTTGTCCACCGCAATATGCTCAATCCTGAGGCAATTTCTAGTCATCATGTTAGTTGGTACAGCTCGTCATAATGACCCGCTGTACTCGATGAACCTGGATAACTGTGCGGAGCGCTTGGCTTTCAATGAGGTATGTCACCAGGTGGCCTTATCCTAATTGCTTCTCATTGTGCTTTAGGATGACCTCTCCGTCCAAGCAACCTGCGGACTCGAAGCCTACGAGGCGACATCGGATCACGTTGGGTCCTTCAACGTTCCCAAAAGTATCACTTATCGTCTCAAGTTCAAGAGTGCTCTCATGTTTCTCATGTTCCGCTACTACGCCTGCCTGCATATGTTAGAACCTTGTCCGATCTTGATGGGTGATGTCTCTGACACAATCACCGGTTTCTTCCGCATCGACCAGTTCCTTGAATATCCTCCTCTCCCGCGTACTTTCAGCATCACTCCGCCCTACTGGGTTCTTTTTCTCGCCTTTGTTTTCGGAGCTATCATTGGGTTTCTGTACCTTGCCTACCTTGCTTAATTCCGGGGATTTCCTAATTCTTTTCATCAAATTCACACTAGGTCGAAAGGTCAAATATCAGTACTTAGGTTATTATCACTAATTGATTTCAACCATTGCTCAAGTACTTGAATATGGATTATAACTTGAATTGCATATCATATCCTAAATTTGGAAACAAGCCCGACGGCGAGAAAACGTCAAAGGACATATCTGCAGCACGCGTGCAGCCTAGTTGACAGCGGTGATATATCCTAACCTAATTCTGTGTGCTTGTATGCACCGTGGCAACCTGCCGTATTTGCAGGCTCTCCTGGTCCTTGAGGACGAGCCATGCAACCCCCAACAACCTGAGCTGTAGCCCCTCCTATGCGCTGTGTCAGCCGTACTACGCTGTATCACCTTGTATCACCTGTTCGCTGCGGCGAGAGCGATCAAAGGGATAGTAGATCGTAAATGGCCGAGGGGAGTTGTTGACGATAAGAATGAAAAACACCGGAATGCGTTGAAGACGTAGATTCCAAAATCGTGATGGCACAATTTACTGCGGGATCCCAGCGCGGGGACTGGGTAAAGCTAGGCAGTGCTGACAATGTCAAAAGCGTAGAGGAGAGCGTGAATCTAATAAGAGTCAGATAGTGCGTGTTCCTCTCCACATGATAGCGATAGCAATGTTGATTAGTGTCGTCACTTCTGTTCTGCGTCCCTTCAAACTTCAGCTTCAGCATTGCGCCGCGTGGACCAAGGACGATGGGGCGAGGTGTAGAGAGTAGAAGATTTGCGAGCGCTAGGCGGGTCCCCCGACGCGAAAGGCGAAGTTGAATGTCCAGTCTTGCGAAGGCCCCGTCGGCCCATCGTCCCCGGGGATCCGAACATCCGAGGGTCACAGAATCCCACAAGAGGGGAGTTTCGTTGCATCGCTGCATCGGCGGGACCCTTTCTTCTTTCCGACAAGGCTGGGCAGGTGAGGTTCCCAATCCTTCTTCTGTATTTCATCTTTCTGGATTTTCCTTTTCTCGTCCGCCTGGCCCAGCCCCGATGGTGTGTTTTTCTAGTGGATTATCAGACCGGCGATGATGGCGAGGCGTGTCATCGCTGCGCTGCAACTTACACCCCAGAAATGCAATGTGAAAGAGGTCGACCCACTTGACATTTAGCACGAGACGGCAGCTTCATTCTTGGGGCCTGAACGTTTGAACTTCGATGACTCGAGGGCCCCAGGCTATGCAGAGATGGCACTGGGCAGTGCGGAGGGAGTGGGTGTGTCGTTCGGGAGCGAGGGGCTTCAAAGGGGCTCGGGGCTTCGAAAGGGGTACGGACATAGCCGGATCCGGACCACTCTGGCTCGCAGTCAAAAGGCACCAGACTGACCTACCAAGGAGCAGATCAGTCTTGCTATCCAGTACGTGTACGACGGCGCTGACTCAAACATCCCCAGCGCTGGAACGACAAGCGAAGCGAAATGCGACCTCTGCGCCTTCAGGACAAATATCGCACTTTATCTCATCATTCATGCCTGGCGGCACGAGCCAGCTTCGAAACGGGCCGCATAGGCCGCATTTGGGGGACAGATAAGCGCCCCAACTCGTGTTTGCAAGAATGGAATCCGCAACTAAATATAACTCGCAACGCCGAAATTCTGTAAGGAAACCTCAGTTGTATAAACTGGGTTTGTTCTCGGCGGTTTGTATCTCTGCTTGGTCCCAAACTTTCACCAGCAGCATGCAGACTACGCCGCTAGATGGTCATGATGATGATAGTAAGTGCTCTCCATGATTTCCAGCTCTGTACTGACACTCGGGCGAAGACAGTGCCACCTTGGGACACTCCCGGCGGTCCTATTCACCGCAAGAACCTACTCCCATTGGTTTCCCAACGCAACCAATATACTCCCCTCAGGCCCATTCTCGTTCTCATCCCAACCGTTCTCATCCCAACCGTTCTCATCGCACGGCGATCTCCAATTCATATGTGTCTCGTCGATCTCATCATCACAGACGACGCGACCAAGATAGGAGGACGGGTGATTCGAAGAGTAGGGCTCGTTCTATTACCTCAAGTCGCGCAGCCAGTAAACCTCGACCGTTCAGCCGGAGTTTGAGCCCAGCCCACTCCGGGAAGAGGAAGAGGAAAGTACGGGGGAGGAGCCCAAGGGGTAGGCCTCGGTCGAGGAGCTTGACCCCAGTCTACTCAGGGCATCGCTATCAGAACAAGAATCGTCGAAGGAGCTCGAGGCATAGGTATCGATCCATTAGCGGAAGTTCGAGCCCAATCTACTCGGGGAAACGCTACAGGAAGATAGCTAGTGGTTTGAGGGTCAGGGACCATTCATTCAGCAGGAGATCATTGACAATGAGCTCAAGCCGCTCAGCGAGTAGGGGCTACTCAAAGAATCGAAGTTTGAGCTCAACACGTTCACCGAGCGAACGCCCACGGTCAAGAAACGGACCTCCTGAAACACAAAACCCTCATCTTGGCATAGGTCACCATCTTCGCTCCGACCAAGTCACCGCAACAGCAACTCCTCTCAGCCTAAGCATGCCAGTTGCCAGCTGTTCCAAGGCCGCCCTTTTTACTCCATCACCACATAATTCCCCTACACCAAGTTACATCAATGTCACTCATCATAGGACTCCTCTCAGCGATCTAAGAATGTCTGTTGTAGGCCGTTCTAACTCTGCTGCTTCGTCTCTTCCTGCTCCGTCGCTACACAATATCCCTGCACCAGATACAATCGCTCCGATTTTGACTTCTATCGACTCTTATATTCGAGTTAACTCAGCACTGAAAGAAAATGTCCCCCCCCACACTTTTGATGAAAACGAACACCTCTGTTCTCCCAGCATAAACCACGCAGAACCTAATGACGCCCCCTCGAAGTCTCGCCAGCCCTCACTACCGAAAGAGTCTACTTCCGATCATCCGCTGAATACCGTCGATTCACCGACCAATCTCTTCACCCCCGCCCCATCGTCCGATGGGGCCGACACAGCAAATACTCTTTGCCTGACTTCTCGCCATGGCTCGGTGCGTGCAGCGCTGTCAAACTTGAACGGCTCACCTGGATCAAGTACCAGTCACGCAGAACCTACCTATGCCGCGTCGGCGCCTCGCCATCTCCAAGGATCTACTCCCGATAATTCTACCGCAGATCTCGTCACTCTCTCCACACCGCTCAATCGGGCTGGCTCTCTTCGTTTGAACGCTTCACCACGGCCTGCAAGCCAGTCAATCTTAGCTCGCTCACTAAGATCAAGTACTCCCGACGCTTCCGGAACAAGCCATGCGGAGCTCAGCCATGCGTCTCCAAAACCAAGTCGTCGTAGCTTGTCCACTGATCTCTTCACATCCACCCCGCCACCCAATCAGGCCGCTTTAACCAGCCTGGATGGGTCCAATCATCGTATCATTGAGACATCATCCAATGCACTAGTCTCCACATCGAAGCGTTGGGGTCGGCATCGGGCCGAGTTGGAAACACTCCTTGCTCTCAAACGAGCTGATAAAGTCCAAGAAGTTCGCAAGCGGCTTTTACGGCGCATACACCCGATGATCCCCCTCGTACAACACAATGCCTTACCGTGGAACGACCTGCCCATTTTATGCTTGGCGAAGGCTGTCCAAATCAGCGGCATTCCGGACTGTTGCCCCCTACCAGGTTTCTGTTCTTCTCCTCGAGGTATCTCTGGTGTACCCACCCGGTTCTTGTCGTTGTTCCTGAAACATCTCCCCGATGACATTTCCCAGGGGATAGTTTTGCGTAGAATGTCAGCAGAAGAAAGTGACGGTAAGTATTGCTCACATCGGCCTAGTGATGTCTTTAACACAGTTTTTCTGCAAATAGCCATGAAGGCTGGCAAGGTGCCAGTGATTGTTTGCAATCCACCGCACCCTCAATCAAGGCACACTCGCGCAAAGCAACTCTTCATCGCCAACAACCGAATGTGGATTGATCGATGTGGTGAACCACGACGACCCTCCAGCCACGCTGACGACTCCGACTTTGCACCATCGGACGATGACCCCCATGACAATTCCACGCCATCTACATCAGTAAACTCCAATGTAATACATGGGCGACCCCGTCGACCTCGTCGACCTCGTCAAAGGCCCAGTACACCCACGCCCACGCCCAGTGTTTCTCCTAGCCCATCTTATTCGGACAACGATGATGCCGAATCCGTCTCGTCATCTATCTGTAACAAGAGCAAGGGCAAGGGTAAAGCTCGTGCCCACTCCCGAGCACGGTCTGATGAAGAAGGTGCTCATTCGCGACAACAGTCTGACGAAGAGGAGGAACATAGATCGTCCAAAAGATCTCGGATGAAACTTCGGGATCGAAAGTAGGAATACATCTGTACAGCGATATGAGTAGATATGAGTAGCAAAGTTGCGTTCAGATTAGAAATACAAGGTTAGTCAAGAGTCATTTCATAATGTACTCACGTCTGATTGTCGGAAATCGCCTCATTATGGGAAAGCGCTCAGTCGCGGGCAAAGGACCATGACTATAAATGGATATAGGACGATTTGCTTCTTACAAGCGTCACTGACATCACAAGCGTCACTGACATCACAAGCGTCACTGGCATCACTGGCGGCATCGGTGGTACTAGAATCACTGCTGTCACTGAGGTGATTGGTGGCGGCAGAGCTGATCATAGGAAGCATTGTGGGGAGTATATGTAATTAATACATGACTTTAACTAGAAGTTAAAAAATTTGATGACCTCATATGAACGTAGCCTATCCGCCGCGGCCATAATTGCACCTACAATACACAATACAGGAAGGATCCAGTACACGAAAGACGGGTTAGAAGGGCCTCTGCCCGCACTAGCCGCAGCAGCAGCATTGATTGGGCGACCACGATAGATCAGCAGAGCAGCTGGTTTGGTGACAACGGCAAGTCTGAATGGTCGAATTGCTGCGTCTCCACTATCAGAAGCCGTGTTGCACTGCATGTTGTAGAAAGCGGTAAGCAAGAAACCAATGAGAGGGGTTTAGGCACACTGACAGCTAAAGCCTCTACGAGCGCGTTTGACAAGTCGGGATGTAGCTCATCTATCACATAATTCTGAGCTAGGATTGTCAACGACACTCTATTTGCGGCATACCATCAAATTGAATGCTGAGTACACGTTGTTGGCTTGATAGATGCCAGATGGCTACCACCTTTGGCCCGCCGCCTACGATGTGCGCTCCGGCATGGATAAATTGGGCAGGGAATTGTCCCCCGTTAATGATGTGGGCATCGAGTCGTAGGGCGGCGCAAAGTGTACCGTTATCGAGATCATAGACGTCAAACCCAGATTGGTTGTTAGGGATGACTACTTTCGTCCTGTCCTGGGAGATGGATGCAGCAGCTCTAGTTGACTCATGATCGAGATATACGGTGATCCGAAGGCAAAGATGACTTACATTGGTGCGTTGTGGGCAATGGATTTGGCGCTTGATACCACGCCTCCGTTATTGATGGTATATTCCCTAAGTGGTAGCAGAACAAATTATTCACTGCGGGAATGATAAACAAGACAACCTACTGCATTCCATGGGAGCGGTATGTGGCAACGACTTTTTCCTCGCCCAAGAAGTGGAGAGAAGTGACGTCCACAGGAGATTCAAGGACCATACCTCCGAGCCTGGGTTTCGGAAGGGTATTCTGATGCCCCCAGACTACATGTACAGCGTCGGGATCTTGTTTCTGCCATAGAGAGACATGGCTTCCACCGCCGAGGGCTAACTGGCTGCCGTCTGGGGAAATGGCAAGATATGAGATGGATATCCTCCCACCATCCTCACCCCGGACTATTTGACCGCATCCTTCGAATGCCTGCGAGAATTAAAAATACAATGAATATCGACAACAAAGAGATTGGAACGAACCCGAGTTTCTTGGATGACATGGCATTGAGTTAGATAACCATCCGCCCTCCCTGCTAGCAATGCATGCTCGCCATACCAAGCGAGACACAGACATGCGCCGCGACCAGGAGATATGTAGGAGAGCTTGCCTGCGGCCATGTCCCATATCATAACATTCGTGCCAATAGCAGCAGCAATGTACAAATCGGTGGGAGAGAATGCGATACACGTGATGGTGTCAGCTTGGGTGAAGCCAGTATTGATTTCGAGCTCGAGCTCGTAAGTGAGAGACATTGTGATGGGAGATGTCGCTCGATGCCAGCTGGATAGAAATAAGTACTGACGGCCTCAAGGCTACCCTTTGTCCTCTTTACATAAGCCTCGCACAGGATTATATCTATATAAGGACATAGTCTCGACGTGCTGTTGTGCTGCAGTAACTGCTGAGTCCGAGTCTTCCTCTTCCTCTCCCTCTCCTCGTAAATTTTGGCTGACACAAATGAATTCGAGGCTATGGTAGTTCCTCAACCTTCGACCTCCATTGACAGACACTCTACTGACCAACAACAGGGCCCTCCAGCTGGCTCCGAGGACACAAAGGCATATCGAGCCCCATTACCCCATCGAAATCACAAATGCGGCTCTTCTAGACAAATTGAAGAGTAACACAGGCCGAGCCGTAGTCCGTGTTCATACAGACGTCAGCCATGAACTTGTTCTTGTCTCCTTAGTTGGTGGGAGGGTACGTGTCGGGGTATTTTCATGAAATCTCTGATTCGTGTCTGACCCTCTGTAGAATGAGCAGGCCAGACTGAATTTTCGTATGGAAGCAAATCAACAGTATACCTTCGAGGTTGTTGGAGATAAGTAAGGATATATTCCGTTGTGTTTATTGAGGTCCTGATTTCCGACTCTCAGTGATGTATGCCTTGCCGGACGTATCTTAGGTATCACCTTCCATTCATGATGTGGGCGGTTCATAGACTTAGTCCCCCCAGATGTCATCGATAAGCAGCCACAACGATCAAACAACGGTAACGAGGCATTAACGTCTTCGGACATTACTTCTGGTATCTCATTCCATTCGCGATTTTGAATTGCTCATAATAGACGTCCTGTAGTCCTCGATAGTGCAGAGATGCATGTGAAGTCCCGCTCAGGCGAGAAAGCACGACATAGGCGCGATAGCGTCGAAACATCTTCAAGTATTGCAAGCTTCTTTTCTTCGGCACCTTCGACTTATTTGGCCCTTCCCTCTCCATCCATCGCATCGACCGTGGAAACTAGCCGTGGAGCTGGAGAGATGATCAGTTTCAAAGAAGTCAATGCCTTTGACTATGCGGTTGGTACCGGGAAAGCAGCCGCGGAAGGGGACAAAGTTGCCGTTTATTTTCAAGGTATTATTGCCGAGTCACAGGAATTCTATATCAGATATACACCTGAGTTTCATTCCTCGCCTGTACGTGGTTTGCTTGCTTGTCGACGAAGAACTAATACTAGATTGCAGTATGAATTTGTGGTCGGCTCTGGGTCTGTCCTTCGAGGCGCTGTCATGAACCATGTCTGTAGACATGGTAAATGAGTATATTCAGCATTGTACTCCCTCAAGCAATTCTCTCTCCATTTCCCCAAGCTCCTATTTCCCCTATACCCCTATTTCTCCTAAAACTCTTCCTTCTCAAAAACTCTACACTTCGTACAGCGGCCCGTTTTCACCTAGGGAAAAGAAGAGATTGAAAATGTTGCCGTACTTTCTATATGTTTTCGCCTCGTAGATTTGACCTGTATTTAATGTGTTAGAATATCAGAGAAATATGGGGTTTTATCTGTGTGCTCACCGTCAAAAAGGGTCTACTTCTGGTCAATGTTTTGCTGTGCGCCAAACTTGGAGAAAAGGAACCCTTTTCATTTGCTTACTCCTGAGTGAAAGGGGCCTCTCCTCTCCAGGGTTTTCTCCTCATCAACAGCGTAAGTTTCCTAATAACTTTTCAAGCTACACTAATGTATAATTATTACTCTGTCATAGCATAAATAAAACCTTGAGTTCTCTCTATCTTATCATCGGTGAGGAATTGATTGTTTTGTAATATATTTTCACCCATATAGAACTTATTCTTTTCTTTTGTCTTTTCTTCTGGTAAAAACGTAGCGAGTCGCTGAGTGAGACGTTGAGTGAGTCACTCAGCGTCTCGCTGACACGTCGCCTACCGCCTCACCCACTTGGCCGCATATGTGACTGACCACGCTTCCAGTGCGCACTTTCGTGACTGGCGACACGCCCTCGCTGAGGTGGTGAGTACTCACACCTTACATTCCAACATATTAAAATTAACCTGTGATTAATGTAGCGAAGAGAAGGTGGTACAGGTAGCAGAGGCATAGGCATGGGGAGCAAACCAAGCTGAATATGTAGCTAGTCGTCCTCATTGATGAGCGGTAAAGGGACCTCTGCGAGAGTGGCAAGGCCAGCAAGTTGCGATCGCGAAAGTGAGTTGTACCAGATTGGGTTATACCAATTTCTCGGGAGACCAGCAACTGGTTTGTGTTTGCTGACTGGACCGCCGAGATGGCGTCGCCTACTCCGAGGTGGAGCACCAGCTCTAGCATTCCCATAGCAATTCACAACTTGGCGATGACGGTCGATGACTTGAAGAAGGCGGATAACCTCGGGTGAACGCCAGTCCTTATGGATGATCGAAACGGAGGTGTTGTCGTCAGGGTCGCTTTCGTCTGAGCTCATGCCAAGAAGCCCAAGGCCTCTGACCATGTCGTGGAGCAACATCCAGACAGCGCTCTCACCTGCTTGAAGGTTGCTTTCAATGATCCTCATACGATTATCGTAGAGCTATCAAGGCAGTCAGCAACCATTCAAATGTCAGTGGTATTACGACTCACTGTTCCTCGCCTACTTGCACGCCGTGAACGGCCACGCGCAGCCTGAAGGAGGGCTTCTCCACCATCTGCATACGTAGAATTGCGCGAGATGTAGATGTGAAGGGTTTTGAGCCGAGACGCAAAGTGGTCCTTCACTTCATCTACGTCGAATTCACCCTCCTCACGGCAGAATTCCTCTGCAAACTGGATAGCAAGTTCATGGTTCCATTCATGATTGAGGTGCCGCCAGAAAGGACGGAGGGGATGAAGAGGTGGCGGGTTGTGGTCCCCTTCTTCCCAAGTCGCTACCTCTTCTGCGGATGCGGCAACTTCATGTCGGTCGATGGCGTTAGTGATCTCAGAGTCTTGCTCTATGTGAAGCATGTTGCGCATCTTGATTCGAACCAGATTCTAAATGTGTTGTGGTTAAAGCATGCTGATCGGTGAGTCACCGTAATTTACATACCATCATACGAGTCCTGCCTGGGTCCCGTGTCTTTGGTTCATGTGTCTGTGAGTATCCACTTGCCCTTGACGCTTTAGGCGGTAGAGTGTTGTTGCTTCGCGTTAGATTTTCTGCCAAACCTGTTACCATATTTCCCAGGGCATGCATGAGCCTGTTCTCCAGTGCAGACATTGCAGTTTCAAGATTGAGCGGTTGGGGCTCTGTTCCCTGCTGTGGTGCGGTGGGTGGGCGACCTGTAGTTGGTGTTGCCCCTCCACTAGGTCCAGAGGGTGTAGCTTGACGCGAACCGGGTGTTGGTGTCGATTGGTGGGAGGAAAGAGGTGTGTTGGCTCCAGAATGACTGCCTGCAAGGGTGAATGATGGGGGGGCAGCCGTTCGAGGGCGAGCAGTGTCTGAAGTCAGGTTTGTTCCATTGGCGGGCATACGCATTGCTGGTGTTCCAGATGGGGACGATGCAATGGTAGGGCGTGAGCTTGGACCAGGCGAAGCATTGCGGGTTGAGTTGAAGCCTAGGGACTGCGTAGCAGCAGTGGAGCGAATATTAGATACTGGCATCTGTATGTTGAACGCTCGTGGCGAGGAGAATCCCATTCCATTGCGTGATGTTGCCACTGGTGGGTAAAGGCGGCGATTCGCAAAAGAATGAACCTGATACAGAGTCACTGTCAGGTTCCGTTGTAAAGGCAGAGGCCGGGAAGGTACATACGTTCAGAACTTCACGTTCACGCTGCTTCCCATGTCTCCTCCCAGATGTGGGGGAGCTCGTACCATTCGTGTTGACACCATTTGTAGCTGTAGTCTGAAAATAATCATTAGATAGCGGGGGGATTGAGACGACTGGTGATAAATACCTGTTGAAGCGACTGGTAGTGGGTGCGGAGGTCACGCAGCTCCTCGCGCAATGCATTGTGTTCAGCCTAGGATGTCTTTGTCAGGATGCCAGGTTGGAAATTGGTTTGAATCGTACCTGAACCCCTTGCTCATGGGCTGCCTTCCAAGCATTGAAGTTAACTTCTGCATCTCGCTGAGCGTCTGATATTGCAGTTTCAAGGGCCCGAGCCATATCCACAGTGCTTGTGGGGGTTTGATGCCGAGCAGTTTCCAATTCCTGGTACTGTGCAATCTGTCGCTCAGCGTCTACAAGGTTCTGGCGTGCCTCCTGGAGTTCCTGCTGTACTTCATTTAGGCGAGTCTCAGCATCTTGCCCGTCCTTTTCATGCTGAGCCTGCATAGCGGATATACGAGCTTGAAGGTCTTCCAGGACATCCTGTTGAACTTTGAGTTGTGCTTGAAACTCCTGAGTTACTTCTGCTTCGTGCTGGGCGTCCTGGTGGCGGGCATTCTCCAAATCAGTGAGTCGCTTCTGCCAGTCATCTTCAAGTATGTGTCGGTCCCGCGAGGTTGAGTCTTGCAATGAATCGTAACGCTGTTTAGCCTCCTCCAAATCATGAAGATGTTGCTGCTGTAGGTTCAATAGCCGGTGTTCTAGGTCTTCAATATGCTGACGGTGAGAGTTGTCTAGAGCACTTGTTGAGCTCTGATTGCGGCACTGATCTTCAAGTTGGCGGCGTTGGTCTTGGGCATCAGATCCAAGTTTGGCATAAGCTTTCTCCAGTTCTCGGATTCGATCGTTCAATTCCCCCACAACACGCTCATGATCCTCCCTATGCGCCTGCTCCCAACGTTGCGACGCAGCCTCCATTTGGTCCCTATGTAGATCTTCAAGTGCGCGGCGCTGGGATTGGGCATCGGATCCAAGCTTGGTGTACGCATTCTCCAGCTCCCTGATGCGATTGTGCAGGTTTGACACCACTCCTTCATGATCCTCGTGACACTTTTCTTCGTCAACCTTCCACCGTTGAGATGCACTGCTGAATCTCTTTTCCAACTCCTGATATCTTTCGGATGCTTCAGCCTCGACGCGCTGCAATTGTTGATTGAGCCTTTCGATAGTTCGAAGATGTTGCTCGCTGACGGACGCCTCATGTGATTGCTGGTTAGTCGCCACATTGATAGCTCGCTGAAGCTCTTCTAGGTCGCTGTCGTATCTCTCCTTGAGTTCCCGGTACTGTACGTCTGCGGCCTCTGCATCATCCTGCTTTGCTTGCTCAAGGGCATGCAGGCGCGACTGCAGATCAAGAAGATCCTGTGAGGGTGCGTGGGAGGACTGTGCTTGTTGATGGCGAAGGTCGGTGAGCTGTTTGTCTTTGAATGAGAGAAGATTGCGTAGGTTGGTTTCACGCAGCAGGGCCTCCGCATGAGATGAGCTGTGGGCCTGCTCAGACTTCTGCGACTCAACATGCGCCTTCCTCAGTTCTGAAACTTCAAGCCGCAAGGATGACTCCGAGTCAGCACGAGCAGGCCGAACCCCCCTAGCCCGTGAGCCTCTCTTATGTTTTGCCTTTGAGGACGATGCTGAGGCTCCATCAGCCACGCCGTCACTCATAGCCATCGAAGAGAAGTCTGGCTGGGACTGCGAGGTCTCCAGGCGAGTACGCCTTCGCTTTTTGACATCAAGATTGCCGTCGCCTGTGGAGCGTTGGCGCTTTAAGCCAGAAATGGGAGGCGGGGAATATGTCAAGCCTGGGTATCTTGGGGTGGGTGCAAGTATCGGAGCGCTGTGAGCCCCAGAGTTGGTTTGTTGGAGCTGAATAGTATATATGTCGGGTGGGAGCTGGGGGTGGAATGTAGAGCTAAAAGGAGCAGCGAAGTTGGAGGCTGAATAAACATTTATGAGCAAAGGCGTAGGTCATGATAGGTATTAGACCTACCTGATAGATTAGTGGGTGGATTAAGTGCACTAGAAGTATTATGCACTGGCATGAACGTGGGATCTGATGGTAGCTGTCAATAGAGTGATTCGGCGTAAGAGATTTGAAACATACTTGAGTTAAGGTGGGGGTCACGAGAAGCAAGGGTGCCAAGGGGGGCATAGGTAGGGAGAAAGTTGTCCGTAGAAAGGTTGAATGAGCCTGAGAAGGGTGGAAAGTCGTTCCTAAGGTCAAAGGTCGAAGGCATAGGTGCAGCAGAGGGATTTAACATGGCGGGATTAATTGTTGCAGTGGGTATATAGGTTGAAGACGGCATAGGTGACATGTTGAAGAAGGATTGGGATGGAGTAGGAGTATTGAGCGGATGGGATGGGGGAGGAGGGCCCATGACTGCCTCCAACATGGGAGAAGTATCCATTGGCGTGCATGTTTGATAAGAGTGCATGCTGACGTCGGCTGAAGAACGGCGACTGATGGGTGGGATGGTAGGTGTAGGTGTAGCGGAATCAGAACGATAAGACATGTCGTCTGCGAAATTGCTGGCCGCGTCAGTGTATGAGCCTGAGGTAGACTCGGACATGGCGGAGACAGAGTTGCGGGGTGAGGTGCGCATTGTATGTGAAAGATATAGCAAAGAATGCTGGAGGTAGCTTAACACAGAGAAAGCTGAGATTGTGGGCATCGAAGACAGGCCTTTAAATATTACAGTCGCTGAGGCTAGTCGCCAACAGCGCCTGACAGTACAAAGCATATTTTTGCGTACGAGAGAGACCCTGGAAGAACGATGACGTTTCGACAGTACTGAAAGGCATCAAAGGCGTTGAGGAACTGACTGGCCCCAGTGATGCAGCATGTAGCGGTTCGATGACACATTAGGGTGGGCGAAGAAAGCAGCCATGGCTTAGCCTCCAGGGATAAGCAAGGGATAAGTGTCGAAATGCAGGGATGGCAGATCAATGGAGTTCGGCGACTCCAGAGTCCAGCAAGGCGCGACGCAGCATGCACATAGGGCTGTATCTCTCCGAGTGGCACAGTGTGCAGAGTTCCATTTCTTCCTGTGGCGCAATGCTCAGTCAATTAACATCAAATCTGAATTCAAGACGTCCAGGTAATTGTGCGTACCCAGGGCTCGTCTCAGTAGCAATGGCAAGGTAGGGGGGGTAGACGTGTAACATAGTGGTTAGCGCACATCACGGATTCGGCAAGTCCATTCTTGGCGATCTCAGCGATTGAGGAACAAAGAACTTCATTTGAACTTTGTGATCTCGATCTGCATGAGCGATCTTTGTGAGTCTACATCTTACTTCGCTACGGCCAATACCCACTCCACCAAATATGGCAGTGGCTGAAAGGCATCAGTGATCGACGGCGGAATCGCATTGCTCCTGCCCGTACAAGCCGGAGCCTGAATTGTAAGTCCCTCTGGAGCGGTTGCATGCCACGAGTGAGCGGCTGAAAGCAGCTCTTTGACAAGACTGCACAGGGCACCACTCGTACACCCACATTGTTGAACACGCCTTGGTGTAACCCTGACATTGAGGCAAACTTAACGTTTCATGCCGCAGCGTATTGGTGGCTGAAGGAGCATCAAGTACGTGAACCATCCCTTTATGACGAAATTCCAAGCTCACCTCCTTGAATGCTATATATACGGTGTTCAACTCGTTCCAAAAGCACTGTCGACACCTGTCTTCTACCATCTCATCCAATTCCCCTGCTTTAACACATTCTCCATGAATGATACCACCAACGACCGCGATGAATCTGTCCAGGCCACTTTACGAGGCTTCGGAGCCGGTGAGGATGCTTATGCCGCCGAACTTGGTCAACTTGCTGGCCAACTGAAGGCTGCAAAGGCTGTGAGCAAATTCATCCAGTTCTTATCGTGTGCAGACACCAACTAACCTCTTCCTTAGTCTAGTGATTGGACCTTGTCTTGCCTTATAGAGCAGGCCGAGGCGGCTCTAATTGCCCATCAAGCTACTGTGACTGATGCCCAGAATCGCGAAGAAGGCCATCGTACTGTAAGTTGACTTTTTTTCTCTACGCATACATGACCTCTTGATGGTTTGTGTTCGTCAGGAACTTCGATCCTTGAAGGAGAAACTCGATTGCCTCGAAGGCGATTCTAGCCGCCATTTTGATGACATGAAGGCCACAATCAATGAGCTCCGGTTGACCAACGGTCATTTACAGAACTCGTACCGCTCGCTCCTTAAGGTGAGGATTGCAGCATGCCATCCCAAATACTCCAGATTGACTGCCAAATAGATGCACACCACTATGCGTGTCGAGCATCAAAGCCTGACGAGGATCAACCAAGGTATCCAGTCTGACTGCGACCGCCTCAGAGCCAACTGCAATGAGCTGCAAGCTACCTGCTCTGTGCTTGAGAACCTCCGCGATGGCTTGGCCCTGGTATGTCCTTGTCCTTTTGAACATGGATTACTCCTACATTTGTATCTGATGTCTCTCAGGAAACAGAACAAAAACGGGGTGTAATTGAAGCCCTCGCAGAGTTCGCTCGGTGTGTCGTATGCACCTCATTCATGACCCGCCCATGCGTGTAAGTTCCTCTGAACATAGTCGGTTCTGAGCAATTCTTATCACGCCTTGATGCAGGGTCGAGTGTGGTCATGTCTTTTGCTCCGCTTGCGTCGAGACTTGGTTCGACACCCGCGCCACCTGTCCTCTGTGCCGAGGGGCCATGACTGAAGGCCGACCCATTCTTGGGTTCTCCGAGATCATCTCAAAGATGGTTACTGCCCATACCGAGTATCGAGACAGCCTTTGAAGCTCCAGACTTGTAGTGTTCATGGCTGAATGCTTTTCCTATGATACTATTCTTGTACACAGATCGTTCTAATGGTAATGAATGAGATGAATGGGATGTAAGATGTAATCGAAACAAACTAAGATCAAATAAAGTCCAAAGAGAATTGTAAAAGCCCAGTCCCCTAGCCAGTCCTATATGTCACGAAGTACTTCGTACATGGCGAGCCCTCTCTCCCAGCCATCTAATCTATCTTCCATGGCAGCGCAGTAGCTGGCAGGGTCCGCCTTTTGGAAATCCAACTGAGTCCTGCAGCCGTTATCTACCCAGCGAAAAATTCCACCGGCGCAATATTGAGTGAAAGATGCTCGCTCTTCTTTGACGCCGACAGCAATATTGGAGTGAAGAATGGTGGACGAGGGGATAAGAGCGGTAGAGTTAGGAGGAAACTCCACAACCACCCTGGCATCCCACAGAATTAGATGACCCCCTTCGGTGGGATTGAAGCAACCAAGGGCGGTGATGCTGCACCAGCCGTACCCAAGGTTGAGCGAGTCCCTGTGCGGAATGGTCTGTACCCTAGGCCCAAAGTTGAATGTTGCGCAAGGGAAGACCGATTTGGAGAAGTTTCTTCGTATGTGGGGAAGTGCGTCGTACATTTTTTCGACGTGGGTCCTGTAGTGATTGTACAGCTTAGGAGCCCACATTTGAAATGCGGAGTCCCCATAAGCAGCTACCCGCTGGACGGCAGGGTTGTTTAGTAGGCGTTGAAGCCCAGGGGCCTGGGGGCTAGTCTCTCCAGCTATGAGCCTCATGGGTTGTCTTTGGCCGTTTCCATAGGATACCCCCACAGCCAGTGCTGGAAAGTTGCCGCGGCGATGGACCGTATCAGTCTCTTTCAGGTGGAATCCACGCAATTCGGCCTGCATTGAGCTGTACATGGCTTGGCAGTCATGCTCAAAGGATGGGTCCTTGGGCCTCCCGGCGAGCACTGCAAATATACGCCCACCAGAATCTACTAGTGGCCGAGGAGTGCTAGAGGTGCCTATCAATTAGGAGGCTTTCTGGCATATGATACATGCACGCACCGTCCATCCCATTGCACCAGGCTAAACCCATTTTCTAACAGTCCCTGAGCCGTCCAGTTTTGGGCTGAATCCTTGACGCTGCTGCGGGCAATTTTGGCAGCGTACCCATCCCTCAAAGCCGGGAGCCTATTGCTACAGAGAGTTGTTGCCTGACGGCGGGAGGATGCTGCAGCCTCGGCCCTTTTCTTTGCAGAGGACGAGCGGACCCCTTCCCCGTAGGCCTTCATCCTGGCCATCCTCCTTTTATAAGCCTTATAGCGCTGCTTCTCAGGCACTAGTTCGGCAGAGGGCCTGAGACGGCCCAAACCTGGGTCGTCATTCTTTGGGTCCAGGCTGTCGTTTATTGGGGCGTCGTCCAAAGCCATGGGCAGGGCAATGGGTTGTAGGATTTTGCAGGGCGTGTCCGGCCCCAAGATTTCATGGGGCACGCTTGGTAAGGCTTTGGATGGGTGGTCGAACGCCGCAACTTCATGGAATGTGCTAGTTTCCTGGGTTTCGTGAGGTGCGTCAAGTTTCGAGTTGCTGCAAGGCGTAAGCTGTTGTGAGGGTTGAGGCCTCTCATCATATTCCATGGGGATGCAGGTGCTCTCAGAGTTTTTGAGGAGGGAGGCGAAATCTAGAGGCATCTTGTAGGGGCTGAACTCCTTCCCGGAGCGAAGCTACGAGGTTCGAGTAATCAGCGCACTGCAATGGAGTTGGCAGGTGGGCAATCTCACCTTGCGCTGTGCGGAACGCGCTGTATCTAAGTGTATGAGGAGTCAGCATGGAAAAAAGGGTAGGCGCGTGCTGCCGTCGCGTCCCACCAACGCGCATCGCCCTCTAGCCCCAGGGGTGAGGCAAACAGGGAGGGGCTTGTAGGCAGGACATGACCGGCGTCGCTACAGATTGCGGAAGCTACTCACCGTCTCGACTCAACGTCCCCTGCATGGTGTAGGACAGATTTGAATGTGGGTGTGAGTGGTGGTGTGGGTGTGAGCGGTGGTGTGAGTAGCGGTGTGGCCGCTTTTTGTAGCTTGTTGATTTCACAGTGGATCATGTGATCGTTTGATTCACATGACGATCTCGCATCGCCGCCAGCTTGGTGTTTGAAATCCCAGCGAAAAGTCCGTCGCATCCCCTTTGCATTCCACGCCCCCCGCCATCATGTATGCCACGTTGCACACCGCAGGACATGGTATGCCCTTAGGGCCGCCGGCATTTGCCCCGTTACTCACGCGCCCATTAAAGCAGCACTACCTGCAGGTGCTGGCATCAAGGAGACAATAAAGGGAGACGGCTCAGAATGGTATGAAGGAGAGGCAATGCTCTCAGTTCACTCTCAGGTCAGTCACGACAAGGGATGCGGCGGTCACGCCCTCACGAACGGTTCACTCAAAACTCAGGATGGCCTCAATTGCTGCAAGGCTACAACGGGGACTGTTAACGACGGGCTTGACGACTAGGGCAAAAACGAGCAGAGTCGCCACTAAATTAGTAGGGATGTGCGCTCAGTGGCAATGTAAGACGGGTGGTGTCATTTTCAATGTCATTTATTTTGTGAAATCTGTGAATGACGAGCAAACAATCAGTCAACAAGAATGGCAAGCAAGGCAGGGTGACTTACTCGTTAACTACTACACAGTGTCAGTTGGAACAACAACACAATCATTTGCAGTTATGGCCGTGGCCATCTACTATAGAACGCCGAGTCGTGTCGAACGGAGCGGGATTAGTGAGCGCAAGCGAGTGGGTTTAGCGACGAAAGGAGTGCTGTAGGTAGGCGAAGGGAGTTGAGAGGTGACCGAGGCCTGAGATTGTATCAAATCTCCCCGGTATATAGCATCCGTATTCTGTACACGAATCCACGCGTCGATACGCCTGAAGCCTGACGCTTGAGATTCCCTGCGTGTGTATTGCATCCGCGCCCGCGTCCACGTCCGGTTAATGTGTCCGTTTGTATAACCGGTATAACCTGCGTGTGTTTAAAAGTAGGACGTACGACCCCTCGAATTAAGCGGGCGTATTTCGGGATTTTTCGAAGTGTAGGATGGGTAGGATGGGAGTGGAAGGGTAGAGGCGTCCGTGTATTTGCGGGAGACAGCACAGCATTCGGAGTGAGGATATAGGGCGATGGACGCGCCAAATCCCAAACGCCTGATCCCAAAACCAATCACTTGATAGGAAGTGCGGCCCTCGAGCGTGCGGGGGTAGGTGGGTAAGATGTGAGTGGTTATCGCGCGTGACGCGTGGTGAGAATAGTCGAATTTAATTCAATTCAATGGAATCGCGTCCAAGCGCGTCGTCCGTGTTGTAGCCGTGTGTAAGATTCGGGAAGTAGAGCGTGGGCATGGAAGTAGAGCGTGGAGGAAGAGAGGCGGAAGGGTAGACGATACCGGGAAGGCAGGCGGAAGAAGCAAGGCGGGGGCAAGTCAACCGAACGAAATGAAAGAGAAGGAAATGAAGTAAAATAGACGAGTACCATCCTGAGGGACAGGAATGGACAACATGAATCCCAGTGGATCCGCAGCATGTAATTCTATACGACGCGCCAGGCATTGCCATGGGTCATCAGCTTGAGTCCACCATCGATGGCCCTATGGATGCAATGGTCAGACGGGTTGCGGACATGGAGATTAAAACTCACCTCCAAAGGTCGAGTCGCACTATCGAAAACGTCATCTAGACGATCCATAACGAATTCGACGCGTTCATCAAAGCTGGCCTTGTCGAATTGGCGAGGTGAATTTTCAGCCACCGAAGCCCACGCTCACCCAGCGGCTTAGCCTCGGAGTACTTGAGGAGGCCACGAGACAGGTCATCTCCGATATGATTGAGATGGGGAGAGATGGGGTAGGCACGGCCACGGAAATCAAGATTATGGGGTCGTTCAGGCTCAACGTCACCGGAGGCATCTTCCCTAGACGAAGGCCGGAGTTCCACACGGCGAGGACGGCGTCAAACACGGGCCTATTTATTATCCATGGAGTAGAGCCGAGGACGTCCAGACCAGCGTACACGAGCTCAGCGTTGCCTAGCTGAGATGCATGCTTGCGGTATGCGAGCCGTTCAACGGAGTCCTTAAAACGCGTAGATGATTGAGGACTCACCGAGTGATTCAGGGACACTGACGCGTGCTCCAGAACTCCCTGCCATCTGGTATCGTATCGCGTGCACAGTCCAAGATATTCCCAGAAATTGAGAGAGGCCGCGCGGACTTGACTCGACTGGAGTGATTCCACGTTCCCAAACGCGTCCACAGGCTTGGATCTCGAAACGAAGACGGGAAGACGGTGCCGTGGATCCAGAGACGAGAGAGAATAGGCCGCGGGATCCCAGTTCGATTGAGAGCGATGGGTGCATGGGCGATAACACGGCCAGCGAAAAGGTACGCCATGAGTTAAAAAGACCCTATATCAGCCCGTATCCATAACCAGAACCAGAACCATAAACAGACCCACGAACCACGAACGCGCGCACATCTACAAATCAAACCCGAGAAGAAAATCAGCCACAACATACACAACACGAACGAATAAACAAATGATGAATGATGCATAAAACGATAACGAGGTACGTACTCTCCTTCATCCTCTCGTCGTCGGAGCCGTCGTTGTTGGTTGGTTGGTTGGTTGGTTAGTGCGTTGGTGTTGACGACGGTTGGGGAGGTAAGTTGTGTTAAACATGTTTATTATTGATCTACCTACTTATCGTGTTACATCTTTCTAGCATGCGTTGTACACGACGATAACCGGCCTATTCCCTACGTGTCGCGCGCGAGGTCACTGTCCTCGTCGCATGGACTGCGTGTTCAGTTCGTTCGTCCATACCTACCATCGTGGCAACCGTAGCCCGCGTCGTCGTTACCTGATGAATCCACAAGGTAAGTAAGCAATTAAAATACTTATTCACAAGCCGTCTAACTTACCTCTCGGCAGTTACTTCGCCAACCATCTAGCATCCAACGGCTCGTCGACTTCTGGTAACATGGGTACGTCTTCGTTCATTTTTTCGTTTCATTTCCTATCCCCCCCTTCTCTGCGTTTCGTCGTTCTTGTTTCGTCGTTGACGCTGGTGTTATTGCTCGCATTGGTTCTCGTTGTTCGAGTTCCCTTTCTTTCGCCTCTTCGTTTTGCTTCCCACCTACCGTCATCACCGTCGTCGTCTTCTTCCTATACTCGCTTGAATTATCAACTGACTGCCTCGTATTTCTAGCGCATCGTGGATGTATGTTGGAGTCGATTCGCATGTCTGGAAAAGCTGACGCTCAAGATCCCAGTTGGACGGCCTCAGGACGATGTGCGAGGATCCTAGCGAAGCACAGACGTTGAAGGCGGCGATGGCACGGTCTCAGGACGATCTCAGCAAAGGCCTGAGTCATGGATGCAATGGCGCATGAAGGAGATATTTGGCCATCGTCGTTTACGAAGGCAACGCGGTAGTTCATGTTGTGTAGCTGAGTTAAATGAAGACCGTATATATTGATGTCAATTATGCCTGCGCGAGACGAAGCATTTGGAATGAAGATACACTACACATGACGTGAGAGCACAAGTGAATGGATTATACCCAACGACCAACACGATCACCGAGCTCCTTGAAGTGTGAGGTCGCGCCTTCGTAAACCTTGAAACCTTGGTTTTAGGTAGAAGCCATATTATCAGTAGGATGTCGTACCTCAGATGCGTGAATCATCCAGGATGGGTGTGTGATGTATAATGCAAGTAACAACACCATTGTACGAGCGTCGAAGAGATAAGTAAAGCTTGAGGAGAGGCCCATTGTAGCTCTCGTAGGAGGTGCCTGTGTGGACTAAAATATGTGTCCAGCAAATACTAGATCCCGGGGGATTCGACAACGCACCTTCTTCCACAGAAGAACAGAACCTGTCGACGGGGAACCTGGCGCAGTCGATGCGCTTGCTATGAAATGGCCTTGTGCAGCGCGGTGATACTAGAACTGCTGAGTTCCCACTGACAGGTTCAAGATGAGTGCACTTACCGTGATTGACTGAATGGAAGCCATCCCATCTAGGTGCTTCAGGCTTAGTACTCTGGGAGAAGAGAAAGCAATTACATACTTCGATTGTGTTGAAGCTCCTCAATGCAGGCACCAGTTTCCGCGTTGAACACATATATTTTACCATGGAGACTGCCACAGATAACGAACTCATCGTTATCGCCTGCAAACACCCCTTGCTTAATCTTGTGTCGAGTACCCTTGTCCGGAATGGCGAATTGTCGTGTGAGTGTGTCTTCGGGAAATGCATAAAGCTCGAAGTTGTTTGTTGATAAGTTGTTTACCAACAACTTGGTGGAGTCGCGGGAGAGAGTCGCATGTCCGCTAAGATGCATCGGTGAGTGGTACACAAGTGAGGGTAAAGGTATATTTGAACATACATGGCACCCAAGAGCTTCTTACGCCATTGAATAATTCCGGTTGCCACACTCAAGCAAACCCTACCAATAATCAATCAGTAGCTAGTAGGAGACAACTAAGCGAACCTACATCTCGCCACTCTGCAACAAGAAAGCGACGACCTTATCGTCACCAAAGAAAGCAAGGTCCTTGGGCATTGCGTTTAAAGAAGGCACTTGCCATAGAAGCTGTGCGTTACCTGGAGGGAGTTAGTAGTCGCTAGTTAGAATAGAATACGATGGACTCACTTGAGCTCGTGAGGGTGTAGGCTTTGATGACACCAAACTGACTTGCAGCGATCAGTCGCTGATGGTGTTTGTCGTATGCCATGCTTTCGACGGGATGATCAAACGCAAAAGCGGCAGTGGTAGAGAGTGCAGTGGTGGATAGCATGCCCTGGCAATTTCAAGGTAAATAAGTAGCACACAACGCCTATCAAGTGACTCACCGTCTCCTTTGAAAATGGAATGACACTGATACTCCCTCAGGCAGAGCCAATGCACAAAGCCAGAGAACCGACGCCATGTACGGGTGCGGGAAGATGAGCCCAGATGAGAGACGTTATTTGACCCCATTTCTCCTGGGGGTGTCGGATTGTCTGGATGCATAGTGCGGAGGACTTGGACATGTCCCACACTCGCACACACTCGTCGTTACCTAGCATAGGTTAGAAAGTACTGAGGAAATAATGGCGGCGACTTACTTCCTGTGATGAGAAACTGGCCGCCTTCGGAGAAGAGCAGGCCGTGAGTTGGGCTCTTGCATGCCTTGAGTTCTTTGAGCGGCTGAGTGTCAAAGATCTTCAATTATGTGCAGAGAGAGAATAAGGACACGTCGAGCGTACTTTGCGTCCGAATATGTGCATACTGTACAGTCAAAGTGGGGAATATGGAGTTGGTGATTAAGGATAGCAGTGAGTAGCGACTTGCAACCCTCACTGTCACACGGAATATAAAGAATATCGGAACAAAGCAACATGAGGATGTTGATGATGTCATCGACCTGGTGAACAACACGTTTATGCACTTGCGGTCAATGGTAGTGCTTTGTTACGATGAACTGCGTGACTATCGCGCCAAGCCAATGGTGGTGAGTCGGCATCCTGAATATTGGAACAAAGGGCATTAACAGTAAGTTTGACATTTAAACAAGCGAGAAACGGCTACCTTCAGCTCTGATCATCAGTCATTGGGATGCCTTCAGCCTACGTGACTACTCCTCGCCCCATCCTCTCATCTGACATGTCCTTTACGCTTGCCCGCTCACCTGTTCCTGTGATCTCCGCACAGATGGAGTTTACCCGCGACATCTTGGAGGCATGGAAGGAGGAGAACAACGGGGGGCAGAGGAAGAATCAACGACCCCGACGTGATGCGAGTGGCAGCGGCAGCAATATTGAGACCTCGTCCAATGATGGCACTAATGACCGTGGTGCCCAAGGCAAGATCCCAAAGCCTATCGGAGAGCCTGGACGACGCCCTGAGACCGGCGGCTTCCCTTTGAAGGAACGACTCCTGAAAGTTGAGATGTGGGAAGAGGAGACATACGATGACATCCTTGTACGTAGATTTGTTACCTTTATTCTCGGGTCCATGCTCACCACTATCTCAGAACGCCGTCCGTAAGGCGTCTCAGGTTGCTCTGAACCTGTCAGTCAGTTTCAAGTTCCAGGATAAAACCAAGGTTGACATGATATGTGCGAAGGTAAGTCGGCAATGTCATCCACTCTGCAGCTAATCCGTCCCCGTACTAGATGGCTCGCAAGTGGAACTTCCTAGACGAGTATGATGGCCACTGGCCTGTGAAAAGCATGCTTAAGGCGTATCTCAAGTACACATCTGAGCGTGCTCGCAAGGATAACAAGGACGCTGCAGAGGAGTTGGAGAGGGATGTTGAATAATCTACTCATGCCTATCCCAAATTTGTCTCATGTACTCATACTTGCAATGAATTCACGCTGATATGTTCACGCCAATACACAAACTGACTGTCCACCGAATTTTTATTCATCCATAGCATAGGTCAAGTTGTATATGAAGCATCACTGAACATGATTTGCACTGAGTAGTATCAGGTGTCGTTGTCGATATCCATCATTTCGTTGTCCTCATTACTGTCATCTGCAGCAGGTAGTAAAAGGACCTGAAGGCGATGAGTGAGGAAAGCACGCAGGATTGATACGGTTGACCCTTACATGGTTCAATGAAACAACGACTGAGATCTCTCTCTCGTCCCATGGGATTTCACACATCGCCGCGTGACTCTGAATGGCGGATGAGTGCAGAAGCTCGGGTGAAGTGCTGGCAGCAGATTCAACCATCCTGGCACGAACATGGGGCCAGTCAGCAAAGGGGTCCTTTGGAATGGCGGCCTTATTGTACCGGCGCACAACAATCCATGCCTCGTCAATTTGCTGACCTTCAGTCTTGATGATGTTCTCTATTCTAGCAGGGAATTCGCAGCCATGTTGATCACAGAGTAAGACAGTGCTGTTGCCCTTATGTTTTGCAAAGGTGGTATATCGCAAGCCGTCAATGGTTAAACTACCGATGAAGTCGACTTTGTAGGGAGGATTGGGGTCAGGAAGCTGTCCAAAGAGGCGCCGAAGTTCAGGGGAAAGTGCCTTAGCGTGTCGACTGAGCGCGTGGCTAGGCCCAGCCTGAATTCCAGTTCCGTCAGACATCAAGGTCCCCCGTGTGCCAGTTGAAATCAGGGTCCCAAAGATCTCGGCGCAGTATTGGATAGTTTGCGACGATGCATCGACAGACTTGAGGAACAATGCTGTAAGATTGTTGCGGCGGTGCCAGGTCCTCCCAATGGTGAGTTCGTATTCCCCTAGAAAATTGAGACCAAATCACCATAACGAGCAAGGATCAGGCTCACCCTCTTTGTAATTGGTAGAAATCCGCTGGAGCTTGCCAATAACTCTCTCCATGGGAAATGTCCACCAACCGTGAACCGGCCCATAGAGTAAAAGATACTCAGCAAGGTGCATAGATTGATGGTGGTTAGGATGGCAGACGTATTCTGGAAATATGCCTTTAAGCCCTTCGTAATAGGCTGTCATATGGTGCAGGTACTCGTCGGCGTGTGATTGGGAAGTCTTGCGAGATGTGGCAATATTGACAGCTGAAATAAGTGATAGCGTGAGGGACAAGAGTTTCGTGTATTGCTTTCTTGTTTGAGGTGATTGTGATGCATCGGAACGCTTTGCCCAAAGCCGTGTCAATGTGATGGGATAGTAGACAGTTGCTGCCGTTCGCCATTGGTCTGCCTTTAGCTTACCCGTATGGTCCCCAAGGTTGTATGGAACGGTTGTAAGCCACGACGGTGTTGTGGTATTCTTTACGTCCCTCCACAGTTCCTCCATCTCCCTTTTAGACATGACATTGCCATGATCTAGTCTGCGAATATCCACTGAGTCGTCGTTGTCCCCATCAGAATCTTCATCGTCGTGATTATTTGCTTCGTTGATAGCTTCATTTCGACTCTGACGCTACATCGTAGAATTAAAGGGTGTACCAAAGACAGGGCAACCCTACTCACCCAGGCGACTAATAACACTGAATAATTCGCGCGACTTGCCTTCTTTGGATGTGGTCCAGATGGGAATGAAAGTTTCAGCGCCTGGCACACATACTTTAGGGCAGCAAGGTGGTAGCCTGCGTAATGATCCTGCCACCACTCCGTTGGGTGAGCACTCATTGGGCGTTGGAGCATCCTCAGCAACTTCTCTACACTGGCCCTTTCGGTTTCTTTTGTGGGAAGAGGATTCAAGTCACTTGGTTCGATGGGATGGGGCAGTATACCCTCCAACTGTTCCTGAGAGTGGTCGTTCTTGGACTTCGCATTGTAGCCAAGGATATTCGTAAAATGTTCCTTGAGGAGTCCTAAGAATAGATTGTGCATGGAGTCGATGACGATGAAGCGGGTGGGGTCAAAGTAAGGGAGTCTTAGAAGGTTGCTGTATCGAACTCCAGACTGATCAAACAAGCTCTGGGCTGTAGAGTTGTCAGGCGCGGAGTGAAACGCTTCTGCCTGAGCACGACATTGATAATTTTCGCGCCGCTGCCAACTAGCAAGATTCCAGCATCCGAAGGCATGTTGGGGCATGATGCAGTCGCAGGACGGACATACGGTGGCGTCGAGATCAACATCCAAAGATGGCGGAACGGACCCAGGAAGTTGGCATAAACAGACGGCGCAGTAGAAGGTGTGAGTACAAGCAGCAAAACCACCAAACTTGCGAGCAGCAGGCAAGTCGCGTACGACACAGATAAGCGCGCACATGACACACCTGCCGTGTGGGTGGTTGAAGGTCCGAGAGAATCGAACGCCGATATCCCAGAATAAGAGGAAGACATTGATCAGGGGGGTTAAGTACGGGTTAACCACTAACTTGACCTCCGTAGGGCCAGGCATGATGCTGAAGACAAAGACGTTTTCGGGACGGTGTTTCAAATGAGGAGGCAGATTTTGGCAGACCAGCATCATTACCCCACACGAAATGTGCTTACCGCCAAGTTTGTTGGAAAGGGGATTAAACCAGTCACCACAAAGTGAGAATACGTATCGTCCTTCACCATCGCCATCGCCGAAATGGCGGCCGTCCGGTCCATGGAAGTTCCGGAGAGTTTCAGCTTGAAATATGCTGATGACGTCCTTGCTGGTGGGATTGGACATATGATTCCAGGCATCGTCCATTACCGTTTCATAACCTGGTCGAGACAGGAGGCTCGAAAGCCAATCCTTGAAGTCAAATACTATATATGGCTTGATGGGGACCCATACAACTCTCTTTGCAATCCGTCGCTCCCGACAAAGAGTTTCACCACACTGAGCCCCGGTTTGCTTGTTGGAAATGGCAGTGCATGATGGGGGGTAGATGTCTGATCCCCCGGCTCTATCCGGTGCATACGTCTGGTGGCAGCTCTTCGATGGACATACAGCGTAGATTGTTTCCTTGGCGTCGAGTTGAAAGGTTTGCCGGACGGTTCGAATGTCTCTTGGCCAGCTGCCTGTGAGCATTTCCCTCAGCACGCCAGGAAGTTGTTCGATGGATTCCACAAGAGCCAGAAAGCACGTTTGAATGATGTAGTGGATCATCCAAAGCAAAAACTGACAGCCCTTATGGGATAGGCCGACGGACACATTGCATACAAGCGCGATAAACATCCATAGCTGGAGAATGGGATCGAGTGTCCCGAACTTGCTAGCGAAGTGATGATCTAGATGCACCATTAATACCAATGTAGTTTAGATCACTTGTCTTACCTGTGTTATAATACCCCGGGTCCTCTGCGCGACGAACATTCTCCTCCTCCCTCTCAAGTTGAGCTCGCTTCAATATTTTTTCGCTGCGCGCTAATGCCGCAACAAACTGTTTCATATCGTGGTCCGTTTCATTGTGGAGAACTTGAACAGCAATGAATTGTCGTATACGTTTCCCCGATAGTCGTAAGTTAGCCTCCAGCTCAGCTCCCCGAGATTTCAGTTTCCGCAAAGTCGAAAAGGCTTTCTCAATCGCCTGCTTGTCGTGGGGAACTCGCTCCATAAGATTGTCCAGCATTCGGTGCTCTCTAGCGATTTCATCTTGAATGGTCCCAATCACTGTGAGTTTACGGGACAGCGCCTGGGCACGCGCTGATGTGGGTGGGGGGTGAGCAGGCTGCGTGTGGTCAGAACTCAGTTGCAGTAGCGAGTCGTCCCTAGCACGAAGTATGGAACGAGCTCGGGTAACTGTTGCTCGGCGAGTTTCCTTGCGGTTATGTTTCAACCATGTTCATCGATCAACCAAATAACCAGCCTCGTTGGTCCCAGGGACGGTAAGCTTGATGCATATGGAACAATGGCAGACCCGGCTGACCATCCTAGCCTTGATTGAGGTTAGAGAACTCGACGATTTGACGATGTTGAAATACTCACTGGTCTTCGGTCTGATGAACATCAGATTGGCGCCTGAGCTCAATCAGTGTTAGACGTCAGTGACAAACAAACAAGTGAGTCACGTCACCCGAGTCCTATGTTCCCGAGCACAATTACGATTGTTCTCGCCTGTAGGGTTCTTGTTGAACGTTGATGGCCAGCGTTATCCGTCACCTGCATAAAGCCTTCAGCGCCACCGTTGCGACGAAATCAAATGTATACATATCCTATCTCGCCTCATCGGCCTGGCGCGCCTACCATTATAAAGCCACAGAACGAGGAATCTGACGCACCTCTCTCACGTGTAACGCGTCTTGATGATCCATTGCAGCAGGCGGAAGTTGAGAGGGAGTTGGGGTATGCCACGGGCTCAAGTTTTGAACCGTTGCAGGTGAGTCAGACAACATTGTAAATATGTGGTAGACAACTTACTCGCTGTGATGGACAGCGCGCGCGGACCATTCAAGTCCATTTGACAACCACAAATTCCCGAGCCTCGGCACGCAGACCACGAAAGACGCCGCCCTTCGGAGTCGCTGTCTCGTTGTTGTCAACGTCGTGCACGTATTCGAGTTGCCGTCGACAAGTTGGAGGATATACGACGTCCTGTACACTCACCGTCTCAGTGAGGACGTGTCGCCAGTCACCACCTCAGCGAGGGCGTGTCGCCAGTCACGAAAGTGCGCACTGGAAGCGTGGTCAGTCACATATGCGGCCAAGTGGGTGAGGCGGTAGGCGACGTGTCAGCGAGACGCTGAGTGACTCGCTCAACGTCTCACTCAGCGACTCGCTACGTTTTTACCAGAAGAAAAGACAAAAGAAAAGAATAAGTTCTATATGGGTGAAAATATATTACAAAACAATCAATTCCTCACCGATGATAAGATAGAGAGAACTCAAGGTTTTATTTATGCTATGACAGAGTAATAATTATACATTAGTGTAGCTTGAAAAGTTATTAGGAAACTTACGCTGTTGATGAGGAGAAAACCCTGGAGAGGAGAGGCCCCTTTCACTCAGGAGTAAGCAAATGAAAAGGGTTCCTTTTCTCCAAGTTTGGCGCACAGCAAAACATTGACCAGAAGTAGACCCTTTTTGACGGTGAGCACACAGATAAAACCCCATATTTCTCTGATATTCTAACACATTAAATACAGGTCAAATCTACGAGGCGAAAACATATAGAAAGTACGGCAACATTTTCAATCTCTTCTTTTCCCTAGGTGAAAACGGGCCGCTGTACGAAGTGCTACCATCCCCCAAACATTTCAGCATCTCTTACAAAAAAAATACATAATTGCTGTTACCCTTTCCCTTGAGGCTTCTTACAAAAGCACCAAGTTTCCCTCTCCATTCCTGAAAACTTCCTCACTCCTAAATTTTCCCTTCCATTCTAAATTTTCCCCTCCATTCTAAAATCTCCCTGCTGAGTCACCAAGACACAATAGCATGGCTGGTATCCATATGATTTCCTTTGTTCCAGCTTACTACTCCCATTTTATTGGAGCCCATTTTTCCAAACTTGTCCTTTTACATTCATAACTTAAAATTTTAGAATGCAAACTAAATTCTTCCCCTTCTTTTATTTTGTTTCAGAATGCAACTCTGCATTCCTCCTCACCATTTATGACTCAGTCCTTACATTACATAGCCATGCAAGACTAGTATATAAAGCCTTGTATTATGTAGAATAAGACAAGTTTTTACCCCCCCTAAGAAAGGTTCACCTAAGATCTGCAAGGATTTAGGAACTGATCTAGTGCTGCCTAGAGGTTCTTAACACCAGTAAAATCTAAGGTGAGTAAGTCAAATCATCAATTTAAAACTCAAAAGCAGTATTACCTTGTTTTCCTGTTTTTCAAATACCTACCTATTTCTTTATACTTTCACAACTTTGACAAGAAACCCCTAAAAACCTCGAAACCCCTTTTCCAACCAAATAAAATAAATACTTACAATTCTCCCTGTTTCTTCATAAAACTTATAAAACCCCTCTCTTTCTCTCTCTTCCTTTTGGAACCAATATTCCATACAGAATATCTGTGTTGCTTGAAAATCTTGTATTTCTCTTGCACACTTGCCCCTTTTACATACTAGAATCTCTGTTTGTGATTGCTAACCTCTTTAGTTAACAAACTTCACCCCAAAATACAAAACTAGACTATACCTCACCGTTATCTGCGTATACGTCATCTCTACCCACCAAATATAAACAAATACGTACCTTCTCCTGCGACGACCCCTATCGGTGAAACAAATACAAAGAAACACTCCTAGAACAACCGGGCCAACACTCGATCTTCTATCAAGGAACCAGTGAACCCAGACACCTACTTACAAAAAGGGTGTGACATAGATTTGGTGACCACCGCAGGACTCTTTTTCTTTCAAGTTTCACCGATATTGTTCTCGCCAAAACCAGTCACATGTCTTCCACCATTTCCTTTCCTGAATCCTTATCACCTCCTTTATCTCAATCTCCTACCTCTTTGACCGCACAAACCACACCAGAACTCCACATGCCTGCCCTTGGTCCAGACCCAGCTGTACCTAATCAGGCTAACATCCCGACCCTACCTCTTCCTCGAAATCGTGATACAGAGGACGAAACCTCTCTCGCCTATCGCACATATCGCTACGCTCCTGAAATGATGCCTATGATTGGTGAAAGAGGAGCTCCACCCCTATTCAAAGGAAGTCACGAGAAAATCACCTCTTTCCTGAAAAAGTACAATGCCCTTTGTACACGATACTCCATCACACGCTCAGCAGACAAATGTGAACGGGTCCTGGATTATTGTAGTGACAAGGTGTCAGTGCTTGTGGAAGCACTCCCAGGGTTTCGGCAAAGCTCCTGGAGTCTCCTTCAGGCTGAAATGGAGAAACATTTTGATGCCGACCGCAAGGAGAAACGCAACACTACCAGTAAATTAGCCAAGCATACCAACTATTGGAGCTCCAAGAAAATCAAGTCGCTTACCAAGTGGAAACAATATGAGCGGAAGTTCATATCCAAATCTGGATGGCTACGCAAAACCGATAAAATCACGGAAGAATTAGAGGCTACCTATTTTTGGCTTGGAATCCACCCAGACGCCCGGCAAAAGATAGAAAACAGACTATTGGCACGACATCCTCGTATTTCTGTCAAAAAGGCATTCCCCATGGCACTGGTTTCAGAAATAGCACAAGAAATCTTTGAACGAGACCGATTCGAGTACAACCTCATTGATGTTGGATCAGACTCGGAGAATTCCTCGGATTCAGATTCAGACTCAGAATCATCAGATGACTCAGAGGATGAAAAACGAACCCGTGCAAAGATCAAGGCACTTAAAGCTCGGAAATCAGCGAAATCGAAATCCAAGAAATCCAAAACTCACGATCTTGACTCCGATCCAGTAACAGAAAACCTACAGTCCCCGAAAGAGTACAGTAGTCGGAAATCCAAAACTATTCCGCCGGAGGACAAGGTCGAAGGACTAATCAAGAAAATGTCCCAGATGAGCTTAGACGATCCGGAATATAGTACCACCTACTATAGGGCCTTCTGCCTTGATGAACGAATTACCAAAATCTGTCCTCCCCCCAATGTAGGACAACGCCAGCCAGTGGGGAATATGGGTCCCCCTCGAAATAGATTCCCTCCACCAATTCCACCAAGAGTCAATTCATCAACCTTACCACCCACCTCATCTTCCAATCCCACACCTACATCATCTCCTCCTGCTCCAAACATGACTCCACGACCACCTATGACTTGTTACGGATGTGGAGAACAAGGTCATGGAATTGCTAGGTGTGCACCTGTAGCGGATCTCATCAACAGAAGAGTAGTTGTCAGAACCCCAGAAGGTCGAATCACTTGGCCTAATGGAGCTCTAATATACCGAGAACAAGGAGAATATCTAGTCCAATCAGTTCAACGAATCACCTCTCAATCCACTCCAGTAACTTCAAATTTCGTTATGTCCACAAACCCCGATTGTTATATTTCGGCAACTGGCAAAATATATGAAATCGAAGACGATTCAGCCTCAGAAGAGGAGGAAGAAGAAAACGAGATACTTGCAGTAGAACGAAATTCCAAGACTGTCACCATGAACCGCAAAGATCTAGAACGAGGTGCTGTAAAATCTAGGCCTGTACTCAATGAGGATACAGGAAGACGTACCCGATCAAAGGGTCCTGTACCAGACCCAAAACCCAGTTCATCTGCGCCACGATCTCGCCCGAACCCGGTTGTTCCAGTCATCCCTACAATACCTGACCAAACCCCTATTGATGCAAGAGTTCGCCAAGAATTTACCGTGGAAGATGTTACTATGACGGACGAACTTCCTAAATCCGCCCGCAAACCAGCTCCAGAAACCAAACCATTACCGTCAGACCCCACCAAGCCAAACAAGGCCCCAATATCGCGCCAATCTGAGATTCTCCCCGATCCTGAATTAGACGCAATACTGGAACGAGCACTTGCTTTAACTCTTCCAATCACGCTAGGAGAATACTTTGGGATCTCTAAGCAAGCTAGAGAACATCTAGCCAAAATGTTTAAAGGAAAAACTATGAAGATAGCCAACGAACATAGCTCACCTTCGCCGGTCGCAATGGTGGAATCTGAGTCAGCTCCTCAAACCCTTCAAGTTCAACTAGACGAGGAAAATTATGATCGGGCATCACTTATCGTTGTTCCTATGCGGTTTGGAAACGAGGTTATCCAGGCGGTTATCGATTCCGGTTCACAACTCAACATCATTCATGCCGATACATTCAAGAAATCCATTCACCTACCCGTGGACACTAATCGAATCATTAAAATGAATGATGCCAATGGAGGAACTGGAGAATTGAGGGGCTATGTGCAGAATGTCCACCTCACTTGTGGAAGTGTCGAAACGGTGGCCAACCTCTATCTTGGTGAAAAGGCACCTTTTAAGCTTCTACTTGGGCGACCATGGCAGCGTGCAAACCGTGTTTCTATTGAAGAACGAAATGAGGGGACCTACTTGATCTTCCGCCCGAAGAACGAAACGACCTGCTACGAGCTTTTGGTTCTTCAGTCAGTTTTGCGCCCCGATCAAATGCTACAAGGTATCCTGTGCAAAGAAAACTCAATGCTTGCATCTATGATGATTCACGTACCACCTACCCCTACTACCAGCAAAATCGAGGAACTAGAGAATGACACCCCATCATTTCTAGACCAGCAACCTACGGCAGACTCAACACCCCCACCAGCTGCAATAAAGGAATGTATCCATGTACCAAGAGATAGTATCCTTCGTACCAACAACCCCTACTGTAAGGAATGTTGGCCTTACAATTTTCTTACTGCCTCAACAAAAAGAAGAATTACCTACGAAGATACTCCAATAGACATTCAGCAACAGGCCAATAGAGAAAATTACCTGAAACACAGTGAACAAATCCTCAGGGAAGTAATGGAGCTCAGTTTTCCAAGTGTGCCCCCTAGCCTCAAAATATGGCCAAGCGTTCCCTACTCAGCTCATCGAGAAAAGGTTATCATGACCAATTTCTCACCCGCAGGCCCACCGAATCAAGGACCTTCCAAAAACTCTCTTACCGTAACACTAAATCCCGATACCATCAAACCCAAAGAAATTTGGTCAAACGAGATAATGGATGAACAATCTGTTCAAACATACGTTGGATGGTGTAACGAGAAATCTCCGCCAGCTTCTTCCGTTATGCAAAAAGGACTGTATTCCAACAATAAAGCAATGTGGTACGAGGACCAAAGGGAACCACCGGAATTTCGGCAGGAAATAAGTGATTGCACCACTTTTCATCGCTCAAACAGCAGTAATAGAAACTCACCTCCTTCGGAATCCGATCTCAAAAATCTAAATGAAGAACTCCTCCTTCAGCTAGACGAACTACTTCAAATCTCCAAAGAAAATCAACAAACTACCGAGACGTTTAGAAATGAACTTCCCTCACCTCCAGCCACATCTATCCAACATTCCAACCTCTTACCTCCGTTCATAACCGATATTCCATGGAACGACCCCCAAACTATAAGCCAATTCCCTGCCTTGACTATGAAGCCCACTACCTTTTACGCAAAATATGCACCCAAAGGACTAGACGAAGAAATTCAGAACCTAAATTCTTCCAACATCTTACCTGGAGAAGATCCGGGACTATCCACTCTACCCTTCGATTGGGGAAATGAACCCTTGAATGCAGAATTGGAAGCAAGACTAGCCGATATAGCTAAGACAAAAGAAAAATTGGAATCGGTTGAATGGCGGAACAAACGCCGGAACCCATACTCTTCAGGAATGAATCCCCAACATAACCAGACCTCCAAGTCAGGACTTTTCGATAGCTATGATAAGGCCTCCAAGCGACGAAAGAGCAACAAAGGAAAAACCCCTGAGGGGATTATTCGACCATTATGGACAGAGTCACTCAGGAGAAGAGAACAACATTTTTGGAATAACTCACAAGGACCACACCCTCCTCAAAGCCCAAATAATGGTACAGAGAACCCACCGAGCAGTACCACACCCTCTAGTGATTCTTCGGAATTCATCCATGAACTATCTGATGAAAATGATGCATTAAACACCATAGGCGAGGAAGTGGAGAAATTCTTACTCAAAATGCGGCAAAATCGGAGCCAAGATGAAAGAAACTATCGGAAAGGCTATGCGGAAGAAGGGTCAGAGACATCTTCTATTAGAAATGCTTCATCATCCAATAGTTCTCACTCACCCACGAAGGACAATGCTCCAGAAATCCAAGGGACCTTGGAATATCACCTGGCGGCCAGTTCAGACAACACAGACCTTTCAAACTCCCATCCCCACATCACGGAAACTTTCTCAAAAGACAAAGCGGTCACACGTAAAGACCATCGGGAACTAACAGCATCTGGTACAAGTAATTCTAACAACTACATGGGAGGCACAGTAAACTACGGCAGGACTAAAACGAACGGCGGAGGAACATCTTGGACTAATCTAACAAAAGATGACCCAGTAATCAGTAATAATCCTAGCAACCCTGAGGATTCAGGAAACTTACGCATCGAGGGAAGGATACTAGTCGAACGTCCCAGTAAGGATGGACCGACAAAGGGCGAAGATGAGGAAGCACGTAACGACGAATTTACGACAGTTGGGAATATGGTCCAAGAAGTGGGCAAAATGCCAGCGGCTGGAAGCGCGGCACAAGGAATATGCGAGATGCGAGATGAATGGAAAACGATTCAGGAGAAGAAGAGGGACGAGAACCTGATAAGGCGAGCATTTGCAAGTGGCGTTAGCCCCAGAGACGTTGTACGAGGACTCACACAAACTCACATTGAGAGATGTGTCCACTACGAGATCGACGAAGACTTGCAACGTGCGAGAGTAACGACTGTGGGAGACGACGGAGGAACAAGAAGAGCTTCGATGGGAGAGATAGAGTGCGAGTATGAGATCGAGCATACGCGAACGAAAAAGGGAAGCACTACAGGCAGTTATGGTCAGAACGAGCGAAACGAAATGTCTGACAGCGCACCAAAGAATACAACGTGTTCCAACGAGAAAGCGAGTAACGTTGACCAAGGAGACGTGGAAGCTGTGCGCCATAACGTTCAGAACGGGTTCGAACATAATGAAACTCGAAGGGACTCACCAATGAGAGGAAGCAACGACGAGGCGGGGCAAATTGAGTCGGGAAGAAATAGACGGCGAGGAGAAGATAATAGAGAAATAGGCAAGGGAGTCGAGTTTGCTATTGCGTCAGCACAGCGCGCCGGAAGCGATGGAACGAAAAGGGACAAGTATGGCGAAGACCTGGGCCAAGGAATGATGCAAGGGAGCATGAAGAACGAGTGCTGTGTCGACGATAAGGTGATAACCAAGAATGCGCGCCCTGCTGAGAACGTTATGGAGAATGATAAGCAAGAAATGGAAAGTGACGCACCTGAGGGGCTGAAACGCCGCCACTACACTCCACCACGGTCCTTCCAGAATGACGAATGCGATGTCGAGCGTGACTGGCTTATTGTCGAGAGTCAATGTGGTGCGAACGAAAGGGCGAATAACGACGGAGAGCGAAGTCGAACAGGAACAAGGAATGAAGGGCGAATGCGGTTGTTGCCCCCAGAACGAATGCAAGAAAGGGTCTCCACGACGGAGACGGATAGCCGTTGGAGTACAGATAGTGGCGACGACGATTTGAGAGTGCAGGCCACGAAAACGAGGATTGTCAACAATGAAGTGGAAGTGAGAAGACAAGGTGCGGCGCCAAAGTTAGCGCCAAACGAAGCCCGCACTTGGACGCTTCTCGTCGAACTTGACGATGTCCTACTATGCAATCTACGGTCTCCCAATACGAACTGTACCGAAAACAATAAGCACGCCGTCGAAATCAGATGCGACTCACGCGGTACGATAAGGAATGAATGCGTACGAAAAGGAAACGAATGTGTAAGAAACCAGGAAAGAATGTGTGACTCACAAGGAACTACCTGTTCTGGGAACGTTCCTGGAACGTTAGCGACCAAATCGAACGGTGCAAAAATGAATCTTGGGTTGGGAGACCCAGGGGACGAGCAACGAAGACTCGGAGATCTCGATCGAATCCGCTACGAAGAATACTTCCTAGAAAGAAACATAAGAGGTATAAAAGGTTGTGCAGCCGATACTGACGAATCCTCATCCCAGAAAACGCATCCCAGCGCTCCTCTGAGACCTCAGACTTCGTACAACCAGCAAACCCAGCCTCACAGCAATCTAACAAATCCAACAATGTCTACCAGTACTCTCAGCTCTAACGCCGTTAACAACAAAGACTACGACGAAGTGAAGGAATTACTCGCTAAGTTACCTATTAGCGTTCGCGTTTCTGAAGCAATCAAGGTGCTCCATGAATCCGGTAAACCCCCCACCGTTCGCGTCGACAAAATCACGCAGCCCCAGATTGCGTTACCCATGACGCTTGCCGCCGCATCGCCTGGTGAAGAAACCACCGTCGAAAATCGAATTCGACGCTACGCAGCAATCCAACAAGCGTCGACTGACGACCAAGCTCACCAAGTTGTCGGGGTAATGACGTCTGCCAATTTCATCGAGCACCAAGAATATCAGTTACCCAACGGAAAGGTGTGCGTCTTCCTTGCTACAGACGTTCATATGTCTCGTCGCAGCACCGCCGATCCCAAGGAAGTCCAATGCAACTATGGACACGCCTACATCGTTCTTTCGCAGCCAAACGAACCCGAGAAACCCCAGCCTGAAGCTGCGCTTGCGCTATCCGATACAGTAACCCATAGTGCGGCGATTCACTCTTGTCCCTCCGATTTCTTACACCAAATGGTAGGAATTGAAGGACCAGAAACTCCCCTTTTACAGAACGACGGAGTCAATCGACGAGAAGATACCCCCAGGCCTACTATTTCGCGGGGACTTATGCAGCCTCCCTCCAATCCATATCGCCAACCTCCTACTTATCGTGACGTCGCCGCGCAATTCCCTTCCCCACCACCAGACACGCCTCTTGCGCGCAAGGTTAAAGGCAAAGTTACGTTCCGCTCCTCCTTTCGAAACAACGACTCAACTCCCAACGCTATCCAACCAACTCAAGACCCCAGAGAACGTCCCCGTAACCGTTCCCCCACTCCCTTTCCTCACGTTAGACCGCCCTCTGCACGCTCCAACTTCCCACCCAGCTCACGCCGCCACCAACACTCACTCATACCTGTCAATGATACCATGTTTAACGACACTATTGGCGTACCTATTCCCAGTGTCGCTGCTCAACGACATATTCTTGAGGAAATTAACCAAGGACGCATTCGTGACGCCGCCGCACAGTTTCTTGAGTCTACCACTAGGAATCAAGTCGCCGACGGGGCTGGAACTGAAACCAAGTCAGCGGAAACTCAGGGAAGCCCCATGAGCCAAGACGTCCCTATTTCCGATTCTATTGCTTCGACTCCTACCCTAGATATCCAAACCAAGTCGCCAATCATTATTGAACAAACTGAAGCGCCTCCCTCGCTTATCTTTTCGACTCAAACGGCTAATAATTCTCCGAATCTATCGTCCATGGAGCTCCAGTATCCTCACGACGAAATTGAAGTGCCAGCCACTCCTACCCCATCTGCAGATAATAATGGTACGCCGACCGAAGATATTGCCATGACATCCCTACCTCTTCCTAATCATCACTCGTCCACCTCATCCACCTCGTCCCCTCACTCCACTGATTCAATTATGGCACAAGGGCGACCATCTCCAGAATCTAGCCTGGAAGAAAACACGGTCAAAACGGTAAATGTGCCTGAAACCCCAAAGGGTAAAGCAGGGCATACCAAGAGTTCCAACACTATTATTATCCCTCCCAGATATGCCAAGAAGCCATGGAAATTCAATGGTCCTCCCACAGCACCTGCCAAGTTGCAAAACACACTTGCTAGACGCACCAGATCGAAATCTAAGAAGAGCCCTTCTTCGCCACCCCCTCCTTCGACCATCACCCAGCCTCTTAGCTCCCTCACATCCCGCCCATTTCGTCTATATCACAACGAAGAAGAAGCAGTCATGGTTTTCGACTCTGATGATGAAAATGCCGAAATCTTTCGAAACGGCTTTTTGATTGATGATGGTCAGGGTAACCTCTCTATTCAGGTTCCTTATAGTGAAGAGGCACGAAACCTCATGGCCACCTTACAATCTGAGGACGTGAGAAAAGAAGAAATCGAAAATGTCTCACCAGAGGAACCGGGACCATCTACTCAAACTACCAGGACAACTCGTAACAGTATGTCTAACCCCACATCCTTTCCACTCATGCATTATACTTCTACTTCGCCCTCCTCCAGTGAGGAAACGCAAGGCCAAAGCCAACAAGAAGGCCACTCAAGAAAGCTCTACTTAACCGCTTCCAACAACCCTCAACATCCTAGACATCAATCTTACATACACATGCAAACCAATTTCCCCTTCTTACCTATGCAAACCTCTATCCTTCCAAATCTGCCAGTTACCTATGCAAGTTTACCTCGCCTAGTTATCAGTTCTGCCCCTTTAGACACCAGGCTTTATTCCGAAACCAGTTTCGACTCATCGAACGAGGCCTATAACAAAATTCCTAGAAATCGTACTACCGCGTATATCAGCCCCCACTCTTCACCACATATACACATTCCCTTTTGGCAGACCTCAGGACCAGTGCGCCATGCTCCTGAGCAATTAACTTCACCAATAGTGCCATACGCCTGTAACATCTATGCCAATCTAGAGGATATCCTACCTCGTGAACCGTACTTCGAAATACGACATGATCTTACGGATGACTGGGGATTCAGTGATCGACACTCCACTTTGCTTATGATAGAAGGCATGACAATTCCCGCTCCCATTGACGCTATCCCATCTGCCTTACCACCTCACGGTCACCCCTGTTTAAATGCGGCAGGAAAACGATTTGTACCCTCCACAATATCGTACTTCAACTTTGATCCAGGAGCCTACCTAAATGAAGGATTCGTTAATCACCTTATTCCCGTCCATGATCCTAGATTTGGAAAATGGAATCAGGACGGAGATATAGCTCTAGGAAAACTGGCGCTCACTTGTAAGGAATTCGCATTTCGCGAACGCATTGGATCAGCAATGTGGAGTCGGTCAACTCCCACAGATGAAGAAATCAACACTCTAGAAATGGTGAAGATTCTTGAAGACCAATCTTTTCCTCCTTTCGACTATCTCCAAAACCACTACCTAGAGGATGGAAGGATTCTTGTCATGCAGTGGGACAAAGAAAGAATACCCACGCATTTATGTCACTCTCCTGAAACCTACGCCTTGGCAACCAACTTCTTCATCAAAGAATATCCCAACCCATGGGTATCATCAAATCTGACAATCCGTTCGAACCCATGGAACCCAAAAATAACCTCGCTCCGTCACCTCCGGTTTCTATATATATCTTTTCTGCGAAACATCACCCGATATGTCCTTAAACCTGGATTTCGATCATTTGTCCTGGATTCTCCCCTTCTCCATGATAGCACACGACACTATTTTATTCATCACTGCTACATATTCCGGTTTCTTACCACAACAAAACCTCTTGTTGCTCAAGGATTTACACATACATGTGTGCATTCCCCAGAACCTTCCTACTGTGGACAGACTGTTCAGTGTCTTATTACAACAAAACGCAACCCCTTACTTCAGCCGGAAGAAGATGAATACTTGGCTCAGATCGCAAAAGTGTGTGAAGCAATGGGACGTGGGTGCGTTGCAAACGCCGCCCGCACTATTCGAGCGATCCCTATATCAATGCATCTCAGCGCCCAAATCCTATTCTATGGAGACTATTTGGACCCAAGAACTATGTATGATGGAAATGGATTTCGGCGTCCCATCTCGTGGCGTTCTCCAATATAGACAGAACAGTCACCCTCCACCTCCTTCAACAATCTCTATGTCCTTCCCCTACCTCTCTCTCTTACCAGGGCAAATCATAATACATCTACTTACCTTATCGACACTGTCCACTAATAAAAAAGCAAACAAGAAGACTATAATCAGTGACACCTCCCCACTTCCTTTTCTCCTACCGCTGGATTCACCAATATCCCCTGTAACAAACCCCTGTGTGGAAGGATGGTCGAACTATGCCACAATAAACGGCACTACGGAAATAGAAGAATCCTATGAAAAACCACCCATAGACTCTCTCTATGTCGAAGACTCCCATTATGAAGAACTAAATCGGATCTCCTCCCTTCTTACCAATGTTGACTGGAATGACGAAACCATACTTATTCCCACACCAGAAGAGAGTGCCTATGGATTCCAGTTCAAAGCATATGGGGCATACAAACCAGTGGCACAAAAGATACGCCCAGTAGCAGGAGTTTGTCCAGAAGATATTAAAGTTACTCGCTCAATGCCAGAAGATCCTCTCTCCTCACTACCTTCCTTATTCCCGCACCCTCCGGAATTTGTTCCTACCCAGAAACTCACTCAGGAGAGAATGGACTCTATGGAAGTTAATAAAGATAATTTCCTCCTCCCTGAAGAGGAAAAACTCTTCAAGCATATTTTGCGACTTAATGAAGAGTCGCTAGCGTTCGAAGAAAATGACCGTGGAACCCTGCGTTCGGACTACTTCTCCGATTACATCATGCCAACCATCCCTCATACTCCCTGGGAATTTAGAAATATCCCCATACCACCCGGAATCCGAGAACAAGTTATTGAAATGCTAAGAAATAAAATCGAAGCAGGGGTTTATGAACCCTGCCAATCTTCATATCGAGGACGATGGTTCTGTGTATTGAAGAAAAATGGAGCCCTTCGGATTGTCCATGACTTACAACCTCTCAATGCTGTATCAATTCGAGACGCTGGGCTACTTCCCATTATCGATGACTTCGTTGAACCATATGCCGGATGTCAATGCATTACGACTCATGACCTGTATTGGGGATTTGACGCCCGGATTGTGGATCCAATATCCCGAGATATGACCGCATTCTGGAGTCCACTTGGATTATTACGGCTTACAGCATTACCCATGGGATATACCAATTCTCCAACAGAATTTCAAAAATGTATGATTCATATCCTGCAAGATGAAATTCCGCATGTTGCCAATATCTTTGTGGACGATCTCCCAATTAAGGGTCCAAAAACTCAGTACTTGGATAAAAATGGAAAACCAGAAACCATACCTGGAAACTCCGGGATTCGTAGATTCATATGGGAACATGCAATTGATGTTCACCGCGTCATGCATCGTGTCAAATGTGCAGGTGCTACATTCTCTGCAAAGAAAGCCCAAATATGCCGAGAAAAGGCCGTCATTGTTGGACAAACTTGTAGTGCGGAAGGAAGAAGCCCAGATGAAGACCGAGTGGCAAAAATCCTGAATTGGCCTATCCTCACCAATCCCAAAGAAGTTCGAGGATTTCTAGGATTATGTGGAACTGTGCGAATATGGATAGCAAATTACTCCCAGCTCGCAAGACCCCTAACCGAACTTGTTCATAAAGGAGCAGAGTTCATATGGGATGATCGTCGACAAAAGGCCTTTGATACATTAAAACTTCAAGTCTCATCTGCCCCAGCATTACGACCTATAGATTATCGCTCTAAAAACCCTATCATCCTCTCTGTCGATACGAGCCTTATCGCAGTAGGATTCATCTTATCTCAAATGGATGAAAATAGCAAACGACGTCCAGCTCGTTATGGATCCCTCCCAATGAATGACGTTCAATCCCGATACTCCCAGTCAAAGCTAGAGCTGTACGGACTGTACAGGGCCTTAAGACATTGGCGCATATACCTTATTGGAGCACATAAGCTGGTCGTTGAAGTGGATGCACAATACATCAAGGGAATGTTAAAGGAACCCGACCTCCAACCAAGTAATGCTATGAACCGCTGGATACAGGGGATTCTGATGTTTGACTTTGAACTCGTTCATGTCCCTGGTACCAATTTCAAAGGACCCGATGGACTGTCAAGGAGGAAACATTTACCAGAAGAATATGTCGAGGAGGATGATACATGGCTAGACGATATCTCCTTATTCATCCATCTCATTTCACCACCCTATGCTCCACCCAATACCCAAAACTACAAAGTATTTGCACTCCCCTCTACCAATAAATCGGCCAAAGTCACTCAGTTATTGGAAGCAATTCAGGAGTACCTCACCACTAAAATTATGCCACGCGGTTATAAGAAACAGGATCGGCATCGGTTTCTCGGACAAGCTAGAAGATACATACTTCATGAAGGACGTCTATATCTTCGAAATCCTGGCAAAATGCCCCAACTCGTAGTCCTCTCCCCAAGCAGACGTTTGTCTATCCTTAAACAAGCACACGAAAATCTAGGACATAAAGGAGAACTATCTGTGTTAAAGCTTCTCCGATTTCGTTTCTATTGGCCCAGACTCAAAGAAGATGTACACTATCATATCTCTTCTTGTCATGACTGCCAGATTCGGAATACTGCTCAAATGCAGATGCCTTACGAAATTTCTGCGCCAGTCCGAATCTTCCAGAAAGTCTATTTGGATGTCATGGCCATGCGACCTGCATCCGGAGGATATGAATGGATAGCAGCAGCCAAGGATGATCTTACAGGCGTATCTGAAGCAAGGCCTATACGAAACAATGACTCAAATAGTCTTTCTCAATTCCTTTGGGACAACCTGTATTGCCGCTATGGTGCTCCTGAGCACATCGTAACCGATAATGGATCCGAAGTAAGAGGAGCCTTCTCTGCCCTTACTCAAAGACTCAACATCCCACAAATCAAAATCACTGCATACAATAAACATGCTAATGGAGTCGTTGAAAGGGGACACTATATTCTCAGGGAAGCAATAGTTCGGTCATGCAAAAAGAGTGCTATAGGCCTTCCACTGAATTGGCATAAGATGGTCGGCCTTGCTGTATTTGCAGACCGAGTTACCGTCAGTTCCGTAACTGGATACAGCCCCTATTACCTCTTATATGGAACACAACCTGCCCTACCCTTTGATTATACCGAAGCAAGTTTCCTTGTCACCGGATTTGCCTCAGGAATGTCAACAGCAGCCTTAATCGCTCTCCGAATGAGACAATTAGAGAAACGCGAAGAAGATCTATTAGCAGCAGCTGAAACCTTAAAGAAAGCACGATGCACTTCTCGGGATCAGTTTATGCGGCGGTTCCACCATCGTATTCAACGGAAAACCTTTGACCCTGGAGATCTAGTCCTGGTAAGGCACAGCCAGATCCAAGAATCGGTTTCCATGATCAAAACATCACCTCGGTACCTTGGACCCTATGAAGTAGTTAAACGAACCAAGAAAGGAAACTATGTTCTAAAAGAACTTGATGGATCGCTTCTTCGAGATCCAATTGCTGCCTTTCGAGTAATCGGGTATCTCTCTAGAGACGACCCTGAACTGGCCCCAGAAAGTATGTTGGACCCTTCTGATGAACCAGGCGGAGCCGAACAACCGCTAGATATCGACACAGATGTGGAAATGGACGTCCCTTGAAGCTTATCAAGCAATTCACCAAGTCCCCGCCTTTTCTTTCTCACCGCCATTTTTCTGCCCCCTACCACTGTCTCTCGTTGAAAACAAGATGTCGCACTACCGAAGCACCCCTATCTCTCTTCCATCGATCCCTTCCCCTCCCATCGCTATTCATGTAGAAGAAGTGAAAGAGATTGAAATCTCCGATTTGATGGGCATCCCTGATGCGGGAAGATACAGTTCGCCATCACAACGTTCCCGCAAAAATACCCATGATTAAAAGGCTAATAACCATAGTTCATGACTTCGACGACCATATCGAGGAACTCATGGAGAAACTCGACCCTCTTCCCCCTTTTCCAAGCCCCTCCCTACTCCATTCCGTCGACCTTTCCCTCCTACAAACTGCGACTATTCGGTTTGCTCTTCTGCCTGGAACACTTGTGGCAGAACAGCTCCTTGAATTAAGGGGCGCGGTAATCAACCTAAACGGATGGATGGTCCTTGACCCCCATCATCTCGCACTCGCACATAAAATAGTAGGATTTCGAGGACGATATATTCAACTCAGGTTGGAGATCTTTCCCAATGGGAAACCACGGCGATTCCCTCTGGCAAGGGAAATGTGGATAGACGCCAAGAGCGTCAAATTGGGATGGAAAGATCGGATCCGCGTGGTTTTGGCCAAATGTCGTGAACCGCATTTCAACTTCGTCGCCAAATATTGAATCATACTTACGTCTACCTTCGTTCCTTCGTGCATTCCTCATCATCATTTACCTCATACCCATTACCTTACCACTCTTTATACGCACTTGCTCGTCTCCATTTCGTAACGCTCATATCTCACTCTCCTTCATCAATCGTACAAACGAAAGAAATCGTCTTGGCCAGTAACCGTATTTTCTGCCAGAAGACCAGAAATTGCTTGATGGAGTACTCAACCGAGGACGGTTGATATTTAACGCCGCCCGCAGATGTCATGAACCATGTCTGTAGACATGGTAAATGAGTATATTCAGCATTGTACTCCCTCAAGCAATTCTCTCTCCATTTCCCCAAGCTCCTATTTCCCCTATACCCCTATTTCTCCTAAAACTCTTCCATCTCAAAAACTCTACCATCCCCCAAACATTTCAGCATCTCTTACAAAAAAATTACATAATTGCTGTTACCCTTTCCCTTGAGGCTTCTTACAAAAGCACCAAGTTTCCCTCTCCATTCCTGAAAACTTCCTCACTCCTAAATTTTCCCTTCCATTCTAAATTTTCCCTTCCATTCTAAAATCTCCCTGCTGAGTCACCAAGACACAATAGCATGGCTGGTATCCATATGATTTCCTTTGTTCCAGCTTACTACTCCCATTTTATTGGAGCCCATTTTTCCAAACTTGTCCTTTTACATTCATAACTTAAAATTTTAGAATGCAAACTAAATTCTTCCCCTTCTTTTATTTTGTTTCAGAATGCAACTCTGCATTCCTCCTCACCATTTATGACTCAGTCCTTACATTACATAGCCATGCAAGACTAGTATATAAAGCCTTGTATTATGTAGAATAAGACAAGTTTTTACCCCCCCTAAGAAAGGTTCACCTAAGATCTGCAAGGATTTAGGAACTGATCTAGTGCTGCCTAGAGGTTCTTAACACCAGTAAAATCTAAGGTGAGTAAGTCAAATCATCAATTTAAAACTCAAAAGCAGTATTACCTTGTTTTCCTGTTTTTCAAATACCTACCTATTTCTTTATACTTTCACAACTTTGACAAGAAACCCCTAAAAACCTCGAAACCCCTTTTCCAACCAAATAAAATAAATACTTACAATTCTCCCTGTTTCTTCATAAAACTTATAAAACCCCTCTCTTTCTCTCTCTTCCTTTTGGAACCAATATTCCATACAGAATATCTGTGTTGCTTGAAAATCTTGTATTTCTCTTGCACACTTGCCCCTTTTACATACTAGAATCTCTGTTTGTGATTGCTAACCTCTTTAGTTAACAAACTTCACCCCAAAATACAAAACTAGACTATACCTCACCGTTATCTGCGTATACGTCATCTCTACCCACCAAATATAAACAAATACGTACCTTCTCCTGCGACGACCCCTATCGGTGAAACAAATACAAAGAAACACTCCTAGAACAACCGGGCCAACACTCGATCTTCTATCAAGGAACCAGTGAACCCAGACACCTACTTACAAAAAGGGTGTGACAGCGCGTGTACCATGCATTAAACCTCATCTGAATACTGATAGTAGAGCAGGCTGGAACAAAGGAATAATCAGCATGCGAGAAGGTGGACTACGTCAGATTAACATACCATACAGGTACGCGTATGGTAGCAAGGGACATGAAGGTCTCAAAATCCCTGCGAAGGCAAATATAGTCATTTGTATGTCCACCAGCGACCTCAAGGATCATTCACTAACCAAAGTCTAGGCTGCCAACTTATGAGGGTCTATTCACAAGCTAAACTCCATTGATGCATTAGATTGGTGTTGCTATAGCTATATGTTCATGGCAACTAAATACACATCACTCCATATTTACTCCATGAACCCCGACGTAGTACAAGCATGTTGTCGGCGCACCATAATTCGAAAGAACTTCAACAACTACAGTTTGAACTGGTAGATCTACAGAGCTTGCCTGATATTGACGGCGGGGAGAGGAAGTGGAATCATAGTGCAACGAAGCTAATTCAATGAAGCGATCGGTAGGCCGAATGTAAGAAGGAAGATGGCCGGTTGAGCTGAATATGAAGGGGGAGCGTGATTCACCGCCATGCCAATCATTTACAAGCCCCCAGAGGGTAATGTCCTTTGGACTCCGATGGCTATCAGCTGATGACAGCAGGCTGGTCGCGACATGGTCGACACTAAAGTTGGACACCTTCACAGGTTCAGAAAGCTGGATGCCAAGATAGCCATGCGCACTGGCGAACTCCCAACAATCACCGATGCGGACATTGTCTTCGAGAGCGACATATGGAAGATTCACGCGTCCCTCCATACAGTCAAAGCCGGCGAGAGAGGTAAGGGCCCGAGTGAACATGCTTGGCATCGAGAGACCATGGGTGGCAACAGTTAGGTCGGGAATGACACTTGCACCTCCTGCATGCAGGGCAAAATTACGGAGAGGGGGGCCTTCGGAGGGAACCGTTTGAATTTGTTCATCTAGGGCTTGTGTAAGGGGACACTCCTATTTTCTCCTTTTCCCCTGTCCCGTCCCCTTCCTCCTTGTTCCTTTCCCTTTTCTTTCATTCCCTTTCCTTTCCCTTCGCCTCCTTACCTTCCCGCTTCCCTTCCGTTCACTCCCTTCGCATCCGAGCCCCGTCCGGTGACTCCGAAGTCTTCCCGCGCTTCGGACTCGCCTCGGACTCGCTCGGACGCTTCGGATACACTCGGACTCGTAGATACACTTCGGGGCTCGTCCGGGCTACCTCCATCTTCCTTTCCCACTTCGTTATTCCTTGTCCCCACTCCCCCAGGTCGCTGGCACGGCTCCCGTACATTCCCCTTCCACTTCATTATCACATGCCCCCTCGTACCTTGTGATATTCGTTCGTACCTGTGGCTGGTGTACTGTACAGTTACCCTTCATTCCTCCCACGCTACTACAGTATATACTTCGCTTCTTAGCATGGAGAATCCCCATCCTGTTCTCTTTGGATTCTCCCTCTGCTAGGTGAGCAGCTCTCTCATGTATTGTAGTTAGTCTTATTCATTTCTTTGGATTCTCCCTCTGCTAGGCTTGCACTGTGCGGCCATCTTGAGGTTGCCCTTACAGCTTGTCTGACCATGCCCGAAATGAGCGACCGAGTGTGCAGAGGCGAGCTGAGAGAGGCAGCAAGCAATGGGGAGAGGGCGTGACATATGTTTAGACGGCAAAGAGCTACCGTGTACTTGTCGCAAAAGTATCGCGTGGAGTGACAGAGTGCGAAGGGAAGAAGGCCAATCCGTGATGACTTGACAAAGAGAGCGATTCCTGCGACAATGACCAGCATCAACATGGTTCCGATAGCCGGCGCAAATGGTCCAAAGATCAAAACATCGGAACACTGATGAATTAGATGCGACGTTCAGCATTCTCGGAAGTCCATGTCCAAGATATGCCACTCACTTGTTTGTGAACCTCGGATGTGCGTGAAGGCAAAGTTATTATTCCATTAACGCAGTCGTTTCGGAGGCTCCGCTTTGCAGGATTGGGAGGTCTCATAGCGGAGGATACAGGTTACGTGCGCGTATGGGCAGGTACGACAACTTGCAGAAAGTTAAGAAAGTTACTCGAGTCAAGGGAGAAATTGAACGCTGGATTACTTACGTAATACTCAGTGCAACCACAGCGGCTCAAGCAATGAAAGTCGTTTGTAGCTGAACCATTCATAAGCTCATAAAGCAGAGGTGAGTACTAGTCCGTAGTAAATCCCCCTCTTTTCAACATCACTCCTTAACATTTATGGCAAACCTTCCGCAGACACCGTTCAGCTTCAGAGCTGGGACTCCCGGGGGCGGCTACACGCTTTGGCCAGGAGTCAAGCGTCGTGATAACGATGGTGATTCGAGGTTGGACGTAGAATCGCGGGACAGCTTCATCAGAGTCAATGGTGCCTTGCCACCCACTAAATGTATGTCGTGTTTTATCCCACTGCGACAGGGTCTCATATTTCATTGGTAGATCATCGGGTTGCAAAAGAGATACCACCCAAGAGGCCTCGAAGGACTCGCCGGAGAAATTCGTCCCCAGAAAATTCCAATGCCAATTCAACACATACGCCCCTGGTCCCATCCGACCTCAACCCACCAGATTTCGCTTCGAATGGCAATCCCTTCCTTGACCCTGGACCGCAACTTCCTCCACCACCTTCGGACGATATTGACCAATTTCTCAGACTCCGTGATGGCAACGATTTCATGTTCGTCGATGATAAACCTAGTGGTACTCCCCACGACAATGAGGTTGGCTACAACCCGTGGGGCGGTACAAGGGAAAATAGCCCAGTTGACTATGCCTCGTGGGGCGGCTTAAGCGATTCTATGCATGCATATGTACCAAGCCCTGGTCAGGGGGACGAAATGACTGTCGATTCTGCCGAATGCACTGAATGGGATGGTATACGTGGTGCGAACGGCGGTAATCACCAAAAGCTGCCAGAAAATACGTCGCATACGTTAACTGAAACCGACCCCTCCATTGAAGCTCGATTGGAAGGCGCTGCCCGTACTGGGCGTGGCAGTCCAGTCAATGCGACCCCGCAGATAGCTCCTACCACCAACGTTGGGGAACAGTCCTCTAATCCTCCGATCGCCCCCAATCCACCAGACCTTCGCGACAAAGAACACATCACTGCTGCTGATTCAGGCACAGAAGGGGCCAGCCTGCTTCCCAATGGGAGTCCCAGTGTTCATCTGCCGCCCGGGATACCACAGCAAGCTAGGGAACCAGTTTGCCTTGAAGACGCTGGCCGTGCTGGACATGGCAGCCCAGTCAACCTGATGTCACAGAAATCCCTTACCGCAAACGTTGGAGAACATTCCCCCACCCCTCCAATTGATTCCAATCCACCACACCATCATGACGACGCGAACCCAGCGATCGGCGTAGGTTCCAACGCAGAATGGGACGGCCTTCGTCGGAATTCCAGCGGTACTCCCAGCGTTCAGGTGCCGCCTCTCAATCCACCGGACCATCATTACGACGTGAACCGCAATAAGAGTGCAGCCATGGTCGTAGACTCCAACGCAGAATGGGGCGGCCTCAATCGGAATCCCAGCGGCACTCTCAACGTTCAAGTGCCGCCTGAGACAATGCAGCGAGTTGACCCTCCATCTCACCCTCCACTTGATCCCAATCCACCACACCATCATGGTGACGCGAACCCAGCGATCGGCGTAGGTTCCAACGCAGTTTGGGGCGGCCTTCATCTGAATCCCAGCGGTACTCCCAGCGTTCAGGTGCCGCCTCTCAATCCACCGGACCGTCATTACGACGTGAACCACAATAAGAGTGCAGCCATGGTCGTAGACTCCAACGCAGAATGGGGCGGCCTTCATCGGAATCCCAGCGGTACTCACAGCGTTCCGCTGCCGCCTGAAGACGCCGTCGATGCGACTGCTGGCTGGAAAAGAGTCACGAAGCAAGTTCGGTTTGCGGACCCTGGCCGTCGCGGCCACGACAGTCCCGCCGTCAAACCAAGTGGGTGGAAAGGGTACACCACTAACGTTTGGAGTCAACTGTCTACTTTCCCTCCCGATTCCAATCCACTCAACGAACATCGTACAAACATGGTCGTTGACTCCGACACAGGACGGGGTGGACTACAACCCCATGGAGGCTTGCCTACTCCTCCCTCAACCAAATCTATCCCCCCCACCACTGAACGGGGTGGCCTACCACCGCGTGCTCAACAATTGACCTCCGGTCGTTCCCATCAGCGGAGGAGGAATGTTGAAGTTGAAGAGGTTAGTGATAGCGACGACGGTAACCTCCATCGTGGCCGACGCGACAATCGTGCTGCCAATCTCGACATGCAATGGGATGGACTGCGAGGGTCGTATGACGGCTTATCAACTCCCGAAAATGGTCGCGTCAGCGGTATCCACCATCGCCGCGTTACCAAGAACACCCCAGTTGAAGACGCTCGCGATAGCGATAACGGAAGCGACATGTCTCTCGAAGACTCTCAACGTAGAACTACCCCCAGGAGCGAGACAGCCGCCAATGATTTGGTATGCGATCTCCCCTCTATGAACTTTGAAACTTCATCAATGTTGGCCTGTCTTTTCGTAGGATTACGTCTACCACAGACTTATGCAAACACCTGTAAGTCACTAGACGTTTGTTGTGCACCACATCTTAAAGGTTCCGCAGGACACACCAGCAACATATCAAGACTTAGGTCGGGTGATAGCACTCACCAAACAGCTACCCACGCCCTCGCCAAGTCCACGACGTCGCGGGCAACGCCAGTCTGGTCCCAAGGGCGGACATTCAGACCAAGGAAACGACTCCGACGAAGAAGACTTATGCTTTGACCCACGCCGCAAATCCTCCTTTCTCAACCGTTTACATGTAAGCTAATGATTTGCTCTGAAACCTCTATGATTTCTGAACTGGTAACAGGATGATATGCGTGATTATTGCGATATCACGCTTCTAAACTTAGCAGAACGACCAATCGCAGTGCCAACCCCGCGACAAATCGACGATTTTGCTAACAACAAGCAAGATGGTCCAAGGCTTGAAGCTTTTTGCTTGGACCTCGATACTACCCGCTGGAGGTCTTCTCTCTGGAATAAAGCGGCAAGTGTACTTGTTGCAGAGGAATTCATCAAGGAGGATGAATACGAATGCAAGAACAAGAAGCTTGTCCGCAAGGCCTTCATGACTCATCTTGCCCAGCTTCGCAACCGCTTTCTAGCTAGTGCCCACGCGGCATTACCTCCTGATGAAGCCACTACCCTGGAGCTTGCCAGAGCGGCCAAAAAACTGCGACAAGAGAATCGACGTCGAGCAGTGAGTAATTTTGATCTCTTTTTTGCGCCCCCGATGTTGAAATATTGTCACCTTCAGCTTCGTCAACGCCGCAGTGACGCTATCAAGAAAATGCAGTTCAAACTTCCGGCCGGAGAACAATTGGAAAAATTGACGCTGTTCGAGGGCATCATTCAGCGCATGTCTCATGAGGCGATGAGCGGGGATGAATCCGACAACGATATGGGTGTATACGCCGTGAAAATTCCGCCTTGGCGTTCAAAAGACCCGAAAGTTACGAAATGGTTTTCCACACTCGACGGCCTCTACCTTTCCACCCGGTTCACTACAGCTGACAAACCCAAGAGCGGTCCGTTTCCACACAAGAGAGTGAGGACTGCGAGAGCAAGAGTTGACCACGAAGCCTCGCCTCCTAAAGGACTTCCCCGGAACTTTTATGACGAAGGGTACCTCCTGACACTCGATGAGCAAGAAAGGGAGCAGCTGGTGATTCGGAATGAAGTCGATCTGAGGTTCCCGCCAAACCTAGAATAGTAAGTCTTTGGCACAAACTCACAGGCATGGTGCTCAACTTTACTTCAGCAAAGCGGCTAGATTTGTCGTCGTCCATAGCGCCCATCGAACACCACTACCCCGAAACCACCCTTCGCTCCCGCCAAACCCCAACGTCTCCATGCCAAATTCCAACGACTCCAACCAAAGTCACCATGCTTCAGGTTCCAGGCAACACTATCGACGAAGAAGTTAGCTACAACCTAGTGTCGCTCTGTAGGAAGTATTTATCCTATATACAAATATAGTCGTAGTCCAACAACAAGCCACGTGGAGAATCACTAGCACTTGTTTAGCCATATATAGTCATAGTTTATTTGCTGCGACCCGCGAGCATGGGCCCACAAGCATGTGCGTCTCTGAGACTTGACCATCAACGTTCAACGGTCAATGCATTATGGTCAAGTTTGAGCCACTCAGGTCTATATACTCTCATATAAAAGCAACCGCATCGCACCACACCAAGCTCACACATCACCATGTTACACAGCGCCGCCACGTCATTTCTCTCATTCTGTTACATCACCCTCGAGTGGGTGTCACAAACCTCTGTATTTCCCGGGACAACCACCCTATCCTGCATCCTGTACTCTGGAACTACGCTCTTCCCCCGCCAGAAAAGCCAGTTTCTTGCCGCAATTCTGATCTTGATTGTAGGCCTCTTTTTCCTTGCTTCGGGGTCCGTGGCCAGCCTTTTCCTTCTGTCTTCCCTCTCCTCGCCATTTTGCAGCCACGGCCGCTTTCTCTCCGCCACCACCCTTTGTAATACTATATCCAGTTCAACAGACGCATTCATCAGGCTGTCGGGATTGTCAAAGGAGCTGGAGCAGCATTCGACACAATTCCAAGGATACGCCTCCCAGGCAGCACCGTTAATCAATAACTTGACCGATGTCTACATAGAGACGAGGAAGATCCTGCTCCTTGTCGATGCCAGCCAGCTTCCTTCGAAGGAAATGATATCAACTTTGCTCCTCCACAACTCGAATGACATCATGCAATTGACAAAGAATCTCGAAGAGCTCCGGGTTGTGATACAGGGTGGATCTGATCAGTGAGCTATTTATGTATTAAACTGAAACATCGGGGCTGAACAGATCCCATAGGATCAAGTCCCTTGACAGATATGTTGCAAGAAGCGCGAGCCCCCTCGCGAAGTGGATAGGATCCGATTCAGCCTTCTGCACTCTAGCTGTTGCCGCCATAAGCACTCGTGTGTGTGTGGCTACACCACCTGCTTCCACCGTTCTTGAAGACATCGTCTCTGCATTCCATTCGCTGTCCACACGCGTCGCATCAGCATCACTATCACTTCTGTCTATTCTCCTGCGCATCGACACAAGGTTGCTTGACATAGGCAAACTTCTCAACAATGACGGGGGTTCTCGCCGTCAAAGCTACGAGACACTTTTAGCTCGCCTCTGGAGTTTCTTGGGAGGCAATAGGAGCGAGTTAGCAAGTCTCTTAGCTGATCTGGACACAATCCATCAGGCAAGGATCTATGTTCTGGCCGCGACACGTTTCAATTTTGATACCCTTCAAGCAGTTGAACGGATGCGCAATCGAGCCAATGGGGGCAGTATCGGAAACAATATCGAGGGGCTGAATACAGCCGTAGAGATTCTGCAGAATTCAGGCCTCCTTATTTCTGAATCACGCCTTGTAATGTAACATGTACATATATCATATTATTATCAGAGAACTCAAATTTGACATTCTACATTGTGCTGCCAATCCGTCTTCCACTCCTCTCCGGGATTGCACAACCACCACACCCTAACACCCTTGCCGCCACTCCCTCTATATAGACGCCAGCAGGTAACCTCGGACGGGTTTCGTGCACATAGTTCAATACATTGAAGACTGGGTATTGCTGCAAATAGGCGATGCGAAAAGTCTTCTGAGCATGCCCAACTTCCGCGGACAAACCGAAGGCACTCAATGCGTGTCAATAGAAGGGCCGCGACTGTTTCTGGACGATTGGTTTTATCAAGGGGTTGCAAGTCCCCACGCAGCTCCCAGCAAGTTATGTTGGGCATTAAGGGTGCATAGCGTACAATTGCCCGTTCAACAAATGGTGTTGAGATTGAACGCACGCCCTTGAATAATGACTTCGACCAGTAGAGTTCCCGGCGAGAACAGGTCATCCCTTCTACTCGCAAGGCAGCAAGCTGTAGGGCAGGAGACAACCTCGACGCGATGCGAGTGATCTCAAAACAAAAGGAATTGACATCTCCCAAATGAAAGGAGAGAATATTGGGGCAGGCCTGGAGGATAAAGGCGAGAGAATCGTGGAACAGCGAATGGTCGTTGACGAAGATGGAGAGATGCTGTACGTATTGTCTTCTGTGCACACCTGCGTGACGCATGCTACCGAGGAACGATGCGACTGGGCACGGCAGCCTCTGTTTTGATGATCGAAGTTTGACGCAGCGATAAAGAAGGGGTTCTGCAATGCATTTAAACGCGGTGGACACGAAGAGGAGAGTATGCCATGTCTGAGCGTCCGCTTCCTGGAAGATGGACATGAGGAGTTCAGTTGCGAGTGGAGGTGCCATTCAAGAATCAAGCAAGGAAAACACTTCTTAATGAACCCAGTCCATATATTTCTCTGTTTAGTGATATAAAGGACAAAGAATTGTCGATTATCGAGCGCTCGGGTCTGTTGTGTGCACGATGCCATTGTGATTGACTCGATCTCCACGAACGATCATGCTTGATTCCAATACGTAGAATACGAGATTGAGGTAGTTCTAGCCCGGTTCGCAAATGTGTCTTCAAGTTTTAAGATCATTGGTGCACAGTAAAGCCTCCTATCAATCGACACGTTATTTTCCTATATCCTAATTTGGGTATAGGACACAGTACTTTGAATTCTCGCTTCAGCTTGCCACAGCGGAGTTTGGATGTCTTTGAGCCACTCCATTCAGTTATATTCAAGGATATTATATGTGTTTCGAAAACCGTTCAACAAACCCGTTCCATGCACCAGCGTACATGCCAAGCCTGCAACGGACGTCACGTCGGGAGTGCATCACAGAGCAGCAACAAGATTGGCAGCGTCAATGCGAGATCGATTTCGCGTCCAACCCCCGTTCGCCCAGGCAAACAAAAGGGTCTCCCAGCTGTGAGGTCCCCAGTTATCCTCTCAGAGACTCTACCCCCATCCTTGTCCACGAATTTGGGTGACAGCTTCGCAACTGCACAAACCCTTCCGGCCACGCTCTTCAATGAATCAATGGAGCCCACCACCCCGTTGCTGACAAACATCGTTCTTCCTTGCTCATCTTCGCCTATCCTCGTCCAACCCTTTCATTTACCTGTTTCAATCCCTATCTTGTCCACCACATCGCTAGACAATCTGCCTTGCAATGTCGCGATCTGTGAAGACAGCATCACTGAAGAACCCTCAGACACGATCTTGCCTTGCGTTGACAATGGGATCGCTTTTGAGGACTACCTTTTTCCAGAGCTCGAGATACCATCCCCCACCAACACGAACCATCCTGACATCAGTGGGCCTCATGTTTCCTCAGAGACGAATTCGGAGGCAGCAACCGATTCCCCTGTTATCTCGAGAAGCTTTGGTTATCGCTTGCTTGGTAACTACTTTCAAGTCCCTTGACCTATCGTTCACTAAACAAATGTGATTGTACTAGTTGTTTATTGCTTGACGGCCGTTCTATTTGCATCAATCTTGTATTTGAGCTATGCCACAAGCCAACACAGCGAATGCCCATCTAATAACCGTCGCGCACGCATGTTATATAGGGCTGCCCGTTCGCGCTCGCGCTTCCGGCCTCGAAAGTAGGCTTGTATCATACTTAATCGCTATCGAGTACATTTGTATGATGTCTGTGTTGTGTATATACTGGAACTTTCAATCATCGCGGTGGACAAACCAATGGCTACATAGGAGCAATGATCTATGACTTATGCCCAAATCCGGGTATCAGTCGAACAACTGGTTATGACGCGGAGACGCGGAGCCTGGTATTGAGCCGCAGATACCGTGCCTCGTTGCATTGCCCAGTCTTGTCCCCCGGGAACACGTCGGGGATGTGCGCGATGGGGATGGCCTGCTGAACCGTCAGCAGCCCTCTTGGACTCAAGTACTCCGTGCCCAGCTTCTCATTCTTACCATCTTTAGCTTGGGGAGATCCTTCCCATCACACGGTCGGTAACTCATAAGACGAAGTGCAACAAATTGAATGGGATGTCTTCCTAGCTATCTAATCGCCGCAGATTCGATTGCCCTCCCTTTCTTTTTCTTCATCAGTCTGTCGCATCTCTCAAACTTAACGCCTGCCAAAAATATCTGTGGAAGGCGACGCTCGCTCGAGCAACGGCGACGGGGCTTTGGCGAACCAGACGCAAGAAAGATGATGTCGTCGTCGCGCCAATTTTACCTTCCCGCCATGGCTTCGCACAGCGATTCTAGATAAAACTTCTGTTGGGTCGAATGGGTCAATGCTCGAGGGCGTTCGCCACGGATCTGGAACCTGAAGGCGGACATAGACACACAGGAGATCTCTCGGGGCTTTGATTTGGCTGGGAGACTGCCCATCGAGCCGATTCATCATATCATTGCCCATCTTGACGATCGTAGTCGGGCTCATATCTTGCGCACAGTCTCTCTGAATCATTGCCAGGACGACTTTCATCGATGTCTGTCTTTCCTCTACTTACTCGACAGCACCACATCTCTACCAAAATATCCGTAATCTCCACATATTATTGAAAGGCATCCCCTCAACCTCTTTACATTGGATTCCAGATTGCACTAGCCGCTTTACGAACGTCAGTGAACTACACCTTGACGCCGACTTGATCTCGGGACCGATATTTGGCGTATTATCTGACTTCGGTATTATGTCCCTTCTTCCCACCCTACGCCTGAAACATTGACGAACCGAAGCATTAGCAGAAGGATTTAATATTCGAATACTATCTCCGTGTATCATCGGTGTATTCGTCGTAGGTACCAGTGCAGAAGTCGTTGTGAGTCGAACCTTCCCTTCAAAGCGAGGATTCCAAAGGAACATTCTCCTAGGAGACAATGCGTACAAAGTGGACAGCGGCCGCATCATGAGGAAGAGTCGAGGTGATCAGTCGCTCTCGACCATGGAAATGGCACCGCATTGTTCGCAGAAGCTCCACATAGTTCGTTGGCCGTTAAGTCCGGGAGCACAGGCGACGCGAAGTTTAGGTATTTGCGAGCAGTTGGATCTGCGACAATTGGGGGTAATTAAGTCGCGCTCTATCGTAGCCTTTGCAGCGGGACGACCTACCCATGATGAACGAAAGACTTGGACGGTTGAATAAGGCCAACGGCGGGAAGAGAAGGGGATTGAGCGGGTGTGTAAGGATATTGGTGGGGGGATGGAGCTTGTTCAGAAGGTGATGAGGGATAAAGGTCAAACGTCGGATAAGGGGCTGGTTTCATTAGATAGATGGTGTTACGTATGCTAGCGCAAACTCACCGGAGTTGTCAAGAGGAGAGTCGGATGCGTTCGAAGAGTAGGAACTGGTGGTAGATGAGAGACGTGTATGGTGGGCGTCAACACACATTGCGTCGTCCGACATAGAAACGTCCATGTCTGGTTCGTAATTAGGGAAGGGGACCAGCTTCAACTGCTTTGCGTTCTAGTGGGAAGTGACATGAGCAAGTGTAGTGTGGTCAAATATGAGCAACAGATAGGCGCCGAAACTCAATGTTCAACCATGATCACTGCATCCGCCATTCCCGTTGCGATCACTGAGCTGATCATCGCATCTGTTCGTGTTCGTGCTCGTATTCGCCGTCGCTTCGCTCACTGACTACGCACTCATTCAAATTCCAGGGACTAATGTACTTTGGGTCTCCGGACTGCGGCTGCTTTGACAACTGCTCCCCTCCTACTACGCCTTGCGATGCCTTGGCTCGACCTTTGCCCCCCAAAGCCTAGTCGCACACGCCATACCAATTTACGTTTCGACATATTGGGCGAACTAACCCCAGAATGTCTCAACCTGTCCGTCTTTGAGTCCAGAATGGGCCCTCGTGCGACGATTGTATCATGCGGTAAGCGACCTATTAGCCCTGACACCGCGATGCGCTGACATATAAGAGGTGGCCCAACACGTAGTTTCGACTACCAATACGAACCACAGTTTCCCGGACCAGCGACATTAGCGAGGTACATCCCCCTTCACACCAACAACCACCCTCGTGCTCACAAACCTTCTCTGCGGTTTCAGTCTCAATGGGTGTACAGCTTTCCTTCTACGTCCACCTCTTCGAGGTATTTACTGACGTCCGACCATGCAGTCATACGTCGGCGACTACGTCTTCATCAAGAGCCTGTCCGAGCACAAGTTCCAAGCCTTAGTCTCGAGCTACACCAAGGGCAAAGACGACTGGTACACCCTTGGCGACTTGTGGTGCCCCGAGGACGACAGGTGGTCGCGCTTGGGTGGGAGGTGATCGCCATTAGGAACGCGGATGACACGCAACGCGTGGGGTACTATGAGTGCATTAGGGGGGCGACGATCTATATTACCGTCAAGGCTATCGACAATATCGAGGTCGAGCGCGTGACGGATCCCGACGCTCCTCCCCATGAGTAGCGTGGTATCTTTCGTTGAACTCGGACCAAGGTTTAGGAAATGAGGCGAGAATTAATGGCAACCGCGCATTCCGAGCACGTGCCACCAATTCCGACCTCCGAGTCGCCTCGCTCATCTCCCCCTCTCTACTCCCGCCGTCAGCCTTGTACGCCCCATCCCTCCCGTATTCGATCTCGACATCCCCGACGCCCTTTACCGTAACATACACCGTAACCCGCTTGATATAGATGTGAGCACCCATGCGCCATGTATCCTTGCCGTCTGTGCAAACAAGAACATCCCACCCCCGGCGATTCCAGCGGCCCTCTCCGAACGAGCTGCGCAGGGTGAACCACGCGTTGTTTCCGCCCTGGTAGCTCGAGACGAAGGCGCGGAACACGCTGCTCGCCGTCGACCTGATGAGGACACACTCCCCGACGTCCGGCTGCGAGTAGCACGCGCTGTAATGCCATTCGGGAACCATCGCTACCGCGTCTGAGCCCCACGGATCGCATTCGAGGCACATGGCCAACGACGGTAAGACGAATTGCAGGGCAGCGCATATCGACGGCGACGGCGACTGGATACTGTACCAAACGAGTACAGACTTGGCGAAAGGTTAGGGGGCGTGCTCGTTTAGCGTATCGTCTTGCATGAATCCCCGTACACGAGTTAAGCCTGTGAGCGCACCCGATGCTTCATTACGATGAAGGATACCGAATTCGGCCATTCGAACAGGGAGTTCTTTATAGCTGGGATCCCTCGAATTGAAGATAAGACAGTGCCCAGGGCAGTTCATGGGTTTCAACCCCCATTTCTCCTTCTCGACAGGCGGCCCTCTCGCGGGACCCACTGGACCTCGTCCAGCTACGGCAGATGGGCGGTGTGTTCCAGATGGAGGGGCACCGCTGGCCGCACCTCCCTGCTGACGCGCGTCCGAGCCACGATGATGGAGGTGATAGACCGCTGCAGATCGACTTTGTGTCGCATGCGCCGCTTCCGCCGATAGCGCTCGAGGAGATGGTCGCGCGTGCCGTACGCGTCGTCCCGCCGCGGGAAACGTATATGCTGCTGGTCGAGATGGAGTGCTGGCGGGGTGCCACCTCAGATGGCTAGTGGTGCTGGCGATGATCATTCGAGCGTCGCCGCTAGTGTTGCTTCCAGTGTTGCGGAAACCTCCAGTGAGGCCGATTGGCTGATGGCTGCGATTGCGGAAGGCGAAGGCGAAGGGGAACATACTCGGGCAGCCACGGAGATAGAGGGCGAACCTGATCACGGCGACGACGGGGATGACGACGAGTACGGAGAACATCTTCATGTCAGCCAGATCGTGGAAGCGGATCCCATGATGACCAGATTTCAGACAAGCCGCCCGCCGGCAAATTGTTGCAGGCCGCTTCTGCGGAGCCTACGCTTTTGGATATTCCGGACGACGGAGAGGCCTCCCAGGAGAGCTCCACTGTGATCAACGGAGGCGACTCACTGCAGGATGCGCAACCAGAACATATACCAGAGCCACCTCCCTCGCCCGCATCCAACACTCTTCCGGCTTCTAATTCGGCAGATGACGCGTGCAGGCGAGATGCTTAGGATGCGAGAGTCGTTTTTGAAAGAATAGAAGAGGATTATTTGTAGCGTAGATTGGTCACTGACTCCTCCCCAATACTGAGTCCACAGTATGACATGCTGAGTAGACGAAGCCTTCTATCCTCTACAGCAGCACCCAAAAGCAGAGTAGGTAGGCGCAGAAAACGCGGAGTGGATCCAGCTCTTCGTAGGGCAATGGATCGAATTGTTGCACCCGGTGTGTGAAGCCCCGTCGACAGACCTCGTCGTCTCCCTCGTCGTCTCCCTCGTCGTCCTCCCCGCCCTTGTCGTCTAACGTGATAGCTACCTCCAAAGCACCGCCATTGGGACCTTCGAATCCGTATATTGTCGCCGAAAGTGTTCCAAACGGCGAGGTAGATGCGTCACTGGGTAGAGGATTAATTAGGACATTGATCTATATGCTTGGGACACGTACACGACGACGACGTTGTCCATAGCATACTGAATCTCGAAATGGCGGACCAGCGCCGTCTCAAACGCGAGACGAGCATCAGGGAGTGGGATACCAGGGGAGTACCAAGCGCGCATCTTGACTGGATGATGTGTTAAAGTGGTTGAAGTTGTTAGTGGTGGCAATGGTGATGGTGATAGTGAGGAGGAAATGGTTATCGCAGGGACAAACGAAGTCATACAGATATTATACAGATATTATATGAGCAAGCCAAACCAATGTCTGGGTAGAGAGTGTACGTTTAGAGGAATAGATACAGTTGGATTTGTGAAAGCCATCACTTCCCCAAACTAAGTTGGAGCGAGGATCCATCAATCAATTGCGACCTATACCCAAATTAGGACGTAGGCAAATAACGATTGATAGCACTGAAACGCTGGGGTCACTGGAATCGGGGGCGTCATTGGCGGCACTGGGATCACTGGCGGCACAAAGATCACTGGCATCACTGGGATCACTGGCGTCACTGGCGGCACTGGCATCACTGGCGGCACTGGCATCACGAGGGTCACGAGCGGCACTGATATCAGGAACGTCAGGAGCGTCACTGGCGTCACAGAAGTCACCGACATCACTGGCGGCACTAGTATCAAGAGCGTCACGATCCACGAGCGGTATCAAGAGCGTCACGAGCGGCAGTGGCATCACAAAGGTCACTGGCATCAGGAGAAACGCTGGTATCAGGAGGGGCAGCGGCATCACGAGGGTCACGAGCGGCACTGACATGGCAAGTGCTGCACTAGGAACACCAGGAACACTGCTAAGGGGACTTTGCTCTACCAGCATGGGCGCCATTGGGATCGCTGGGACACTGGGGAGGGATACATACATAGTACTATATCAGTATATAGGGCCCTGAGGAATTCATGACTCAGTAAAAAATGTGCATAAGAAGTCTTCAAAGTATGAAGCATTTTGGAGGGTGAACGCGATCTCACCGACCTATGCCTTAATTTGGAAGGTATCTTAATTTATGTCCTTATATGGGTATAAGCCACGTTGCGCCCCACCCGGTCGCCACTCAGTGGCTCCCCGGAGAATTATTTCTCAACTATTATTGTCATATCTTCTGCCCAACTATTCAAGTATATCTCGTGTATTATTATAGCATACTACTCACATATTGCTATCACATATTACTTGCATATTTTTATAGCGTATTTCTTGCATATTATGTTTGAATAATGATCGTATAATTGTGACATATCTGCACCGGAAAGTATAAGATCAATACCCCGTACATTATGGGATTCTCTGATAAGGCATAATAATCAACTATTATGCCAGATAGTGGCGGGGTAATGTTGTCTAAATTATAAAATACATAGCTGATTGAATCTCTAATAAATACTTGATCTCCGAGATAATATAATGAATGCAAATTAACAAAGGGGATACGCAATAACTACAAAATGAATAGTGTATACATTATTCAATCAATTCCCAAACACTACAAAGAGTATTGACTGCGTAATGAAAGCGGCAATAGACGCTCAATATTGGGTAAACAATGACTTATATTGTTTGCTTACTTACACGCCCAATACCCAATTAATATTCAATCATTACGGAGTAATTATGCTGACCTGGGATTAGATATTCTCAAGATAAGGATTGCCTTTGTTTAGCATTATGCTCGCATACTGATTGTGAGAATATATATGTGTTACATTATCTATTCTTTGTCTAATGTAAATAGCAATATGGATTTATTATCAGGGATAGTTTCCACGTAGTAATTACATAGTAAGTGCTACATTATCCCATCTTGCACGCTGTGAGGAGAGGGTTTTACAAGGCCAGAGATGACATCGCCATTCTACAGGAGTAAAAGTTAGACAATGTGCATGGTATACCGAGCTACATACCATGGTAACTCCATGGGGATTGACATAGATATATCCAACATCAACAGTTGAGGCTCCTCGCTTAGTAGTAGCAATGATTAATCTTTTATACAATCAACAAGTAAGCGAACTCACCTTTCGCTTTGAAGCTTTTGAGGCTGAGAGTAACCCTTTATTCGCCTCATTATGAGCCTGCTTTACGATAGAAGTTGTCTTGCGACTGTTAGATGCTTGAGAGCTAGCCCCTGCAGGAGTGACCATTCGCTGGAGGATTTGGACAACAGCAGAAGAGGACGATGTCATTTTTAATAAGAGTAGAGTTTTTTTAGAGAATTGAAAAGAGAGAAGGAAACAAAGAGTGACTGAGAAACGATTTGAACATATGACAAACATGTACAAATTATCTACTCCTATTCATCAGTTTCAGTTGCCCCTGCCCCACTCCCACTCTCGACAAGACCTAGGATTTCATCTCCACCGTAACAGGTACCACTGAGAAAAGGTACCTTACCCATGGAAGTGAGTGTACGATAGACATCGCAAACCTTGGAAGAAAAAGTAATGGCGATCCCAGAGTTTTCTGCACCGTACGACCGTGTAGTTCCATGTGCGTTGTTGGGATTCCAGATGACAAGACTGGCAGATGCAGCACGTACTGCAACCCGCAAGCCAACATCGACAAAACTGCTGCCTGCAGATTTGTCGGCAGAGTCATCAACATTGTCAACATTGCGGTTGACAATCCAAGACGCAGCCCAAGGGCAATATGAAGCGTCTCGGTGCACTGGACTGTGAAGTAATCAGAATCATAAAGAAACAGCATAGTGAAATATAACTCACGCAGAATACCCACAGGAAATATATGCCTCCGGAGGTGCCCGGGAGCATGTAGGAAACATATAGTCCTTATCTCCCAGACATAGACGGAAGCCGGTACCTATAAAATCAGGCATTAGAAGAGGTCACATATAAGCAAATAGATGTCACCTGGCCCAACATTCTGGGTAGCAAGATGAGGCAATTCCTCTTCCTCAACATACTTCACCATTGCATCAGTCACCTCGGTTGGGGCGTATGCACTCAGAATAGACCAAAAGATGCTAACAGCACCAATAGCATCAGTATCGTGAATCTTCATGTCTTTGTTGGACAAATTCTTGACGAAAGACTTGGCCCATCCTAGGACACGGGCGTGGCGGGGGCCAAGGTTCATGCCAATCTGAGTCAAATTGCCCTCATGGTAGGGCTATCAAAGAATCAGACCAAATCAGTCATATAAGTGATGATAAACTTACACGGACATCCCGTCTGGCCCAGCATGCATAGTCAATGACAGCATTGAGCCATTTATAGAGGTCTGCAGTCAACTCGCTGCCTTCCCCAATGCCATGGAAGACAACGAGTTCAAGCTTAGGGCCTTCACGCCGACATGGTATTAGTATTTTCTCATTGTAAATGAAGTTAATGACTCACATTCACGTGTACCAGACAGGAATATGACATTCTCTGCCGGAGCAACGGTATAAAAGCCCATTTCCTCATCAACAACCGCTTCCCCTGTGCCCTCCATGCCACGGATGTCTGACATCCAGGTACGGACCTTGATACATGGGGTAGCATCACGGGTGCGCCATACAATACGCACAGAAGTGTCACCTGCATCGTACCTGGAGATATAATCAGCAACACTCAAGGGGGCTCTACCCCTGATCCCCAGATCGTAAATCTACACAGCTCAATACATAGACATGTTAGGAAGCAGAATGGTACATACCAGATGTCTTTTCTCCTGATGAGTAGCCTTCCCATCAAGTGCTGCCTGCAGCAACTTAGCTTCCCTGTTGATCTTCTTCAAGTGAAGACAGATCTGGTGCCCTACTGAGAGTCAGCACCAACAGGAAGGACAAGCTTGGTCTGAATAACATACCTATTGTTTCAGGGCCAAATACCTCACCCTTTAACCCCTTCCTGATGATGTCCTCCACCTACAGCCTGATTAACCACTATTTTCTGGCAACAAGAGTAGGTAGAGCTCACCACATTGAACCCCTTCATGTTGTCCTTGAATGCACCTAGACAATCCTGCAGCAGTTTCGTCTTATCACACAAATCCATGGGGGTGAGATGAAGGAACTGATCCTCCATTGATAAGAGTATCTGACGAACTACAATCATATAGTCAGCTAGATGAAACATCTAGAGACAGACAAAATGCCTACACTGGTCAGTGTCTTGCTTATTGGCATATTTCCTAGGCATTTTGATGTGTGATACGATGATAGATGAGTGTTGGAGCTAGAGGTAGTAGCTGCTGGCTGACGAAGACATGTGACTCATATTTGGGTGATATATTTTAAATATGATGAAGAATATTTATTGTCAGTATAGCTGAGTTGGTGTATCTCTTTACTCTGAATAAGGTCGGACTGCTCACTACGAAGCTCTGTTCAATTCCTGCTAGTTGCAGTTTAATTGCACCTGTAATGATCATGTGATTCATGCCCCTAAAGCACCAGGTAAGTAATGCACAATCTTTCTTATCATTAGCTTGAGGATTTTGTTTTTTTTTCCTCTTCGCAGTATTAGTCTGTAGATCTATTTCATTCTAGCCAAAGCCATTGTTTAGGCTTCACCCATGTATAGCATTGTCTGCATTGTATGTAATCCCTGCACCCAAAATTCAGCCCTGGGCCTCCAGATAGCATCAGGCAATGCCACAAAAATGTCCTTTTTACCCCGCTTCCCAACCCTCAGGTTTTCATATCCTGGATATTCACTGCTCCACTCTTCAGGACATATTCCAAAGCCCTGAGGGAGGAAGCGATTCTGATGGATAGTGGCCAAGGTTTCAGCAAATACTGCACCACCATTTTCTGTAAAAGGAGACACTGCTTTCGGTGCTGCCACTATCTTGGGGAGGAAATTTGCAGCATATTCAGCACCTAGAGTCTCCTCAAATGCACCCCATGTATGCTGTTCTTCATCATCAGATCCATCAGTCTCTATATCTGTCTCCTCATCACCGTCATGCTGTAGGTGGTTGTTCTGGACAGGATCTGATGGGGTCTCAGCTGAGTTGACGCCATATGCTGCAGTGATCTCCTCTGGTGGAATGTTGTCACAGTCATCATGGTACTCCCCATGCTGTAGACGACCAGTCAAATGCAAATCCTACATATAAATAAGTTTGCTACCTCACAGACAGTTCAATAGTGGTGACATACATTAGGTGAATTGTCATGTCCTCTCCCCCCTATTGGATGTGCATTCCATGTTGCTTGAAATGATTGGCAATCTGTGTTGATATCGTTCAAGAACAGAACATGGATGAGCCATAGATGGTGGGGATTATGACGGTCGAGCTGATGCTGGTCTTCTAGCCGCTGGAAAAATGCCCGCCATTGTTGTCCAAATTGGGTACCTATTTCTACCCACAAACACTCTACACGTGTATTGCGGGTTGAACTAAAACCACTTGATTAGTAAACATGAGCAGAGGTAATGATGTCGACATACGGTCCCCAGATAAATGAGCCACGGTTTGCACCCTTGGTAAGAATCATATAAACAGCAATGCCCTTATTCTCCCGTCCACGGTCTCCACGTACACGCGAAGGTTGTCCATGATTTTCAACTGCTTCCAGGAATACACTTAGGGCAGTATCGGCACGATTGTTATCACTGGCACGTAAGCCTGTAATCTAAATGTAGGTGTTAGTTCAATAGAGCAGTTTATAAGTTCTGGTACTTCACCATACGGCTATAACCATCTACCACACCGAAGATGACAATTCCCCAATGGATGAGCTTGTGATGGCCATCGATATGCCAGAGGGCATTTGGACGGGAAACTTCATAGACGCGGCGCTTGATCACTGTCTGTTGCTTTACTTTCTGCCCTAAACCACTAGCCCGTTGGAGTGCCTCCGAAATGCGGGTTTTTTGAATACGGAGTCCTTGGTGGGATAGAAATCCTTGCAGGTAACGCAGGCCAGATGTTGGTCGGACCTCGCGGGATTTCTGTACAATGGTGTCAAGCTCGCCATTAGTAAGCTTGTCAAACTCATGGTGGATGTTGTGTTCTTTAAGTTGAGTATAGAGTGTTTGTCGGCTAACATTCAGGAGACGGGCGAGTTTTGCAATAGATATTTTGCGACCACCTTCCAGAGCATTGTGCAAGAAGTCGGGATCAATAACCTTCCGTGGGCGTCCACATGCACCACTGGAAACAATGGATACTGGCTGTGGTACCACAACATTGGTGTCCTCACTATATAGTATTGTTAGCATGAAGTCTTGAGATAGAAGTGAAAGACTAAACTGGTTGACTGCTGTAGTATGAGCTCTGTCAAGTTGGGCGATCAGGAACCCAACAGATGAGGTGATGGAATGTAGCCATTCCAGTGGAATACCCTCCTGCATTGCATGTTCTTCCATAGCAAGCAAAATTGGAACACCATCTTCTATTAGCCTCTCTGAGTGGAATCGTAGACGATTAGCTTCAGCCTCTTGACCAAGCAGTTTGTGAGCAGCAAGGTATATGAACTCGATGCGATTGAAAGCATCATACACCCCTGGGGACCAGGAGGCCTGAGTAGGGTGGGGGGGGAGAGGTGGCAACGACATGATGTTTTCTGTAGATCCAGAGATGAGAACTTGTAAAATAGACAGCTGAGCAGACATACTTGTGATGTAGGCGAGTTAAAATACTCTTGATCGGTTGATGAGCGATACTGAGCTCTTGAACATAGCTGCTTAAATATATTATAAGTATCCTAAACTAGTTCAATAGTTCAACAACTGGAATGGCATTAGATAGATATGACAGGCTCCCTGGGCTGCTATCGCCCTGTTTTTCTAGGTCTGGCCAATTGAATAGATGCTATGAGTACACTAAATAAGCACAGCAGACTTCATACCATCCACTTTAGCTCCAGAATCAATTAAGCCCGGCCTAAGCATACTCACTATTCTCCTAGTCAAATCACTAAGTACTTCAGGAGCTCTGTCATACTTAATCCGTACGATCACCATGCCCTAAACATACTCACTATTCCCCTAGTCAGATCACTAAGGACCTCAGGAGCTCTGTCATACTTAGTTCGTATGATCGCCATGCTTTGATAGCCTAGTTTACACCGACAATAAATACAACTGCAAATTTACCACTGATACCCACAACCCAAGAAGCCACTCACAAATGACTGAGGTCTGTCATTGCACTCCCTTTTTGTTCTCATGCTAATCAACTTGTCTATGGCAGAATCTTACATCGCTTACCACCAGCATGAGTCTTTCCACCGACCAGGATCATAGCTCTTCTAGTTCTGTTGCTGATCTAAATGTTATCAATCTGGAAAAGTCGGTTGTTTGGTGTAGGGTATTGAGCTTTACTTTTTATCTGCTTTTGAGATCGTTCTCATGGACATCACTCTAGGGAAACGATAACGAAAATAGCAAAACACCAGTTCATGTTATGCTGCTGGCGAAACACTCGACTGTTCTGATGAACATGTTCACCCTTCCTCAAACGAATGACCCTAATCCAGAGGGAGGGGCTGATAATCCCATTGTTATGCCTGTCCCATGGGAGCAACTCGAGAATATGCTTGAATGGATATTTCAGTATGTGCCTCACTAAATAACATCACTCATGAAGGCCTAATCACTCTGTTTGATACAGTTTGTGGGATAAGTCCAAGCTGAAATCTGATCGGGCATTGTGTGAGAAGAAGTACACTATGCTGCTTGCAACAAGTCGCCTATTTGATATGCCTCGGGCTGCTGACGATGCAATCGAGGCATTGGGAAACCTATATCTCCCCTCTTCCCGATCCCTGCGACTTGCGAGGCAGTATACAGTGACTGCATGGCTCAAACCTGCCATTCAATACCTTCTCGAGCACCGAACACTGCAAGATCTGACGAGCGAAGAAGCCAATGAGATTGGCATAGGACTGTACTCTATCATAGCTCGTGCCAAGGAAGCCTGGCAAACTTACCGACTCAGTGTGGCTTATCAACCAGTCAATCTCGACTTTTCTGACGACGAACGATGGGAGGATGAAGGGGGCTGTGACAATCACTCAGAGTGTACAGCAGCATGGGTACCATGGTGGTGGAGGTATATTGCTCGGAAGATTATCTATCCTGATGATCCTCTTGACCTGCACGAAATACGAACAATTGTCACCGAAGCAAAGATCCCTGGAATGGCACCCAACGGCAAAGCTGCCCTCCTCCGAAGGCTTCTATTTACCGAATGGGATCATATCTTGAATCATGCTGTGGAGAGGGCGACTAGACTGATTGAAGAGCTATAGAACATTATATGTATAGTGTGTAGAGGCCTAGCTAATGACAATCCTTGTACTTCGTAGATGAACACAAAGGGGCTCATATAGGGGCATGATCAATCTCCTGCTCGGATTTCATGTATGACCATGGATAGTACTTATTACTCTCACGGTCAGATTAAGTCCTTCTCACGGTCAGATTGAAGCCTTCCCACGGTCAGAAGCCCTTAAAGCATCCAATACACCAGATCAGCGAAGATATGTGTTATAGGCGCATCCAAGGACCCCCTTAGGGGCTACTAGGGGCGCACCCACGTGCGTTTTCTGACTATGGGCTCGGGCCGCGCATATACGCGGCCATGCAGACTTCCCAGATTACGGACTAAGTACATACTCGAGCACATTGTAGTTACTACGACCGAACTCATTACTGTTTCGTGAACGCGCGGACGCCGCGTGTTCCTTAGTATATAGTCCTGTATCATACATACAGCTACCTTAGTTTGAATATTAGTTCCTTCTCCGCACTCGCACCTTGCCCCTCTAGTGGGTTCCCCCCCCATCGCACCCCTTCGCCTCCGCCCGTACCCTCGGTACCCGCGTAGGACTCCTCCCGGAAATACAGGGCACGCAAGAGTGTGGGAGGCGCAGCCAGTAGCTGAAGCCAAGCCCGTACGTGTTAAGAGCTTTATTCTACATATTGTTAAGAGCCACACTCGCAGGGGGGCTCGGGATACGCGGACCTGCGGGTGCGCGGTTCCACGTAGACGCGTGGGGGAAACGGGGGAAACGAGGACGTACGGGCTTGGCTTCAGCTACTGGCTGCGCCTCCCACACTCTTGCGTGCCCTGTATTTCCGGGAGGAGTCCTACGCGGGTACCGAGGGTACGGGCGGAGGCGAAGGGGTGCGATGGGGGGGGAACCCACTAGAGGGGCAAGGTGCGAGTGCGGAGAAGGAACTAATATTCAAACTAAGGTAGCTGTATGTATGATACAGGACTATATACTAAGGAACACGCGGCGTCCGCGCGTTCACGAAACAGTAATGAGTTCGGTCGTAGTAACTACAATGTGCTCGAGTATGTACTTAGTCCGTAATCTGGGAAGTCTGCATGGCCGCGTATATGCGCGGCCCGAGCCCATAGTCAGAAAACGCACGTGGGTGCGCCCCTAGTAGCCCCTAAGGGGGTCCTTGGATGCGCCTATAACACATATCTTCGCTGATCTGGTGTATTGGATGCTTTAAGGGCTTCTGACCGTGGGAAGGCTTCAATCTGACCGTGAGAAGGACTTAATCTGACCGTGAGAGTAATAAGTACTATCCATGGTCATACATGAAATCCGAGCAGGAGATTGATCATGCCCCTATATGAGCCCCTTTGTGTTCATCTACGAAGTACAAGGATTGTCATTAGCTAGGCCTCTACACACTATACATATAATGTTCTATAGCTCTTCAATCAGTCTAGTCGCCCTCTCCACAGCATGATTCAAGATATGATCCCATTCGGTAAATAGAAGCCTTCGGAGGAGGGCAGCTTTGCCGTTGGGTGCCATTCCAGGGATCTTTGCTTCGGTGACAATTGTTCGTATTTCGTGCAGGTCAAGAGGATCATCAGGATAGATAATCTTCCGAGCAATATACCTCCACCACCATGGTACCCATGCTGCTGTACACTCTGAGTGATTGTCACAGCCCCCTTCATCCTCCCATCGTTCGTCGTCAGAAAAGTCGAGATTGACTGGTTGATAAGCCACACTGAGTCGGTAAGTTTGCCAGGCTTCCTTGGCACGAGCTATGATAGAGTACAGTCCTATGCCAATCTCATTGGCTTCTTCGCTCGTCAGATCTTGCAGTGTTCGGTGCTCGAGAAGGTATTGAATGGCAGGTTTGAGCCATGCAGTCACTGTATACTGCCTCGCAAGTCGCAGGGATCGGGAAGAGGGGAGATATAGGTTTCCCAATGCCTCGATTGCATCGTCAGCAGCCCGAGGCATATCAAATAGGCGACTTGTTGCAAGCAGCATAGTGTACTTCTTCTCACACAATGCCCGATCAGATTTCAGCTTGGACTTATCCCACAAACTGTATCAAACAGAGTGATTAGGCCTTCATGAGTGATGTTATTTAGTGAGGCACATACTGAAATATCCATTCAAGCATATTCTCGAGTTGCTCCCATGGGACAGGCATAACAATGGGATTATCAGCCCCTCCCTCTGGATTAGGGTCATTCGTTTGAGGAAGGGTGAACATGTTCATCAGAACAGTCGAGTGTTTCGCCAGCAGCATAACATGAACTGGTGTTTTGCTATTTTCGTTATCGTTTCCCTAGAGTGATGTCCATGAGAACGATCTCAAAAGCAGATAAAAAGTAAAGCTCAATACCCTACACCAAACAACCGACTTTTCCAGATTGATAACATTTAGATCAGCAACAGAACTAGAAGAGCTATGATCCTGGTCGGTGGAAAGACTCATGCTGGTGGTAAGCGATGTAAGATTCTGCCATAGACAAGTTGATTAGCATGAGAACAAAAAGGGAGTGCAATGACAGACCTCAGTCATTTGTGAGTGGCTTCTTGGGTTGTGGGTATCAGTGGTAAATTTGCAGTTGTATTTATTGTCGGTGTAAACTAGGCTATCAAAGCATGGCGATCATACGAACTAAGTATGACAGAGCTCCTGAGGTCCTTAGTGATCTGACTAGGGGAATAGTGAGTATGTTTAGGGCATGGTGATCGTACGGATTAAGTATGACAGAGCTCCTGAAGTACTTAGTGATTTGACTAGGAGAATAGTGAGTATGCTTAGGCCGGGCTTAATTGATTCTGGAGCTAAAGTGGATGGTATGAAGTCTGCTGTGCTTATTTAGTGTACTCATAGCATCTATTCAATTGGCCAGACCTAGAAAAACAGGGCGATAGCAGCCCAGGGAGCCTGTCATATCTATCTAATGCCATTCCAGTTGTTGAACTATTGAACTAGTTTAGGATACTTATAATATATTTAAGCAGCTATGTTCAAGAGCTCAGTATCGCTCATCAACCGATCAAGAGTATTTTAACTCGCCTACATCACAAGTATGTCTGCTCAGCTGTCTATTTTACAAGTTCTCATCTCTGGATCTACAGAAAACATCATGTCGTTGCCACCTCTCCCCCCCCACCCTACTCAGGCCTCCTGGTCCCCAGGGGTGTATGATGCTTTCAATCGCATCGAGTTCATATACCTTGCTGCTCACAAACTGCTTGGTCAAGAGGCTGAAGCTAATCGTCTACGATTCCACTCAGAGAGGCTAATAGAAGATGGTGTTCCAATTTTGCTTGCTATGGAAGAACATGCAATGCAGGAGGGTATTCCACTGGAATGGCTACATTCCATCACCTCATCTGTTGGGTTCCTGATCGCCCAACTTGACAGAGCTCATACTACAGCAGTCAACCAGTTTAGTCTTTCACTTCTATCTCAAGACTTCATGCTAACAATACTATATAGTGAGGACACCAATGTTGTGGTACCACAGCCAGTATCCATTGTTTCCAGTGGTGCATGTGGACGCCCACGGAAGGTTATTGATCCCGACTTCTTGCACAATGCTCTGGAAGGTGGTCGCAAAATATCTATTGCAAAACTCGCCCGTCTCCTGAATGTTAGCCGACAAACACTCTATACTCAACTTAAAGAACACAACATCCACCATGAGTTTGACAAGCTTACTAATGGCGAGCTTGACACCATTGTACAGAAATCCCGCGAGGTCCGACCAACATCTGGCCTGCGTTACCTGCAAGGATTTCTATCCCACCAAGGACTCCGTATTCAAAAAACCCGCATTTCGGAGGCACTCCAACGGGCTAGTGGTTTAGGGCAGAAAGTAAAGCAACAGACAGTGATCAAGCGCCGCGTCTATGAAGTTTCCCGTCCAAATGCCCTCTGGCATATCGATGGCCATCACAAGCTCATCCATTGGGGAATTGTCATCTTCGGTGTGGTAGATGGTTATAGCCGTATGGTGAAGTACCAGAACTTATAAACTGCTCTATTGAACTAACACCTACATTTAGATTACAGGCTTACGTGCCAGTGATAACAATCGTGCCGATACTGCCCTAAGTGTATTCCTGGAAGCAGTTGAAAATCATGGACAACCTTCGCGTGTACGTGGAGACCGTGGACGGGAGAATAAGGGCATTGCTGTTTATATGATTCTTACCAAGGGTGCAAACCGTGGCTCATTTATCTGGGGACCGTATGTCGACATCATTACCTCTGCTCATGTTTACTAATCAAGTGGTTTTAGTTCAACCCGCAATACACGTGTAGAGTGTTTGTGGGTAGAAATAGGTACCCAATTTGGACAACAATGGCGGGCATTTTTCCAGCGGCTAGAAGACCAGCATCAGCTCGACCGTCATAATCCCCACCATCTATGGCTCATCCATGTTCTGTTCTTGAACGATATCAACACAGATTGCCAATCATTTCAAGCAACATGGAATGCACATCCAATAGGGGGGAGAGGACATGACAATTCACCTAATGTATGTCACCACTATTGAACTGTCTGTGAGGTAGCAAACTTATTTATATGTAGGATTTGCATTTGACTGGTCGTCTACAGCATGGGGAGTACCATGATGACTGTGACAACATTCCACCAGAGGAGATCACTGCAGCATATGGCGTCAACTCAGCTGAGACCCCATCAGATCCTGTCCAGAACAACCACCTACAGCATGACGGTGATGAGGAGACAGATATAGAGACTGATGGATCTGATGATGAAGAACAGCATACATGGGGTGCATTTGAGGAGACTCTAGGTGCTGAATATGCTGCAAATTTCCTCCCCAAGATAGTGGCAGCACCGAAAGCAGTGTCTCCTTTTACAGAAAATGGTGGTGCAGTATTTGCTGAAACCTTGGCCACTATCCATCAGAATCGCTTCCTCCCTCAGGGCTTTGGAATATGTCCTGAAGAGTGGAGCAGTGAATATCCAGGATATGAAAACCTGAGGGTTGGGAAGCGGGGTAAAAAGGACATTTTTGTGGCATTGCCTGATGCTATCTGGAGGCCCAGGGCTGAATTTTGGGTGCAGGGATTACATACAATGCAGACAATGCTATACATGGGTGAAGCCTAAACAATGGCTTTGGCTAGAATGAAATAGATCTACAGACTAATACTGCGAAGAGGAAAAAAAAACAAAATCCTCAAGCTAATGATAAGAAAGATTGTGCATTACTTACCTGGTGCTTTAGGGGCATGAATCACATGATCATTACAGGTGCAATTAAACTGCAACTAGCAGGAATTGAACAGAGCTTCGTAGTGAGCAGTCCGACCTTATTCAGAGTAAAGAGATACACCAACTCAGCTATACTGACAATAAATATTCTTCATCATATTTAAAATATATCACCCAAATATGAGTCACATGTCTTCGTCAGCCAGCAGCTACTACCTCTAGCTCCAACACTCATCTATCATCGTATCACACATCAAAATGCCTAGGAAATATGCCAATAAGCAAGACACTGACCAGTGTAGGCATTTTGTCTGTCTCTAGATGTTTCATCTAGCTGACTATATGATTGTAGTTCGTCAGATACTCTTATCAATGGAGGATCAGTTCCTTCATCTCACCCCCATGGATTTGTGTGATAAGACGAAACTGCTGCAGGATTGTCTAGGTGCATTCAAGGACAACATGAAGGGGTTCAATGTGGTGAGCTCTACCTACTCTTGTTGCCAGAAAATAGTGGTTAATCAGGCTGTAGGTGGAGGACATCATCAGGAAGGGGTTAAAGGGTGAGGTATTTGGCCCTGAAACAATAGGTATGTTATTCAGACCAAGCTTGTCCTTCCTGTTGGTGCTGACTCTCAGTAGGGCACCAGATCTGTCTTCACTTGAAGAAGATCAACAGGGAAGCTAAGTTGCTGCAGGCAGCACTTGATGGGAAGGCTACTCATCAGGAGAAAAGACATCTGGTATGTACCATTCTGCTTCCTAACATGTCTATGTATTGAGCTGTGTAGATTTACGATCTGGGGATCAGGGGTAGAGCCCCCTTGAGTGTTGCTGATTATATCTCCAGGTACGATGCAGGTGACACTTCTGTGCGTATTGTATGGCGCACCCGTGATGCTACCCCATGTATCAAGGTCCGTACCTGGATGTCAGACATCCGTGGCATGGAGGGCACAGGGGAAGCGGTTGTTGATGAGGAAATGGGCTTTTATACCGTTGCTCCGGCAGAGAATGTCATATTCCTGTCTGGTACACGTGAATGTGAGTCATTAACTTCATTTACAATGAGAAAATACTAATACCATGTCGGCGTGAAGGCCCTAAGCTTGAACTCGTTGTCTTCCATGGCATTGGGGAAGGCAGCGAGTTGACTGCAGACCTCTATAAATGGCTCAATGCTGTCATTGACTATGCATGCTGGGCCAGACGGGATGTCCGTGTAAGTTTATCATCACTTATATGACTGATTTGGTCTGATTCTTTGATAGCCCTACCATGAGGGCAATTTGACTCAGATTGGCATGAACCTTGGCCCCCGCCACGCCCGTGTCCTAGGATGGGCCAAGTCTTTCGTCAAGAATTTGTCCAACAAAGACATGAAGATTCACGATACTGATGCTATTGGTGCTGTTAGCATCTTTTGGTCTATTCTGAGTGCATACGCCCCAACCGAGGTGACTGATGCAATGGTGAAGTATGTTGAGGAAGAGGAATTGCCTCATCTTGCTACCCAGAATGTTGGGCCAGGTGACATCTATTTGCTTATATGTGACCTCTTCTAATGCCTGATTTTATAGGTACCGGCTTCCGTCTATGTCTGGGAGATAAGGACTATATGTTTCCTACATGCTCCCGGGCACCTCCGGAGGCATATATTTCCTGTGGGTATTCTGCGTGAGTTATATTTCACTATGCTGTTTCTTTATGATTCTGATTACTTCACAGTCCAGTGCACCGAGACGCTTCATATTGCCCTTGGGCTGCGTCTTGGATTGTCAACCGCAATGTTGACAATGTTGATGACTCTGCCGACAAATCTGCAGGCAGCAGTTTTGTCGATGTTGGCTTGCGGGTTGCAGTACGTGCTGCATCTGCCAGTCTTGTCATCTGGAATCCCAACAACGCACATGGAACTACACGGTCGTACGGTGCAGAAAACTCTGGGATCGCCATTACTTTTTCTTCCAAGGTTTGCGATGTCTATCGTACACTCACTTCCATGGGTAAGGTACCTTTTCTCAGTGGTACCTGTTACGGTGGAGATGAAATCCTAGGTCTTGTCGAGAGTGGGAGTGGGGCAGGGGCAACTGAAACTGATGAATAGGAGTAGATAATTTGTACATGTTTGTCATATGTTCAAATCGTTTCTCAGTCACTCTTTGTTTCCTTCTCTCTTTTCAATTCTCTAAAAAAACTCTACTCTTATTAAAAATGACATCGTCCTCTTCTGCTGTTGTCCAAATCCTCCAGCGAATGGTCACTCCTGCAGGGGCTAGCTCTCAAGCATCTAACAGTCGCAAGACAACTTCTATCGTAAAGCAGGCTCATAATGAGGCGAATAAAGGGTTACTCTCAGCCTCAAAAGCTTCAAAGCGAAAGGTGAGTTCGCTTACTTGTTGATTGTATAAAAGATTAATCATTGCTACTACTAAGCGAGGAGCCTCAACTGTTGATGTTGGATATATCTATGTCAATCCCCATGGAGTTACCATGGTATGTAGCTCGGTATACCATGCACATTGTCTAACTTTTACTCCTGTAGAATGGCGATGTCATCTCTGGCCTTGTAAAACCCTCTCCTCCTACCCGATATGATCTTGAACTCCACCCTAAGCAACTCTTAGCTCGTAACCTCCAAACTGGTTTTCAGTTCAGCATATCTGCTTCAGAAGACGAAATCCAGGAGAATCTTGCCAGCATACTCCCTGAGTTCTACAGCTACTTAGCATCGCTTCCTGAATCATCTAGGCCTGCAGTTCTCATGTGCATTCAGTACTACAAGGAGCTTCGGCCACTGCGAACGATTCTGCCTAAGGGTGAAGATCTTTATGCTTATATTGGGTCGAAGAAGAAATCCCTACCTGAAAATATTTTATATATCAGTGAGTATCAACATTTGTTGATAAGATACATGCTAGATTGACTCGGTACTACAGCTACTGTTGATCCTATCCCCAGTGCTATTATCAAAGAGTGGGAAGAAGCCAATGCCAGTGAACTTGGGATCAACCTCAGGCATGGTGACGATGAAGCTGTTCATGATCGTAAGTCATATTTCAACCAAGGATACGAAGTTATATTGACGAAGTCTAAGGAGTCTCTGATGGAGAGTATTCTGGTCCTTCGGTAAAGAGAGCTCGTAAGGGGAAGGTGAGATCAACCATCTTAATTGTTTCGAAAGCTAACTTCATTTGTTTGATTCATAGAACCAGCCGAAACACGATACCTAAGGCCACTTGCAGCAAAGCCAGCAACGATTGATCTTACTGACACTGACCAAGAGCTTGACGAGGATGCTCCGACTGCATCCAAGGTCCTCGGAGTTCGGTCCTCATTCAGTGATGATCCTATCTTGAAGGTCAACCCTTGGTCGTCATCTACATTCATTGACTTCTGATTGAATTATCATTGTCTTTTTCTCTATCGTTCTTCAGTTATATAAATCACATACCCACACTCATTACCTATTACAAGTCACTCGTTTATACCCCTACTTTTCTTTCCCTCGACTCTTTGTTCAATACAGGCATACAACAATGGTTAATATTCGACTGTAGATACTTACATATATTAGTTGTCTGTTTATAACCCATTAATACACTTTGCTTCACTGTAGATTGTATGAATCTTGCACAAGTAGCGAAGAATGAGCCATCAAGCAGACACCTCAGGACTTACATTGGACTTCGTTGAATTATTGGGCATGTCAGGGTCTAAGTCACACAGTAAGCTCCTGTTTTTCCACGGTCAGTACAGTACCTTCCCACGGTCAATATTCTTGCCAAGCCTCATTTGCGAAGTGTTCGGCAACTGAAACAAAATGTTCGGGCAATTGAAAGAAATGTTCAGGTAACTAAACAAATGTTCAAGATGAAAATACAGAGTATTCAAAGTGCTTAATAGAATGTTGGAACAACTTAATGAAAATGTTCGGATAAAGAACAAAGTCCGGAGATTCAATTGTTCGGCACTAATATTTGGACACTTTGAACGTCATATGGAAGCGAGAAAAATTTAGAGAGGGAAATGGTCGGTCGGACACTAGCTTGAGAACTCACATCGGTGGCGATTGAAGTTCCTGTGGAGCTGAGCGCCGAATGAATGGCTTGCGCATTTCCATGCTATTATTTTACGACCTACGCCATTTTATCACAATTTCTTCCCAAGATCAGCAAGTTTGGAGGTGACCTGATAAGTGCTAGGTATGTTCGAACGATGAACTCCAGGTGCCGGTTTTTGTGTTACAACACGTCGTCGCTCGGAACGGAAGGACCAGTCCACCCCTCTTCAGAGCAGTATGACGTTCAAAGTGTCCAAATAATACTTCCGAACAAATACAATCTCCGAACATTTGCCCGAACATTTCTGAACTTGCCGAACATTTTCTATAAGTTGCCTGAACATTTTGTGTCACTTGCTCGAACATTTCTTAACTTACTGAACATTTTCTGTGCTTTGCCCGAACATTTTGGTTACTTGCCCGAACATTTTTCTTAATGGACCCTGACAGGCCCAAAGGGATTTGTGACTGTGGGAATACCTGTACTTGACTGTGGGAATATTGCGTACTGACTTTGCTATTGCTGACCGTGGGAATTAAGACAAATGCGCAAGCTTCGGTCGCAGACCTTCTATTCTCTGTACCAATGGAACTAGATAAGATGTGTATTGATGCTGGAGGACTTTATAGCGCTAATATGAGCTGAGCTCTATATATTCCAGCCTTATCACACCCTTGTCATTGACCTTGCATACATAGATCTCTAGTGTTAGTGCTGTACTAACTGAGCTGAGTACTGCGAGTACTACTAGTTATTACTCTATCAAGTTTGCACCTCTGTGTACAGCCAAGGACTCACTGGGAACTGCGAAGACTCTACTACAAGATATGCATAAAGGGGATAAAGGGGGCTGCCTAGGGGGCGCTAATTTACGGAGATAAGATTGACGATCGGGATTAGATAAAGGATTCATCGCCGAAGATTAGATTAAGGATTAATGATGATTGATTTAATAGGTCTCAGGGTTTCTCAGGAGTATCTCACGGTCAGAAACAAGAACTCACACAGTCATTAACTTATATTCCCACGGTCAATAATGACCACCAGCGCCCGAGCATGAAATGTTTGGTATAGAAAGAATGTTCGGGCAAGTAACCAAAATGTTCGGGCAAAACACAGAAAATATTCGGTAAGTTAAGAAATGTTCGGCCAAGTGACACAAAATGCTCGGGCAACTTATAGAAAATGTTCGGCAAGTTCAGAAATGTTCGGGCAAATGTTATTTGTTCGGAAGTATTATTTGGACACTTTGAACATCATAGAGCAGCCATGTCCAGTTCATCTTTCCTACCTTCTCAACACCCTTTCAATGGAGCTGTTCCAGAGGTTTGACACATAGTTCCGTACACATTGTACCCATTCTGACATCGTCATAAGAGTATTTTCAACCAGGTTGTCTCCCAAGCTGGGTAAGATCGATAGTCATTATCTCCCGTATTTGTGGCCGAGCTCACGGATCTCAATAGATGTAATGGTTACCCAGACATTATGCAATGCCTGAGGGCAGCCAATATTGTGCAGCTACAAACCGCCAACAACAGAGTAAATCGGGCTGGGTTCTTCGGGACGTTCGCAACCGTGCCGGTGATTGAAGGAGAATTTATCACTGAACGACCCACCCAGGCGCTGAGGCGGAGGAGACTCAATGGAGTATGTGACAAGTCTCCTTGCCTTTGGCTTGCAGCTTCATTGTAATTCATTTTCTCAGAGAGCGCTCCTGACTATGACCAACACCTGCGAAGGCAACGACTTCGTGGATCAAAGAACGGCCGGGACTGTCACGGCGGCAGACTATACTCTCCGTCTGTTCCCTTACATTGGGATCGCAAATGCTGCCAATGCAGCACGACTGTATGCTGGGGTTGGAGCGCCCATTGACCAAGCATGGGGGAGGGTTGATCCTCGTAACGATTTGTTCACGGTGTTGATTTACGATGCTCATTTACATGAAGCCATTTTCATCTGTCCCACCTACTTCATGCTGAATGCCTTCCCTGGAACCTCGTATAAGGTAAGTCGATCTTTCACTCTGACCAAGCGCAGTCACTTCTCACTGCTCGCGTAGGGAGAATTTGCTGTCAACAATGCGTTACATGGTTGGGATATAACCTCCTACTTCCCTAGGGGAGATGCAAGTGAGTGACTTGTATTCAAACCTTAGTACACAGTTAACGAGCATCCAAATGATAGCTTTTGGGCGCGTGTTAGCCACCTTACGGCTCAGTAGTGTTACGAGCGGGATGATTGCTTGCCTTCGTAGACCCCTAGCTCCTGTTCATTTCATCAAGCACCTTCGAAATATTTGAACGGTCCTTCACTATATTTGTTTCTACATCTGGAATTCCCAAACTCTGATGTCGGGTTCACTCTCTTCTCAATGGTTTGACAGTGACATGCGTACAATTACTGATCTGTTATTCTGAATAGATTGAGCCTCAGTACAGGCATAACGTCGGTTTACGCCACTGCCTCGACAAACACACCTGGCTCTTTTGCGACTTTCTGCCATCATCAGTCAGCGACACCCTCTCAGTCGGTCCGAAAACTTCGAGCGTACCTCACTGAAGGGGGAGAACGTAACCGGCGATGCCCTGGTCAGCGTAACCGCGACCTGGTACATCATTGTCGACCTCGCCCTGGTGTATCGTGTAAAAGTGGTCGATGTCCTCCGCGCTATACAGCCTATACAGCGGGATGCTCCCGCAGATCTGCGTCGTGTAGATATACGCTGCAATCCCTTGGCTCGTATATCCGTGCGCTGCCACGGCGTTGTCTCTCTGCGCGGTGGACGTCGTGTAAAAGTGATCCTTCGCGGAGGCGTTGTACAGGCGGTAGAGCGGGACCGTCCCTGCCTCCTGTGTAGTGTACACCCTCCCCATGTGTGGGCCCTCCACATAGCCGTTGTTGGCGACAGCACTGGCCATCTGTGTGGCGTTGGCAGTGTAGTAGAGATCCTTCACATTCTTGTTGTAGGCGCGTAGGAGGAACGTAGCCTTGGGAATAGCGGTGCAGTCGTTCTGGGGAGGAGAGGTGGTGGGAGTAGTCACGGGTGGGGTCCCTGTAGTCGGAGTGCTTGAAGTGAGGGGAGTGCTTGAAGTGAGGGCGGTGCTCGAGGAGGTGGGTGGCGCGATAGTATATGTAGTCGAGCCTGAGGTGCAGGTGCACACAGGGTCATATTGGCGCTGTAATAGTGTATGATAGACGTGAGTGGTATATCATGGACGCCGGAATGCAGTGGAATTCACTTTGACTAGCACATCATCTGTGTTGGTTCCAGTGGGGGGTACGAGAGCGTAGGTAGTATAAGTGACTGTGAAGATGAGGAGTGCTGAGAACTTCATAATGGTGGATATTTGCGGTAGAATCCGGGCTTACTCTGTTCTGTGCTTCTACTATATAAGATTCTTTTATATATCTTGCGGGTGTCTCTGCAGCCTAGGTTCGAAGCATAAAAATGAAGCCTATTAGATCAGTAGCATGTTATGTTACTATGGGCTCTAGATGCTAGCAGGTCTGTCCATACTACTTGCAGCGGTAAGCATTGCTATGTATTGACATCTCTGAATGCATCACGACTCAAGAAGTCTTTCTCGACTTCAATGCAGAGTGACTGGGATAAAAATACGGCTGTATGGCGCTTGTTCTGCTGAAGAACCAACTTTGTGTAGTATAGTGTCTAAATTACATACAGTTTGACATGGACGAGTCACCGGGGTTGCGTAAGCCCCTGTGGATAGTGTCTAGGAGTGGGATTCTAGTTGTATTCTAGCGCAACCCAGCAGACGATGGTAATTACAGCACTGGGTCCTGAAGCGTTTATGGCTCGAGCCAATACAAACCTATTCCTACTGTACGTCCTACTGGCTCTACGCGCATCGGGAATTTAATATTGCGCAGGTCACATGACCGCGTCAGACCTATAAGTACGTTGGCGAGACTTCTCTCCCTCTTGCTTCCTTTCCCCCCACAACGCGCCTGCCCAAGTTTATCTTGTGAAATTTAATGGAACGTAGCCTTGTGGATTTTTCATGGACTCAATCTCTGCTCATCGTTGACATGCCGATCCCCTGGCTAGTCCCTAGCTCTGAATCAGGAGACCACCACTTAGGGGGTATTAACTTGACCAGTAGGAATATTGTGATATATGCACCAGTTTTTCGGTGAATTATACTCTCTTTACCTCCTCTATTTTCATTTTACTCAATTTTAGTTCCAGGTCGTATTAGTCCTTGCGCTAACAGTAAATGTCATTGTGACTGTGAGAAAACAATTTTCCACGATCGATATTCTTTTTGACTCCGCGACTTCCGTAAATCGGCTCAACTACGTCAGAACTCCATTACCATTGCAAGGTCCGCTCGCCGACGAACATAAAATGAGCAGTGTGCAGCCCCGCTTCTACTCCCAACAACCCCATTCTCGTCGCTCCGTCTCCACAATGAATCAAGAAACCATATCGCTCTCTCGCGCAACCTCAGTCTCACGTGCTTCCAAGCAAGGCTCGACGGTCTCACGAAACCAGTCGCTGATCAAGAAGAACGTCGCGCCCCACGACCTTCGCCCTTCTGACATCCTCATCGAGCGATTTGTTGCATGGAAGGCCATCGTCAAGCAGCTAATCGCATACTTCGAGGTGCGCTCTCTGCAAAGGCGGGATGATAGGAAGCTGACCCCGACGCTTACAGGGAATCGCTGACATCCACAACAACACGGCCCGAGAACTCATCAAGCTCGGGGCAGTCATCCAAGTACCTTTCAGGGCGGGAAACCAGTTCTTGGGCGAAGGCGGGTTACAGGTGTGCGCCCAGCGATTATCAAATTGCTCAGGCTCAACGTCTATCTATAGGATGTGTACTACAACATACGCGACAAAACACGTTCCATAGCAGATCAGCATGCCAACTTGGGCAGAACCATCGATAGTTCCATTGTTCAGCATCTCCAGAAGCTCCGAGCAGAGATTAAGGCTCATGTCAAGGTGCGCACAATCTTTCACATTTAGGCGAGCAATCGTTCATTCTGTGCAGAATGTCCAAAACGACACTGGCAAATTGGCTACAAGCGTTGCAAGGGAGCGTGAACTATCCACGAAGCTCGTCGCCGAGCTCGCCAACTCCATCTCCTCCTACAAGAACAGTCCGCTCCAAGTTACTAGTAAGACCGATCCGTGAGTCCATGTTCAGTTCGTTCCTATTGTCAAACCTAAATCGATGACAGATACGTATCCAATCAAGCCGTTGTCCGCCAACTACAGAAGCAAGTCCACGAGGAAAACCTCCTCCAGAAGTCTATCATCATTATGCAGCAAAATTCCGCTCATTTCGAAGAGGGTATCGTTCGAGCTCTACAATCCGCCTGGCAAACATACGATGAGTGGCAAGGCCGAATGACGTCACAAATCGCCGACATCCACACCCGCTTGTCCGAGAACTTTGGTTCGCTAGCTCCTGATCGAGAGTGGATCAGCTTCAGCGCCCGCTCGGACCACTTGCTTGACCCCGAGACACCTCTTCGAAACCCAGATACGATCGTGTACCCGTGCAAAGATGACCCCATCATCATTCCCGTTCACACTGGCATCCTCGAACGCAAGAAGCGCTACACACGCACGTACCGGGAGTCGTTCTATGTGCTTACGGCTGCTGGCTTCCTCCACGAGTACGGTTCCTCGGATCCCGCGACACACGCTGGACAGTCGCCCATCTTCTCCTTATTCCTGCCTGCCTGCACGCTTGGCCCGCCTTCGAGCTCTGGCGCCAAGTCCCACAAATTCCACATCGAGGGCAGGAAGGACGGCATGGGAGCCATCAAGACGGGCTCTTTGCGCGAGAAGATGCACATCGGGAGTCGCAGCGCATATGCGTGGAGTTTCAGGGCCCGCAGCCGCGAGGACATGATGGAGTGGTGGAACGACATCCGCATGCTTTGTGCGAGATATTTGGTCGCGAGCGAGACCATTGAACGAAGTGGACCGATTGCGGCAGCTGTAAGGGCCGCTGGGTATATCAGCGAGGAGGAAGATGACGACGATGAAGGTAGTAGCGTCGAAGAGGAGGAGGATGGCGCACAGCATGACGACGATGATATATATGCGGACGCTGATGGTGCCGACATGCCCCCTTCGTATTCGCACCCAGTGAAGGGACAAGCCATTGAGATGGGCCCCAACGGCTATGCGGTGAGTGATATTGAGTTCGTGTAAGGTGATCAATGCTTACCACCATACACTTTAGCTCGAGAAAAAGGTCAAGACACCCCCTCGCGCGACTTCTGAAGACGGGGGAGAGGGCGCCGATCTGACTCGGCGGGTCAGCAAGCGGCAGCAGGAGAAAGCTCCCGAAGGCCGCCCTCCGCACACGAATGGCGACTCGAGCGCTCCTGCTGCAGACAGAGTAGTTACAAATGGTAGGTAGAGACGTTTTGCACAGAATCCAATCTCATCTTATTTTATACCCTTTCTCAATGCTTTTTGGATAGATAACGCCTCTCATCACGAAGATGCGCTGCCAGAGGCGGTTGGAGGCGACTACGCGCATGCAGACGACGCTGCCAATGAAGCGGGACCTGCGCCTGTTGAGAGCAAGTTTCAAGCACGTCTAGAATGACCACATTTGTTGAGATACTTCATTTTCACATGGTTTCGCCCTCTCCCCTTGGTTTTATTTCTATTTCCTTCGCCTATTACGATGTATACGTATATGCAGATGTCATTCTCGGACTCGAAGTGGACATAAATGACAATAATTTCATGCCCCTCCAGCTGCCGTCACGGATATCTGAAGGCAAGACTGTCGCTATGGCGCTCGCATTCATTGAGCACAAGTAGCATGATCGCAGAATGAACAATAGGATTTGTAGTCCAAGAAGGCGCCATGATCTACAGACAAGGGCGTAGCGCATGTTGTGGCTAGCGCACTCCTGTCGACAGGCATACATCAGGATTTCAGAAACAATTTCGGGAGGAAGCCTGAACAAGATTGATGGTCAGGAGAACTCTGGAAAACGTTGAGCGCCGAGTGGGCAAGTCTCCTGACTGAAGTACTGACTCCTGAGTCGGATGTACTTCAATGCTGTCTATGTCCAGCGAACGATAACCGAAACCCTTGATTAGTTGTACATACATTGCATGTTCCTACATAGTGAATAAATATTAACCACGGTCAGCTTGTTCCACAACCTCGCAATGGTAACTACGGCGAACCACTGTTGCCTCAATTGGCAAAGCTGCAAGTTGCGATTGCAGGGATTTGTCCATTTTGTCCATCTCTACCACATTGACCAGCCGTGACAAACTCCCCAACAGCGATTCCAACGTGCGCTCCGGAAGAATCAGTTCGCCAGTCGTTCGATCTTCATGGGTAATATACTGGATGCATACGAGCAATAGCTGATGCATGAACTCGTCTCTCCTCTGGATGTTGCCCACTTGGGTTATATTCACTGGGTTTGCGGAGGACAGGAGCACGCAAAGGCCGCCGAGCGCACCGCTGATTTGGGAGAGGATATCTCGGTGCTCTGCGCTGACGGCGAGCTCGATGAGGTTGCCCTTCGCCAGATCCAAGAACCTGATCACGAATGTGAAGACGCTGTCCGACCACAGAGTTGGCTCCACTACTTCAAGTGAGCTCCACCTCTTCTGGATAGTGGACGCCATTTGCATAGTGAAGGATGCGCTGACGTCGATATTGGCGGGGAAGTCAAGGGATGCGCTGATGTGGTTCACGAGCCAGCATAGCCGGAATAACGACCGATACATCTGCCTATGCTCGTCAATCGAAACGAGTTTTAGCACCTCCTTGAGGACGTGGGTGGAGAATAGCTGGATTTTGAGTGACGATGAGATTTTGGTGCATATCCAGCTCATCATCCCTTGGAAGATATGAGGATGGATATCCTGCGATATGGCCAGACCGATCGCCAATATCTGGCACTCGGAAAAGTCCAAGGCATGGGCACCGAATACTTCGTCCAGGCGCTCGTTGATGAACTCTGGGTCATGGGAATTGAAGAATTCCAGGCCGAAGACGTCCGTCAATATCTTCAGGGCGTGGAATGATACGACTTCGATGATCCACTGGTGGTCCGGATGTACTTGGTGTTTGTACGCTGTGATGCTCAAGAGGGCGAGCAGTGGACTTTTGTCAAGGTCCCAGTCCGAGAAGTCCGTCTGAATGATACTCCTAGCCAATTTGGCGACCACGATGACGAAGGGGAACTTCACGAGCTGGTCGAAATTACCGGGCGGGAGGTTGGTCCTGACGTGGTACTTCTCGACCGCTAGAACGGCACTGAGCACCTGGACCCTGACACCGATAGATACGCTGGTAATTCCTGAGATGTCTCGCTTCGCCAGCACGTTGAGGACATTCAACTGGCATTGAAGGGACGCCTCGAAGGAGAGCAGATGTAGCACCGTGTTAACCTCTTTCTCATCCCACGACCATTGAGATTTCAGCAAAGAATTCAACGGACCGACCGCATGAGTAAGAGTCTCGTCATCATGAGTGTCCTGGATGAGCTCATGGAAAGCATTCAGATTGTCTTGACTCAAAGAAGGCACGGACGGCTGGTCGCCAGCTTTCCATGTCTCGCGCAATCTGAGGAGGGTCCTGATTCCGCTTTGAAATGGGGAGGTGGTGGGGTAGCATATTCCGTGGTAGACGGTGAAGAGTACTGTCAGGGCGGTCAACGATATTGCCGCGCCACCGATGATGAAAGCGCTGTCCAGGTATTGAGATTGTTCGTCCAATTTGATGGATATCGACGTGACGTAGTCAAGTAAACCCAGCGCAAAAATGAACACGGGCAACGTGAGGGTCATGGGTAGCGTCTCTAAGAATGGGCCCAGAGATGTTTGGGCACCTTTCCATCTGCGGTGTATATCGGTCAGGCGGCTAATCGCGTCTCCGTCTGGTCGGGTAAGTCTCGTCAAGTAACTGCGACCCACCACGGCCAACGCGGCAGTACAAAGCTACATTCGTTCCTAGAAAGTGAGTACTTGCTTGCAGATGGAGGACAAGACTTACCGCGAAAATCAACGAGGCAAAGCAATAAATATTGAGGCGGATATCTTCCGGTTCCGGCTCAAATTCCTTAGGCTCAGTCAAGGGAAGGGGCTGTGATGCATTCATTCTGCTCATAGACACGATGATTTCTGTGAGGTTTGCAAGTAATACATTAGTTCTGTCCGCCGGGTCGGGTTTCAAGTTTCCGATGGCTTCCACCAAAAAAGATGTGACGATAGCAGAGAATAAACCAATCTGATTGAAGAATCTAGTGAGTAACGCATTCCAGTAATCAGCGACCACGTACAAAGATAAGTAATGTATCGAGGCCACCACGCCATCTGTCAATGGTGGGGCTCATCTTCTTCAACGTCGATCGGAGAAGTGGGTTCCACGCTGAAGCGCTGCGAACGGGAACCGATGGCGCTGTCGTTCTCGAGGCATCTAATTATCCTTCAGCCATCTCCTGGCCACGAGGATACGCGTGAAACTTTGAGTCTCTCACCTTCGTTGTCCTGTCGCGCGTTGATTTCGCTCAATAGCCTAATCTGCTCCTTCGTGTGCTCATCCTGCTTGCTTTGCCAGTCGACCAGTTGCCGTATCAGCTCCGTTTGTTTTTCAAACAGCATGAGCACCCTAAAATGCCATTTTCTTGCTCAATTCTTCTAGTGAACCTGCTTTTTTGCACTCACTGATCATCAATCAGATTTGAAGGTCGGACACTTGCAGACCCAATACTGTCAAGCCGCCTACGAATTCGTGAGCTTACGTGGTTGCGCAGTGGGCAGAAAAAACACGTACGAAGAATAGAGCGTATCATCATTGTCGTCTGCATCGAGTGGTTTGCTGAAGACACGGGACCGACTGTCACGATCGCATCAGTGACTCCCGATCGCCAAGACGCCGAGAAAATGGGTTCAACTTGTCCTCATCGTCAACACTCTTGCTCGTTGAAATCGACTTCAGCACGGGTCGGGGTGGTGTCGACATAGTGGGAGAAAAGGAACGGTGCAGTCACTGACCCGGAAGACCAAGACATATACGTATATAATATGCTGTGCGCGGGTAATTTTCGTGAGTTGGACACGTCGTCTGTATAAGGAGAAAACTTCGCAGCGAACCTGGTTCCAACAATAACGATGGGAAAGCTATGTATACTGTTATACCTACAAAAACAATATATTATAAGCTAGTGGTAGATCATGGCATTCGTAAGTAAGTAGTCGTGAGCATGATAGTTCGTGAACGGAAGCACAACTAATTCAACGATGTTCAGAGACGACACGGGTAGAACCATATATAAGGAAAGAGACTAGTAAAGATGAGGGTGCTGTCAAATTAGATGTCACCGCCTCATGCCGACACCATGTCCAAGTCGATAACCGACGGGATTCAAAACAACTCGGAGAACAACGGCAGCGTCAGGTTGATGTTCTTAGAAAAATCAACCAGTAGTCTGCAGGGCCTGGATTAGTGGGGTTATGGACGGAAAGGGGAATGGACGAGGTGGACATACCCAGTGGCCAGTGCGTACGGACGGCGGCAGAAAGGGCGGGATGTTGCATTCAAGGCAGGGTATGTATGGGTAGGATCGAGGTGCCCGCCTATGTTAACTGTTGGAAGATAGCGCCTCGGTGAACGGACGTTTGGGCCCGATCGCGAGGCTCTCTACGTGAGGAAAGAGGCTGGCCTGGATGCTGCGGGTTTCGAGATACTTCTTATAGAAGTGAATAAATCTGGATTTGCCTCGATGGCGCTGACGAAACGCAAGAGGGATGGTTGTCCTAGGGTGCGCCATACTCTATGGACAAGGGCGTAGCTCACCCTGAGGCTAGCGCACTCCTGTCGACAGGCATACATCAGGATCTCAGAAACAATTTGGGAGGAAGCTTGAACGTGGCTTGTGGTCAGGACAAGCCTGGGCCTTGAGCAGCAGGGAAGTCTCCTGACTGAAGTGCCGATTCCTGAGTCGGATGTGCGTCCTTAGGCTTGCCGTCTACAGCCATAACCGAACACCCTTGGTCGTTGCCCATATATTGCATGTTCCTATATAATGAATTAGCTTTAGACGCGGCCAGGTTGTTTCATAACCTCACAATCAATTACGGCGAACCACTGGTGCCTCCAAGGGCAGAACTGCAAGTTGTACTCGCAGCGATTCGTCTATTTCTTCCATCTTCACCATTTTGACCAAGCGTGATAGACTCGCCAACAGTGATTCCAGCGTACGCTCCGGAAGAATCGGTTCGCCAGTCGTTCGATCTTCATGGGTAATATACTGGATGCATACACGCAACAGCTGATGCGTAAACTCGACTCTCCTCTGACGGTTATCTGTTTCAGTTATTGTCACTGGATTCACGGATGAAAGAAGCACGCAAAGGCCTCCTAACGCGGCACTGATTTGGGAGATGATGTCTCGGTGCTCTTCGCTGGTAGCGAGCTCCGCGAGGTTGCCTTCAGCCAGATCCAAAAATCTGATCACGGATGTGAAGACGCTGTCCGACCACAGAGTCGGCTTGACTACTTCGAGCGAGCACCATCTCTTCTGGATGGTGTAAGCCATTTGCATGGTAAAGGATGCGTTGACGCCGATATTGGCCGGGAAGAAGAGGGATTCGCTGATGTAGTTTACGAACCAGCATAGCCGGAATAGGGGCCGATACATCTGCTTATTCTCATCGATCGAAACGAGGTTGAGAACTTCTGTGAGGACGTGGATAGAAAATAGTTGGACTTCGGATGACGATGTGATTTTGGTGCATATCCAACCCATCATCCCTTGGAAAACATGGGGTTGGATATCCTGGGAAATGGCAAGACCAACCGCCAACATCTGGCACTCGGAGAAATCCATGGCATGGGCACCGAAGACCTCGTCCATTCGTTCGTTGACGAATTGTGGGTCATGGGAATTGAAGAATTCCGGATCGAAGACATCCGCCAATATCTTCAGCGCGTGGAATGATACGACTTCTACGATCCATTGGTGATCTGGATGTACATGATATTTGTAAGCGGTGACACTCAAGAGTGCGAGGAGCGGGCTCTTGTCAAGGTCCCAGTTGGAGAAATTGGCTTGTACGATGCTTCTGGCCAGTTTGGCTACCACGGTCACGAAAGGGAACTTCACGAGTTGGTCTAAATTGCCAGGCGGGAGGTTGGTACTGACGTGGTATTTCTCGACCGCCAGAACAGCACTGAGGACCTGTACCCTGACGCCGATAGGTACGCTGGTAATTCCTGATATGTCTCGCTTCGCCAGCACGTTGAGAACGTTCATTTGGCACTGAAGAGACGCCTCAAAGGAGAGGAGATGGAGGACAGTGTTAACCTCTTTCTCATCCCAAGACCATTGCGATTTGAGCAGGGAATTCAATGGTCCGACTGCATGAGTCAGAGTCTCGTCATCATGAATGTCCTGGATGAGTTCGTGGAAAGCATTCAGATTGTCCTGACTCAAACAGGGTGAGGGCGGCTGATCGTCAGCTTTCCACGTCTCGCGCAATCTGAGGAGGGTCCTGATTCCGCTTTGGAATGGGGAGGTCGCAGGATGGCAAATCCCATGGTAGACGGTGAAGAGTACCATCAAGGCTGTCAACGATATTGCTGCGCCGCCGATGATGAAAGCGCTGTCCAGGTATTGGCCTCGTTCGTCCAATTTGATGGATATTGATGTAATGTAGTCAACCAAACCCAGTGCAAAGATGAACACGGGCAACGTGAGAGTCATGGGCAAAGTCTCTAAGAATGGGCCCAGAGATGTTTGGGCACCTTTCCATCTGCGGTGTATATCGGTCAGGCGGCTAATCGCGTCTCCGTCTGGTCGGGTCAGTCTCGTCAAATAATCGCGCCCCACCACGGCCAATGCGGCAGTACAAAGCTACATTTGTTCCCAGAAAGTAAGAATTTGCTTTCGGATGAAGAAGTGGACTTACCGCGAAAATCAAAGACACGAAGCAATAAATATTGAGGCGTATATCTTCCGGTTCCGGCTCGAATCCCTCTGGCTCAATCAAGTGAAGGGGCTCTGATACATTTATTCTGCCCATAGACACGATGATCTCCGTGAGGTTTGCAAGTAAAGCATTAGTCTTGTCCGCCGGATCGGGTTTCAGGTTTCCGATAGCTTCGATCAGAAAAGAGGTGACGATGGCAGAGAATAAACCGATCTGAGTAAAGAATTTAGTAAATAACGGGTTTCCGACATTGGGAACCACGCACAAAGATAAGTAACGTATCGAGGCCACCGCGCCATCTGTCAATAGTGGGACTCATCTTCTTCAACGTCGATCGGAGAAGTGGGTTCCACGCTGAAGCGCTGCGAACGGGAACCGATGGTGCTGCCGTTCGTGAGGCACCTTAGCATCCTTAAGCTCGCGAAGATACATGTGGAATTGAATTTCTCACCTTCAATATCCTGTCGCGCGTTAATTTCACTTAAGAGCTTAATCTGTTCCTTTGTGTGCTCGTCCTGCTTGCTTTGCCACTCGACTAGTTGCCCTATCAATTCCGTCTGCTTTTCAAACAGCATGAGCACTCTACATCCCCATTTTCTTGGTCAATTCTTCTGATAAACCTCAAAAAGCATACTCACTGATCATCGATCAGGTTTGACGGTCGGACACTAGAACCAATGCTGTCAAGTCGCCATGATGTGGTCTCCAAGGAAAGACACTTACGAAGAGTAGAGCGTATCATCATTGTCGTCCACATCAAGTTGTTTGCTGAAGAGACTGTTATGATCATCAGTCACTACCGATCGCCAAGATGTGAAGAAAATGGATTGAACTTGTCCTCATCGTCCGCACTCTTACTCGTTGAAATGGGGTTCAATATGGGGCGCGGTGGTGTCGACATGGTGGGGGAGAAAGGAACGGTGCAGTTAGCAACACAGAAGACGAGAAGATATACGTATACTGTACCATATGCTGTGCGCGTGTAAAGTTCGTTAAGTGGACACGTCGAAACCACAGCGAACCTATGTGATGCGGACAATAACGATGGAAAGCTATACTGCTATACCTACACAGGTAATATAATATATCATAAGCTAGGGGTAGATCATGAAGTTCATCAATAGTCGTGAGCATGACAGTTCGTGAATGGTCAGCAAAAATAATTCAACGATATTCAGAGAGGACGGGGGAGAACCATATATAAGGAAAGAAACCAGTAAAGATGAGGATGTTGTCAAATTTCGATTAGATCTCACCGCCTCACGCCAACACCAAGTCCAAGTCGATAACCAACGCGCTTCAAAACAACTCGGAGAACAACGGCAGCGACACCTAGTCCAACGAGGAAGACGTATGGGGGCAGTGCACGGATAGTGGCAGGATTGCTCCAAGGAGGGAATTGGCGGGGATGGCCTTCCCCATTTTCGGAGCTGTCATCACTTGTCCCGGATCCCGAGTACAATGGCACCGGGGATAACGCCAACCAGTCTTTCCAGCGATTAGATGATGTCGAGGGAGCTCCCGGTGCGGAAGGGGATGCAGTGGCAGATTGGAACCCCTTTTGGGCTTCGCCCAGTTCAACGTCATCTTTGCCAACGCCAACAGCTGTCGGCGAGCGAGACGACGACGGCGTGTCAGGCGAGACAGTTTGTGGCCGGAATACGCGTCCCAGGACGGACTGGGGGACCAAGTTCATGAAGAGACCCAAGTTAAAGCCGGCGCCGAACGTCTGGGCGGGTTTCTGGGATTTGTTCCTGGTCATGGCGGAAATTGGGTCCTTGGTCACGGACGTCTCAGATTGTCGTCTTCGTTCTTCCGCATCTTCCAGAGCCTCCACCCTCTTCTCAGCCTCGCCTAGGCGTGTCTTGTACGACTCAACCAAGGCTAGCGCGTCTGCAAGCTCAGTCTGCAGGGTTTGCTCCCGTTCAGCGCAAGCCGCCTTCTCGGCTGCGTATTCCCGGGCTTCACTCTCCTTCTCCGTAATGCGCTCCTGCAACTCTTCTAGCGCTCTAGATTTATCAAGCAACAACTCCTCCAACGCCGCTCGTTTCGACGCCTCCTCGGCCTCGTTCGAATCCACTGTGGGCGCGTCTGCGCCATCAGGCTCGGTGGATTCAACGACGGAATCCTCCTCCTTAGAAATCCCAAAGATTTCCGAGATACCTGCCCTCTTCGTCTGCCCACTACTTCTTCGACTCATACTAACTCTCCCGCTCCCACTACTCAGGCCACTGCCGCCGCTCACTCTTATTCGCTTACTCGCTTTCCCGCTTCCTGCTTCGCTAGGTGCCTTCGTCCACCCGTCGCTGTTCCCGAAGCTCCCATTCTGGCCCTCCAATGCACCGTCGTCGGTAGTGCTAAGGAGAGAATCGACACTGCCCGTCAGCAGGGAGACTCCATCGCCGTCGACAGCATTCCAGGACGCGCCGAGGCCGCGGAGGGAGCCATGTTGCGGTTTCGGCGCGTGAATGTGGGAGTTGGGTAGGGCTGGTAACTGTCGCGAGCCGGTGGACTGTGAGGGGAGTGTTTGAGCAGCGGGAAGAAATACCACGGGAGATCCAGAAGCAGGGGGATGGGGAAGCGGCCTCCCTTTCAAACTATCCACACTAGAGATTGATCGTTCAACTGGAGTCTCTGAAGTTGTAGGAAGATGTTTCATGGTGATGATAGCAGTACCATTCCCGTCGAGCTCCCAAGCATGGACCCCGCCGCTGGATTTCTCTACTTCTATTTGGGCAAGGAGTTCTTCCATGGGTAGTTCTTCGTCTGCCTGAGCAACGCGCTCGAATCTCGGAGCCTGCGGACTTGGCTCTCCAGATCCGCCGCCTTCATCACCGCCCTCAGTAGCGGTGTCATATTGTCCGCCTTCAGTAGCAGTGTCGTAGGTATCAGCATCGGATTGAAGGGGTTCGGATACTTGGTGGGAAGGTGGTAGGAACTGCGGGGGTTGAGTATGATAGATAGCTGTGCCTGTTTGGTGAGGGCGTAGGGTAGGATGCACTGGATCCTCCGAACCGCTGACACTACTTTCACTTCCGCTTCGAGTACGACCTAACCAGCCTCCAAAATCGTTCAGATTACCGTTAAAAGAGTAATAGTAATGACTGAGACTTACCCGTGGATTCGTCAACGCTGCCACTCCTCTCGAAAGTTTCAACCATCCCTTTGACACGGCCATTCTTCAGTTTCCCTACGCTAACACGACCTTTTCGCGCGCGCTTGACCGGTGTAACGTCGTCCAAGGGGTGTTTGGCATTGGATTGAAAGGTCGTATCGAAAAAGTCGTTGTCCGAATAAGATCTATCGATGTCCAGAGATGAGGTAGAAGAAGCGGAGTCATACTGGGCGTGTTCCCCGAAAGGAGTATCATTACTGGAAGGCCCGTTGAAGTCGTTGCTGCCAAACCCCCAAATGCGGCCCTTCAGAACATTTTGCCTAAGAGTACGCGATGCCGCAAAGAGAGCAGTCGACCACAACTTGTTGATGCCATAGCTAGGCAAATATCAACGCTCAAGTCCAGCCGTTCCGAGCAGCATCACGTACTCGTTCAGATCCTGCTCATTAAACCTCAGAAATTCCTTCCCAGTGATTTTTGAGGTCTTGACGAAAGCCGCGATGTCGCGCGCGACAGGGGCCGGCAATTGCAACGATTCCCCCGAGCGAACGCGTAAAGCAGTGGCGAGATATGTCGCCAGCTGCGACGGTGTCCATAGTTTGGGGTTTGCGGGTAGATCAACGTCGAAAGAAGGCGAATGTCCGTGTCCTGAGGTGTACAATTGCTTCGTCGGCGATGGTGACGGCGGCACTGGTAATGGTCTCGGAGACTCCCCAGTTAGACTTCTCGAGTATCTGTGACCACTTCCATGAGAATATCCATATTGCCTCTGACTTGGCCGACTCCTTGTGGGACTTGGGCTGGGACTGGGGATGTAATTGTGAATTGGCCTTGCGCTTTGCGATGATGAGTTGGAGCGAGAAAGGAGCGCGGTAGATGTAGTTTTGATAGCATAAGGGTGCGGGTTTGGCTTCAAGGCCTCTTTGTCCTTGGACAGGTTGGCCATCGCTCGCCGTGAACTCGCTGTCGAGAACGGCGACTGTCAGTGACAGGACGTGAACTTACAAATCTAGCGCCGTGTTGGTGGGCCGGTAGGTCCGGCGACCTCAGTTCTGTCCGGCTGCGCTCTCGTAGCACCTGAAAATTATATGTCGTAGTTATATATGTTCGCTCCTACAACTACAAATATGGAACTCTTCAAGTTATGGTGACAAGGCGTCATAGGCCGACAGCAGATCAGCAGAAACACCAATTATTCTATACAATTCTTTGCGTTTCGCTTTCACTGTTGTTGGCATTGCTGCGGCTGCAACACCATAGGACGAAAGATATTGAGTGAGTTGAGCTGATTGCAGCTTGGCGATGTCGGTAGCACGTCGCAAGTAAACGTAGGGTGGCTGGGTATCGACCTGGTACTACAAATTCGATACTGTCAGCAGGTACTGAGGGCGCATATTTATTATAAGTAGCATTTACGGTTTGATGGGACGGAAGCTTGCCGTCGGTAAAGGGTATAAGCTCGTACTCAATCCAAGTACCATCACCTCGAGTGCCATTCAGTGCCTGTTGGAGACAGTCAAAATCTATCCTTGATCCAAAGCTTTCGAAAGGGTACCTTCAAGGCAATAACCTCCACATTATTGATCTTCTTCTCAAGATTATCTATCTTCTCCTCTATGTGATTGAAACGATGGTTGATATTTGTTTCCATTTGCTCTAGTCTCTGCAAGATCTGGGCGAGGGTGGCAGCATCAGATCCTAAGTCATTCAGAATCAGGGCTGACACATTGATAGTGAGGTGGAGGCAAACTCACTAGGTATGCCTTCAAAAGGAACAAAATTTGCCAACTGTATAGCACGCGCTTCCGCCCTATCAGCCTCTTCCGCTGTGACATGTTTGGGGTCTTCCACCGGGCGTCCTAAGCGCCACAGACATGTAAACAATTGGGCAAGGTTGCAGTGATTAGTGGCACATCATACTTGTATATGCTTGTAGAACGCCAGCATGCGACTTTGCCTGCCGGTAGTTTGTAAGATCCGCGAGAGGTTCGACAATGATTGGGGCTTCATCCATTCTTGAAGGTGGTTGGAGTGCTCGAGTCTAAACTCAGCGAGACGCGTTATTTGGCCGTGTTTATGATTACTGAATTGCTGGATTATTATTATTATTATTATTATTTTGGTGAGCGTTTTACTTAGACGGGAGTCCAAGTTGCCTTTCGAGACCGTCGTTGGCCCGCTAGAGTGCCAATCTGTCGATCGGCCGTTTAAGTTGCTGGATTATCGATTATTTGTAGAGAATATCCGAGTCAAGCATTTCATATCAGGTTATCGATTTATCTCGATTTCAATTGTGACTGAGTACTGATAAGTCATGAATATGAGATAGCAATATTACCCTCAACTGACATAAACCTCTCACTGGGAGTAGATATATTGCACGGTTCTACACGGGAGGACTATTGTTGGATATGTTATGCTAGCACACTGTGTCATTCATGGCGTAGTACATAGTTCCAATCGTTGCCTCATGCCGGGGGGCCCAGTGCAAGAATGCTGAATTGCACACTCGACGAAGACGAGATGTAATTTTCTCTGATATACCTCGCAGCGTCCTACAATCATTCAGTCTCGTCTTTACTAGACATTTAGAACAAGACTCACGGCGAGGAAATCATTGCAAGGGCCTCTATCCAAGGGACCGCTCCTCGTCCCATCAAGTTCGATCAGTCGCATTCCGGTGGCCTTCGTATCCTTCACCGCATCATCAGCAGCTGCCGCCTCAGCCACACCCTGCCCAGTGCTCGCCTTCTCCCGTAGATCAGGCTCCGGCGCCGCGACGAACGCCGCGAAGTGCAGGTCCGTGTTCATCACCTCGTCAGTGACGGCCGACTGCCCTTGCGACGCGGTGTCCGCGTGGATGTGGCTGAACAGGGTCGTAGTTTCGAGGAGATGCGCGCGCTCGTCAGGTGTTATGTCTGCGTGCACGAAAGCTCATGAGGAATGGCGCTGCACATCGTGAAGCGCAGCAACTCACTCTGGCACTGCTCGACGAATTGGTACAAAGCACTGTGGGGCGCGAAAGTCACGTCGCTCTGGCGGGGGCGTCAGCGATCGCGGTCAACGAGAAGGAATAGACCACCGACGTTCATCAGGGAATGCAACAGCGCCATCGTTCCGCAAGCATTTCTGATCTAGGCCGAAAACCAATCAGCCTCGGTAACTGATAGGGTTCTCGCAGCACGTACTGTCTGTTTGATCCATATCACAGTAGGATCAACAGGAACCCCACCGCCCTCATTCTTCAGCTTCTCGTCCTCCGCTTGATGCTTCTCCTTTATTTGCCCAGAGAGGGGGAATATAAGGATGAGAGCCTTAGTGGGCTGTGGGACCATAGCTAGAAGCTTCCATGTCGTCAGGCTTCGCGGTTCTATCATACAATGCGTAAGTCAGAGTATCTACCTCTTCGTCCAAGCCATACACGTCCCCAAAACAGGCTTGCGACGTGACAAGTCCGGCCCTCTTGGCCCACTGGATACGAGGTAGTGAGCATCAGTAACTGAGTCGATGCTGCGACTTACCGTGTTGAATACCTAAACAGCGCAACGAAAGTTGATTACCCGAGCTCCTGGATCGCGCAAGCGGCCACCAGACTTTACCTCAGGGTTGCATTCAAGAGGAATCCATTTCCCGGCAGAAGTCATATTTCAATGTCGTCCACACAGTAGATGATGGTCGAGCCCAAGGGCAAGACTGATCTGCTCTCCACCGGCTTGAAAAGTCCGAGTTGTTTGTTCCTTGGCACAAGGCCCCCAAGCACTGCAGATAGACGCGCGCTTTGCTAAGTAGGTACAAACATGTACAAAGATCTAGTGCTCAAATCATCGCACAAGTTGGTGCTCTATGAGAGGGGATGGACCAGCAAGGTCAAAGAATGGCACAGGCAGTCTGTAATAATAATGAATAGACTCACCAAGCAGAGAAAGTGAATACATGGCCCCTGTAGGTGACCAAAGCCAAAGTCACTGGCTGGTATGTATAGCACAGAGTGCGCGCTTACATGAAGCAAATATACACAAACATTGTGCACGCTCAGTCGAAAGACTCTGTAGCCACGATGGGGTGGACCAATAGCACTAGTATATATAATGTAAGGAGTGTAATGCTGTTAAGTAGCTGGATGAACCCAAAAAAATAAACCCGCAGTGTCTTGTTCACAATGAGAGTCAGACCTTGCTTCATACTGAGCAGGAACCTCGAAGCGCCAGCCAGACAAACATGGACAAACATCAAACTCCGCACTGTGGATTGACTATAGAGCATGGAATTCCAGCAACAGGATGGACCATGAAGCCTCCAGCAGTGCTGAATGTGTGTTACATACATATATACAGCAGATTGGCATCATCAAACCGAATCCGCTGGCACTACTGATCAAAGTAAGTCGCACCCACCCACCATTCCAGCTAAGTGACTGTGACATGGTGTGACTGTAGTAAAGGTCCTTGGTTTTGTTCGTTCATTCAAAGGCAATTCTGTTATCATTTGTAGCTAGGATTTGTAGCTAAGGAGTAGGTCTTTTGGTATCGTATTTTAGCTATACATAGTTAAGCTATGTTATCTGGTGAATCAACAGATCCTACAAAGAGAGGCTGCTTACTATGGGACTCAGAGTCGGAGGAAGGAAGCGACAGGGAGCATAATTTATACCACTTGCAAAAATAGTTGCAGGTATGTAGTGTTTTGAAGTTTGTAAACGCACTGGGCAGGTTGCCAGATGCAAAGATCTGTCCTTTGGTAATACTGCTGTTCGAGTTTCAGCTACTTGCTGAGAAGCAAGAAAGATGGAGCCACTCACGGATCGGTTGTGATTTGAGGATCAGTGAGAAGAGTATCACCACCTGAGGGGCATGTTAACGAACAATAGTACCTCCTTGATCGCCAATATGCTTACCTTGAAGATCAGAAATGAAAACAGACTCCGTCTTGAAATACTGAACATGCTGAGCAAAGGCGAGGAACTTTGCTCGCCGTTCCTGATCCTGATTCTCCATTGGAAGAAGCTCCGGGCTGTCGTTGTTGATGTACTTGATGAACTTCCCATTGATGACCTCCTCGATGAGATAAGACTTCTTGACTCCATCCACCTCGTTAGAATTCGCCAGCGCTGCATGAACGAAGCGCATCTGGGGGATGTTGAAAGGTGCCTTCTCATTGAACTTGATGAAGTCGTAGACCAGGTCCAATAATGCAGAGGCCCAAACCAGGCAAGCGATCTCCTTGTCTAGAATTTCGCTCTGCTTGGCGCCAGAGTAGTAAGCAAGCTTGCCATCAGGCTTCTCGTAGAATGCTTGCTTGATGCAGACATATGACGATGTGGTAGGAAAAATGGGGGTGCTAACGTGTCCGAAGCGAGCACTCTTGAACGTGCCACGGAAAGCCTCTCCCTTTGGATTGACAAAGATGCTCACTCGCTTAGGGGTGACATTCTTCTCCAATTGGACGATGCTTGGAGTACTGATCAAGTCCTTCCAGCTTGTGCGAGGCGCAACAAAGACGATGCATGGCATCTCCTCGGTGTTGTCTAAACATGTAGCAGTAAGGAACAAAACATGGAATATAGAAATTGAGGAGCACATACACTTTGAACGAGCACTTCCCCGTGTTCCCGATTCCTGTGCGCGCAGTGCTGCACGAACGGTCTTGATGTCAGGCGACTCCTGACCACGCTGAGGAATCTTGCGTGGTGGAGTAGATGGTTGATCCTCTGGTTGGTCTTCATCGTCATCAGAAGATGATGGCTGTGGGACGAAGCATTAGTTATAGCATAACATGATATTCAATTCTTACAATAGTGACTGGGTTATGCTTTGTCCCTTCATCTCGATTGAGCACTCGCTTACTGATCATAGTCCCAGGTGCCTGCTGCTGAACAAGAGCGTAAGCTTAAGCACTCTCGAAATTACTAGCAACAGGGCTTACCGCAGACATGGGGGGTTTATGGCTTGATGATCGATAGCTGTCTTGGGTGGTCTTGGTTCCGAAGGGCTGCAACGATTCATCATCAACACCGATACAATCATAGAGGGATCAAGACCAACCTTGACTATCACTGGTGGGTGATGAGAGCTTTCCTCATCTTCTTTTTCGGCTGCTTGCTCAGCTATAGTGTCGCGGTAATTGAGAATCTCGATGTAAATGTGGTGTGGGATTGAAACGAAGATGTGTAATCCCTTTTTGGGATTAAACTTTCCTTTTGCATTTGTGAACTGGCTGCGAAAAGGTGCCGGCATACCCACGATAGGGACAAGTTCGTGCCAGTCAGCATCACGAAGACCAAGGCTGCTGAAGGAAATGGGATAATCGTGGGACCATTTGCAGTAAGACTCCCAGATGGCTATGATTGCCATGCTTTTCAAGTCATCGACTCCAATGTCTGGCGAAACATGCTGGAGGTCCCGAGGCTCCTATTGAGATGGCCGCCGATTTAGAAGATTTAGAGAGGGTGAAACATATGTATGGATGGCTCTCTACTCACAGAGATGGGTTTCAGACCGTTCTTTTTGTCTGGTATCCAAGTAGCCAAGCGGACGCTCACAGTGATCTTGCCTGTGCCACCATGTGCATATGCCAGCTTTGCAAAGTGAGCCCGAAGTTCGTTGAACTTTGTGTGTGCTTGCTGATATCCAACAAATTGGGGAAACGAATCGGAATTGATCCTCGGGAAAGGTAGCATCGAGCCAGCATTGATACTGGCAGGCGTGAGGACTTGCGGTCGTGGAAGCGGAGGTGGTCCCATAGAGGAGCTAGGGGTGTGGATGTCCCAAAGTGAATGAAAAGGCCGCCCCACTGCTTGGACCTTGAGCTTGGAATCTAAGATGACTTAGAGGCAGTTATGGAAATATAGTGACTCGTTTACATACCTCCATGCTGGCCCTTAGCGACCTGTTGCGCAATATCCTGCAACTCAGCAGCACTCAGTGTTTTATCTGGGGATTAATTCAGTCAATGCCATCCGTTCAATAGCAGGGACTCACTGCTATTGTTCGCTTTTACAGAATAGTAGAGCTTGCAAACAAGACAAAGTCGCTGGCCTGTTCCTCTGACTCGACCAACGACATACTGAAGTTCTTCCTTCTTAAAACTGACATTGCATCGGTCACAAATTGCATGGGGGTTGAGTTCGGTGAAGTCGGCCATAATAGAATTGTTGAGTTGAAGATACTGATTTTCTTGTGCCAAGTGCTTGAGGCTGACTAATTTCAAAACTATACAGTTGTACGATCGGGAACATTACAGTTATCGTTTGGCTAGTAGCTGTCATAGCATATCGTACACTACTGTTGCTAAAAGGCAAGCTCATCATCGCTAGAGCCATCACTATTGGAAGGAGTAAAATCAGCATGAAATGAAGCGTTGGAATATTCCGAAGCTATACTGTGACTGCTTGCACTCGTTCAACTGTTTGACCCCTGTTTTGACCCCTTAGTTTTGCCCTTCTGCGCTGTAGTTAATTTTGCTGCCGCCTCTGCGATACTAGGAGGGATGATTGGCTTTGAGAGGCCTCCAATATACAGAAAGCCCTCTGGCAGCTCTCCCACCATGTCGTCTCCCGCTCGAAGTTCCTTTAGTCCAGGCAACAATGGCACAATGTTCTCTGGCAGAGGGTTCTCTGGATCGGGAGGAGCGACATGCTTTGAAGCGTCGAATGCGGTAAGGACAGAGGCAATTGGATGGGACAGGGGGGTAGGTGTGTTGCAAAATTCCCAGAGCATGGTCTTGTATACATCCCAGAACGATGCGGAGGTGACTGGAGGATTACCTAGCTTTGTGTAAAGCTCGTGCGCACGGGCGGCAAATATCGGCGGAACCAGCTCATGTACTTCATGCCCAGGAGGAGCATGATCCTGCTCAGCTCGGTCGACTAAATCAGGGCTTACAGGTATCTGTGATAACTATGAGAACGGCAACAGAAGCAACAGAAACCTGGCGCAGACTGTAACTCACCTTGAAGTCAAGCGCACCAAAGGACTCTGGTTTCGAGTAGACCATCTCCGGTACCCCATGTGGTAGCACCTTGTTCTTATCCGCACGAGGTGCATTGAAGTTGCGCATGACTATCCAAGAATCAAGCTCAGCTTGAAGCCATGGGATAGCGAGCCAGCGAAACAGTAAGCTGAAGATGGCATCAGGACATAAAAGGGCCTGTAGGCAACACGAAGATGGGGTGACTATACCTCTCCAATGGATCAGTAGCCTTGTACCAGCCTTGATTCACTCCCTTGTCTAGGGTGTTCTCAAATCCTGGGGTCCAATCGTGTCGAAGCAATGACCACACGATCTCAGCTTTGATGTTTTGTTTTTTATGCATCCATCGATGCTGCATTGTATCCGCAAGCGAAGGATCCATTGAGTGGCGCATGACGGTCTGTGCATTAGCAACACCGTAGTTCTCGGTGCCAGGATCACTCTGGGTCACCAGCGGAATGGCTATGGTAGAGAGAGTAGAGAGAGAGCGAGGTAAGGTAAGTGATCGTCCTTGCATCCTTGGATGGGAAGTACATACCACCAAGCTTGCGAACAGCATCAATGTACCAGCTGCATACAACCCTTGGGTTCCGGTTATTCCACCAGATCTTGATCCAAATTATGTAGCCACTGAATACATCAACACAAGCATGCAGCCATAGACCAAAACGCCCCCATTTGTCATGTTGATCCTGAGACCAGGTGTCGTTCACGCCAGCTGCCCAATAACACTTACGAACAAGCCGACGAGCCTTGCGTTGCTCAACAGCCTCAGGCTCAGTCTGTTTGAGAAATTTGGCAATCAGGGGCCTAAGATACTGCAGATTAGCGAGTTCCAGGAGCAAACACTCATAGCATAGCACCTTGGTACAAACATGCCGTAGTCAGTGTGCAACGACTTTCGAATGTTCTCAATCCCACGTGTAGGGAAGCGTGCACGAATCTCTTCGATTTGCCTATTGATGGAATCCAAACTATGCTTTTGCTGCCTCGTACTCAGCAGCCCCAAAGATTTTCGGACACGCTTCACAGAGGCGACACTACAAAAGGGTGAGTAATTATACGACATCAGCAGATCAAAAACACACCTGAGACCATACTTATCCTGGTCGTAGTGATCCTTCATCTCCTTTGCGATCTCTTTGTCATTCAGACGACACCGATAAAAGTAGGTGATATATTCTTGAATTTCATCGATAGGTGCTGAATCTTCCATCAGAAGGGAGAAAAAATAAAGGAAGGGCTTACGGATTGGCTTGTATTGATTCGGCATAGTGGATGTAGCCAATATAGAGTGGAGGAGATGCACCGATCTCTATTCTGAAGGATTCAGGGGAAAGCTCCTATTCATACCAGGAGATTCTGTTAACTTCCACCACTGCGGGATCTCATGAGCAGTTGCGATTAGTGGGAAGCTCAAGATACTAGGGCGCGGTTCGCGTCGTGCAAGGCCGATGCACTCAAACGGCGCAATATCATTGCGCAATAGGAGGCCAGTGGACACTCTCGCATGCACAGCATGCACAGACAAAATACTATTGCGTCGCGACACTTACAGTGGGGAACTTGTCTTTTCATGGCGTCTAGCAGGCGGGGGAGATTCTATGGTGGTGGTGCTACCGTAATTACGACAGGCAACGGCTGCAACACAGCTGAATCACTAATCTATCCGATTTGAGGTGGTGTGGGAGAAGGAAGGGGCACGGCGAAGATCGTTGGCGGTGTTTGGTATACTCACCCCATTTCCGACGGGCGTAGGAGTGTTTTCGGCTAGACGTTCAAAGTCCAGAACACTGGAGGTAGATCCAATAAGGGGAATTGACCGGATTACTCACGGGCTACTGCCCATCGCCGTTGGTGTTGATGGGAAAAGATGAAGAACAAGATCTACGGTGCGCCTGCGATGGGACACGTGAGCGTGGTTGTATACCGTACCTTTCGAGGCGGCAACTGGGCGAAGCCCGTCTTTTGTTCTCAACGATCGTGCTCCGACGCCCAGGCACGGCTCTTGACATGCTCGGTGTTCAGCAAGATGTGGGAGGTTGCGCTGCTAGGATGGTTGTGACTGAGTCGATCAGTTCGAGGCTGTTGTAGATAGACCAGTATATCAGTGTGGAAGAAGCAGATAGTGCCCGAAGAAAGATACTCATGAGGTTACTCATAACGACTACAGCGGCCCCGAAGACCAAGCAGTAGGAACATCGAGTTGACGGCCGGATGAAAAGGCTAGCGAGAGCCACCCTTGGTGTTGCTTGTCAACGGGGTGGCAATGGGAGAAGGCCGCGGCGAGGAAGAAGTGGCGTAGGCGCCGATACGCTGGAAAGGAAACAATCGTTGAGGGAGGAGGGGGAGGAAAGAATGAAACTTGCACCCTCTCCTGCGATTCATCGTAATGTACTAGTGACAGTCATTCGCATGACTCCAGAGCCAGCACGCGTACGCTGAATTGACGATCTAGGCGTCGCAATCCAAGCGCAAGTCGGCGCTGTGTGAGTTTCTCGTTATTGTTCCTGTTTCGCAAGTAGTCTGGAAGTTATCTTGCTTGCCCACTCCATGTCGTCTTGTCGAAGTTCACACCATCCTAGATGCATTGCCGACCCTGGCAACAATGTGTATCGACGATTGCGTTGCATTGCCATTGGTTGCGTATGCCTAATAGTTCTAGCGTCAGCTTCAACAAAATCTAGATTGAATTAATGAAGGGCGTACCTGCGCCGTGTTGCTATCCCTGGTTCGGGAACAACGAGAAGGGCCAGATGGGGATCGTGCGCGTGTAGACAAATGGCGTCTGGATTAACTGAATCGGCGTTACATCGCCATTCGTCGAACTCGCCTAATAGTTTCGGCGTTAGCGTTAGTAAAAGTAAAGTCTAATTTGAATAAATGAAACCTGTACCTGCATCATGTGGCCGCGATTCGGCAATCCCTGGTGACTCGGGAACGACAAAAATGGGGACAGATGGGGATTGCGCGCGTGCAGACGAGATGAGTCTGGATCAACTGAACCGCTGCGAGTCCTCGTAGTTGTCGATGAATTATCCCATGGCCAAGAGGTCTTTCTTTCGTTCGCATTCATTCATTCGCAAGTGTGAGTGGTATCGCCCAGTTCCGCGCAGAGCTCTCTGTATGTGTCCCTTCGTAGTGTGTTGCGACATGGAAACTTCAACGCTGAAATGTGTCGGTTACATCGGATAGTCTGTAAAATCGGTGAGTCAGCCTCTCGTAAACGTGTCTCCATGCACGCACTGGTGTCAGTAATCGAACAAGACTCACCCTGTATTCATTTCCCCGATCCCCATTCAGATCTTCATGGTCCGCGATGCTCGTTGTCCTTTATGGATTCCAGGGCCGACAATCTCGAACACCGTATGTGGTCTAGTAACCGGCTCTCGGTGTAAGAGCTTCCGTAGTGGGGGCAGTCGGGCGTCATGACTTGGTGTGCCCCGGCAAGCTAGGGTGGCCTCATGCAGTCTTGGCGCGTTAGAGACAACGCTGTACTAATGTTCTACTCACGAGCCTGTTCGCGTCCGCGCACGCTGTGAGTCGCTGCACAATCTTGCACGTAAGTGAATGCAGGGTGCACGTAGTCAGACACGTTGTACCCAGGTTTGTCGTTGTCGACGATGTCAACTAACTAGACCCAAATATGAGTGAGTGAGTGAATAAGCGCAAGGACACTGAGACGTCGGATGCCGAGAACCTTGCCGTCATCGTGCGAATGCTCCAGCCAAGTCCGTCGTACCCTCAGCGGCAATGCAAACCCAGCGTGGCCTTCGTAGCTCGTCCTCTCGAGCTCACGATCCTCCATCGCAGTCCGGCCGTTTGACCATCTAGATCGGCCAGTGTACCTGCCCTCGTTGTGCTCCAGCTTTGCGGCTCGTTGGTAAGCCATGATGTCGCTGCTATTCCCATATCTTCCATAGACACTGACTTGCCTCCATTGCCTCCATGTCGTCATGGGGTACAGTGCACGCGCGCACAGGTGCAGATCGGCGAGGCGCGGGATGGAGGGATGGGAACGGGGAAGTGGAAGCAGACAAGCGGGGGAGCGAAGACGAGGAAGAGACGCACCGTCACCGCGAGGGTTCTGCTCGCTACGGAGCCTAGGAGGAGGGTAAGCGATGGTTGTGGATGAAGATGAAGGAATGGGAGCGGGAGCGAATGTGAGGGAGGGGCACGAATGCGAAACAAAAGACAATGAAACGGATGCTCACTCATGTATGTACAACGGCCAGCGCAGGTACAGACAGCGACGGTGATACATTGGCAGGCGCACGCTGCACGACGACTAAGGCCTAAGGAGTGGTATGAGTATTAATGGAGACCGCGAGCAACGTACGTCGAAGATGGAGGATCGCGCACGCGAAGCGGCCCTACAGCGCGCCACCTTCATCGTTGAGACCATCGAATGGGTGGCTACGGGATTCGAGTCAGTTCAGTTCAATCCCACGGTTGAACACGGGCTGACACACCTTTACAGTACACTGCAGGTAAGTTGTGCTGTGGTGCGACGTTGCGGGGCCACAAAGGCACCGGGTGACAAATGGAGGACCAGCCGGCTCGCGTCGTTCGCATTTCCGCTGGGATTTCAAGACGTGTCTGGAGCTCCTCAACTGCTACTTGGTGAGTATCTGGTGTGTGTGTGTTCCTGTCCCTGTCGTTAATTGTCGCGATAGATGTGCCATTTTCATCAACATACACCTCTCCGCGCGTGTCACTGGACTCACGAATTTGATCCAGGACTAGGCAATCGTTCTCTGATTCCAGCCGTTCATGACCATCAAACTTGAGCACATGAGTGCGGCCTTTGGGTGGACAGTTGAGGAAGTCGAGCAACATGTGGTGGCAAAGTAAGAAGTAAGTGGTTTGTGACAATTTGTCACAAATAGTGACAAGACTTATTGGGCCTTGGCACGCTTGTAGAAACTATTGCGGGTTCGGTTTTTCTGTAGTTTCATAGTGTATAAGGACATAGAATACACAGTCAACTATATCTGAGCACTCACGGTCCATGCGAGGCCATAAATTCACTGACTCTGGGATGTGGGCCCAGTATTTGGTGTTGCTTGGCGGGCGCTTCACGTCAACGTTAATGTCGTGTCATGTCGCGTCGCGTCTCTTGTCCTCGCCTCAGTCCAGTCCAAAATGCCCGAGATTCGCGAGTGCATTGCTCACCACATCCACTTTCAGCATGTCTTCTCAAAACTGACCGCTGAAAATACCAATTTCAGGCTATTAAACCTTTGGGCCGACGCCAAAGATGGGAAAGAAGGAAAACCCTCCGATGAGGAGAGAAAGTACCATGCCACTGATGGCAAGGTCATGTGTCTCAACAGCTCATGCAGCATCAAGAGAGGTACGAATGGGAGGCAGACGCCTATATGGCCTCCCCAATGCAAGCCCAAAGGAAAGGGTGTCATGCCTGAGGTGGTTCTATCTTCCTTGGAGCTGAAGGGAGCGCAGGGAACTGCCAGAACAATACACCTGGACTTCGGTGTGCTATGGATCTCTGTGAGTACCCTATACACTTCGGAGATTTTCCATACAGCTAACAAACTACTTGTCTAGATTGCCTACCTAACACATATGTCGCTTCAATTCTATACGAAGAACATGTGGTACAACTCCGTACTGACTGTCCCAAAAAAAGTACCACATATTTACCGTTGAAGCATGATTGTTACTGATGGGGTTCCACTCTAGCTTCGTGGTTTCCGAGTTGGCCTGGCCTTTGAGTTTGAAGCTCATACCTTAGCATTTGTTACATTAGACAACGTCTTCCAGGTACGCTCTTGAGTTACTGCATTAGAGACATTAGCTAACATAAATACAGCCCAACTGGGCAGTCTCTTGTGACAAGCTACCTCCCACACCGTCAGATGTCTATGCTGACTTCCACGGATTTCTTTGTGGAGTGAGCAGTTTTGTCGAGGGCATTCTGGACTCACGAAAAGCTAGCCTGGCCGCTGATTGCATGCGCACTTCAACGACCAGGGTGTTCTTTGGCATGGGGGTTTACACTCTTTGCGAGGTATTCTTTATGGCTGGTAGGTTACTTTCTCCCCTCTTCGTCCTCCAAACGCTCACTGCGATGAGCACCTAGGGATTCCCATCCACATTTCAATACAAGAATTCTGCCAAAGTCCGTCTCGAGTGGCCCGACTCTGTCTGGCACTATGGGAGTACACAAGAAAGTCCCATGATAATCTGTGGTATGTTCAATTGGATATCTTGATGATTTTACTGACATATTATATCCACAGGTCGGATGTTTTGAAGCCTGCAATGGTGGACAACATCTTGGCACCCACCAGAAGGCAGAGGGAGCAGTATAGCGACTGGCTGATGGTATATGGGAAGACAAGGACTCTTGTACCCCGTCGCATGGCAGAGTTGATCGTCAAGCATGAAACAGTAAGCATGTACTCCAAAGTTGTCAGCGATCTGCTCACCTATTGTTAGAATGATGTAAACGGAGAGGGTGATATCTTCGAGCCTGGATATCTCAATATCGCTCTTCGAAAGCACCCCTACCTGGGGTCTCTTGTTTTCGGAGAGAGTGCGTGGACTCGCCTCGGTGGGTCAGTGGGTGGGGGTGATCCCTTGTCTTCTCTTTTTTCAAAGCGCAGTATGTGACGATAGATTTCTTTTTCCTTTTACCTTGAATCCTAAACGTTGAGCTAGATATGCTTGATGCCAAATCCCATATTAACCCGGAGTACTATGAGAGCATTGTTCCTTACGACTTCATGGACAAGACTCGGCCGCGAAAGCAAATCTACTTGTACTATCAAGTGCATAAGACTTGTGGGAAGCAGCTCTGGACAATAACCAAGATTCCCTCCTCGTGCGCTCATTTATTATATACTCTCCCACTTAACTAACTGTCCCTTTCTAGTCATGCTGAGACCTTCGATCTCATTACTGGGATGGAACGAGAGACCCGTCTCTTTTCCAACATTGTTAAAAAGTCAGCAAGTGTTGCTATTGGGCCTCTAGAGTATTGTGGAAATGGTCGCATAATGATGACGACACATCAGAAGAAGAGGTAAGTCTCCTCACAAATTCATATGTTGAAGAGTACTGAAATAGATACAGAGTATTTGTTGTCCAAGGGGACCCTTCGCTATCCGACACTGATTTCAAAAGATACATCCGAGGCATCTATCGGATCAAGAACCACCTCGATGAACCAGGCCAACCAAAAACAGGAATGTCCAGGGAGCACCAGACAGAACTCAATAAATGGATTACTTCATTGGAAGTCGTTCGCCGTTGTGGACTCTCTGGCCCGGAACGCGACATGGAGGAGACTGAAGATACTTTCAAAGGCTCAGATGAAGCTACCAATGATGACGATGATGAGCAGACGGTAGGACCTTCCTCTGATGATACCCTTGTTGGCAATGAAGACGATCAACCACCAATGAAGAAGCGGAGGCTCAGTACAGATGCTCGGCTGTCCTTGACATTGGGAAAAGAGAATATCATTCCAGCACTCTTTGGCATACGGGTGACTAGACGTAGCAAGAAGCCTTAGACCTCATATATAGCTTTTGATTGACCTTGGTAGTATCAAGTAGTACACTTATATTTGAATACTATTGATGATTGAGACGCATATGAAAGGTACCTGGGGTCTCCCTCAAGGAGATTCGTTCACAACCCTGTTGTTTGTGGCGGACCACTCTGGTTCGCAGCGAAACGGCGCAAGACTGATCTGCCAAGGAGCAGATCAGTCTTGCTTTCCATAAGCACGGGTCGGGGTGGTGTCGACATAGTGGGAGAAAAGGAACGGTGCAGTCACTGACCCGGAAGACCAAGACATATACGTATATAATATGCTGTGCGCGGGTAATTTTCGTGAGTTGGACACGTCGTCTGTATAAGGAGAAAACTTCGCAGCGAACCTGGTTCCAACAATAACGATGGGAAAGCTATGTATACTGTTATACCTACAAAAACAATATATTATAAGCTAGTGGTAGATCATGGCATTCGTAAGTAAGTAGTCGTGAGCATGATAGTTCGTGAACGGAAGCACAACTAATTCAACGATGTTCAGAGACGACACGGGTAGAACCATATATAAGGAAAGAGACTAGTAAAGATGAGGGTGCTGTCAAATTAGATGTCACCGCCTCATGCCGACACCATGTCCAAGTCGATAACCGACGGGATTCAAAACAACTCGGAGAACAACGGCAGCGTCAGGTTGATGTTCTTAGAAAAATCAACCAGTAGTCTGCAGGGCCTGGATTAGTGGGGTTATGGACGGAAAGGGGAATGGACGAGGTGGACATACCCAGTGGCCAGTGCGTACGGACGGCGGCAGAAAGGGCGGGATGTTGCATTCAAGGCAGGGTATGTATGGGTAGGATCGAGGTGCCCGCCTATGTTAACTGTTGGAAGATAGCGCCTCGGTGAACGGACGTTTGGGCCCGATCGCGAGGCTCTCTACGTGAGGAAAGAGGCTGGCCTGGATGCTGCGGGTTTCGAGATACTTCTTATAGAAGTGAATAAATCTGGATTTGCCTCGATGGCGCTGACGAAACGCAAGAGGGATGGTTGTCCTAGGGTGCGCCATACTCTATGGACAAGGGCGTAGCTCACCCTGAGGCTAGCGCACTCCTGTCGACAGGCATACATCAGGATCTCAGAAACAATTTGGGAGGAAGCTTGAACGTGGCTTGTGGTCAGGACAAGCCTGGGCCTTGAGCAGCAGGGAAGTCTCCTGACTGAAGTGCCGATTCCTGAGTCGGATGTGCGTCCTTAGGCTTGCCGTCTACAGCCATAACCGAACACCCTTGGTCGTTGCCCATATATTGCATGTTCCTATATAATGAATTAGCTTTAGACGCGGCCAGGTTGTTTCATAACCTCACAATCAATTACGGCGAACCACTGGTGCCTCCAAGGGCAGAACTGCAAGTTGTACTCGCAGCGATTCGTCTATTTCTTCCATCTTCACCATTTTGACCAAGCGTGATAGACTCGCCAACAGTGATTCCAGCGTACGCTCCGGAAGAATCGGTTCGCCAGTCGTTCGATCTTCATGGGTAATATACTGGATGCATACACGCAACAGCTGATGCGTAAACTCGACTCTCCTCTGACGGTTATCTGTTTCAGTTATTGTCACTGGATTCACGGATGAAAGAAGCACGCAAAGGCCTCCTAACGCGGCACTGATTTGGGAGATGATGTCTCGGTGCTCTTCGCTGGTAGCGAGCTCCGCGAGGTTGCCTTCAGCCAGATCCAAAAATCTGATCACGGATGTGAAGACGCTGTCCGACCACAGAGTCGGCTTGACTACTTCGAGCGAGCACCATCTCTTCTGGATGGTGTAAGCCATTTGCATGGTAAAGGATGCGTTGACGCCGATATTGGCCGGGAAGAAGAGGGATTCGCTGATGTAGTTTACGAACCAGCATAGCCGGAATAGGGGCCGATACATCTGCTTATTCTCATCGATCGAAACGAGGTTGAGAACTTCTGTGAGGACGTGGATAGAAAATAGTTGGACTTCGGATGACGATGTGATTTTGGTGCATATCCAACCCATCATCCCTTGGAAAACATGGGGTTGGATATCCTGGGAAATGGCAAGACCAACCGCCAACATCTGGCACTCGGAGAAATCCATGGCATGGGCACCGAAGACCTCGTCCATTCGTTCGTTGACGAATTGTGGGTCATGGGAATTGAAGAATTCCGGATCGAAGACATCCGCCAATATCTTCAGCGCGTGGAATGATACGACTTCTACGATCCATTGGTGATCTGGATGTACATGATATTTGTAAGCGGTGACACTCAAGAGTGCGAGGAGCGGGCTCTTGTCAAGGTCCCAGTTGGAGAAATTGGCTTGTACGATGCTTCTGGCCAGTTTGGCTACCACGGTCACGAAAGGGAACTTCACGAGTTGGTCTAAATTGCCAGGCGGGAGGTTGGTACTGACGTGGTATTTCTCGACCGCCAGAACAGCACTGAGGACCTGTACCCTGACGCCGATAGGTACGCTGGTAATTCCTGATATGTCTCGCTTCGCCAGCACGTTGAGAACGTTCATTTGGCACTGAAGAGACGCCTCAAAGGAGAGGAGATGGAGGACAGTGTTAACCTCTTTCTCATCCCAAGACCATTGCGATTTGAGCAGGGAATTCAATGGTCCGACTGCATGAGTCAGAGTCTCGTCATCATGAATGTCCTGGATGAGTTCGTGGAAAGCATTCAGATTGTCCTGACTCAAACAGGGTGAGGGCGGCTGATCGTCAGCTTTCCACGTCTCGCGCAATCTGAGGAGGGTCCTGATTCCGCTTTGGAATGGGGAGGTCGCAGGATGGCAAATCCCATGGTAGACGGTGAAGAGTACCATCAAGGCTGTCAACGATATTGCTGCGCCGCCGATGATGAAAGCGCTGTCCAGGTATTGGCCTCGTTCGTCCAATTTGATGGATATTGATGTAATGTAGTCAACCAAACCCAGTGCAAAGATGAACACGGGCAACGTGAGAGTCATGGGCAAAGTCTCTAAGAATGGGCCCAGAGATGTTTGGGCACCTTTCCATCTGCGGTGTATATCGGTCAGGCGGCTAATCGCGTCTCCGTCTGGTCGGGTCAGTCTCGTCAAATAATCGCGCCCCACCACGGCCAATGCGGCAGTACAAAGCTACATTTGTTCCCAGAAAGTAAGAATTTGCTTTCGGATGAAGAAGTGGACTTACCGCGAAAATCAAAGACACGAAGCAATAAATATTGAGGCGTATATCTTCCGGTTCCGGCTCGAATCCCTCTGGCTCAATCAAGTGAAGGGGCTCTGATACATTTATTCTGCCCATAGACACGATGATCTCCGTGAGGTTTGCAAGTAAAGCATTAGTCTTGTCCGCCGGATCGGGTTTCAGGTTTCCGATAGCTTCGATCAGAAAAGAGGTGACGATGGCAGAGAATAAACCGATCTGAGTAAAGAATTTAGTAAATAACGGGTTTCCGACATTGGGAACCACGCACAAAGATAAGTAACGTATCGAGGCCACCGCGCCATCTGTCAATAGTGGGACTCATCTTCTTCAACGTCGATCGGAGAAGTGGGTTCCACGCTGAAGCGCTGCGAACGGGAACCGATGGTGCTGCCGTTCGTGAGGCACCTTAGCATCCTTAAGCTCGCGAAGATACATGTGGAATTGAATTTCTCACCTTCAATATCCTGTCGCGCGTTAATTTCACTTAAGAGCTTAATCTGTTCCTTTGTGTGCTCGTCCTGCTTGCTTTGCCACTCGACTAGTTGCCCTATCAATTCCGTCTGCTTTTCAAACAGCATGAGCACTCTACATCCCCATTTTCTTGGTCAATTCTTCTGATAAACCTCAAAAAGCATACTCACTGATCATCGATCAGGTTTGACGGTCGGACACTAGAACCAATGCTGTCAAGTCGCCATGATGTGGTCTCCAAGGAAAGACACTTACGAAGAGTAGAGCGTATCATCATTGTCGTCCACATCAAGTTGTTTGCTGAAGAGACTGTTATGATCATCAGTCACTACCGATCGCCAAGATGTGAAGAAAATGGATTGAACTTGTCCTCATCGTCCGCACTCTTACTCGTTGAAATGGGGTTCAATATGGGGCGCGGTGGTGTCGACATGGTGGGGGAGAAAGGAACGGTGCAGTTAGCAACACAGAAGACGAGAAGATATACGTATACTGTACCATATGCTGTGCGCGTGTAAAGTTCGTTAAGTGGACACGTCGAAACCACAGCGAACCTATGTGATGCGGACAATAACGATGGAAAGCTATACTGCTATACCTACACAGGTAATATAATATATCATAAGCTAGGGGTAGATCATGAAGTTCATCAATAGTCGTGAGCATGACAGTTCGTGAATGGTCAGCAAAAATAATTCAACGATATTCAGAGAGGACGGGGGAGAACCATATATAAGGAAAGAAACCAGTAAAGATGAGGATGTTGTCAAATTTCGATTAGATCTCACCGCCTCACGCCAACACCAAGTCCAAGTCGATAACCAACGCGCTTCAAAACAACTCGGAGAACAACGGCAGCGACACCTAGTCCAACGAGGAAGACGTATGGGGGCAGTGCACGGATAGTGGCAGGATTGCTCCAAGGAGGGAATTGGCGGGGATGGCCTTCCCCATTTTCGGAGCTGTCATCACTTGTCCCGGATCCCGAGTACAATGGCACCGGGGATAACGCCAACCAGTCTTTCCAGCGATTAGATGATGTCGAGGGAGCTCCCGGTGCGGAAGGGGATGCAGTGGCAGATTGGAACCCCTTTTGGGCTTCGCCCAGTTCAACGTCATCTTTGCCAACGCCAACAGCTGTCGGCGAGCGAGACGACGACGGCGTGTCAGGCGAGACAGTTTGTGGCCGGAATACGCGTCCCAGGACGGACTGGGGGACCAAGTTCATGAAGAGACCCAAGTTAAAGCCGGCGCCGAACGTCTGGGCGGGTTTCTGGGATTTGTTCCTGGTCATGGCGGAAATTGGGTCCTTGGTCACGGACGTCTCAGATTGTCGTCTTCGTTCTTCCGCATCTTCCAGAGCCTCCACCCTCTTCTCAGCCTCGCCTAGGCGTGTCTTGTACGACTCAACCAAGGCTAGCGCGTCTGCAAGCTCAGTCTGCAGGGTTTGCTCCCGTTCAGCGCAAGCCGCCTTCTCGGCTGCGTATTCCCGGGCTTCACTCTCCTTCTCCGTAATGCGCTCCTGCAACTCTTCTAGCGCTCTAGATTTATCAAGCAACAACTCCTCCAACGCCGCTCGTTTCGACGCCTCCTCGGCCTCGTTCGAATCCACTGTGGGCGCGTCTGCGCCATCAGGCTCGGTGGATTCAACGACGGAATCCTCCTCCTTAGAAATCCCAAAGATTTCCGAGATACCTGCCCTCTTCGTCTGCCCACTACTTCTTCGACTCATACTAACTCTCCCGCTCCCACTACTCAGGCCACTGCCGCCGCTCACTCTTATTCGCTTACTCGCTTTCCCGCTTCCTGCTTCGCTAGGTGCCTTCGTCCACCCGTCGCTGTTCCCGAAGCTCCCATTCTGGCCCTCCAATGCACCGTCGTCGGTAGTGCTAAGGAGAGAATCGACACTGCCCGTCAGCAGGGAGACTCCATCGCCGTCGACAGCATTCCAGGACGCGCCGAGGCCGCGGAGGGAGCCATGTTGCGGTTTCGGCGCGTGAATGTGGGAGTTGGGTAGGGCTGGTAACTGTCGCGAGCCGGTGGACTGTGAGGGGAGTGTTTGAGCAGCGGGAAGAAATACCACGGGAGATCCAGAAGCAGGGGGATGGGGAAGCGGCCTCCCTTTCAAACTATCCACACTAGAGATTGATCGTTCAACTGGAGTCTCTGAAGTTGTAGGAAGATGTTTCATGGTGATGATAGCAGTACCATTCCCGTCGAGCTCCCAAGCATGGACCCCGCCGCTGGATTTCTCTACTTCTATTTGGGCAAGGAGTTCTTCCATGGGTAGTTCTTCGTCTGCCTGAGCAACGCGCTCGAATCTCGGAGCCTGCGGACTTGGCTCTCCAGATCCGCCGCCTTCATCACCGCCCTCAGTAGCGGTGTCATATTGTCCGCCTTCAGTAGCAGTGTCGTAGGTATCAGCATCGGATTGAAGGGGTTCGGATACTTGGTGGGAAGGTGGTAGGAACTGCGGGGGTTGAGTATGATAGATAGCTGTGCCTGTTTGGTGAGGGCGTAGGGTAGGATGCACTGGATCCTCCGAACCGCTGACACTACTTTCACTTCCGCTTCGAGTACGACCTAACCAGCCTCCAAAATCGTTCAGATTACCGTTAAAAGAGTAATAGTAATGACTGAGACTTACCCGTGGATTCGTCAACGCTGCCACTCCTCTCGAAAGTTTCAACCATCCCTTTGACACGGCCATTCTTCAGTTTCCCTACGCTAACACGACCTTTTCGCGCGCGCTTGACCGGTGTAACGTCGTCCAAGGGGTGTTTGGCATTGGATTGAAAGGTCGTATCGAAAAAGTCGTTGTCCGAATAAGATCTATCGATGTCCAGAGATGAGGTAGAAGAAGCGGAGTCATACTGGGCGTGTTCCCCGAAAGGAGTATCATTACTGGAAGGCCCGTTGAAGTCGTTGCTGCCAAACCCCCAAATGCGGCCCTTCAGAACATTTTGCCTAAGAGTACGCGATGCCGCAAAGAGAGCAGTCGACCACAACTTGTTGATGCCATAGCTAGGCAAATATCAACGCTCAAGTCCAGCCGTTCCGAGCAGCATCACGTACTCGTTCAGATCCTGCTCATTAAACCTCAGAAATTCCTTCCCAGTGATTTTTGAGGTCTTGACGAAAGCCGCGATGTCGCGCGCGACAGGGGCCGGCAATTGCAACGATTCCCCCGAGCGAACGCGTAAAGCAGTGGCGAGATATGTCGCCAGCTGCGACGGTGTCCATAGTTTGGGGTTTGCGGGTAGATCAACGTCGAAAGAAGGCGAATGTCCGTGTCCTGAGGTGTACAATTGCTTCGTCGGCGATGGTGACGGCGGCACTGGTAATGGTCTCGGAGACTCCCCAGTTAGACTTCTCGAGTATCTGTGACCACTTCCATGAGAATATCCATATTGCCTCTGACTTGGCCGACTCCTTGTGGGACTTGGGCTGGGACTGGGGATGTAATTGTGAATTGGCCTTGCGCTTTGCGATGATGAGTTGGAGCGAGAAAGGAGCGCGGTAGATGTAGTTTTGATAGCATAAGGGTGCGGGTTTGGCTTCAAGGCCTCTTTGTCCTTGGACAGGTTGGCCATCGCTCGCCGTGAACTCGCTGTCGAGAACGGCGACTGTCAGTGACAGGACGTGAACTTACAAATCTAGCGCCGTGTTGGTGGGCCGGTAGGTCCGGCGACCTCAGTTCTGTCCGGCTGCGCTCTCGTAGCACCTGAAAATTATATGTCGTAGTTATATATGTTCGCTCCTACAACTACAAATATGGAACTCTTCAAGTTATGGTGACAAGGCGTCATAGGCCGACAGCAGATCAGCAGAAACACCAATTATTCTATACAATTCTTTGCGTTTCGCTTTCACTGTTGTTGGCATTGCTGCGGCTGCAACACCATAGGACGAAAGATATTGAGTGAGTTGAGCTGATTGCAGCTTGGCGATGTCGGTAGCACGTCGCAAGTAAACGTAGGGTGGCTGGGTATCGACCTGGTACTACAAATTCGATACTGTCAGCAGGTACTGAGGGCGCATATTTATTATAAGTAGCATTTACGGTTTGATGGGACGGAAGCTTGCCGTCGGTAAAGGGTATAAGCTCGTACTCAATCCAAGTACCATCACCTCGAGTGCCATTCAGTGCCTGTTGGAGACAGTCAAAATCTATCCTTGATCCAAAGCTTTCGAAAGGGTACCTTCAAGGCAATAACCTCCACATTATTGATCTTCTTCTCAAGATTATCTATCTTCTCCTCTATGTGATTGAAACGATGGTTGATATTTGTTTCCATTTGCTCTAGTCTCTGCAAGATCTGGGCGAGGGTGGCAGCATCAGATCCTAAGTCATTCAGAATCAGGGCTGACACATTGATAGTGAGGTGGAGGCAAACTCACTAGGTATGCCTTCAAAAGGAACAAAATTTGCCAACTGTATAGCACGCGCTTCCGCCCTATCAGCCTCTTCCGCTGTGACATGTTTGGGGTCTTCCACCGGGCGTCCTAAGCGCCACAGACATGTAAACAATTGGGCAAGGTTGCAGTGATTAGTGGCACATCATACTTGTATATGCTTGTAGAACGCCAGCATGCGACTTTGCCTGCCGGTAGTTTGTAAGATCCGCGAGAGGTTCGACAATGATTGGGGCTTCATCCATTCTTGAAGGTGGTTGGAGTGCTCGAGTCTAAACTCAGCGAGACGCGTTATTTGGCCGTGTTTATGATTACTGAATTGCTGGATTATTATTATTATTATTATTATTTTGGTGAGCGTTTTACTTAGACGGGAGTCCAAGTTGCCTTTCGAGACCGTCGTTGGCCCGCTAGAGTGCCAATCTGTCGATCGGCCGTTTAAGTTGCTGGATTATCGATTATTTGTAGAGAATATCCGAGTCAAGCATTTCATATCAGGTTATCGATTTATCTCGATTTCAATTGTGACTGAGTACTGATAAGTCATGAATATGAGATAGCAATATTACCCTCAACTGACATAAACCTCTCACTGGGAGTAGATATATTGCACGGTTCTACACGGGAGGACTATTGTTGGATATGTTATGCTAGCACACTGTGTCATTCATGGCGTAGTACATAGTTCCAATCGTTGCCTCATGCCGGGGGGCCCAGTGCAAGAATGCTGAATTGCACACTCGACGAAGACGAGATGTAATTTTCTCTGATATACCTCGCAGCGTCCTACAATCATTCAGTCTCGTCTTTACTAGACATTTAGAACAAGACTCACGGCGAGGAAATCATTGCAAGGGCCTCTATCCAAGGGACCGCTCCTCGTCCCATCAAGTTCGATCAGTCGCATTCCGGTGGCCTTCGTATCCTTCACCGCATCATCAGCAGCTGCCGCCTCAGCCACACCCTGCCCAGTGCTCGCCTTCTCCCGTAGATCAGGCTCCGGCGCCGCGACGAACGCCGCGAAGTGCAGGTCCGTGTTCATCACCTCGTCAGTGACGGCCGACTGCCCTTGCGACGCGGTGTCCGCGTGGATGTGGCTGAACAGGGTCGTAGTTTCGAGGAGATGCGCGCGCTCGTCAGGTGTTATGTCTGCGTGCACGAAAGCTCATGAGGAATGGCGCTGCACATCGTGAAGCGCAGCAACTCACTCTGGCACTGCTCGACGAATTGGTACAAAGCACTGTGGGGCGCGAAAGTCACGTCGCTCTGGCGGGGGCGTCAGCGATCGCGGTCAACGAGAAGGAATAGACCACCGACGTTCATCAGGGAATGCAACAGCGCCATCGTTCCGCAAGCATTTCTGATCTAGGCCGAAAACCAATCAGCCTCGGTAACTGATAGGGTTCTCGCAGCACGTACTGTCTGTTTGATCCATATCACAGTAGGATCAACAGGAACCCCACCGCCCTCATTCTTCAGCTTCTCGTCCTCCGCTTGATGCTTCTCCTTTATTTGCCCAGAGAGGGGGAATATAAGGATGAGAGCCTTAGTGGGCTGTGGGACCATAGCTAGAAGCTTCCATGTCGTCAGGCTTCGCGGTTCTATCATACAATGCGTAAGTCAGAGTATCTACCTCTTCGTCCAAGCCATACACGTCCCCAAAACAGGCTTGCGACGTGACAAGTCCGGCCCTCTTGGCCCACTGGATACGAGGTAGTGAGCATCAGTAACTGAGTCGATGCTGCGACTTACCGTGTTGAATACCTAAACAGCGCAACGAAAGTTGATTACCCGAGCTCCTGGATCGCGCAAGCGGCCACCAGACTTTACCTCAGGGTTGCATTCAAGAGGAATCCATTTCCCGGCAGAAGTCATATTTCAATGTCGTCCACACAGTAGATGATGGTCGAGCCCAAGGTGAGCCCCAAAATGCTGTTGCAGTGGAGAACACCACAGAAATCGATCATTTAGATAAGATCATCTTTGCCCCTAAATCGATCATTTTTCCTCCTCACCTCCATGTCCCAGAGCAATTTCTTCCCATCCATCGGCGCAGTTGCTGAGAAAGCCGATAATGCACCAGAGAATGTGCAGGCAAAGCCGGACAAAGAGTCGGATGCTACGCCAGCACGGGAGATTGAGTCGCTTTGTATGAAATGTGGAGAGCAAGTGCGTTTTTGTAGTGATAGTGTTGTTAAGTGATATGGCTTACTGATTCGAAGGAGCACTAGTAGGGTATCACTCGTATGCTCCTTACGTCGATACCGTACTTTCGAGAAGTCATCGTTATGTCGTTCCGATGCGAACATTGCGGGGCGACGAACAACGAAGTGCAGTCTGCAGGGGAAATCAGGCGTATGCTAATATTCTCATATTATGAACGGCTCAATATTAACGTGATCATAGCTGAGGGAATATCATATACCGTCCGTGTCCTCGCCCGTCCGGACTTGAATCGCCAGATCGTTCGTTCAGCGACTTGCGACATTGCTATCCCTGAATACCAGCTCACGTTACCCGCATCGTCTCGAGGACAGCTTACCACCGTCGAGGGCCTCATCCGAGACGTCGTTGCCGATCTCAGCCTCGACCAACCCGTCCGGAAATACCAAGACCCCGAAAGCTACGCCAAAATCCAGGCGCTGATCGCCCAGCTCAAGGAAATCCTAGCGGATGAGGAGAACGATGACGACGACGATAAGGATGGGGAGAAGCCGGGAGTCGTAGTGCTCAGACATGCCGCTGACAAGGACAATATTCCTATGCCGCCATTCACGATCAAGCTCGACGATCCGTCTGGGAACTCGTTCATCGAGTTCGTTGGGAGTATGGCTGATCCGAAGTGGACTATGAAGACCTACCCTCGAACGCTCCAGCAGAATATTGATTTGGGCTTGGTAGCGGATGAGGGGAAAGAACCGAGCAAGGAGGTGGAAACGATTGGCGGGGACGGGGTGAATGAAGAGATATTCGTTTTCCATGGGACGTGCTCGAGTTGCGGGCACCCGTTGGATACCATGATGAAGAAGGTCAACATACCCTACTTCAAGGACATTATAATCATGTCCACGAACTGCGACCGGTGCGGGTACCGAGACAACGAGGTCAAGTCTGGCTCAGCAATCTCCGAGCAGGGCAAGCGGATAACGTTGAAAGTTGAGGATAAGGAGGATCTCAGCCGAGATATCCTCAAGGTTGGTCCTTTGCTCCATAACACATAATATCTTTCTCATACCTTGGTACACTAGAGCGAAACAGCAGGCTTGACAATCCCCGAGATCGACCTGGTGCTGTCACATGGAACTCTGGGTGGACGATTTACGACGCTGGAGGGTATATTGGAACAAGTGTACGAGGAATTATCAGAGAAGGTGTTCGCGGGGGACTCGAAGGATGCAAAAGACGGCAACTCCTTCGAAGACTTCCTGAAGAACCTCAAAGAGGTATGTTACTTATCGTTCCCTTCCATCGAGTCATAATCAACCGGCCACAGGTCAAGAACGCCGAGCGACCGTTTACGCTGATCCTCGACGACCCTCTCGCCAACTCATACGTGCAGAACTTGTACGCGCCCGACCCAGACCCAAATATGGAAGTCGAGATGTACGACCGCACGTTTGAGCAGAACGAAGAACTAGGGTTGAATGATATCAAAGTCGAGGGGTATGACAACGACGTCGAGGCTGCAGGGGAGCGGAAAGCAGAGGAGGAAGTCGTAAAGCCATAGATCTGTATTATTTTTTATTCCATATTTTCTCCGATGCCCGCAAGCTGTTGCGCTGATTGAGGCCCCTGGGCAGGTTGGACCCGTAGTCACGTGTCCTTGCATTTGCTTCCGCGGGCAGGGGCTCGCCACTTTCAGGCTGTTCCTTTCCTCCAGGATTTGATGTCCATGGATCTCTTCAGACGGTTCTCTGCAAGACCAACGCCCGTTAAAACTAATCATGCACAGGCGCACACGGACACCAAACCGCTTCCAGCGCCCGCAAGGAACACCCAGCCCCAGCCGCGATATAAATTCTCTCCTTTCTCAGGAAGATCTATGTCGCAAGGCTTGTGGTGAGTACTCAAGCTCGCTACCCTGCGAAGCTTATATTAAGGGCCCGATATTGCACGATTGCATAGGTGCGCCCAAGATTTCATGTTAGGAGTGGGGATGGTCATCATCCAACCTGAGACAGAAAAAGTAGTGGTATGATAATCCCCCCAAGCGCATAGGATGTTTCGCTAACGCTGAGATACTACAGCTATGCTACGATTCTAGGCGGAAACACTATTTCTTCCCGAAAGGAAGGAAGGATGCAGGAGAGGCGATGGAAACAGCCGTCTTGCGCGAGGCTTATGAGGAGGTTTGTTCAGTCACATTGGAGGGCTATTGCTGTTACTGATATACAGCGTCGCAAGTCAGGTTTTCGCGCGACCTTCCTACCACTTTACACCCCATCGCATGCTCCCATACCCCCGCAGGACCTTGACATAGCATGGTCAGACAATCCAATTAAATCTTCGGAGCCATTCTTCGTCTCTACAAAGACATATAATCCACCCTCTAGTCTCAATCCCTTCACAAAGTACGAAGTTGACACCTCCCGGGTGTACTTCATCCATTGGTACGTCGGCCAAATACCAGCTAACGCTGTGCGTGATCAACTTTCTCTGCAAATTGAAGTTCAACAATAAACAATTGCTTGTTGTGTGCGCTAATAAATAGGTTAGAGAGGAGGGAACAGGGATGCCCGACGAGCAGAGCTATACCTCCCATTTGTTCTCATTCGAAGAAGCTTTCCAAAAACTCGACGTGGATTCGCAGAAAATTCTCAGATATGCCTGGTTTCTATTTCAGGAAACCACACAGTATGATAAGATGTTCGTTCAGTAGCTCACTCCATGCCCTGCAATTATTTGTCCTGTATTGATAGCCACTGTTGTCTGTAAATTATTCAATCCACATGACGTTTTACTAGTAGCGACCCGATAGCAGGCAGTATATTGAAGACTTACGCACCGCTGAATTTTGGCAAAGGCGGGAACCAGAGTGAGAGAGGTGAGCAGGAGGATTTACTTTGCCGTTCGCGGGCGAGGTCCGAATGTCGTGGGGGTCAACACAGAAGACAGTGACCAAAGGCCCTCATATCCAATGCACGGTAGTCTCACGTAGAATGCACGTCGAACGCAACTGTAAGCTAACATCCACTCACCGCGATTTCGCCTTTCAGGAGGGCGTCGTTGTCACCGCCCTTGTCGCATTCGTCGATCGTGTCCTGAGGATGCGAGGCGCCTCCCATGGCCCGGCGCGTACTAGTAGCGGGCGCGTTGAACGGTGTCATTTTAGCCTACGCATGCATCGCCGTTTGACCTTACCTTGGAGGGAGAATTGATCCGGCGTGTCAGTAGTAGTCAGTGGACGGTTGCGCAAGGGTAGCGTAAGCAGGATGTTCCAGGGTGTTGGGTGGGGCCTATCGTTGGGTAGTATGGATAACGCCACGCTGACAGTGTCGCGATAGATAATTTGTGCTCTCCGCGACCCCCACAGGACTTCAAGCCTCGACTTCAAGGTCTCAAGATTAACGCGCCAGTCACAAGACCTCAGGACGACAGTGAAGACAAGAGGACAGGGATAGGGGGGGAGGGGAGGAAGGGGAGGATGAGGAAGAGAGGGACGGGCCCCGGATATCAGGTGCGTTGTGCTCCTTTCCGTGGACGACGGTGTTGACAGTATTCTGGAGGGCAGGCTATTGCCTCGTTATCAACCTCAACAAGGCCTCAAGGCCTCAAGACTAGCCACAGCCTCAAGCGAAGGCCCGCCCAGTTCTACTTTTGTCGCATGTCGCTTGCTGCCATGTATATTCTTGTAACATAGATTTACTGCTTGCGTATCGTCCGGGGCTTTGTAGTGCTATTCAAGTCGGGGAAAAGGACACTATTCGTGAGCCTAGCCTATCAAAGATTGCGTTCATGCAATGGTCCTAAGCTTGATGAAACTCATCTCTTCTGCTGCCCTGAAAACATAGCAATCAGCTTCGAGTTGGGGAGACGACGGGTGACTGTCGCTGACTTTTGATGGACACATTTATCAGTCTTCTTCCTGCTGCACAGTCGTAGAGCAGTAATTCGGTGTGATAATGAGACAAATAGTCCACCTTCAATGGAAAAGGCTCACCGACTGTCATCCTCTCGTTGTTGCCCAGTCGAGAGGTTGACCGCCATGAGCGCCGGGGCACTTGAAGTTGGATTATGTAAGGTGGCGGGGTTCCAGATTTGGGCAAGGTCGGCATCAGGGAGGCGCTCTACAGCAATTTCTGCAAGTTGATCTCCTCAGCTTGGATTGACGAATGCGCCCGGAAAATAAACTGTAGCATCACGACGCGTATATAGGTTGGTCACGTTGCACAATGCGGTTCACTTCCCAAACGACTCAGACCTTGGGCTTGAGTCCCCCGTTAGGTGCGTGGCCGACGTTCGTCTCTAGGACCAAGCCCTCCTTTTCCCCTTCTAGCGATACCATCTTCCCCGCTGTCGCCTTTTTTCGCTGTCTATCAGTAACTGCGACGAGCGAGCGTGGGTGATTGCGACGAAAGCTTCCATTTCAGATACCCGTACAATGCATCATGAACGAGAATAGTCGCGCAATGCACGGAATCAAATGTTTACGATTTCTGGTGTCGATGGATCGAAGCCAATGGTGCGGCGCCAATCCAGTAGCACTCGTTCTTCAACCGGAATTCGAAGCTGATGGGATGTCGAGCAACAGGACGGGATGTCAATCTGCAACTGCAAATACTGATAGAATCGCGGTCATCCCCTAGAATGAATAGTCTAACAACGGCGTGTCAAGTATCGATTCAACTTCTACTACTACGAATCACAACGATGGCCTAACCTGTGCTCCACGCTGGAGACTCTAGTATAAAACTGGCTTGTCGAACTCTTAGGTAGACCAACATTCTACGTCTTCAACGTCTCTTCTACCTCAACGAATCACGACTTATACGCATTCTAACCTAATTAACGATTATCAACCATGAAATTCTCCGCTATTTTCATCTTCACGATTGCTTACGCGACCCAAGTTCTCGCTCTTCCTACTGGAATCGACGCGGATGGCCAACTTGTCGAGGTAACATCCATATTGATCCGATTTCCTTGTTTATTGTCTCATGATGTCGGATTTCTCTAGCGTCATTATTCTGAGGCTCCATCAAAGCACGAGACAAAGCACCCCAAGCCTTACAAGACCCATCATGTGTACCACCATCCCGTGAAGAGCACTCACGCACCTCATGTCCCCCCCGCGCACACTTATGTGCCCCCTGCGCACACTTACGTTTCTCCTGCTCACACTTACGTCCCTCCTGCTCATACGTATGATTCACCATCAAATACCTACGTTCCACCCCCCAACACCCATGTCCCGCCTGCTAACACCTACACCCCTCCCGCCCATACGTATATCCCGCCGAGTCCCCCTGCAAACACACACATCCCGCCATCTCACACATACCTCCCCCCCGCTGACACATATGTCCCTCCTGCTCACACATACATCCCGCCGGCCCCCACATATACTCCACCTAGTCCAAGCACCTACGTTCCTCCCAAAAGCACTCACGCCACGTACACTCCTCCTGGCCCTACCCACGTGCCTCCTCCTCCTCCCAAAGACGACTGCTCTGCTGTATACAAGGCGACGTTCCTTCAGCGCGCCTACAGCGGCGGCGCAACCGACCACTTCTACACCACCAACGCCAACGAGATGACCAACGCCGTTTCCCACCTAGGCTATACGAAGGAAGCGCATGCGGCGAAGGTGTACAATGCGGAGGAGGCGGGTACAATTCCCCTCTACCGCCTGTTCAGCCCCTCTGCGGGGGATCATTTCTACACGATTTCGGCTGGGGAGAGGGACAACGCAGCGAAGGCGCTTGGGTACAAGAGCGAAGGTGTCGCGGCGTACATCTACCCGAACCAGATCTGCGGGAGTGTTCCCTTGTACAGACTCTACAGCCCATCGGCCGCGGACCACTTCTACACAATTTCGAAGAGCGAGGCTAATAACGCTGCTTCCAAGCTCGGATACGCGAATGAAGGAGTCGCTGGATACGTTCTTCCCCCTCACTAAGGTTTGGCCTATCTCATCTCCCGCGGGCACCCGCTCAACCAATGCTTTCAGCGCGTCGCCGATAGTTATAGTTTGCAGACCCCCTGACTTACACTTAGGATCCTTTTAATGATTTGCCTCCAGATTGCCGTTTGGATGTGATATCCCACGTACTTGATTTTTCACCGTTCGTTTTGCGCTTGAATTTGACACCAGCGATAACGTTGATTACGCTAGAATCGTTTTCTTGTACAGCGCCTTCCCACTTTGTTCGTACTTTATATGATTTCATGTTTTGACTAGTAGATGCGGGCGGCTCGGCAACTTCAGCAACATGCCTTTGAAGCTCGAGGTCCCTTCAAGTTGACAACGTTGACAGCTGAAGCAAGCATTACTGACGCCAAACGCCTGAAACCCGCCTCGAGTGCCATTCCTTCCGTACGTTTATGAAGGCCGGGAGTGTGGGAGTGTCCCCTTCTACATTCTCTTCAGCACTTCTGCGTCAGACCACTTCTACACGACTTTGGAGATGGAAGCTGGATAAGGATATTTGATATATTCTCCTGTTATGATGAGGCGGCTTTCGCGGGCGGCGACTTCCTTCACAAAGAATTCTGCACCTCGCGCCGATTTCGTTTGCCTTGTGAACCAATGGATTTGGATTACTACGCACCAGACACTTTACATCACCGACCACTCACTGGGATACGGATTAAAATTGTTAGGATGATTTATAGCATGTATATCACTGGATTTCACCGATATCGTCCTTTCGCTTGCGTCGACTTGGTTGGTCTACGATCGAACTCGCAATGATGTGCAGGAAGTTCAAGACTCGCTGACGGCTACAAGTGCTCATGGTGACATCGGAATCGGGATAAATTAGACGCGAGTACAAAAACAAGAAACGAGTTTAGAGAAGAAACTTCAACTCTTCGGGGATTGTACGGGTATACGATCACTGCGCCGTGAACTCGCTGATGGACTCCCAAAAACTATATGGATGCATAAGGTGAGATGATGGGGATGTCCTCGGGATCTCGACTTACGCGCATCTCTCCAGAAGAGCGGGGTCAGTCGTCTCCGGGCGTATGACCAGCTGGCCGTCCTCGGTCCGGTTGAACAACATCTCCGTATTCGTTGGCGCGTAGGGCTCCCAGGGTGGAGTGATGTTGTTTTCGTCATATTTGATGTTCGGGTCGAAATGGAGGGCAAAGTCTAAGAATGACTGCGAGAACGAGGTAATGAACTCGGTGTTGTTGAATAATCTGGGACCGAGGCTACATTCGTAACGCTTGAATTGTCTCCGCCGCCGGTAATGGTGATGAGTGGATCGAAGTAGAATGGCAAGTCATCCTCGTGGTATGACGGCGGTATGGCAAATATCCCCTATAAGCGAGACGTGCCATCAGCAAGGATGACTGATTGCGTCAGACATGCTACCCACCCTGTAAGCACCTGGAGAGGCTCGCAACAAGTGATATGAAGGACAAACAAAGATAGCTAACGGCTGGCCTCAGTGCGATTCAGTACGTGGACTGGCACTCACATTCGCCCATGATCAGATTCGCCTGTTCAGCCGGGGATCCTAAATTGGCGTACAAACTTGCGATGACAACGCTCTGTGCCGGCGTGATACCAGGGAAGAGCTCTAGTGAGTATTGAGAGGATTTACCCGATGCCGCGGTAGTCTGATTCACGAAAAAGGGCCCCTTCATTGGCGTTAGATATTGCGAGAAGAGCACGCTGCAAGTGTTCAAAATCAGTACTGGCGTTAGCAATGAAAGAGACAAGATCCATTGACCCTTCCCGAACGGAGAACCTCAGTTGGACGCCGCCTAATAAATTCCCCGTCGATGACTAGGACAGTGGTCCAAGTACCAAAGAAGCCGCCGTGGACAATCTGGGCATTAACAGGTTGGAGGATAGACGAGTTAGTAGCCCTCAGACAGGCAAGAGTATCGGCCGCGGTATTGCAGCTACCCGAAAATGCATTAATACCATGCGACGAGCTTTATATTGATGTGGTCTCACCCGGTTCCAGTCAATACGGACGAGTAAATCGACTAGAAATGCCCTTAGTAACGCGAGGAAAGAACATTAGGGGGAAGACAAACCTCTGGGACTGTGTCGTTGTAAAGGTACTGGGAAGGAAGGAATGTCGAACTTGTGATTCCTGCCTTAAACAGAGGGGGACATTGTGGTGGGGGCGTCGTAGCATTCAGAACTCCGCTGGTGCGAGCGACAAGAGGCTGAGGTGCCTGCCAATGGGGCGTGCGCGATCATGTAGAAACAAGAACCCACTGACAATTCCGACTCTACATCACTTAGCATCCCGCAGAGATCAAGTCAGTCGCATCCAGCATTGGCATGGCAAGCAGCGGGCCCAAAGCGTAGGGAGAAAACCTAAATAGTTGTATTGTCATAAGATCACCCCAGCGATGTCCGGCTGCCGAGAAGAGGGCAAACTGACAGTACAAAGCATCGTGCTTACACGTCAAACTTGGGAGAAAGGTGCAACTGGTAACAAGGACAAAAGTAGGTTCAGGCCTGTCGGACTGCTGGGAGGGGCGGTTGGTTGGCGCCGACTTTTTGGGGTGTATCCAACTGTTGAGCGTTGAGCCTTAAACGATACGCTTTCGGACAAGGAGGACGAGGACTCACATCTACGCGAACGGTTGGTTGTTTGACGGGCGTAGAGCAAGAGAGTCGCTCGAATGCCGTGAAGGTTGCCGCATTGTAGAAGAGAAACCAAGCTTGAAGGAAGGGGCAAGGAGGGGTCGTGTCTTCCGCATTTATGATTTATGTGTGCAAGATGAAAGTTGGACGGAAACGACACAGCGTTACTCTAATATGAGTACAGAGAATGACGATAGAAAACATAGACATAGTGTAGGAGGCAAGAGTTAATTTCACGCTGAGATGTGAATGTCCTTTAACTTCTCCAAGGCGGCATCTCGCGCGTTCATTCGGGCTGCCCACTCTCTAGCTTCGCTGGGAGAAAGGACGCGAGGAACTGTTCGATAAGTATTGAGCCAAAGACAAACGTGGCAAATATGTAGTACACGCACGCTTTTGCTTCCACCGCCAGTGGATGGGGTCTAAATGCCACTGGGGTGGTTCACCGTTAAAGAATCTCTCTGCAATTTTGTCAATTGCGCCGGGTTGAGGACGAAGGATACCAATTCTATTGTCGCCGACACAGAGCGCTAGATGTATGGTGCCGTCTGGTCGTAGAACGTCTGCGACTTCGAGACACTCATGGAGCTCCTCCGGGATATTGAAGTCTTGAATAATACCATCGACTATGCAGAAGATTGACTCCCACAGAGGCACGCCCTTGCCGTCTGGTTCCGAATATTGGATATATGCAGGAAACTCTTTTATAAGAAGTTCCAGTAGCTTGTCTTCGCCGACAGCCCACCCAAGATGGAACATCGGAGGTAGAAAATGGGGGTCCCGAGAACCGAGCAGACAGGGATGTATGTCCCTGATGGATATTGGTGTCTTCTTGCAGAGCTGCTTTTCATCCTAGACGAGATCGGTGAGAAGGGGCAAAGGAAGTGGGAAGACAGAACATTACCCCCTGCTGGTATGTTGTGCCATTGGGCGGGGAGAAAGGGAAAGACTTTGGTACGAGCATAACTGGTCGTTTATGCATGTCGATGGTCGTGGTTAATGTCGAGGGACTTGTAATGTATTTAACGGTTTTCAAATTTCAACATCCACGTGATCAACTAATAGCTATTGTTCGAAGTCCCCATTCTTCCCCAGCGCCAGGCTCCTAGAACCAGAGCGACTCGTATCGCTCGAATGAGCTCATTCGGTTTTTAATACGACTACACGTGGGAAAAGACAAACAAGGACAAAGAGTAGCTAAGAGCTCAAACTCGCGATAGAGCGGCTGGCAAGACTGTCATAGACGCCGGAGTTAGTCGGTGACAGGGTGGTCACAAAGGGTTTTGATTGATTTGCAGATAAGTAGTAGATGGGAATGACCTAACTAATTGGGATAGTGATCGGGCTTAACAAGGCTATAGGCTACTAAGAGTACGTGGTAAGTATGGAGTGCTTAGTGTAACGGTATCGCGTCACGAGGTGAAGTATTTTGCACTGCTGAGGTCGTGAGTTCGATTTTCGAAGAGGTCACTTTTTGCTCTGACCGTTTTTGAAAGATCCTGACTGAGACATACACACACTAACTGAAGGTCAGCCATTGGCAAGCTAAATTCATTAATGAGATGCGCAGAGACACTTAAAAAAGCGCACAACAAAAAGTGACCTCTTCGAAAATCGAACTCACGACCTCAGCAGTGCAAAATACTTCACCTCGTGACGCGATACCGTTACACTAAGCACTCCATACTTACCATGTACTCTTAGTAGCCTATAGCCTTGTTAAGCCCGATCACTATCCCAATTAGTTAGGTCATTCCCATCTACTACTTATCTGCAAATCAATCAAAACCCTTTGTGACCACCCTGTCACCGACTAACTCCGGCGTCTATGACAGTCTTGCCAGCCGCTCTATCGCGAGTTTGAGCTCTTAGCTACTCTTTGTCCTTGTTTGTCTTTTCCCACGTGTAGTCGTATTAAAAACCGAATGAGCTCATTCGAGCGATACGAGTCGCTCTGGTTCTAGGAGCCTGCCCCAGCGCCATTGTTCTTATGTTTTCTGGATAACGCAGGCTACTATTGTTCCGGCTGTCGTCGCATTGATCATTCGTTCATTATTCGAAATGGGGGCTGTATAAGGCCCGCCCCATTGTCATTTTTAATTGAATGAATATAAAAGCGGAACCTGGGGACACCGCAACGGTAAACTCTAGCATGGCTGCATCCCCGCCCCTTCAACTTTCATTCAATCTGGGTAGCAAGTGGCCCAAGGATGTTCAGATCAACAATGAAGACCATGTTGAGACGAAGCTCGTGATGTACAATCAACTTAGCCTGCAAACACGCGAGGCTCCTTGGTATGGCCTTTTGGTTGGGACGATAATGCCCCATCTGCGTGCCATCTACTCGAGCGCATCTGGCAATGTCAAACTTGACACGTATCCGCAATACGAACTCCACTATGCCACAGATTATACTCCTGACGACCTTGATAAGATACGGGATCCCTGTAAGGGGACACTCCTATTTTCTCCTTTTCCCCCTGTCCCGTCCCCTTCCTCCTTGTTCCTTTCCCTTTTCTTTCATTCCCTTTCCTTTCCCTTCGCCCCCTTACCTTCCCGCTTCCCTTCCGTTCACTCCCTCCGCATCCGAGCCCCGTCCGGTGACTCCGAAGTCTTCCCGCGCTTCGGACTCGCCTCGGACTCGCTCGGACGCTTCGGATACGCTCGGACTCGTAGATACACTTCGGGGCTCGTCCGGGCTACCTCCATCTTCCTTTCCCACTTCGTTATTCCTTGTCCCCACTCCCCCAGGTCGCTGGCACGGCTCCTGTACATTCCCCTTCCACTTCATTATCACATGCCCCCTCGTACCTTGTGATATTCGTTCGTACCTGTGGCTGGTGTACTGTACAGTTACCCTTCATTCCTCCCACGCTACTACAGTATATACTTCGCTTCCTAGCATGGAGAATCCCCATCCTGTTCTCTTTGGATTCTCCCTCTGCTAGGTGAGCAGCTCTCTCATGTATTGTAGTTAGTCTTATTCATTTCTTTGGATTCTCCCTCTGCTAGGTTTGCACTGTGCGGCCATCTTGAGGTTGCCCTTACAGCAGAACAGGATCTCCCATCCTGGCACCAGAGCCCTACGGAAAACGTCCTGCGCCACTCCGGACTCGTTCCCGACGTCTCTCCGGTTTTGCGGACATTCCGGACGCTCTCCTGCTACTCCCACCCACCTCTGAGGACCCAAGGAACTCTATCCCTCGCTCCCCTGACGACTCCGAAATGCCGGGCGCTTCCAGCCAGATCCCGCCATCCGAGCCAGTCGCTTCAGGATCGGACTCCGAGACTTTGCAGACCTTGTGGGCTCAGACGTACGAACACCAAACCCAAATCAGCTCCATCCACGATACACTCGCCCAGATCGAAGGGCTCCTCTTAACACCCCGTCCGACTAATCCGAAAACGACTCCGGACTCCGAGCCGAGGGGCACCGAAGCCTCCCAGCACGCCCCGAGTCGATCCGAAATCACCCCGCGTTCCCGTTTGAAGCCCGCCTCTCCCCCGATCTTCGACGGAAACCGCAAGGATGGTCGCGCATTCTACAACGCGTGCTCCATCTACTTCCAGCTCTGTCCGGACCACTTTCCGACCGAGCAGGCCAAAATCCTCTGGTGTCTCTCCTTCTTCCAGAAGGATCGCGCCAAGGAGTACGCGGACATGGTGCTCCGGAGTCCGAAGGATCCGTACTTCGAATCCTGGGCCGCCTTTGCGACCGAATTCCGGACTCGCTTCCTTCCGGATCGGGAACGCGAAGCCGCCATGCTCAAACTGGAGTCCACCCGGTACCACCAAGGGCGTCGGACTTTCCAGGAATACCTCGACGAGTTCCGGGACCTTGTAGACCAGTCCGGATACTCCGAGGGCTCCAACATCACGATGAAGTTCCGCCGCGGATTGGACTCCATCATCCAGAGCCGCGTTGCCGAGTCCGCAGACTGTCCGGACGAGGATGACTTCGAAGGATGGTACAAGGCAGCGCAGCGGGTTGCTGACAACCGCGCCGCCAACCAGTCTTTCCACTTCGGTGTGCACTCCGGAAACTCCAGACACTCCGGATCTCTCGTCCGACCAACAGCCAACTCCGGAGTCGCTCGCACTCCTGCGGGTGTACTTCCCACGCCTCGGACTCAGCTCCCGCCTCTGCAACCCCGCTTCCAACCTCTGCCTCCTCCGAAGGCTCTCTCACCCGGCGTCCCCATGGACGTCGACCACACCCGCTCCCGACCCGCCGCTTCGCAGCTCTGCTACCGATGCGGCAAACCCGGTCACATGTCCCGGGAGTGCCCACTCCGGTACGACGTCCGGTTCATGACCACCGAGGAGCGGATGTCCGCCATCGAAGATCTCCTGACCGCGGCCGATGTTGTAGAAAGTGCGGGGACCTCGGAAGGAATAGACGATGAGGGAACGGCCCCGGTTGAGGAATCGGACACGGCGGATTTTGTCCGGACCAACGAGTGACCAGTGCGACCTCGTTGGTAAATAACCGATTTGCTTGTCTTAGCGTAGACGAAATAGACGATTCCAATCACTCCGATGATTCGTCCAACGCTAAGCAAACGACTCCGGTTACAATCCGCACAATCCGAAGGTTTCGCCCGCAGTGGGAACGGCGGCTACCCAGTAGCTATAAGATCTCCGCGCTGCCCGGCAAGCTTTCGCTAGATATACCCGTTGAAGTGCAGAGCACGGATACACAACACCGATGCACCCTGCAGGCCCTGGTGGACTGCGGAGCCACCGGAGTCTTTATGCATCCGCGCTTTGCGGATGCTCATGGTTTCACCCGGCGCAAGCTGTCCGCTCTGATCCCGGTCTTCAATGTCGACGGATCACCAAACGAAAATGGGTCCATCTCCGAAGTCGTGGACCTTGTACTCCGGTTCAAGGATCACACGGAACGGATGCTGTTCGCGGTCACTAACATCGGACGGCAGGACATCATCCTCGGATACACCTGGCTTCGGAAGCACAACCCCGAGATCGACTGGCAGACGAAGGAGGTGACCATGAGCCGCTGTCCGTCCGGATGCGATACCTGTCGGAAGGAGTTCCGCCATGACAAGCTGACCCGACGCAAGGAGTCCGTACGACTCCGGGAGTGTCGTACGGGTCCGATGCCAATGGTCGAGGAACTGCACTCGGACGATCTTCCACAGCTTCAGGACTGCGAGGACGACGATGAGGACGATGAGGCCACAACTCCGGACGACTCTGGACTTGAGAAGGGCGACCGTATCTTCGCAGCCATTCCTCCTCCGACTCCGGAGTACCTTCGGAGTCTTCGGGAAGAGCACGTCCGAGCTTCGGAAACGGTCTCGCAACGCCTCGCATTGGCTTTCCAGCGCAACAAGCCCCACGATCCTCGGAACAGCGCAGTCCCGGACTTCCTCCGAGAATTCGAGGACGTCTTCGCGAAGGAGTCCTTTGATGAACTGCCCATGCCGCGTCCGTGGGATCACGCCATTGAGCTAGTGGACGGAGCGGAACCGACCTCTACCAAGTGCTACCCGCTGTCCCCCGCGGAGCAGAAACAGCTGGACGAGTTTCTGGAAGAAAACCTCCGGACTGGTCGGATCCGCCCCAGCAAGTCGCCCATGGCTGCCCCGGTGTTCTTTGTTAAGAAGAAGGATGGATCGCTCCGCTTGGTCCAGGACTACCGGAAGCTCAACAGCATGACGGTCAAGAATCGGTACCCGCTCCCGCTCATCTCGGACTTGGTGGATAAACTCCGGAACGCTCGCTACTTCTCCAAGCTCGACGTCCGGTGGGGTTTCAACAACGTCCGGATCAAGGAGGGCGACGAGTGGAAGGCCGCGTTCCGGACTACGCGCGGACTCTTCGAGCCGTTGGTAATGTTCTTCGGACTGACGAATAGCCCGTCTACCTTCCAGACCATGATGAACGACTTGTTCCGGGAGCTCATTACGGAAGGTGTGGTTATTATCTATCTGGACGACATCCTGATCTACACCAAAACGCGCGAAGAGCATCGTCGGGTTCTCAAGCGGGTCCTGGAGATCCTCCAGCGGAACAAGCTCTTCCTCCGAGCAGACAAGTGCGAATTCGAGCAGACCAAGGTGGAGTATCTCGGAGTCGTCATCTCCGAGGGTAAGATCGAGATGGATCCGGTGAAGGTTTCCGGAGTCGCGGACTGGCCGACCCCTCGGACTCGGACTGAACTCCAATCCTTCCTCGGGTTCGTCAATTTCTACCGCCGCTTCATCAAGGACTACTCGCATATCGCTCGGCCTCTCTTCGACCTCACTTGCGCAAAGGAATGGCAGTGGAACGACTCCGCTCAGTCCGCGTTTCTTCGGATCAAGGAGCTGATCACTTCGGAGCCCGTTCTGGTCTTTCCGAAGGAGGATCGGCCGTACCGGGTTGAAGCGGACTCGTCGGATTACGCTACGGGTGCGGTCTTGTCGCAGCTGGATCCGGATGATGGTAAATGGCATCCTGTCGCATTCTACTCTAAAAGTCTACAGGCTGCGGAGCGGAACTATGAAATACACGACAAGGAGATGCTTTCAATCATCCGGGCACTCGAAGAATGGCGGCACTACCTGGAAGGCGCAGAGACTCCGTTTGAGATCTGGACGGACCACAAGAACCTGGAGTACTTCATCAAGGCCCAGAAACTCAATCGTCGTCAGGCCCGCTGGTCGCTATACCTCTCCCGCTTTGACTTCACTCTCCAGCATCGTCCGGGTCGGACAATGGGTAAGCCGGATGCTCTCTCGCGCCGCTCGGATCACTTGGATGGTAAGGATGACAACAAGGATGTGGTTTTACTTAAGCCGTCTTACTTTGCCGTCCGTGCCACGGGTGTCACTCTTGAAGGGGAGGAGAAGGATATCCTCACGGCTATCCGGACTGGAGTGCGGAATGCGAAGTTTGAAGACGCAGTGGCAAAGGCGGCAGAGGAGTTGAAGAAGGCCCAGGGCAGTCGCAAGACAGTCCGGAGCGCGGAATGGTCTCAATCGGACGGACTCCTGATGTTCCGGGGTAAGATCTACGTTCCGGACTCACCGGACTTGCGTCGGACTATTGTAGCCCAGCACCACGACACTAAGGTCGCAGGACACGCCGGCAGATGGAAGACCCTCGAGCTCGTTTCGCGCAGCTACTGGTGGCCCAACATGTCCCGGTACGTCGGATCCTACACCCGCCATTGCGACCTTTGTCTCCGGACGAAGGCCCAAAGGCATCCGCCCATGGGTGAACTCCATCCGCTTCCCATTCCGGATGAATGCTGGGATCGTCTGAGTGTTGACTTCATCGTCGAGCTTCCGGAGTCCGATGGATTTGATGCTGTCATGAACGTGGTCGACTCCGTAAGCAAACGCGCCCACTTCATTCCGACTCACACCACAGTGTCCGCCCTCGGATCCGCGAACCTGTACCTGCAGAACGTCTGGAAGCTGCACGGACTCCCTCGGTCTGTTGTGTCCGACCGGGGTCCGCAATTCGTCGCAGAGTTCACCCGAGAAGTCTACCGGATGCTCGGAATCAAGCTGGCTGCCTCCACTGCGTACCACCCTCAGTCCGACGGACAGACGGAACGGACCAACCAGGAACTCGAGTCCTATCTCCGGATCTTCGTCGGAGAGCGTCAGGATGACTGGGCTCGCCTCCTACCTATGGCGGAGTTTGCGTACAACAACCGGGTCCACGCGTCCACTCAGCAGTCGCCCTTCCTCCTGGATACTGGCCGTCATCCTCGCCTCGGGTTCGAACCTCACCAACCACCATCTCGGATGGAGTCCGCAAACGAGTTCGTAGACCGGATGAAGTCCGCAGTTGATGAAGCTCAGTCTGCATTGGTCAAGGCTCAGGACGACATGAAGCGTTACTATGATCAGCGTCGGACTCCTGCTCCGGAGTACCATCCGGGTGACAAGGTCTGGCTGGACTCGTCGGACATCAACCTTGCCCGACCCTCTCGGAAACTCGGACATGCACGACTCGGTCCTTACAAGGTCGTCCGGAAGGTTGGCAAGGCAGCGTACCGACTCCAGCTCCCTCCGGGCTTATCCCGTCTCCATCCCGTCTTCCCCGTGGTCAAACTCTCCCCCTTCGTTCCGGACCCCATCCCGGGTAGACGCCCTGTCGCTCCGCCACCTCCGCAGCTCGTTGACGGAGAAGAGGAGCATGAGGTAGAAGAGGTCCGGAATAGCAGACGATTCGGTCGGGTCCTGAAGTATCTGGTGCGCTGGCGAGGCTATGGTATCGAGCACGACTCCTGGGAGCCCGCGAGCAACCTCCAGCATGCTGCCCGGAAGGTCAAGGACTTCCATGATCGTCATCCGGATGCAGTACGCGTACTCCGGACGAGTCCGGTGAGTCCGACGACTGCTCTACCTCTCCGGATGACTCCTGCAGCACTGGACCAGTCCTGGGAGCGTTGGCGTAGTCGGAAGGCTCCGGGCTCCGCGCAGTCATATTTCGACATCTTCTCGCAGCAGTCCGGGGTCTCCGGGTTGGTGAATTCATGGCGCGGCAGGCAGGAATCTTCGCGTCGGGTCGCCGCAACCTTGAAGGGGGGGTGATGTAAGGGGACACTCCTATTTTCTCCTTTTCCCCCTGTCCCGTCCCCTTCCTCCTTGTTCCTTTCCCTTTTCTTTCATTCCCTTTCCTTTCCCTTCGCCCCCTTACCTTCCCGCTTCCCTTCCGTTCACTCCCTCCGCATCCGAGCCCCGTCCGGTGACTCCGAAGTCTTCCCGCGCTTCGGACTCGCCTCGGACTCGCTCGGACGCTTCGGATACGCTCGGACTCGTAGATACACTTCGGGGCTCGTCCGGGCTACCTCCATCTTCCTTTCCCACTTCGTTATTCCTTGTCCCCACTCCCCCAGGTCGCTGGCACGGCTCCTGTACATTCCCCTTCCACTTCATTATCACATGCCCCCTCGTACCTTGTGATATTCGTTCGTACCTGTGGCTGGTGTACTGTACAGTTACCCTTCATTCCTCCCACGCTACTACAGTATATACTTCGCTTCCTAGCATGGAGAATCCCCATCCTGTTCTCTTTGGATTCTCCCTCTGCTAGGTGAGCAGCTCTCTCATGTATTGTAGTTAGTCTTATTCATTTCTTTGGATTCTCCCTCTGCTAGGTTTGCACTGTGCGGCCATCTTGAGGTTGCCCTTACAATCCCAGCTGGACTCCAGGCCACGAAAAGCATGAAAGAGTAAGTTCTACCAGTTCAATTCCAGATTGGCATAAACTCATGGTCATAACTCGTACACAGGCCCTCGATACTCCCGAGGTCCAAGGCCAATTCTCTGCCGAAGGCAAGGGTAAAACATCGGCCGAGGTGGATCGTCTCTTAGACCATGGTGGGTGTTGTTCCGCCCCATCATAATTGTGACCTCATTCCTGCCTTATGTAGGACTCGACGGTCCCAAGTGGGGCAGTTCTGAGGTTGGGGGGACGCGCTCTCAAACGAAAGCTGCCAAGGCCGCAGCAAATGCCAATGTCGATCATAAGAACGCTGAGAGTATTTCCACCTCGACAGCTTCAACCGCTCCCGAAGACATCTCTGTGCACACGATACGCGTAACGGATGCCATGTTTCTGATTCGCATGCCACTGGCCTTGTATCAAACATTCTTTCCTGATGCCAACATTGTTCCTCGTTTCCCTGCGATCGCATTCGAACTCAAAGTCCCCAAGGCTCGAAGTCTCGAGGACGGCGAAACGGATCACATGATAACGAAAACGAATGCTACTAGCACTATCAAATTTGCCATGCCTCAGATTGTACAACAAGCTCAGTTCATTTTCCATATGTGGTCCACTCTTCAAGTCTTCTGGATCGTAGGTGCCTGTGGGCGTTGGGTACGGTTCCACAGATTCAAGAGGACCACAACTCCCCCCATCGATCCAACTAAAATATGTCACCAAGAGTACTACACACCATCCCCTACCCCAGCTACGTCAATCCCTTGGATATCAGCTACGATACCGATTATCGAGGAAGATGGAGAGTACTCAGATGAGTTCAAGGCTCTCTTCAAAAAAGCTATCCAAGACACAATGGGCGAGTACAGTACCTTTATCTCTTCTTTAATCACCGAGTAATAGCATTCTCCCGCCATTACGAAAAATATCCCGTACTATTTTTTTTGCTCAACCCTTGTACCATCAACTTTGTATGCTAGATTTTAGCCATTTGCGTGATACACCCTCTTCACATGAGCTGGCAAAACGGCTCAGACATACTTAAGGACCAGGTCCATCCAGCTCGTTTGGGATAACTGTATTTCGTTGTCGCCATGAGCTCTCTCGTTCGGCGGCTGGCTCACGGACCGTGAACGAATGGGACCTGGGTATGAAACACAGCCAAGCTCCTGAAAAGGAGAAACCCCTGTAAGGGAGCTGAACTCAAGCCAGGGAAGAGAGATGGAGGCTCGAAAGTGGAGGTATGAGTATCGGCCATGTGGAGATGCGACGAGAGGTTAAGAATCCTGTCCTTAGGAGTGTCGATGTAGAGATGGTAGGTGTTGCTACACCAATGCTGAATCTTATGATCAAAGAAACCAGCTGCAGCTGCTGCAGACACTGCGCCTTGCCTAAAGCTATGGCTGGAGAATCCATTTGGTTGGAATCCAGTGTTGAGGAGCGCGAGGCGGAGATGAGTGATGAATCGTGAGCATGTGAGCAGGGATTGATCAGAGGTGGAGAACAGGGGGGAGGTTAAGTGCGAGGGGATTAATTGTGAAGAGGTGTAAGAAAGCGGAGACAGGCAGGTAGAGGGTTTTGAAACCTAACGAGTCCTCAGTCAGTGTACAAAGCAAACTAGTTGTATTGTTATGAGCCACACTCGCAGGGGGGGGCTCGGGATACGCGGACCCGCGGGTGCGCGGTTCCACGTAGACGCGTGGGGGAAACGGGGGAAACAAGGACGTACGGGCTTGGCTTCAGCTACTGGCTGCGCCTCCCACACTCTTGTGTGCCCTGTATTTCCGGGAGGAGTCCTACGCGGGTACCGAGGGTACGGGCGGAGGCGAAGGGGTGCGACGGGGGGGGAACCCACTAGAGGGGCGAGGTGCGAGTGCGGAGAAGGAACTAATATTCGAACTAAGGTAGCTGTATGTACGATACAGGACTATATACTAAGGAACACGCGGCGTCCGCGCGTTCACGAAACAGTAATGAGTTCGGTCGTAGTAACTACAATGTGCTCGAGTATGTACTTAGTCCGTAATCCGGGAAGTCCGCATGGCCGCGTATATGCGCGGCCCGAGCCCATAGTCAGAAAGCGCATGTGGGTGCGCCCCTAGTAGCCCCTAAGGGGGTCCTTGGATGCGCCTATAACATGTATATTCAGTACCTAACGAGTCCTGTAGACCAATGTTAGTCATGGTACGTGCTAAACAAGAACCCGGGTCTCACCTCAGTCAGCGTATGAAGCAAACTGAGTGAGAACCCTGGTCTGGTAAGTCCCAGGATGTAACGGCCTGATTACGTAACCACTGCCACAGAGCTCGAATCTCCAACAGAGGGGGAATTAGGAACAGCAGAAATATAAATATGACCCCTTTATGGAAGGGGTCAGTCTTAGATGCTGGGAGTGTAAGAATAACATGATTAGGGTTGTTGATGGAAGGCGTGAACCTGACTGAGGATCGGGTGATGTGAACATTAGGGTTGAAAGAGTTTGATTTGTTGACCATTATTGAAACTAACATTCCCAGACTCAGTCAGCGTGAAGAGCAAACTATATATTGCGATATATGTACCTAACGTTCCCAGACTGTGGATGAACGTTAGCCATAATACACGTATGAACGGGATCCTGGTCTCACCTCAGTCAGTGTGAAGAGCAAACTGAGGGAGACGAGGGCGCGAGCCATCCCGGGGCAAATGCCCCGGATTATCTAAGCACGTCGCGGAGTCCGAATCTCCAACAACCATGAATTCTCCGCAACAGAGGAAGCCTGTGTAGGCGAGTTTTGCAGCTGCTACAACCACTATTTCAGTACCAGGTTCCCTAGGTGCTTCAGGGGTTCCAGGAAAGATATTCAATTTAAAGAGCTTTATGCAGTCCTCCAAGCCATTCTTCATTGAGGGCACCTCTGGCAGCACTCCCACATACACTTTCATGTTGACAATCAGGCTGTTGTTGTGGCTCTATCTGACCACACAAATCAGTCCCCTCACCTCGTCAAGCTGCTGCGCTCAATACTCATGCTTGCCACCATCCTCTGATTTTCCTTTTCCTCTTCCTGGCTTTCTTCCGCTGACAATGCAATTGCTGATGCTGCCTCTTGTTTCCAATATACTCACTTATTCATGCTCACTCACCATCTTGACAAGAAGCCTTACTCAGTCAATGTAAGGGCAACCTCAAGATGGCCGCACAGCGCAGACCTAGCAGAGGGAGAATCCAAAGATATGAATAATGCTACCTACAATACATGAGAGAATACGCACCTAGCAGAGGGAGAATCCAAAGAGAACAAGATAAGGATCCTCCATGCTAGGGTGCGAAGTATACACTGTAGAAGCGTGGGAGAAGAGTGAAAGAACTGTATAGTACACCCGCCACAAGTCCGATGAATATCACAAGGTACGAACGGGAGCATGTGATAATAAGTGGAGGGGAATATACAGGAGCCGTGCCAGCGACCTGGGGGAGTGGGGACAAGGAATAACGAAGTGGGAAAGGAAGATGGAGGTAGCCCGGACGAGCCCCGAAGTGTATCTACGAGTCCGAGCGTATCCGAAGCGTCCGAGCGAGTCCGAGGCGAGTCCGAAGCGCGGGAAGACTTCGGAGTCACCGGACGGGGCTCGGATGCGAAGGGAGTGAACGGAAGGGAAGCGGGAAGGTAAGGGGGCGAAGGGAAAGGAAAGGGAATGAAAGAAAAGGGAAAGGAACAAGGAGGAAGGGGACGGGACAGGGGAAAAGGAGAAAATAGGAGTGTCCCCTTACAGACGGGACATTCCCTTCCCGCACTTGGTTTAAACATTGGCTGTTCAATGTCATTGGTTGCGAGTTTGGCGGCCATTCTTTGCAAGTGGGGGGTGTGACATGGTGTGCCAGCCTTGGCCTCTCAGAGGATGTCATCCAAGCCATTGACAGATGGTCTTCAGATGCCTGGAAGATTTATATCCGCGACAACCCAGCAGTTCATGCCGAACTCCAGCTTGCATCATCGTGTTCAAGACTCCGCCCTTAACCTACGCTCATAGCGAAATCTTGCTTCTCGTCTTCTTTTACCTCCACCGTCCCCGCAACAACACCCATATGCATCTTAGCCCTGCACTCATTTCATCCACAAATTCATTTTGGCGGCTGCAAAAATCAGCCGCCGTTTATGCTAATCAATATCACTTTGAGAAGTTGAGCTTGACAAGGTGTTTGTCTTTTTTCACACAGTAAGTTGGATGAAACACTGCGGAGCTTAACTCGCAATACGACGTGTGTTGGTTCTAGAAGCTGAAGGAGTACCCAAAGGGTACGACACTCAAGAGAAGAGGAACCAGAGATAAGAGGACCAAAATGTGGTATTTGAGAACATAGATGGAGGTGTACAGGAAAGAAGAAGTAAGTATCTATGATGTCAGGGTCGCGTATAAATAGTGGAGGGGAAATCACATGATTTGGAATCAGGGGTTTAGGAGCAGGTAAGCATTGAGCTTACACTCAACCTCCCTCTGAAGGAACAGGCACCCGCGTCTTTGAAGTAAGCAACTGAAGGTGAGGTGCATTCGGGAGGTGGAGGTGGGTCAGGGTGTTTCGCAAGCCACCTGTCGAGGGCTTCGAGGTCTTCGACCTCTGAACGAGGAAGCCAACGATCTTCTTCAGCGCTGCAGCCACGGTATCGCACCAAATACTTTGAACTTACAGGAGCCTGGTGGAAAACTAACATCATCACTCAGTAAGCAAACTATGTTGTGATATGTACCTAATGTCGTCACTATAGGCAAACATTAGCATTTCTACACATGTAGCAAATTCTTGGTCTCACCTCAGTAAGCGTAAGAAGCAAACTGAGGGAGACATGAGCATGGACCATCTTGGGAGAAGAGCCCCGGAATTCCCATGATTACCTAAGCACTGCTGCGGAGATCGAAAAAAGGAATCGCGGCGAACGTTTATGAGGGTCCGGATTGTCAGGATAACCCCTTCTACAATCAGTGCCCCTGCGTCAGACCGCTTCTACACGACGTCGAGGCGGAGGCGGGCACATCGGGCGTAACGAGGACGAGTTTCGTGCCATCATCTTTCTCAAAACCCAAACGTCCCCCCAATTACGTTTGTTAGTCAATAGTGATGTGCTAGGCCAGGCTCAAAGCCCGGAGCCTTGCCATACCTGGCCTAAGTTGAGCCCAGCCCAGCCAGGCCATGTGTAAGGCTTTTGCAGGCTGCAGGCTCGGCTTGTGAACTCGAAAGCCCGAAGCCTGAGGCTGGTGACCGGGCCCTGAAATTTCACGCGGAGACTTCCGAGCAACTGTACAGCCAGCCCACTGGCTCAGTTCTGCCCTTTTCGAGCTCGATGATTCTGGAAGTACATCTCCGAGTATGGCGCCAGATACAGTCTCTCGTACCAAGCGAGTTAGTGCCCCCTCGGCGAGGGTTATTGATCCAGACAACATCGGCGAGAAGCAATTATCCTCTCATAGAGCTGCGCAAGCTGAAGCTATTCTTCGTGCCGAAGCTGAAGCTGCTCTCCGTGCCCAAGAAGCTAATCAAGAATGGGCTTCCCACACCGGTTCATCTCCAGCCGCAACCGATCCTTCCCATGAAGAAGCTAGGATGGAGATAGAGAGAGTCGCCAATAGCAACCGTGAGTAAAACTCACCTTTGCGCCGCCCTCTTTCTTACTCCTCCATATCCAGGCCCGCTTTCACCAGTCCCTGCATCTCGTCGCAAGCGCAAACCAATTGTAGAGGACTCCGACTCTGACTCGCAGGATGGCACTCAGCCATCATCATCTCAAAAGCGAGCAAGGACAGCTGAAAGTCAAGGTGATTGTAGCACATTCACTTTAACAGCAAATCATTGCTCATTCATACCACGGTGTAGATACCACGCTGCCTGCAACGAATCAACTCGACGAAGATGGTTTTCTGAAAGACATTAACATACAGGCCATCGACAACGATACCATGTCAAATAAACGCCGGGAAGATACAAGCCGTGATCTAAATGAATTCTTTGCAGAGGCGTTTGAAGTGAGTGCCCCAGAAGGCAAGAGAAAACGGCGAAGATGTTTGAAGTGCCCACGGTGAGCCGTTCGAAAGAATCTGTCGTATTTACTAACCCTTGTTGAATGCAGAAGGCAGGGTGAAGAGCGACCGAGCTTTGTGGCAGATGTCAGTACGTTACGACGACACATTGAGTCAGCGCATCGAGTATGTATTTCGATTGTTTCTCCACTTGATGATCTGACTACCCTCTCTCAATAAGGAACCCTACATGGCTTGGTGTAAAGCCAACAAGTTCGAGCCGAAGCTTCCGAAATACCGTGCCCAACTTAGAGAAAAACAGACCACCAGTCAACAGAAAACGTTGGACCCGCACCTCAAAGAAATTCCAACACGTCTACCCCCGTACACCGACCAGGTATATCACGAAGCAGCCATCCATTGGCTTGTGGAGAACGACTTGGTAAGTTCCTTATTCATGATTTGACGCAGTTTATTATCAAATATGTACTGTTGTAGCCTATCCAAGCTCTCGAACACCCTTCCTTCCGCAACATGATCAACACGGCTGCACGGGCAACAAACGGTGTGAAACATCTGACGCGCAAGATGACACGGAACCAGATAATGGTCACGTTCAAGCGAGCACTCACGAAAATACGCGAACGAGTCAATGTCAGCCTTTTTTACTCACTTGGGCATGACATACTCATTGATGTCATTTGTACAGAGTGAGATGGTGCAAGGCCGTGTGAGCTTAACATGCGACTGTTGGCAGGCGTCAAACATTGACGCCTACTTTGCGGTAACGGCCCATTGGATTGAAGAAGAGCGACCAGGTGTGTGGAAGATGGGAATGGCCCTGATTGGTTTCACCCAGCTCAACAACTCGCACAACGGCCAACGTCTCGGCCACGCACTATACAAGATTATTGAACGGGTGCATATTCAGCACAAGGTCAGTCTTTGGCCATAGCGATCTGTCTCCTCACACTACAAGTTGGCTTACAGGTCGGACATATGACCTGCGATAATGCTTCAAACAACGACACTATGCTTGAGCACTTCGAGGAGCGCATGCACCGGGATGGACATAGATTTGATCGGAAACAACAGCACATACGGTACATGTCGGCTATCTTTCTGTAGTGGAATAACAGCTAACGTAGATGCTAGGTGTATCGCTCATGTGGTTAACCTCGCAACCCAGCTTCTTTTGAGCACATACAGCAAATCAAAGTACTACGACCCCACCAACCCAAATCAGGATCTGAATGTTGACGCTGAGGACCCTGATGAACCTCAGCATCGTGATGAAATCGGATTGGTTAGAACGATCTCAATCAAGGTACGTATATCTGAATGTTCAAATATATAAGTCTATTACTCATATGCCCTTTCTCGCTGTGATATACAGGAGAGATCGTCGTCGAAGCGCAAGGAGATCTTTGTTGACATCCAACGCAACCGGCCCGCACACCCAAGATACACCCAACCTGTCCATCTCAAGAATGACATGCCTGTTCGGTGGTCCTCTACATATTTTATGCTTGATCGTGCAGAGTCACTAAAAGAGGTATAGCAGTCTTTCCCTCGCCACCAATATTCCTATACTAATGATGATCGGTGTTAGGTTGTTGATGCCTTTATGCGGCGCCTCATGAGTGAAGAAAAGTCCCGCGTGAAGCGAGCGAAACTTGATGCACTGATTCTTACTAGTGCAGAGTGGGCGCAAGTCCAGTCTTGTGTTAGCTTGCTCGCTGTAAGCTCAAAACTATTCCACTTTGTGTCCTTCTCTCATCATCGTGATTATCAGCACTCTGATCGCGCTCAACAAGCCTTTTCATCGGAGAACGGCCCATCGCTTCACCTTGTACTGCCTGCCCTCGAGGCACTTCACAAGGCATGGACGGCACGGTCGGATCCAGCCATCTGGCCCAAGTATGCAAGATTTCTGCCTGCACTTGAAGCGGCGCTGGCCAAGATTGCGGAATACTACCAGTATACTGAAGAATCGGACGCGTATACTGTTGTAATGTGTAAGTCTAACTACATATAGTGTAGATCTGTTACTAACATCGCTCGATTTAGTCCTTGATCCGTTCTCGAAGGGCAGGCATATCGAGAAACACTGGGGCAAGTCGCTTTACAAGGAGGCACTCAAACGTCTAGAGGACTTGGTAATTATTCTTACAGCTTTATGATCTTGGCTCTCCATATCTAATAACGAAATTTGCAGTATCGCGAACGCTACGAGGAACTCTACGGCGATGAATCACAGAATTACACAACTGGACCACGTCAGCACCATTCTTCGGAGGGCCGCAAGCTCAGCAGGCTTTTTCGAGAGCTTTCTGATGACGAAGACGATGAAGATGCTCTACAGCGTCCTGCCCAATTATCCGACCCTTTGAAGCCATATTTACCGGGCTTCAACGAGTATATCCAATCACCGAATGAGAAGCGCTGTGGCCTCTCCATGATAGATTGGTGGGGGGTGAGTTTGCATCCCTCCTTTGCCATTACAGTCACTCATTATGGATATCCAGATCAACGCCAACAGGATGCGGGTATGGGCATCTCTAGCCCGCGATTATCTCCCAATCATGGCTTCCTCGGTGTCGAGCGAACGGGCCTTCTCTTCCGCCGGTATCACCATTACAAAACGGCGCAATCGTCTCAAGGGTGACATCGTCGAAGCCCTCCAAGTTCTTAAGGCCATCTATCGGCGAAACATCGTGTTTGCTGATGGATCCTTGGATGACGATGATGAGCTGGAGGAGACTGAGCAGCAAGGTAACTCAGATAATGATAACAGACGGGCTATCTTATTTGCGGATGAGGACGATGGAGAGTATACTGAGCCTGACGACGAAGATGATAGTGAGATTACTATACAATCAATAGATCCATAATTTCTGGTATACTGTACTGTTTACTGCCTACGATAAATGATAAGCCCGGGCCTGAGCCTGAGCCTGAGCCCTGCCCTCGCAAAGCCTTACTATCAGGCTGGGCTCACATTTCCACTAGGCCTTGGCCCACTATTACCTGGCCCAAGCCCGAGGCTTTTGAGCCTAGCCCGGCCCGCACATCACTATTAGTCAATAGTCAATGCATCTTCCATTCGCTTGCGTTGACTTGGATGGCGATTCGCCCTACCATCTTCATGATGCCACGTTTAAGGATGCATAGTAGCTCGTTGCAACGAGCAAAATGATCAGTGACCCTGGCATTCACGCTCGTGAAGTCCGTGAAGTCGCAATGCGCAGGGAATTCAGTCCGTTTATGCGACGCTCACTGGCGGCTATAAAGACTCATCATGACATCGGTTCTGAGTCGATCGCTAGGGGATAAATTAGATATGCCTACAAAAACAAGGGGGACTTGTTTAGGAAAGAAACCTCGACTCTTCGCACTGGGTGTTTAGGATCACTGCGCTGTGAACTTGCTGATGGACTCCCAGAAGCTATAGGGTGCATGAGGTGAGATGATGGAGATGTCCTCGGGATCTCGACTTACGCGCATCGCTCCAGAAGAGCGGGGTCAGTCGTCTCCGGGCGTATGACCAGCTGGCCGTCCTCGGTCCGGTTGAACAACATCTCCGTATTCGTTGGCGCGTAGGGCTCCCAGGGTGGAGTGATGTTGTTTTCGTCATATTTGATGTTCGGATCGAAATGGAGGACGAAATCTAAGAATGACTGCGAGAACGAGGTAATGAACTCGGTGTTGTTGAATAATCTGGGACCCAGGCTAGATTTGGAACGCTTGAGTTGTGATCGACGGGAATGGTGATGAGTGGATCGACTCACCCAGTGGGGAAGTAGAATGGCAAATCGTCCGCGTGGTATGACGGAGGTATGGCAAATATCCCCTACAAGCGAGACGTGCCATCAGCCAGGATGACTGATTGCGTCAGACACGCTACCCACCCTGTAAGCACCTGGAAAGGCTCGCAACAAGTAATATGAAGGACAAACGAAGATGGCTAACGGCTGCCATCAGTTCGATTCAGTACGTGGACTAGCACTGACTTACATTCGCCCATGATCAGATTCGCCTGTTCAGTCGGGGATCCTAAATTGCCGTACAAACTTGCGATGGCAACGCTCTGTGCCGGCGTGATACCAGGGAAGAGCTCTAGTGAGTATTGAGAGGAGTTACCCGATGCCGCGGTAGTCTGATTTACGAAAAGGGCCCCTTCGTTGGCGTTAGATATTGCGAGAAGAGCACGCTGCAAGTATTCAAAATCAGGACTGGCGTTGGCAATGAAAGAGACAACTGTACGAACTCCATTGACCCTTCCCGAACGGAGGACCTCAGTTGGACGCCGCCGAATGAATTCCCCGTCGATGACTGGGACAGTGGTCCAAGTGCCAAAGAAGCCGTCGTGGACAATCTGGGCATTAACAGTTTGGAGGATAGACGAGTTTGTAGCCCTCAAACAGGCAAGAGTATCGGCCGCGGAATTGCAGCTACGAGAAAATGCATTAATATGCGACGAGCTTTATATTGATGTGGTCTCACCCGGTTCCAGTCAGTACGGACGAGTAAATCGACTAGAAATGCCCTTAGTAACGCGAGGAAAGAAGATTAGGGGGGAAGACAAACCTCTGAACTGTATCGTTGTAAAGGTACTGGGAAGGAAGGAATGTCGAACTTGTGATTCCTGCCTCAAACAGAGGAGGACGTGTTTGCCCATCCCGAGAAACCATGTGCTGTAGTACTGAACCGGCACCCGCCGACTCCCCCCATATAACGACATGATTTGGATCGCCACCGAACTTTGTGATCTGCAAAAGGGGTCGAAATAGCTCTATGCCATATCGAGAACAGACGACATACATGTTTTTGTACCCATTGAAGGGCGTACTCTTGATCAACTAAAATACCCTGTGAGATCGTTCACAAGGACATAGGTGAAGGAAGACTTACGTAGTCCTGCGTTCAAGGCTCCATTCTCTTTGACTCGCGATCCGGGTAGAAAGCCTACGGGGTACACAACTCAGAAAGCGGGTTTAGAAAGCGGAAGGAATCACTAAAGACGCACCGAATATGCCGAGTCGATATTGAATGACAACGACCACAACCCCATTGTCTGCCTCTGTCACCAGATCCGCTCCGTTGTATGCCGCACCATTGCCAATTGTGAAGCTATCAGCAATGTTAGTGTTGGGAGCTCATAGCCTAAATACAGAGCCGAGATACACACCCTCCACCATGAATCCATACTATAACTGGCAACTTTTTACGCGGGACGGTGGGTCCTGGGAAGTGCACACTTATAATACGTCAGTGAGGGTAATTCTTTCAGCAATCACAACGACATACTTCAGAAATAGGCAATCTTCGTTCCCACCGGGAGGAAGCAATGGAAGCGAAGGGGAACTATTGATCTGTGGAACTGCTTGGGGACATTGTGGTGGGGGCGTCGTAGCATTCAGAACTCCGCGGTTGCGAGCGACAAGAGGGGGTTGAGGTGGTCGCCAGCGCAGTTCCTGGGTAGGAGGTGCGGCATATCGGATTGACAGGAAGGTAGTCACATTTGTCGATGCGTTGGTAGCGCCTCGGTATTCGGCATACCCTAGGTCGACGACCTTATCCCAACTTTGAGCGGCCGCAAGGGCAGCGCAAAAAGCCAGTAAGATGAGCATAGTAACCCTCAGCAATTCCGGAAGTCGAGTCTGAGCCCAGGAGATTGTATGGGTTCCAGCGAACGACTATGGCCACCGCTTCATGTATTTATTGGCGCGGCCTACGAATTCCGTGCGGAGCAATCAGAGAAGCGGGGTTAATCAGTCAAAGAGCCAAGATCGTCCGCAAGCAGATATGTCGTTCATCATCATACTCGTCTCCCGGATGGTCGTGAGGCAGCATGCTCGTCGGGCACAAATACGGTCTGCAAGTGGGTTTGCACCTCCACGCAGGGGCTCTCTCACATGGACAATCATCAAGTGCACGGGAAAACGGGGTAAAGAACTCCAAAGCTAGAATAGAACGACTCACCTTCCTACGCCTGCCTGCCAATGGGGTGCGCGCGATCATGTTCAGGCGTAGAAACAAGAACCCACTGACAATTCCGACTTAAGCGGATCTACATCACTTAGCATTTCGCAGAGGTCAAGTCAGTCGCGTCCAGGATTGGCATGCCCTATGCCAAGCAGCGGGCCCAAAGCGTAGGGAGAAAACCTGAATAGTTGTGTTGTCATGAGATCACCCCAGCGATGTCCGGCTGCCAAGAAGAGGGCAAACTGACAGGACAAAGTATCGTGCTTACACGTCAAACTTGGTAGAGATTTCAAGAAAGGTACAAGTGGTAACAAGGACAAGAGTAGGTTCAGGCCTGTCGGACTGCTTGTGCCGTGGGACTGCCCAAGAGGAGCTAGGGGTCTGCGGAGGCAAATCGTATCTTGTTCACATTTTTTACTGAGCGGTGAGCCGGCCAACACTCTCCCAGAAGCTGAAATGATGTTAAATCACGAGAAATCAAGTGTGTTCTAAGATACTTACGCGCATCGCTGCAAGAGTGTGCTTGACGTCGTGATGGCTCGAATATCCGACGCTCCTCCCACTGTGCGATTAAACAGCATTTCGGCATTCCCTATGAGGTGCCTTGACCACTGTGGCGTGATGTTAGTGCTATCAATTTTGCGGTTTGGGTCTAGTGCTGTAGCGAAGTCCATGAATGCTCCAGAGAAGGCAGTGATGAAAGTCGGGTTGTTGAACGCTGGAGGTCCAGAGCTGGGGGAGGACTGTGTAAGGATAATCACGACCAAGTTGTAAGAGAGTTACCTAGTGAAGTAGAAGGCTACATCCTCTCCATGACTGCCATTCGGAACGGCGAATTCTCCCTAGAGGATGGTTCAGGAGATACTACGTCAGAGCAATCACGAAACTTACCTTGAAAGAGGTCCCGGGGAAGGCATTCAGCATGAAGTATGTAGGACAAATGAAGATAGCTTCACAAAGGTATTATCTGTGAGTGACAGATTATTTAGCAAGGTCGTACGAAGACTAACATTCTCCCATAATTGCGTTCGCTTGATCAATAGGGGCTCCGACCCCGGAGTACAATCTTGCTACGGTGGCGGCATTCACAGCCCCAATGCTAGGGAACAGGCGGAGAGCATAGTCTGCCGCCGTGACTGTAGCCGCCGTACTTTGATCCACAAAGCTGTTTCCCTCGTGTGTGTTGGTCACAGCAAGGAGCGCTCTCTGGGAGAAGCGATTAAAAGAGACCGCAAGGAAAAGTTGGAAAGGCCTACACCATTAACTCTTCTCTGACGAAGCGCCTGGGTGGGTCGTTGAGTGATGAATTCGCCATCGACTACCGGAACGGCTACGAATGTTCCGAAGAAGCCAGCCCGATTTACGTTTACGTTGGCAGCTTGCAGTATCGAAACATTTGCTGCTCTCAGACAAGACAAGGTATCTGCGGAGCCACCACATCTACCAAGTTTTGTTAGCTTAACGGGGCATCATACGCGAGACCATGACCTTGCATCATACCCTGTTTGCGAGACAACCTGGCTAAAGATGCTCTATTGCAGGGAGGGGCAGTCAGAAAGGATATAAAGGACAAGGAACTACGAGCCGAACCTCTGGAACAGCCCCATCGAAGGGGTGTTGAGAAGGTAAGAAAGACGAACTTGACATCGCTGCTCTGAACAGTGGAGGGCTGGTCCTTCCATCCCGAGCTACGACATGCTGCAACACAGATCCGGCACCTGAGTGACCATCAGGCTATATAAAGCACATATGTCATTCAATACTTACCCGCTGACTCCCCCCATATGGTGACTCGATCGGGATCACCTCCAAATTTACTGATCTACACCATAAGGGGCAAGAAAGTTAGAAGGTGAACAGTGAAGGTCATAGAAGTAAACTCACATGCTGTTGCACCCATTTCAATGCGAATTCTTGGTCGACTTGACCCGACGTACGAGGTCAGCGATTCGGAGCATATGGAGGAAGGATTGTGCTCACGCAACCCGGCATTCAGCGCACCGTTGGCCTTGACCTGCGAGCCGGACAAGAAGCCTGCCAACGGATGGTCAACGCATGTTGAAGAGTAAAAGGTGACGTCCATACCAAATATGCCAAGACGATATTGGATGATGACAGTAACAACACCATTCTTAGCCTCGCTGATTAGATCACCTCCGTTGAACGAACCTGCGCCTCCAGCGACATAACTGCGGACTAAGAGTCAAAAACATCCTAAGAGCATAGATTTCGCAGGCCGACTCACCCGCCACCGTGAATCCAAAAGACTACGGGGAGTGGGCGCGCGGGGACAGTACTCCCTGGGAAGAACACGCTACCGTACATCAGGCCTGACTGTCATATTGAGGAGGTGAAACCGTGACGTACTTCAGGAACAGGCAGTCCTCAGGATCCTGTGTCGCTCTGCTGCTCAGAGAAGACGTTGGGTTGGGGTTTGTGGGTGAGTTCCCGGAGCCTGCCTGAAGGCACTGTTGTGGCTGAGTAGTAGCCTGTTGCACGCCCTCAAGAACCGGAGGGTTTTGAGGCGCCCGGAAGCGCAAGCCGCCAACGGGCGCGGCAGCGTATCGAATGCCTGAGTAACTAGAGATGTTGGTTGCAGCGTTGACGGTTCCCCGATATCTTGCATTGCCGACATCAATGATTGGAGCCGGTGCTTGGGCGAATGCCACGGATGAAAAGGCGAGAAGAAGAGGGAAAGTGCCTGGGGCCGGTACGCACCAGCGAACACGGAGATGTTGTTCAACCGGACCGAGGACGGCCAGCTAGTCATACGCCCGGAGACGACTGACCCGGCACTTCTGGAGAGATGCGCGTAAGTCGAAATCCCGAGGACATCTCCATCATCTCACCTCATGCATCCTTATAGCTTCTGGGAGTCTATCAGCAAGTTCACAGCGCAGTGATCCTATACCCGTCTAAACCCCGAGTGCGAAGAGTCGAGGTTTCTTTCCTAAACAAGTCCCCTTGTTTTTGTAGGCCTATCTAATTTATCCCCTAGCGATCGACTCCGAACCGATGTCATGATGAGTCTTTGTAGCCGCCATTGAGCGTCACATAAACGGACCGAACTCCCTGCGCATTGCGAGTTCACGGAGTTCACGAGCGCGGAGTCACTGATCACTGTACTCGTTGCAACGAACTACTATCCATCCTTAACTGTGGCGTCGTGCAGATGGTAGGGCGAATCGCCATCCAAGTCAACGCAAGCAAAGGGAAGATGCATTGACTATTGACAAACAAACGTAATTGGCGGGAGGTTTTGATTTTGAGAAGGAAGATGGCACGAAACTCGTCCTCGTTATGCGGGGAGGACGTATCCAACAATTCTCTCAAACAAATATCCCGATGCGCCCGCCTCCGCCTCCGACATGTAGAAGCGGTCTGATGCAGGGGCACTGAATAGCATGTAGAAGGGGTTGGTCTCACAATCCGGACCCTCATAAACGTTCGCCGCGATTCCTTCGTCCTTACTATACCCATGGATATTCATGGCAGTGTCCCATCCTTCGACTGAAGTCGTGCAGTAGTGATCACTGACTCGTTCGCGGAACAAACGGTAGAGTAGGATCGTCGACTTCCGCGACGTGTAGACCTTTCCTGCGTTGACCTCCTGCTTGTACCGGCTCGGGTCCACTGCCCCTGACATCCCCCCTAGAGTCGGTGGTGCAGAAATGATTTATCGTACTGTGGGTGCTGGAAGATGTCATGCCTCCATATTTAGGAGATAATCAGACAAATCTCTGAGTATATCTGGTACGTGCTCTCTTCTACCCCTTGTTTCAACTAGGTTCAACGCGACTCACGCACGTGGGGGACCGATTTGGATAATCGTAGTCTTATCAGTGACCCCACCCAAGATCCCGAGTAGTAAGCGCTTGCTCAGGGATGGTCCCTTGGCACCAATTGAGATGCCGTCAGGGAATCCGCGGCACTCTGGCACGGCCAGGCGATGATATGTAGCACCTGGCCCCGTCTACCTCTACTCAACCGCGGGCGAGCTCACGCTCTCAGCTGCGGTAGGTCATGCGATGGCAGCCTTCCACGGCGAGGGCGGGGTGCCATGTTATGTTCAGCCCTCAAATAGCGTCGGATCACGGTATTCGGCCAAGTATGTATAAGGTGGGGTGTCCTCGGTCCGGTGAAAATAGGTCGATGCGAGACGCTCCCATGGTGCATGTGTACGTAGCTTGCGAGGTTTCACGCTGGGAATATGCTGGTGAATTGACATGTTTCTTTCGTACCACGACGGGATACAAAACGTAGGGAGTTACGATCTCTGTTTATGGAAAGCACAACGACGAGATTATTGAGCCGTCAGCTCGCTCACACCCTGCCAAAAGCTACGGATACACTGAGATCAGACACTGAAGGTGGTATTTAGCAAAGAGGTTGAATGCTTACGCGCATCGCTCCAGAAGCTCTACATCTGTACTCCCCGAGTGTATATTGAGCTGCCCTTCCTCAGTACGGTTGAATATCATTTCCGAATCAAATGGTGAATAGCGATTCCAATGCGGAGTCAAGTTTCTCCCGTTTACTTTAACGTTGGGGTCAAGGTTGAGGACAAAGTCTAAGAAGGATTGGGTGAACGACGTCGAAAAGTCAGGGTCATCGAATGGTCTAGGAGAAAAGCTAGGGGGCGATCATCTTGTAGTCATTGCAACGCTAGTAGGCGATTAGCGCACCTCGGGAAATAGTGGGGTAGGTCGTCCCCATGTAATGCAGGCGGAACAGCGTACTCTCCCTATAGTACATCAGTAACTCTGAGATCTAGGGGGATATTCAATACGTTTACCTTGAATGATCCGGGGAAGGCCTCCAATAGGACGTATGTTGGGCATATGAAGATAGCTATATGGATCCAGTTAGATCGGGTCTAGGAATCACCTAAATAGTGCCCACCTTCGCCCATAATTCTATTGGCTTGTTCAATCGGTGTTCCCACCCCCGCGTACAAACGGGCAACCTTCGAACGTTGCGCTAGAGTTAGACGGGGGAAGAGATCGTGCGAGAATTGTAGAGTTTCTACTGTGCTTGCAGTGGTCTGATCCACAAAAATATCTCCTTCGTTGACATTTGAGACGGAGAGAAGCGCATGCTGCGGAGAGTCGGCATCAATGGGTGTCGTAAAACGGATACAGCACCTACCCCGTTCACGTGTCCTTTTTGTAAGACCTCGGTAGGTCGCTCCTTGATGAATTCTCCATCTACAACGGGGACGAGGGGAAATGTCCCGAAGAATCCACTGCGACAGGCCGCCACATTAGCTGCTTGCAAGGTGGTCGTATTTGCGCCGCGTAAGCAAGCGAGAGTGTCGCCAGCAGTCGCACACCTATAGGTGATATCAACGATAAGCGTCTCAGAAGCGGAACCACGTCGCAGAGCTCACCCAGCGTTAGACACGACCGAGGAATATATAGTCTAGTATGCCAACACTGTTGAGACAACCACGAAAGCCACGAGAGAAAAACCAGCGAAGACAAACCTCTGGAATTGGGTCGTCGAAGTGATACTGGGATGGTAAGAAAGTGGAACTTGTCATCGCCGCCCTGAACAAGGGAGGGTTCGTTGCGCCGTTTCGAGCAACTATGTGTTGTAGCACCGATCCAGCACCTGCGTAAACAGAGCATTCGGTGCCATAGAACGATGCCTCGTGGAGTCAAAGCCCACCTGCTGATACTCCCCATATAGTGACCTGCCCGGGATCGCCGCCAAACCTGTCGATCTGCAACAGCGGTGAGCTCGAACGCTGTCGGTAGGATGGGAACTTACATTTGATTGGATCCATTGAAGAGCGAACTCTTGGTCCACTAGGTCGCAATTATCAGACAGCTTCAACGTACACCGACAATAGGAAGGTTACACACGCAGGCCAGCGTTCAAGGCACCGTTTTCTCTGATCTTTGTGCTAGACAGGAAGCCTGAAAAATGAATCTTCAGAGACAAAGACTAGAAACTGAACGCTTTCGATGACATACCGAATATTCCAAGGCGATATTGGATGGAGACAACGATGACTGCATCGTTTGATTCACGTATCAACTTCGTTCCGTCATACGACGAAGCGTTACCCAACGAGTACCTGAGAGTTTGTAAGGGATATACTTCGAACTGACCACATGGTATATGACTCACCCTCCACCATGAATCCACGCGATGACTGGTAGCTTCTTGTTTCTTGGGCGATCTCGAGGTATGAAAACACTGCATGGACTATCAGATTAGTCCTTATAAGACACTCTGGACTTACTTCAGAAACAGGCAGTCTTCGGTGCCCATCGAACTACCAGAAAGTGGAAACGTGTCAGGAACTGTTGTATTTGGCAACGCTTGTGGACACTGCGGGGGTGGGGTTCTCGCGCTCTGTACGCCAGGGAACGTTGAGGGCGGCTGAGGGGCCCGCCACCGTAAATCTTGTGTAGGCGCGGCTGCATAGCGGATCCCCAGGTACGAAGTCACATTGGCGACATCGTCTATAGTACCTTGATATTTAGCGTAACCCAGATCAACCACGGAACTCTTCCGCTGAGCAACGGCGAGTTGAAAACAGAGCGTTGCCAGAAGCAATGTCGAGCCCTTCAGCATCTCTCCGGATAAGGGGGTCGAAAGAAGACGGATGCGAAAACCACGTCCAATGTGGGATGCCTTTTAAGCGTAGGGGTCACATCCTAGGGCGCAAGCGGATCGCTCGAATAAGCCAGCCACGCCATCTAGGTTGGGGTGTCCCGCGCCGTAGTTCTTTCCAGCCAATGGACGCGACAAGGACGCGTAATCCGAGCCATATCACCGCCCGTCATGGCACTTGTGAAACTTACGTACGTATCCCAAGACATTTAGGTAGACTAGCGCATTAGTGTTAGGCGTCGCATTCCCATGCAAGTAGCCCCCTCGAGGGGCATATGCGCTCTTGCAGCATTGTTCCTGGCCGCCGGTCGTATTCGTCACGTAGGGGTGCATGCCGTCCGCCGAATGCGGTTGAAACGTTGAGCGTTGATCACTAACGCGAGTTGGGGTGACAGTCTTCAGCTTCCTTCCCCATGGGGCCTCTGACTTTTGGTTGGCAATCAGTCATCGTACCCCATGGAACGAAAGCGCGCTCACGTTGATATCGATGCATAACTCGAGTATTCAGATGAAGTGGCTCTTATAGATGGGGAATCTCGAACAGGTTTGGATAAAGGAGGGGTCTTTAAGTTTCTGTGGCCGCGTAGACAGGAACGGTGGTTTCATCGCAGCAGCTTTTTTTTATTTCAAAGCAGCAGAAAGCGTAAGGGGTGTTAATACTTATCACTATGTCGTACACAGTCCCATTCGCATTCACTGAGCCGTCAGGTCGCTCACACTCTCCCAGAACCTGTTGATGATTCAATATGTTTACTCCCCAAAAAGAACAAGAAAGTAGCACGTACGCGCAGCGTTCCAAAAGCCCCGCGCCCGTGCTTGCTGGGCGGATATCAAGTTCCTCCCCGTCAGTGCGGTTGAACACCATTTCAAACTTGGAGGAGGAGGTGTATCGGTTCCACCGCGGAGTCAAGTTGCCGTCGTCGAACTTGGCGTTGGGGTCCGAGTTGGGACTGAGAGCGAAGTCCAGGAAGGATTGCGTGAACGAAGATGTGAAGGCTGGGTCATCGAAGAATCTTGGAGCGAAGCTAGGTAACGGGCGTGCAGGATCATCAATATCCATTGGTTTAATCCTCGGTGGAAGGGATCCTTGGCTGATGGATCCAGGAAACGTACCTTGGGAAATATTGGGATATGTCGGATCCATGGAATGCAGGCAGGACCGCGTATTCCCCCTACGAATCCAACGTTTAGTTACTGGATTCAGGGGAGGTTGCGGCTGTTGTGATTATGCCCACCTTGAATGACTGGCGGAACGCCTGAGAGAACCAAATCGTAGGGCATTGGAAGAGTGCTGGTTGAACAAATCATCGTGAGATCATGCAGACTGTTTGATTCTGGCGGCTCACTATCGCCCATAATGCTATCAGCCTGTCGAATCGGCGCACCCAGTCCCGAGTACAAACGCACGACCTCCGTGACCTGCGCTTCATTGAGGCGGGGATAAAGATCGCGCACGAACTGTGCGGCAGTCACGGTATCGGCCTGGCTCTGGTCGACGAAAATGTCCCCTTCGTTGGTGTTTGAGATGGCAAGGAGCGCATTCTACAGTTGTCGAGTCAAACAGTCAGCGCTTATGTACGGTAGGAGCCTCAAAGGGCACTAATGATTGATCCGAGTACGCACCCCGTTGACGCGTCGTTGGCGCAGAGCTTCCGATGGTCTCTGCGTAATGAACTCGCCGTCTACGACCGGAACGACAACGGATGTGCCGAAAAATCCACTGCGACATGCCTTGTCATTAGCAGCTTGCAAAATGGACGTATTCGAAGCCCGTAAGCAAGTAAGAGGATCGGTTGCATCGGTACACCTATACCAAGCACACAATATGAGTTCACTCGATGATCGATGTCGTCGGTAGGTGAAAACCTTACCCAGCGGTAGACACAACGGTGGAATAGATGCCCTAACATCCCCGGTGTAAGTGTAAGATCGAAAGGGACGGAATAGAAGAAAAAGACGGACCTCTGGGACGGGATCATCGAAGTGATGCTGCGAAGGTAGATAGGTCGAACTTGACATGGCTGCTCTGAACAGAGGGGGGTTTGTTTGCCCATTGTGAGCAATTACTTGCTGTAGCACGGAGCCACCGCCTGGAGAGCGCATTCAGAAACAGATACCAACGGCTACTACGCTAAATGGGTGGAGGGAAAGGCAGATGCTGACCTGCTGATTGTCCCCATATGGTGACTTGCTTGGGGTCGCCGCCGAACTTGTTGATCTACGGTGAAGGTGAGTTAGAGTATATGGGGGTCAAAAGCGCGACATACATGCTGCTGAACCCATTTCAAGGCAAGTTCTTGGTCCACTAGTATCACCACATTTAGAAATTTTCGACGGGTACACACAAGTACCCTGGGACTCACGCAAACCAGCATTCAGATCTCCATTCTCTTTGAGCTTTTTGCCAGCCATGAAGCCTATCACGACACGAGATCAGGGGATTGCCATGGGCGTCGATACGAAAACATACCGAATATGCCAAGGCGGTACTGAATAGCGACCACGATGACACCGTCGTTAGATTCTCGTACTAAATTAGTCCCATCAAACGTTGCGGCGCTGCTTATGATGTAGCTAAAGACGCGCACATAAGGGCATGATTACTGCCAAGGAAGCTGCAAGGAACTCACCCGCCGCCATGGATCCACACGATAACAGGTAGCTTCTTTCTTTTTGGTGGCAGTTTCCGTGGCGCAAACACGCTGACCACGCCCTCGTCTCAGTTCACTGCACTCAAGGAACAGAAGTGCAGACGTACCTCAAAAACAAGCAATCTTCGGATACATTGGTTAGATCAGGTGGCGGTATACCGCCGGGAATCGAGATGTTTATGAACCCTTGTGGACATAGTGGGGGTACAATCGTCGCGTTCTGTACGCTAGGCAACGTTTTGGCAGGTTGTGGTGCGCGCCAGCGCAAATCTTCTACTGGTGGCTGGGCGAATCGAATTCCAAGGTACGAAGTCACGCTGGTGGTGTCGTTGATGCTACCTCGGTATCGTGCATAACCCAGGTCGACTATAGGTTCAGTCGTCTGAGCAGCAGGCGTGAAGCTTGAGAGGGCTGCGAGGAGCAGCGAAGGAATCCACATTAACATGATGGATTGGGGATGAGAGAGATGTTTGTGGATGGTACTGTACAACTTTCAAGGTCTCTATGGCCTTTATAACTGCTCGTCCATCGGTGTCGATCAACATAGGAAAAGCGGCCATGGATACTAGTAGTTCGGTTCCGAGCATAGGACAGAGTCCTATGACTAGTACTTGGATTTGACTCAATGCCCGTCGGTTGCGCTTGCTAGATGAGTATATCTGATGTGCTTCCGGGAGCAAATCAGGACCGGCCATCATGGAGTTCCAGAGGCACATTGTTTGTTACTCCACGAATTCGTCTCGGACCGTTTCTAGCAAAGCCTTGGGTCCAAGGAGCAGCTTCTGTAGGAAACGTAAGTGTCATGAGTTCAGACGGTAGCCCAGGTCCGAGTGGTGCCAGGCAGTGTGCTCGAACTTCTTGTCTCTGGTCACTTGATTTGGAGCTCCTTCTAGAGATTTTCCAGTCTCTCACAAATGAAAGCCGTGAAAGCGTTCCGCACAGAACTTTTGGAAGTCGCAAAGGAACCAAAACCTGTCGATTTGAAGAGGAGCGCGGCTGGAAAGTGGCTTGAAAATGCGACAGCAGCGAGAGTACCCCTAACTCAACCTTCCCACAGCTCCTGAAATTTTGTTCTCTTGCTCCGATACACTCGTGTCTGACTCTACATACGGACGGTTCCTGAGATTCTTACGAGCACAGCGGAACGGCAGGTGGACCGCTCAGAGAACCCCGGTGCATGCGGCGCATGTTTATGTTATTTCTTACGAAAGGTCGAAGGCCAAAGTTTGAGGATAAAATAGGATGGACGTCCTTCCATTTGCTTTCAGGCATCGGATTGAAAACAAGGTGAGTGAAATATACAATGTACGCCAGGGCCTCTTACTGAAGCGCGTATAATAGCTTTCGGTGGAGCTACTCTACATATCGACTAGAACCTCCGCATATATGCTCGATTTGCTATGAGTACCGTCCCAGGTGGCACGGTGGTCGCACCGCTACTCTCAATGATCACTTCTTCACATTGATCCCGAAACACCACGCGTGAACATCAAAAAGTTACTTACGCCCATCGCTATCTTCCAGGCATTCCGGGAGGCTCGGGTATCGATGTGCAATTCCATGAACTTATGGACATGAAGAGAAGTAGGCGGCGACCTTCCTTGGTGGTACTCTGGAGTCTGAGACGATCAAAAAAGGCATGTGCGGTACCACTGCTGTGGGATATCATATACGGGACCACTTAATACGATGGCCGGGGGTTGGGATGATAACGCGATAGATAACGGTCGGTTAGTGGTTCATCCACTGGCAGCGAACTTCTTCTATAGTTTCTCTCAACAGAACAATTCGTCAAACTGCAAGGAATATTCGGCTCCTTTTCATATTACCGCCACCAACCATATACAGATTACGATAGGCACTCGCGCGAGTTAACATACTACCTAGACATGCGATGCGGTAAGCGTTCGTCATTCATAAAGACAAGTCCACTACCTCAGTCTTAGGGCTAACAGAATGAAGGTCGATTGTCAGACTATTCGCACACCCACCCCATTTATCCGGCCTTCGGGTCAACGTAGCACCCTTATCCCAAGGCTCAGAGCCTCGACCGTCCCCAAGTCTATGAAATGGATCATACAAATTCGAACCATGAACTGTCACATACGCGCAGTGTCCATCTGCACGCTTGTCGTTAATATATCCCCCAACCCTATCTGGTATGTACGTGATTTGTACGCTTACATCCCCATGCAGTGCGATTAAAGTTCCCCAAATGCTCCACCAGTAATGTTGATCTTCATATTCATTCATGGTCCATATTTACGTTGGCATGCGCTGCTTAGCGATATACTTTAACGCGCCATCTCCCGTCTCAATTATAGGAAGTCAGAATTCTTTCATCTGGACAAGCGAGACGTGGGGAGGAGAATAAGCGGACCAATGGGCGGTATGTAGGTGAGATGCGGTGGTAGCCTCGAGGCATGTCCACGTTGCTGTGATGGAATTCAATTGGTCGTCCGTAGCCTCAAAACCTCGAGCTAGGTGGCGCACGCAGCGGGAGATGCACACATAGTAAGTGGGTCACCTACATAGCGCCGTTTGTCATCGCTTCCCGATACTCTGTTTTGTAGATGTCCAGCGCCCCTTGCGTGCCCCTTCCTCTCCAGACACATCCACTGCAGCTCGTCAAATTTGTCGGAAACTCAGAACTAGCTCTTCTAGCCAGGCAAGGCAAAGAATACCCGACGGAAGAAGTCTCTGAAGACTCCACTTAACTTCCTTCAGAGTCACCTTGGCTACCAAATTGACTTATACTTCCGGCCCTCTCCTCGAAGTGCACGTGTCTGTCAAAGAAGGTGGATAATGCACTGTGTCAGGTGTGCAATGTGCCTTGGTACATGTAAGTAACACTCTTGTTCGCTTTCCTATCTCCTCTTGAAGGGTCTACGCTTGAAAAGTTGAGGCGAACGGTGAGCTCAGTCGTACCGGAATGCCGGGCCTTTTTTTCGAGCAAGTGATCATTCCACGCTCTCATATGTTCGAGATTCATTCGAGTTTTTTCTCAATTCGGAATGTCGAAGCCCATTTGTCGAACGCAGGCTGGCAGCATCACGCCGAGTCGACTGGGATCATATCAGAAGAACGCGGCGTATTGCATTCTCTCAGGAAGACTACACAATCCGGAAGTCGCTCACGCGTCAGGCCTCCAACGTTTCGAATTCAACTGCAGGCTTCTCGACTTTCAGTCCTCCCGGGCAGACGGGCTCGCCTATCTGTTGCGAAGTTCGTAGCGCGCGTGGCTTTGGAAGTCTGTAATCAAATCGACACGTAAGCTCAGGACATGCCACGGTGAGAGTAAAAATAGCGGATTGCTTGATTCGTTAGCTCCGGAGTCCCCCTATTCATATACCTTTATTATATATCTTTCCCGGCGTATCCCCTCATCGCGTTAAAACCATCACCACCACTGCCATCATCCCCCTCCCCCGCCTTCTGCGTCTACCTGCCTTGGCGCCAACGCTGATGGCACAATCCGACTCATCTTCTTCGCGGTGGGTGTACACATGTATCTCCGTGTGGTTCGCTATCACTGCACCAATAATGATCATGGACGCGCTCTACTGCCTGCTTCGGTGCGTCGCGTCGCCATCCATTCGACTTCCTGTCACTCAAATCGTGCTCACTGGATCAGACCTCGGACAATGATTGGGGGTGATCTTCATTGGGCCTTTGGGCTGTACGAGGTGTACCAGGAAGTTGATTATGTACGTTCCTCGCTTGTTTTCATCTCGGCTAAGGTAGGTTGACGTTCGTTATGTCTCTAGGTGTACGGAGTAAAGGCGTTCGAAAATGGAGAAGGGTTCGCTGACGCTGCAGGTGAGTTCCACGCCTCTTTCCCCCCACGTACACGCCGTAGACTGCGGAGGGTGCGCACGTATCCTCGTGTATCAGTCGTAGGCGTCGGGCCACTCTCACCCCCGTTACGCCCGAGGTCTCTACTCTCCCGAACAGATCACCGCTCCTTCCTCCACCGCACTCACAAATCGCGAAATCTTAATACTGACTTACTCGGCTCTTTTCCCTTCCCCTCCCTTCCTCTTCCTCTGCCTATCCAAACCGGTATACAGCAATTCTTAATTTGCTCGAGATATTCGCCAATGTAAGCAACCCATCACACGCCCTCCCGTCTATTCAATTGGCTGATTGATGAATTCTTGATTCCCGCCTCGGCTTTCGCCCATACGCTCACATCGGTGATTGATTTCGATATTGATATTGAATATTGATGTATTGCACCATGCTGTCTCCCGCATTCCCCGTCACATTTCTGCGCCTTACGAAATTTTCTCGACGTTCCAGCTCCTCTACCTCCTTACGACCCATGTTCTCCCCCATCCATGTTCTCCCCTTCTGGGCTACTCCAGCGCCCTCATGACCCTCTCAAAAACAATCCTCTATGTCACCCAAGAGTACTTCTGCGGCTGGTGCGCAACAGGCCATAACACGCTGTTGAAAGCAGCCTTCTTCTGGTACATGCCAAATTGGTGAGCTCGCCTGACGGGGGATTCCTTTCCCCGAGGGATTCTGGAGGCTGATTGAACCTGGAACGTGTTGTTTTTTTCCTCTTTAATGCTTATGCGGTCGCGCGTCCTTAACGCCATTCGTGGAAACCTTCGCACAACGACACTTCGAACTTACGGACGGGCAGCGTGTGGATACTCCTCTCTTCCCTCACAATCTATGTGCTCGGAAGAGACATCATCTCCTCATTGCGCGTAACCTCCCCTTCCACCTCCATATCGAGCCCATCATCTCGTACACCTGGCGCTAGTAACCACGAAGCGAAACTAAAACTGAACTCCGAGACGGCAAGTCAAACTCAGAGTCAGAGTTGGGTGGGAGCGAGTAGCGGTGCAGGGGGAGGTAGTGCAGGGAAGACGCTGAAGGTGCATTGATTGGGGGCACGTTGGGTTGGGGCTTCATCGCGCTGTGGTTGGCGTAGGGGCGCTTGGGACGTCGGTGCCTTGCGTCCTTGACAGTGGTGTTAGAAATTGGAGGGGGATGGTGAGGTGCGGTCGGTGTATTAGAGGTGCGGTCTGTGGTCGTTGTAATAGAGCTCGGTGGCTACATCTGAGTTGTCACTTTCCTCTTCTTTCGAGTCCGCGAGACAACCGAAGGCGCGCGATCTATCGGTTGCGCGTGAATGGCTTTGTTGCTCCCTCTGGATGCGAACTTTCTTTGTCTAACCGACCATCGCTGACATGTCTAGGGCCACCTTTCCTTTCAACATGACAACGCGCGAAGGGTTTCACGTCGTCAGGTATATTGATTCATCCGCCTTCACAATCACCACTGAAATGTTAGCAACGTAGGAGTGGTCTTTCAAAGATAGTGCAACGCCTGGCTTACTATGCAAGCTTTGCTACCGAGAGTCAACACGCTGAATCCAGCCAAAGATGGTAAACCTGCTATTAGCCAACGCGAAGTTTGGAAGAAGTTCTCTGAATCTCTCGATAGGCGCGCGTACGGGCGCATCTGCATCTCATTCATAACTCACACACAGATGCCTGAGTTCTATGTCCTGATCCATCGCCCATCCCACCAGCCCTGATCCTGCACAGCTCACTGCTATCGCGGGCTCACGGCCCCTTGAGCTTAGAAAGAATTCGTAAGGAAGTCGAATCGATGCCGTATGCTGTTGGCCATCATCGATGGTGTCATTTACCGCAGCTTTCGTGTGAACGACACCCGAAGTTCCACTTCGTTTGTCAGTTGGTCGTCAGCATTTATATCACCCTCGTACGTAAGTATACAACGCATATCCCACAGCGCTTATAAAACGCGTGAGGTACCGACTCGCTTAGCATCTGCGTTTCCTCTAATTCGTCGGTCGAATGCACTTTCCTGGATTCGTTCTCCGCCCTGCGCCGTCGTGTCAGCCCAAGCGCCAGCTCCTGTCATCGATGTAGGCAATGCTAAGTATCAGGGTTCGTCGATCCCAAAGCCAACATCTCCGTCTGCTTGGGAATCCGATACGCCGCTGCCCCTCTCGGGGAACTACGATGGCAAGCACCTCAGAGCCCGCCGATTTTCCCTGATAACCAGAGTGCAGTGACTCAGCCACCTGAATGCCCTCAAGCATCCTGCGGAAAGTCTACGGGTGAGATGGTTCACGTCTTACTCGTAGCTCGGAGTTGACGTCGCCATCATCGCCTTCGGCGCTGCTGAGTACGACGGGCGGGATCTCATCAATGGAGCCGGTAAAGAAGTCGTTGCTGTTGTCATCCAATACCGTCTGGGCGTGTTCGGTACGTGTGTGACTAGCTCGGGATTGCAAGACCCACCGGCCTCTGTTCAGAGCGGCGTGTCTCACAGCTACAATCGTATTTACACTCACATGTCCACGCTTTGTTGCTTGTCGCACATCTACAGCTCTCCGCCACTTACTTGCAACAACACGGCTTTCGGGACGTCCTTCGCGCAATTGTTCATCAACGCTGCCCGGTTTACGGACCCGAACTACAAGTTTGTCAAGAGCAATATTACGTCGCCATGGCCGAGGTTCCATCTAAGAAATACAGAGATGTTCAGCAGAACTGAGGGTAGACAGCTGGATATTCGTCCCATCGGGACTGATAACAAACTCCTTCAAAGATGCGCGTATGTGTCTCTTATGTACTCTATGCTATCTCTTTAATCCTCCTTCAACTTCTGTGTATAGATTCTGGGAGAGTGTTAGCCATCTCACCTCTCAGTAGTTCCTTCGAAAGTCGGAGGGTAAATGGAATGATTATCTATATGTCCATATTAACGCGACTTTTCGCAAAACATGTTTATTGTATTGGGTCTACGTTGGCTCAATCTACAGTCAATCAATCAATTGATTAATCAAATTTCTGCGATTTACAAGGCTATCCCGGATGAGAGAAGGACATACTAATAGGAGAACTCCTAATCCTTTCTCACGTGCAATCCCTCCATTCGTGACGTCACGCGTATTCTGGAACAGTGGGGCCTCCAGAGGTCGACAGAACTTGTCCTCAACTGCCACCACCACCACCACTGCCGCCACCACCAACAACAATAACAATAACAACATCAACAATTCTGACTTTCAGGCGAGATGACCAGCGCGCTTCTGGGCAAAGCAGGAAAGAAGCTCTTCGAGAAGCATCTGGAGCAGTATGCCCCTGCAGACCCGAAATATGAGTTCTACGTCGACGAGCACGGCAAGCAGAAGCGTAGAAAGGTGCGTTTTGTGAATTGCTGGCGGGGTTAGCTCATTGTATGCCGCAACAGAGAGAACTACCGCCAGGACTCTCTGTGCGGGATGCCAAGATCCTCAAGTCAGTGAAGAATCGAGCGAGTCGGCTCGACAGAGGGTTCAACCTCTGCGGATTCCGATTCGGATACACATTCTTCATCGGTGCGAAATGCCTTACAATTATCGCAATAAGCTAATCTCTAATCACGACTCCACAGGCCTCGTGCCCGTTGTGGGAGACGTCACGAACATCGGGCTGAACTATTTCCTGGTTGTCCGAAAAGCGAAACAGGCAGAGTGAGTCCTCGGCTCCATGACGCGGTCTTTTAAACTCACCGACGTCACCGTTCCCAGCCTGCCGGATTGGCTGGTTCGGCGGATGCTGTTTAACAACGCGCTCTCCGGGGCGATCAGCTTCATCCCGTTCGTGGGGGACGTCCTGCTCGCGATCGTGAAAGCGAACTCGCGCAATGCGGCGCTGCTGGAGGAGTTCCTGCGTGTGCGGGGCGAGGAGTTCATCGCGATCCGGGTGGAGGGCGGAGACCCGGATAAGATCCAGAAAGAGGCGGCGAAAGCGGCGAGGAAGAAGGGGAAGGAGGGCAAGAAGGGGAAGGACGCAGGGCGGTCGGAGGAGATCGCCCCCGGGGTTACGAAGCACGACGCGGCGCAGGTGCAGCCGGGCGCAGGGCGCGTGCAGGGCGAGACGATCGGGGGAAATGGTCATTAGCCTGCCGCATCACCGACTCCTTCATGGCGCTGACGTCCCGCGTGTGTTTGTTTTTATTTTTCTCGCACAGGGCTGGCACCTGCGCCTGCTAGTGCGGCGAGCACGCCTGCCAGCAGCGGCGCGAACTCGAAGTCGGCATCATCCAGGTCGGTTGGGAAGAAGGGGTTTGGGTTTACGTGGGGGAGGAAGCAGGGCGCGGCGGAGGGGCGGCCGGGTTTGTCTGCGAATAGGGATAGTCGATTCTTCGAGGACATTGAGGCTTGAGTATCATCTACTGCGTATCGGATTTTTTGTATTCATGGACGGGCTTCGCCCTTTGTGTTTTTGTTTTTGTTTTCGTAGCTGGCGATCATTTCTTCCTTTGTATTGGAATATCGAAACTTTCAACTGGCACGCTTGCTCAAGTATGTATTTCCGTTCGCTCGCCTATCTACATACGCATATGTCTTTACTCGGGCGTAGCTATATGTACCTCTTAATTATCCAAACAATCCAATCGGACAGCGATTCGGACTCCTGCTCGATTCCCGCCTTCAAATTTCAAATTTTCAAATGCTCTGAGCTGCTCTGAGTTCATGCATTCGCTGCAATACGGGCTATTACTATTATCACAATTTACTAGTACGGGCAGCACCCCTTCGTTGCCAGTTGGCTCATGGGCGCTCCCTGCGACGTTTGCTCCACATGCCAGATTCTACCGTGAAATGGCTATGCCTCAGGCCCGGATTCAAGAACTGGCGGCTCTTTACGACAGCGAGATCAAGTCTCGATGCACTCCTGTATCAGTATGCATTATGTCGGTTGGGCAAATGCGCAATGCCGCCACGAGGATTCAGGCTTCCTGCGCAGATTTTGCCAGTGGCGCAGACTTTTGTTGGATTTTTGGCGTCGTGGCGGACAGATTTGGTGGGGAGGCTCTTATGGGTTATCGTCCGTTCCTGTGGTTGATGGCTGGCAGTTACGACTTACATAGGTCTGCAGCAGCTGGCGCAGCGCCGCTCTGAACGACTCAGCCTACGTTGTGGACTGACCTCATTGTCACTCATCATTCATGTGCACCCAGGCTCAGAGTGGAGTCGCGAAGCTTTAGCACGGTCTAAAGTACTTAGCTCCGCTCAACGTTACACGTCCGGCAGTTCGACGCCCTCATTCGTGCAGCCTTGCTCGAATCTCCCGAGCGACTCAAGACTTTGACAATATAGACGGCGGCGACGTGGCTTACCCTTACGGCATCGCCGAACTGACAAAGCCGACCCCCGCCCCGGAGCACGTCCACATCGTTGCAGCCCGGGCAGAGTTCAGATTTCCTTCCGATTTCTTGGGCGTAGTCCGTGAGGTACTCAGAGACCCTGATGTTGCCGGAAGAAGCAAGTTGGTTGCCTAACATGACGAGTTTGGAATGTCGTGGTTCCCGCGACAGCGACTTGGCTTTGTCCCTTGACCTCCCTACGACTGGAGTTGGGGTGGGATGGTGGGATATAGCAAACAGGATAGAAGTCGCATTTAAGCCCGCGTGCCGCTTCTTCGACTTGTATCGTGATAGCACAAATACGGCATACCTACGGCAAACGGATGAGAGGTCAGAGGTTTGCAAGCCTTTCCACTCCGCTGGGGTCTTATATTCAAGTACTTCCGTCGCCCGACTTGTCGAGCTTTATGAAACCCCTTCCCCGCTGCGTCCTCCGTCTGTATGTCGTCTGTGCGACCGATACTGCATACCGCTCCTCGCAGACACCGGGCCTCACAAATTACGACACTATCGAAGAACTCCGGCTTAGATTCAGAAGCCCATTGCGCCGCTTTCTTGAACTACCAGCGGACGACGTAAATGCAATCCCTTTTCGATTCCCGAGTCTTCGCCTCCTCCGTACACAAGACACCAATTTCACCCTCAATCCTGAGCTGATTCCCCAGCCGAAACAGTGGCTCGAACGACGGGTAACTAACTCGAAGATAGGCGACCTTGTCTTCGAGGGCTGTAAGCTTTCGGCGGAGGACGTTAAATCTCTTGAGGGAGTGCTGCTCGTTTGCGTCCGTGCCCTATTGAAATCCTTGATTCGGTGCATGAGCGACACGAGCCTTACCCCGTTCTCTGCCCAGTCGTACGTATCACCTCGTCCTCCGTCCTTCTGAACGGCTATCGTGCTGTTGGCTTTCCGTATATCTGACTCACCCTTCGAATGTCCTCAAACCCCTCGTGAGCAGCAGGTAAGACTTAGTAAAATATGTACGCCGTACGAATACAAACAGTGTATATTCAAATTGGGGCAAGTACGTCGAACAGACGCACGCGTCCGACTAAACATACTCCCAAGTGACTTCTGCCGTACCAGCATCAAGAGGCGCAATCATCTTGAACGCGCCCGGTGAAAGGTCGAGCGCGAATCTTGAGCATCCTTCGCAGCGGTCTACAATGGTGGCGTCGACTGCCCGCCCTTGGTCTGCGGCGAATTTTTACCTCAATGGCTTGGCGCGAACGAGCGGCACTGACGACTCACGGTGAATGACAATATGTTTAAAGCAGTGGTTGCTGCGAGAGAACTCTTCGGAGGACAGCGCGACGACATGGTCTTCGTCGTTACTGTGAGCTCCGCAAGCCCCCATCCCGGTGTGGTACCAGGTTGCTGACCCGGGGTCAGCGGGGTGCTTTCGGTGGCCAGCGTGATTCGACATACCTTGTCCTTGGTTCGCTGCGGCCGCCCAACGAGGAAACACCACAGAAAGCGAAAATACGGTAACCAAAGCGAAGCGACACGCTGAGAACATCTTGATTTCGAATTTGGTAATGGCGGGGTGTAGTCTTGTGTGATAGATTGTGTGGTCGGTGGGTGCTAATGGCGGCGAGAACGAGCGGCGGTGTAACGAATGTGGTGGCGATGGTTAGTTGGGGCGAGGCGGACGCGTAGTCTGTGGGGTGAAGGAGAAAGTGAAGAACCAATTTATGTGCGTGGCTGACGGGGTGGCTGGACCGATGCAGGCGCGAATTTGATCGGTGAACATTGGCGATCTCGGCAAATTTTTATGTTGTCCGGCGATAGATTTGGAAATATTTTCGTTCCTCGGCTTGAACGAGCCTTGGGTAGCAGTATCCAGTCTTGGAAGGCAGAATTCATGATTTACCGCCGTGTGTTTTTCCGTGCATAAGTTACATACACGGGCGTACAAGTAACTAGTCCTTTCGGAACTCCCGAGTCGGAAGTACTGGGACAAGAGTACCGATGTACATAGGTTTGTAAGATGGTGATAAATCATATTATTGTCAGCCAGTTCGTATCGAGGTGCACAGTTGAGGCCGAGCAAGCCCAACACCCCTAGCCCCTCTCTCAGACTGTCAGCCCTAGGAAAGCAACGCCATATAGGTTGCCCCGCGGCGCTTCATCTCTTTCATTCCAACCACCATTACCTGCATAGATCCAGAAAATGCAAGTTGCTGCTTCTCCCATCGTTTTCGGCCATGCGGGCATGGTATTCTCCTCGTCCCTTTCTGCATCGAGTTCCACGTTGTCTTCCAGCAGCGCTCCGTCGATATTTGACTCGCGGAGTTCACACTCGAGCTCGCAGACGGATTACTCCCCTGTCCTAGAGGGGCCCAAGATGCCTCGTGGAGACGCATGAAATACTCGCACAACTACGAAACTCAGGAAGCGCCTTCGTATTTCGACCTGGATCTAGAACAACCAACTCCACGAAGCTACACCTTCAATTTCGTTCAACCCGTAATTTCTGATCCTGGGTACGAGGCTGGCAGCGAAGGACCAGCTGGTGGCGCTCCGCTCAGAGAAAGGCTGACCAAGAGGAGACCAACGGAATCTATCAAGGAACTGGGACTGGCATCTTTACGACACGCAGAGGGCGAAGGGGACTGTAACTGCCAAAACGTTTCACCCAAGGAAAGCTCGAACTCTTTGTTGGGACTCGGGCTCGGAATGCCTCCTATGGTTCTTCAGGATGAACCTCGCATCGCTTCACACCCCGCGACCGTACCATCTTCCGCTCGTCCCGGACTGCAACGCTCTTCGACCTCCAAACTTCGCCTCTCATATCTCGCAGGGAAAATACAGTCTCTGGCCATTTCTCCGCTTGTTAACAAACTACACAAAGCTGGTCTTGGTAGTCCGAAGTCGCCCCAAACACGCCAATCGCCCCCGACGGCTCCGTTAAGCCCTCAAGTTTCGGATTCGCTGACGGCTGCGTTGAGCCGACCTCCATGGACGGGCTGTTGGTCTGATTCCGCTCCGAGTATTGACGATATACCAAAGCCACAGCTACGGGCGACTCAACTCGACGATATCCCATCGCCGCTGCTCAGCCCCTTGCAGCTCTCTCCTACGATGGCTCTGGATGCAAAACCGAATACAGGGACTCCGGTCGGGCATGATACCTGCATGACGGTGGAGCGTTTTTTGGATTACTATTCTGGCTCGATATAGTTTTTGTAGCACGCAATCAATATAATGATCCGTTTCTCAGTCAATAAAGGAACGTCATTAGCTATTACAATGGCGAGAAAAGAGTATTGTACATAGGTGCCTCGAGCTCGTGAAGAGCATTGTTCGTGAACTACTAAAAATCATGACGCCCGCGAAACAGACGACCGAAGCTTCTTACTCGTTCGAGTTTGCGAATCAACAATTCTTTTTCTCTTCCCTGTCTCTGTGGTCGCCGCAGTACTGCCACCAGCGGAAGGGAGGGAATCTGCTGAACGACGCTGAGTTTCCATTGTACTGGCTTCCTGACGAGGCGATGGATCGACTGGCGAAATTGCAGAATGGGGGCGGGCGTAATGATTCTGTGGAATGGCAATTGGGCCATGCGGCGCTATTCGTTGGAGACCATGTTGGGGTACGTCTGGACGTGGTCTACGCGCCTGATGATCTACCCCTATTTCAGCTCCTGATCTGACACCACCACTTCGTGCAATTGAAGAGCCAGCTGGCGACAATCGCGTCGTTGGAGACTCTAGCTTGGGGCTTGGCTGGACAGACGCAATTCGAGACATTGAACTAGTGTTGGAGACCCCATGAGTCGGCGCTGCGTACGTTCTTTGTCGTTGGAAAGCGGACAGATGGTCGCCAGCAAGCTCCTCCTCCAGAGACATAGCGAGAAGTCCCGGATTTGGAAGTATTGTTGAGGGACGCGGGTGCGCCATCGGATTCGGACGGCGTACCCGTTGTATGGTTGCGACAGCACGAGCCATTTTCTGTCCATGACTTGGGTGAAAGCCTGGGAGACTGCACAACGGCCGCGGGGGAAGGTCATCCAGAAAGAATAGGGCAAACCGCGGGTTCGAGCTCCAGTAGGGGTCATATCGTTTGTAATACGTGGTAAACATCTCAGCAGAACCGGGAGTCACCCGGAGGCCTAAGAGCGCTTGAACCTGATCCTAAGGGAACCAGTCACGATTACATCAATTATATTGCCCTGGAACATCTCATCAAATTCTGACTGACCCACAGATCGCATCCATTTGCCTGTTGTTGGTTCCTGCTCGGAGGTTCTGCTGCAATTCGCAAGTGCTGTGTTCGTTGTGACTGAGACATCGATTTTGAGGCTTGAAGTCGACTGGAGTGGCACTGAAAGTAACAGATGGTTGGGAGGTTATGGTGGTGGTTCGGCAGTGAAAGAGATCTTCGAGTGGAGAACATGATATTTATATGAGGGCAAGTTGTTGTGGCTCGAGCATGAACGCAGTGCATTGTTCTTAGATGCCAAATTAGGACACATGCTAATGTGGCCAAGTTCGACCCTTGAGCTTGGGCCCCTTGCCACAATAAGAATACCTGTTGCCTTGTTCCAGAGGAAGGATGACAGTAATACGAAGAGGACAGGATGTGGATGATTGCTGTCATCTTCGTAACTGGGAGTATTGCAGCTCACTGGACTGTAACACGGGCCGCGAGGGGCACTAGCGAAGAGTACACCAACAAATGTACGTACTCTTGAAACACTGTTGCCCCGACCGTACGAGGTGACAATTTGAGTTTATATTTCGTACACTAGGGTTAAGGTGACTGATACGACTCTGATTGCGCATAGGCAGACCGTGGAAGTCTCTAGTATATCACCACTTCGCGTATGACAAGAACTTCCCACTATCGGGGAATGAGCGAGATTTGCTATTGCCAAAGACATACGTGACTTACTCGAACGTCAGGACGACCCGATCACCTTTTGGATCAGGCTTCCGGTCAACGTTGATCTTGCAATCAATCATGGACATAATTCCATCGCCGAACTATAGCACAGAGTTGGTCAGTCTTCGCTATCCAGGATGATGTGACGCACCTTTTCATGAATCACAGCCTAGAATGAAACCTTGCGATTAGAGAAGCCACGTTGTAGGGGCGCACTGGTTGATGCTTACTTTGATGGCGTGTCCGTAAACCAAGACGCCCTACGATAACAAGTCAAATTCGCCAGCACGGTGCCATCTGCTGCAGCCGCACCTCGTACAAACGATAGATAACAGGATCTGTAGGAGGGATGGGTCCGAGCCCACGATTGGGCCACCAGTGGTCTCCTAGGTCTTGAACTAATTCCGCCGTATTGACGCCGACTACTTCTGCGACCTTCTTGAGTTCATCTGGAGTGAATTTGGCCTGCAAGAAGTAAGCACGGAGAGCGGAGGAGTTGCTAGAAAATAACAACCTGCCCATAGAAGGCGGAAGCGACCCATATCTCGTCCTTACCAAGCTCCTTCGCGATTTGGTCAAAGGTCAGGCCTAGACATGGCTCGGCTCTCAAAGAATCTCCATCCAACAGGCAATTCACCTTTACGAGCTTTGCCCTCGAATAGTTGGGCAATAATAGGTGGAAGATTCGCAGTTGTAGGGACTTGCTGTATGGTTTATCAGTGCCGCTCCAGGGGAAACTTATGAAGACCTCACCACGCCTGATGACATTGTTGTAGATGATGGGACCCCACTTCAACGGAGCTTTATCTAGTCTCACCGCCCACGCTGAGCATGAACTCTCCATTAATCCTTCACGTGTCCTTAGAATCAGTGAGAAACCGCGTTCGGCTTGGAATATATCCGCCCAATGCGCATGTGTAGATTGTGCGTAGATGATAGATTTTTCGCAGCGTCAGTCAGCTGTTGTCGCCTGACCTCCTTTAGTTAAACCGGCGAAGCATCTCCGGGCCTTTCAAGTCCTGGGTTATGCAGTCAGAGAGCGGCACCCCCAAGTAAGGGATATACCTACAATATGTTAGGGGCCCCACCGCGAAGCAATCAATCAGAACTTCCCTGCCACGAGGACGTTGGTCGTAAAGGGCAACTTTCTTTACCATGAATTACAGGGTTCCTTCATCATGCGCAAAGCTATCTTACATCACCTCTACTGGAGCGCCCATAGCCCTTCTTCCTAAAGGATTCACCACATCCTCAGGCCTCCCGACCCCTACGAAACCGATTTCGTCCTGGCCTTTGGGGAAGTCGGCCGGCCGTTTACCTTTCACGAAGTCATCAAATTGTCCCTTGACATAAGCCTCGTTCTGCGGCGTTGATGGTACGGCTGGTATATACATCACTAAATAAATGATAGGTGAGGATAATTCCATCGATAATAGAGCATAGAACGTACCTGCAGAATCTTCCTGACCGGTATGCTCTTCTTCCACGGAATGAATCACATCGCAATGCCAGAAGACCATATCTCCTGGCTTCACTGCTGGTACGGAAGTCATCGTTTGATCGAGTCTGAGATGTGGATGGAGTGCAGGGGTAGGGCGAGGCCCAGCGAATCCACCATCCCTAGGGAAGATACCAGGAAATTCCGGCGTAGAGATATCTAACAAGGTCGTTCAACGGGCATGCGGGGCAACGAAAGAAGTCGGAATATATCTACCGAACGCCCAGTTTTGGGGGTCAAGCAAGGCTTGGGGATCCTCGGTGACCCGCGGGCGGAAGAAAGGGCGAAGGATTAAGTACGCGTTGGATATCAGCACATCGGGAAAGACCTTGAGGGTTCCCTGGGTTGGTGCGGTTTCGCTGGAAAACCTTTAGTAAAGTCTGAATCAAATTGACAAAAAAAAGAGTAAGAACCTTAACGCAAGCCACCCTTGAAAGGTTCTAAATACAGTGGATTGATTCGGGCGCCCATAAAGAGACGAACGCGCGTTAAGGCGACCTTCTAAGTCATACGGATCGTGTGCACGCCAGTTCCCAGACAGTATATCGGTAAAACATGTTCTGAACTGCTCGTCTTGCCATCGTTCAATTGCGCCCCCTTAACGCACCAAAGTCATAAGCGGAATCGTAATCAGTCACGTTGTAAATGTAGACATACCATCAACATGGGGAGGGTGTACATCCCAGCGAATACCTGGGCGGCGGATACGGAAGCGGTCGGCGTAGGATAGTGGGGTCGAAAGGTCGACTCCCTCTGGGGTTCGTCCAGATTTAATATGATACAGGTTGTTCGCCCAAACTTGTGCCGCTAGCATGTTAGGATGCGACCTCGCGAGAACCTGGGACTTCGTCCAACTTCATTTAATCAGTTCGCAGGTACACAGGGTTTAAGACGGTTGGGATTTACAAGAGCTGGAAAAATTGCTTGTTGTCAGGAGGAACGCCTTTAGAAAATTCAACAAAGGTCGTGAACTTTGTGGCAACGAAAAGGATACAAATACACTAACCCTCAACATCTGGATTCGACTTGATGAACTCCTCCAATGCATCCTTCCACCCTCTCGCCTCTGCATCATCTACAACGTCTCTAATCACCACGCACCCCTTCCGCTTGATGCTCTCTATTTCGGACGATGTCAGCGAATCCAATTGGCTAAAATTTACTTGGGCTATGCTCTGCCATAATAACACATCATTTAAAAAACGTACGTCTATACTTGAAGCACGCACCTCGGACCCCCCTTCTGCGATACTCTTCGTAACCTCCTCCAACGCAACTAGAATCTCATTCCATGCTTTGGTAGCCCGCTGCTCGAAGTCAGGATACGAACTGGCGATTTCCTGCTTCAAATCCACGAATCGCGGGGGCATACCGCCATTCAAACCGGTCTCCATGATCCTGAATCGCTGGGAAGCTGTCAGTCAAGGCGAATTCTCATCCCTTATATACCTGCGCACGGGAACCGCTGGACCGAGAACTCGGCGTACCTCCCTGGCGAGATAAGGCATCTATTTTTGCATTGTCACTCTGAATCCCTCGGGCAACCGCCTGCAGCAGCTGACACCGTGTCGTCAAAGGATGAGAAGAAGGAAAGCGCTGAGAGTATGGGGTAAGTTGATCCGAGGTCCTTCCGACTGATAGGGGTTCGAAGGAATGTGCGTGAGTATTAAAAACGTGTCCAAGATCCATGTAAGTAGTAACTAGAGCTCTAAGATAGCGGAGATGAGAAGCAAGAAAAGACCGTGCGTTGGATGGGGTGTTATGAGGCTTCTTCCTCCTCTTCCTCGAAGTCACCAACTTCTTCGTCTTCGTCAACGCTAGCTTCTTGATACTGCAAAGGTAAACGATGTGAGATGTTGCACGACCAAAGGAGGAGAATGTGATGCTTGCCTGCTGGTATTCGGCACTGATCATCAGGGAGCAGAATCAGTAAAGCGGTTCAATGTGACGGAAACTGAAGGGACGCACATAAGATCCTGGACGTTACTCTCGGCTTCCGTAAACTCCATCGTATCCATGCCCTCGCCCGTATACCTAGATAGACGATAATAAGCACCAAATTACTTGACCCATCGTAGAGAGAGGTACCAATGGAGGAAAGCACCGCGCTTGTACATTGCGGAAAAGCCTGTGAGCGTGCGCTTGAAGAGTTCTTGGATGGAAGTCGAGTTGATCAGCGCAGTAGCGGCCTAAACATAGCCGCGTAAACAATAAATCCGACCCTCATAGTGGAATGTGACTGCTTCAAGCTTACTTGCGTTTGGCCTACAGGTGGGACGGAGCACAGAGAGACCGACACATTATCCGGAATCCATCTGCAACGGTGACTCAGTAGGTCCTGCGAAACGGGGAGGGTAACAGCAACTTACTCGACGAATTGCGCAGAGTTCTTGGTTTGTAGATCACGTATAGCAACCTGCGGAAATCAAACGGTCCAGACGAAGCAAGCGGGTGAAACTATTAAGGCACGTACGTCCACCTGCGAATATGGTTAGTACGAAACTTCCAAACAGGTGTTAAAGGACGTACATCTCGGGAGCCGTTCTTGCCGCGGAAGATCGTAGCAGCCGTTAGATAGCGACTAATCATGGTAAGATCACATCACATCGTACTCTCTCAATCAATTCGATATCGACCTACCCATAGCGAGGATCACAGGCAACCAGCAAATTGCGTCGGTCGAAAAGTCTACAAGCAGAGCACGCGTCAGTATCACCCTCACTGCAGCCAAAACGCCCGGTGAGAATGTGTACGCACTGCTGCACCAGCTCAGGAACGGACGACTTCTGGAACTGCTTGGCCTTCGGGTCGTACAGGGGCGCGTAGCTCGGCATGAGGAAGTGCAGCTAAAAAAGCCAAAAAGAAATCTGTTGAAGATGATGAAAGCCCAGAGAGAGTTATTGACAGTAAACTGACGCGCGGAAAGGGGATCAGGTTCATGCCCAGTTTACGGAGATCGCTGGGTACGGCGGATGAGGTGGGTGAAGAGGAGATAAAGACGAAAGCGGACATACCCGTTCAGCTGCCCGGGGAAGCGCAGACTCGTGCTGACCCCGCACATCACCCGCGCGATAATCTGTGGGGGAGTGAGACGCGGAGCTCCTGTCACAGTACGACGAACTGACTCCGTTCAGATCCGGGAACGTTGGAGCCTTGACTTTGAGCGTGCGCATTGAGATGTCATATCTGAGAGCAGGTGAGTCATCGGCGCGGGGGAGGAGGGCGTTGCACATACAGTGCTTCGTTGTCGATGCAGAACGTGAGATCACCGCTATCGACCAGTTGGTGGATCGAGAGCAGCGCGTTGTAGGGCTGCAAATGCCGTGAAGACACAATGGTATTGGGAGTATATCAACTTACTTCGACAACAGTCTCTGAGACCTTTGAGACGGGTGAGTAAGTCTAAGTTTCGGCCATGATCACCATACCTTGGGAGACGGTAATATCGAGAATGTGGCAAGCATTCGGTCGGGGTACTCCTAATACCAGAGATCAGTGCATCGATGCCGCAGAGGCATGTGGTGACAAACTTCACGCAGTTTCGAGAGCAGCAGCGACCCGAGCCCCGCCCCCGTTCCACCTCCTAACGAGTGCAGTAATTGAAATCCCTGGAGAGATTCGCAGTTCTCCGCCTGTTGCCTAACAATTTCCTGCGAGCGCCGCCGTTAATTAACTGGTCGCTTGTCGAGGTATTGATCATACCAAAATAGAATCCACAAGCTCAGCACCTGTGCAATGCGTCAGCGGGTTAACAGGACTGGGTCGTGCTTGACTAACCTTCAGTGTAGACTAATTGCACACGTGAATGAGACACGAGTAGTTTCAGAGACACGAAGTCGGCTCACATCCCTTTGCCCAATTATTGCCTGCTCCGACTTCGCCTGTCAAGAACGTGTTCGGGCGGAACAGGTGCCCCAAAGGTCCCCCTAGAATCTACAGAGCCGCTGTGAGCCCCCTCGACATTACTGACGCGGTATGACCGACATACCCTATTACATACGCCTGCCTCGAGGTCGACTTGCACACTTCGCGGCACGTATTTTGAGTGACCGTCGGGATTGACCTCGGTGAAGTAGACCCCAGCCTGTAAATCTATTGTTGCAGCGAATCGATTGAACGCAGCCATGGCACCAACTCACCCTCTCGATCTGCTGGGGATCAGATCCTACATACAGCTGAGACAGGTCAATTAACCTCAAGCGCGAGTTCAAGAAGGTTCAAATTTTACTCCGGACTTATCAAGACCATGCTCCGCCAGGAGCATCTCCCAGAAGCTTTCCCCAACTTGATTCCCGGCCTAACAACGAGTTGTTGATCAATTGATACAAGAGATAGATTCTGTCAAAGTTACCTGGCCGGCCTACGGAGACGTTAAGCAAGAACAAAGCAGATAGGGTGAACATACCTGGATATTGATGATCTCGCGTGACAGCATGGAGGTTCGGGAGAACAAAAGCACTTAGGAAAAGAACAAGCCTTGAAGCGATTCTGAACAAGCGCCAAACTTTTGTTGGTGCAGAATGATCGTGCGAACTCGTTTGGCGCCCGATACATAAAGCCCCTGACCGAAGACCCTGAAACTGAGGAATTTCTTTATTAGTGCAACTGCCATCGTAACCAGAGTTAGTCATGATTCGCCAGCACTCCAGGGTGTGCGGTTGAACGTCGAGGATTCACGTAGCAGGGATGATCTAATACTGAGAGATGGGTAATGATCTCTTAACCGACTCTCGCAATGTTATCAAGCGGTCACTAGTGGTGACTCCGCATCACAACGAACAATGTCATCCGCTGCGCCTAAGGCCTGATAAAAGCGGCGTTCTTACATGAATAGCACCAGACACTCATACTCTTCCTTTTCCCGACAATTCAACTACAATGGCTATTTTCGTAACAGGCGGAGGCGGAAAGACCTCCAAGGCCGTAGCTTCGCAGCTCAAGGACGCCAGTATCCCCTTCGTTGTTGGATCGACTCGCGGGGTGCAGGCATCCTCGCAGGGCATTGACGCCGTCAAGTTCGATTGGACTGACGAATCAACCTACCCCATCCCATTCGAGCACGAGTTCTCCAATGGCGAGAAAATCACCGCCGTCTACATCGTGGCTGGTCCCGTGGCAGATCCAAGCCCTGCCATCAACTCCTTCGTGGACTATGCCATGAAGGAGCACGGCGTGAAGCGGTTTGTATTGTGTGGAGGAGAGACATTGAAGAAAGGAGGTCCCTTCGTTGGTACCGTGTGGTCGCACTTGGAGGAGGTCGGCGCAGAGTATTTGGTACTTCTGCCTACTTGGTTCCTCGGTAAGTGTTATCGTTCACCACGTCTATCGTGTTAGGAAATTTATTCGTGTCCCGCAGAGAATTATTTGGACTGGTTCTACCTCCCCCTCAAGGACGAGAACAAAATCTACACATGCGCCGGGGATGCGACTATGGCTTTCGTTAGCTCGGAAGATATTGCGGCTTTGGCTATCAAAGGACTCACCTCCGAGAAACCATTCAACTGCGATTTCACGGTCCACGGCCCAGAACTGGTAACCCACGATCAGGTATGTCCGATTCGTGTCCAATCAAACTGCCCCCTGACAATAGTATTTAGCTGGCAGAGAAATTCAGTAAAGTCCTTGGGAGGAAGATCGAGCACGTGAGGGTTACTCAGGAGAAAAGAGCGTCGATGCTGGCGGAAGCTGGGTTTCCCGCCGCGTTCGCGCAGTTTATCGCGCATTTGGAGGCCAATGTATGGAATAAAGAAGTGGATGAAGCCACCGCGCGGGTTACTGGGAAGAAGTTGTTGACTTGTGATGAGTTCATCGCAAAGCATAAGGCCGCTTGGTTGTAGATACCAGATAAACGGAGAGTTTATGATCACATGGACATATTTACAGCTTTGTTCAGTTGAAACCACCGTGCATTGCACACCGACGAAACCCGAAGACCCACGTACAAATTGCGATAATCAGACCAAAATATTGAATACCATTGCATCATTTCCCTCTTTCTCTCAACAGTCGATATCATATCCACCATCCCACCTTTGATGGACCTCTAGATCAGGTTTGTCTGCAAATTGATCCACCACGCTGGTTAGCATGCCGCCAGCCACAGCCCGAAACGTCGCTATTGATCCAATCGTCGTGAAGGCGACTCTGCTCGGCGCGTGATCAATTTGTGTATTACTATCGTTCACAAGGAACTGCTGCTTCTCTTCCCAAGCACGAATGTGAAGCAAGAAGCGCGCGACTAGGAGGCAGGAGAGTCTGCGTGGGTTCAGGGACAATTAGCCAGACGAGCTGGTGTGAAATGGGAGTACGAACGGAAGTGTGAATGCGTTGAGCATTCGTTGGATGAAGCCCGCCTGAAAATGGGTATATAAACTGTCGACTGATGGTGAGGAACAACATCTCACGGGTGCTTCCTAAGGACACCACAGTGAGTAATGGGCATGATTGAATCACAAAGCGAACGGGGACGTACTACATTTAGTACAACTGTTGCGGTAGTGAAGATTGAGATGATACTATAGCTATCCATCAGAAAGCGTCGGGTTCCGAGGATGACAACCACGCGCACCTGAAATACAACACATCTGAATCCCACAGTATTCCGTTATGATCAGGGAAGTAGCGGTAAATGGAAGATGAATGGCTACCTTGCTCGAGGACGACGGCGATGAGCCTTCGACGACTTTCCCTTTTCCCCAAGGGCCCATATTGTTTCGTCTGGATCATGTGGGCAATGGTTAGGATCGCGGCGGAGGATTCGAAGACAACGACTAAGATATGGAGTAAAAGGTGCGCTAAGAGACCCTGTTGAGATCCTGTAACGTCTGCGTGGGGAGCAACGGCCTACTGCTAAGGGATAGTTGGTTGATTAGACAAACTCCAAGTATTCAGAGGTTACTACTTACATGGCAACACCCGTATCCCCATCACAGGTGTTCGTTGGAATATGGGCCTTTGAAAAAAGCGGATCATCATCAGCTGCGAACGGAAACGAAGTGAGGTGCGCACGATATCAAGACCGACACAAACAGCCCCAAGCGTGCCTAGGTATACGAGGACGCAACGACGCAGGGCATAGCCATGTAGTGCGTACAGAGCGGCGGTTCTTCCAGTGAGCGTAACTACAATAACCCCCTTGTTAGTTGAACCTTCATGTACTTCGCGACGTAGAGGGTGCATACCGATCACAGCCGCTCTACCCAGCACACTCAGCGCGCTGATGATTTTGTACCAAGTGTCGCAGCTAATTTTGACAAAGTTCGAAGTTACCGTTAACGGTGAGAAGTTGATGATTCCAAAAATGCTGACTATGAAGGTATTTGTCAGATCGATACATCATATCAAAGTGTGAGTGACACGGAAGACCAATGATGTGGGGGTGGGGAAGGAAATGTAAGGACGTTGTGCGTACCCCTTGTTCCAGTTTGCCTGCGCTGGCAAGGAGGAAGAGAACGTTACCCAGAAGGGCGTACCGACAGGAGATATAGAGGAAGGTAGATAAGCAGAGTTTCCGCCCCCATACGTGTTTGATTTCCAGTGGTAGCGTCAACGCGTAATCGTAGTAGATCAGGGCTAGAAGCGAGAGTTTAGTGTCAAACATTTCTCTCAGATTTATTGAGTGGTGATCACCGATGCTAGCATAAGAAATGCTGAATCCGAGGTCCCTGCGTAGTACAAGTGAGTACCGTCATATGATATGTACGGGACAGTGTCCGACGCGTACATGGCAATTGTCGTGAGACCTGCAATAAACGTAGGGTCTCTTCTCTGAAGTCAACGACGGGGGGAGAGCATGAGGGCGAGGGGAGGCAGATAGATAATAGGAGCAACTTTATATGACATTCGTTGCATTATACTGTTATCTATCACGATGATGCTTGCATGGGATGATCGATAGATCTTTCATATATTGCATCAGGAGAACACGGGAACCGTCGTGTCTATAACGTTCGGTGCCTCGGGCTGAAGTGCGGTCTAGGTGTGGCTCTGCGACTCTAAAAAGATGTTTCGGAAAAAGGAGCCTTAACAGAAGTACTGAGAGCATAGTGCCACCAATATCGCATCGCCTCAGAGAATAACCTGTGTGTTGTCTTCAAGGTCAGCTATTCATGCTATTTATAACCGTGTAGTACCTGGAACTCTGATATTCGGTTGATCACTATGTAAGATACCTTGTGAAAGGCGGTAAACAAGCCGTGGATATGCCAGGAGGAATGTCACTGAACCTTTGACCCATTGACGGTTATGCGCTGCTATGCAAACATCAACGCGTACTTTATCGGTGAGTGCAGAGTGTATTGAATCATAAACTTGGACCGCAAAGCTACTAGGAGCGAATCAAAAATCTGATCGCGAGAAGTTAATATCGTAGATGGATCCAGCCTAGAAGGGAACGAACGAACCCTAGTTTCACTACATCGGCTACCATGGGCCAATATGAGCGCTGATGCGGGAGTCGCATTGAACTCAACAACATCTCTGCGATCCTACAAGAAAAGTTGGGGTTGATGATTGTTGGAGAGAGGGCGGAGGTTTCAGGTCGACGGGGAAATTGCGGAATATGAGGCATCAGGCGCAATGAGGAGAGGAAGCGAAATGGAAGGTCGAACGATATCATGAGGCAGAGGCATTGAAATGGATGATACGCATTAAATGTTGGGAGATGGATGTACGCTTCGACACCGAACAGGGGCCTCCTTAAGGAGGTCAGGGGCTCCTGAACTAAGAAGAGTTTGCTCTCTGGAGTATTGGCGGACTACTTATCCTCTGAAGGACGCTCTAGCGCTCCATCCAGAGCATTTATCCTGGCCCTCTCTCCGTCTCCAAGTCCGCCCCAGACTTTGGTAACATCCTCGCGTCACCAATAACACAATGCTCCTTGAAAACTAGGTTACACCAGCCGGACAACTCCACACCTCCACTCCTCCAGAGCAATGCTCGTCATTACAATAACAATCAAGCATTTGCATCAAACCGCGAATAAGGAAGACGAGAAGGAAGGAGACATGGAGCGCATGATGGATGAGGCTATCAACCGTAAGCGTTGCGAGAGTAGACGGGGTAGGGGATGTGGATCCAAGGGTCGCACATATAGAGCCTGGCCAAACGCGAGAGAGTAAGGGACAAAGTCAATCACCAATCCCGAATGCAGACCCCGAGAAGGACTCACCCGAAGACATATACATTGTGTGAAAAAATGCCAAAAGAACTAGCACCAAACACAAACGACTGCGTCAACCTCGCCTCTGACGCTTATGCCTGGCTCCCCCACAACCACGTACACCGCGAACGTGCCTACCAGGCCCGAGAATCCGAATTGATACACTGCCTAGGTGCCGAAGCGACTGGAAGAAACCATTGAAGATGCTGAAGATGCATACGGTGACGCCCATGGTGTACGGAGGGAGAGCGAGGCCGTACAGGGACGTGGGCGTTGAGAAGAAGAGGGGATTTACTTCCGCAGGAATGGTCAGCGCAGGAATGGTCAGCGAATGCGAGGAAGGCGAGATTGATGAGAAAGGAGCGGGTTGAGGAGCGCTTTGGTTGAGTATGAAACGGAGGCTGTGGTGGAGGAGGGGGGCAGAGACGGCGGAAGGAGTCCGTTATAGGAGTGGGGAGAATTCTGACGCTGTATCATTGGACGCTTGTTAACGCTATAACGTTACTTAAGGCCTGAGGCATTGTAGGGACGTAGAATTGGCTCGGATGTTCCCGTTTGTCGCTCCGTGGATAGTTCTGCTCACGCTATCATAGAGAGCGCGAGAACTACGAGCCCAATCAACGAGACAAGTTACAACCTATTCAATCCGAGAGACGACCCCAATATACCGTAAGGCATTCTGTGGTGAAAAGTACGGAGTCCAGATGTATTCCTATTTTTGTGTCTCCCGATAAGGTGGAAATGCAAGAAATGAGTGTCCAGACGACTCGATAGCGCCAGCGTTTCCGTCTCATCACCGCCTGTTATCTCGGATTCGTGTACCGCGGTTGACGAACGAGAGGAGAATTGACGAGGAGAGTGTTTCAGCCCTTGGAGAAGGCATGCGATGAACTGGTGGAACAAAGGAGAGTGTTCAGTCGTCCGTGGACCACCTTCGAGGGTTATTCTGAGGACTCACGGAGGTGCTATCCAAAATGCTGATTTCGGCGCACCCGCTATCCAATCTCTCCACTCGGCCAAGGGGTTAACGTTTGAACTCCCATCGGCTTGACTCCTCAGCCTTGTAAACTCCTTCGAGAGATGCACTGCGGGTTAGAATGGGTTTAAAATGTGGCCATGCGGTCCGTACTGCGCAATGCCACCCTCAGACACGAAAACACATCGAGGCCCTGCGAAATTTCGTTGCGAGCTGCGAGAGGTGCATGGGCATCTAGGAGGTTTAGGTAAAGAATCAATTGATCGCAGTTCGCACTTCTCCGATCAACACGATCACGCACTTGATTCCGGACCGCCATGGTCGATAAAACCACAGCATCTGCGGGCACTTCCTCCTCGTCTTCCTCCCCAGAATGCCTCTTGAAGACAGTGTGGTCCACGGGCTGCCCAAAACCCCCTTGCCTCTTCGCCAGCTATTCATCGTATCTCTCCTCCAAGGCGCCGAACCGCTGACTTCGTCGATTATCTTCCCGTTCGTCAACCAGGCCGTACGCGAATCTGGCATTACGGGCGGCGACGAGACCAAGACGGGGTATTATGCCGGTGCTATCGTGAGTTGGGTGTATCCTTTCCTCACCTTTTGCGTTCTCATTCATCGCGAAATACTAGGAATCTGTATTCTTTGTCGCAGAATGTCTGACGGTCGTCTATTGGGGCCGTCTCTCAGATCGAATCGGTCGCAAGCCAGTGATGCTGATCGGCCTCGTGGGTCTGGCGATCTCCATGATCACATTCGGGCTCTCGAAGTCGTACTGGGTTCTGTTCCTTAGTAGATTCATACAAGGAATGTCGAACGGGAACATGGGTGCGTCCGCTGCATCGTACTCGACTACCCCTGGATTGTGATACTTTATGCACTAAGGCATGGCGAAGAACATCATCGCAGAGGTTTGTATTCATTCTCTTTCCCTCGCTCTCACCAATGAGTCGAATACACGGGAATAGATCACGGACGAAAGCAACATAGCCGACGCGTTCGCGTGTCTCCCTTTGATCTGGTCCATCGGGGGAACAGTCGGGTATGTTCAATACTCGAATTTCTTCGCATTGTGCATTGTAATAAGAATGCTAATGCTGTCACAGCCCAATCATCGGAGGCACCCTCTCTAACCCCGCGACATCCTACCCGTCTTCCGTCTTCGCGACCTGGCCTCTCTTCATCAAGCACCCGTACTTGCTGCCGTGCATGGTCGCCGCCATATACAGCTTGCTCAGCTTGACTGTCGGCTTGCTTTGGTTGCATGAGGTCGGTTTGTGTTTCGTGCAGTTTCAGCGTCCAGCGCCGATCGAAGCACCCGCTGATCTCGCTCTCATTGTACAGTCCCACCCCGGACTCGTATCGCGCGAAAAGCAGCTTTCTGGGGATGACTTCGAGTCTTCTGTTTACACAACGCGCGCAGGCGCTGCAATGCCGCACGACGCGCTAGTCACATCCGCTGACGCACCCTCAGAGTCGACGCCTCTCCTACCACCATCCCCGTCCTCCACCACCGTCTCGCTCCCCTCCTCCCTCTCTTCCTCCTCCACCACACTCTCCCACTCCCCCAGAACCCTCCTCAGCACCCCCCCGATCCGCTTCTCCCTCATCAACCTCGCATTCCTCGCCTTCGCCGACCAATCCTGCCAAGTAATCCTCCCCCTCGTCTTCTCGACCCCCACCTCCCTCTATGGCCTCGCACTCCGTCCATACGCTATCGGGGTGACACTCGGTGTCTTCGGTGTCCTCAATGGGCTCATACAGGTCTACGCCCTCGGGTGGCTGACGAGCCGCTTCGGCAGCACGAAGGTGTACCAGTGGGGTTTCGCGGGCCTGCTCGGTGCGTTCTCGATGTACGTCGCGGTCGGGGAGGCCGTCAGACTCAGAGGAGAGGTCGATACGCTCGTCTGGGCACTGGTGGTCGTGCTCCTCGCGTTCTTCTCGCAATACTATATGGCTTGGGGTACGTCCCTGATTCCGGCGTCCATTTAATTGCCGATTTGCCGATGTGTTTTGTACTCTTACTCACTGTTCGCGCGACCAGGATCTATATACCCGATCCTCGTATCTGCGTCCCCCGCCCCCTCGGCCCTCGCGACGCTCACAGCCCTCGGCCAGATCGCCACATCCACCACGCGCGCCGTCGCGCCCGCGTTCGCGTCCTCCCTGTTCGCATTCTCGATGCAGATGCGCGAGTACTATCGAGGCGATGAACACACCCCAAGTGGTGGTGGTGGTGGTGGTGGTAGTGGTGGTGGAAACGTGGGGGTGGGGGGATGGATTGCCGGGAATCTGGTGTACTGGGCGCTGCTGGCAGTCGTGTGCACGGGGATGTGGGTGTCTGGGAAGTTGCCTGGGTCGCGGGCGCTGGCGCCGCTGGGGGACTAAGGGGTCCTCGGTGGGGGATGTTCGCGCAGGGGGGTGTTATCCGGGGAGTGTGTTCTGGGACGAGTGACGTAGATAGGTGTTTTGTATACATGGATTTCAAGATGGGGTGAAATGGTCATGAGGTCATGAGGTGGATGTTGAACGTTGATGTCGAGGCTATTTCGTGGGTTTTTCCTGTGCTTGATCTTGATCCTCTTGCAGGTTACTAACACCGATCCGCGCAGAACACAGAACATACCGTTCTTCCCAAGTTGCTTAGAAGATGGGAGGTGCGAATTAGTGGTCGCGACGAGAAAGGAGTAGAAGTGGAAGTGGAAGCGAAACCTTTATCTGGAGCAACCAGCGACGCGAATGGCCGCGGCGAAGGCTTTGTTTGTAACGACGTATAGAAGAACGACAGAATCGAGGATATGGCACGAAGCCTCACCTGCTAAGTACGATTGCCACCTTATCGAGAGAATATGATCATGAATATGAGAGCACAGTGGTGCGTAGCGAGATGGGGTGGATAGCGAGATGGGGTGGAATCCCCACTAGGCGTTCTTTTGTTTTGCGTTTTTCGGTGCCTCTGGAGTCTGGATGGATGGCTGGATGGGGCAGGTCTCCAGCTCGAGCGGCCCCCGCGCTCCCTACAAATCCCCTAGGCCTTTCAAGAATCATCGATCAACGGTGGTCGTGGTCAGAGTGTTCCGGGTGTGCGAGGGCGAGGGCGAGGGCGAGGTAAGTTAAAGCAATACGACACCTGCGAACCCTGACTACGTTGGACATACATTTCAACTGATAATTATAATCAATAATCAATGTTGGTTGGTATTAGGTATACCGAAATCTTTCCCTTTCCCTTTCCCTTTCCCGTGCCCTGCCCTGCCCTGCCCTGCCCTACCCGATGGTATTCCATATTCCATACGAAGCGGGTGTATACGTACGACATGTCCTATCTTATGTCTTATGTCTTATGTCTTGTTGCTTCAATCGCCCCACGCCCATGCTCACCTATCCCGGATTCCCGTCTAGGATGAAAAATGAAAAACAACTCAACTTTGCAAGGAGACACCGATCTCGCTCTGGGACATACATCCCTGCCTATTCGGTTCTCGAGATTCCCACTTCAGTTTCCCGGATGTGTTTTATGTTCCAAAGAATAGCGCAAGCGCGAGGGCGGGGTTCCCAGATCTCTAGGTCGATTTTGTGGGTGGAATGTAGGAGTGTGAGTCTGGGTAGGAATGTACGGATATGGATATGGATATGGATACGGATATGGATATGGATAGGATACATAGATGCTATGGTGCTGTGCCTCGAGGGACTCCAGGAAAACGGAAAACGCAAAACGGAAGACGCGAAAACGCGAAATATGTAGATCCAATTCGGATTCCAGCGGCTGCCCGTCAGCGCTGAAGCAATGTGCTGCGCGGCGTCACACGTACCGCATCTACCGCATCCTCCTCCTCCCCCTCCTCCTTCTCCTCCTCCTCCTCATCATCATCCTCCACCACCACCTCATCATCCACCACCTCTCCCTCCTCCCGCAAAAAGGAAAAAGGAAAACGCGAAATATGTAGAACTTCCAATTCCAATCCCAGCGGCTGCCCGGCGCGGTCGACCGCTCTACATCACCACCTCCTCCTCCTCCTCCTCCTCCTCCCCCTCCTCCTCACCATCCTCCCCCTCATCCTCCTCATCCTCCTCCTCCTCCACACCGAGCTTGCTAGGCTTCCCGGGTTCGGAATCGCTGCCCTGGAACGTATCGGAGTCGCTGATATTAATATGGAGGACGTGGGCAGCGCTGCACCCCGTGGACGCTGTGGACGCGCTGGACAATGTGGACGCGCTCGACGCGCTGGACGTGCAGCTCCCCGGGCTCACGTCGGAGTACTCCGCCGCTCCGCTATCGTCATCCTCACCGCCATCGTTGATGTTGGCGTCATTGTTGGTGTTGGTGTCATCGTCGTTGTTGGTGTGCGCAGTTTTACCACCCCGTCGCGTATCCCCTCCCCCTCCCGCTGCCCGCCCCCTCTGCGCTGTGGAGTGGATGCGCGTTGGGGTGTGGATGCGCCGTGGGGCGTGGATGTGGGGAGCAATCCGAGGCTCCAGCGGTGCGTCTTGCTGAGCAGGCCCGGCGGGACGGGCGGCTCGTCGCCGTCGGAGTCGGCGAGGAGGGCGGAGGCGGTGGGCGAGAGCGGGTGTGGGTGTGAGTGGGGGTGTTGGTGGGGGAGTTGGTGTTGGTGCTGGTGTTGGGTCTGGTAGCCCGAATGTGTGTTCGAAATCGAAATCGAAATCGAGTGGGCGTGGTGGTGGTGGTTTTGGTGCCGCTGGGTGTGAGCATGGGGATGCGGGGTGGTATTAGAGCGTTGGTACTGGTGTTGGTGCTGATGCTGCGAGTGCGTGCTCGTGTGCGTGTTCGAATGGTGGTGAGAATGGGACTGCGAGTGAGCATGGGGATGGGGAGGGGGAGGGGAGGTGCGCGTATGCGTATGCGTATGCGTATGGGAGGACTTCGCGGGTGCAAAAGGGAGGGTGCGCGGCGGTGATTGGGTTATGAGATGGTTTGAGTGAGGGTGGGGTGCGCGGGGTGCGTGGGGTGCGTGGGGGTGCGCGGTGTGGGGGACGTGGACGGGGATGGGGATGGGGTGCGTAGCATGGCGCGATATGACGGGGCCGCGCGGGTGCGGGTGCTGCTGGAGTGGATGGTGTGGATGGTGTTGATGCTGATGTTGATGTTGATGTTGATGGACACGAGCTGGCGACGGCGCCGCGGATGACCCGCACAACGGCGGAGTCGACTCCGATGACGAGCCTGACGACGAGGAATGCGACAATATTAATCCCGGGGTGGCGAGCCTGCCACCGCCACCGCCACTCCCACCGCCACTGCTCTCGCTTGTATTATTATACTCATACAGGCCCGGGAGCGGGGGCGTGTCGGGGAAGGGGTACTCGAAGCGCGGGATGTCGGTGTCGAGGGCGAAGGGCGTGCCGACGATGGTGGCGGAGGGGGAGTGCAGTGTGAGGCTGGCGAGGCCGGGCATGGGGATGGGGCTCGAGGGTGCCGGTGAAAGGTCGAGCGGCGGGGACGGGGAGGCGGGCTGGATAGTGGTGATTAGCTGGTGTTATGGATACGTGGACGGGAGGGGGGGTTGGCAGGAGGCAGGAGATCTGGGGTACGAGGGGTACGAGGAGGACGGGAGGGGGACGTACTGGGGTAGTGGGAGCCGTGCTGCGACAGGATGAAGGTTTTGCAGGCTCTGGGAGGATGACGCGCATAGCGATGGTGGTGGCACGATCGAGCCGCTCCACATTTGCTTTATCATTCTCTTTTGCTTCCGATCTCCCATCATCGTATACATCACTCGTGCTGCGGCTCATCTCTTATGCGATTATACGCGGATGGAGGAATGAGAGAGCAAGGAGGAGGAGGGAGGAGGAAGTGAAGGGAAAGATGGGAAGAGGTGGTGGATGTAAATCGTGGCTCTGGGAAATATGGCAGAAGATCGAGGAAGTGGAAGAAAAGAAGCCTGTGGAATGTTCAGCTCGTCTCGGATCCGAGTTTGGTAAGCACTCTCCCGGAACATATTGCTTATCATCACTTTTACGTTCGTTGACTGACACCTTTGAGTTATACTAGAGCACCTTGCCGTCGCTACATTTGCGCTACATTTGCGGTGACTCCACTTTCCGCGTACGACCGCACTCTCATCCGCACAAACGTGTAGCGCTGTAGCGCTCAACACTGTACCAAGAGGACCTTTCCATTTGCCCAACATGATCGCGGCCCTCGTCTCCCACCCGTGCGTGCACACATTTACGAACCTTCGCTCCTGTTGATCCCTGGTATCCTTGAGGAGCGGGTTATGCCCTCTACTGTCTGTCTCCCACTCACTACGCCCTCCTTGCATCTCACTCGCTGCTACACGCTCCACTGCGTTACGACTCCACGCCTACGAGCGTCGAAAACCGAATTTCGCCCCGCCCGTTTATGCAAGCTACGAATCAACTTCCTCAAGAGTTCGTCGAGAAGCTTTCTTGGAATCCTCGCACTGGGAAGTTGGTAAGCACCCCCTCGGAGCACGTAATTTTTCTCGACGAAAGCCGTGTAGTCAGGCGTCTAGACACGCAGGAGCCGAACCCAACGAGCGAAATATCTGTCTTTCCTCTTCTCGTAACATCGCATCCCACCACGCCCATCCAACGAGTCCGCACATTCGGAAACACTCCCACTTATATAATATATGATATATGTATGCACATATCGTAAGTATTAACTATTGTCTGCGCCTCGCATCTCTACTCTACGGGCGGATTGACCATGTGCCGAGTCCAGTCTCCCAAGTAGTTCCAACTTCCGTACGAGACCATCGACCATTGACCATCGACCCTAACAACGACTAGAGAATAGACAAACGGTTACCAAGTCGTTGCATGCGAAAACTCGAAACGTGGACGCGATCGAGAGCAGTGAGCAGTGAGCACTGATGCTGCGGACGCCGGAAACCCATCAGGCTAACCGCGTTCCTTGCTCCACGCCCCTTGTCCCTTGTCCTTTGGTGCGTCTGGTCCATCGGCAACGATTTCTTGGAGTATTTATATTAACTACGACGATGGGTGGTTGCGAAAAGATAGGGTTCGCCGTACCGGGACCATAGGCGCCCGGAGTTTTGGACGTCCGAGTCAACGACCTGTTATGGTTATGCTGATACCGCAATCTTTCCCGTTCTCTCCGCCCAATGGTCCAAAATATGAAGCGGGTGTACGGCACGTCTTTTCTTCGATTGCCCCATGCTCACTGCTCACCTCTCGTCTAGGATGAAAAAAGCAACTCTGCAAGAAGACACCGATCCCGCTCTGGACATACACCATACACCCCTGCCTGCTCGGTTCTCGAGCCCCCACTTCCTGCCCCCGATGTTTCACCTCGGGAGGGCTGTCGGCGAAGACGAAGACGAACTGCTCGAACTTGTCAAAAACAAAATAACAAAAAGGAATTTCCGGTTTCCCGAACTCGTGTTGTATTCTTATATCCTGAATGAAGAATGAAGAATGAAGAATGAAGAATGAAGAATGAAGAATGAAGAAGACCGCACGGGCGCGCCGATTTGTATTTGTATTTGTATTTGGGAGGCGATCTTCGGTATCATGTATGCATCGACGGTGTTATTGAGGAGTTCAAGATTCGATATCGCCGAGGAGCTGCACTGCACGGGTGTGTCCGGGTCTCGGAGGTCCTGCGGCGCGACGGCGGCATGCATCTATGATCTAGCGTTATGCGTTATGCGTTATGCGGAGGCACCAACAGGATTGGCTGGCGTCCTCCGTCCTCCGACCTCAACCCGGCGCGATCGGGCAGATTGCGGAGAGATTCTTCAATCTTCAATCTTCAACGGTGAACAACCTCAATCCTCAATGGCATTTGGACCCGTGGACCCGTGGTACGGGCAGTGGAGGCATAAGCGTGCGTATATTGTATATTGTATATTGTATATCATATTCGCCGATCATTGTCATTGTGTGTCTTTAGCTTTAGCTTTAGCTGAATCTGCGTCATGATGGTGGGACAGTTCCTCGCGTCCTTTCCCCAGCGAAGCTGGAGAGTGGGCGGTTAGAATGAAGGCGCGAGGAGCTGCCTTGGAGAAGGTGAAGGACGTTCGTATACATATCCCACATGCCAGCATGATCCCCGTCCCACGCTATGTCCGTCCTTTCTCCGCGAATGTACGAAATCTCAGCGGATACACGTCGTTGAGCGTTGAGTAGGCGGCCGCTTTGAACGTTAGTAGGATTTTTATTCTGTGCGCGCCTTAGACCCTGTCAGAGGGATTAAATCACGGTTAGGCGTACCGGATATGTGTCTTTGATTTTGATTTCACCGGCGGGTTCTAGGATTATTTGTCAGTTACGGGTCGTCAATGGGTCAATGGGCGAGAGAATCGTGCCAATCGCGACAGGTCCTCCTCCAGCTAGAACGATATCATTCGCGTCCTTGATAAAATCCTCTTTCGAACACCTTCGACAAATGGTAGGACACCATCCCTTGTAACTTGTTTCGGGAAACGCCAATAGCCCTTGAACGATGCGTCCCGTTGCAAGCACCAAGTATCGAACGCGATGGTCTTGCCATTCTCCAGAGTGGCGCGCTGCCTCCTTTTTAGTCGCCCTTTGGATCTTTGGATGGTAGCGACCTTTCCTTCGACGACAAATGTGCCAGTCCCGTCGACGAAGAGCTTGTTGTGTGATACGAGGGTGGAGAGTGGTCTCTTGCAAGTTGTCCCGATCCGAGTCACGAACCGGAGAGAGACTCAGACGGGCGGAATGAGTCAATGACTTGGAATGGTCGTGGGTTGACGAGGAAAATGTTATGGGTGGGCGCGGTGATCTTCGCCGACACTGTACGAGCGAGGGTGATGCCAGCGGCGCCGCCACCAACGATGATCATGTTATTGCAGTCATCGGATTTCTTCAAGTTGTGAGACATTTTGGTGGTATTGGTATGCCGTACTGAGGTTGTTTTCATACGCCCGCAATAAGTCTGTAGAGGAGAGTTTCTGCGAACGATGGTCTGTCAGCGTGTTGTCGCCGTCGAGGGTGCCGGGCTTGTGCGTCTTCCTTATGCTCTTGATCCTCTCCAGACTACTAATAACAATCCATACAGAACATAGCCTCCCGGCTCTGCTTGGGCCCATCGCTTAGCAGATGGGAGCTGGAGAGTATGGTATTAGTGATCATATCAGGATGGAAAGATTTGGGACAACGCGACTCGGATGACGAGCCTTTACATTCTGATAACGATGTGCGGGAGTATGGTCGAATCGATGTCGCGATAGGTAGCTTCGACTGCTACGATTGCTAGATTTTCTATCGAGAGAATACTTATGAGAGTCTCCCGCCTTCTCCCCTCGCTTTCACTCCCAATTGTCTACCACAATGGCACTGATACGGAAGATTGCCGACACCGAGAGGCACAAGATGCGTCGGCCTCATTCTCATTGAGCCGCGAATTACTCTAGCCTTACAACTCGCGTTCGAGTAGTAGCGAGGGCAGGACTGAGGCAAGCACCAATCTATTTTTGTGTGCTATTGGGTCCAGTCTCCCGCGATGCTATTATAGAATATGCGCCTGTGTTCATTCGTCTCGTTTAGGAGCAACCGTGCTTGATCTGTCCTTGGTCAACGCTCTGCGTGTAACGAGATAGACGACTAGACTTAGGAAAGACGATCAGTGAGTGCTTCTCTGTCTGCTTCCATATGTGCCGAAAGGTCTTAGGCCTGCCATATTCCACGCTGGCCTTCAGAGTGTACGGCCTCGCATCTCCGTAGAGGTGGTGGGAGCCGACAAAGGGACTGTGGCCCAATGAGAGTAACTGAACTCAAGCAACGAGGTCCTCGGGCTCCCCTCTAGTGAGTGCAACCTTCTTGGGACCTATTTGCAAAGAGGTCGTTCTTATCGGCTCCTACTTAACCAGGCGGCCCGCCCAGTACCTAAATCTGGAGTCGTTGAAACATATAAAAGGCGAGAAATATGGTGCTGGGATTCAGTATCCTCACCTTGTGAAGGGATAAAGGCAGTGCTTTCTGACTCTGCAAGATGCGCCTCTTGCACAAGCTCGCATTTCTTGTAGCCGTCGTCGCCGTGGCGGTCAACGGCAACCCAGTCACTCAGCCCGAGGTAATGCAGTTTGACAACGTTGTGAACTACAAGACGCTTACATAGTTGTAGGCATCTGTGGCCGACGAGGTGAGCAAACACTGCAAACACCGCCAGGAAAGTGACTGACGAACTTCTGCCCACCTCTAGACTGGCCACATAGTCCCCAAGATCATAAGCATCAAGGAGCTGAGGAATTGGATTCGCACGACCAAGGGCGAGTTCAAGTTCATTGGGGAGAAGTTCGATCTCGAAGACAACCCCCTCGCAAGTCGCGACACCGAGTTCACAACAGTCACATTCTGCAGCAATCGTGACGGAGGGGACTGCAACCCTCCTTGCACCACTTTCTCGGGCTCCAACGCCTGCTTAAGCACACCGAACACCAACTGTCTTGTGGCGACAACGGATGTCCTGTTTTGTGGCAGCCCTGGGTGCGGCGGAATTTGCAACTCGTTCAACTCCTGTGGGACGAGACTCAACAACAACTTCTGCTTCACTCCGAGTACGCAGTCGATTCGTGTGCCTTGAAAGGTTGGAGCTGGGCTGTAGCGGGTGGCGGAGGGAAGGAATGAAATATAGGGACGAACGGGGAGTCGGGCCTGAAATAATGTACTTGTATCATTGATTTGTTAGGTCTCTTTAGTGATAGGAGCGTTCGTGAACTACTTGTTTTCTGTCGTGATTGGTCGTTTGACGAAGCCAGGTCTCAAGCAGTGAATGCCGCGCGTTCACCGAGTATCCACGACGTGTTACGAAGAGGTGATGGCATTGCCCCAATTTCTTTTCCTTTCCGCACAGAGACCTATCGAGGGGTGTCAAATGGGAACATGCGTAGCAGCGTACGTCCATCAAGTTTTTTTTTACTATCTCGTGGATTGGCGTGTTGAAATTTCCGTGTTGCGAGTATCTACAACATGGAGTGCGTAGCGCTGATACAGGGAGTTACAAAATCTAGCCCTCTTACTTGTGTATTTCTCAACATTGGGCCTTCACTTGTTCCCCGCGTAATGCCTCTGGTCCGGCAACTTCCTCGATGTCCAAATCCCTAGTCCAACGACGCCCAGAAGCACAAAGTACACCAAATTACCTGCCCCCCAGCCCGCCCATCCAATCCACTCACCATCATCACACCCGGTATCCCCACCTTCACTAGGATCGCAGCGGTGATTATGGGTACGATAATACTCGCGCATCTGCATCGAGAACGCAAAGAGCGACGATGCAAAAGAGGGTGCCACGGAACGCATGGTGGACGTTGCCATCTGACCAAGGGCCGTTATAGTTGCGAGCGTCGACGGTGTAGGCGATGTCGCTATGAGGATCGGGTAGATACACCCTGGAAGGAAATTTACGTCAGGCGCCGGAAACCAAACTAAAGGAGATGCGAAGAACTCACCCCATGCCATGGAGTATTGCGCCATAGATGTCAGAAGTATCACAATCAAACCCCACACTACTCGATCCACCTCACCTCTGATCCGCACGCCGTCCCCGATCGCAACATACCCCAGAAAGACTCCGGTCAATCCCACACCAAATGCGAAACGGTGCACTGCCTTGAAGCCAAACCTCCTCGTCAGCAACGGCAGAACGAGTATTTGGTAAAGGCCGTTGAGGAGGCCGAAAACGCCCAGAGTGACCCCAATCGTATACGGAGGGAAGGCGAGTCCGTAGAGGGACATTGGAGTGGAAAAGGACAGCGGGAGGATGACCTGGGTGGATTGGTCGGCGAAGGCAAGAAAGGCGAGGTTGATGAGTGAAAAGAGAATCGAAGGGGTGTAGAGAAGGGTCTTGATTGAATACGAGGGGGAGGAGGGGTGCGAAGAGGAGGAAGAGGAAGGGGCGAGAGAAGAAGAGGAAGGAGAAGAGGTTAGAAGAGGAGTCGACTCTGATGGCAGTACGGAGTGCGTCGTCGAGCCGTCCTTGATCGACTGAGCAAGCTTTTCGCGCGATATGATATCAGGGTGGGTCTATATGTAAGAAAGGTTAGCATTTCACTGTAACGAAGCATGATATACAAGCGAGACGGAGAAACGGGGAGGATTGACAGGGCCAGCGATAAACCGATCGTCGAGTGAAATCATGCACAACTGGCCAAATCACCTCACGACACTGCAAATCAACAAGCTCACCTCATCCAACCAAAACCAGCCGATAGCTAAACAAGTCAAGCTATATCCGGCGGCCACCATACACGGGAGTAAATACGGATTGTTCACGAAGAGCGGCCAGGAGGCAAAGATGGAGGAGGGGTAAGTGGATGATGGGTTGGACAGGGTACCGCCAATGATTGGGCTATAGGGTGGATGGGCGAAGTGTTAGTGCGCTAAAATCGAAAGCAGGGGATATTGGAACGTACCCAACCGTCCCCCCAACTGACCAGATCAGAGGCATCCACGCGAAAGCATCAGCTATATTTGTTTCGTCTGTGATCTGGTGTACATTTGTTAAGTTTGAAATTTGCGATACAGGCGGGGAACTCGGACTCGGGGAGTGGGAAGCTATAACTAACCTCAGCCATGATATTCTTCGTCATTCCTAGAGTCGCGCCCCAGAAGAATCAATCAGTTATTAGCTTCTGATGCGAGAAGTGAGGAGACACGATACGCACCCATGTTTCCGTTCGACATCCCTTGAATGAATCTACTAATCAGGAGAAGCCAGTATGATTTTGAGAGCCCGAATGTAATCATAGAGGTAGCGAGGCCTACAAGGCCTATTAACATGACTGGTTTGCGACCGATGCGGTCCGAGAGACGACCCCAATGAACGACTGTCAGGCATTCTGCAATGAAGAATATGGATTCCTGATCTCCGTGACTACATGAGAACTTGCAATCCTGAACGCAATGTCTGACTCACGATGGCTCCAGCATAGTAGCCTGTTTTGGTCTCATCACCACCCGTGATGCCAGATTCGCGTACCGCCTGGTTGACGAACGGGAAGATAATTGAAGATGTGAGCGGCTCAGAGCCTTGGAGAAGGGATACGATGAATAATTGGCGGTACGGAAGGGGGGTTTTGCCTGTTCTGGGTGGACCATCTTCGAGGGCGGGCATGGTAAATGATGGTGAAGAAGGAAGAGGAAGAATGCCATCTTCCAGAAGACACTCAGATTATAAGGACGCGACTGAACCTGAATAGTTATAAGCGTTTGGATATATTCGTTGATGAACATTTGTCTTGCATCCATGTGGTCGCGGGTGAATACCGCTGAGATCGGCTGATCAATCACTCATTTTGCACTCATTGAATCATTGTGCATCTAGGGTTGTCGCTACTGCAAGTTGCTGGCAGGTCAATCACATCCGAACATATTCTCACACCGCTGACTAGACCTGATTCTCAGCGTTCCTCGGATGCACATGAAGAACGTTTGTATGTGCGTTACGCACCTTGATCGCGTCAAGGTTGATCGGGTATTGATGGCTAGCGGCGATGTAGGGGAAGCAGTTCATCAAAGAAATTTGGGAGTGATGTGTATCTGACCATTTGAGGAGAGGTCCTCAATGGCGGTTATAGGAGACGCGGAGACGTGGTCACAAACTTGTCCGGGAGGTAGGCCACATTTGACGTGGGGGGAGATGTGACGCGCCGAATGTTTGAGCTCTAGTTCAGGAGAGAAAAACATGAACTTCTTTGCCGCTGCGTAGGCTACTTACAGTAGAACTCACTTCGCACACCGTGTTGCATAAGCGCTCCACTCCGGGGTGATCGTCTTGCTACCAATGCGTAACAGTCGAGGCTATCTCGGAGACATGCTAATCATAGCTCTTGTGCATCATGATGCCTTGCGCCGCCCGGAGCGTTGAGGAGGCGAAAAGATAGAAACTGACCGAGGAGCGAAATAGAGAAGTGGTTCGACTTGAAGTCCAACTGAATGTAAGGACGTCCGGGATTTGGTGCTAGCGGCCTTCTACATGACTTTTGCTTCAGGTACGCTGCACACCTGGGGTGCTGGAAATTGGCCGAGGAAAAATAGAAGGTAGACTCTGAGTGGGATAAGAGAAAGTTGTGACTGTGAGAAAGGGTGTACACCGGCATCACGGCTAGGGTCTTGCTCACTCAGGATGCGACCGAGACACAACTTGCGATCCTCGTTAATGCTGCTTCATGATACAGAAAGATTCTCTTCGAGGGCGACGCACGCTGCGCAGACCCTATGCCGCTACGTCGGAATTGAAAGACTTTGACCATGTGTCTGGACTGTTCACTGTTGGCGTCCTGGAAGCAGACGACAAAGCAAATGATGGGAAGGCCGCAACGGCGACGAGGGGGCGAATTGCGCCAGAACTATGTGCGTAGCTTATGCCTTAACCTCAAGTGCGTATGCTGAAGTCTCTTGTGACAAGCCCTTCAGAGATCGAGCCGGCAAAGAGTCGACTGCCAGGCGAGTCAGCAGTCAAGCGACTCAAGCCTAGGACGCGAAGGGTCTGGAAGCGTTGGTAGTATTCATACGGCGGGATCACATCCGCTCCCCTTGGTTTTACCCGTTTCCTGATCTCCATCGACGCTTCATCAGCTGATAGCGAAGCGAGCTTGGTGGCATAGACACTGTTTGTGGTGTTCAAGCAATCTGCTGCTTCCCGACCCAGTAGAAAGTCAGGTCGGCCCCAAGGAGAGTGTACCACCCCGTACGGCACACGGCGAAGGCCTCTGCGAAAGTCTCAATAAATCTTCGCTGGTAAATGGAGGAAAAAATACGAGCTTTCTGCCGAGTATGCCTCCCCATGGTAGAACTTGGAGCCAAATTTTCCCCGAAGCGTCGAAGGAGCGTAGGCGATGCTTGCCAGTACCACACATTTCGATGGAAACACACCACCGTTGGACATGACAGGGAAACTTTGGCTTATGATGTTATTACAGCCGCACGAATTCAGCATAGTAGAGATATACCATGGTTCTTCGTAGCCGTTCGACCACAAGGGAAAGGGACCGGCTGTCTGGACTTACGCTTCGGTGCCGTGGTAGACGACGCGACTCCTTGTACTAACAGTTCTGGTTGGGGAACACGCTTCATCAGATAGGCGCTGGCCAAACCTTCAGTTCTGCTAGACAATAATGAGAGTAAGCCGGATAATCATAGGCCGAAAGGGTTCTGATACTTTACCTCGTCTCCCATTCGTTTCGCTGATACAAAGTATTGCAGAATTCTCGACTATGGTCTTTACGTTTCGCAATTTACAATGTAAGTATATGTTCCCTCAGACGAGCGGCTTGTACTTACTCAGGTTGCGGCTGACTCCTTGCAGAGCATCGTGTAGTGACGAACGGAATGAATTCATCAAGGATGGCTCGAACTCATCGAGGGGTGTAAGTATCCGTTCCCTCAGAGGAAGTGGTAGATGCTCACTCTCAAAGTGTATTATAGCGTGTCGGTATAATACGCACGACCTTAACAGATGGTGGGTGCTAGCAATGAACGAGAATCGACGGTGGCTAAACGAGATGTAAATGTTGAGTGGCATCACGTGAGTCTGTGCAGTGCACTTCGCTGCATTTCGCTGCACTTCACTCTTTAAGTCAGTCGCTAACAACGAAAATCACCTCTAGGTCGCAGAAGAGGGGAAAGCGCATCATTTTACCGTCTCCAGAAATGGCACGGTTACTCAAGACGCCTCCCGAGGTCTTGCTCCGCATTGCGGAGTATTTGCCCAAGCAACGCGACTGCTTAGCGCTGTCCCTAGTCTCGCGCAACTTGCGTGGCGTGGGCGAACAATGCCTCTACTCCGATGTCGTGCTTCGCCTGAAGCGCGATGCAGCTACGGACAATCAAGTAGAATCATTCTACCACGCTATCGCGGCAAACAAGGACAGACGCGACTGGGTTCGCAGCTTGTCTGTTATTGTCCTCGGGCGCAACTTTACGTTGAGGGAGCGCAAGCTGATCTCTCGAATAATGCGCATGCTCCCTCGCTTGGTTAACTTCACTTTCGAGTACCCCTTCGCGGATGCATTCAACGGCAATCCTTTCAACCTACGCCCTCATCTCAACCATGCCATGCCACCCGCGTCATCTCTTCGCAGATTCACGTGGCTCAATGCGGAAATACTCGACGCGACTTCATTCAGATCGTTCCTTGCCTACCATTGCAACATCACACATCTTGCGTTCAACGAAGACCGCTTCGTGGTACCCAAAATAGGTCGTAATTTATTGCCAAATTTGGAAAGTCTTCAAGCGCCCATCAACACGATCCTACGGATGCTCCCCAGACGACGAATCCAGCGGATCAGAACAACGATTAATCTTAGAACACAACCGGGCTGGCAGACGATGAAATACAGGGAGCTCCGAAACATTCGGGTCCTGTCGTACGCTGTCTACGGGGGTGCCAAAGCTCTTGAACTGTTCGAATCCCTTGTTCGACAGATGGTCAACTTGGAGTTCGTCGAAGTACAGGTAAATGATCGCCCGCATTGGCCTCTCACTTCCATCCTCACGTATCTTGTAGGATGAATCGGCTATTAGGCCCTCGACCCTGAGAAACACGAAAGTCAGATTCCTCCGCGTGCGTAATGTACGTGAAGAGTTCCTCGTCAAGTCGTTTTTCGATAGACTGCCGTCGTTGGAGTGCATCGATATTCAATCTATTAATCTACCGGGGCGGGTGTCTCAGAGGTTCCAAAGAGACTGCGGACCACCTCGCACCATCACATGGGGCTGCAGGCCCAACGAGGAATGGCTCCATGATTGGAGGGACGGGGTGACTGAACTTTGATTGTATATTCGCGGTAAGATCTGTAGTACTATTGCGTGTTCTTCGCATTTATCACTCATAGTTGTAATATTTCAAATGCAATATATTTCCTTGTGACGTTGTGTGCTTACTAGGGCTCCAGCTTTCGGACATTATATATCAGAACCCTCCTCCCAGTCTTACCACCATTGAGACACTGATGACTCGGGGACTCTACGTCTGACTGCCGTTGTCGTCCTAAAGAAAACATCATACATATAATAGTGAGAGCTTGATACGGTAGTAAATCCGGTGTAGATGCTGATACAGGAAAGGCTTGGTACAGCTGTGAATGCATTTGCAATACGGTGGTGGGAACTTGAGGCGCCGAGTCCATATAAGCGTAAATGGCGAAGCCTCTGTGGTTTGAGGACGATAATACCATGGACTAATTCGGAAGCTGAATTCTTCAATCAAATCATGTCAGTAACATATTTACATTGCTAGAGACGTCGGGACCCACATAATAAAGTAGGGGCGAATCCAACTCCAAGCGCTCCAAAGTCGGCATGCGCGACAATACCGAAGATGACAGATACTCAACACGAACGTTACGTGCAACGAGGACCACTATATTTTTAAGAGCTCCTGTATCGAGAGCTTCCCAGGCAGCGTCATTGGCAGCCGCACTCCCTTCGATTTTCAGGTGCGTGATGTGTCGCCCGAATAGGATGCTTGGTGCAATCGTTATATAGACATGGAGCACCCTCAGATGCTCCAAGCTACTCTGGCGGATTAGAGTTAAAGGCTTGAACACCCAGGGAGTGTGCAAATGCTCGAGAAAGGGCTGATCATCAATAAACTGAGTGAATAGCTCAGGGCTCAGGAACTCCTGCTCAGCGAACCATGACAGGCGCAGGAGAGAGGCAGGAATAGGTGAGAAGTTAAGGAATCCGTGGAGGTCTTCGGCGCTTTCAACACGTAGATGCCGTAGATTTGGGAGATGTTGGAGAATTGATCTAAAGCACGACTCATAGGCGTGCTCCATGAAGGCAATGGCAGGTAGATCGAGTCGCTGTACGTGCCGTCCGCAACGGCCATTAGTGAGTGCGGTTATTGTTCGCAGAAAGCACATCCCTGCTGCTAACAGAAAGTCGTCTGATAGAAAATGACTCGGTGGATGTGAGTCGAGTTCGAAGGATACATCGGCGTACAAGAGTGGTTCGGCGATTGCGTGAAACTGGTGGGACACAAAGAGAAGAGTGTAGAGAGACTGGTGGTCCAATAGCAGCGCGAATACGAATTCAATGATTTCAACAGGTAATGGCGGCATCTGGCATTGCGTGTGACAGGTTAGCGAAATTCAGGGAGAACCCTAGATTTCTGTGTTATACTCACGTTGCCTTCGCCACAAAGAATTTATTCACTCGCTTCCTAGGTAAGATGGGTATGACAATCTGCAGGTTCGTTCTGGGGACGGTGAAGCGCCTTACGGTGACTTGCTTGGTGGGAACAGCCTAAGCCACGTAAGCCCCGCAGGCGGATTGATGGGCAACATCCCCTGACTCCTGTTCGGTCCCCAGACCATGTTCCAGGAAGTAAAAGTAGGGCAGGGTGAAACTGGTCTACATTTTCCCCAAGCCCGAGCGTGATTGGTCTGGTACAAGTTGACGTGTGAGGGGAGCACTCTAGACGGTGCTGAGGATTGCAATATTAAGCTGCAAGCAAGGCTAATCATCCTTTGAACCACGAGGTCAGATGAAATTGGAATTGGATTCGTTTCGATGGTGTGAGCCTACCTTATCCCTACAACACAATATCGGAACATGGAGCTTGATCTCAACGAATCATGCATCATGTAGCCTCGGGGTGGTTGAGCCCCGTTGAGTTCTGGTCCTGGTCGACCTGTTGCAGAAGCCGATAAGTGTGAATGAGTGCTGATTTGCTGAATGGACGCCTGCTAGCGCACTCATTCACATTCCTCCAGAAGCTGGTGAATTCCACACAGTCAGAAATATTCAGCGAAGAGGGTGATCACGTACGCATGTCGCTCCAGAAGTCCTGTATTGGGACTCAAGACACTGCATTCAGTGTTGCAGAGGAGAAACAACATGGAGAGTTGGCTGTCCTACCTTGTGATACTCCCGTATGCCTTGGGCCACTTTTCTCCTTTGCACAGCCTACCACCCTCTGTACTGGGTCACAAACAACTTCGACGGGTTAAAGCCTGTGGCAACTATGGGTGTCCTTATTAGACAAAAATAAAATTCATTCTCAGCCACAACCAAAGCGGAGACGCACCTTACCACAGCCCTTAGGTGTCGTCGAACAGCGTCGACATAAACACGATCAGCAGCGGCTTCCTGCCTATCTTCCACATCCACGTGCGTGACCGACCGACGCAGCTGCACTGAGCATAGCGAGGGTTTCTGAAAGGAGGACTTTTTCGTTGTTCCAATGCTCTCCCCGGAACCCGCTACCGTATGGAACCTGACTTTCTCGTTGCTGTTGGCGATGTCGAGGTCAAGCTGATGGAAGAAAGAGGATGGAATCGATCTGGGACCATTGGCGTTTCGATGAGTAGAGCGAGGCCAAGTCGGGCTAAGGTTGCTCAGGGATGGCTTGGTGATCCACCACCGTAGACGTGGCCCGAACCGAGCTCTTCCCCGAATCAATTTGTCACCCTCTCACCATTTCAAAGTACATACTGGAGGTTCTCAGACAGCCGGTCACGGAACGAACTCTTCGTCAAATTATAACCTGAGCCAAACTAGTAGTTTGTTCTTGGCATCCGTCCAGTTTGAGACGAATTGAAGAGAATCTCGAAAAGGAAGAAGAGATGGCGATTAGGTCAGTTAGTCTGTAATCCCCCTCGGCTCTAACTCATCACTGGCACGCGCAGGTCTTGGCCCCATCTCGGTTGCAAGCAAACTACGGTACGGTCGTCGGTATGTGTGCACCGAACTATGCACTATCCTCGCAACGTCATTCCTGAAGCTTGAAGCCTGAGCTTTGGAGGTTCCTATTTTTCAAAATTCACACATCGGTTGAGAGCTCTAACCGACGAACGCGGCAGGCGAGGGATTGCAATCAACAGAACTCATGTCGCGCCTCCGAATTGTGCCGCCGACTCGGTAAGTCTCCTCCATGAAGTTCCTGACCTTTCACTACACTGTGGTTTGCCTACCCTTCTCGCTGCATGTGTGTTCCTGGAGTCGCTTTCGCGAGACAACACTGTCATTTATCTAACACGTCAATGATCGTGAGCAGTGCCTGGACTAGCGGTCTTCGCATCACCGAGTCAGCGCGTCTTCGACCCCGACTGGGATATCGCCCGACTGGGACCGCGACAATCTGAGGCAGAGCGTCGATTGGGTGAGTATCTCGCAGCGTATATGGTCGGGGCAATCGCTTGAGGCCCCGAAGACATTTGAAACGATATCGATCTTCTTTGTTTGACCGCGACTTGGTCTCGGATAGCTCGCCACCGTCCCTGTTCAAGCCTCTGGTTTGAATGTCATCTCAAAATCCTTTCGCAATCTACTTCTGGCTTACGACAAGAACAGACATCGCCACATCCCAGCGTCCTTGTCCATACTTTGTCCGCCCTGAGCGCTCGCCTACCCCCTCCCTGAACGCCAGCTCTTCACCACGCCTACATATACGTGTACATCTTTGCATGAACCGCGCTATATAATCGTCCGTGCAACCTCGCACATATCAAACCTCGCGTTGGTCATAGGCTGAAAACATATCAAGTCGTGCGCTCTCCATCGGATCATCCAAGTTGAATCACGTAAAGGGCGCGACAAGATGGGTCATCAATGTGGGGTTTCTTTCGACTTGGTAGATGTCGATACTCACGATTTTACAAAGCAAGCCTGGCAACGACGTCCAGGACACACGTACGTACGGTAAAACAGTTGAATCCGCCGCCCAGTCTATGGCATAAAAGCAGCGGTCGCAAACTATGTGTCTGGCACGCACACATACTCCCTTCCTTCGCCAACAATCAACCTTCTCATGGCTATTCTTGTAACGGGCGGAGGCGGCATGACCTCCAAGGCCGTAGCTTCGCAGCTCAAGGACGCCGGTATCCCCTTCGTTGTGGGATCTACCCGCGGCACCAGTGCATCCTCCCCGGGGATTGACGCCGTCAAGTTCGACTGGACCGACGAATCGACCTTCCCCATTCCCTTCCAGCACGAGTTCCCCGACGGCGAGAAGATCACAGCGGTCTACATCGTCCCTGGCCCCGTCCACTCTGCAGACCCAAACTCGGCTATCAACGCATTCGTGGATTACGCGATGAAGGCGCATGGCGTGAAGCGGTTCGTGCTGTGCGGCGGGGTGGTGCTGAAGAAAGGAGGCCCCTGGCATCTCGACGCTGTCTGGTCGCACTTCAAGGAAGTCGGCGCAGAGTATATGGTGCTTAGACCTACTTGGTTCCTCGGTAAGTTCCTCGAGTTTATCTTTACTTGCGAGGTCGGGTTATGCGTGTCCTGCAGAGAATTATTTGGACTGGTTCTTGCTCCCCCTTAAGAACGAGAATAAAATCTATACGTGTGCTGGGGACGCGACTATAGCTTTTATTAGCGCAGAGGATATTGCAGCTTTGGCGATCAGAGGTCTCACCTCCGAGAAACCATTCAACTGCGATTTCACCGTCCACGGTCCGGAATTAGTGACGCACGACCAGGTACATGGATGTCTCTCGGTTTCGACCCGCCTGACAGTGCTGCTTATCTAGCTGGCCGAGACATTCAGCAAGATTCTCGGGAGGAAGATCGAGCACGTTAAGCTCACCGAGGAGAAAAGAGCGGCAATCCTGACAGAGGCTGGGTTCCCTCCTACGTTCGCAAAGTTCGGCGCGTATTTGGAGGCGAACATATGGGACACGGAGATTGACGATGCGACAGCGAGGGCCGCTGGGAAGAAGCTGATGACATGCGACGAGTTCATCGAGAAGCATAAGTCGGTTTGGTTATAAGTGTCCTAGACAGAGTCAGCGCGAAATCAGATCCGTTGTTATTCGTACCCATTGTCATACTTTCAGAGGCTTGTTCACCTTGGGTAATGGCTCACCGTTGCCATTGCAACACTAGGCGTCCAGACGCATCACGGGCACATCTATGTCTTTCCTGACAAACTGCGACGCGAAACCTTTGATCGCGTGGTTCACCTGAAGTTCGGAGCAGACATATACAGCGCATGCGTCTAAGAGCCAGAGCCAACTGCTAACTTAGAAAGGTACTCAACAAGTCCCCTCCGCAGCTTAATTTACAGCTTGGACTGGGACCTGTAGCTTAAGGACGCAAGTGGTGTGCAGGAGTTCAAATTGGAGGTAGACGCATGTCATTTGGGCTAGAGATCCGATGACTGAGTTATAAGGAGGATGGTACCAGGTAACCTAGCATGTTGAGCAATGGCGGATACGGGGCACGATTGATCGGAGTCCTTGGGCTTGGTTCGCTTTGAATGTAAAACTCACCTTTGCGCGTATCCTCTACTTCGTCTGTTTCGCCCCTCGCCGCATTAAGACATTGTGACCACTGCAAACAGTTTTCCATGGACCAAAAGGCGAGCTTAGCAGAGCGCGTCGAGTCTCTGGTAGCATAGGCTGTCATATGCTTGCCGACGAAGATCAGCAGCCCACGGTGGATCGCACTTGAAACCGGCTCGAGCTCCTCGCAATCAAGGCGAAGTGCGGCCAAAAAAATGAAGCCGTCGCAACCGTGAGTTTGATTGTGTACGGTACGGTGGCCGTGCTCTTCTCCTTGATCGTGCAGAAGTGCAGCGAGAGAAGGTATCTGGGACGGGTGTTGAACGTCGGGGTCGAGGTCGTGTCCAAGATTTTGGGTTGGGCGCTTGCACACCTCTCTTTTCTGGTCCCCTCCAAGCTCCAAGCTCCCTCATTTCTCTGAACAAATGGACTTTGTTGCTTCAACAGGCGTCATGAGGGCCTGTTCTCCCCAGTATATTGGCACGACGCGTCGAGCGGGCAAGAGCTTGAGAAGACTAGCGTTCTGGGTGACTTGGGTGAGGGTCTTGATCGCGTACAAAACCAGCTGACGAAAAGCATAACTCAAACCAAGTACCCTGACGCAACGGGGCTATAACTTTGGGTGCGGACCTGGCTACCCTCCTTTATCATGTTATCAGTGTTTTTTGCTGTTTCTGGTTTCAGACACTTTGTGTTCTATTCTGTCCGCATATAATTTTCCATCCCCTTGCATCCCACGGCGTGCCCCCCGATATCCCTGTTGCGTAGGAAGAGCGCCTGTTTGGATTGAATCGGAACGCTAGCATGCCCATTCTCGCAGAGAACAAGGGTCCTTCCGCAATGGAATAGCAGTGGCATCGATGTGATTCACGAGGCAAGTTCGACATTGACATAAATGATACAGAGTAGCTACTCAAATCCCATCAGTTTGTCTGTCGTTCTACTGGGCGGTGAGGTGGGCGACGCTCTCCCAGAACCTGTTGCAGCATTAGCGATTCAGATCAGATGCCACACAACAGCAAAACGCAAAAAAAAACACGCACGCGCATCTCTGCAAAAGCGGCGGCGGCGTCGCGATGGCGCGGATATCGGGGCGGCCGTCCGACGTGCGATTGAACAGCATCTCACTGTGCGCTACGCAGTGCGGCGCCCACAGCGGCGTGATGCTCCTGCTGTCGATTCTGCGATTCGGGTCGAGCGACGTCGCGAAGTCCATGAAGGCCCCTGCGAAGGAGATGATGAATGGCGTGTTGTTGAATGTCGGGCTCCTGACGCTATCAGGGGCAAGGACGGGGGGGTGTTTGCGCATTGTGTAAGTCCAAGCCCAAGCACAGGTGAATGAGGGGCGAGATTACCTGGGGAAGTAGAAGGCGACGTCCTCTCCGTGGCTTCCATTGGGGACAGCGAATTCTCCCTAGATAAACAGTCAATACGGCTGCACCTCCACAAAACAAAACTCCATTACCTTGTACGAGGCTGCGGGGAAGGCATTCAGCATGAAGTAGCTTGGGCACACGAAGATAGCTTGACGGATCCCATTCCGTAAGTAGTATAGCTTTGAGGGAAATCGAAACGAAGACTAACATTCCCCCATGATCGCATTCGCCTGGTCGATGGGCGCGCCGACCGGGGCGTACAGTCGTGCGGCGGCGGCGGCATTTGCGGTGCCGAGGTCCGGGAACAGGCGCAGAGCATAGTCGGCCGCCGTGACCGTACCAGCGGTACTTTGATTCACAAAACCATTGCCTTCGTGTGTGTTGGTCACAGCGAGGAGTGCTTCCTACGAACGATCATCAAAAGGGTGCGGGGGGCCACGGGACACGAAACTTACACCATTAACTCGCCTCTGGCGGAGTGCCACGGTTGGACGTTGGGTGATGAAGTCGCCGTCGACCACCGGCACGGTCACGAGCGTCCCGTAGAAGCCTGCGCGGTTCACCTGCACGTTGGCGGCTTGCAGTCTTGAGACATCGGCTGCACGCAGACACGCCAGCGCGTCGGCGGCGCCACCACACCTACCAGGAATCGTTATCGACATTCTAACGACGCATCATACGGGAGAGCAGACACCGAAGCGTACCCGGTTTGCGATACAACCTGGCTGAAGATGCGCTGGGACAGAGAACAGCGGGAAGCGTGTCAGGAAAGGTATGATGAGCAACGAGTTATAGTTATAGGGCGAACCTCTGGGACGGCCCCGTCGAAGGGATGCTGCGAAGGCAGGAAGGACGAACTCGAGATAGCGGCCCTGAACAGCGGGGGGCGTGTGCGCCCGTTCCGCGCAACGACATGCTGCAGCACAGACCCGGCACCTGCGCGACCATCAGCCGTCAGCCATCAGCGTCAATGCCGCGAGTATGGCACCCGATACCCACCTGCGGACTCGCCCCATATAGTGACGCGCTGGGGATCGCCGCCGAATTTGCTGATCTGCGGGCAGCGGCATATGCGATGATGAAGTCAGAAGAGGGCATGCATCGGGGTTCATGCGTATGCGTACATGTTGCTGCACCCACTTCAATGCGAATTCCTGGTCGACTTCACGCAGCTGAAGTCAGCTCTGAGGTTGACGTGGGGGCATGGCAGCGCTTGCCGTACTTACGCAAACCGGCGTTCAGCGCGCCATCGGCCTTGACTCGCGCGCCGGCCAAAAATCCTGTCACGAACGCTCAGCACACGTCACAGGCGCACGATGGTGCGCGTTACCGAATATGCCGAGGCGATACTGGATGGTGACAACCACGACCCCGTTCTTGGCCCGGACGATGAGATCACCGCCGTCGTACGACGCTGCGCCCCCGCCTATGTATCTGAGAATCATGATCATCATGATTAGCGTCAACACTATTTGTACGCCGTAAACACAGCTCATAAGCGTAGCTCGCACCCGCCGCCATGGATCCAGACAACCACAGGGAGGAGGCGCGGCGGGACCGCACTGCCGGGAAAATACACGCTGCGCCTATCAGGTCTAATTCGTGGGCGAGTGAGGGGAGGCATGCCACGTACTTCAAGAACAGGCAGTCCTCCTGGTCTGGCTGCACGGCTCTCGCGCGCAGCGGGGACTCCGGGTTGGGATTGGTAGGCAATTCCCCGAAGGGGGCCTGCAGGCACCGCGGTGGCGCCGTAGCCGCGCGCTGCACGCCGGGCAGCGCGGGGGGGCTCTGCGGCGCCCGGAAGCGCAGGCCGCCGACGGGCGCGGCGGCGTAGCGGATGCCGAGGTACGTGGAGATGTTGGTTTGGGGGCTGACGGTGCCCTGGTACTGCGCGTTCCCGACATCGACGACCGGGGCTTGGGCGGGGGCTTGGGCCGCGGCGCAGGAGAGCAGTGCGAGAACGAGGACGAGGAGGGGCAGTGCGGCGCGCATTCGGGGCGGGAAGGAGGTGGACTCGGGTTCGAATGAATTGTGCTGTGTATTTATAGTTATGGGGTTCAGCGGGATGTCGAGTAGGCGATGGGGAATATGCACGAGAAGGAGCGTGAAGGGAGGCAGGTACGGGTGGCTGGATCGTGCATGTAGACCCGGCGTGGTTGCACGCTGTAGAGTTCTAGCCCTGTCGACCTGTATCAGAAGCTGATGAGCGCTGGGTGCTGAACGTTCGCCTGCTGCTAGCAGCGCTACAGCGCACTCACGCTCGTTCCCCGAAAGCCGTAGAAGTCCACGGCGCCAAAAACATCCCGCGCCAGAAGCCCGTATCGATATTCGGTGTTCGATGCATGGATGCCGGGCACCGAGTGCTGAGCGCTTGAGCGCTTGAGCTACAGCGCGTTTGGACTTGCACCGTCTAGTGTATCCGAAAGGGGCGTAGGGGGGGCCCCTAAGGGGCGAGAGGACTGGTCTATGACAGTCTTGAATAAATGAGATTCACATATGTATCTCAAAGCCCTTCACAAACTGATTTCTCTGTACTACATCTAGCATCCATGCACAACAAAGTCACAGGCCTGAAGTTTGTTATATGTTGATGCTTACCACTATTCTTTCTGCAATTGCCTACACCACAGCTTACAGCTTATACTGGGCCTACAGTTTCCATCTGTTACTGTACTATTCCAATCCAGTGTTCAGTAAAATGTAACACCTGAAAACATTCAACATTAGATTCAATTTCTTTCACATTTTTCAGATTTTTTGATTTTCAAAAGTGGCTAAAATTTACAAATTAGTGAACACTTGATCGGAATAGTACAGTATCTCCTTCTTCAGTGCAGACATCATCTGCATCTCCTACCTCACTCAATGGCTATCTATTTAAGTGAGTACTATTTATGAATCAATAGGACCCGTACAGGCCATGCATTGCAGTGGCTACAGCCCCAAGTTTAGTTATGTAGAGTCAAGAATTTTGCTGGAGCTCGAGAACCTAACAATGCGGACGCGGCCAGGTGGAAATAACGTTCGAGCGGTTTGCCTGATTGTTTGTCTACCCTTTTGATCTGTGGTGTAGCCTGAATGAGTAGCGACAGCCTTTCGATTCTGTGGAGAGTGCACCGAAGCATATGTGCACGTGGCGGGCGGACCCTGACGCTACTGGAGGAGTTTTGGCCGTAGTGAAGCGACCGTGATGGCTGCCACTGCCAGCGCCGTCAATGTCAGCGAACGAACACCTCTCCTCCTCATACGCCCATCCTCCTCCTCCTCCTCCTCTTCAAGTTCTTCCTCCTCCTCTTCAAGTTCCTCCTCCCCGACCCTACCGCCCCTTCAATGGTCCCAGATCTACATAATCCTCCTCCTCCAGCTCTGCGAGCCCCTCACCTCCCAGTCCATCTACCCCTACATCAACCAGCTCATCCGCGACCTCGGCGTCACCCGCGGCGACGAGCACAAAGTCGGCTTCTACGCCGGCCTCGTCGAGTCGCTCTTCTTCCTCACAGAGGCTTCAACCGTCCTGTACTGGTCCCGCGTATCCGATAGGATAGGCAGGAAGCCTGTGCTGCTCGTTGGCCTCGCGGGCTTGAGTGTCTCGACGCTGGGGTTCGGGATGGCGCGCACGTTTGCGGGGATCGTGGTGAGTCGATGTATATGCGGCATGTTGAACGGCAATATCGGTGGGCTCCCAACCTTCTTCTCCGCTCCTTCAATGACGAGATCTGTGCCGTAGGAGTCATGAAGAGCGTCATGGGCGAGCTCACGACCCCCGCCAACCGCGCAGAGGGCTTCGCGCTCATGCCCGTCGTGTGGAGTGCCGGGGCGACGTTGGGGTGAGTGCCGGGGTGCCTACTTCCAATCCTGCATCTGCATATCTGATGTTCCCCAGGCCCCTCATCGGCGGCGGCCTCTCCAAGCCCTACGACCGCATCCCCCTCCCCTTCTTCCGCACACACTTCTGGCGCGACCACCCGTACTTCCTGCCCTGCGCAGCCGTCGCCCTCTGCGTCGCAGCCGCATGGGGCGTCACGGCGCTGTTTTTTAAAGAGGTGCGTACGTGTGTTGTGAGACTTTGTCTACGCGCGTTCGTTATGAGTAGCTTCTAATCTCAAGTTTCATGGTTTTCATTCACATTTTCGTTTACGCGTATAAAGTGTGCTTGCTCACCCTATGGTGTAGACGCTCGACCCCCGCGCGCCGCGTTCCTCTTCATCTTCAACCTCCTCCTCAGCGTCTACAACTCCAGCTCCTTCAACTTCAACCACCTCCCCGTCTTTTTCAGCTTCGTCTACACACCATGGAAATGAACAAAGAGGAAAAAGAAGACAAAGTGTAGAAAGTGGAAACGGAGTAAGAACACAAAGCGAACAAAGACCCCCAACGCCCCTCTCCGCGCTCCTCACGCAGCGCCGCACGCTCGTACCCATAGCGAACTACACCCTCCTCGCATTCCTCTCCATCTCCATCAACGCCCTCCAGCCGCTCTTCCTCTCCACACCCTCCTCTATCCCCCCTCGCTCCCCCTCCTTCTCCCCCTCCTCCTCTCCATCCTCTCCGTTATCCTCCTCCTCCTCCTCCTCCTCCTCCTCCTCCTCCTCCTTCCCCTCCCCAAAACTGGGCATCCCCGGCCTCGGCCTCCCACCTCCCACCATCGGCCTCATACTCGGCCTCTTCGGCATCCTCAACGGCCTCTTCCAAGCGTGCTTCTTCCCGCGCATCGTTGCGCGGTTCGGGGCGAAGCGCGTGTTTAGGGCGGGCGTGGGCGCGGCGGGGTGTGTCGGTGCGGCGTTTGCGGGCGTGGGGCTGGTCGGGGGGATGGGCGGAAGGGAAGGGGGCGGGGGTTTTGGGTGGGCGGTGTGGGCCCTGGTGGGCGTGCAGCTCGCGCTCTGTGTGCTCGTCGATATGGCGTACGGTGCGTCTCCTTCCCCCTCTTTCTCTTTCTCCCCCTCCCCCCTTCGTAACCGAACTCACCTCAACACGCGTTCTCACGTTATACACACATCACAGGCTGCGTATTCATGTTCATAACCGCCGCTGCGCCCCCGCACGCACTGGGCGCGACGAATGGGCTCGCGCAGACGGCTGTGTCGGTCGCGCGGGCGGTGGGGCCCGTGACGGCGACGTCGCTGTTCAGCGTGTCGTTGGGGTGGAGATATCAGTATGAGTATAAGCACGCTCGTGCTCGTGGGGTGTCGGGGTTGTATGGTTGCTGTGAGGGGGGCGGGGGCGGTGTTGAGGAATGGGGTGCGTGGGTGGTGGGGATGCTAGGCGCGAATATGGTGTATGTGTTTGTTGTGGTGCTGTCGGGCGTGGCGGTGTGGGTCGGTGGGATGCTGCCGGATACGCTGGATGAGGCGCCTGATGGGGAGGACGGTGTGTGTGGAGTAGGAGGAGTAGGAGTAGGGGAGGGAGAAGAGGAAGAGGGGGGTAAGGGCGAGGAGGCGTGATTTAACGAGTTACGCTGCTTGGATTTAGAGATTGATTTAGAGGGGAAGTTATGAGAGTTATTTGGAGGTTATGAGCATCATTGGGAGATTATGAATGCCTTCCACGAAACTGCATTCGCGCTGCAGGGGCCCGACGGAGAGAGTGGCGACGTTGGCGGATTCTTGGGTCTTGAGCTTGAGCTTGGAGCTTTGAAGTTCGGCGCGTTCACGCGTTCAAACGTTCGTGGTTTAGAGGCTGGCACGGATATGGATGATGAATATTGGATATTGGATATTGGATATTGGATGTTGTACGCGTTCGTTGTTGGGGGATGTATGTACAAGATGCGAAAAGGAGCATGCAGCATGCATGGGATGCGAACAAGACGGAAAGTACGCTGATATACGGCAGACGATGAGACGACGAGACGGGGCGGGTACAAGAGTGGAAGCCGGGATGTACAACCTTGACGAGCACATGAGGGACCAAGAAACGGAGATACACATACACGCAAAGAGGGTATGGCGGGGGCACGCCTAGGCCGAGGGCGGTCACGGTTCGCGGAAGTGCGGGAGGATGGAAAGTTGCAACAGAGCAGCAGAAGATATATATATATTAGCGGGCTTAGGGCAACGAGACACGGCGCCATGCAAACGCGACATAGGATCTTGATGGGTTTGGTCAATGGTAAGGTCGGGGAGCGGGCCGAGCGCTGAAACGGACCACTTGAAGACGGAGATGATAGCATGAGACGTCACTGGACGTTCCCCTGCGCGCAGCACAACATCTTAGGTTGGGTTCTTCCGCAATGGAATAGCGGTGACATTGACGCGGAGACATGGGCCAGTGAATACATACCCTGCACCCTGGTGTATCTCTTCTTCGTCTGACAGTCTTACTCGACTATTGACACAGATGACATAGACTGGTTAACATTCAATTCGTAGTCTGTTCGCCGTTCTACTGGGCGGTGAGATGGCCAACACTCTCCCAGAAACTGGTGCAGTATTATTGAGCGACTCAGAGACGAGAAGCAAAACCAAAAATCAAAACACGCACGCGCATCTCTGCAAAAGCGCCGCTGAGGTCGTGATGGCACGAATGCCGGGGCGCCCGTTTGCAGTGCGATTGAACAGCATTTCACTGTGTTCTACGAGATACTTCGACCACAATGGAGTGATGTTTCCGTTGTCAATTTTCTCGTTTGGGTCTAGCGATGTCGCAAAGTCCACGAAAGCGCCCGCAAAGGAGATGACGAATGGCAGATTTTTGAATGCTGGAGTCCTGCCGCTATAAGGAGAGGTGTGTAAGTCCCATCACAGCCGAATGCGGACCGAGATTACCTGGGGAAGTAGAAGGCGATGTCTTCTGCATGGCTGCCATTGGGGACAGCGAATTCGCCCTAGATAAACAATCAATATGGCTGCACCTCGACAAAACTCCATTACCTTAAACGAGGCTGCGGGAAAGGCATCCAGCATGAAGTAGCTTGGGCATACGAAGATAGCTTTACGGAATGATACCCGTAAGTAAGGGCTTTGAGGGAAATCGTAACGAAGCCTAACATTCCCCCATGATTGCATTCACCTGATTGATAGGTGAGCCAAAAGGGGCGTACAGTCTTGCTGCAGCGGCGGCATTCGCGGTCCCAAGGTCCGGGAACAGGCGGAGAGCATAGTTGGCTGCCTTGACTGTGGCAGCTGTACTTGGATTCACAAAAGCATTGCCTTCGTGTGTGTTGGTCATAGCAAGGAGTGCTTCCTATGAACAATCATCAAAAGGGTGCAAAAGGCTACGGGACACGAATCCTACACCATTAACTCGCCTCTGGCGGAGTGCCACAGTCGGACGTTGGGTGATGAAATCGCCGTCGACCACCGGCACGGTCACGAACGTCCCGAAGAAGCCCGCGCGGTTCACCTGCGTGTTGGCGGCTTGCAGTTTCGAGACATTGGCTGTACGCAGACATGACAAAGCGTCTGGGGCGCCACCGCACCTACCAGGAATCGTTATTCTAATGGCAAATCATATGGGAGACCAGACACCGAGGCATACCCGGCTTGCGATACAACCTGGCTAAAGATGCGCTAGAACAGCGAGAAGCGTGTCAGAAAAGGTATAATGAGCAACGGATTATAGGCCAAACCTCTGGGACGGCTCCATCGAAGGGATGTTGAGAAGGTAAGAAAGATGAACTTGAGATAGCTGCCCTGAACAGCGGGGGATTTGTGCTCCCGTTTCGAGCGACAACATGCTGCAACACAGAACCGGCGCCTGGGAGAGTATTAGTCGTCAGCCGTCAGCCATCAGCCGTCCATCCCGCGAGTATGACACCCGATACCCACCTGCGGACTCGCCCCATATAGTGACACGATCAGGATCGCCTCCGAATTTGCTGATCTGCGGCATATGGGATAACGACATCAGAACGAGGATCATAAGTTGAGGAGCATGGCTACATGTTGTTGCACCCATTTCAATGCGAACTCTTGGTCGACTTTACGCATGTACGAAGTTAGCTCTGAGGTGGAGGCATGGTAACGATTGCTGTACTTACGTAGACCGGCATTCAGCGCGCCATTGGCCTTGACTTTGGAGCCGGCCAAAAAGCCTGTCATGAACGGTCAGCACATATTGTGAAGGACAAGATAATCCCCATTACCGAATATACCAAGGCGATACTGGATAACGACCACCACGACACTATTCTTGGCCCTGATGATGAGATCGCCTCCGTTGAATGATGATGCGCTCCCCGCTACATATCTGGGAATTATCAGAGTCAACATGATATTCCGTAAACATGTCATAATATTAGGTCTCACCCGTCGCCATGAATCCAAACAATGACTGGAAGCCGGCACGTCGGAATTGTACTGCCTGGAAAATGCACGCTACCGTCTATCAGATCTAATTCTTGGGCAAGTGAGGGGAGGCATACCACGTACTTCAAGAACAGGCAGTCCTCGTGAGCTTGTACAGCCCTCGCGCTAAGCGACGACTTTGGGTTAGGATTAGTAGGCGATCTCCCCGAAGAGGCTTGAAGGCATAGTGGAGGTTTAGTAGTTGCTTGTTGCACTCCAGCTAGAGCGGGAGGGCTCTGAGGCGCCCGGAACCGTAAATCACCAACGGGTGCGGCAGCGTAGCGAATGCCAAAGTAAGTAGAGATGTTGTTTTTGGCATTGACGGTTCCTTGATACTGTGCATTGCCAACATCGACGACTGGCGCGGGTGCTTGGGCCACAGCCAAGGAAAGCAAAGCAAGGAGGGGGAGAGTGGCACGCATTCGGGTCACTAGAGAGGTGGACTCTGGCTCAAACAAATTGCCTCTGCGTATTTATGGCTTTCAATAAAATGCCGAGCAATTGATAGCGAATATTCACGAGAACGAGCCCGAAGGGAGGCAGCTAAGAATATACGGATCATCCACCGTGTAGACTCGGGGTGGCTGATCCCCGTAGAGTTCTAGTCCTGGCCAACCTATGTCAGAAGCTGATGGTCGCCGCCTGCTAGCGCACTCACTTGTTCCTCTGGAAGTTGAAGGATTCCATAAAGTCGATAATATCCGGGGAAGGTGTGTCGCCCCAGAATACCAGAAGTCCGGTATTGGTACCCGTTGCATGAAGTTCGGGTAAGTGTTTAACTTCCACCGTTTCCGAGCCTACTGAGAGAATGCCAAATGTTGCACTAGAATATTCAGAGCGAGTCAGGAGAGAAGCGTAGGATGGTGGAGTTCTGGAAATGGAACTGAGTCGTTGAGGTGGCAGAGAAGCAGACCTTGTCGCTGCTGTCCCGAGTAAGGAAGGGACACGCGATTTCGAGCGATATCACTGGTTGATCGCGGGTCCAATCACCTATGCCTCGGTGTGCAGAGACTTCCCTGGGGTCGCCACCACACTTTCTAATCTGCAAAGTGACGAAGTCCCCACAGCGAAGTGTTAAATAGTAGAAAGTGGCCGCAAGATGCACCAATGTTTGATGTCAACAAAGTACCATGTCCCCTCGCTCCCATATCTAACTTGAAGAAAGCCGTCCAAACAAATTCCAGTTCCTGCTACGGCTATGAGTGCAGAAACGTACCGCATGTAACTGCGGCTTGGAGGCGCGTCGACCGACGACGATCCTTGGAGTCGGCTCGACTGGGGAAGTATAGCTGAGATTCGTGGCTCGCCTTGCAGAAGTCATGTGCGTATCGTTATTGACAGAGCGCGTCAACCCAAAACTGTCGGTGTTGGCTAGGTACAATGAACTTCGGTGTCTTGTTTGGCAATGATGTACACTGACGCGTCGGCGTTTGACGCCCAATCGAAAGGCCTGACATTTTGAAAACGAGAGCAGCAAGGATCTCGCCGTCGCGATATCCATGTTGAATTTGTGTTGGACAGAGTTTCCCACAACCCAATTGTTGCTCCGGTTGTACTCCGCGTCGTCCGCCTACCGCAAAAGCCAATTCCCTGTTCCTAGTAGTAACCTTGAGGCCGATCGTCGACTTTTGTCCCCAACTTTCTCCCAAATAGGCGAGTTTGTCAAGTAAATCTGGAATATTTCCCCGGATCCCAGAGGCGGATGCTTGAACGAGCCTGCAAAGTCTCTTGTTTCCCGCCAATACGCTTTGGTCCCCACTATAAATACCTTCCTCCACTTCGAACTTTGCCAGAAGCGTTCTTTACCACCAACCACTACCACCACGATGTTCTCTCAGCTCATAGTCGCCCTCGCCCTTTCAAGTTTCTCTCTCGCATACAACATCACCTCGCCGGGCGATTCCCATAACTGGACGGAGCGTGGACCCCAGCCCGCCACATGGGAACGCGCGAGCACCGACCCGGAGACCGTCACCGTCGTGCTCACCAACAAGGTAAGCCCGCGAATCGCCATGGACACTCCGCTCGCTAACACGCCTGACGAACTTTCGCAGAACAGCAGCGTCATGGCCGAGAACCAAGTCATCGCCACCTCTCTTGACGGCAAGACCGGAAAGGCGGAGCTCAACCCGCCTAAAGGCAAGTGGCCCGCAGGCGAGGGATTCATCCTCAACTTCTGCCAGAAAGGGCACACTACCGATGCGATCCTCGCGCAGTCGAAGGAATTTTCTATCATCGGAGTCGGCAGCGAGGGAGTTGACTCTTTGCCAAGCACTTTACCGCAGACGCAGAACTTGGATACCCCGCCGCAGGTTGCGAAATCCAATGGCGCGATGGCTGCCTTTGAGGCGACGAAGGACGGCTTGATGGGATTATTGGGATTCCTAGCGTTGATGGCCGTGTAGGGTGTATGTAGTCGATTTCGCGTGGATATGCGTCTCCGTTCTTGTCTCTTGGATTTTGTCAATGGTCATACCCGGTCTCACTTTCTCAGCTTATATCCCATCTGCGATGCTTCGAGGATGTTCAGTTGCAATTGGACTCCGAGCTTGGTGGTTAGAGACGTCTCATTGCGGGAAGTTCATGACAGCGTCCTAGTATTACAAGCTGAGGGGTAGATCCTGACACAATGGATACGAAGAATACAAAGTAGGGACATTAAAGTTACATTGTCCACGACTATACAATCACAACATCCCTCCAATCATGGAGCCACTCCTCGTTGGGCTTGCACTCCCACAATATGGTGCGAGACCGTCTGCCATCTCCGTAGAACCTCTCAGAAACGCGTTTCATGGGAGGTTTACCGTTGAACTGAATCTCGATGCATTGCAACGAAGGCAGTTCATCAAAGAACCACTCGATGAGGAACTCGTTGCGCAGATTACGCAGACGGAGGAACTTAATATCGGTGTTCTTGAGTGTCGAAGGCGTGATCACCGTCTCGTCCTACACAAACATGTGAGGCTACGACGGCGAGACTCATCTAAGCAGCCAATTACCTGTACATCGAGGAATTCCAGGTTGACCATTCTTCGAATCAGAGATTCGAGCAAACCCAGGGCCACGGCATCGTCGTTCCTGTGGATGGTCGGCGAGAAGACTCTGATGCTTTCAAAGTGTTTTTCTCTCATTGTATTCCAGTACGGGGGCGTGTTACGATTGATGACCGTTTTGATTCGCTGGACTCGTCGTTTGGGGAGCATCCGCAGGACAGCGTCGATGGGCGCGCGAAGACTTTCCAAATTAGGCAATACTTGACTGTCCATTTGTGGCACGTCGAACGCGTCTTCGTCGAATGCAAGATACTTGATGTTGGTGTGGTAGCGAAGGAAAGTCATAAACGCGCTTTCATCGAGTATTTCCGCGTGAAGCCACGTGAATGTGCGAAGGGACGACGCGAGTGGCGAGGAGTAGCTGAAGCAGCGTCGGAGGTTGAAGGGGTTCCCGTCGACGAAATCCACGGCTGGGTACTCGAAGCTGAAGTTGAGGAGTCGAGGGAGCATGCGGATAATGCGGTGGATTAGCTTGCGCTCCCTCGATGTGAAGGTACGCCCAAGGGCGATGACGGACAAGCTGCGAACCCAGTCGTGTCTGACTTTGTTTGCCTGGATGGCATGGTGGAACAATTCTACTAAATTGTCCGTGGCTGCATCGCGCTTGAGGCGAAGCACAATATTAGCGTAGAGGGATTTCTCGCCAACACCACGCAATTTGCGTGAAACCAGAGACAGCGCCAGACAGTCGCGTTGTTTGGGCAAATACCCCGCGATGCGGAGTAAGACCTCGGGAGGCGTCTTGAGTAACTGTCCCATTGCTAGAGGCAAACACACGGATTTGCGAGATTCACTCTCGAGCTCTCCTGAGGTTATTTGGGTGGTAAGTTGAGGGCGAAGGACTTGCAGCGAAGTGAGTGGAACAAATGCCACCACGTGATGCCACCCATAGATTCACCGTTAGGGCTGCATATGTTTCGCCGCTGTTACCTTCGCCGCTCGACAGTAGTCGAAAGGGTAGGTGAATATCGACCATTCGTCCGAGGGAACTGATTTCCCATTTCTCAGAATGTTTTGAGAGGGCTCGGTAGACCTCTTGAGCCACCCGCATCGAGTAAATGGGACTGCATGGAGACTGCGCGAGACCATCGAGTGGTAGACACGTCCCCTACTTTCTGTTCGTCACATCGCCAGGGCCTTCTGCGAGGAATCGGACGCGACAAGTGAGTATGCCCTCTTCATCTGACGGGACGCGTGCTCACATAAGGAGGTCCTGGGATTGTGCATTAGGGTCGTCTCTTCGACGTCGCAGGGCTGGGCTTGGTGCGTCACGCTGGCCTTCCACGATGTGCCGCTAGAACTGACCGCACTGTAAAAGGATGCCATCCGACGTATTGAGAGAGGTTGGCCTGGCACTATCGTTATGGCAGCGACGATATGCTCCACGAAGAGCTCGAGTTTCTATCCTCGTATTCCAACGAAGACTTGCTAGGACTCGCACAGAGGCTTTCACCAAGCCTCGCTGTAGGGAATTTCAGATTCCCTCGGGGAGTCGACATGTTCTCCGTAAACATTACAAGCAACGTGAGGGACGAGGATCAGAAGCGATTGCCACGAGCCGGAGCAGACAAATGTGCGGACAAATTTTTTGGGATGGCACGCGGTCAGTCTGTCGACGGAACTGATGTCTTCGCTGAACAGAGAGCTCGGAATATCCGATAGGTTGGTCATGCTCACGCTGCACTACACTTGACAGGGCCAACTTCTTCACCGCGACTCTCCGACGAGTGAAGGACTACCGTAACCATCGCAATGTTCTTGAGCAACTTCAGTAAAGGTCTTCCATAAAAAGGCGAGCTATGTACGCACCTCGTCCTTGGCGCAATCCCTGTCCGAATACTGCCGCTGTTTTCTTGCCAGCGTTGCGTCGTCTGCTTCGAGGGTGAAAGCATGGCCCAAGAACAAGCCATAAGTCCAGTGCGCCTGGAATGTTTCAAGTTGAGTATCGATGTCCACTGATCGGGAGTGGAACCATCAGCGTCAGACACGTGTGCAGCGCGTCGTGGCGTCTCTGGGGATCGGGTAGCGCTCCTCTGGCTCCGGCCAGCCATAGACGACGAGGCGGGCGAGGTCGGGACACTCGATGAGGTGCGGGGTTGCGAATATCGGCTCGAGATGAGTGTAGAGCTTTAGGGTTCGAAGGGCGTCCAACCTGTTAGATTTTGGCAATCTTGGTAGTACAGGGGTATAGGGGGTACATGTGACCATGTACTTGAGATCAAACGCAATACAAACTTAGTTCATTCGAATATCGCGCGACCGTCGGCAGCTTATTTCAACACAACCGTGTATGTACCGGGGATCCTCGGTGCCTTGGGCTCCAAGTCCCTCTTGACGACACTGTCGGGCGAGCGGTCGAATTTTACGTCTGAGAGTCTCAACTCCTCGAGGGTGGGCGGGAGCAAGCTGGGAAGGGTCATAGACACCAACAAATTTCCACCCTTCGATGTATCACTTGCGAAGCTGAGGCGCGGCAAACACAGCCAAGGACGCTGCGGGCAGCGGAGCATCGGGACAAGACATGAGTAATAAGCCGTAGCCGGCGCCTGTGCAAGTTGGTCAGTCCGAAGTCGCGCGAAACACGCTGGAAACCACTCTGCTTCGGAGACGATGGCGTTTGCTGCGCATCCATTGAAGGTGAGCGTGTGGATGTACTGAGGTGGGGGGGGGGCTTCGAAAGTGTAGGAAAGAGAGCCGGTGAAGGACAGCATAGTGGCATCCTGTGACTGTGTGGAACATGTGCGGTCGACACAAGGTGTTCCGGGTGCGAGAGGCCAGAGCGCTAGCATTATATTTAAGAGGCGAACGGCCAAAGTCACGATGCTGAGAGTGGGTAAGGAATCCCCCTGGGCGCGAGATCAGTACCCCCACGCTAGAGTTGAGGGGGAGAAGAGACCAGCCGAATCGCTGGAAACACATCCAGGCTACTGGGGCTACCTGAGGACTCGCAGATATTCGGGATCCTCATCCTCATCCTCACCCTCATCTCGTCGGCATCTTTCAATATCACTTCAGCAATGGCACCATAATTAGCAATATAATTCGTGTATTTATAGAGCTAGAAACTGTGCTGATTTTGTTGGTGAACACCGAGGTGATGGTGTGGGGAGGGGATGTGCGTACATAGGTGTGTGGTGTGTGCCGATGAGTAAATAGGAATGGAGTGCTAGTCAACAGAGCGAAGCATATATGGCCGTGGAGATGGAGAGTTAGTGCGAGAAGGAAAAGAACGATGAAGAGACGGCGATAGTGATGTATGGATATGGATACACGGATGCTGTGGTAAATCGGGACGTGACACGTGAAGGGATCCAGGAGAAAAAAGGAAAACAACGCGATGCGCGTACATGGGATGCGTGTATGGTCTCAGTACTGTGCATGGGAGGATGGCCCAAACAAGAAAGCGAAAGGAGAGGGGAGCGAAGAGAGAGAGAGAAACCCGAAATAAGGACGCGAAATAAAACTTCCAGCGGCTGCCCAACCGCTCTACATCACCAATGTGCTGCGCGTCGTCACATCCACCGCATCTACCGCCACAGTATCCTTCTCCTCCTCCTTCTCCTCCTCCTCGAGTTTGCTGGGTTCGATATCGCTGCCTTGGAGCGTGTCCGAGTCACTGATATGGAGGGCATGGAGAGAATCGCTGGCGGCGCTACAGGAGCTCGACTCGGATGTGCAGCTACCAGGGCTGACGTCGAAGTACTCTGCCGTCCCGTCATTGTTGTTGTGCGCATTTTTATCGCCCCGTCGCGTATGGTCGACCGTGGCGCTCCGTCTCTGCTCCCCCTCCCGTTGCCCGCCCCCTCCTCTGCGTTGGGGGGTGGATAGTAATCCCAGGCTCCAGCGGTGTCTCTTCTTCAGCAGGCCCGGCGGCACGGGGGGCTCTTCCCTGTCGGAGTCGGCGAGGAGGGCAGAGGCGTTGGGCGAGAGCGGATGATGCTGGGTCTGGTGGCTCGAATGTGTGTTCGAATTCGAGTGGGCGTGGTGGTGCCGCTGGGGGTGAGCATGGGGATGCGAGGAGTTTGTAGATGTAGAAGTGAGGGCGAGAGGGAACGCGCTGCCCGGGGGCGATTGGCTGATGAGGTGATTTGGGTGAGGGTGGGGGATGTGGGTGATATGGACGGGATGCGTAGCATGGCGCGATGGGATGTGGACGTGCTGATGGGCGTTTGTCTGATGATGGTGCGGATCATGCTGGTAGTGCGAAGAAGTTGGATGTGATGGCGACGGCGCCGCGGATGACCCGCACGATGTCGACGTCGAATCCGATGACGAGCCCGACGACGAGGAATGGGGCAGCGCTGGGATGGCGAGCCTGCCACTGCCACTGCTCTCGCTTGTGTTGTTGTACTCGTATAGGCCCGGAATGGGCGTGTCGGGGAAGGGGTACTCGAATCGCGGGATGTCGGTGTCGAGGGTGAAGGGGGTCCCGACGATGGTGGCAGAGGGAGAGTGCAGGGTTAGGTTGGGGAGACCGGGCATCGGGATCGATGTCGCCATGGGGGCGTCTGGAGGCGGGGATGTGGGCGGGGACGAGGAGGAGGCCTAGGGAGCGGGGATCAATGAGTGTTATACTTACGAGAACGGGAGAAGAGGGAAGGTTGGAGCGCGGAGGGAGGTTGCCAGGCGGCAGGGAGATCTGGAGGAGGAGGAGTACGAGGAGGAGGGGGAAGACGTACTGGGGTTGTGGGAGTCGTGCTGCGGCAGGCTGAAGGTTTTGCAGGGATGACGCTGCCCGAGCGCATAGCGATGCGGGTGGTATGATCGAGATGCTCCACATTTGCTTTATCATTCGCCGCTTGTTCTGCATCTTTTACTTCCGATCCCTCATCATCAAACGCATCACTTTCTGCACTCGTGCTGCTGGCGCGGCTCATATCTTCTGCGATTACACGAGGATCGAGGAGGAGAGGAAGGTGGCTGCTCTCACGTCCTCATCCGCACACGACACACGCACGACTTGGGAACTCTGGGAGAAGATCGAGGAACTTTGGAGGAAGGGAAAGAAGAAAAAGAAGGTGGTGGAATGTTCACCTCGTCTCGGACTCGGAGTTTTGTAAGCACCCTCCCGGAACATGTAACTTTTTTTCTGTTTGCCTTTGCACGACTAACAGTGATAACAAAGGAGCCGTCGTACGGTAGTTCAAGGAAAGAACGAAAGAATGGGGATCTTTGTCGTCAGTTACGTTCGACCTTCATGGATGGTGGCTATTTGAAGGTTCAAGGCGACGCCCTTCGGGTACTTTGAGAAGACAAATGTATCAACTTCGAAGGACATGTACCTGCTGGGGGCGTGGTTTCAAGCATGCACGCATTGATACGAGGTTTGTGATTATTAAACGCCTTCGTTACATCGTATACGTATACTTACTAGCGAACTACTAGAAGGCCCACCACACGGCTGCATACTTCCGTAGAACTCAACGGGACTCCGAGCAAAGGCCGAAGGGATCACGACATTCGTTGCATCTCGCAGATGCAACGTCCTCGTCCAACTCGTAATCCGTGCAGATACAACTGCAACTACACCTTCTCTGAGAAGATGACGTACTGCGAACGCGAGGAAGAGGGCAGGAAGCTTTCGTGTTCTGTGGGGGTAAAAGCCAACAATGTCTACCATAGTAGGTACCCGATATCCGTCGTTTGTTCCCCCACCGAACTGGCCACCAAGATCATCGCCATCATTGAGGACGGGCACCACTCGAAGCATCACCAACGTGGACAATCTCCTCTTGCTGATATCGCTCTGGTCTCGCACACTTGGAACGCTGTGTGCAGACTGCACATGTTCAACACGGTCACCTTATACAGCGACACCGTCCACTCTCGACTGTCCTTCATACACTTCCAGGCCCCCCATCTCAGCCAGTACATACGCGAGCTGTACTTCCAGCCCTCGGCAGCAGAGCGCATTGCGTCCAAAGCCGAGTGGTTCCCAGCGTGTTTCGCACAGTTCGACAACTTGGACAAGATACGCTTTGAGAATTGCTGCAAAGGCCCGCTTCCCGCAGCGTCTCTGGCTGCATTTGCCGCGCCCTAGCGGCTCCGCAAGATGGATATTTATGGGTGGAAATTTGCTGGTGTGTATGCTTTTCTCAGCATGTTGCCGCCCACCCTTGAGGAACTACGACTCCACGAAGTTAAGTTCGACTCCTCGCAGCGCAACGCCGCTAGGAGGGATCTGGAGCTCAAGGCACCGAAGGTCCCTGGGGTGCGGTTCGAACCATAGAGCTCCACCGTGGGCAGCATTCGATCCTCGCAACCCCGCACCTCATCGAGTGTCCCAACCTCGCTCGCCTCTTCGTTATCTGCTCCTCTACAGCCCAGGCGCAACTGCCGCCGTGGATCCCCTCCAGCCTTCCGGAGCTCGTGTTGTCCGGTATGCCCCCATTCTACCGCCAGTTTACAAAATACTAATCCTCCTGTTCTGCTTGTTTAGTTGGCCGTGGCGGCATCATTCCAGATCTTGGTACGGACCTCCAGCCGTCGTCGGTGACAATCTACGCTTCATGTGATCGCCGCTCCGAATACCTCCATCGCTCCACCTGCGCCAGGGATTGCATCGACAGCCTCCCTTATCCTCACGCTATACAGACACTTACAATCCACATCAAGCTCGAACACTTCTGGGATCCTCTCGAGGAATCCTTCCCATCACTTTCAAACTACGAGATGCTCTCGCAGCTTGTCTGCCACCTCCGGGAAAGCGAGCAAGGAAGCTGCTTGCAGTCAATTGTCCTAGTCATAAGGATATCAACGTCTCCGATTCCAGGGAAAAGACCGTATGATGGCCACCAAACGCGGGAGTTGGCTAAGCTGGAGAAGGGGCTCGCACGGCTGGTAGAAGAAAATGTCCTCGATGCGGACCTCACCCTGGAGTCTGAAGATTCTGAACCATACATGCGTTGTAAGATACGTAGGGCGTGATTCACGGAGACATGCTCTTCTGTGTCCGCCATCCAACATGTTTCTATTCTCTATACCATGCATCTACTATGTACCATATCCCCCCCCCGTAACACTGACTCATTGACGGCTCGTCATAATGATTGCCAGAGTAGCCGATTAGCCACTAAACATATAGTGCACGACATATTGCTTTTGATACTGCTGCTCAAAATCTATGAGCCACTGTCAACTTCCAGACGGTGGGTGTCGATAGGTGTCGATCAATCAGAGAGGATCTGGCAACCCCTGACGCCCCCGTACCCCTGGTATGCGGCGCTCAACTCTACGGGAGGTGCAGAACTCGCATTCAATTACCGCTAGTGTTACCTACAGAGCTGCTCATGAAGATCATCGAGATCCTTGAGGGCGGGTGCCGCCCAATGCGAGAGGTCCCCGTCACCTGTATTCTAAGAATCATGTCCCCGATGCGAAGCGAGGCGGGTCATGTATGTTTACAACTGGCCTTTCTTCCGGGTCCACGGGCGGAGCGTGGTGCTAAGATGTATCTTGAATGCTGGCACCAGTGATGCGGCCAAGCACCAAGGTTCCGCTTGGAGAATGGCGCTTCCGAAATCGTCAAGCTCAGCGACTCACTGGGGGCGGTACAGGACAATGCGAATGATATTTGTAGTACAGGATATAGCAAGAACATGAGGGCAGGGCAACAGTCAACGGGACAACGCATCACAACCTATAGCAAAAGATGAGGGTCAGCGCGCGATGCAAGAGTGGAGTTGAAAGTGAGAACTCACGAGTTGAATCTTGACCTAGCCTGTGCACACTACAGTGTACCAGTCCGGCTCTTGGTCGCCCAATCCCAAATACTCCCTCAGCTCCCGCATCTGCGAGAGCGTCACATAGATCTCTCCATCCGTCCTGTTGCGCATGTGCCCCAGGACAACGCAAGGCATGGAGGATTCATCCGTGTCTACGAGCACGGTGTCGCGCCAGCGGAGACCCATGTGGGGGAAGTGCTGCTGGCAGTGCGCATTGGAGAAATGCTGCCCTACGTCGGTCAGAAAGTCGTCAAGATCACCAGTGAACTGATCCAGGAAGGCTTGCGGCAGCACTTTGAGCCCGATGTTGCGAGTGCTCTCCTCGGTGAGGATTAGCCCGAAAACGCGCCTGGGAATGGGTGGTTGGGAGCGAGGTTTTCGACGGCGAGGACGCGTCGGTTTTTGGTGAAGTTCCTCGGCTGCGTTCGCAGGTGGCAAATCGAAATGGACGCTTTTCGAGGTTGGCGACAAGGTGTGGGACATCGTCCCTGCGGATTGGTTGGAAGACATCGGAGACGAGTGAGAGTTGGAGGCTGTGGTATTTATGTTCTTGCCATTGCTTACATAAGCTGTGTTGGCGCCGCCTGAGGCCTACTATTGTTCTTCGAGCGGCGAGGCATATTGTTCTCCCAAAGCATTGTTCTTTAGATGCATTGTTGTATGGTAGGACGGTGGAACGGTATCATATAAAAGCTCCCTCTTCTCTCTCTCCCATAGATTAAACCAGACAAACTGTATCACAATGTCAGAGCACATCTCTGTTCCTTTTCTCCCTCCATTTGCTACATTCAATGTTGTTCGGCACGCAATATCGATCGCTCACTCGAAAAGGTTCAATCGGCGCAACATCGAGTCTCCTTGGTACCCGGCGTTTATGTATACTCTCATGCGTCTGCTAGAGTTCGAAATCGTGGACGACCGTGCGGGTAGTGGATTGGAGCATGTACTCTATGTGCAATCACACTGCGATGTTTCCATCACAAGAGACCTTTGGGCACAACACAGCATCGCCAAGCGTGTCCTATCTTCCGAATTTGATGATGTCATGAGCGAACCTGATGATGCTCATGAGTCGGACGATGACAGTGACGGTGACCACAGCGGCGACTACATTTCTTTTGATGACATGAACCACAAGGTAGACGGTAAGTGCCAACCTAATATTTGAGTGTCTAACAGGCTGACAGTTTATGCAACCAAAAGAAGGGGCAGCTGCGGAAGGGGTCACGTTGCGCCCGTTGCCTGCACCTCAACCCACAGTTGATCGGACTGCTGTGGAGGATAGGTTTTGGGGAATCTACACGTTAGACAGGGAACGCAAAGGTCAGGCTAAAACTGATGCAGGTACGATATCAGTCCTAGCCCCAGTTGCAAATCGTCCTCAGAGTTACCCCTCCCAGATAACATGGACTTTGAGCGTTCCTTTTCCTCAGACTCTTCCGGTCAGACAGAGCCTGATAAAGGAGGCATCCATACAATCCCTGATACCTCAGTCGCACATACTATCGCCAAAGGGCTCCGTCGTGATGGACATTCAAAAATGATTCACCAATGCATCATCTTAATCCAGGAAGACAAACCGGCGCCACCTAGAACAGCCTCCCCAGTCAAGGTCAGCCGAGCGATGTACCGCCATTTTTCTGTAGCCTATCAGCAACTCGCATTATATATTGCGGTGTACTTCGAGAAAGAACCTGCCGCCAAATCAGTACTTGCGATCGCTTCTACCGGACCCTACTGGCGCTGGATGAAAGTCCAGCCAGACCAAGTTCCATCTTTGGCATTCATGAATAAATATGGGCACAGAATGCTAGACAAGCAGGTTGTTGACCCAGACGACATTGCGGATTCAATCTTACTCTCCAATTTCATCAAACTTTTCAAAGCTACCGAGTTTTACGAACTCGGCAAAGCCCCGTCGGATACGGCTCTGAATAAACTTCGAGCTGACAAGATTGTCCCCCTCCTGCGGGCGTGCTCAGGGTTCAAGCCTAGTAGATCTCAACCTCTTCCCCCCGATAATATCCCCCAACCCATCCATTCTGCTGAAGAAGACACAGATGAAGGAATGGATCTAGATTATGATTAGTAAATGTGTAAATGCACTTCGGTATTCACACCAACGATGTATGTGTAGATCGTGTAAATGTCGCATCATTGGTCTATTTGAATTTGAATGTTGTTTGAATGAGTTCTGTCATTGAAACCTGGGCTGCACAATTACCAGTGGAATAGTACTTGCGTACGAAGGACATGAATGGGCTGAAAGTGCCAACGGTGGTGTTAGTGGCGGATCCGCGTTTGATAACGCGGCGAATGCGATCTCCTTGGAGGTTCAGGTTGGACTTGTCGAGCTCGTCGGCGGTGAGCATGCCGCTGAGGGGAAGTATACCGTCGTCGGGGTACGTGAATTTGGATGAGACGTCGGTGCGATCGTATATCAAGTTCTCGAGCTTCGAAGGAGTGCACTCAGGACCTACAAGGGGTAGATTCAGACCAGGACACTCGACGAAGAGGATTAGCATCGCACCAAGGCTCAAAACGTTGCTGACCATATGCTTGAACTTTTCCTTATACAGCTCGATGACACAGAAGTCACGAGTATAGTGGTGCGGAGTAGCGCCAGCGCCGAGGGAGGGAGCCCAGGCGACGAATCCAATGACCTGGTCTCGGCGTTTGCCCCACCTCGTCTTAATTTCGACGAAGTTTTTGACCTTGTTGATCTTGGAGCGCGTCTTGATGAGCTCGGCCTCGTTCTCTTCCAGCGTAGTCTGCGACTCTTCGACGTTGGTTCCAGTTTCAACTCTTCCTTTAAACGTGTGCACTTTCTCGAGAGATGTGGCCAAGTCGATGAGCGTGCCAATTAGTACCTGAATAGAGATCAGATAATTTGTGTACGCAGACGCGCCCATGACAACGACCTCTTTCTTGGGTCCGGTGCTTGAGAGCTGGGGTTAGCGAAGACTCTGACGCTCACAATGGCTGATGAAATGTACCAGAGTACTTATAGTCTTCGTTGTAGCTGCCGTTGAGCGAGAACACGTTGTGGCGAGCGGAAATCGCGTAGAGCTTTCTGCCGACGCGAAAATATGGGCCAAGCGTGCCCTGCATGGTCTTAAGGCCAGCGATGGGAAGACTGAGAGGAACGGATACGCTGTCAATCACGTCCATGAGGGGATCAATATCCTCAGCGGGCGCAAAAAGAGTTGGCTAATGGCCGTACAAGAACTTGGCGACCGTCTCTCGGAACGCGATGTCGATGTTTCCGGCCTGAAGCTCGTCAAGGAAGGCACAAATTTCTTTGGCTGACTCGTGTGCAGCGGCGGCGGGGAGAGTATCAGGCAATACGCCGATCCAGATGGTAGGATTCGTGAAGTGACGGATGCCATACTCAACGGGCTTGATGGGAGGAATGGCGTCGTAATCGACTTCTACCTCGTCCTCGCCGCCTTCTTCTTGAAGTTCTTCCTCGATCTCCCGGTCCAGCTCCTTGTCGAGCCAGGTGAACCGGACGAAATCGACAGACGTGACTTTGATCTTTCTTTCGTTGAGCAACTCGACAACCTCGGAGGCCCGCACATCAAGAAATTGCTGCGTAAAACGAGAGAAGGCGACACACCTTATCGCGAACCCTGCCCCACTGGCGATCCTTGCTAAACTCGTGGTCGTTGGGGACAGCGATCGCTTTCATGAGAAGCCTGTACGCCTCGGGGCCTGAGGGCTCCTCGAAGGTGTCGGAAGAAGGCCTGTAGATGAGCTTGGGCCCGCGATCTTTTGGACCGACGCCAGCATAGTAGAGGCGCGCCTCGGCGGGAGACACTTCGTAAGGGGCGGCCTTGGAGCTGGAGTAGGAGTCGGAGTCGTACTCACAGTCGCTCTCGTTAGGGGGTTGTCGAACTCAGGGGTATTCGCAAAATCCAGGTTCCGCTCGACAAGAGCCTCGTCCACTAAGTAAAGGGTATGAGGAAATCTAGATTAATATATACGAAGAGCAACAAAACGTGGAATACTTGCTGTTGGGTGGCGGAGACATACCGTGACAACGTGGAGGTGAGTCTGATTGAATTTGATAGTTTGAAATCGAGACTCGGGCAAAGAGGCTGTAAGGTGTAAGGCCTTACGGACTGATTTTTAGTACTTGCACACTGGAGAATCCAGTAGGAATCCTCTTTATTGTTTATCCATTACGATGAGAACGAGAACGGTGTCTCATGCCTGTTCCTGTAGCTCCGGAGCTATACAGTATCCAAAAATCCGCGAAAAAAGGGAAGAGTAGCATGGAATGGAGAACGAAAGAGGGGCAGGGTGCCGAAAACGAAGTACACAATTACAACAACAACAAAGTGAAGTACAAATGCAAGAGACAATACAATGATGGTTTGGACAATTAGACGAATGCGCGTGCAATATTAGCTAGCTATTAGTAACGAGGGGCGAAATATGGTCATATGAACGGGTGGGGGCGGGAACAACTGATTGGCGACGGTTGGCAGTTGGCGGTGCGGGCTTCGCAGTTGGCTTCGAAAGCGGACGAGCCCGTTCTGGCAATTAATAACTTTAGTCGCCGTGGGGGTGGCCTTCGAGACTCGAGTTGGTGGCCGACATGATTAGATCGTGTTGCATATGACGGTCGCAGTCGCACGATAGGGCGGCTCACGCCATATTACAATCCCCATCATCCGCATCCATGGTCCACATACTCCTCTGGACAATCCTCTCCAACTCCCTTGTCGCTTGAAACACCCCAACGGCCCTTTTCGCGCCGACCATCAATATCCGCCTCCCCTCCTCGCTCTCCCGCATGCAATGCCGAATCGCGAGTTTATACAGATTCATCCCCCCGTTTCTCGACTTGGATTTCGACTTCGGGGGGCTGTGCGGGGAGAGCTGTAGAGGGTATTTGGAGTTGGGGGCGAAGGAGAGCGGGGATGTGCGAATTGGTGTGCGTTGCGCGAGTCGGAGGTTGGTATAGTAGTCTTCCTCTCCGTCCCTTGCAGAGTCGGAATCCAGATCGGAATCGGAGGAGTCCGAGTCGCTGTGGACTTCCTCGACTGTCACTGTCACCGTCACTTGATCTCTCTTCTGCTCTTTCGATTTGGATGTGTAGGTGGTGGGTTTGCCGGCCTTCGCCGCGTAAGGCTGGACGGCCCGCGAGGGTCCTTTCGAGCTTGGGGGAAGGGGGAACACCAACCCGATGGAAAGCTCAATGCCAACTGTCCGCGTCCGCGCGCCTCGTCTCTCCCCTAGCCCTTTCATCTCCTCGGCTGCGCTGGATGCCGACGTCGACGAAGCCGCAGTCGTGCGTGTCGCCGTAGCGCAACTCCGACTCACGGATCCAATGCTCGCGCACGTCTTCGCGGATTTCGGCGATCTGCTCCGGTACGAGAGGGAAGAGGCGAGAGGCGGGGGCGGACGTTTGCGAGTTGGGCACGGAGAGGGCGGGTATGTTGTGAAGGTGGATGAGGAGGCGGGGCAAGGCGAATGAGAGAGTGGATAGGTTGAGGTATAAGAGTGGGAGGGGAATAAGACCATGGTCATTGTTGCTATCGGACGTCTCGACGTCTGCTATGTATCCCGTATGTCGTGTCCCGTGTCCGATGTCGGGGAGTTTGAGCAACGCCAATGTCAAGGGGGACCGGGAGTGAGGGGCGTGCGTCTGACGGATGAAGGTGATGGAAAAGAAGGGCCACTGAGTCCGGGACCAAAGGCGTACTTATACGTTTCCCTCTGGCCATCATCATATTATGATCATCACCTGAATGTTGTAGAAATGCATACGATCACTGATGAATGATCCAAGCTTCATCATTGAATACGGAATGGCGATCAGATCACCCGCTATTATCGTCGTTTTGGTTTATCGTCCATCGGTTATTGTGGCGGTTTCAGATGATGATGGTTTTTGTTGGCGTTGAAAGGCGTGGCTGTGCGACTGTAACAACGCTTTATCACACAGGGGTAAGTTCCCAAATCGGGAGGTCTACAATAAAGGAGGACAAGGAATTAGAAAAGAATAAACAAATGCGAAGATCGAGAAGAATAAGAACGCACTTGGAGCTACCGCTAGCCCGTATTACTAGCCTCAGAGGGAGAGCTCTAGCGTATTAATGGGCGGCTAGAACAAAGAATAAAGTGAAAACAGAACAAGGAAACCTCCGAAGTTCTGCTGCGTCGATCACTTTCGATCACAACGTTCATACTAAGGCACATATAGGCTACATAAGAGCCCTTCCCTAGCCCTCGCCTTGTTGTCTGATAACGGCGTCAGCGGTGTTCCTGATGAGACAGGAAAAGGGTGTTTGAGGACGGACAGAGGGTTTTCATTTTGTAAGAAAATCGCTCGGCGTCGAAGTTTCAACACAAGTTTTGCGGAGGTATTCGTTTGGAGGAGGTACTTGTTGGCATTTGTGGCTGGGGTTGTCGCCCATAATACCCCTGACTCCAGAAACGGGCGTGCAGACGTATGTAGGGGCGTTTGAACCCGCTACAGGTACAGGCCAACGCTAGCCAAGTAAGAGGGAAGTAGTTAGCTGGTGGTGGCGTTGGCAAGTGGCGAGGTGTCAAATTAGTCGTCCTGCTGCCGAACTGGTGTAGCTTCGCAAATCTGCGAACGATGCTATATAAGTCGCGAATCCATCATGAAACGAAAACATATGAATGTCTTCATAACTTTGGCTTCCATGGTCATGATGTATTGATGATCTATCAAAGCGGTATGTCATAAGACTCGAAGTCGATGAGAGGCGTATCCATGGTCTTCTATATTAAGACCTACCACTGTTCTATCAACGCTTGGTAATTGAAATCACCAGTGAGCGCATGATAGCCAGATACCAAGGTACATCAATGCTATAGATCACAGCGCTATATACCGCCGCCGGAGAGCAGCGACGTTGATGCGATCTGATCGATTCGAGGTACGCCTCGAAAGTGTCGGTGACAGGGAGAGATAGGTAGAAGAGCTGTTACGGCTGAGAGCTGCGGGAGAGATGATAAAGGTCGACGTCGAAGTTTTCGCTCTTGTTTCAATACAAGTTTGAGAGAAGTATTCATTCTGAGATAATGACTTGTTAACATTTGTGCCTGAGGATGTCGCCCATAAACATCCCTGACTCCAGAAACGAACTCACCTATAGGTTTGACAGCTTAGACCAAACTATAGATCCCCCTCAGTACCTAGCCCCTCCATTTCATAGCCTTCTACCGTACGGTGATTACGCACGGCTTCGGGGCGTTTGAAGGCCGTGACTGTTGGAGTCTATGGAATTGTGAGAAACGAAGGCCGCGACAGGGTAGGATCACCGCATCGGTTTAGCGGCGGGGTCGGGTATGCATTCGCAGTGTGTCCACGTTCGGTCGACTGTCGACGTAGAGTCCAACTACCAAAGCATGAATTATCTTCCGGTGGAAAGCGTGTTCGTCCGTGCTTGCTCTCGGTGGTGTCGCTGTCAAAGTTTGAACGGTTGATCCCGCTAATCGAGCGTCTCCACGTCCCCCTCCAGCATCCGTACCTTTCATGATCTGAGTCGTGAGTGTAACCACTCCATCCTATAAAATTATTATTATGCTTCGAGCGTCACGCGCAGAATGATGGAACTCACCTTTTACCGCCTTGAGGGCCCTCGGTTTGGTTTCGCCAAAATTCAAAGCAATTTGGGACTTCCACGCATGGGGCGGCCCATCAATCGTTGGCGGCATCCTTCATCCATGTTTTATTTCAGGTTGTAAGAAAGAATAGAACAACGTGGGAACCGTCGAGACACCATATTGAACGACATCAAGTGAACACCGAAGAAACGAAGATAATAGGCGCTGGTATATTGAGTTTACTCTTCTTTCCCTGTTATCAAGCCGCTTGAAGACCCAGAGCCTCCAACTCTCCCACTCGTCCCCCATGTCATCCAACCAATCCGCAGAAACAATGTCCGACACCTTGTCGCCAAACTCGAAAAGCGTCCATTTCGATTTGCCACCTGCGAACGCAGCCGAGGAACTTCACCAAAAACCGACGCGTCCTCGCCGTCGAAAACATCGCTCGCAACCACCCATTCCCAGGCGCGTTTTCGGGCTAATCCTCACCGAGGAGAGCATTCGCAACATAGCGCTCAAAGTGCTGCCGCAAGCCTTGCTGGATCAGTTCACTGGTGATCTTGACGCCTGTCTGACCCACGTAGGGCAGCATTTCTCCAATGCGCACTGCCAGCAGCACTTCCCCCACATGGGTCTCCGCTGGCGCGACACCGTGCTCGTAGACACGGATGAATCCTCCATGCCTTGCGTTGTCCTGGGACACATGCGCAACAGGACGGATGGAGAGATCTATGTGACGCTCTCGCAGATGCGGGAGCTGAGGGAGTATTTGGGATTGGGCGACCAAGAGCCGGACTGGTACACTGTAGTGTGCACAGGCTAGGTCAAGCCGTAGGCTCTCGAAGTGAGTTCTCGCTTTCAACTTCACTCTCGCATCGTGCACTGATCCTCATCTTTGACTATAGGTCGTGATGCGTTGCCTCGTTGCCACGGCGTTTGAACCCGCTACAGGTACAACGCTAGCCAAGTAAGAGGGAAGTAGTTAGCTGGTGGTGGCGTTGGCAAGTGGTGAGGTGTCAAATTAGTCGTCCTGCTGCCGAACTGGTGTAGCTTCGCAAATCTGCGAACGATGCCATATAAGTCGCGAATCCATCATGAAACGAAAGCATATGAATGTCTTCATACCTTTGGCTTCCATGACCGTGATGCATTGATGACCCATCAGTGTACATTGATGGGTCATAAGACTCGAAGTCGATGAGAGGCGTATCCATGGTCTTCTATATCAAGACCCACCACTCTTCTATCAACGCTTGGCAATTGGCAATTGAACCGTCAGTTCTCCATCATTGAGAGCGCATGATAGCAGGACCCTTGATAATACAGCCGAAGGCCTGATCCCAAGGTCAGCCAAAGTGTACTCTTCAATTCGCCCCAATGTGTACGAAATGGATCAGCCCTAGCTAAGAAATATGTAAATATGTACGATTTTCGGAGGAGGCCCTTCGGGCCTCCCGAAGTGTATAAATTTCGGCTCAGGCCTCTCTAAATTGTCTCGGAAATGTACGAAAACCGGCTCAGGCCTCCTCAGGACCGTCGAAATGTACGAAATTTGATCCAGGCCTCTTCAGAAAGCCTCGGGACTGTTCCGGGTGAACAAAACACGTCCCAGCGAGCCCTAGAACGCGCTAATGGCGCCTCGTATGCACAGAAGAGACTGGCATATATACACAAAAGTTGCAAACCTGGAACTAGTGGCGGATCACAAGGAAGGAATTGGACCCCTCTTTCGTGATAAAGCCATGACTTTCGTCAACTTCGCCTTTGAGTCCACTTGGTCCAAGTATTTATACAGCTTTTGGCCGTCCTCCGGTAGCTCCACTAGATCGTCTCGTGCAGCAGACACTTGGGGCTGTAGCCACTGCAATGCATGGCCTGTACGGGTCCTATTGATCTATAATAGTACTTGGTAAAATAGATAGTCATTGAATCATTGAAGTTAGGATAGAAGATGGATGTTATAGGTGCATCCAAGGAACCCCTTAGGGGCTACTAGGGGCGCATCCACGTGCGCTCCTGGCTATGGGCTCAGGCCGCGTATACACGCGGCCACACGGACTTCTTGGATTACGGACTAAGTACATATTCGAGCACACTGTAGTTACTACGACCGGACTCATTGCTGTTTTGTGAACGCGCGGACACCGCGTGTTTCCCAGTATATATTCCTGTACTGTACATACAGTTACCTTAGTTCGAATATTAGTTCTTTCCGCACTTGCATCCTCGCCTCTCTATTGAGGTTCCCCCGTTGCATCCCTTCGCCTCTGCCCGTACCCTCGGTACCCGCATAGGACTCCTCCTAGAAATATAGGGCACACAAGAGTGTGGGAGGCGCAGCCAGTAGCTGAAGCCAAGCCCGTACGTCCTCGCTCCCCTCGTTTCCCCTCCGCGTGTCTACGTGGAACTGCGCACCCGTGGGCCCGCGTATCCCTAAGCCCCTGTGAGTGTGGCTCTTAACAATGGAGATGAGATCCACATTGTAAAAGAAGATAACAGATGGAAACTGTGGAGTAGACAGTAGCAGAATGAATAGTGGTGAGCATCAACAAATAACAAACTTCCGACCTGTGACTTTGTCTTACATAGACTCATTCAATGATAGATATAGTACAGAAAAACCAGATTGTGAGAGGCCTATTTTGAGTATTATTGCTGTTTACAAAACAGTTGGCACTGGCACCCTTTTGTAGAAAAATGCACACTTGGGTGTGCACATCTTCGGTGAATGATAACTTTGGAACACGGGCTTATGAGCCTTACATCTACATATATTGCTTGTATATACCGTTGCTGGAGTCCCCCAACAGTTTCCAGGCAGACTTCTATGATCTGATTTTTGGGTGATTTTTTCTATCTTCTTACTACCACTGAACTACAATGGTGATACATACTCTGAATGGGTTTGAACAAAACTGCAGCAAAGCATCAACCCAGCAGCACAAGAAACTCTGGAGTACTGTAAGGGCAACCTCAAGATGGCCGCACAGTGCAAGCCTAGCAGAGGGAGAATCCAAAGTAATGAATAAGACTAACTACAATACATGAGAGAGCTGCTCACCTAGCAGAGGGAGAATCCAAAGAGAACAGGATAAGGATTCTCCATGCTAGGAAGCGAAGTATATACTGTAGTAGCGTGGGAGGAATGAAGGGTAACTGTACAGTACACCAGCCACAAGTCCGAACGAATATCACAAGGTACGAGGGGGCATGTGATAATGAAGTGGAAGGGGAATGTACAGGAGTCGTGCCGGCGACCTGGGGAAGCGGGAACAAGGAATAACAAAGTGGGAGAGGAGGACAGAGGTAGCCCGGATGAGCCCCGAAGTGTATCTACAAGTCTGAGCGAGTCCGAAGCGTCTGAGCGAGTCCGAAGTGTCTGAGCGAGTCCGAAGTGCGGGAAGACTTTGGAGTCACCGGACAAAGCTCGGATGCGAAAGGAGTGAGTGGAAAGGAAGTGGAAAGGAAAGGGGACAAAGGGGATGTATGTAAGAGTCCGTGGGATGAAGGAAGGGAGAAAGGAATGAGGAGGAAGGGAGGGGGACAGGGGAATAGGAGAAAATAGGAGTGTCCCCTTACAAGTACACAATGAACAATCTGTAGCTTGCAACCAGTGTAGCGGACAATTGAGTTGATGTCTAGAGGCATTCCCATGCTGAGAATGGCCCAACATAGGTCAGTTGACATAAGGGAACTGCAGGCCATGGAGTACATAGGTATAGAGAGAGAAAGAGCCTTAGCTCAAGGCTTGCACATTACTTGATTCCCACATGTTCTCTGATGTTCATAAAAACTCTGGGAGGCTCTAGTGACTGTTATGGGCACGATCAGGAAGCTCCTTAGGGGCTACTAGGGGCATGATCACATGATACAAGATTAGGACTTTTGGTCTGCATGTATGCGTGGATACTCAGACTTTTGTACTAGTTACATACTAATACATATACTTATACTGTTACCAGACTCATGTAGGTTTCATGGGCATACAGATACCACGTGCCCTTCAGTATTTAGTTTGTACAAGTAGCTAGTTTCTACTCATAGCTACTCGTACCTCAGTCTGAATATTAGTTTGTTCTTACCCTCTTTGCATCCCTCAACTACTTTGTTGTAGTCTCTCTCTCTTCTATCCTCACCTATTGAAATACAGGGCATGCAAGAGTGTGGGAGGCGCAGTAGTAGCTGAAGCCAAGCCTGTACGTACTCGGTCCTTATTTCCTCTTCCTCACAGGCCGCGTACCTGCGGCGAACATGAGGCCCTCATACTCACAAGGACAGCCCTTAACAGTGACAAGATATACAAGCAATATATATAAGTTCGTGTGGTTGATGTTTACCCATTCTGTTTGCTCAGTAACACTTTCCCCTATTCCCTTGTTTTCTGACTATCTTAAAGATGTTCTGCTATGTATACAGCTTATTTATCATGAGTCGTGACACTGAAGGAAGTGAGTTAATCTGTAAATGTCTATGCCATACTCCCTTGTGTATCACTACAATGATTTAATGGATGTCACATCTGGACTTGGCTATCTGAAGTCTGCTACTTGAGTGTTCTAATGAAGCAATAGTGTTTTTATTGCACCCTAACCATGACTTGTGTGTTAGGGCAACACTAATCCAAAGGACTAACATGGCTCCTACAAGAATACTAAAGAAAAAAAATACAGAAGATAGCTTAGTTGACTTTAGATATCACACTAGAATTAGCAGAATCCCAAGAGAATGAGCTGGCATTCCCTGGAATTTTACTAGTCTTTAAATACTGTAATACATGTGGTACCCTATGTACTGCAGACATGTGTTACTGGTGAGGTTATTACTAAGGATATCAGAATAATGATTAGTAAGAGGACATGACATCCACATTTAGATATGATAGTGAGAAGAGATGATCTTTGGAATAAACTGGACCATAACATTGAGGGCATTTAGAGTCTGATGGCCCCTTTGTTCCCTATTCCATAATTATCCCTTTGCCCCCCTACTAATTCCAATTAAGTCACTGTCCTGATCTCCATGACATCTATCTATCTGAAAGATCCATACTTAATTAATTAGCAGACATGTAAAAGTGTACCACACCCTTTTACTTATAGCCCTGTAGCTCACTTTGCTACTGTGATATTTTTTCTTGTCCTTACAGACATGAGATCATTCTGTTACTCTTATAATAGTAGCAGCTAAGATGTGTCAACTCAATACTAAATGTATAATCCTACAGTTTACATGCTACATTTGTTGATATTTTACTTCAGTGTTTTGATGATTTGCTTGATTTGAGTACTTGAAGCCTATTTGTTGAAGTATATTATGCAGAATGAGGAAAGACATGATACCTTTATGGCCACCCTTGACATAATCTGGCAGCATTGATAGTCCAGAGTTCAGTCTGGTAGTCCCTATTCCCTATTACCTATCCATCCCCTGTTCCCCTGGGTGACCCTGAAGTGAGTGCTCATTTCTGATTATGTACATTAATCTTGATACCATAACAATTTGGGCCATTCTATTCTAATAATATAGATTTAATAGATTTAAAGATATAGACAAATAAGATGACAAGATGAAGTAAAAAGGGAGAAGAGAAGTGCAATAAACATGGAAGACAATGAATTGGTGCCAATGTCAATTCAATCCCCCAGCGCTAATTTAATTCCAACTTAAAGTTTGATGAGATCCAAATTTCCCGATCACCGGCATCCGGCTATCACAATAGCCACCCTCTTTCCGTAGCGCCCAAGCGTCCCAACTAAAGGTAAGAACGGATCCTTTCATTTCATTCCAGGACCCGTAACAGGAGACGGCACTCGGCACAAGAAGGCCACTGATGGCAAGAACACGTATTGCTTGGTAAGGAATCGGGCTGTTGCGTCTGGGATATTGTGGAATTGTCGTGCACGAGAGTATTGATAGACTTGAAGGCCGATGTATGACAGTGCAGCAATATTTGTGGTTGTCGTTTGCGATGCGTGCCGCGCGTTTTTACCGCCAGTTTTGGAATAAAGTACAACAACTAATGGAACGACGGTCATGATAGTCGAGACGGATCAGAACATTGAACACACCTCGGCCTAACATTACGGACCGCTCCACAAAGACAAGTCCGTAGTCGTTCAACGAGAGACATATATCACCTGAGATCCCTGCACCTTTGACATGAAGTAAAGAGGCACCGGCGAACCCGGCAGCGGAGAATAATCGTAGGCGAAGCTGGGCGTTCTAATGGTACACGAGAACGTGAGTATATTGTGTTGGGAGTTTAGGAGGGCGGAACACGTACTTTCCGTGTCACCGATTCCGCAGCAAGGGCAGCGTTCGAAGCATTCCCGCTTATGGGATTTTCACCTTGGTTTTCTATGCGTTTTGCACGCCCAAGGCCAGTCGTCACACCACGGAGTTGGTCCTCTTTGAGTGCTGCATAGAATTGTCGTGTGAGTTGTGAATACATGCTTTCAGAGCGGAGCGAAGCCTGGTGCTGATTGTCGCCCTCGCGCCCTGTGCGAGTCGCCCTAATTGCATGTTCGGTTTGATGAAGGCGGCGTAGATTGATCAGATCCGAGAAGTCAAGGTCATCAAGGGTTTGGGAACCTTGTCCGAGAGGCTTGGTCGGTTCTGAGGGGAGACAAAGGCCGGGCAAAGCGGTGGCTGCACGGATGTTGGCTGACTCCTGCATAAGAGACACTTCAACGTCTTCCGGATCAGGCTCAGGTAATGATTGACTGCGATAACAAGATCAGTAACCGTAGTCGGATGTTTTCTACTGAGGTACTCACACTGCAATGAAATCATTAATGGCAAGCGCAACTCCTGTACATGAAAGAGACATCAGGTGGTCATCTTCTACATTGCTGCGTGATACTGGGTGGTTGTCCTCAATGGCTATGACCTTTTGGAATTCCTCTGCATCGCAAATACTGTCTTCTTCATCAGACGACACTTCCTCCTCATCTACAAACCAGGAATTGATAGTTGGGAGATGACACGAGCGTGGCTGATGGGAATCTGGTAAGCCATGGAGCATAGATGATCGGATTCCTAGAAGGTGGATTAAAGTGTCGGCTTCAAAGGCAGCCTCGCGTGCTGCGGCCTCGATATCGTGGTTTGATGGCATAATCGTCAGGTTGAGCAAGTCGATGCCACTTGAATCGAAGTACGTGTGGCAATACCCATTAGCCGTCTTGTTGGCTCCTGTGACCTTTGCAGTGAACACAGCCTCTCGCATCTTCACACCGAGTTTGGGTATCATGTGAAGGAAGTCAAGCAAAGTAAAATCCTTGACAATAGCTCGCGCCTCAGCAAATGTGTGTTCGCATGCTTCGGTAGAGTGAAGCCAGGGAAGGAGGGGCACAATCCCATCAACACGATCACGATAAACGATGATGAGACCGATAATGCCTTCGACAATGATGTTTGCGATGTCGACCGCTTCACGAGAAAGGAAATGTTGAGCCTGCCTGTAGCCTGTTGCACCGAGGTATGCCTTCCACGAATTAATGAAATACCGGGCTCGGAGGGCCATCTTGATTCGTTCTATGTGTGAGATATTCCGATTCTGATAGGCATCAACTAGCTCGCCGAAGACAAAAAGATAGATGATGATGCCGGTATATTCAGGATTCTGAGCGTGAACGATGAATTCGAGAGTTGCGGCTGAGAAGAGACGTGCTGCGGCACTATCATCTTGCCGATCTAATTTTTCAACATCACGATGATAGAGTGGTGAATTGGGAGTGAATGCGATCGTGCGGATGAAGTGGTAGGCGGCAACATAGTTCCCCAATGTTAACAGTCGAGCTCCCGAGAAAAGGTTATTTCGGAATGTCTTCAGACTGTGCTTTGAGTCCTGAACCATGACAATTGGTTGCCCTTGATAAATTGGAATGGTGACCGTCACTGGGTCTGCTATGTTGTCGTTCTGAATAGTATAGCTTATAGCGGCGTTGCTATCCTTGCACTCCGTGATTAGCTTGTGTTGCACTGCACGCTCGACTTCGGTTCCATCACATGCATATGAGACCACCTGTATTTCGTTTTCAACCAGTCCATCGAGGATTTTCTTCAGGTATAGATATAGGTCGTCTGCGGACAAATCTGTCGGTATCCCAAGGCATGCAAAAACAATCCCGGGCGTGACTTTGGGAAGTGGAATAATGATGGACCAAAGGCGAAGCTAGTAATATTGGTTCAGTATCGCCTGTGCTACGAAGGGATTGATGGCCGAGTTGAGACGACTACTTACTTTATCAGCTTTGATTATTGCTGGGTCGGCCATCATTTTCTTGATTTCTTCTTGATTAGTGACACGCATTGGACCATCAGTAGAGCCAACAAGATAGTACGAGTCTTCATCAGCATTCCAGTACAGCCGTAACGATGAAAGTAGCTTCGTGTCATCACAACTTAGCCCAACAGGTCCACTGTAATCCAAATCCAATAGTTGCTTTTTAAGCCGATGGAAGGTCTCATCGCATATCTTCATGGGAAATCGTGGTTGCCGAGATTCCTTTTGTCTAAACACAGTTAGTAGGCTGCTAAGGAATGTTTATGGGATGAACAAACCTGAAACTACGATCTGTTCTACCAGGAAGGTGACGGAGCAGCGACTGGTACGCTCGGGGGCTATGAATGTTGATAATATGGCAGAATTCATCCCAAGCAGGGGCATATCGAAAGTTCTGCAGGCCGACTTCACGAGAAGATCGGTCAATCTTCATAACCATTGCTTCGACAAGGCCTGTGAAAACAGAGAAGTCCTGGTACTGCCCTGCCAGTACACCCTCAGCAAACCGGATATATGGTGTATTTTTAGCGTCCTGGAAGTCAAGTCTCAGTATCGTAGAAATATAGTTCCAGGTCATGAATTCAGCCACTTACGGATGTGGCTACAATATTCTGAAGGCCAATTGAACGTGCATAAATCTCACCTAACTCTTTATTACGGTAGCAATGGTTGACAAAAATACAGTGCTTTTCGTCGGGCATGGGAATTTGTATCGCATTCTTGAATGCCTTGTTGGATGATAGTGCACTACACCGTAGGCAGGCGACCGCGCGATCTCGAGAATGAACCTGTACCTCTTTCTTGCAGTCAGTTGCAAAGACACGCTGGGATGAATGATCATTTCGCCACTGATGTTCATGCTGTTGCATGGTGCGAACCTCCTCCTTCCGTTTTTTGCTTAGTTTCGAGAAGTCTTTCCCGAACTTTTCTTGAGCGATAACAGTTACCGAGCGTGCCCCTCCTCCTAAGGCAGCTGTACGATGAAGATAATGTGGAATGTCCTCCAAGTCCTTCACCGTAACTCCTGGACATGGCAAGGAACTGATCTTCGGACCGTTTCTGAGCTTACGCTCCATACGTGTCTGGGCAAGCATGAATAGGGTAGGTGTTCTTGCTGCAGCTGTGGTTCGAGTATTATGATGGCAAGTATTCAAGTGTTTCGTCCATCGGGCCACCGTATAGGGAAGTTGCATCAGTATGTTACGGCCACAGACAGAGTGGCGTACACAACGGGGGTTGGAGATATGAAACTCTGCTTCGGGATCTTGAGACAATATTTTCTTCTGCCATTTTCTGTACTTCGCGGCGTCCACATTTGAAAGAGCAAAACTACATGTTTTGAGATGGTCGTTCCAACGTGATATGTTGTAGAGGTGACTCATGGTCAATGTCTTGTTACAGCAGGAATGACGTGCAAGCAAGTGATTCTTCTCGTCAATCTCAACATGTGGGTCGTCCTTCATGAGACGCTGCATCCATTTCTCATGATCTTCGTAGTCGTCACGGGATGGTGTTGACTCGCTAGGTGCAAGAGTCCGCTTTGTCTTCTTTGGCCGCCGCTTAGCAAGAGGCTGGGATTTTGAGGCATTTTCGTCTGAACCATCACTATCACTGTGCAATCTCTTGATTCTTTGAATGCCTGCGATTGGCTTGAAGAACGATAGCAGTGATCGTGCTTTAGCTCTTTTGGGACTATGCTGACCAAGCTTCACCGGAGAACCTCCCCCGAATGTTCCCTTGTCCTCATCCTCGCTACTTCGACCATTGCTCAAGTCGAGTTCTGATACGGACATGCCTTCAGTTTCTGCGGGAACATCTGCCGGTGAAGCAAACTGTCCATCATCGAACCATCCCAACTCCACTGAATGGGGCCTATCGATGCTCATGTTATCGTCAACCCCAGCAAATCCCCATGTTCCATCGTCACCACCGTTGTTGTGGCTGTTTTCTTCGTCGTGCCTGCTTTCTTCCTCATATGTGCTAGCTTCATATCCACTCTCGTCGCTCTTGTTGGTGCAGGTATTAAAATCTGCAGGTGGGCCTTCAACATGTGTGCTGGGTTCTGCGACGAATGATGCCAAATCCGAGAAGTTGTGGTCACCGATTGCGATAGCAATTTCCTGGTCCACGGTGAAGGAGCGGGTTGTTGGAGGGTGATAGTTCCATGCATTGTTGGTGAGGCTCGACTCATCTTTCTCAATATGTTGACAGAACCGACGGAACCACAGAATACGCTCTCGTACACCACGGCTCTGAGTCCACAGAGTATCTCCAATGATCGCATGAGCAAGTGTATTGAATGTCGCAATTCCACATGAAACCGTGTCGCTCTGGACTCCATGTCGCATGCCGCCTTTCGCTTCTCTAAAAGTTCCCTTCCCAAGATGCTTAGTCCAACGTCTAAGGGCAGCAATAAAGGCCTTGGGCACGGGAGATCCTACATTTGCAAGAGAGTCCCCTGAAAACACGATGAGTACTCATTCCAAACCTATATAACTTTGACTGTAGCTTACCATATCCAAAAGTCCTCGTTTTGAAATCAATGAACCCCGCGATCCAATGGTTTCCATTGACATGCAAAGGAAAGTAAAGTTTGTCCAGTTTTTTCTTGTCAATCTCCCGCTCGTATCGACAGAGCAGTGGGGTATGTTGCTTCGAGTATGACTTCTTGAACTCGATGGCACTGATCAGATCGTTGGCGAAGGCAACAGGCGCAACAAGTGTCTTTGAGGGTTGGGCGATTCGCAAGGCAAGTTCCTCGGCCGCCATATCCATGTGGTCTGTACTGAACCATTTGTAGCTGAAGAGGAATGGTAGTATCGCTGTCGAGACTGAACGTCGAAGGTATGGTAGGGGAACATTGTGTCCTATTTCATCCAGCTCGCACATTACACCTGTTATCACAGCGCAGGTAAGTGGGTCCGCTCGTCTTTCTTCATCTTTCAACCACTCGATTCCGGCCTTCCACGCCTTTTGCTTCTCAACGATCTTTTCCAAGGCCTTCCAGAATGACAATGCGTATAGCGGGAAGCGGTCCACTCCATCGTTATATCGAGGGTCTACAATTGAGTTTGCGCCATTCAGCCATGCCTTTCCAGTTTGCTCCTCAATCCTCTGGAGCGTCTTCTTCGAGGGTACAGGCCGGTCCATTAGGCAGAGGATTCCAGTCGAAGGCAAGTCTTTGCTAAACCATGCTGAAGCCTTCTCCGTCCCAATGATATCGTGCTGATCTGGAAGTGGAACAAGGGTAAACTGCCTAACACACAGCTGGGGCTGGGGCAATAGTTCTTGCACGTCGTTGGGGATGGCGAGAGCATCAGCTTGTGCCTTTTGGAAAGTTGGGGGTGGGTCGTCAGGATAAAGAGGACCATGCTTCCGACACCAGTGTTTGCAACTGAACGCAGGATTTGTTTCCTGCACGTTGGACATATACTTGGTAGCACCGTGTAGTGTTTCGGGTTAAATTTTGAACTGACTTTTTACATTGTCTACCGAAAAAGACTATTAGACTATAAGTATATTAGGTAACAAGTGCGATGGCTACAGACATTGCAGGTATAAGTAACAACTCTTCGTGTATCGACATAGAGTACAACTTATGAGATTCTTAAGACTTGGCACAAGTAGCAAGTACGACGAATATAATTGACACGGAGCTCAACCTTAGGGCTCGGCGCATGGTGTACGAATTTGGATCAGCCCTGGGGCAGAGACCTCCCGGATGTATGAAAATCGGACCAGGGATTGGTCCCATTTTTGTCTCCAAAGTGTATGAAACGCCTCAGGCCGGCGGCCTTCGGCCGCCTGCAAGTGTACTATTTGGGATCAGGGCTTTGGCTGTATTATCAAGGGTCCTATGATAGCCAGATATCAAGGTACATCAATGCTATAGATCACAGCGCTATATACCGCCGCCGGGTAACAGTAACGCTGATGCGATCTGATCGATTCGAGGTACACCTCGAAATGTCCTGAAGAGTCGGTGACAGGGAGAGATAGGGAGAAGAGGGGGGATCTGCTGAGAGCTACGGGAGGGATAAGGAGGCAAGGGTGATCGTAAATGTCGACGCCGGAGTTTTTGCTCTTGTTTCAACGGTCAAGTGGTGGAGAAGTATTTGCTTCGAGGTAATGGGTTGTCGACATTTGTGCCTGCTTACCTGTAAGCATCCCTGACTCCAGAAACGACCACACGCCTGTAGACTTGCCAACTTCAAAGACGCAACTAGCTCTGTACAAAATATCCTTCCCAATACCTGGATATCATTCCTATACCCCATCACGGTGTTCCATCTCATAGCCTCCTAAGCGTTTGGAAAGGGCAAATGTGACTGTTTAAAATATGGAAATTGAGAAACGAGGGCCACGGGCGGGTAGACCCCGTATGCAGAGCTCGCGCGCAGCTATGTATGCATTTACATACCGTTCGAGTTGAAACTCCTTTGCTGAGTACAGGACCTGAGTCTTCAATGGAATCACCGCAGTCTGCGGGGAATAGAACCGCTATGATGCTTTGAACATTACGCGCAGAATGATGCCTTGGAGGCCCTTGGTTGGCTTCGGTTGCTCACCAGAATTTCTAGAGGATCGACTGTCACCGTACTCGGAGGCCGGTTTACGAACCTAGCCAAAATCCAGGCAAACCACTTTGCTACGTAGTATGGGGCGGAGCAGTTGTTGGCTGCATCGTTTTGTTCCCGTTGGGGTCAGACTGAGAATGGTCCGACAAGTGAATATGGGCTTTCCAGACGACGAACCTCTAGAGCAACCAGGGATAGGGGCGATAATAGGCGCTGGTATTTGGTCTTCAAAGTCTCTCCCATTTGACTGACTTTTCACTGGGCATCAAGTACTCAACGCCAACAATGGCAGGTACTGAAAAAGCCAGCATCCAGTCGGGACCACTCCCCGTTGAACTGATCACGGAGATCATTGCCCTTGTTGCGGGCGGACTTTACACGAAGTTTGATCAACTCAACCCTTATGTACTCAAAACTCTTGCAGCCGCCTCTCTGGTGTCTCGCACTTGGAACACCATATGCCGCTCACACATACTTCACACCCTCCCCGTCCTCAACTTTCACTTCAACTACGAACGGCTCCGCTTCCTCCACTTCGACGCTCCCCATCTCTGCACATTTATACGTAAAGTCCTCCTCGGGCGTGACGATTTTTGCACCACTGCAGGGTGGTTTCCAGCGTTTGCAGCGCGGTTAACAAACCTGCGTGAACTAGTGCTCGACAATCCTGCTTCTCCCGGGAACGGTGGAATGGTCCCAGAATCACTTCCTGCGTGTCTGTTTACCGCCCCTCGCCTTCGCAAGTTAGTTTTCCGTTACTGGAACTCCGCTGTAGATGGCTCGGACGTCCTCAGCGTGCTCTCTGCCACCATCGAGGAGCTGTCGTTCGAGAATATGAACGGCCACAACTTATCAGATCTGGCGGTACAGTCGCAATCGACCGTCAGCGTACGTTTGGAAGCCCTTCGAAGCCTAGAGTTCAAGTATACATCCCATCTGATGCTCGGGAGCCAGAACCCCATCGAGTGTCCTAATCTCCAACGCTTCACCTTCTGGACTTCTTCCAAACACCCATGGACTTTGCCGCCATGGGTTCCTACCAGTTTTTCGGAGCTCACTTTGCACGGTAAGCCCCCCGAACCACACTGATCGTTGGTTCATTCTCATCCTTTTCGTCCAGCTAGAATGAGCCGCCGAGCCCTGCCTGACTTTGGCACGGCTATAAGACCCTCGGTAGTGACAATACACCTACTGGGCACCAGTGACTCGTACTTCGACTTCTTCTACTGGATCCAGCACTGTATCAGGTCCCTTCCATCTCCAGGATCTGTCAAGACGCTCAACATCCACATTATCAACAACCTCGACTATGATTATGGCCTGAAGGCCATGGTCGGGCTGTACCCCGATTTGGAAGACTACGAAATGTTCTCTCGGTTCCTGCACCGACTTTGGGCCTGCGAGGGAGGGAGCCTGAAGGCCATTGCATTGGACATCAGGCCGCAGACGGAACACTGCAAGGACGATATGCAGGTCTCTAAGGAACGGCGGCTGGCGGAGTTGGCGAAGTTAAAGAAGGGGTTCGCACCATTGTTGGAAGCACATGTCCTTAATGTGGACTATATCATAGAGCGGCCTGAATTTGATACGTCCATACAGGTCATGCGTTGTAGCATACATACACGGGTATGACACCCCACCCCTCGTCTTCACAAGCGCGCCTGGGCTACATGGAATCGTGTCTCGACGACATTGGAAAAACAAGCTCAAGGCCCCACCTCCCCTCTTCGCTCGGAAGGCTTCCCCAATTGCTTGTGGCGGTACCTCTGAACGTTGAGCCAGCTACAATGAGGTGCGTTCTGGTGAAGGCGAGGACTCACTTTGGCCCTCTGTGGACTCGAGTGACATAGTAGACAGTTTGGCTTCGAAGAGGCTAGTGCCGTCCCCGGCGCCCAGACCTTGCACGCTCGCAATTGCCTCAGTTGGTTACGCTGCAGCTTGCAGTGATTACCGCCGGGCGACAAGTAGTATACCGCTCCAATTAATGTCGAGTTCCATTTATCTGAAATGACCTCCAGTTGCACTTGCTTCGTCGTCTTCATCTACCCCATGGTAAGATCATGCTTGCTCCATGTCTGACCGTTGCTTGGTGACAGAAACGGGAGTGATAATACACAAGAAACGGTACATAACGTCTAAATTCCCCACCTATATATGCCCTAAAACAAATTATACACCTTCGTCAACGGTAACTTTGTGGCAGGTGCCACATCTGCCAACACCCCGTCCGCGCGCACTTCATACGACTCAGGATCAACCTTCATCTGCGGCGTTGCGTCGTTCCACTTCATGTCCTTCTTGCTTATCGCACGGCAATTGCGTACTGCCTCAAAGCGTTCCGAGAGGCCGTACGATGTGACTGTACCAGAGGTTATGGAGATCTGGGAAACGAAGGCGACGGAATTGAGTGCCGCAGAGGCGGGGTACGATCCCCACATTGGCTTAGCATAGAAGGGTTGTACTGAAGGGATAGATGCGTTCGCGTCGCCCATCTGTAGTAGCAATTCAGAGTGCGTTGGGGCATGAGCTGTAGGGAGGGATTACCTGGGCATACACAATAACACCAGACTTGAGCACCATTTCGGGCTTCGAGCCGAAGGATTCTGGTTTCCAAAGGACGAGATCGGCCAGAGTTCCGACAGAGACCTGTCCAACGGCGTGACTTATGCCATGCGTAATAGCCCTGCGCGACGAGAGAGGCATGAGAACATGATGAAGTATTGAATTTCACAGACACCCACGGATTGATAGTATACTTCGCAATATACCTCTTCACCCGCCCATTATCCACGCCGTCCACATCTCCCAGCTCCTCAAGCGGACCTCTCATTTCCCTCATCTTGCTAGCCGTCCTCCACGTCCGGCTGATGACCTCACCCACGCGTCCCATAGCCTGCGAATCCGAGCTAATCATTGATATAGCTCCCGTATCGTGCAATACGTCCTCTGCGGCCACCGTCTCGGCGCGGATACGCGATTCAGCGAAGGCAAGGTCTTCGGGGATATTTTTGTCGAGGTGATGACATACCATGAGCATGTCGAGGTGTTCGTCGAGGGTGTTCGTCGCGTAGGGTCGGGTCGGGTTGGTTGATGAGGGGAGGACGTTATCAAGACCGCAGACGACAATGATGTCTGGAGCGTGTCCGCCGCCTGAGAAACATCGCCATGAGAAAGTGGTCAGGCAATGAAAGTTCAAAGACCTTACCCGCTCCTTCCGTATGATACGTATGAATAGTCCGCCCACCAAAGGCCGCAATAGTACCTTCGTCGGCTCAATAAGCCCAATGAAAAACAAGAAAGGAATTACACCCACTCTCCACAAAGCCACTCTCGTTGAGCGTATCTGTATGTATATTAACCTGCACGTCAAACTTATCCCCCACATCCAAACACCTCTCAATCGCTGCCGGCGTCGAGCCCCAATCTTCATGCAACTTGAGCCCCAGGGCACCGGCGCGCACGATTTCCTCCATGGCGGTCGCTTCCGCATCGTTTCCTTTCCCAGTGAACCCGAAGTTCATGGGCATACCGTCGGTCGCAGCGAGCATGTGCTTCATGTAGAAGGGGCTCGAGGTACACGTCGTGGCGTTTGTACCAGCACTGGGACCGGTGCCGCCGCCGACCATGGTGGTGGTACCAGATGCTAGTGCTTCGGTGACTTGTTGCGGGCAGATGTAGTGGACGTGGACGTCTACAGCGCCTGCTGTGACGATGAGCTTTTCGCCTGCAATCACTTCGGTGGAGGAACCAATGACGAGGGAAGGATGGACGCCGGCCATGACGTCTGGGTTCCCCGCTTTGCCTATACCGACAATGATTCCGCTTCGGACTCCAATGTCTGCCTACACCAACACGAGATGAGATATAAAGGGCGTGAATGCGAGACCAACAAGGATTACCTTGTAAATCCCGGACCAGTCGACGATGAGGCAATTCGTGATGACGAGGTCGAGCGTAGAGGAAGAAGAACGGTTCGTAGCTTGGCCCATACCCTCGCGAATGGTTTTACCTACATCGGGATGGTAGTTAATGGGGGCCCATGCACATTATTCCGAATACTAACCTCCACCGAACTTGACTTCATCGCCATACACCGTCTACGCCTTGACGTCAGGAACAGCCAGTATAGCGCGAACGTAGCAGCGTACCTCGTCACGTTCGACTTCTATCCACAGCGCCGTATCTCCTAGGCGTACTCTATCTCCAGTCGTCGGTCCATACATCGAGATATACGCTTCCCTGCTCATATCAGTCGCCATCGCCACCTCCATTGCTCCAGGCTCAGGCACATGTCCAAAGCCCTTCTGCACCAATCCCAAAATGACGTCCTCCCTCCTCGCGAAATCCACAGACCCACTCGCCAACCGATTACCTCCTGATATGATTTTGTTCCCTGCAATAGCGCACAGCGTCACCGTCTTCGTGTCGCCGGGCTCGAACCGCACCGCCGTCCCCGCGGGAACATCTAACCTCTTGCCGAGAGCTTTCTCGCGGTCGAATTGGAGGGCAGCGTTGGTTTCGATGAAGTGGTAATGAGAGCCGACTTGGATGGGACGGTCGCTGTCGTTGGTTACGCGGAGGCGAATGCGTTCTCTGCCTTCATTGATGAGGACACGCTCCTTCTTGGCGATGATGGCACCAGGCATCTTGGCTGGCGCGTATTCCTCGGGGTCTATTTCTGGGAACTTTTCGTCTGCCGGGATAGGTAGGAAGGACCCATACAGCGCGTTTTCGAGGTTACCCGACTCTGTGCAGATGGGGTCGTGGACAGTCACAAGAAAAACACTATAGATGAATGAAGCTAGAGTTCGAAGAAGAGTATATGACTTCTACGCACCCATCAGGAAACGACCCCTCGACTTGTATTTCATGCAGCAAACTTGGGACACTGGGCAGAACATGCCGACGACCAAGCATTTGCTTTCCGTGGTGCATCAACTCTGCCACGGAATGCTCCCCATCTCGTATTCTTTCCTGCAGCTGGGACGCAATGAGCGCAACCGCCTCAGTCTGGTTCAACCGCAGGCCCCTGGCCAGCCGCTTCTGTGCAAGGAATCCCGCCTAGCGCGCGCAGTCAGTTCTGCCGTCACACGACAAGTTGAACGGATGATTTTCTCACCTGGTGAAGGAGGAGCTTCGCTTCTTCCCTCGGTAAAAGGTGCATTGCGGATGCTGGTGGGGAGAACCAGGAAAAGCTGGGGTAATGGCATCTGGATTCTGAGAGGGGTAAAGTGCACGCATGTTGCGGTAGGAGATAAGATAAGAAAACATGAGACTTCGGCCATCCGCCATCGTCGTGGACCCTGCCAATCAAAATGCCGCCTCCTCAATTATCCGCAAAAGCCCCGTCGCTGGTCAATTACCCCACACCATCTGGCTCGCGACGGAAGACAAAAGCTTTGACAGAAGAATGCACTTAGTGCTGGCTCAGAAGGACCTTCACACCGTTCCTGAACCAAAAGCGTTCACCTGACCTCTTTGTCTCCACGTTCTCTCCCACCGGTGGCCGTACGATTCGCACGAACCATCAAATATGGTCCATGGATGATTGACAGTCTGAGAGCCATTGTTGGTGATATTCGCGGCAAGGAAATTGAAGGTAGATGGATCTCAACCAACCCAAATTTCACCGTGAATCGGTGAGGATACCATCGAAGACGCCTGGATGGGACCTGGATGCTTGGGTATACACGCCTACGACTTCGAGCTTAACCTCTGGAGGAAGAACGAGGAGGAGAACAATTCCAGTGATTGTGATGTACGTTCTTCAAGTTCCCGTATAGCCCTGCCAGCTTCAACACTTACTTCCTCATATGAACAGGGCTCACGGCCTAGGCTGTACGAAATCCCTCGGATTATCCTCCTATGCCGAAGCCTTCACGACAGCTGGCTACGCGTGTGTCGCGTTCGATTACAGGAGATGGGGGGATTCTGGTCAGTCTCGTTCCTCTGTGCCGGTCCAATACCTAATAGCCCGCAGATGGGGCACCGCGGCACTGCACGTACTTCCAAGACCAGATGGAGGACTACGCGTCTGTTGTCAAGTATTGCAGGCAACACGATGATTTCGGGTTCGATCCGCAGAGGGTCATTTTGTGGGGTTATAGTTTCTCTGGTGAGTATTAGTGCTCCCTTGCAATGCTGAAACGATCTCGAGATGCGATATAGGTGGCCACGTTCTTTCTTTGTCCGCTGATGTGCGTCCCCCCTTTCCCCTCCCTCTTTACCGCCTCTGACTCCCGACTACCCGCGCTTCCCTCGTTTAGCCCACGCTCAACATCTACGCGACAATCGCCCAAGCACCATACACCGGCCGCGCCTACAACCTCTCCCCGACCCTCCTCTGCCTCAAACGCACTCTCCTCGCCCTAGGGGACATCATCCTGACGACATTGACATCGAACCCCGTGTATATCCGCACCGCGGCAGAGCCGACAGAAGTAGGTGCCGTGATAGCGCCAGGATCTGCGGACGGGTTCCGGCGGCTGCCTGGTGCTGACAGGTTCGTATGTTTCGTGGATCTGCTGGGGCAGTGTGACTGACCTCGTTTAACTTCCGTGCAGGCATTTCCCGAATCAGGTACGTTGTTTCCCGCCTAACACCTATCTACGTACTGAACGCGGGTTCCCCACAGATAAACGCGTCGATATACCTCTCCGCGCCCTCGCATCAACCGCACCAACTCGTGCCCGCGATCCAAACCCCCGTCTTGTTCATCGCAGCGCAGCACGATCGTATCTGTCCTGCTGCCAAAATCGTAGAAACAAGCAAAAGGGCACTGAAGGCGAAGGTGGTGGAGATCCCTGGAGGTGAGTCGGTTGAACTCGTATCCGAAGCGCAAGCCTTTCACGATGCTAGATCACCTCGACATGTTCGAAGGAGGGCACGCGTTTGAGGCGTGTCGCGAGGCGCAGTTGAAGTTTTTGGCGCAGTATGTGCCCCTTTAGCTCTTCCAGATTCGATACCCGCCAGTCATTCGAATAACCGTGACCATTTGGATATGTAATACTCATCTTACTCGTCTATGATTCATGGATCTGTTGTTCGTGCATAGCGGTGGATTCAATTCCTCGCCCATGCTAGTTACTCACTCTTCATGGGACCTCAGGCCCCCTGGAGGTCTAACACCCCGATACTTTTGTGTCCTTTTCCTCGCCATCCCACAGTCGGCATCCCCTTCATGCTCGACAAAGGGAGTGCCGCGTTTTATTCGCCAAGACGGCCTTTTGACGGGCAAAAAAATGCGGAACTTTACGTGCGACTTACAACGGTTTATACACAATTAATCCAGATGAGGTATTCTATGTTCCAGAACATTTATTCACGCGAGGTACGTCCCACTCGTTCGCCTTCCAGCCGAAAATCGAAGGGAGATGATGATATGGCAGCTATGTTTTTGGTTAGGTGTGCGCCTCTTCGCTACCCGTCGTAGACTGTACGAAGCACCACCGCAAGGGATAATCGGCTCAGTTTGCTTCTTCGCATCCGTTCGTATCGTACGTGGGATCGTGGGCGTACTAGCAGCTATGGACTCCCAGAGAACGTCAGCCCATATCCAGGCTCCCAGTATATAAAGGCCATAACTTGTCTAGACCCAGACATCGATATTCCTCTTTGCCTTCCCCGCTCACTCGTAGTCGAACTATCACCCGTCTCTACGATGGCCAACGCAGAAATCATCGACCTGATCCATCGCTTATACACTAAGTGTCGTGAGCAGGAACGAACGATAGCATCTGCCCCATTCGAGAGCAGCCCACGGGAATACGTCAATCAGCTCTCTCCGCCGCCAGGTGTGATGCATTGCAATCGGTGAGTTAGCCCGTTACTTATGTGGTATTGGGTCGTCGACATTTTTCTTACACAGCAAGACTGTGACCCTCTTCGAAGACGAGTCGTTCGTCAGCCAACTTTTGTTGCCCCTGCAAACACTGACGTGGAAAGTCGACTTGTATACCTATGTCACTGGCGCCCTGCCGAATGATCCAGACTTCGAGGGAAACGGGGGTTCGGTGATGATTGTCATGGTCCATTCTGGTCTCATGTCATTCACTATCGCCCCCGGTGGTGGTTCTCTTCATCGCATAAACGCCCCCACTTCTGTGGAACCGCAAGTACAACTACCTCCGTCAGGTAGTGGTATTCAGAACGGGGAGTATTGGAATTGTGAGCGATGTCATATATCTCGATATTCAACCCAGTAATTCAACATTCAGTACTGACTTGGCAATCAGATACAATTGCGTACCAGGAGTTGATGCATCTATACAACAACGGGGGTAATAGCACGATCGAGTTCAATGCTTTATACAAGGAAGATTTCTCGCGATTGCGTCATAAGCAAAGTGGGATTGTAACGTCCAACGGCGTTGAATTCGGCTCTTCCTTTACCGAGGTGAGCCGTTGGTGTAACGCGACCCCTCGATGCGACTGCTGATCCTCTCTATAGCCGTCCAGTATTCCTCGGTACAACCTCTCTGGTGTTTCTGTATTCCGAACCACAAATCCAAGCGCATTTCCGCTGACATTCTGTAAGTCCACCCACCTTGCACGTTGTATCGCAACCGATCTTACGATGCATGTCATTTTCGCAACAGCCTTCGATGCGTACGCTTTCTTAGATCTATCGTGGTTGAAAGTGCGTCTAAGAACCTTTTCTTGGTACTCGATTTCTGACTGGGTGCATTCTCCCCTACTAGCTTGAGTGCTTGAAGACGAAGCAGATTACGGTAGATTTGGCTATATAGGCTACCTTTCCTACGCAGGGTCAGCCGGCTCTAGCGACGGGGAGAGATCGATGGCAATACAAATAAACTACGTGGATGTGTGCTTGAGCGATCATCCAGCCACTCATCTACGTTCGCTCACCCGAGCACATGGGAATTGATTCTCATCAGATCGATAAAGAATCTATCGTTCTATAATACCCGTAACCATAGTCTTAAGCTTTATCCCCATCTACATCATCAATGTCTGCACCTCCACAAGGATTCTACGTTCCCGCAGTCCTATTCTTCGACGAAGCCGAGGAATTTGACTTCGCATCAATCAAAGCCCATATCTTGCGCTTGGCCGAAGTAAGGATCGATCACCCTTCATGACATACACCATTCATCTTCGTTCCAGGGTGGCGTGACTGGCATATTGGTGCAAGGCAGTAATGGAGAGGCGCAACACTTGTCTCACGAAGAACGTAAAGAAGCTATTCGATTCACGCGTGAAACGCTCGACAGCAATGGCTTTCAAAACGTCCTGGTTATTGCTGGCACCGGAGCCCAGTCGACGCGGGAGACGAAGAAACTATGTGTAGATGCCAAAGAGGCAGGCGCGACGCATGTGCTCGTCCTCACTCCTTCCACTTGGCCGCCGCAAATGTCACCGGAGAACATCCTAAGATTCCACAGAGAGGTGAGGAGTCTGGCAATCATAACATCTGCCTTATTCACGGGGCAACTCCGAAGGTGGCCGATGCATCACCAATCCCGACGATGGTATACAACTTCCCCGTCGTCACAGCGGGCCAAGACCTCGACTCCGACATAATTGCGACGCTCGCGCAGCACCCAAACATCGTCGGGACCAAGCTGTCGTGCGGCAATATTGGCAAGCTGCACAGACTCGCCTCGACGTTCCCGGCGTCAGAGTTCGCCGTTTTTGCGGGGAGATCGGATTTGTTCCTCCAAGGATTGATGTCTAGGAGTGCGGGCACTATCGCAGCATCGGTGAACCTATTTCCCAAAGTCCACCGGGAGATATACAAGCTATTCCGAGAAGGAAGGATAGCCGAAGCGATGGAGCTTCAAGCGCAGCTTGGGCACGCCGACTGGGCGGTCGGGAGGATCGGTGGAATCGGTGGGATAAAGGCTATAGCTCAGAAGCATTTTGGTTACGGAGGGAAATGGGTCAGAGGGCCATTGAAACACGTTGAGTATGATGCATTGACAGGGAAGCACGTCCAGAAAATCGAAGAGATGATCAAGTTAGAAAAGTCTTTGTAGTATAAATTGATTGTACTTTAACCGTCACTGTGATACTTCGAAATTTGAAGTCGTGTCGCAGAACTCAGAGCTCATAAGCTTCACCGCCATGTGTCGAGAGCACGAATCACTACTGAGTCAGGGAAGGAGTGTAATTGAAGAAGGTTGCGCTTGGTGACAGTGCAGAATCCCTTGCAGTGTCATTCATTAATACAGTCACATCGTACGTATACTGCAATGCATGAGCACTTTGTGACCACCACCACCACTCCAAATCGACAGTCGCTCCAGGGTGAACTCCACATTGAGCATATTGTCTTTCAGCAACTCTGGAAACCCCTTCTCCAATTTCGCCGTCTCTCGCGCTTCATCGACGTGCAATTCGTTGTCATCAGGTGGTTCCTTTTCACCCCAGACCCCTTCGTCGTCACTCGAACCATCATTTCCAGTTGAGAAATCGTCATCACTTGACCCATATTCCGTTAGCCCACCATCTTCCGCTGGTGTGCCTTCTTCGGTCGACTCATCATCTGGGAGCCATTCTCGGACACTGGCTGGTTTATCATCGATCGAGTCTTCGTCGCCTTCTAATTCCATTTTGATATTCAAGAAGATCGCCTTCAATTTTCCACCTTTGCAGCTTCGCAACTGTTGCAAATATTGAGACAGCGCTTCGTAATCAGATAGTTTAGGGTATAGCCTGTTTCGGCTATCGTTCTCATAATTCGAGATGTCGATTGTGAGGGCCTGGATAAGGTGAGGAGATGGAAGGCGATCTATGCAAGCCCTGATCCGGGGAAGGAAAGCGCCGTACGGGGGAGGGGGACCCTCATGACCCCATATACCGATTTTTACATCGGAGGGTTGTATAGATGCGCCGAAGTGTGGAATGTGACTATAAAGATTAGCTGAACAAGTAAGCTAAGCATGCTGCAACTATGGCTCTATTTCAGGGACATACTTTCGAGGCTAAGCTCCCATAAACTAGCAGGAATCCACTGGGGCAAATCCCAGCGGCTCTCCAATTCAGACCATCCGACGGAAAAGCGCCTGAGGTTAGGGCACTCGATGAAAGTCTTGAGATTGAGCAGTGGGAGGAATATATAGATCAACTCCATGCTTCGGAGATTCTCCAAACGTCTGCCAGTGGATGACGGTGTATTCGCATTCGAATCCGGAGCAACGGTGTTGTTGGGAAACGCATGGGGTGACCGTGCTTGTGGTGGTGGACCGAGTCTTTTGAGTACCAACTCTTCTACGGTGTCGGGAAGCATGCCGACGAGGTCGGAGCCATCCTCAGCAAAGTACCAACCACATAAAACCAGCCTACGCAGGTAAGGGGCAGCGAGCATAGGCTTCATCCCCACAGGGGCAACATAGGGTTCATTGATAGTCTCCGCACCATGAAGGCGCAATTCTCGTAGGTTCTTCATCTGCCTGAAACAATCTGATAACCAATCATCGTTGGTGCAGCGACCATCCCACTTGAGTTTGAGTTTATGGATATGACCACTGAGGTGGGGAGCTTCGAAGTGAAGGAAGGAGAGTTGTGCGCCAGGGTCACCGGGGGCGGTGATTTTAATCGTACGGAAAATGTACGCGGAACAGATGGTGTTCCATGTACGAGACACCAGAGAGGCTGCAGCAAGAGTCGAAAATATTAATGGTTCGCGCTGGGTGGCCAAAGAGTCACGGTATCCATCCGCAACGATATCAATGATCGCGGCAATGAGTTCAACGGCAAGTAGTTCGTGTCTAGGCTGGATTGCAAGATACTCGAGTTTAGTACATGACATTGGGAGCAGGGAAAGAAGAGTACTGTCAAGTTGAGTCAGTGGAAGACCCCAAAATATCAGCGCCCGTTATCTTCGGAATTCGTTCAGTCAGCGAGCGCTAATCTTCACCCAAACTTGATGTCGTTCAACGTCGTTGGAAAGCCCACGTTGTTTTGTCGTTCCCTGTAATCTGGATGAAGGATGCCGCCAACGATTGATGGGCCACCCCATGCGTGGAAGGCTCGATTAGCGAGACCAACGGGGCTGAACAGCGAAACGACCTCGAGCAACTCCAAGAACAAACACCCTTTGCATTGGAAGCTGGTAGTCCGAAGACTGGAAGCGACTCAATTTATGTTCTTGGTACTTGTACACTCCTTGATTCTCCGTTGACGACAGTTGACTGAACGCGAACCCACTGGCACAAATGCATCCAACCCACCAGGTGTGTGCCGTTCTGCTATACTTAGTTGTCAATGAGTTATATATATGCCAGTTTGTCTGCTGCAGGACCGCTATAATGAGACATCAACTACGCCTTGACTGTGCCCATGCATCGCGGCACGCGGCAACCATCACGCGCCGTGGTGTCGCGCGCAATGGTGGTGAGGGTGGATGACTTCTTGTTAGTGTGAAATGGTTGGTGAGTTTTCACGAAGATAACACCATGTAACATTCTCACTCACCGCGGGGATCTCGCTGCGACACCGTTCTGGCAGATGCGGCCGAGTCTGCCTCCGTATCCTCAAAATGCGTGCAATCTAGCTGCATCACACATCAGGGGCATTGCTGGCCCCAATTCAACGGTCGAATATTTCATCGCTGTTTACTACTTGTCAAGTCGTATGTAAGTCGTTGGATTAGAAAACTCGAACTGTGGACTTGATTATCATAGGCGCCCAGAGTTGGAACCACCCTTCGTGACGAGTTGCCACTCACACAAACACAAACACTCTTTAGTTGTTCCCCAATGGAACCCAAATACCATCGCCTCCAGCCCAAAACCAAACAAATCCCCGTCGAACTGATTGCCAACATTATTCGTATCGTTGCGGATGGTAACTCGCAGTCTAATCGACCCCACTTTTGGACATTCTCGACTCTTGCTGCCGGCTCTCTAGTGTCTCGCACTTGGAACTTCCGAGTCCTTCGCTCTCAACTTACCACCCAAACAACCACCACAGAGCGCGAGAGTAAACTTTTCAAATTTGGGCTATCTCTTGCAATGGCACAATTACTCAAGACGCCTCCCGAGGTCTCGCTCCGCATCGCGGGGTATTTACCCAAACAACGTGACTGTCTGGCGCTGTCTCTGGTTGCGCGCAACCTGCGTGGTCTCGGCGAACAGGCCCTTTACTCTAATATCGTGCTTCGCCTGAAACACGATGCGGCGACGGACAACATAGTAGAATTATTCTACCATGCCATCAAGGCAAACCAAGGTAGACGCGACTGGGTTCGCAGCTTGTCTGTCATCGCCCTCAGGCATACCTTCACCTCGAGGGAACGCAAGCTAATTCACCGCATACTTTGCATGCTTCCTCGACTCATCAACTTCAGCTTCGAATACCCACCCGTGGATGTCGTTGACGGAAACCCCTTCGACCTTCGACGCTGCTTCAGCTACTCCGCGCCACTCAAGTCGTCCCTTCGCACATTCACATGGCTTCACGCAGAAATCCTCGATGAGAGGGCATTCAAGTCCTTCCTTAGCTACCACAGCAACATTAAGTATCTCGCGTTCGACGAAGACGCGTTCGACGTGCCGAAAATAGGTAGTCAAGCTTTGCCTAATTTGGAAAGTCTCCGGGCGCCCATCGACGCTGTCCTGCGGATGCTCCCCAAACGACGAGTCCAGCGCATCAAAACGGTCATCAATCGCAACACGCCTCCAGACTGGAAGCTGATGCGAGACAAACACTTCGAGAGCATCAGAGTCTTCTCGGCGACCATCCACAGGAATGACGATGTCATGGCCCAAGCTTTGCTCGATTCTCTGATTCGAAGAATGGTGAATTTGGAATTCCTTGATGTACAGGTAATTGGCTGCTTATACCAGTCTCGCTGCTGTAGCTCCACATGTTTGTGAAGGATGAGACGGCGATCGTCTCCCTGACCCTCAAGAACACGAAGATCAAATTCCTACGCCTGCGTAATCTGCGCAACGAGCTCCTCATCGAGTGGTTCTTCGACGAACTGCCCTTACTGGAGTGCATCGAGGTTAAATTCCACAGGAATTCTCCCATGAACAGGTTTTCAGAGAGGTTCTACGGAGATGGTAGGCGGTCTCGTACCATATTGTGGGAGTGCATGCCCAACGAGGAGTGGCTCCATGATTGGAGGGATGTTGTGATCATCCACCCCTACACTAATATTCCTCAGAGTCACATTGAAGATCCCTATCTACTACAACGAAGCATGACTTCTGCGCAACTTCTCTAGCCAATGGTCAATGTCAGGCCTTCTACGGAAGTTTCTCGTAGATGGGAGTACCAATGCCGAATCCTGCCAGCCTCACATCGCGATATATCCCTGACTCACTCAGTGCAAGAGTCTAGCGCCTGGGACGACACTAGCTCTTCGAAGTCAAATTCGTCTACTTCCGTCACACTCGAGGTCCTCGATTTCACTACGACACCTTCTCTTAACTAGTCAGTAGGTTCGCGTCGTACTTTATCGACCTCTAAGACCAACACAAATATGAATCTCAGCTCTTCCCTCATCTTCGCTTCCTGCTACCTCCTTTGCTTCTGAACCGAAGAATCCACGCCAATTTATCATCCGATGATTCGTTTTTGGATAAGTATCCACTACTTTGTTCTCCGTTGCTGACCGAACGCGGAATCTCTGTGGCAAGACTCAAAGGCCATTGATACTCGGCTCAACCTATTTCTTCGCTTCCACCGATTTCAGCTATGGGATCATGGGTGCACTAGCTGTGGTGAGGACGTCAAAATACACATGGGCTCTCCGCCTATATAAGCCCGTGTCGCAAACAAGGACTCAACCAGACTCAGTCCCTCCCTCAGTCAATATTTTCCCTTCTACGATTCTGTCACCGCTACAATGGGCGACGCAGAAACTCTGAATTTGATTCACAATTTATATGAGAAGTGTCGTGAACATCAACAGAAGATTCAATCTACGCCCTTCGAGGCGAGTCCATGGGAATATATCAATTAACTCTCTGGTGTTTCTATTTTCCGTGCTACGGACCTAAGTGTGTTTCCACTTACATTCTGTGAGTTCAGGAAACCCAAGCGCCCCCTTCACATACGCTTACATCGTGTACGCAGCATTCGACGCGTACGCGTTTATGGAATTCATGTCATTGAAGGTACGTGCACTGCGCCCTTTCGTATGAAAATCTGGATTTCTGACTTACGGAATTAACTAGTTCGACTGCTTGAAAACGAAGCAGGTTACGATAGAATTAGATAAATAGGTTCTGTATTCCATTGACTCAAAGGGCACAAGAGCGGTCAGAAAGAAATGTGCCTCTTCCTACCTTGGCCTACCCGAGTCGTTTGTCGTGATTGAAACTGCCATCACGGCGGCTCGTCACGGTCGCGTCGCGATCGCGTGACGTGGTGGCAGGCTATAAATTACTGATTACGAGACCGGAATGGAATGGAGGCTCGTTAGTATGAAGTTGGGACAGGGTCCAACGAGGAGCTAGGAACAGCGATCTCATTGGTTCGGCCGGGATTTCTCAGCCCGCTATTGGCTGTCTGGATGCTTGTCTTTATTTGCTCGAAAAAAAGCTCTTTCTCTTCTGATTGGCTGGAGTGAGCGCCTAACATCGCCAGACTTTTTGCGACAAGGGCACTACAAGTAAGTGGTCATGTGAGCCCTCTTGATAGCCCCTGATAACAAAGGACATAAAGAGGGCACCCAAACTAACCAGGGGCCGAATGAGGCCAACCGTAGGTTGGGCGATGAGGCCCAATTTGCAATGCAGCACTTAGAACAGCTTGAGAGAGAGTAATTAGTGTGGGGATGGCCTACAATAGTTGCCAACATCTCTTATGCAGTGCAAGATGCCACAAAACAAGGTATGAAGCATCAAAGTTCAGATAGTTGCAATTGGGAATTCTGAACATGACCCAAATACATGTGGCCCAAGTGTTGAGTATGCCCCAGTCTTCAACGGTCTCGTACATGCCATGCTTCTAGCATCGGCCCTCAAGCCCAAGTCATCTGATCGCTTACAAGGCTGGGTGGATAGATTTATTTATCCACGGTCTATTGGGTGAGGCATGTGCTCCTCCTTTCTCCCCTTTCTCCTATCACTTCCCTTTGTCCTTTGTGCGTTATAGTATATAGTCTCGCGCTTATAGTATATTTCCCTCGTCTCTCTATCTCACTTCTACGCTCGATAGGTATGCCTTACATATAGTAGCATCGTCTCTCTATCTCACTTCTATGCTCAATAGCTTCGAGCACATTTTCTCCGTGCAAGCGTGCCCCTGGCTCCCACCGCTTCCAAGCTACGCGCAGTGCCACACCTGCAAGACGCCAACGGCAGATTCCTCCCAAGAAGCAGAGAAGAACCCATGGTCGAGCCTCCGCTCCCATCGCCTGAGAACTCACCACAAATGGCACCCACTGATATTCCCACAACATCAACTCCTTCTTCTCCACCCGCTCAGCAGCAGCCTCAAGGCACTGACATCGCAATGGCGATGTCCAACTTCGGCAGGACAATGACAAACTCATTGGAGAAATGTCCGAAAAGATGGACAACAACTTTGGGCAGCTTCTAGGTGCGCTTCGCGCTCTCGCTCAGCCACCTTCGATGCTGTCTGTTCAACAAGCGCCACCCACCTCAACCTCTACCCCACCGCTTCCTGCACCAAGCGCGTCGCCGCCCCCAACGCAGCCTTTCATGAACCCCGCCTTTGTTCATACGCCCCCTAACGCCATGGACGCCCCCCCTTTATTCCCCCTGCGACCTCTAACCCAGCAGCTGGTACGTCCTCCATTCTCACATGCTTCCCCAAAATCGAATCCTCGATTCTGCTATTGGTAATAAAGCATGAGTTACGGCCACAGCAGCTGCACAAGCTGATCACGTCCACCAATGTTAAACAACTCAACCCCAACTCCCTCTTCATGACCACAGACGGGCTGCAAATTGCCGAAGCCTCTCTCTCACGCAAGCTGCCGTCGTTCGCGCTATTCATTCGCGCCCTCACCGTTTATCTGGATATCCTCACCAACCACATAGCCCTCACAACCAACAACTCAGCCATGGTCTGCCACATAGCACATGGAGGTTTTTTCTACCTGAAGATGCTGAACTACTATAGTTCCATCTACTCGTACAAAGCAATTCTCGACTTCCACATGGTATTCCACGCCAAACGCCTCCGGGAGATGGAACAGGGTAACTACTCGGGATGGGGCAAGATTGACTCTGACGCAGTAGCCGAGTTCCTCCAAGGCTCGATCACAGTCGCTCAACTAGCAGCTTCAGGGTCTGGGACATCATCCAAATCCAAATCGAGATCGGGCACCTCCCGTCAGGAAGAAGTTTGCAAGAACTTCAACAACGGCAAATGTGCTTCCCCCTGTCGTCACAACCGCCTCCATAAATGCAGCTCGTGCAATTTGGATGCCCATGGCCGCTCCACTTGCTCAACAAAACAAGCTTGAGGCCCCGGCAGGATGGGGAGCATTCCTCCCTTGTCTCCACCCCGTCCTGGCCCCAAGGACGACATCACTAAAACCAAACCTCATTTCACTATGTCATCACATACTTTAGCACCAATCCCGGCTACGTTGTACGCTACTTGTATTCCACATTTTAATAAATTCCGCCCCAGCGCCTTAACCCCTACTTGTCCTAATTCCGACCCTCGGTGCAACCGAGCCCCTGAGCAGATCGCCCCTGGCACTGCTAAAGTCAGCTCTACACTGGTACACGGAGCATGTGACCATTTCCTAGCAGACTATCCTGATAGAGACTTCGTCAACAGCATTCTTCACATCATAGATTATGGAGTGTCGATTGGCTACTCCGGTGATTACAAGAATCAGACTTGCTCAAACCTGATATCCGCCCTGGAGCATCCCGACGTGATCAGAGCCGACATCGAAGCACTTGCGTCCGACGGGCGCATTCGAGGCCCTTTCCGCACACCGCCACATCCTTCCTTCCACACCTCCCCACTCGGCACGGTATCACGGAAGCGCAAACCAAACAAGTTTCGCGTTATCAACCACCTCTCATGGCCTCGTGGCTCTTCGATCAACAACGGCATCCCTGACTCCGAGGTGAGTATTATCTACGAGATGATCTCATATGCGATTGACGCAATCCGATCGTCGGGCCCTGGCTCACTCCTCGCCAAGCTCGACCTCAAAGATGCATTCCGTCATATCCCAATCTCCGCTTGCGATTGCTATCTCATCGGTTGCTCCTGGGAAGGCGAACTCTACTATTACATGGTTCTCATATTCGGGCTTCGCTCAGCACCATACATAATATACCTGCACAAATCAGGCATTATCTGGATTATTTCCTTAGCATTTTCCCCCCCTCCACTTCCCCAACCCTCGCTAACGAAGCCATTGAATGGGTACAAGGTCTTGGTACAATGCTCGGCTTAACCTTTCAGCCCGAGAAAACGGTATGGCCCACCACCTCACTCAAGTTCCTCAGGATCGAGCTGGACACCATTGCCATGGAAGCCCGTCTTCCTGACGATAAACTTGTCTACCTTCGTGACCTCCTTACGGCGTGGAGCATCAAGAAATCATGCCATCTGACAGAACTCCAAGAGCTCACTTGTAAGGGCAACCTCAAGATAGCCGCACAGTGCAAGCCTAGCAGAGGGAGAATCCAAAGAGAACAGGATAAGGATTCTCCATGCTAGGAAGCGAAGTATATACTGTAGTAGCGTGGGAGGAATGAAGGGTAACTGTACAGTACACCAGCCACAGGTACAAACGAATATCACAAGGTACAAGGGGGCATGTGATAATGAAGTGGAAGGGGAATGTACAGGAGTCGTGCCAGCGACCTGGGGAAGTGGGGACAAGGAGTAATGAAGTGGGAAAGGAGGATAGAGGTAGCCCGGACGAGCCCCGAAGTGTATCTACGAGTCCGAGCGAGTCCGAAGCGTCCGAGCGAGTCCGAGGCGAGTCCGAAGTGCGGGAAGACTTTGGAGTCACCGGACAGGGCTCGGATGCGAAGGGAGTGAACGGAAGGGAAGCGGAAAGGTAAGGGGACAAAAGGAAAGGAAAGGGGATGAAGGAAAGGGGAAAGGAACAAGGAGGAAGGGGGCGGGACAGGGGGAATAGGAGAAAATAGGAGTGTCCCCTTACATCACTGGGTTCTTATTCTTCGCATCACAAGTAATCCCCTACTCCTGCGCTTTCCTACGCCGCCTAATTGACTTCTCCAAAACATTCTCCTCCCCATTCACTGTGTGACACATCTCTAACTATGCATGACGAGATATCCACTGGTGGACGTGTTACGCGTTCACTTGGAACGGCGTCTCCTTTATTGACAAGGAGCCGTCAGGGCTAATTGACGTATTCACGGACGCAAGTGGCACAAAGGGGCTAGGGGAGTTTGGGGCAATAAATGGTTCTCCTCTCGTGTCCCTCGCCGACATTGCGCCGCCTTGATTAACTTCAAAGAACTTTACGCCGTGATGAAATCCATCCTCTGCTGGGGCCACTTGTGGTCTGGACAACATGTAGTCTTCCACGTTGACAACACCAATGTTCATGCAGCCCTCAATGATCATACTACCAGGTCTCCCCCCTTGGCTTTGCTGCTGCGGCTCGTACTCATGCTTGCCGCCTCCCTAACACCCTATCACCCTCGATATTCTGCAACAAATTGTTGACTTCAATCCTGGACACTCTATCCCTGACCTCACATTCTGTGCTGCCGCTGTCATACCAGAACATAGGTTCGGTATAAAGACATTAGGAACTAGGATGAACCCCTGAACCCCTAGGAGCGAAGCCCCTAGGATATTATCCATTGTTGGGTTATTGTTCTATCTTTCCATTGACGTTTGTTCGTCATGGAAATTCACCATAGAAACCAATAGTTATGGATTCTATTGTTCTACATCTTCTATTGTTGATATGGAAACCACTTATAATGGTATCCACTGTCTCTCCATTATTCCACTGTATACCCTTATTTACTCTATTGTTCTAATAGGCCTTTGTTCTTAAAGACCATTGTCCTACCTCTATTATACTACTGTGTACTATTATTTGTCCTATTATTCCTGTAGGTCTTTGTTTCTTAAAGACCATTGTTCCCCGTATTTATTTGTATTTACCTCACCATTCTTACCATTGTTCTTAGGTACAAATAGTTTAGGTATAAAAGGGAGCTAGTCTCTCTGCCAATAAATATACAAGTTATCACCCACATTCTAGCTCTTGAGTTTGGCTGTATCTGAAACGAGTAGGATACCAGCATTACCGTTTGTAGAGACCTGAAAAGTAAGTACGGTCTATTTCTTTTGCTAAGTCTGCACCGAAACGAGTAGGTGACAGTAACGCACTAACAGCTAAGTCTGCACTGAAAACGAGTAGGTGTCAGTAACACTATTTTGACAGTTTGACTATCCCGAAACGAGTAGGGAAAACCTTTACAAGTCCAGATCTGAAACGAGTAGGATTCTGGCATACTAACTTCAGTTTATTAGCTATCTAGTTCATTCCATAGGTTTATTATATAGACCTATAACCCCGTATATACTTGCTACTTATCATACAAGTAGATACACCACCACACCCCTATCTACTTAGGAGTAGTATTGTTGATTGACATACTATTTCTAATAACCGACCTCACCCTATCCATACCCTTCTGAGAGTATTTCCTCTATTCCAATAATTCCGAAATCAACGAACGACCAGGTGCAACTCGACGCTGTAGTCCACGACCATCTGGGCACTAATTCATTAACCTGGCTTAGTGTGACACCGCCACTCTCGCCTTCGCTGGTTTCTTGCGCTGTGGAGAATTCACACTTAACAGCAATGCCAAATTCGACCCTAGCGTGCACCTCACGCGAGGATCTGTTGTATTCAAGCCATCATTTGAGAACCCTGAGTTTCTCATCCTCACGCTCCCCTCCTCCAAAACTGATCCTTTCAGAAAAGGAGTCCCTATTTTCGTCGCAGCCGCCCCTGGCTCTATCACCTGTCCAGTGTCAGCCCTCAAAGCTCTTATCCAACACGACCCTCGCTCCCCTGACGAACCCCTGTTCTCCCATTATTTCGAAGGACCTCTCACCCACCAAGTATTCATTGGCACACTCCACACCCGTCTTCTCACAGTTGGCTACGATGTGAAAGCTTTCTCTGGCCACAGCTTTCGTAGGGGTGCCGCCACTGCAGCAGCAGCAGCCGGTCTCGCCGACCATGAAATCCAACAATTAGGTCACTGGCGAAGCAACACATATAAACTTTACATTGACACTCCTTGCGAGCGACTCATCAATTTATCCTTCCGCCTTCATTGGGCCTCCCTTCCTACTCAGCATTTCAAGCCTCCGGCTCTTCGCTTCCCTCCTTCCATGGCTTGAGCTCGGCCCTTTGGGCTTGGCTTCCCCTTGGATGCCGACCCCTGTCTGGTTCGGTACTCCTTCGGGTAGCTTTCTCATTGGGCTCTGGCACCGCGCCTTGTCCTGGTTCCCAGTCCCACTGGCGCTCCCTGGTCCTGGCACGTGTCCCGAGCAAGAGATCACTGGCGTCATCTGATCGCTTACAAGGCCTACCCCCCATTCATTTCTCTTCCTCCTACAGTTGAGGACAGTCAAACACCGCAAAAATGCTAGCACATGAACCAGATTTTTTGGAGGCAAACCGTATCCAGATTCAGACTCAGGATGGTCAAAAGCGTCAGAAAAACCAACTCCGAGGTTTTTCCCACGAGAATTTGGCGGCACCAATATTTTTGGCCCAAAAAATCGAATTGTGTGTACCTCTGTGGGCCTTTCAGATGCCGACTAACTACCCCTAGTAGCCCCTAGTGCAATAAGATTGACTCAAGTGCCATCATCGCCGATCGTGAGACTGAGTGATGTTGCCTCTGCTTTCGCACCACCCACTCTGCTGCCCTCCCTGTCAAACCAAGCCAATATGCACTCATAAATCGCCAAGAACGATTGATGAACTGACGGATTACCTCCGCAGGACAACCATCAAGACAACGGATTGCCGCTTGCTTTGCTTCTTCAAAAGTCTTCTTGTCCGCCTCACGATATCGGTATTTGCACCATCCCCAGTACTTGAAATAATGATAGAGTGAATAACTGTATGCAATAATTGAATAACACCCACCATTTCTATTGGATTGAGTTCACAGTGAAATTTAGGCAAGAAAATACAGTAATGCCCCACATCTGTGATCAATGTCTTGACCATTGATGGCTGATTCTTGAAGTCGTCCTGCTGACTGAGCAACCGAGCCATGCAGCAGTCCTGGTTCTCAAATGGACAGACAGGGGAGCACTTGGCACGAGGCTTTGTGACGTTAAACCCTCGCTCTTCCAAGACCGACTTCAACCCCTTAGGAGATCCGTTCGGCAGTGTCATCTTTTGAGGCTTT